TTCTAAATAGCTAGTTTAAACCTTAACCTAAAGAAATATATATTTACTATAAAGGAGGTTAAATACCTTAGATATATCGTTAAAGTAGGGGTATAAATCTACCCTAATCCCGAAAAGTTAGCTACTATCTATAAGTAGAAACCCCCTAAAAAGGTTCGAAGGGTCCGGAGCTTTTTAAAGTTTATTAACTTCTACTAAAACTTTATCCCTAGCTTCTCCGAAAAGGTAATACCTCTAATAAGGTTAATAGATAAGAATATCCTATTCCGCTAGAGAAAGAAAGAATAAACTACTTTTAATACCCTCTACTATATATTTATTTCGGAGCTGGTATTTATATAGTAGAACCCCGATCGGGAGATAGTTCTTAAAGCTAACTATTTAGGTACTACTCTAGGTAGGTACTTATCCTAGAGGGGAGAGAATAGTATTCTCTACCCTATTACCTACTATTCTATAAAGCTCTTCTTGGTAGAACGGAACTATACGATCTACAATAAGGAGCTATTTACTATTATCTCCTATCTTAGAGTCTGGATAGCCGAACTCTATAGTATTAACACCCCCTTTCTTATCCTTATAGACTATAAGAACCTTAAATACTTCTCCTAGCTATATTCTATTAGCAAGTAGTAAGCGAGATAGGTAGAGAACCTTACTCTCTATAACTTCGAACTATATTACCGACCTAGATCCTAGATATCGAGGCTAGATACCCTATTATACTAAGAATAGAACTAAGTATTGGGTAAGATATAAATAGCCTAGCTCCTCTCTATAATTTAGATCCTTATATTAGGGATAGAAGATAAAGAATTACTAGCTCTATTAGCTAGAAAGATACTCTTTATAGATAACCAATATATAGCTCTCTAGGATAAGGGTATTAAGAAGGACGAATACTATATATACTGCCTCTAGGCTATATATAATAGTATCTAGAAGTTCCTAAAGGAAGTAAATACTATATAAATATAGATTATAGACTATTTACTAAATATTTAAGGAGCTCTATAGTTTAGAGGCTACCTTTAGCTCCTAATATAGGAGCCTCTTATAATAAGAATCCTCTAATAGGCCTATAACTCCCCTATATCCGGATATCCTAGAAGAAATATATTATTTAAACTACTCTAATAAGACTTTTATTAGGATCTAATATTACCTAATATAAAGAGGTTTATATATAACTGTTATATATACTATAGGGTAAAGAAATCGAGATAGCTCTATTAGAGACTATTCTAGCCCCTCCTAATAGTTAACCAGTTCTAGTAATAGATCTTTATTAACTTTATAGTTAACCTCCCTATATAAGATAAGTCCTTGCCCTACTATCTAATGGTTATTATAGACTATCTATCTAAGTTTATCTAGTTAGAGGTAATATATTTAATAGAGTTTAAGATATATATAAAGCGGTTTTGGGATATATAATAGAGGTTCTATAGATTCCCCTTTTATATTATTACTAATTAAGGGTTAGATTAGTTAAATAGGTTCTGGATAACCTTATATAAGGAGATTAGTATTAAATAGCTACTCTTAACCTCCTACTATCTATAGACTAATAGAGGGATAGAATAGGTAAACTAAGAAATATAAGCTATTCTCTATATAGTTATCTCCTTTAGATAGTATAACTAGCCTAAATATCTTCCAGCCTATTAGCTAATACTTAATAACTGAGACTTAATAGTAACTAGTATAAGTATAAACTATCTCCTCTATAAATATAATATATATCCGGTCCAACTCTAGAGTAGACCTATTATACCTATATCCTCCCTCTAGAAATAGGCCTATATATTCCTATACTACCTTAAGGAGAGGGTAGAATAGATATAAGCTACTATTATATATATTTAATAGCAATAATAGAAGGGAGTAAACTATTTATAATATTTTATAGAATACTTTTAAATAGAGGATAAGGTATAGTTATTACTCTATAATATTAAGATAAACCGCCTAAACCGAAAACTTAACTAGACCTAGGCTAAATACTATATTATTGCTATTTCAACCTCATTAACCGTTACTCTAAACATCCCCCGAAGTATTTACCCTAACTTCTATATAGATTTAGTAGAACGGGTAGCATCCAACCCTCTCCCCTCCTAATATATAACGGACTTTTAACTAGGCCTAACCTAGGTATTAATAGAGGAGAGTATCCTATAATAAGAATACTATATAGAGGTAATTTTAACTATATATAATATAAGGGGTAGAGGAAACCGCTATAATATACTAGTTAAATAGGCGGGATATAATTCCCCTATATAGGAGCTGCTGGAAAATATAGAGGACTCTACAATATTAGATACTTTTAAGGCGGAATAGAGGGATATATATATAAATAACGGCCTGATTATAAATCGGAAGAGATAAGGGAAATAAGTTTTATTTAGCTAGAGTACGATATATAATAAAATAGTATATAGAAGCCTATAGTAGAGGCAGACCGGGTCTATAACGGAAGTAGCTAGGAGCTAGCTAGTTTATTTAGTAATATCGGACTTAGAACCTCTGAAATATATAGCCTCCTCCTCGGTAGTATAGTAGGCCCGGCTAGGTATAGTATACTATAGAGAGGGGGTAATAGGCAGTAAGGCAGGTGTAGTATATAGTGGAGAGGAACCGAGGGGCTCTGGGGTAGGACCGAGGGGCTTTAGGGTAGGCGCGATATATATAGGGACTAGAGAGAAAACCTCTATAATATAGAAGGACTGCTTATAATAGTTATAAATATATTTAAAGGTATATTTAGTAGGAGATATAGAATAGCGCTTCTAGCAGGGAGTATATAGGGCGGAATAGGGGCTATATATATCTATAGTAGGTATAGTATAGATATAATATATAGTAGGGGAGGGAGTTTAAGGGCAGCCGAGGTAGTAATTAACGAGGGCTATATTAGTATTAACCAATATTGTTATATTATTATTCTAGCAGCTAACTTTATATATAAGGGAGCTAGTATAGTTATTAGCTATAACTAAATAATAGGAGAGTACATTTCCTATAGTACCGACTATACTAGTATTAATACCCGGTATAGAAGTAGAGCTAGTATAGTAGGAGAGAGAGGCGGGAATAATAGTATTATATCCAGTATATATAGAAGTAGATAGCGATATAAGGGAGGTAGTAGATTGCTATATAGATATAGGTAAAAAGGTAGTATAACCGGATATATAATTCTCCTAAACGAGCTTAAGAAGGTAGTGGAAGTTCCATACTAGGGTAGCAAATATACCCGTTAGGATAGGATATTTAGAAGGCTCGTTAGGAGTATAGGTATAGCTAGGCTTAAATAGGGTAATATTATTTAGATATAACCTCTCAATCTTCTTAAAGCCAGTATATAGATAGGGATTATTCGCCTATAGCTATATATCCTAAATATAGGCTAAATAAATAGAATAATACTCCTTATAGGATCTATAGATATTAATAGTATATATAGTAGGCTTCCCATTTAGGAGCTTACTAATATATAGTATATAGTATTGATATTCCTTAGAGAATAGGTTAAATTTCTTATCGGAGGAGTTACCCTCTATAGCAAAGCTACTAAGTAAGGTATTTATATATTTATCTTTCTATACCGCTTATATTAGTTTCTATAGTAGATATAAAAGGGGCTTACTTATATTATAGTCCTTACTAGGATCGCTACTAAAATAGTAACTACTACTACTACTACCTATAGAGCCGACTATAGTTGATATTCTATACGGTTTTATACTATTTATAAAGAGGGAGAGATAGGTAAGTAGGATATATATAAAAGAAGAGGTTAAGATATTCTAAAAGGAAAAGAGCTAATATAGAAAGGTTAACTATAGTATAAGGAAAAGAAGAGAAGAGGAAGTAGAATAGAGGAGAGAGGGAAAGAAAAATTTATAGACCTATATATAGGGCAGGGTTACCTAGGAAATATAGGCAGATAATATAGTATAGGCTTATAGGAGGAAGATATATAGTAGAGAGGGTATAATATAGTAATTTATAGTAAATAATAGGAAGGTATATATATATAAGTTATATAGTAGGAAGCCTACCTATACCCAGTATATATACAGCCCGGAGCCAGTATATATAACAGCTTCCCGGAAGCGGCGGAGGAGGGGGGTATATTAAGGGCCGGGCTATACCCGGCTAGTGGGAAGTTAGGAGCTTTGTCCTGACCGCTCTGTGTCCGGCGCAGCTCCGGAGCGGAACCGTACCGGGCCCACCCAGATTACGTGCTGGTAGGTCATACAAAAAGGAATTCCCGTATAGGGCCCTGTAAAATAGCTTTTCCCTCCTTAAGCTTTCAGAATAGAATATTGTACGCCTATCTGCAGTTGCCATAGGGCCAGCACCTTATAAACGAAAACTAACCTATAAATTAATTAATTAAAATTAGAGAGAGGGTAGCAAATATAGGTGGTAAATATTGCTATTTTTATCTTAAGAAGTATTGAGTATAGCTGTTTAATCTGGAGTTTACTTTTAAAAGGCTCTGTGTTCGAGTCCTCGAAGGTGCTCTATTTTTTCGTAAGTCTTATAATTGTAAATTTGTAAACTGTAAATTTGTAAAGTGAAAATTTGTAAACTGTAAATTTGTAAAGTGTAAATTGTAAGCTGTAAATTGTAAGATTTGTAAAATTTGTAAAATTCGTAAAATTCGTAAAATTCGAAAATTTATAAAATTCATAAAGTTTATAAAATTCGTAAAATTCAATAAGTAAATAAATAATTAAATAAATAATTAAATACTAGAAAATTAATATTTAAATTTTTTAATTGAAAAAAGGGCTTATAAAATGGATTTAGCTATAAGTTGGTTTTTTAATACTAAAATTATCTTGGAAGAAAATCGTCTCTGGGCTCTATGATCATTTCGGACGGAAACCATTTTCAAATGACGTCTGTCAGAGATCAGTCATAGGTCCGGATCATTTTGGAGCCCCAGGACAGTCACAGTGATCATTTTGCAACCCCCCCCCGGCGCGCTATGGTAGGTACTGTAGGTACCTAATGATTACCTCAAATCGCGCAGAGAGCGAAGGGAGAGAACAAACCTGAACCAAAGTACAGATTAACGTCTTAGTACCTACCGAAATTTGCCCGCTAATTATCCTCATCCTCAACCACCCACCAGATGATAAATCATACCAAGCAGCCCATTTTCGCCGTCCCACCCGGAACTCAGTTCCACTCTGCAGCCAGAGCCCTGAGCTCTCTCTTCAAGACCTTGCCACTCGCGCTCTTGGGAAGCGCCTCCACAAACATGATGCGATCGTGCAGCCAGTGAGTCTCGTCCAAACGCTCCTGCACGTAATCATCAATCATCTCCCGGAGATCCTCTTCGTCGTGCTCGTCCCTTCCCGACTGAGAGCGGACCACGAAAGCTTTGGCCCGCTCCCCAGCATTTTCATCAGGCACACCAATCACAGCGACATCGGCGACGGCTGGATGCTCGCGCAACACAACTTCGATATCAACAGGAACGACTTGAAGTCCCTGATGTTGGATTGATGATCAGTATCCGCTCTGCACCAACAAGGGAGCCATCCTTGGAGACCACTCACCTTGACCTTGATCATATCCTTGATTCGATCCAGGACAAAGAGATGCTCGGTACCATTAGGGCTCTTCTTGAACATGCCGATGTCGCCAGTCCGTAACCAGCCGCGTTCATCGAACGCGGCCTTGGTCGCCTCGGGGTTTCCGAGGTATCCTATGAACAGATTAGGCGCTGAGAAGAGAATCTCTCCCGGCTTGTCTAGCGACTCAATCTCTTCACCGTCAGGGCCGACGAGCCGAGCTTCTGTCAGGGGTAAAAGGGAACCAGACGACCCCGCCCACGTGTCGTGCGCGCCGGTAAGGTTCGTCAAGACGGCAGTCTCTGTTAGCCCTGTTTCACCGGAGCCGAGTCAGTGTTGAGTCACTTGGGTGCAAGCGGGAGAGGCGGTGATGAGGTACTTACCATATCCAGGCAGGACCTTACAGTTGGGGAGCTGGGCGTACACCTTGTCCGCCAGGCTTCGGTCAAGCCCGGACGCGCCATTGGCAATGCTTGTTACCGAGGACAAATCGAACATCTCGAATAAAAACGGATTGTTCGTCAACGCAACAACGATTGGCGGCACCTAGAATGGAATCCTTTGCATTAGCGACTATCCCAAGTCGTGGGAATGGCAAGACGCACAAGGTAGAGCCGTGCAATGCGATACTGCTGAACCGACTGCAGCATGAGCTGCATGTCGAATCGTGGCAGGACAATGAGTGTCTCGCCGCGCCAGGCTGCGACGTGGCCGATGAAAAGACCATAAACATGAGTGAATGGGAGTACGCCGGAAACGGCGTGTGGATGCCAGGACTCCCCCTGCACGTTCTCGTGCGCCGACATCTGTAATGTATTAATTGTGAGGCTATAGTGCGTGATCATGGCCAGTTTCTTCCCCGGCAGGTATGTGGTTAGCGTACGAGCTTATCATTCATGGGCATACATGCACGTACCTGCTTCCCGGAAGTGCCACTCGTTGAGCATAAATACGCAACTTGCTCCTTGGCTTGACCCTTCCTCCATACGAGCGGCTCGGGTGGCTGCACCTGAAGACCCAAAGCGACCAGATCTTCCAGGCTCTTGAATCCGTCGGTTGGCTCGGGGTTCTTGAGAAATCCATCCGGTAGAGGGAGCGTGAATATCCTAGACTGTGCAATAGACAGGCGAGTCGCAACTTCGACCGAGGTGGATACCAGTGTTTCGCACGTGAAAATAACGCCGCACTTTGCCGCTGTCATGTGCGATATCATCTCGCCCACAGAGCTGGTAGGGTTAAGTAGCAAGCAGATTCCGTTGAGACGGTGGATAGCCCAGCTGAGTGCGAAGAAGTCGATCTGGCCTGACATCAGCGCTAACCGGCCATCAAACGGTAGATGAGATAAGTACGGACCGTGTTGAGACTGTAGATGGCCACCACCTTGTCCCAGGGTGAGCCCTCGTTGGTGGACCACCCGAGTTCCTTGGCCACGCCTCCGGCCAACCACTCGACTCTTTGCTTCAGATCCGCTCGAGAGTAGGACTTGCCTGATATGGGGTCGACAAGCAATACATCGGTAGCACTTTTCTCAGAGTCGCCGTTCAATCCTGCCAGGGTGGCCTGGCCCAGAGGAATCGAGTCTGGAATTTCCCATGGGATATCCGGCACCCACGCTGGGCTCGAGAACACCATATTGACCAACGAAATGGCTGAAAAGTGATGGTTGAATCTTGCTCGTGCTCACGAGAGGCCGCAGCTGTGTTGTCGGCGAAGGCTGAGTAACTGGTAGTTAGGTTCGTGAGTCTGCACTGCGAGACGGTGTATAAACGTATAAGTAACCACATCATCCGCACATGCGCCTCGAATCCACTTATACAACCCCCCAGGGCCAATAGCAAACGAGTGGCGATCATGAGTGCCGAGCAGCAATTGATCGTCCCGTTGGCGCATTCACCACAGATCAACGCTCGCTTGGGCTTTCAGCTCTCGTCGGCTGAGACACACTACTGGGGTACCAAGACAGCACAGCACGATCGACAGCTCGATTTGCTGGCGGCTAACGCGCACTGCATTCGGGCTCTTGGCGAGGCGGAGGTCAGGACAGAGGTACATCTGTACCGAGGTAAATTAAGCTCCCACGGTGCTCTAGATTGGGCCCATATTCAGGAGTCCTAGTCTACATTTAGTATGGACGAAGTACACCGAACAATTCTTTTTTTCACTATTGGATTTCAGGTCTGGCCGGGCTCTTATTGCATCTCGACCGGAAAGACATGTGTGATTCCTCGCAGGGCCTAGACCATTAGCCGCCCCTGACATGTCAAACTCCTCACCACCGCACTCACAACCGCGTAGCAGTTATTCCTGAACCTATCAGCACCAGTGTTATTGCGGGCCTCCCAGCCAGGGTCCGAGCCAGGGACCCAACGCTGGCGTCGTTCTGATCGCCTCGGTTCTGTGAGAGAGTGCTCCGACCATGTTGAAGATTACTTGGCTATTATGTACTATGGTTTATCGACATGCAAACAAGAATTCTCCCCTCGTCGGAGTCAAGGAAAGCGCTGTTAGGTGGCGGTGGTGTGAGATCCCAAAATCAGGCCGTCGCACCGCCATCGCCGAGATAGCCCAGCAGAATAGTGACCCCCGCGATCAGCTTCACTCAGCCCGTCTCAGGCCAAGGTGGCAACTGCTCAGTTCCGGAGAAAGGAAGGGAAAATCGCGGTATCGAATTTAGGGTGTTGAAACCGCCGTTTTAGCTGCTAAAAGAGCCCTCATAAATCATGTCCCTCCTAGAACCGGCGGCGCCCTCCCCAGACGACGAGACATTACCCACAACAGTCCCCTGCTCATTCGCATACGGCGCCCAGGCGCTCTTCAGCGACCAGATGGCAACGTTCACGGTAGCCCCGGGGGGCAGAGCCTGCGACCCCAGAGACAGGGTGGTCAGCGGCTGGGTGGGGTAGAAGAGCACGGTGGCGGCCTGGACGCCGCCGTCGAGGAACCACTCGCAGATGGAGCGGTCGAAGAGGGCCTGCATGCGCCAGGAGGCGAGGGTGCCGTCGCCGCCGTCGTACACGTTGGCCGCGCTGAACTTGTCGGTGAAGAAGATGTTGTCGAAGCCGCGCACCAGGCCGCGGTCGATCCAGAAGGGCGTGTCGCCGCCGAAGAAGAAGCCGGAGCGCAGCGACTCGCCCGACGCAGGGGATGTGAAGGTGAGGTTTAGCGTGGTGCTGCCGGTGACGAGCGTTGTGTTGATGCCCGTCACGTTGGCCTCGATGTACAGCGCGTTGGAGGCGACGTCGGAGAAGTCGAGCGAGAGCGAGGAGTTGCCGAAGCTTGTGGTTTCGAGGGGCTCGTCTAGCACCGGCGCCGGGTCTACGAGCTTGTTCATCATGGTCAGGCCGATGCGGTCCGCCTTCTGCAGGTAGTTGGCACGCGGGGCCGTCATGGCGCTCCGCCAACCTTCCAGGTTGCCCGTCGGTACCTGCTGCGTGTATTGCCAGTTGGACGCCCAGCCGATGCTGATGGCATCCTCGCCGTCGGGCACGCCGTAGAAGTACTGGGCGGCGTAGTTATCCTTGCCGAAGTCGGTGAGCCTGGTCGCCGAGTCGAAGGGGATGAAGTGAGTGCCGTTGAAGTCGCCGGGGAAATACTCGGTTATGGAACCACCCAGCGGGGCGCCAGGCTGTACAGAGAGCGTCATCACATAGGCCTCGCTCGTCACCGCGCCCTCGCTATCCCTGACTGGGAGTTTCACGAGATTGGGGCACTCGTACTGGGTCCCGAGCAGACCGTGGTAGGAAAAGTTGGATGCAAAAGTCCAGTCCTTCAGGTCGGGCGAGGTGAAGATGCCGACGGCAAACTCCTGCGAATAGGCGATGACGGCGACCCAATGATCCTCATACCAGATGACCTTGGGATCCCGAAAATGGATGCTTGTGCTGTCTATCACGGGATTGTCGTCATACAGTTGAAATGTATACCCGCCGTCGTGCGAGTAAGCGATGTTCTGCGTTTGAGGGCCGGCGGCGTTGGGATAGTAGCGAGCGAGGGTGAAAATGGCGACCACGCCGTTGGTCTGGTCCGGGAAGAAACCTGACGTGTTGTTCACGTCGACCACGGCGCTCCCGGAAAACACAAAGACGCTCTCCTCTGGCGGGAAGAGGGCGATCTGCTGGTTCTCCCAATGGTAGAGATCGCGGCTCGTCGCATGGCCCCAGTGTTGGTTTCCGGCCCCGAGACCCGTAGGATTGTACTGGTAGTAGAGATGGTAGGTGCCGTTGGCATCGACGAACATGCCGTTGGGGTCATTCATGAAGAACTGCGGCGGGGAGAAGTGGACTTGGGGTCGCAAGCCCCCGGAGTAGTTCCCTGGGATGGGTTGCCCCGTTGGCACCGCTGGGTTGATAAAGGTGGTGGCATTCTGAGCACATACGGCCGTTGCGAAGGCTGCTGATATGAAAGCGGTGGTTTTCATATTGAGAAGCAGCATTGGGATGTGGTGCCGTGGTCTGTGGGTGTTCGCGTACAGGATGCTGGCGTGACGGTAAACTTGGAATTCCCGTCCACCGCGGGTAGACCTACCTACTTAAGGACTGGATTTCAGTCGTCAACGAATGATCAACGTCATCAAGAACAACCCAGGCTTACCTATACCTACCTAGTTACCCCGCCCGGACAGCGGAGTGCATGTTTGTTGGATGCAACAGTTACTGGCAACCGAACCACGCCATGTGGATCTCTCCGGTGATTGGCCTCGGTGAGGTTTTCGAAGAGGCTGAATTGGGTGTTTTCTCTATCCTGGAGCTGGATGGGATGCTTTGGGAACGCAAACTGAACCGCCGGGTGCCCCGATTCCAGCCATCCGGGTTTTACACGCAGTTCGGGCAATTTGGGGGCCGAAAGAGACGGGTATGCACGGTGCCTGCATATAGATTATATCCAGCTGAAAATGATCTGGGTGTCCTTCGTACGAAGTAGTGCGCGGAGTATTCCGTACATCCAAATAACATCGGCCCGAAGTAACCAGTAAAAGGGGGCGTGGTACCCGTAGCGGTTGATCATTTAACCGCCAAGCCGCCGCGGGCTTACCTCACGCACGCAATCTTGGAAGGGTCGAGACACACCGCCGGCCCATCCTCCCCTTTTCGGACGGGGATTCTCCTCGCCTGGGCTGGCCCACCCAACAGGCTACCCAGCAGCGTGCACTGCCGAATATCGCAGCCGAGTAGGGTAGGGCATTCAGTTAGGTACGCTCGTTCCTGGCGAGGCGTTCGTAGACTAGGGTATTATTGTCCCTATTATATCCGTACCTATGTGCCTAGGCACCTAGGTAGGTATGGTACCTAGGTAGGTAGGTAGGGAGGTATGTACCGACATGGAGGTAGATAGGTACCTACCTATGTACACTGAAGCGGCGAAAGAAAACGACGGGAGAGATGGAAAGATTCCAGCAGAACACGCTTATTTATCAACACGACACAAACCTTGTGGGAGAACCCACAAATGATTTCATTCACACCGTCTCGTTGTTCTTGTGGCTTTGCACTTGCTGGACGAGAAATTCCTGACATTTCCTTACACAGAGGTCCTGCTCCTCCAGAGACAAACAAACAGCACTACCTTCCTCGCACATCATACCAACAGCCAGTTCGATAGCTACTTCCACGTCTTCCATACTCTCGTAGTTTGAGTGCCAGCAAGACGAGACGACATGGCCAAGGACGGCGTCATCTCCAGTTGGTGGGAACTTCCCCCGGACGAGGGCCGCATACATATTCTTGAACCCCTCAGGGGTCTCCCACTGGCCATACGGCACCTCTCCAGTCCGGATTGTGTAAATGCAGGAGCCGATGGCGAATTGTTCGTGCGAGGGGCCGGCGACTACATTCCTACCCGGGCGATAGAAAGGGTATGTTGCTACTTCAACCTTGCGCCCCCGCATTTGAGCCCGCCCAAAGTCGCAAATCTTGACGTGCTCAGTTTCGTCCAACAGAATATTTTCTGGTCGCAGGTCGCCGTGGAAGTAGTCAATACTTTCTAGCCACGACGTAGCGCTTGCGATTTCCTTGATCCAGCGGAATTGCCGTTCCTCCGGAATGGGAGCGGCGAATCGACGGCTAAGTCGCCTCTCTAGATTGTCAGGCTCAAACTTCATGAAAATGGCGATATCCGTAGATAAAAAATACTGGACGACGTTCGGGTGCGGGGGGTTGTTGGCGAGTGCTTCGTATAACGTTCGCTCCCGTCGTAATATTTCTTGGTTTTCAGCCGCCCTAGCCTCTTCGCTTGCGGTGCTGTTGACGATGCGGTGTGCAATCTTCACGACAATCCCGGTGTCGGCGAGTCGAAATATGTGGCCATATCCGCCGCGATTAAGGTAAACTGTCCCGCGGAAGGGATTGAAAAGCTTCCGTTGCGCTGATTGCCGTACATTTACCATTATAGATCTCGGACGCGTGAAAAAAACCTAGACAAATATTGTGGATTGCCGCCGCCCGATCTTGCTGATACACGCAACTTCCGTTGGCCGGTCAGAACATACGCGATTCGGCCTGGAAGCAGTGACGAAGATCCCGTCAGCCTCTATCCCGGTTTCGGATGGAAGTATTGATGCAAGTCACAACTTACTTCGTTGCACTTGTTTCCTCCAAAAGTGCCTGTCACCAAGACCTTGAGTCTTCTTGGGTCTTGGCCGGGCGGAATTGAGAGGTAGGGGGTGAGAGCGGAGAAGGGGACGGGGCAGCCTGCCGTTTTATCTGCAGAGCCAATCCATCCAGAGCCCTGAAAGACATCCAACAGCAGGCCAGCTGTCCGTCCTTCCGTAGTTGGACAGAGCCGAATGCAAGTCGTTCCCCGGCCGGCGAGGCAGCGACCCCGCACGCAGTCCGGTGTCACCATGGTAAATCAGAATGAACCGCCGTAGAGCCTCATGCCTCGAACGGAGCATTCCGCGTCGTGGTTCCAGAACCTCCTCGATCTCGGGATATTTCAACGTATGACGTGCGCCTGTCCTTGATGCTGATGCGTAAAGATGCAATGCTCAAATTTCACTGCGGCAGGAACTTCAGCTCCTTACAGGTAAATTCTCTCAAATACCTCCGAGCCTACCCAGCGTCAGACACCGATGCCAGCGCCCTTCGATCCATCTTCCCTGCGTTTATAACGCCCGCCAGGCCGTCTACCGCGCAAGAAGAGACCGATTAGGACAATCCTAGGAACCTTCATTTCCGTTCAGAGTGGACGAGTAAGAGCGAGAAGCTTTGTCTCAGTTACTGCTAACGGAGAAACTCGCCGGTCTTCCCCCCTACACCGAAGCGTTGGTTGTAATATGGGAAGAGAGAAGGAAAACAAGGCATCTGCCATTGACAACCTAGCAGGCTAACGGCCGATCTGTCTTATCGTGGGCGGGGACACCCGCTGAAAGAGTTGAGACAAAGAGCTCCCTGGCCGTGGACCACGCCCGGGAAGGCAAAAAGGAGGAGATCTAGGGGAAAGGATAATCAGTTTAGAAAGGGTGCTTTTCCTGTGAACAGCATAGAATCATCGAACACCCGGGCAGCTTGACATTGTTGGAAACGACGGCCTCGAAGCAACACACCATCGACACACGAATTATGAAGGTCATGCATTCTTGAACTACCAGCCGACATGTATTTGGCTGATTAGAGTTACGCTAGTCCAGCAATCCCAAGCGAATCGCGCTGGCGGGAGCCTCAAAAAGGAATGGGGTGAGTGGTCCGTGTCGTCGAGCGTATCAATTTCTAGCGAACGGTAATAGTTGGGATACGAAAGACGCCTTCTGAACCACAGAGACTTGTGCCCAATGCGCTTTGGAAAGGCAAGGCATGGCTGACGTGTTCCATCGCTAAGCACCAACCTTGCCCTCGAGGCGCTGGAAACCGCCAGCCTGGGCGATGTCCTTCTGCAGCGCCGCCATCCTCTTCTGGTCACCAGTCGGGTCCTTGGAGTCAGCCTCGAGCGTCCACTCGAGAAACTCGTTGGTGTAGTTGGGCTCGAAGGACGCATCCAGCACGCCCAGACGCTTGCCGTACTTGGTGACCTTCTCCCAGTCGCGCTTGACGTTCTTCAGGTCGCGGGAGAAGTAGGCAAAGCTGCGCTCGAAGATCTTGCGGTTTAGCGCCGAGCCCATGACGGGCTTGAAGTCGACGTACTCGGCCCAGGCCTTCTCGGGCTCGGTGAGGACGAAGTCGGTGGCGCGCTTGACGGCGCGCAGGAAGGCGCGCACCTTGTCCGGGTTCTCGGTGATGAACTGCTCGTTGCCGATGTACAGGATGGAGCAGAAGCAGCAGCAGCCCAGCTCGGCCAGCTCGTCGATGCGCAACATCTGCACGTCCGTCTTGGGCCGGCCTTGGGCCACGAGCCACTCCTCGAGCTCGACCATCTGGACGTTCTCGAGGCCGATGCCGGCGTCGATGCTGCCCTCGATGATGGCCTTGGACACGTTCATGCCGCAGCGGATGGCCGTGTAGTCCGAGGGGGACATGCCGTAGTGCGAGGTCAGCTCGTCGATCTGGATCTTGCCGAACTCGCCAACGTAGCCGATGCGCTTGCCCTTGAGCGTGCGGAAGTCGGTGGTGATGCCCGAAGACTTGAGGTACACCACGCCGGTGAAGGGCTCGTCGAGAAGGCTTCCAATGGACAGGACTGGGAAGTCGCGGGCTTTGGCCTGCCTGGGGGGTCAGCAAGTTACAGGCCTAAAGGATCTCCCCTGAACGTACGGCAAGGGTGTGGATCATGGCTTTGAAACCAAGGTCAACCTTTCCGGTGCCAATGATCTCAGTCACATCCTACGGAAAGGTCAGTTGGAGCCGGTATGGAAGTGTGTCGTTTTATGCTCACACTAGGGTCGTTGGGCTCAAGCAGGGCAACCTTGATGCCTTCATCCTTGAAATAGCCCTTGGCCTGGGCCAGGTAGAGCGGAGCGTGGTACGGCGTAGCGTGCCTGGACCTGTGTTAATGGTGGACACAATGCGGTATAACTGCCTATCGTCAATCAATTCCAATGCGTACCAGTTGGTCAAGAAGGTGATCTTATCAGTCGACATCTTGACAGATCAAAGCGCTACATTGAGTTAGTACTCAACTCACGTGTGCCCAGCCAGGCACTTGGGGGGGTGGGGAGGCTAAGAAGCATGTCCTTTCGCTGGTATTATCCAGATCAAGTTCGACCGGTATTTCTCAGAACAACAACATGCTGTGGCGTCCTCAACTCACCTCTCCCTGTTGTGACGCAGGGAGAGGTGAGGAGAGGGGAGACCACAGCATGCTGTCGAACACCCGGCTGCTTCATTAACTGAAGTTACCTTGATCTTGTAGATATCTTCCCTGCGACAGGCGCCATTGCTTCTGCCAGGGCATCGTACAATGCTTGGGTCGATTGTTGGTGTTGGGTTTCGTTGGTGGCAAAGTGTGAGGGGTGGAGCGAGGAGTCGAGGAGAGGAAAAGGAGGAGAAGGCGGGAATAGAGGTTAATATAACGTTAGAATTATCCTTACTCCGCTCAGTGCACCCGCACCCCGCCCCCACGCATCCGCAACCGCGTCCAAGGCCAGCAATATCTGTCAATGTTTGCTCCACCCTCTGATGCGGTCATGCATGAGGTATTGCGTTCGTGACCTATAGGAGGTCGGTTGCTGATGCATTCAACCCTTCTTGAGGGGTGGTATGACAGGGACCCCGCGGCAATAACCAAAGGAAGCCATCCATGATGGAAGTGAGGGGATGAGGCAAAAGTGAGCGCCATTGTGTGACAGCAAGGGGCACTCGGCGACGAGGTTGGGATCCCATCCGGTGAGGTTTCAACACACGAGACGAGCAGCTCGGATATCTTTTGACTAGCGTCCTTGGGAAAAACTAAGGTACACGACATCTGTGGGCATAAACCCTTCACTTGCGGGCCCATCATGGCATCACCTCGGACCTCATTGTCATCGGTAACCTCGATTCGGCCGCTTCACCTGCCTTGCATCGGAACAGTAAGGCAGCGTTTATGACCGCCAAAGTGACCGGGTCGGTATGGAACATGGAAACGAGGCAATCATCCTTTGCTCGCCCGCAAATGTCTCTCTGTCCATCCCGTCGCCTTCACCTTCTTCGGTTATTGACGGTCGATGCTGGTTTGGCGATCCTGGCTTGGCTAGCTGCCGGTATCGGAGGATACAAGAACTTAACAGTTCAATGGTAAGACTTCGTAATTATTGTGAAGGGAGCGAGGATCAGGATCTGATAAACTTCTCTTCTGAGAACCTGGAAATCAGCCGAGAGCGAGAAGGACTTCACTGGTATTTGATTGGGAATGCGCAAGACGAAGCGCGTTCCCGAGTTTCGGACATTGAGCGCCAAGAAAGAAGATCGGCCGATCTGAGTTGGTGGGGAAGAAAGAAACTGCCAAGCTTTTGACCGGAGGCTCGGAAACCCCCACACTCCAAATCCCAACTTTCAGGATAAACCGATAAAGTTGAGGTGCCTAATGAAGTTGGAGGTATTGAGCCAGGAGATAACAGGGAAATTGTGGTTTAATCTTTGGTTTGTGGGTACAATGTATGTTGCCACCACTACCGAGCACGGTGAAATTTAGGTAGGTGTTGGTTGGTTACTGGGAAAGCAGCTTGTTCAAGGGAAGAGAGATCACCACGATCATTGGCAACTCCCAAACTGCCCTTGTGATGATGAAGGGTTAGGGCTGCTATCGTGCGCCCTGCCCCAACCGTTGAGGGGCCGGCGCTCTTGCCCAGTAAATTTACGTGTTTCCTTCTCACTGTCTCCGAATGAACCGGTTGAGTTGTCCCACTCCTGCAAGAGCTGATGGAAGGAGAAACTTGAAAACGGGGTAACCATGGTCAACTCACGTGTCAGTACACCACTTCTGCGGGCGCTCACTCGATGCACAACCCCTCAACAACGATTCCCGTCGTCGCCGATTTTCGCAACCACACCCCGGCACTCAAGCCTTTTCTCCTCATCATCCTCCGCCGCCCACAACAACACCACCAACTCCAACAACACACCTCCCAACTCTAAGCCCAACCCCAACTCCAACCAGAGCAACAACGGCTGGCGCGTAATGGCCGAGAAGGACATTACCAACTACCTGCGCGAGACGCACGACCGCGTGTTTGAGCACAACCGATGCTGGGCGGAGGAGAAGCGGGCTAGCGACCCGGACTTCTTCGTCAAGCTGTCGGCGGGCCAGAGCCCGGACTACCTATGGATCGGGTGCAGCGACTCGCGGATCCCGGCGGAGCAGATCACGGGCATGGAGCCCGGGCACGCCTTCGTGCACCGCAACATCGCCAACCTGGTGTGCAACACGGACCTCAACGTCATGAGCGTCATCACGTACGCGGTCGAGCACCTCAAGGTCAAGCACATCGTCGTGTGCGGCCACTACGGCTGCGGCGGCGTTCAGGCGGCTATGACCGCCAAGAACCTCGGCCTGCTGAACCCGTGGCTGCGTAACATCCGCGACGTCTACCGCCTGCACGAGAAGGAGCTCGACGCCATCGAGGACAAGGAGGCCCGCTACAACCGCCTGGTCGAGCTCAACGTCGAGGAGCAGGCCCGCAACGTCATCAAGACGGCCTCGGTGCAGCAGTCCTACGCTGAGAACCGCTTCCCCGTCGTGCACGGCTGGGTGTTTGGCTTCAAGGACGGCTTGCTGAAGGACCTCAAGATTGATTTTGAGGGGACTCTAAAGAACATTCAGAAAATTTATAACCTGACGGAGTAATGGTAGGGAGGTTTGAGGAGCGGAAGCATGTCACTTAACCTTGGACCACGTTTCGGGTTGAACTAGCCTGCGCGGTGTTTGGTGTTGATTGTTGTTTCGGTCCCTTGACGACTAGGTAGTTCCAATATTCAAGGCGGCGGGTTGAGCTTTATGTTCCCCAATGATTCTTGATACAATACGAGATAGGCCTTAACGGGCCTTACTGATCCCGTCCGAGGAACAGCTAATAGCTGGAGTGGGGACAGCTGAGCTTGGCCAGCAAACAACGCTGACGTGAGAACGGTCTTTTCAGCCAAAGCTCGCCTTGCCCGTCTCAAAGTTGCAATTCAATGCCAGGATCGCTTTTGGCGGAGAAGGGTGAACAGTGGGTTGGGCATCGTGGCATCCAACACAGCTTTAATCAAGCCCCATTGCTCAGCCAATTTCCTCTTTTTGTCTTCAGAAGTTCAGCCCCATATCTCACTCCCTGGTTTGCGTCAGAGAGTGCTTGGGTCGTTGCCAAGGTGTGACTGACGAGACTGAGCAATGCCCTTTCGAGGTTAGCAACCACCACATCAACGGGCTGGGCCGGGGCGAACGAGCCGGACCACCCCAATTGTCGGTGCCTGGAACGGAATTTTTGCCCTCCCAAATTCCGACGGAAATCGAGGACCAAAGACCAATGGCATCACGGTTCAGTGACAAGCCGCCCTCATGGCACTGCAGGGGAGATGGTGTGGGGAGCAGGGGTTAAAATTGGAACCCGAGCCAATCTGAGCTGGGCTTGGCCTCATCCCGGCCACCTCATCTCGGTCCATTCAGGGTCTCATCGAAGGCACGGCAGGGGCGACAGGTTGGTGTCGGTTGGTGTTGGTTGGGGCTCGTCAGAGAAGGATGAAAAAGGCTCGCCATGGCCAACACAATGCAACCCGGGTTCGGGTCCAGCTTGCAACCTTCAAGTTCTCTTCAAAAAGTCGATTTCTGCCTGTGATGTCGACCATCACGCCGATTTGAAACTTCCCCTGCCACTCGACGCGGTCTCCTCACACTCCTTCCTTCCGCAAATACTTGACATTTTCTTCATCTTAAATTTTTTTTTTTGTGATTCGAGTTAGTTTGTGATATTGGAAAATGGTACTCGGGTTTCCCACGGCCTTGCTGGCTGCATTTTCCGCACTTGTTGTCTCTCCGGCCGCCGTCCGGGCTGCGGACCTGGAGAGTGCGCTTGCCGGGCAGGCAAACCTCACAACATTTCGCGGTCTGGTTAAGGTGAGCATTTTGGGTCTGTACGTGTACTCATTGTAGGCGACTGACAACGGAAGAACCACACCGATATCTTTGCAAACTTAGCCAAGGGTGTGACCATTGCTGCGCCGAACGACAATGCCTTCATGAAACTGGGCAACTGGAACACATACAACGAGAGTACCGTAGCGGCAACTCTGAAATATCACATTCTCAAGCAAATCATCGATATGCCTTCTATCATCAAGGGTGACTCGGTTTGGGCTTCGACGTCATTAACTGATGAGAACTTCAAGGTAACGGGCGGCCAGCGTCTCATTCTCACCAAACAGCCCGGCGGCGAGGTCGTTTTCACCTCTGGGTTCGCCACCCGCGGCACCGTCCTGACAGAAGACCTCCCATTCGACAATGGCCTCGTCCAAGTCATCGACTCGGTCATGCGCGTTCCCGAGACGCTCGAGTCGACCGCACGCAGCGCCTACACCGACTTGACGGCCTTCGTCGGCGCTCTCTACGCCACCGGCCTGATGAGCGAGGTCGCCCAGCAGAAAGACGTGACCATCTTCGCCCCGCGCAACGCCGCCTTCCAGCAGCTGGCTGGCGCGTTCGCCGACATGGACGATGAGACGCTGAAGCGCATCCTGCGCTACCACATCGTGCCGGGCCAGCTCTCGCACGTGTGGGAGCTCAAGAACTCGAGCTCGCTCGCCTCGGCGGACAAGGGCAACAAGGTGTCCATCACGCGCCACACCAACTTCATCTACGTCAACTCGGCCGAGGTCATCCAGGCCGACATCCTCATCTCCAACGGGCTGGTCCACATGATCGACAACGTCCTCAGCCCGGACAAGGCCGGCGCGCGCCCGGACGTCACCCTCACCACCGCGCAGTCGCCCGTGTTTACCCCCGTCGGCGCCACCGCCACGGGTACCGGCGAGCCCACGCCGTTTGCCTCGGACTTGCCGTGCACGGCGAGCTGTCCGGCGGCGCGGCCGACAGGTCGCCTGAATGGGGCGGGGACGGGGGAGGGAGACGTGGAGCGTCCGAGCTCGAGCAACGCCGGTGTTGCGCTTCCGAGGTGCACCGGACTCGCGGGGGCTGGCGTTGGGATCGGGCTGGCGGTGGGCGCTGTGATGGTTGGGTTATGAGATTGGATGTAATCTGTGATGTCTGTTTTATGAGATGAATCTGGGTAACGGTACCGCAGCACACGCCCGTGATATTGTTCATGCTCGCTCACCCACTCCTCGGTATATGTTCCAGTTGCGATTTTCGGCCGTAACCGCTATGGATTGTTTCAACCTGAGTCGAATGGTGACAGGTGGGCCTGAAACTGGAAGCCTGCGCATTTATCTACCGTGTGGATGGCGGTTGTGCGTCTATCACCTGTCGGGGAACATGGGATATGCAGCCCAGTCCTCGCGTGGTAGAAGACTGGCAATACGCGGCTAGAGAGACTCACGTATGCAGAGTCCTTCAAATTAGCAACGAGCGAGTAAGCATGATAATAACTCTTCAACATGCGGCTGGTCTCTTACGGTTGCGCGAGAAGTTGTGTCGCACCATGACATTGCGGTTTCCGTCTCACTTAGGACCCTCAACCCCTATTCATGCGAACCCAGGGAGTAACGAGGTTTTCTCCGCCCTCTCGACCTTCTTTTTGCAATCGTAGATGAAGTTTGGCTACGATTTGGCTAATCTGACCTTTCGGGAACTACAGTAGGGCCCATCTACCGAGTCAGCTCATCATCACTCCTCGGTACCCCTCGTCATCTGAAGGTCAAGGCAACACACCCCCGCTTGCCTGTACCTCGGAAGGTTGCTTCATAAAGTGTTCAGTGAATGTTCAATGAGTGTTCCTTGTAGTTTGCTTTTGCACCGTTCCATCCGACACTGACCAAGACAGCGCGCACAGCTCCCGATTCGCACGCTATTAACCAGCCACGCTGACGACTTTCGTTTCCCAAAAGAAACCACACATCCATCTACTACTATTTTGCTCAAGCAGCAGCGATCTGGCTTTCACCCTCAACACTACCTACCACAAAAAGTCGTTAACGAACCCAACAAAAATGGCAAGCGCTCCGTTGTCCTGGGCCCATCCCACGCATCACCTTCCATTCTCCTCTCGACCAACCCCCCTCTTTTCTTGGGTACAAGTCCTCGTCGGATTCATTGCTCTCTCATCGCTCTTCGACACCTCGCTCGCAGCACCCACAACAGCACCCCACTTTTCGAACAACTTGAACGCTGTCCTCCCGCCGCGGAATATCCTCATCGATGCCGTCATAATCACCCCAACCCACGACACCACCACCACCACCACCAACAACAACAACCACCCCCAAAACACAGCAAGAACAAACCGCCCCACCACTCACAACATCACCCCCAGAACCGACCCCGACCCCAGTCCCGACCCCAACTCCCAAATCGATCCCAACCCCAACCCCCTCGACGATACCATCCCCCAACACAAGAAAATACCACCGCCCTTCCCCGCCAACATGTACGACACGCCCGAGCACGCCATCGCGTCGGGCGCGTTTCTGGGCATGCTGGGGACCTGCGTGTTGTGGGCGATGCGGCTCTTCGGCGGGGTTTGTTGGCGGGGAGTGCGGGATGCTTGGGCTGTGACGGGAGGGTTTGAAGGCGGAGGGTTGCCGGGGAGGGTTGGGGGCGTTGGTTTGGGTAGGTAATTAGGGAGGGGTGAAGGGTTGAGGGGTGATATAGGCATTGGGATAGGGGAGTGGGGGATGGGGACCTTGGTCGGGGGGCGTTTCGGGTGCTTGGGTTTCGGGGGTGTTGTGGTGTGGCGGAGGTGTGAAGAGATGGACAGGACTTGTTGGGGTTGTTTGACCGACTACGGTAATCAGACGGGCTTGACAAGTACATAATCGCAACTACAACTGCGACCTTCGATGGCCAAATGCCAGCGGGGACTTCGAATGTTTTGAGAGAGACTTCCCGCCTCTTCGGAGCCGTATTTTGTTTATTTCGTTTCCCCTCGCATTCCCATCGCTACCTCCTTTCTTCATCCCCAACCGTATACCCCCTCGCAACACCACTCCTTCCTTCCTCAATGGCAGTACTCGCCTCCTCTGCGTAATCACTTCCCAGTCCCTGCCATGTCCGTTGCGCTCGTAGATATTCAGCCCCAGGACTGACGACTCCGTTAACCGTGGCTAGTTCAGCCTTGGGCCGCAGTGTCAGCGCGCTGCTCGATTTAGTCTCCGCGCCAGCAACACCCCCTTCGTCCTTGGTCTTCCCATTCAACCTCGCAACCCCATTCCTCATCGGCCGGCTATGACTAACCAACTTCCCCGTCCTCAGGTCAAACTCCGGCGGCGCCGACTCTTCCTCATCGCCATCCTCATCAACTCCAACCTCAACCCCATTCCCTACCCCATCACCCTCCGGCATCCTATCCTCTCCTTCCAACTCCCCCAATCCCGCACCCTCCGCAACACCCTCAATACCCCCCCACCACTCCCCACTCCAAACCCTCTTCTCATCCCCCACCAGCGCCACCCCCAGCTCGAACGGCGTGACAACCGGTCGATAAAACCCCGCATCATCCTCCACCAGCGCGCTCTCCCAGCAGCCGACCACAACCCACCCATCCACCTCCGCAAAATTAGCCAGCTTCGCGGGGTTGAGCTTGCCGACCACCACCGTGTAGCTCTTCTTCCCCGCCGCCGCGATCTGCCGGCGGATGGCGTCGACCGAGGACAGGTAGTTGGTGACCGATAGCGTGTTGACCAGGATGCCGATGATACCCGCCGATGCGAGGGTCAGGAGGCGCGCGTAGCGGCGGCCGAGGAGGCGGGGGGTGGAGAATTGCGGGGTGTGGAGGGCTTGCGGGGAGTCGGGGGTCGGGTGGATGTGGAGGGCGGCGACGCGCGAGGAGAGGGCGAGGAGGAGGGCGGTCGGGGGTTGGGAGATGTGGAAGATGGAGTGGGATTTGAGGTCGTCGGCTGAGAGGCTGATGGGGGAGGGGGCGGCTGCTGCTTGGGGGGTGACGAGTTTGCGGTTGGGGATGAGGCCGGTTGGGTCGTGGACGATGGCTGTGGAGAGGAGGTTCGTGTACCCGCGGGCGTGGAGTTCGTAGGCGAGGGAGGGGACGTGGTCTTGGTATGTTACGTCGGCCATGAGGACGGCCGCGGTGTCTTTGTCAGGGTACTGCTTCTCGAAAGCGGCCAGGGCTTCGTCTCGGTCGAGGTTATGGTGGGTGAAGACGTAGATGACAGGGAGCCGAGAGGTCGGTGAGAGGCATGAGCGGCCGTAGTGTACCACGACCTCGGCATCGGCGTGTTCGGCTGCGATCTCATCGACGCAGCACGCGCTGTAGGAGGTGTCGGCGAGTATGGTTATCTTCTCGGCGGTCTTAGGTGCATCTGCCGGTTTGGGTAGAGAGTCGAGCTCGGTATTTAAGGCTTGGACTACCCGTGGCCCATCGCGCAACATGTGGTCGGGAAACTGCAGGGCTACTCTCTTCCACTCGCCCTGTCGCACTTCCCTTGCCGTCCGCTCGATCTCGTAAAGTTCGTGGAGCTCATCGTCGGATCTCGGCGGTAACTGCGAGTCTGTTTCTGGAGTTGCAACGGCGTACTCGAAACCCTGTTCGGCCGGCGTCGAAAGAACGGGCGCCGCTGAGAGTTCGGCTGCCATTGTGATGTTGGTGGGGGTTTGGGAGGTGCGCGGCGCTCAGCACGCTTCGGCCGAAAATTTTGGCGGGGTCATCCGAATTCAAATTGCCCCGCGATGTGGGTGACGTCGGGTAACAGTGGGCCCAGCAGGGGCACGGCGAGCAGGCGGGGAGAGGCAAGGCAGGTGAGATCCGGCCGCAGGTCTCCAGACCAGTCCGAGAGACGGCAGGCCAAAGGGGGCAGTGCAATGCTTAATGAGACCGTCCAAGACTCAGAGTGTACCATACACAATAAAGAAAGGAACCGTTGATGCAAGCTTCGTTATCAAAACTTTTATTTCTTTTTTTACCCCGCTTCGTTCCTCCTTTTCTTTTGTGGAATCAGCCCGGTTTCCAAGTCTCGCTCCCGCTATTAAAATGTTATCCAAGGACTCTCACCCGCTACCCAGGGTATCGAAATCTATCTACCCATATCGTAACGCACCGTTTGGATGCTCTAGAAAATCTTCCGAGGGCTCCATCCAATGGCCAGCACGCGGGCGGTGGTGTAGCACCCTAGCGCAACGACATACGCGACGCCCGCGAAGATGATTAGGTTCCTCCAGGCCTCATCCGATGATCCGGAATCCAAAATTGCGCCGCCGATTGGGACACTGCTGAGGGTCCCAAAACTCGCAACCATCATGGCGGTCGAGAAGAGGCGGCCATACTGGCGGTGATCACACAGCTGCCCTAGGCAGACGGGCACCAGGCCTAGGTTACTCCCGCTCGCGAATCCAAAGAGCACGGCGTACACAATTAACACAGCTTCCGATGTCCCCGCGGGTAACCATAACGCCAGGACCGTGATGACGCACAGTGCGATGGTCACGATGATAACGTTGAACCGCCCGAAACGGTCGGCGAGAACCCCAGGAAGTAGTCGCCCCAGTACGGACCCGGCATTCAGGTACGACAGAAGCAGGTAACTCTCCGTTGCATCTTGGCCATTGGCCGCAGCGAATGAAACGATGTATGTAAGAGGGATGAACAGGCCCCACTCCATAAAGAAGATGCCAATCGAGGCAAACGCGAAGCGGGCGTCCTTAAAGACAGTGAAATCAGGCCAGACAGACTGCACCTTGGGCCGGCCATCAGGACCCCTGGCGGGCGGCAACCTCGTCTTGATAAAGAGATTGGACGGGATCGCCAGACCGAGCATGATGAAGGCCAGAATGCGGCAGCTCCAGCCAAACCCGACACTGGGTAGCAGCTCTCGGAGCAATATGGGGAATATCACGCCGCCGACGCCGCCGGCGGTTGATGCGATCCCCGTAGCCAGCCCGCGGCGAGCGTTGAAGAAGTGCGCGATGGCCCCGTAAGCTGGGCTGTTCAACATCGCACCTCCCAACCCGCCCATCACCGAGTACGTAAGGATAATCTGGTAATACTCTGTGTCCCTGTTAACCATCAACCGTAAAACAAGACAGACCGCATTGACCCAAACCGGGGGGGGGGGTAAATAACAAACCATAAAAACCAGAAAAAAGAAAAAAAAAGAACATACCGTCGCACCAGCTCAGCAGCAACAAACTCAGAAAGATCAACGCGCCGCCCACAGCGACCGGCACGCGCGCGCCAAAGCGGTCAAAGAAGGGCCCGACCTGGATGCCGACGAAGAAGACGATGAACAGGTACAGGCTGAAGATCCAGCCGATCTCGGACGCCGTCTTGTGGGCCAGCTGGTGCGTCGAGAAGTACGACTCGAACACGGCCGCCGAGTTGATCAGCCCGAACAGCGACAGCATCGCGCAGAAGGACCCCAGCACCACCAGCCAGCCCGTCAGCCCGCCCTCGGGGAAGTCGATCGTCGTCGCCGCCGACGGGTGCAGCGTCAGGGCTGCCGCGGTGGGCAGGTCGGCGTCGTCGAAAGGGGGGCCGTCCTTTTCGTTGGGGATGGCGGCGGTGCCGTATTGGCATCTGGTGGTGGTGGTGGTGGTGTCATTGTGGGCGGCTTCGATGTCATTGGCGGTGTGGGCGGGGATGGTGTCACTGGAGCTGGACGGGGGTGATTGCTTTTCGGGGTTGGGGAACGAGAGCGTGGACGAGTCGGTTGTGGCGTAGCTAACGTCGCTAGCTGGGCAGGCGTTCCCTGCCTGGACAGTATCGCTTTTTCCCGTCATTCTCTCGTGTTCACGATAATCGGCGATAACGGGCAGCAGGGGAAGCCAGCGAGTGGGTTCCAGTTGGTTCGGCAATGCTGGGTTTGGGCACTTACTCCGGCTCGGAGACGCTGATAAACTTATCTGGGATGAATTGGAGACAGACCCCGGTACTGCTTGGTAGTGGCACGCTTTTCTTCACCAATTGGCCCAAAACTATGGTTCTCAGTGAGGATAAAGATAAAAGAAATGATTGAACGGTTTTGAGTTGGAGGAAAACTTTCAGTTCTTTTTGCCTGCCGTGACCAGAAAAATTCTCCGTGGGTCGGTCTCATTCTCCACCTTCCCCCAAAGTCAAAAAGCAACCAAACAAACCAGCATGCAGATCCATCCTCCTCCCGACCCGGTAACCGCTTGTGCTGTATCGCTTTTTTGCGCGCCGCATCTAAGTCCTACTGAAATGGGGTGTGACGGTATGACGGAACATGAAATCGCCGTATTCAACTTACAATCGCGCAAAGTCCGGCTTCCCGTGTCTCAACCCGTTGCGTGAGACACGGAGAACTTGCACCGGAGACCGCCACCTCACCCGGGTCTTGGCTCCCGACAGCCGATACTAGCCTGTCAAGGCCCGGGTTCTCCTCCTCTCTACACGTTATTCCCGGTTCGTTTTTGTGCCGATAAACGCGAGGAAGAATTTTCCAAGACGAGATGGCTTAGTTAGGGTCTTGTGACCCCCAATGCCTTGTTGATTCCGAAGAGTCGCACTCATCGGGGTGCTTACAGCTCCACATGGATCGATCCGCTCCCATGTCTCGGGACTTGTGCAGCGTCAGTCTCACCGGCACGCCGTCTACAGGGGCTGGGTACCTTACCTAGTAATCCGCATGTCCGACTTCGTAATGCTTGTGCTTCGTAACGAGGTGACTGATGCGGGGTGAATTGAAGATGACAGGCAACAATCCATTCGGCACTTCGTGGTCTCTCACACAAGCCGTCTCGTGCTAGCCAATCATCGAGGGTGTCAATCGGGAAGAAAAATGGTGTGACGGCATGTACCGTGGCAACAGAAATCGTAACACAAGACCCGACCTCTAGGAGCAACAATCGTGCGGTTCAAGTTTTGAGGGCGAGGTACCAGTTACCAGGTTTTAATGGAAATGTGGAAATGAATACGATGCTGACCCCGGAACTATAGTCTACATGTGCCGTGTGCCTACCTCTCTTCCCATATCAAGTTGATTCCCATGGGATCCAGTTGTGTTTGTGTCTCGACCTTCAGAATATTACCCCTGGCCGATGACGACGGTGGAAACGGTGTGACGTTCCTCTGCCAGCTTTGCAACTGGAACCGAATCACGCACAAATGTAAGTTGTGCAAGCAAGTGTCTTAAGTACTCCCACCCTAAAGCTCTCCGTCTGTGGTTTCCAGTCACTACCTACCTGGTAAACATTAAGCAACCAACCTACTCGTAGGAACAAGGCAGGAGACGATGAACTTCGCATACCTAGGTAACTAGATCTGAAAACCCCCTCCGGAAATATTAACCCTTACGACACTGACTAATAGCGCAGCGAATGCGACTTGAACACAATGCTATTTGTAGCGTCGCTGTCAACTCTTGCGAAAGTGCCTTGGCGCAAGAAGATTCCGCGACTCAAAGAGTACCAAGGGCCCGGATAGATTGCGATTGGACAAGTCGGGCGGCCATGGTCCGGCGCTTTACCGGGGATTCCAGCCCAACTCTCCCTGCCAGCCGACACTGAACCGGGTGAATGTTGCAGCACGACCGCCAAGCGGAGCGCATATGATGGACCCCCGCTCCTTGCGTGCCATCCAGTGCCATCCAGTGTCATTGTTTAATATCCTTGATTCCCGCCCCCTTTCATGACGGGGAACGGTGGTGTCGGGACCATGGCTCGAGCATGGCGACCGGGGCATGGGAAAGAGCATATAAATTGCATGTACCCGGTAGATGGGCCATTCACAATGGGGTAACATTCGAATCATCGTCATAAGAGGGCCCTTCCCGCTCCTCGCAGTATGGATAGTGCCGAACCGCGAATTGTATGTTGTGGAATGTGAAGCCCAGCTCCAGTGTCAGACCGTTGACTTCCTATCGAATCCTAGGACCAGAGCCTAGATTTCCCAAGGACACACCGACTAGATACACAAGAGTGCCATACACCAAAGTCTAGAGCTAGAGCCATGGGCCACATCAGCACGCTCGCGGGCGTCGTCGCCCTGACGTCCCTTTTTGCCCACCAGGTTGCCGCTCAATCCTGCCCCGGCGTTACCGGTCGGTTCCAGCCGAAGATGGGCTCCGGATACCGGTACAGCGTGCTCGCAACCGGCCTTCGCAACCCCCGGCACATCGCGGTGGACTCGGCGGGCAACTTGTTGGTGACTGAGGGAGCGACCCAGGGCGTCAGACGGCTTGTCTTACAGGACCAGGGTGACATTGTGTGCGTCCAGTCCAACACCCAAATCATCACCGGATCGGTAAGCCAAACCCGGGTCTACCGACCACTGATGAATAAACTGACGGACACAAAACGCCTAGACAAACCACGGGATTGCGCTCAGCGCCGATGGCAAGACGCTCTTCACCTCCAACCTTGCGAGCGTGACGGCATACTCCTATGATGCCAGCACCGGCCAGGTCGGACAAGGCAAGCAAATCGTAACGGGAATGGCCTTCCAGGGAACGCACCCGACCCGGGCCATTGCCACGTCCAAATGGAACCCCGACACAATCCTGGTGGCGCGTGGATCCCAGGCCAACATCGACACCAGCACCACTAACCAGGATTCCGCGCGTAGCATGATCAAGTCTTTCAGTATTAGCCAGGGAACCCAGAGCGCCCACAACTACAACACGGCCGGCGAGGTTATCGGCTGGGGCCTCCGCAACATTGTCGGCATGACCGAGGATGCCAACTTTGGCGGCTTTGTGCGTGCCCTTTTTCAGAGAAGGAGCAAAGAACTGTGTGGATAGCAGGTACTAACTCGGCAAAGTGGTCCGTCGAGAACCAGATGGACGACGTGCGGCTCAACGGGCGTGACATCCACAACGACAACCCGGCTGAGCGGCTGAGCTACCACGGGGTGCTCAACGCGACCGACAACCGATACAAGGGCCTCAACTACGGCTACCCGTCGTGCGTCCCCGCGTGGGACCCCCAGGGCGTCGGCATCAACGGCCTGCTGGTCGGCGGCCTGTTCAAGCCCGACAACGTGCCGAGCGTGAGCGCCGACGAGTGCGCCAACAACCGCATGACCGGCCGCCTGCACTTCCACGCCCACACCGCCCCGCTCGACATCAAGTTCAACCAGAACAGCACCGCCGCCTACATTGCCTTCCACGGCAGCTGGTATGCCCCCCCGTGCCCCGTACCCCTCCCGAGTTCCATGCCAGTTACTAACATGAACACCTCCCCCGTAAAAGGAACCGCAACCCGGCCAACGGCTACCGCGTCATGCGCGTCGACTTCAAGGACGGCCAGCCCGTCCATCACGTCACCAGCACCACCGCCCAGATCCCCGTCATGGAGAACACCAACATCGGCGCCTGCCCCAACAACTGCTTCCGCCCCGTGGGTCTTGACTTTGACGCCAAGGGCCGCCTGTTCGTGTCGAGTGACACGTCGGGGGAGATATACGTCATCTATGGTGCTTGAAGTGGAGGGTGGGCTGTGCTGAGGGATGGATTAGGCCTACAGTGAGGTATACAGGGGAGGTGTAGAGTGTAGAGTGGGACGCCGGTACCTTGTGCATCTGGCTCCCTTGGTTACACTATCATTTGCTAGGTCAGTCATTAGATCATCTACTTATGTGAAGAGTGGCTTCGGTACAAGGGGAAAGATTCTAAGGCCAATGGAGGAACGCATTCGCGTGGAACTTACATCGCCGATGAACAGAGTCCCGCAGTATGTCTTAATAGTCCCGCTGACAAGGTATTCACCTGTGACGGTCATTCAGCAGAGTCCAAGAATTACCCACATGATGGGATAAAACCATGGAATACCAAGGAGGAAGTAGATAACAGTACCCTTGGTGGTAGAGTTATAACATCCGGGACCACACATGTTCCCGTACGAACCGCACTTCAAATGGCTGCTGTATCATCCTAATCAAGACGTCAGCTGTCATTTGTCTTCCAGCGGCTAAGGTGAAAACGGGTAGAACCGGTAGAGCCCTCATCATATATATAATATATTCACTCACAGTCAAACCAACCAGCCGCCCATGCCGACCCAAGGAGCTTGAAGTCGCACTGTTTGCGCGCACGGCAACCCACACCGATTCCATGTCGCAAATTAACCGTTCAACAACAACAACAACAACAACAACAACAACAACAACAACAACAACAACAACAACCAGCCGCCTCAACCATCTCCATCACCAACAAGAATACTTCCTTGTCCCCCAACCTCACGCCACGAGTTTTGCTCATTCAGTTCCCTCCCACTTTCCGACAAGAAACATGGCTCAGAATCGCGCCTCCTGGCCGCTCTGGGCTCAGTTCGTCCTGCGCGCGGCCTCAGTGGTGCTTCTCTTGGTCGGTCTAGGCTACCTGGCATACGGTAGCGCGAGATTCGGTAGCCATTTTGTCGCTGGTTATGTGGTGGTAAGTATCTGTCGCATATCCCATTTTCCAGAATGCTAACGACGCTCCATATAGGATGTCCTTTTATTAGGTACTCTTCAACCTCGCCGTCTTAACCAGGGTCTGCACCTTGATCTTCGGCAGCTCATCAGACATCGGTCGTCCCGAGCTCGGATGCACGTCTTTCGCCGACATTATCGGAATCCTCTTGGCGATAATCGGCGGCATGGTCACCATGTTCCTGTACGGCCAGAATCGCGAATGCGGCGACGATAACTGCGACACTCTCCGCTCCTACCCGGCGGGTTCGGCCCAAGGCACGGTTGCTTATTTGTTATATACTGTTTCGTACGTCCCAACCCTTCGGTCTTCTTAAGCACACCCATTGATCCATTGACAGGGGCCTCGCTTTTTTCTCGGCCATAAATGGCCTCATTCACTGTTGTATGAAAAGGGAACGTCAAAGCTCGCAACACGTCGCCTGATAATACGTCTCCGGGGGTGGTTTTCTGCATGCACATGTGCTGCTGTTGATTCGTACGGAGCGCTTGTTGAGGGCCACCAAGGGCTTAATCCTTCGCATTCCCATTCTTTCCTCCTCGTCCGACCCGTATAAAATATATCCCATTTCACAGAGGCGCAGTGCATCACTAGCATATCATCAACGTCGCATCCGTCTGTTGCTGATACATTAGGTACATTTTCCTGTTTGCGAAAGAGGTGAATAGTCAGTTGCCAGGTCGATATTCGTGCCGTCTAATTTCTACCTAGAATAGGTAACCATACTCTAACAGACCAGGAGACACTAGCCAACAGCTGACAAGTCAACCGCTTCCAAACCTACCTACCCGACCCTTTCTATCGCCCTCAGAGATAGATGTAGCAGAACGGCGAGCCACCGACGGTGTCCATCAAGTCTCCGAGCCGGATAGGCGGCGCAAGAGGCGAGATATCAATAACGTCGTCAAGCGTGACGTTCGGGCTCGGGGGGAAGTCGAGGAAAGTCTGGGTCCCAAACACGTCCTAGATACGACAACGTTAGCTTGCATCCCACCTCGTCACCTGCAGAGGGAAAAAAAAAAGGAAAAACTCACCTTGCGGTTCTCAAGATCGAGCATCTGCCAAATCCAGTAAACGCGATCAATCTGCGAGTGGTGCACAAAAAACGCCGGATCCCCCGACGAAATAAACGGATCCGCGCCCGGGTCACCACCAATCGTAAAGTGGCCACCACCATGCACGCCCAGCTCACCACGTACATAGCGCGGGTCGCCCTGCATGACGCCCTGAAACCGCGCGATGTCGGCGTTCTCGAGGATCAGCGTCGTCGTGTTGCGGAAGCTGGTGTACCGACTAGCCACGCCCGCGTTCAGGTCGCGCTTGAGGCAGCGCGCGTTGCCGTCGCCCAGCGGGTCCGCCGAGCTGGTCGCGTCGGTCGTGCCGTACTGGGCCAGCGCCACGGGTCCGATGTGCACCGTCATGTTGGCGAACGGGCCCGTCGTCACGCAGCCGCCGCCGGAACCCGCGGGGAGCGGGATGAGGGCGGCGGGGTTGAGGGGTTCGGTGAGGATGAGCCCTTCGTGCGGGACGTAGTCGCCGTTGCCGCCGAGGGAGGTCTCCGATCCGTCGAATACCGGGGATGAGGCAGGGTCGTGGGCGCTCAGGCCCCATTCCCAGTAGGGCACTGTGCCGGTGTAGCCGCACTCGGTCCGGAGCTTCTCCTCGTACACCCAGGTGTAGTAGCGGTGCCACGTTAGGAAGATACCCTGTAACTTGTGTTAGCAAGAGGGGGAATCGGAGGCCAGCTGGGTTGGGAGACGAACCGAGAGATGGATGTTCATGGTCTGCATGAGATGGATGGCCACGAAATCGTCAAAGAGGGATTTGGCGCCGGGGGCGGTGGCTGGGTCGAGAGTGCTGGGCTTCGTGCGAAGGCACTGGACGGCCGCGATGTACTCCTTGCGCTGGTCTACGGACAGAGACCCCCTAAATTCCACCAGTGAGCTACCGCTCCTGAACACATAGGGTAGCTCGCAGACTCACCATTCTCTGCGGATCCTCAACTTGCCTGGCGTGCAAGGATTGGCGGCGGCGCGGGGAGATTTGCAGCGGAACTTCGGGTCCAGGTTCTTGTGAGCGAGCTCGCCCAACGCGCTGAGAGCTTCACCGTTCTCGATCTGCGCGGCAGTGAAGTCGGACAGCTTGGGCAGCTTGGCCGGAACCGACGCGCCGAGGACAGAGGCGAGGAGGGCGCACACCACCAGCCCGGATTGCTTAAGGGCCACCATAGTCAACGACGTGAAAAGAAACGTAAAGAGTGACAAACCAAGTGAGAGCGGCTTGACCGAAGAAGCAGACACGCGAACGACGGTCGACGGTTTCCTTATATACGCCGGAGACAACCGAGTTCGAGAACCAACAACATCCTGCGATGCAACACAAGTTAGCCGGTTGCCGGCCGAGATCTTAGTGGAATCATTCCATCTTTGGGTGGCATACGAATAGCATGGCTAACACGAGTTAGTGTCGGTTCGGTCGGACCGTTGGTGCAGGGCTTGGGCGGGCTTGGACGGTTGCAACCCCGGCACAAGGCAAATTACTCTGCGGCTGCTCCCTTGTCATGTTGGGCTGAAGAGGTCTTGAGCGGGAAGGCGAAAGAGACAACGAAATGACATTTGGTGGGCGCTTCAATAACACCGTCGGAAGAGGGCTAATACGGCTTGAAGTACTCCGTACGTTACGGGCTAAATCTGACAAGCCGCTTCTTGTTTCATAACACCCACACCACACTGGTGCGGTCCTAGATGTGGCTTGGTTCACTGTTTGTGATCTGCCAGCGTTGAGAGCACGCTCAGAGCCGGAGCATAGGAGATTTTCAACAAGGGGGACATCGCCAATGCAGAAAGGGACGTACCATTTCCTGACGCGGCTCGGAGAGGTCACAATCCGTGTTCGATAGCGCTGGAATCTTGCTGTCCGAGCGGTACGCCAATGCATGCAGGACGGTGGCAAAGTAAGCAGGGGGTTCCAACGAGGATGGGACGCGCGTGGTGAGACCACCATGTCAGCAAAGATCCAGGCTTGCCTCCCGGGTAACCGGATCTTGATTAAAATCTCCGACAAATGGGCTGAGTTCTTCTTGATGAATTGGTCGAGGTGCATGATGAATATTGGGAATATTGGGTGAAGAGAAAGTTCTCGACGAAGTCTCGACAACCTTGTTTCTCTGGTAGCGCAGCTGCAGATGCAGACAGGGGTTGATGCGAGATGAAGAAGGGATGCTGCAGTGCTGGGACCGCTAATAATATTAACTCGGACAGGAAGAGTCCAAGCGAAGAAAAAACATCCCTCGAAGAGGAGACGTTGTTCTTTGAAGAGAACCAAAACCGCAGTCCGTCCCCATATTATTCCCCCTCCAGGCCCTTACACACAAACCCAGAGCATCACCCCCCTCACTCCTTATTCCGCAACAAAGTGTGCCCCAAAGCAGGAATCTCGAAGCCCTTGGCCTTGCCGTCCTTGCCCAGCTCAAAGATGAGCATATCCGTGGGATAGTTGCCAAAGCGAATGCGATCGCCCTCGGCCCACGACCCGCAGTCCTCGATGGGCAGCTTGCCCTCCAGCCCGGCCACACCGCGGAACGCCATCTTCTTGCTGTCGCCCTCGCCCGACTCCAGGCCGACGGGGTAGTACCACATGCGCATGTCCCCCTCAAACCCGTCTAGCTGGTGCGTGTTCTCGCGCAGCAGCGCCATGACGTCGGTGCCGTTGCTGACCAGCGACATGAGCGCGATGGCCGGCTCGTCCGGCAGCAGCGCGATCTCGGCCGTCGAGAAGGTCGACGGGTCCTCGGGGTCCCCGAGCGTGTAGGTGCCCACCAGGTTGGCCAGCGCCTGGTCGCGCGCGGCCTGCTCCGCGGCGGGGAGCCAGATGTCCATGAAGAGCTGGCGAATGGCCAGGAAGGACGGGCTCGTCACGAGGCCCGCCGTGCAGATGGAAATGCCGATCTCGTGGTCGGGCGACATGCCCAGCAGGCTGGTGTACTCGCCGCCGCCGCCCTGCTTGGTGTAGACGTCGGCGATGCGGTTCCGCGTCGTCTCGGGCGTGGTGCTGACCGGGACCCGCTGCCGCATGATCTCCCACGGGCTGCCCATGGAGAAGTAGGGGGTGGAGGCGTGCGTGACGGGCCGGAGCCACCTACGGGTGGTGAATTCCGGGATCAGGGTGGAGTTGAGGATGGAGCGGCCGATGGCTGTGAGCTCGGTGAGGGAGGAGTAGTATCCACCCATGCTGCGAGGTAGGTTAGTATATCTGGGAACTACCTTACCCAGTTGTGGGGGAGGGGACCTTACGGGGCCAAGTCGCCAAAATCGAGGTTCCAGCCGACGTATTCCTTGACGGCGTCTTCGATGTCGCCCGGGTACTTGACAAAGAAACGGTCCAGTCCCAGGGGCTCAACGAGTTGCTCAACTATCAAATCCGGGAACGCCGTTCCTGTGATGTTCTCGACAGCGTAGGCGAGGAGCTGGAACGCCATGTTGGAGTAGTTTGGTGTGCGGTAGGATTTGGCGAGGGGATAGGTCCGTAGCACATTGGCCATGGCCTGTTCCCTAGTGCAGGGCGGGTACGGGGGGAAGTTACACTTGATAATTTCAGACTCATCCAGTGTGCGAAGACCAGGCACCTCGGTCATGGTGGCAGAGACGTCAGTCCAAGCATCTAGGGCGGCAAATTATCAGCAACGTTCCAGCTAAAAGATTGGGATATAACCGTACAGTCCCTGGAAATCCCACTGATCTGGCTCGCCAGGGATCCAATCGTGACCTCAGACCAATCCACGTCCCGGATGGGATCATGGGACTTCTGGTTCGCAAGCTCGGGGATGAATTTCGTCACAGGTTCGTGCCAGTAATCAAACCCCAACTTCGAGATCACCGTGTACACGGTTATAGCCTTGGAAATGCTGTGGACCGGGAAGACCGTGTCGGGACCGACAGTGATGGACAGATTCTGCCCCGGGGCGTGGTTGAAGTGGCGATGAATGCTGCCCTTCTCTTTCGACAGCGAAGAATAGACCTCGATGGCAAAGAACACATTGTCCTTGTCTATGTCGGGATGCGCCGCGATGGCTTCGTCAAACTTTGCCTTTGCGGCAACAAACGCTGGGGCGGCTACATCAGTCGGCGAAGGGTACGCAGGTCCGAGAAGGGGGCAGTTTTGAGCCTGGCAAACGGTGCCCGCAAACCCGAAGGCGAGGACAATTTGGGAGATCGTAGGCCTCATGGTGAAGGGGAATCCTTTACGGATAGATCATAGAGGGAGGAGGATGGTGAGTACAAACTTGAAGGCGACGTTCGGACCCTTCGGCTACTTTTATACTTTACCGACCTACCTAGTGTACATAGAAATCTCCCCGGGATTTGACTAGGGACGGTGGTTTAACCGTAGTATGATGCAATGACAACCCACTTCGTCAGTGTGCGGCCCGTGAGCCCGTCCAATGAAGAACCGAGTAAGCCTTGAGTTACGCCGGAGGATCGGCCCTGCAGGTACTGTACAGAAGTCCAAAAAGGGCCGCTGGCCAAGGCCCGAGGATTTGGTCGGGTAAAGGAGGGGTTGAGGTACAGATGGAGAAAGAACCGTGCAGGGGCGGGACGCGGAATGGGCGGACATCCGGACTCGAAGGGCTCGTAGGGCTCGCAGGGAGGCACGAGGGTCCTGATTCCTGAAATAGGGAATAACTTCGCAATGCTGAAGAACACAACCCGGAATCAGGGACAAGATCGGCACCGAGGTAGCCTTGGCACAATTACAAACATCCCGTGGGGAGCGATGCATCGTTTTGTTCCCCCTGCCTGGCCGCCCTGATGTGATTGGTAACCTTCCTGGTGGATATGGAGAACAGAACAGGCAACCATGGGAGCGGGAAACCCTCGCTTACTGTGGAAGATGCGACGCGAGCATCATGTTCTGTCTGAACACACAAGACTGTAACTACACAGTAGTGCGCGATAGTCGGCTTCAAAGTCGAGGCATACTATGTCCGATATGGAATCCCCCTTTGCGTATACCCCGTTGGACCAGCCAACCGAGCAGATCCGGCTCCTCACCATCCACCCCGGCTTACCAGAATCCCCTCTCCATTGCACAATCACCGTGGTGTCGCTGAAGCGCAAACCGCCGTACGTGGCCATCTCGTACACATGGGGTCCTCCCACCCCAACCGCCACCATCACCATCGATCAGAAACCGATGACCGTCCGCCAGGGATGCCACGATGCGCTCCGCACCATGCGCTCTCACCATAGCAACGTACCCGTGTGGATCGACGCCATCTGTATCAACCAAGGCGACATGCACGAGAAGAGCTCCCAGGTCGGCATGATGGGGACCATCTACCACGGCGCCAAATCCGTCGCGGCCTGCTTGGAGTGCGGCGACAGTCTCGCCACAATGCGGAACCTGTACCCCCTAATCCCGAGGACGGTTGATGCCAGCCAAGCGCAGGACGAAGTCTTTGAGCGCTGGCAGGCTGCCGTCCACGCCATATTGGCCAACCCGTACTTCACCCGTATGTGGATCGTACAAGAGATCGGGCTCGCGCGGGAGTTGCGCCTGTACAGTGGCGAGGACGTTCTGGACTGGTCGGAGCTCGAGAGGCAGGCGTATGACTGGCGGGGCAAGATGAAGTCGCTCAAGCGCTACCCTCCTGGTCCGGATCTCGAGCGCGCGCTGAAGGAACTGTCCGACACTCGGACAGGGATGGGAACGCACAAGTGGTATGCCCGCCAGAAGCAGAACCAGACGGTCACGCTCACGGGGCTGATGTCTCAGCACCTGACACGGGCATGCGAGAACCCGAGAGATAGAATGTACGCCATGTTGCCGATGCTGGGGCACGCGGGTGGCTTCGACTCGCATCATATGCAACCAGCCTATGATGAGTCGGAGTTTCACCTGCTTTGGACATATGTGTGCAGGATCCGGTTTCCCGGCCAGCCCGAGCTGCGAAAGAATTCGATATCCACGGGCTTCGAGCTGTGGACAGGCCTCAAGACGTTCGAAAAGCTAGTTGAGTGCTTCAAGATCCCGGCCGTCACGATCAGGGGCTTTTTCGAGGTTCGTATGGCGGACCAATATATCATGAGGAGTGCGAGCATCCCCGCTCCATCGACCGCCATCGAGACGCACTTTCTAGGCTACGCCATGCGTATTAGCTGCCCCGATAGCAGTGCGTATGCCGGCCTGGTTGGGGACAACGCCGCCCTCTCGAGCCTACCCCAACCAAGCCGCCACTTTCTGGCGGTCTGGCCGGGTCTTCCAACCGCTGCTTTTACCCTCGGGCCCCGGTGCATGTGCATATCCGAAAGCCCAGAGGAATTCAAAATTGACGGTTATTACCCGTTTCCAGCTGAAATCGAGGCCCTCCAGCGCCTTCCAGAGCGGTGTGATTGCAGTTCTTCCTCTTGTCCCGCAAAGCGCTCCAAGCGTGAAATCTGTAAGCTTGAGCCTCACAACACCACAAACCCCGCCTCCCCTTCAGTCCTAACCTTTTTCTTTTGCTGTCAGACGTGCATCCGCAGGACCTCCTCGCGATGGCCTTCCACATCCAAAGGTCTCCAAGCGATCCCATACCCTGCTTCACGACCGGACACACCCGGTCCTTCATCCGGATGTCGGAACCGAGGGAGCAGCAACAAAAGCCAGGAGTCGTAGCTCCCTGGGCGGTGTCGGGTATGCTGCCAGCGGGTCTGAGGAGCGCCCTGGGTTGGTGAGACCGTCCCGAGTCAACCCACCCCGACCCACCCCGAGCATACCGCATGGTCATGACATAGGTAACCTCTCCCGCCTACTACCACCTCCCCCCACCACCAACACCGCCACCAACACCACCACCCCCCATCGACACCCCACCACCCCCCATCGACACCCCACCCCCTGCCAACGCCCCCCCGGACCCCGTCCCCAGCTCCCCATACCCCATCCCCGCATCCAGCTCCACCGGCCCGCGCACCGTCGCCCCCAGCTCGTGCCTCACCATGCCCGGGTTGGTGTCGCCGAGCAGTTCGGTGCGGGCCGAGGACGTGCTGTGGAGTTCCTTGGGGTCCGTGTCAAATTGTGGGTGCGGGGGGGATTGCTGCTGCTGTTGTTTGCGGCGGCGGTGGCGGCGGAGGAAGAAGATTATCGCTGCTGCTGTTAGGGCTAGGGCGAGGACGCCGGCTGTGACGCCGGCTGCTATGGCGGGGGTGTTGATTGTGGGGGAGTTGGTTGGGGAGTTGGTTGGGGAGTTGGTTGGGGAGTTGGTTGGGGAGTTGGTTGGGGAGTTGGTTTGGGTGTTGTTGTTGTTGGTGTTGTTGTTGTTGTTGTTGTTGTTGTTGTTGCTGGCGCCGTTGTCGGCGTTGTCAGCGTTGCTATTCACGTTGTTGCTGGTGGTGCGGCTGTCGTCGGTAGTTGTTGCCGACGGGCGAGAAGTAGAAGCAGGTCCGGCTGCTGTGTCGGAGCGAAGGAGGATGGTGGTTTGAAGCAGAGTCATGGCCACGTCGTCGGCATTCCTGATGGGGAGAGCGGTCGGGTCCTCGCCGCAATTCCAGCACCTGTCGGGTTCGATCGATGTGGGTGCCGTCAGCGTCCCCATACACCAACCGCCCACGCCGGGAGCAAACGACAGAAGCGTCTCGGCGTAGCTGAGTCCGCTGGGGCAGCAAACAACCGCGGTCTCGTCAGGAGCCAGGGACGGAAGGACCAGATCAGGGTCCCTACCCGTCGTGCCGCCGAAAATATTCTCGCTTGCCCATCCCGAAGGACATACTAAGCCGGGTCGGAAATAGGCCCTGATAATGGGTTGGCTACCGGCGTCTGGATAGCAACCGTCGGCGTTGAAGTACTCGGGCCCGACAAGTGCGAGGCTGCTACTGGACGTCGAGAAGATCTTGGTACACGAAGCGGGGGGCGTGAAGGTGGTCGTGAGGGCGCCGACTTCCTTCCAGCCATCTGCATCCTCGACGGTCGTTACTACTACCTTGGTGATTCGTGACATCTGGATGGTGGGCACTGATGGGTGTAAGTGGGACTCGGAAGAGATGCTAACTTTGTTAACTCATGGTGTGGAGAGGGAAGCGGCTGGGAGAATAGGCGGGCCTTGCTTGTGATACAGATTAATTGAAGTGCTTGCTGCAAATGCAAGGACCCAGGGGTTATCACTGTTTCACACTGCGACACTTCCAGTTTGTCCCCGGGTTCTCATCCTTCATCCTTCTGGCTGTGCCACGTCGGGGCATGGGTTAGGTGTGCAGGTAAATTAAGCATTGGCATGAATGGGATGCACAAGGGTTGCAATGGAAGTGGGGGCCGAAAGAGAGGACGCGACTTGTTCCCTGTACATCTATCCATGATAGGAATTTGAAGGTTTTTGAGATGGTGATGAATGATGAAAGTCCAGTTTGGAGTGTTGAAGAGAAGAACCCCGCCCATCACTCGCAGCTCCAGGCTTGTGCCTTTCAATAATCAGCAGAGCGAAAGAAAGAAAGTTTGTTTGTGTTTTTCCTTGTATCGGCAACGGCGTGTTACGCAAGCATTCTGTCGTCGCCCGATCGAGCTGGCCCCCACCAGGCCCAGTCCAACTCTTGCCGATAGGATTCAGCCTCTCAGGAGAGCTACTTCTAGATTGAACGCCCCGCACGAGCATGGCCATGACCACCACCAGCGCTACCACTGCGACGTTCCACCCATTCCCCCGCCTCCCAGTCGAGCTCCGCGCGCGCATCTGGGAGCTGACGGTCGAGCCCCGCATCGTCGAGGTGCGCGTCGTCTACCACGACCCGAGCCCCGTCAAGGTGACCGACCCCGACTCGTGGACACCCGAGTGGATGAAAAAGCGTCTGCCGCCGGTGCGCCACCTGCGCTCGCCCACCCCGGTCCCGGCCCAGCTGCAAACCTGCCGTGCGGCCCGCGAGCACCTGAGCAGGCACCCCCATGATGGTGGATACCAGAAAGCCTTTTCCGACATCGCGACGACACCCTACGACGGCTTCGACCCCGTGCCCGAGGATGACCCGCAGGGCGAGCGGGACCGCTACGTCTGGCTCAACTTGGACATCGACATGGTCTCGGTCGGGCAGACGGAACTGCGCGATTTCCGGGCTGTGGCCCGCCAGGTCCGCCGGCTGCGGCTCGAGCGGTCCATGGGCTGCGAGGTGTTTTCCCACACCGAGTCGAAGCTGATTGGCCGCTTGTTCGCCAACCTCACCGAGGTTCACCTGATCTGTCGTGGCTGGGGTATGAGGTCGGCCTACAGGGTGACCGACGACATCGACTTTCCCTGCGGGCCCGAGAATGTGTATTTTGTGGACCCAGAAGCGATGGGCGGTAAGATGATGAACAGCGTCGATCTGGATGCCATGATGGACATGGAGTGCAAGGAGTTTGACGAGCTAGAAGAAGAGGGTTGAAAAGAGATTCTGACAGCTGTTGGTGGTGGTACTGCTGCTGCTATAAAGGAGAACTACTTGGCTTGGTTACATTTCTCTATGCAAACGATCCACCCTGAACTGGTACGAGGAGAGGAACAAGTTGAAGTAAGGTACACAGCACAACTCCATTTCATCAGAATACATAAGGATGCACTGAATGCTGCCGATGTCAAATAGTCATGTCTTCCTTCATACATTAGAGCCTCAGGGAACCAGTTGAGACTAAGACAATCAACTCTACCATCTATACTCCGAGACCAGTAATGTGCACGCACAGAGCAGCTGCGGTAAGATGGTCGCTCAACATCATGGAAATTGGTTGATCAGTACCTCCGGCAACGGTTGGTCCGGTCACTGATAGTCTTGTACAACCTGAGCACCTGCCAGTGTTCCCTGGCCTGGACGTTGGGGGCGCGGCCGCGATAGTAGGTGTTGAGCCAGTTGCGGACGCTCTCTAGGTCTTCAGGAATGGGTACCGGTCGATAAAGCGCCTCAACCAGCATTTACCGAGGGTACCTAGTTGGGTCCCTACAGTTTCAAAGAATTCGTTGGGCCAGCTCCTTAATTTGCAAATAGGTAGGAGAAAGGCCGGTCGCCTCCTGGTTGCGAGCCTACTCGGCCAAACGGTCCTCCTAGGCCCTGGAAAGTTTTTACAAATATTCGAAGGCTACTGCACGTACGTGGTTGTTGGCCGTTTTTCCGGTTGATGAGAGTCGACCTCGGTATAGCCCATTCTCTGGCCACCTTAGCCAACGGACGGCCATTTTGGATCTGCAAAAGAGCCTGAAAGATCTGATCTTCAGTATATGAGGCCGTTGTTAACAAAAGATTCAAAATACCAAATTATAAGTATAGAGGATTAGAATTGACAAAGTTGTTATTGTTTGAAATAGTTGGGTTACGTTGGGTGTTCATGTGGGGGAGGTGTCCGAAAGTGGGGTGTGTCCGAAAGTCGGTACCTTGGGGTCCCGACTTCACGTAACTTAAAGGTCGAAAACCAAAGCCGATTCCGCCATAATAGGTGGGTGGGTAGGTACCTTATCCAAATTGGCCCAGAATATTGAATCCCAACACTCCCGACATTGCCAGTTTTGCAGCCAAAGCGCCCACTATTTATCAACCAGGCTCTCAACTCTCAACAGGTACCTAAACATCATGGCGCATGGTGGCTTTAACTTCGTTGGCCTTTCGATCCCAATAATCACCTCCGGCTATTACGACGTCGTGTCGGATGACGACGACGACGACGATGACCAGAACATAAGTCCATATGGCCTCGGGCCCAAGAAATGCGCCGTGTGTGCGAAACAGGGCCCCGCGCCCTTGATTGTGTGCAGCAGTTGCAAGGTCGTCTTTTACTGCGGCACCGCCCACCAAGCAATTGACCAACCTCAGCACAGCTCCCCCTGTTCCGCCATCAAGAGGACCCGCGAGAAGCTACATGGCAAAGATGAAGCATTTCGAGCCGGATATTGCGATTCACGCCACTACATGAAGGCGATATTCGCTACCGCACACGCCCTCCTCAAAATCGACACCGTGCCTGCCATGGAGCAAGCCCTCGCCCACTTCAGCGACGTGCTTCGTTTCGACGGGGGCGACAAGCTGGGTGTGGAGAACATTGTCCCTGGCCTTCTGCTCCGTCTCGGGCGTGAGCAGGAATGCTACGACTTTCTCAAGGGATGGGCCCTGATGGACTACACCGGCATCCGCGGGGCTGACGCTTTCGAGCCCATCGACCTGTTCTTCTCGCGGGAAGATCTAAGCCTCAGCCATCTCGCAATTCTCACCCTTCTGAAGCTGCGTCTATATCTCGACCTCGAACAGGTTGGTCGGTCTGACTACCACAATGATGAAGACGAACTGTTTGGGCGACCTCTGGGAAGCCTTGTTCGAGCACGAATGCGATCCCGCCGAAACGTGTCGGCAACCGCTGCGGTGGTGGAACGTCAGTATCGCAAGCTCTGTCAAGTGGTGGACGATGTTAATCCGTACTTTTGGGAAGCTTTGGTTGATGGAGATATTCCGCCTCTGCCGGATTCTTGCCGCTTTGGGACCGTTGAGGAGGCGCATCTGGCTGTACATCAATGCCGAGCGGCCTGGCACGAAAGCGAGGATGCCATCGTCATGGCTGGCTCGGATACCGCGCAGTTCACGTCAGTTTACGGGGGTCGACTTGCTGGTGCGGGTGCCGGGGCGGGTGACCCGCACTGGCAGGGCGACGAAGCATTGAAGAGAGCAAACAACTTGCCGAAGGACCGGGCTACCGGAGACGTCTTTCCATCTAAGTTCCAGCCACCGCTGCCGACATCGCACCCGACCAACCTCTTCCCACCCACTCCCACAGGCCCTCAGCAGACCTTGCGGTTCGTCGGCCGAAACGACCAAACAACAGCTCTTGTGTACACCGACGGCGCTTGCGCAAACAATGGACAGACGAACCCTCGCGGGGGCTGGGCGATGGTGTTGGGTCCGGCTTATGGTGGCGAGGGTTCCATCGTGTCCGGCCGACTCGAGGAGACGGGCCCGTTTGACGACAGCCAAGATTGTGTGGCGACGAGCAACCGGGCCGAGCTGCGCGCGGCCATCGCTGCGCTACGCCTCCGGGCTTGGGAGAAGGAGGGCCTGTGCAGCATCGTTATTGCAACCGACTCATCTTATGTGGTCGAAGGCGCCACCGACTGGGTAAGGGCCTGGGTGCGCAACGGGTGGAGGACGCGCAAGGGCGGACACGTCAAGAACAGGGATCTTTGGGACCTCTTGTTGGGAGAGGTGGAAAGATGGGTTGCCCAAGGTGGGCGTGTGGCGTTTTGGAAAATCCCAAGGGAGCTCAACGGCAATGCCGACGGAGCTGCAAAAGCGGCTGCCCACGGCAGACCATCTGTGATGGCGTTTACCGATCCTGTCGAATCCGACGCACAACCCTCTGCTCTCCTACTCTACCTGGAGCACGAGTCTCTCTTCGACACTGTTCATGGACACCTAGCTACTCGTATCGCTGCGAAGGCTAAGATGGAAGGGGCCACGACCGTAGAGGCCGCCCTTGCCATCCTCGGCAGACGGGCCCCACCGTCGATTATCCTCGTCGCCGATGGAGCTATAACCAGGCACCGGAAGGTCTGTGAGGCCGTTATGGACTGTCTCCGTGGTGGCTCCACTGTTGTTCTGGCTGGCTGTTTCAGCAGCATGGTGAGCAGTGGCGAGTTCAATCGTTTCTTTGCCAGGATTGGACTCCCCTGGCAACAGGGATTGTACGAACGGAAGATGGTCGACCTTGGCCGCAATGTTGTTCATGCCCGCCTAGCGAGCCGGCTGCCCTCTACATACAGCCAAAAGGCCGTATTTGTGAAGAAAGTGGCGCCATCAGCGGCATGGTACACCCTAAGCGGATCATCTGGTCAGACGGCTATGGCATTCGCACAGGTTGGTCTGGGTAGGCTTGGCTATGTTGGGGATGTGAATGGTGAGGATGTCTCGGATATGGTGGTCCTGGCCATGTGCGGACTGCTGGGCTAATCAGTGTCGTCATCCTAGGGGATTGACTTCATATATTAACTACTGGCATTATCTCTATCTAAACCATTATTCATACCAACTACGTAAACTACACACCCATGACAGGTAGAGCTGAGAATGCTCGGGACTAGAGGAAGGCCGTCAACGAAATAGAGCACTTGCACATGCGATATGCGAGCGAGGATAGGTATTTGGTTGATAAATTGGATGGGCACGACATGATTCATAAATGCTAGGTAACTGGCATGAGAGAATATCCTTTTCAAAACAATAAAGCTTTGAAGTCAAGCTCGCCGCAACTTGAAGCGTGGTCATCTGTGATTCGTTCGTTTGCCCGCTCATGTCGAGGTATCCTCCGTGCCTACCAGGCAAGCCAACATTGAGGGTACTTCGCTCGGCGGGGGGCCTCGCTTCGCAAAACCAACCAATGAAAACGCTCGTTTATGCGCCTACCATGGGGAGGGGGTGGATGGGTCCGGGGACATCAGCTAGTTTTCTTACGAAAACCACCAGGCAGCCGGGGGGAGAAGGGGGGGGGGGGTGGGTTCGGAGACATAAGCTAGGTAGTTTCCTTATTTCTTACGAAAACCATAAGCTACCTAGTTTTCTTACGAAAACCAAACAACAGCTGCACGCAGTCAAGGAACCTCTCGAACTTCCACTCTACCTTAGTCTCTTAATCACCAACATTTTGTAACCCCTCGGACCAAACACAAGCTACGCTATTCACTCTCGCAGACTTCTACATGACACCATTTCCCGTATTCATTTTTAGCTGCTGCCCAACTCGCCACTCCAATGCCGACCGAGTTAACGGTTCTCGAGAGTCTCGGTCGCGCCGGGGTGGAGCAAGAGCAAGCACGGATCCTTCGTCGGATGAAAGAAGATTTAAAGTTTTATCCAAACTGGTTCCTTGACCAAGCAGACTTTGAAGGTTTGGGGGTCATCATCGGCCCCGGGCTCGATGTCGACGAGACCATTGGGGATTTTAGCAGCACGAGATTCTTTCGGCCATGGGTGCCAGACGAAGTCGTCAAAGAGGCTGCTGATGTGGCAGAATCAACCTGGATGGACAAGTTGGCAGCCTGGGCATCTCAAAGCCCGTTGGTTTGAGGGATGTCTCAAAACACTCCACGATAGGGAACCGGCGCTCTGGGATCCTTGGAAGTGATTATCACCTACCTATGTAACACTCCTTTTGCTAAAGCGGCCACCGTGTACTAACATATCCCCGCAAGGGTCGATCCACGGTTCATCCGCGAAGGAACCGGACTCGACCTTCCCTTCCACGACTTCGAGTTCACATACCCGTACATCGAGAAAATGTACATATCGGAGTGTGCCTACTTCCCCGTCGACAGCTCCATACCCCACGTTGCCTGCCTAGTCCTCGATTCGATAGAGGCTACAATCACAGGCGACCGGGTCCTCCGGAGCGACCTAGACTTCGCCATCGCGATGGTGTTGTGGCGGCTCACCCAAGGCCGGCACACCAACCACCACACCAAACCAGTACGCCCCCTCTCTCCCATCCCAACCGCCCATCCCAACCGCCCATCCCAACCCCCTTTCCTCCCCGTCCATCCCACAACCCAAACTAACCCCCCCAACACCAAGGCCCTCATCTACACCCTCGAGCGTGACCAGCACGCACGCATCACGCAGGCGCACTTCGACGGCAAGCGCAACAAGCTAGTCCTACGCCAGTCGCGCCACCTCGACCTGTCTGGGCCGGAGCCGACCCCGGACGCCTTTTTGCTGCTGCGCTGGATCGCTTGCCGGCCGGCTGGTGAGACCGAGTACGCCGATGAGGAGGATGCGAGCGAGGATGAGGGTGGGCGGGGGGAGCGCTCGCCGGGGGTGGGGCCGGAGTTGTTGTCGGGGTGTGCGTGATGGATATTTGGCCTGGGGGGGAGGTTGGTTTGGTTTGGGGTGGGTTGTGGCTTTTGTGCTTGGAGGAGTTGGATGGCGGTATGTTTGGATTTGATTTGCGCTTCAAGTTGTGTTAGTATGTGGCTGGGACTTGGACAGCGGCAAGAAGCTCGCTTCAGAGATTGTATGAAGCCCTGACTCAGACGGGAAAGGGGCTAAGATAGGAGAGTTTTGAGATCGGTCTTGGACTTGCGGGGCCTACGAGGCTGCGAACTTCAGGTTGGAAGTGTAAAAACATCTAAAAAAAGATTTCAATACACTGTTTCTGCGGGCTCTATTACCTATTATTGGAATTGTTTGCTGCGCAGATTGTTGAGGGGATCGTGATCTGCAGCTTCCCGCCAGGGGCTTTCGGTTAGTGACATTATTTGCGCAAGACCTGAGTCTCTCCAGATTGTTTGTTCTGGCTCGATTGGCGGTTCTTATATTGGCATCCCTACAGCCGGAGACTGCCAGGAAACCTCCACCAGCGCGGAATGGTGACATGGGTGATGCCTTTGAGGGATGTCATTCACTCTATCCGCCGTGGGATGGAATACAGACACTCCTTTCTCACAACCCCAGCCCGGGAGACCGTCTATGTTCCTATGCCATGGATAACAAAAACTCCTTTCTCACCACTTCGGGGGTACGACGAGGATCTGTCTATACTTGGTATGGCAAAGATCACAAACGCCCTTTCTCACAACTTCAGGGGCTGTCTGCCTTCATACGGCATGGATAATAAGTGCTTTGGATTATTCTCTAGGTAGTCTATAAAACCCTACGCTCCGAACCCTCGATGAAGTGGCATCTATGTTTGACAAACACGAGTAACGTCTAGCTCTAACAAACGATATCCACCTCAGTACAACTCCAGTTACGTTCCAAAATACTCCGTACCATCACATCTCACGCAGTCCCCACCGCAACCAGTAAGTGGCCCATGCAGCCAACCGGCCTCCCACGATTACTCGTCACCCCTAACCTGATTTGCAGTGGGTGTCTTCATTCCTTCCCCACCGGTCGACGAAAACAAGTGCAGCACGTGTGGCATGAACTTCACGGGTGCTACTAAGAAGTGCCAGTGCTGGTCTGATAGTTAGCCGGAAAGTTTGATGCGTGGCATCTATTTTTGGCAGTGGGACAATGTCGGGGCGGAAGTCGGACATGGGTTAGGTAGCTAGGTAGCCAAGGGTAGTTATGCTATTCTTGAATACCGCCACAGGGACAAACGGAACGTGTTTGAAGTACTTGTGCCTTGGTACATCCGTGGCCAACACAGCCAATGGTTATAAAGGGACGTTGCCCTTCCTATATTCGACCCCGCATCCTCAAGCCTTTCCTTTCGTCTCTGAACATCATCATACTTGGTGGTTAAGGGGAACTCACCAGTCTCGCGTTTTCCACACATCACTTCGTTACCGCACAGGCAGACCACAAAGGTAGAACATACGAACCTAGGAGTTCCAGTCATGGCCGACGACAAGGATATTCTGCCGGATCAGCGGATCCTCTCCGAGATCTTCCCCGATGTCCCCAACATCACTACCGACCTCTGCACGGTCATCTCCAACACCTTCGACACGTGCACCTTCCGGCTCCAGCTTCCCACCGAACCACGGCCAGGCTTCCCCGCAGACCTGCTTATCCGGCTAGAGACATCCGGAAGTCATCTCTCGGCCGTAGCTAAATTGCAACATCTGGCGCACCTCCAGATCCCCCATCTCGTCCCGGCAACACTAGCCGTGGGGTCCGCCACCGATGCAACTGGCAGGGAGGTGGACTACTCGATCACACCATTCTTGGTTGGAACTACTGTTCTGGAAGAGGTCTGGCCAGGGCTCGACCCGCACAACCAGCGGTCTTTGGTAGAGTCCATCGTCGTTGCCATGGAGCAGCTCCAGAAGGTTCCCGCCCAGGACCCCGATGTCAGCCAGATCGACCAGCGGTATGACAAGACACCCTCCGAGACCTCGACCAAGGCCCCCCTCGGGAGCCCGGACACCGGTTTCCACCCTGAAATCAAGCAGATTTTGGAGGCTTTCCTTGGCGAGAGAGCGGCGAAGTCGCAGGCGTGCGAGATTCTCGACACGGACGATGTGATTGCCGTGCGGTCGGCCATCGACGGAATTGGCGAGATCGAGCTCACCAAGCCTGACCTCGATCAGCTCATGAGCAGCATTGTTTTCTGTCACAACGACCTGGAGCCCCGCAATATTCTCGTCAGGCAGGTTGGTGCCAACGGTGGCGGCAGGTACGAGCTGGCTGCCATCATTGACTGGGAGATGGCGGGCTTCTTTCCCTTCGCGTACGAATCTGGGCTTAAGGATACGGTGCTTGGCTCGTCCAACCTGTGGTTCAGCTGGTACTCGCTGTTCAAAGAGCAGACCGCCATGTTGATTCCCAAAGAGGAGGGCCATGAGAAGCTGATCAAAGCGCTGCGGATCATCGCGGCGTCCAAGGATGCCAGGATGCCAAAGAACGTGGGTGTTCGAGTTGCGGCAAAATGGATCAAGCGAGAGCGGCTCAGGATGTCGCCGGACGTGAGGCATGGCTGGGTTCGAGAGGACGGCGCCGGCCACGTCCCCGTCTTCACGAAGGAGGACAACGATAGCCTTGAGCTGGAAGTCCTCAGAGAGCTGGGTTACATTCAGTAGCTAGTTTAGCCCGATGTGTTCCTGTGGACAAAGTGGTTTAGGACCGCAAGTTTCCCAATCTTAACCAACGTCGAGCAATGTAACACTTCTAATATCTGGTGGCCCTCGATTTCTGACGCAACATCAAATAGCGCGCGACAGGTAGACTGGAACGGGCAGCCATCTCCCATGTCCTGACAAAAGAGACTTGCATAAGCGTTACATCTGTTGTGTCTTTACACCTCAAGGTTCTGTCTTCCCGCCTGTAAAGCAAGGAGCTTTTATCTAGAAAAAGGAAAATCTCGCACAAGTGACCCGGGAATTGCATCCCTATAATGTGCAATGGCTCCAGCAAACACCCCTAACCCCGTCCCAGTCTTACCCATCCATAGCCAAGTCTCCCACAGCCACAATTATCATCCCCAGCAACTACTGCACACATCACCCAAAGCACCTCTCTCAGCAAGCACATCTCCTCCAAGTGCCCCCCCCCCTCCCAACAAGAACACCCCCTCAAAGCGCCTCAATAGCCCTCAACAGCACCTCGACCCCCCTCTCGCCCACCCCCTCCCCATCCCCCAACAAGCTCGCCACATCACTAAGCACGCCCAGCGGGATATAGCACCCCATCTTCGCCCTCTCCAAACTCTCCTTCAACCGACTAGTATGCTCCCACTCCCGCGCCGCAACCTCCGCCCTATCGATCACCCGCGTGGGGATCCCACACATGGCGGCGCAGTGCATGCCAAACGAGCCCTCAGCAACACCGTCCTCGAGGCGGTAGAGGAAGGTGACGCGCTTTCGGGCCTCGTCGACGTCGATCTGCATGCGGCGGGCGCGCACCTCCGGGTGCTGGGCGAACTCGGCCGCCAGGCTGTGGTAGTGGGTCGCGAAGAAGCCGACGCAGCCGATGTGCGACGCCACGTGGTGCAGCACCGCCTGCGCGACGGCCACGCCGTCGTACGACGACGTGCCGCGCCCGAGCTCGTCGAGGATCACGAGCGAGCGCGGGGTGGCTTCGGAGAGGATCTTTTTGGTCTCCGAGAGCTCGACGAAGAAGGTGCTCTGCGCCGCGAAGATGTTGTCGTTGGCCCCGAGGCGTGACATGATGCGGTCGACCGGGGTGAGTGTGGCGGAGAGGGCGGGGACGTAGCAGCCGATTTGGGCCATGATGACTGCGATGCAGGACTGGGCGTGGGGTTAGTCTCGGTGGCGTGAAAAGAAGGGAAGGGGATTCGCGGCTTACCATGCGGAGGATGGTCGACTTGCCGGCTGCGTTTGCGCCTGTAAGCAGGTTGATCTTGGCTTCGTCGCCGCCGAGTTTGATGTCGTTGGGGATGAAGTCGTCAACGCTGTTGGTCATGCAAGGATGGCGGAGCTCCTTAAACTCCACCACGCTTCGGTCTTCGTCGATAAACACTGGGCGACAACTGGGCACGCCGAGAGCAGAGGACGACTTCGCAAGGCTGGTCAGGCAGTCCAGCTGCGCAATGATGCGGATCGCCTGCAGCCAGACCTCGTAGTCAATGTCGAACCGCTTGAAGAACCTCGAGGCCACTTCCTTGAGGATCTGCGAGTGCGTCTCCTCAGTTTCTTGAAGCTCCCGAACGAGGTCTTCTAAGCCTCGGAAGTAGTAGCGCTTGACAGCTGCCGTGGCCGACATCTGGCGCCAGTTCGTAGGAACTTTGACGGCCTTGGGAACCTCTATCTGGTAGACCTCCTTGCCGACATCGGTGAACTTGACTGTCTTGCACTTGAGTGATGTCTTCTGCTTCTCGAGCAGGGCATGCAACTCCCCCTTGATCCGCTCGAGTTCACTCTGGCTGTTGTCAAAGTCCTCTTCGATGCCCTTTCCCGGGATAAGTTTGCCATCCCGGGCCATTGTCCGGTCAAAGGCAGTTTCCCAGTAGCCCAGGGGCTCCTTGAGATTGGGCATGGAGGCGATGAGCTTGTCGACAAGGCCGTTACCACCGCCAAAGGCACTCAGAAGACCCATTGTGTAGTCAATCTGCTCGAAGCCTTCAAGAACTCGTACGAAATCTTGGGGCCGACAAGCACCGGCATGGATACGAGAGATCAGGCGCTCGAGGTCTGGCATCTTGGCCATTTGTGACGAAAACTGCTGGAGGATGCTCCGGTCGGCATTCAGCATGTCAACAGCGTCGAGCCTCTCATTGATCTTTTGCGTGTTGCATAATGGGTGACAGACCCATTGGCGGAAGAGACGCTTGCCAAATGGAGTGATACACCGGTTGAGGAGGTTGAATAGCGTGCCCTCAGGACCGTTGTTGGCCGTGTTGGTGAATATCTCGAGATTGATGAGACTCTGGCCGTCGAGGATTAGGGTGCCGTTTCGGTGGATGGGGTTGTACCACGCGAAGTTGCCCTGGGACAATAGGTTCCGGTCGAGCATAAGCACACGGAGGTAATGAGTCAAGCCTCCCAGGGCCGACATCGCCAAGTCCTTGTCTTTCGATTCCGCGAGCGTTTTAGGCCACACCTCCTCCTCACCTCCCTCGGGGACGAAATAGCCGCCACACTCCAGCTCACGTCTCGAGAGATCAGCATCCCAAAACTCGGTCCCTGACTTGAGGTTGTTCCAGATGGTAGTTGGGCCCGTGTTGTTCTTCAGGATACGCAAGGCCTTGGTAGACAACCGCGATTTCTCCAGAACCAGCTCCCGAGGCGACGTCTGGGCGACAAACGTTTCGAATTTGGTCAAGTCGACATCATCCTCGAATTCGGAGAGGAAGAACTGTCCGGTTGCGGCATCAACAAACGCAATCCCAAACGCGGGCTTGTCGTCGACGACCGACTCCTTGATGGCTGCACAGTACGTGGCCATGTCGTCCTGCAGCATGCTGCCATCCACGAGGGTGCCGCCGGTCAAAATGCATGCCAGCTCTCGGCGAATGATCTTGTCGGCCTTCTTCGCGTTGCTGTCGCGCTCGCGCATCTCCTTGCCCAGAGCAGACTCCATCTGGTCGACGCGAGCGACCTTGTAGCCCTTGGCCACGAACTGGTTGACCCACATGTCCAATGAGCTTTCGGGAACGCCAACCATGCGCATGTTGACGCGGTCGGTGAGCTTGAGATCGAACAGCTGGTGCCCGATGGTCGCGTCGTTCTCGTAAAGCTCGTAGAATTTGCCTTTCTTGAAGAAGACGACGGTATCCCAGAGCTTCTTCTTGATGTCCCAATACTGTTTCTCAAAGGGTGAGAAGCCCCGCTCAGCCAAAGGGGGGATGTAGATGGAGGTTGGGTCAAACTCCGGGTGCCCCGGAGGGTTTTTGTTGCTGTCTAAAATGTTGGCTAGCCACGGGTATCTTTCCTCTGGTTCCTTAGTGTGTGCCTTGGGCTTCGTCTTTGGGTTCGTTGGCTTTCGTGTGGGAGGGGCGACCTTGGTGGCAGGTTTGCTGGGCTCGATATTGTCCGGGTCGTACGTCCACTTTTGGGCGGTTGAAGTCGAGGGCGGAATATCCTCCATCACTTCATCGTCGTCGGCGGCAGGGGAGCGTTGGTCACGGCTGGGAGACGAAGAAGGGTTAAACTTCTTGCGCGGGGCCGAGGATTTGGCTGCTGGTCGCTTCCGCTTCTTCGACTTGGAGGGCGCGTCGGAGTCGTCCGAGACAACGAAGTCGGCCAGATCGTCTAGTATATATTTATTAGCGTCGTGTGCGTCAAGAGGGAGGGATGAACAATACCATCGTCCTCCTCCAAGTCGTTCGCCTCCGCCTCATATGTGTCCTCGTCATCCTCATCCTCATCTGGAACGGCAGCGCGAGAACGGCGTTGTACGGACCGCTTGGCCTTCATGGTGGCAAAGACCGCGTCGTCGTCGTCGTCGTCAGAGGATTCGGCGTAGCTAACCACCTTTTTGACCTGCAGGATACGTATGAGAACACAAGAATGAGGTGACTAGTGGGAGAGTTGGTTACCTTCCGCGTCGGGCTGCTCTGTAGGTTGGCACTGACAACCGACTTCTGCGCCACGTTAGCAAGTGAGGTGAATAAGTTGATGCCTGTGCTAATTACCTTGACAGTACTCGTATCCCTGTTTTCTTGGGAGCTCGAGGGCTCGATAGCATCGCTGCTGGGAACGGGTGTGGTTGCTGTGGTGCGCCTCGAGCCAAGCATCGAGTTGGCTCGGGTTGTTTCCTTCAAGCATTGTGGCGACGCGTCCCTTTTGTTCCTGGACGCCGGCTTGACGGATGGCGAAGGGCTAGCTCCATTGACGCTTCCGGCTCCGGCTGGCCTAGAGAAGAAGCCGAGGATGCTGCTCTGTTGCTTGCCCGTTGAAGGTGCCTTTTTCGCTGTCGACGGCGTCTTCGCAGGAGTGCGGGCCGTGGCCGATTTCTCCCCCATCTCGACGTAGTTGACGATTTCTGTCGATAATTAAATACAGTTTAGTCGTGGGGTGGATTAAGGGAAACGAATGGATAAGGAAAGGTTCGTCAGGGGAAGCTGGCGGTGTTGAGACGAGTTTAAGTGGAACGCGAAGAAACGCGACGTGCCTGCTGGGGGTCGCGTCTACCAAACCGAACTGCTGGGTGCGGCCCCACGCGGCATTTGGGGTCGCGCGCCCCACCCACCAAAAGCTGTCCAGCGGCACGAAGAGCCAAGCTTCCTCTGCCCATCAGTGCATGCATCGAAGCACTCATCGATGCAGTAACAAATCAGTGATACTCGTACACCATGCTCCCCACGCTAGAATCACGGATTCTCGGGGGTTACCCCCTTCTCGCCCATCCTCAATCTGAAAGGGAACAGAATAAAGAGGAATCTTGGATCTGAGACTACGGTTTACGGGTTTACACAGCATGAGGAGAGGAGGGAATCGCTGTCAAGGAATTCCACACGGCCCCCCTCGCATCTGGTCATGGTTCGTCCAATGTTGAATTCTGTTATGCTTCGAGGCGAAGCGCCAAGAGATGCGGGGCGTGTACAGTACCCATTCTCTCCCCAGAAGAAAGCAGCGATGATCGAGGAGAGCAGAGGGCTGGGCGAGCTTTTGTACATAATAGCACTGCTGTTGCTTGTGTCGACGCGGCCGGCTTTGGAAGCGAAAGAGCTGTGGGAAAGCACCCCGGCCAAAATGGCGGCAGGGGTTGCTTTGGTGCAACGAGACGGCGTCTGTCCGGCGGTCGTTCGGCTTTGGTACCAGACAGGCAGAATTTGTCCGGATGCTCAAATACCCATGGGGTGGCCAAGGCGGGAGAAACCGATAGGCTCACACTGGACGCGGATAAATCCTCACCGGACAAGAGGGCATTTAGCAGACCCTCGTTCAGAGTCCGAACCGGGAAGGATAGGAGGATGAAATGCAACGTTTGTCCAACGGAACCTATGCTACCGGGGCCGAGCCAAACCTCAATAATAAAGACCGTTGAATTGTCCAGAGGGGCAGCACTGTCATCAACGCCGACTCCGAGGGTGGTCGGGATTATTTGTTGTCAGTGTTCGGGCATTCTTTTCGATTTGTTGTTTCCGGGTATTCCGTAGGGAAAGCGCAACAGCCAGCTGGGAGAACCGAAGCATCCTGGAGAGCTTAGCGACAGCTGTCAACCACTGGCAATCAGCTGGCCCCTCCCCCCAAAATTACCCCAACTGCGCCGTTCCCCAGCGGCTCCCGGCCTGGTGCAACAACTCCCCGCAACACGACGCAAAAGGCGGGGACTCAGCGGCCGAAAGCCACACGGGTTGCGCCTGCGGTGTGCGCAAATGGATGCCGAAGTGATGGACCGGTCGGACAGTGTTACGGCTGCTACTGACGGCGTCCGCGGCTCGCCCAGGGACCAGAACAGCCGAAGGGCGGCGGCGTGTCTTGTGTGCCGCCGATCCAAAATCAAATGCGAGAAGGGTCGCGCCCAGAACGACGACCGCTGTCACCGCTGCCTCCAATTGGGTGTTCAGTGTGTGCGCCCCGACTTCCACGTTGGCCGCCGGAAGGGCGTGAAGAAGTTAGCACCTCCCCTCCCCCGACTCACTCTCACTCTGCCTCCTTTCTGTATGTGCGTGTGATGAGCGCGGCTGCTAACTCATGCATAGCAAACGCACGGGACTGGAGAAGGCATTGCATCAGGTGGAGCAGGCCCTGCGGCGGACTGGAACTGGCATCGAAGCTGCCAAAGTTGTCTCGGATCTCAAATGTCTCCTCGGCCCCGGTCCCCATGGGCCACTATCGCTCCTCGCCCATGACCAATCCGGAGCTAGGGGTGCGGAACTACGCCGGGCGTCTAAGCAAAGCGACATCCTTCTCCCTGACGCTTCCTCTGATGCCGGCGATAGCTCGGCCTCGGACCAGGACGGTATGAGTGCGCCACAGGAATCTACGCCTTCCCAAGGCCACCCGGGCGAGGAGAGTCTGGCCGTCGACGACGCCGAGAATCCCCTCCAGCTTCTCGCCCGTGCGTCAGATCTGCATGTCTCGCCCAAGTCAGGGGTCGACCACGTGGCGGCGGAGGCCATGTCTCACCAACGAACACGCCAGAACAAACAGAACGAGAAGATCTCCGAAGTCGAAAAGTTCTTCAAGCTCAGCCAATTCAGTCTCGATACGGGCCCTGACCTCGATCCGATTAATCTCGGGCTGATCACCGCCGATGAAGCCGACACCCTATTTAACTTCTTCCACCATAACCTCGCTCACACGCGATGGGGCCTCGATCCCGCGCTCTACACGGCCGCCTTCACACGCTCCCGTTCCGCCTTCTTGTTCACCTCCATCACCGCCGCCGCTGCCCTCTATATGCCATCTGCCTCGGCCCTGTCACGGCGACTTTCTAACCACTGTAAAACACTTGTTAACCGCATCATCCTCGACCGTTACCGCTCTGTCGAGATCGTTTTGGCTTTTATGGTCAATGTCCCCTGGATGTTTCCCGGGAAGCACAGTACCGATGATGAAACCTGTTGGTATGTGTCCATGGCGACAACCATGGCACTAGATCTGTCGCTCCACAAGATCCTTGTGCCGGTCGCCTCCCTTCGGGACGGCCCTGGGGGACTTGGAGGGACTTTTGGAGGGATAGCAAGGGCCGATTGTATTGATCCCAAGGTGGCGTTGGCATTGGATGGGTTTGGGGATGTGGAACCGAGCTCGGAGTTCGGGTTGAGGTTGCTGCGGAGGCGGGAGAGGTGTTGGATCTCACTGTTTGTGTTGGAACGGGGGTAAGTATCTGGCCGAGACGGCTCGAGGAGAATCGTGAGCTAACGAGGTTCAGGATGTGCTTGGCTAGGGGCCGCTGTTACACCGTTCCGGTTACCCCCATTCTCAGAGGGTGCGACCAATGGCATTTGTCGAATATTGCCGACACCATGGACGGGCATCTCGTGTCAATGGCGGTTTTACGAAGAGATCTGGTAAGTCACAAGGGAAATGGGTTTTGGAAGTAGCTAACCGGCGCAGGATGAGTTATTCTCGTCCATCCGAACCCTTTGTGACGAGTCCCGGGATGGCCGGGCTGATGGCGCTTTGGTTGCCCGGTCCATTCAGATGATGGTCGAGAAGTTCTTCGACGAATGGCATGCCAAATGGGGCATTTCTATCGGTAGCGGCCCCCAACACCGACTCCCGCCCTACGTCCAAATATTGGTTACACACACCCGCTTGTCTATCTACAGCACGGTTATCAACCACCCAACGGCCCCGACCGAAGTCCGTCACTTCTTCCACGCGGCAGGTCTCTCGTCAGCACTGAACGTCATGCGAGCGGCTATCCAAGGCGAAGGGCAGTTGTCGAGCATGCCCAACAACACCGCAATCATGATCTCCTTCGCAGCCTGCTTCGCCCTACGACTAAGTGGCCAGTTCGCCGGCAACTCAAACCTGGCTCCCAGTGTCCGGACGCTAATCGAAGAGACGGCTGAGGTTCTGGAGCGTGTCGGCTCGACCACGGAACACCGCAACGGCATGTCGACCCTGTACGGGAAGTACCTCAAGTACATCGTCAAAAAGGCGGCGGCTTCGGTGCCCGCTCCCCCCGAAAACGCCACCAGACCACGCGCAGGGACACACCCTGAACTGCTCGCACAACACCATGCCTCGACGGCGTATGCGCGAGGCAGCAACTCACGGGCCAGTTTCAGCATGGCCGACGCCATACGTCCCAGCCCGCCCGTATCAGGTTTTATGGAGCCGCCACCCTGGACGGAACCGATTCAGTTCTCGTCAATGTCTGACGACCAGATCGTCGAGGCACTCAGCAGGGTCAACAACGAGTTCGATCCGGCCCTAAGCATGTATCCCTGGGACGACGCAGCTGCTTTGGATTGGCTCAATTGGTCTAATCTACCCGATTTCGGGACATGAAATACAACACCGGGCATCAAACCGTTGCTCGAGCTGGTGCCGGGGCCGTCATGTTCACCAACTCCTGCAACTTCTCCATGATCACAAAAGTCAATACGGTGTGCGGGCTATCTACCCGTTAGTCGGACGTACAAGTCTCGGGGAGGGTCGAGCAACATACGTCAACCGAAGCCAAGCAGGCGTCCACCCTTTCATCAAGAACATTGGACCTTCACGGCCGAGTCCTTCCCTTATGACCTGCATTACCTGGAGAACCATCAGATCACCGCCGTCTCAAACTCAACACCTGGCAAGAGGGCGGCTTACGCTTGACCCATTCGCGGCGCTCTGTATTCTGCTCTTGAGCACATCCGCAGGGGCGCATGCCGTTGTGGCCACCGTTCCGGCGAACAGGGATGCGAGTGCATGTGTACGGATGTCGTCTTGCAGCCTTGTCCGCGAGAGGATCGCGTGTTTTGCTACGGCATATCTAGCAGCCTTGCGTCAGCTCGGGCGGGCCAAAATCCGGGAGGGGGCACTCACGGCGCGATCTGGGACACGTCTTTTCACGTGGTAAGCATACGGGCGCCTGCCCAAACATGAGACGCTCAAGGGCCCTTACTCATTATCACACTCCGCACGATATTCGCCTCCAGGCCCCTTCCAAAGACCCTAATTCCTTCCTCCTTGCCAATTCGATACAGCCCGGTCACGGCGTCGTAGTAGCGGAAGCGTTCGGTCGTCGGCTTGGCAGCGTCGGCGCACATGCGGACGAGGATGACCTCTGTCGGGTTCCCAATCATACCCGCCAAACCACCGGCCACTCCGGCACACGCAACGGTGGATGCGGTGGAGAGCTTGGAGGTTCCCGACTTCTGTTGGACTTGACGGGACAGGACGTTATACAGCCCAAACCGGGCGGTCGAGTAGGTGGACTGGCGGAGGATGGAGGCCGAGAGGCCGGACCAGAGAGAGGGGATCCCTGTGGCAGGGCGGGACGGTCAGTACGGTCGAAGGGTTGTAAGATTGGTCTAGTTCAACGGACCGTCACGAAGGGCGAACGTGTAGAGGGTCGAGAGCATTGGGGCACGCGTCTGGAGGACCTGCATCCGGCTGCGGTGGGCACGCGTCAATTGGTGGCCCTCTATCGACAGATATGGGAGCCAATGGCATACTATTTTGTGACATCTAAAGGGTGCGCTAGGCAGGTATGTTAGCAGCACGTGCATTTGTCATACCATGCGGCTTGTTGACCTACTGAAGCACACTGCCATGGAGGCGGCGGCCCCGCTGTCGAGGGGTTGGCATTGTTAGGATGGGATTCCAATCAGAGCACAGGTCTGGTCTCAAATATGGATGGAATAAACCACTTACCCAAGCCAAAACGGCTGTTTGGTTCTCTTCTGCCCGGCCATTGCTCCGCTCCGGCCCAGCATTCAAGAACACACAGCGCGTCAGGTGTCAGTCGGTATGTTCGTACGCTTCCCTTCCGAGCGGGAATACGGGGTACATATGCGCCCGCGTTGGAAATAGATTGCCCAACGGCCAGCTCAAAGGAGAGCACACAGATAAGGTGTCATTCCCCACGCAGATGCCGGAGCCTTGATATACGACCCCCAACTTCTCACACAGTGGCTCAGGCACAAATACCACCGAGAGGATACATAGGCCCCAGCGGCGCGGGCCGATACAACCGCCCTCGCCCTTCATGATCGACTGCATTGTATCACAGTGAGGAGGAGTTGTGGAAGGGCACTGGCTGACGTGCGGCCGTCACCCACCTCCTACCCACATTCAGGGACATGCACGGCACCGTGAACGTGGTTACGATGCATAGAGAGCCTTACATGCCACATCCCTTTATCCCGTCCCTCTTGTCGTTGACTCGAGGTCCCAAACGTGATCCAACAGCGACCCCGAACTGGACAAACACCACACCGTCGTGGCCCTTAGAATAGTGGGTCTCGGTCTCATTTGTGAATGCCGACGCCCAGACCGCGAGCCTCGGTCGGGGTTGTTTACCCACCAGGATGGGGCGAGGGGTCACCGGGTCCAGGGGCGGTGACAGGGGGTTGCCACCTGCCGGACGATCTGAATCGCAACGCGAAGCCGTGATGCGCCGACGGCCTGAACAGGCCAATTGGAAGAGAACCAGGCAGATCTCGCTGCCGGTCGTTTGGCTGTGTGTTTTTCGAACATTCCGATTTCCCGGTTTCCGTTTCTTTGCCTTGACATGTCAGATCCGGCGGCGAAGAATCGGAAGAACAACCTGAGAGAAGCTGAAAACGAGGAGAGGAAGCAACTCGTAAAGCACACACCCGACGCTACACAAGCACAAGCACAAGCACAAGCCATGTCGAAACTCTCCCCGTCGCTGAAAGCGCTCATCAACGCGCCGTTCGCGCGGCCCGGCCAGGCGCCCGCGCCGCGCAACATCCGCGACGTCTACACGCGCATCGCAAACGAAGCGCGCGAACACAAATACGGCGACCGGCCGTGGGTGACTCTCTCCGTATGAACTACCCCCCACCTCCCTCCAACCCCCTTTCCCACTACCACCGCACATAGAACTCCACTAACCACCTCACCTCACCCCAACACAGGCAGCAGCAACATTCACCCTCAACTCCCCCGCCTCCCTCCTCGCCCTGCACGACCTCACCCCCACCCTATCCCCCTCCCTCACGCCCCTCACCACCGCCGAACTGATCCGCGAAATCGGCCTGAAATGCATCTCCTTCAACGGCATCCCGCGCACCATCAACAACCTGGCCACCTTCCGCGCCGGCCTGTCCCACCACCCGTGGTCCGGCTCCCTGCGCACCACCCCGTCCCGCACCATCACCAGCGCCAACCTCCCCGCGACAGCGGCCCGCGGCGACGCCCTCTGGCAGAGCGTCTACACGCCCTTCGACGAGAAGCTCGTCCAGCGCCTGGCGGAAAGTCACCCGGATCTGCCGGTGCATATCCTGGGGAGCCACTACGGGCCGTTGCTGTCGGATCCGGAGTCTGCTGACAACAACAACAACAACAGTTTGGTGGGGCGGTGCTTGACCAGCGTGCTGGCGGTGGCGTGCCTGCGGGCGCAGACGGGGGTGGGGCCGCAGGTGCTGTCGCATGTGTTTGGGCTGCGGAAGGGGGTGGAGCAGGGGGCGCATCGGGGGGAGTTTGCGGGGTTGGAGGAGGGGAGGGTTGGTGAGGCGGAGGCGGAGGCGGTGGAGAGGTTGGCGGGGGATGAGGGGTGTGAGTGGTTGTTGAGGAGTGTTGATGCCATTACTGAGGCGGTGGGGTCGAGTTATGCGCGGTGGGATGGGGAGGGGGAGGGGGGGAAGGCGAAGTTGTGAGGGTGTCAGGGTGATGTGGAATGTGTGAGGCTGTCAAGACATGAAAGATGAGAGGGAGGGGCGGTCAGGGTTGGGTTAATGGACGCGGTAAATAATCGAGGTATATCCGTAAATATGCAAGCGCGTAAATGCAAAGGCGCCGCTCCGTATGTACACGCTCGTGAACATGCCAACAACTTAAACACCGCTCACTCCATGACCCTTAGATCCTCTGCCACCGTGAACGCCGCGTCCGTCTTGCTCTTCACCTCGTCTACCTCCACACCCGGCGCAACCTCCGTCAGCGTCAGCGTCCCTCGCTTCCGATCAACCTCGAAAACGCACTACCCCTTATCAGCACAGCACGAAGCCTCCCCTCCACAACAGGATAACTTACCAAATCCGTAATGATGGTGCTGACCACCCGCGCCCCCGTCAACGGCAGGCTGCACGTCTGCACGATCTTGCTCGACCCGTCCTTGGCCACGTGCTCGGTAGCGACAACAATCTTGGTGTTGTCCGGGTTCGACACCAGGTCCATGGCGCCGCCCATGCCCTTGAACACCTTGCCCGGGATCATGTAGTTGGCCAGGTCGCCGGCGGCGCTGACCTGCAGGGCGCCCAGGATGGACACATCGACGTGGCCGCCGCGGATCATGCTGAAGGACTCGGAGGAATCGAAGGTGGCTGCGCCGGGCACGAGCGTCGTGGTTTCTTTGCCTGCGTTGATGATGTCCCTGTGCGCAATGGGGTTAGTCAGGGGTAAGGGCAGTTGGGGAAAATAGGGGCGGGCGTACGGGTCAACCTCATCCGGGAGCGGGTGGTCACCCATGCCGAGGATGCCGTTTTCGGATTGGATCCAAACTTGCTGGTCCGGGGAAAGAAAAGAGGGCGCCATGGTGGGGAGGCCTGGGTAGGTCAGCATTTTCCCGTTCACGCGTTACCCCTGGGATCCTTCTTCTTACCGACGCCGAGGTTGACGTAGAACCCGTCCTTTAGTTCCTTCGCCGCCCGCCTCGCAATGCGGTCCCTCCGGATCTGAGCGTCCCCCTTTGCCTTAGTCTCCGCACTCTCCCCAACGGACCGCGTCTTCAGGATCTCAACCAACGACGATTCCGTGGCGGGTACGATGCGGTCGATGAAGATTCCCGGGAGGTCGACATCGTTAGGGTCGATCTCGCCGATCTCGACAATATTCTCGGCTTCCACGATGGCCAACTTGGCCGCCTTGGCCATCAAAGGGGCAAACGCCTTGGTGGTGTACCTGGATCAAGGTTAAAACGGAATCCAGCGAAACAAGGCAAAGACTGCTCACCGGAACACGCAGTTGCCCGCCTTGTCAACCTTCCACGCCCGGAGGATTGCCACATCACCATGCAGTGCCGTCTCCATTAAATACCGCCGTCCGTCAAATATCCTGGTCTCTCGGGGCTTGCCGTACTCGACCACGTTGCCGTCAGCATCGAACCGGGCCGGGATTGCGCCTTCCTGCACGAGTGTATCTGGGCCATGGTTAGAGACTGTCCGCTTAAATGGGGATTCAGGAGTCCAGGGACATACTCCCGCCAGTTGGGGTGAAAAACGCTGGAATGCCGCTCCCCGCCGCCCGTATCCTCTCGGCCAACGTCCCCTGGGGACACAGCTCGACGGCAATCTTGCCCGTGAGGTACTGCTTCTCCAGCTTCTTGTTGGGCCCCAGGAACGACATGATCATGCGGTCTACCTGCCCGTTCTCCGTCAGGAGGGCAAGGCCGCCGCGCCCTTCGGCTCCCGCATTGTTGGACACGGCAGTGAGCGAGTGGAGGGATTCGGGTCCCCGGTTTCGAAGTGCCCCGATCAATGTCGCTATTGCTCAAGTCAGCCTTCTGAGTTCTCGGAGTCCAATCACGAAACCAAACCGGGCTGCGTCCACCAACTTACACGCGACACCGCACAACCCAAACCCGGAGCTCAGCACCACGGATCCGCTCCGAATGTCGGCCACCGCATCCTCGGCGCTCTCCCACAATTTGGACCCTCCGCGATCCACCTTGGGCGTGGCTACCGACCTCCAATGCGCCGAGTGTGAGAAGTTCCTCCTACCGTTGAGGCTCGGGCTGAATCTGCTCCCCGGCACCGCCCTAACGCTGAAGCCTCTCATAACGGCGCCGCCGCCGACAGCAGCAGCAACCGCCAAATGCCGGGAGCATGCCTGCCGCGCCAACAACGCGACGGGCGCCATTTGCCTCGCTGTGCGTGCTACGCCAACCATCATCTCTGTCCTGCCTTGACCAAATCACAAACCGACTAGAAGACGTTCTATCTCAACGACTCCTCAATCAACGTCGTCCAGCGAAAAGAAAGTGTTTAAAAATAAAGCATTCCATCCTCCCGTCCTGAAACCCTCCGTCGCAAACCGGTCTGCGACAAGGCGCCCCCCGGGTCCCCACCCTCCACCCACCCGGCGGGTAACGGCTGCTTGTTCTGCCAACCGGCGATCGGCGCCAAGCCCTACGTCACACGCGCAGAGAGGAGGGACGCGCCGGAACCTAGATTTTGGGACCGGAATGCGCGGGCCGGGAACCTTGGATGGGGGGACATGCGAGTTTGAGGGTCTCGGCTTTTGGAAGTTGGGGTATCAATTGCCCAATTGCCCAGTCGCTCGCCCGTGTTTCCCCATCATGCTTATGCAAAGGCGCGGCCGGGGCCGATGAGCGCGCCCAGACGGCGCCACATGCATGGGGTGCAGCATGGTGGTGATGGCGGCGATGGTGATGGTGATGGTGATGGTGATGGTGATGGTGATGGTGATGGTGATGGTGATGGTGATGGTGATGGTGATGGTGATGGTGATGGTGATGGTGATGGTGATGGTGATGGTGATGGTGATGGTGATGGTGATGGTGATGGTGATGGTGATGGTGATGGTGATGGTGATGGGTTTTGGTGTTGCAGGGTAAGATGCTCCTTCCAGTTGGCCTCGATATTGGCTCGTGACTCGTGACCCGTGAGAATGCAACACAAACCAAAACCGGGCTCTAACCCCGCCATGCGAAAAGCACAGTACCTTACGAAGTATCATCCAAAGGCTAAAGTTTCGTGTCGTCAATTGATTATTAAGGTCGGGATACCAACTTCCTTCAACAGATATATATATACCATGGTTTTCATGCTGATACTATCATCCTAGCATTGTTACTATACGCTTTTATGCCTTTGGAGCCATGAACCACAACACTCTACACTCAATTCAAGCTTCAAGTCGAGTATTTTCCCTCAAAAATACCCGTGATATGTCCGGTCCGCCATGTCACATTCGCCTCCAACGGATGGCTCGTGATGATCACATCGGCGTTTACTGCCGAGTTCCACGGTCGATTTGCATGCGATCAGCGAGCGGTGACCCATGCAGGCGCGCAAAGGGCAGCAGCGGCTTTCTCATTGCTCATGTAGGCAGGTGAGGTGGTGGGTGGTGGGGTTGAGTGGGTTGAGTTTCGGGGTGTGATTTTGGTTGGTGATGACCGACTGTGAGTGGGTATGTTGTAGGACTGCTGGCGAGGAAAAGCAGACTGCTAACTGAAAAGACGGTGGTTCCGGCAGCGGTGGTGTACTTCTACCCACTAGCATTGCCACGGCGTCGTATCTGGCGAAGGAAGAAAAGAGTTTGTTTTGCTGCGGCTGCAGGGACATGTCCAGTCAGCGAGTGATGACAGGTTAAAGTAAGTGAGGAGGGAGAGAGCAACCGGCCGGCGCTGACTTTGATGCAGCCCCGTCCTTGAACGCGGGGAAATGTTCAAGTGGTCCGAGGTGCGCCGCGGCGTCTTCAATATCCAGGCTGGCTATCATCAACGGCATACTTTGCCATCCTATCCGGGCTATACAGTCTCGGCCTGTTCGTCAGTTGTCACCCTCGTGCTCCCTACGACCACAATACCTACCTAACCCATTCCTCAGCTCCCAACCATCATCAACGACCTGCACATCACCTCCTCAGCAAACGAAACCCAACCCTGGTCCGTCATCCCGTACGCCGTCGCAACACCGAAACTCGGCCGGTCACTACCTACAAGCGCACGACGACGTCGGCGGTGTAGCTGGCGGTGGCGAACTGTGAGGGGGTTGTGGCGAGTGAGTTCTTTTTGGTAGTTCTTTGTTTTTCTTTTTCGGGGGAATGGTCTGCTCTGGGAAATGAGTCGTGGGTGATGCTGGCTGTGAGAACCTGATAGCGCTTGTTTTTTCCGAGCGAGGAGGGGCCACTGTACCACAACGGCCGTACCATCATTCTACGGTTGCTGGTGTCTGCTTGGTTTGCTCTGTCCTTGATGTATCCAGGTGTTTTGCTGACAAAATGTTAGGATTCTGGCCAACGTCTTGTGGTGCGCAAAAGATCAACAGCGACAAAAAGAACGGCAAATATGCGCGTTATGAAGGCAGCGGAGACGATCGGGAGCCGGGATTCAAGATGGTCCTCTGGTGGTTGCTAGCTGCTGTGATGGTTTAGGAAATGGGGACAAGAAGAAAACATCAAGTAAGAATTGTGTTGCAAGCTACGGCGTAATGAGCCTTGGGTTTTGCTTCACCCTGACCTAATCGAAAAATGGATCAGCAAAAAGATGGATGCCAACAACCGACAAACAAAAGGTGGAAGAGTCTCCTATGAGACAAAAGTCGACACGAGCCGGATTTGAACCGACGCCTCCGAAGAGATGAGATTTCGAGTCTCACGCTTTAGACCACTCAGCCATCGTGCCTTGACGAGAGAATCGGGACAGTTGTGGGGATCATGAGATGCGGAGGCAGTGCGGGTGGAGTTGCAAAAATGGCAAAAGAGGAGCCGAGCAATCCGGCAAAAGTGAAGCTGATCCGATCCAGGCTCGAACTGGAGACCTTCAGTGTGTTAGACTGACGTGATAACCAACTACACCATCGGACCTTGCTTGATGCCATGACGTCGGCGAGCTGCTTTTCATTCGCTGGTTGCGACTGCGCGGTGGAGATGATGATCCAACCTCTTCCCCGTTGTCGTTGTCAAAGTATGCGTCAACCCATAATTGTTGACAGCTCGATAGTTATACGAATTGAATGACACTTGCTTGATCAAATGATGGACGGAAATTCCATGAGTCGGGCTGTCGTGGGCGACTTCGGTACACCTCCAACACAATGCAAAACCGCCTCACCCTCGGGAGCAGGTGTGTACGAGAAACCTGATGGTTATTTGAATGCCGCCGTGTCATCCTCTGCCCTTGTCAGCGCTCGTACCCGAACAGATGGAAGGCCGGCAATGACACGGGCCCGAAGTGGGCCATGTCTCGGAGCCGGTCCGGCCAAGGTGCCCCACTCCGGCCGCCGCAGTTTAATTGCCGGAGAGCCAATGAAGGGGATCCGTGCGAGGCCCCTTTTACGGCCGCTGACCACCACAACCCGCACAAACCCAACTTTCCTCGTCGTGTGTGTCCCGCAGCCGCTGCAGGGGGCCGTGTAGTGTCGCAGCACAGAACGATGCCCGGCAATGACACCCGGTCCGCGGCACCCGGCCCCTTTTGAGACCCCTTTCCCAACTGTTCAAACCCTTTCCTGGGGCTCCCGCTGGCACAGTTGCGGCGGCTAAAATACAGCCACCCACGCTTCCTGAAACGCCTTTTGGGTTGCCAGCCGCTCATTTAGCGTCCCGACCACAAGGCCAGCACTCCGATCTCACGGGGTCACCGTTTGATGTTTCGTTTCTCGCCATGTGCACCATACCGTCTGTGACTGCAGACCCGCCGTATCCTCTCAGTATTCCCAGCCGAAGAAGGGGCCCAAGTTGCAAAATAATCAACATGTGGGACACCACATCACACGTATATTAGAACCACTTGGTCGAGTCTTCACTTCCCCTTTCCCTCTCCATCCATCACTCGTTCTAACCTGGGTCATCCAGCCTTCGGTTTCCGTCACTCCTTTCACTTCCCAATCCTGGGCAGGACCCTTCCGCTCCCTCCTTGTATATATATACATACATACATACACATCACGTACATACTCATACTAGTCCCTCCTTTATAATGCACCCCGTATCCCTCATTGCCCTCTTCGCCGCCAGCGCCTCGGCCTCGGTCACGCCCCGTCAATCCGCCGTCAACCAGAATGTCATTCCCAAGTCCTTCGGAGTGACAGCCGGCGAGGGCAAGGACCAAGTCCAGGTTGGCAGCTGCACCGGTGCCAACAACAAGCTCATCCCCTGCTTTTGCCCTCCCGCTCCCGACAGCCCCGAGTTCCTCTCCAAGCTCTCCAAGGCCCTGACCGATGGCTTCATCTTCAGCAAGGAGCAGGTCGCCTTGCCCATCACGCTGGATAAGTTTAACGACGACTCGGACACGTCGGTCGAGACCACCAAGCTCCGCGCCACCGCCATGATCCAGGTCATGCAAAACTTCAACATGACGACTCAGGGCGTCGGCTGCCCGGGCGTGGCTGTCCCGGCCCTCGGAAAGATGCAGCAGACTGGTATCCTGGCTCGTGGGCTCAGCGGGCTCGGAAACAATGGCAACTAAACTCGACCTGTTTTGCGGTCCAGTTTTGGCATCGGCATGAGAGAGAGGCAACCTCGGAACAACAACTACACTCGCTTTAATTCTTCACACCACACTCATTCGGCACATGGCAACTTTCGCTTCCGGCATCTAACATTCGCTTTTCGTCACTCGTTCATATTACATTCGTTTTTACATTCGTTTTTACATTCGCATTGCTCGGCGTTTTTAATCGGCATAATACGGTCTTTTTCTTTCTTTGGGACTGCTCGAGTCTTTTCGCACTTTTGGCTCTAAACACCCCTTCATTCGTTCATTTTTACGACAGACACTCGCTCGTTCATGAACTCACTCGGAATTCCCGCTTTTTATAATGGCTTCATGTTCTCACGCTCTTTTTCGGTTTATAATTCGCTCAGGCGGCTCACTCGTTGCCGCTTCGTTTTCTTCGACATTCTTTCACTATTTAATTACTCTTCTTGTCAATCTTTTATAAAGTTTCCCCTCACTCTTTCGGGTATTTCTTTTCAGACATTCATTTTCTTCTCATTCTTCGGTCACTCATTTCCGCCTTGTTCGCCACTCACTCTTTCAACCTTTGCCTATTACAGTCGCTCTCTCAACAGCATGCTCAGTCACTCTCTCAGGCATTACTTCGGTTTACTTTCAATCATTTCAGTAACCGCGCCTTTAACCACTACTCTCACCTCACTCCTTTGCCAACTCGTTTCTTGGGCAACCGCTCTCTCAGACGCCCGCCATCGTTCCCTCTTTCGGTCCTATTCCGCTTTTCAGTCAATCTTTTTCATTTCAATCCATCGCCATTCGTTCAACAACACACAATCACTCATTTCATCTAAAGTCACACTCATGGATTATGTATTACGACACGCACGCTCTCTTATTGTACTCTCGCTTTTAGACACTTGTTTTCGATCTTTGCGTTCTTTGTTGTCATTTCATCACACATTCTTTTGGCCCTCAGATTAAGGGCGCGAGCAGCACTGCATGGGACGGCGCTAGGGTAATAGACTTGGATTCATGTATTTTCTTGCAGCCACGCTTTTCATAGTAGGTACTTATCCAACGACGTTTATTTGCTCGGTTATGGAAATGCCTTGACATTCTGCCATGATGACAACCCAGGTGAGAATGTGTGCCGGCCTGACAAGCAGATTCAAGCTGGGTTTGACTGGTATCGTTCGCGAAGACAGACCGGGTGCGAGTCGAAATGGTTGTGAGGACCTTGTTCCAGGCAGCAAGATCGTGACCGCCACGGCGAAGTCCGAAGAAGACCTGATTGGATAAAAGTATAAAAGGTCACATCGGTCCGCCTGGTTGTGAATCTCCACTCCCTTGCCGACTTCCCCAAACCCACAGCAACCTCTGGGATTCGGACCCGTACTCTCGACATTGGTACTTAGCAAACTGTTACCGACGACCGCGCTTAACTTCTCCGAGTTGTGGCATTCCTCAGCACTTTCAGTATGAGCCTGCGTCATGTCGTCACGACCTCGTGTCAGTAACCCAACACCCTAGGAGGCTGGGCAGTGAAATACTCACTTTGTTCGACGAACAGTATATGAATGTTCTCAAATTCCAGTATATCTACAATGCTATGACATCTGAGACCCTTGAGCACACGTCTGGCTGTATGTGGAACGCTATTCTCAACCTATACTTCCCCCAGGACGAGTTCATCATCACCCCAAATTCCCGGCCTGCCGATTCGGTCAAGACAAGGGCAGACTTTACCATCTACAGTGTGATGGGCGCCGACAAAACGCAGCTCGTGGTTCTGTTTGAAGACAAGCGTACCTTCAACGAGACGATAAATGCCTCCTGCGAAGAGGGTATCGGACAACTGACCGACTACATGATCCAATCCCGAAAGGTGGACACGGAGAGCCGGGAAATCGCGGGCCTTCCGCCTTACGACATGTACGGCATATTGAACGTGGGCAGCTACTCGCACATTTACATGTTGAAATCGGATGGCACCACGCTCCAACGTCTGTCAAACAGCGGGAACCAGGAGGCTCTCCATTTTAAGGACGACGAGTTGGAGATTGTCGCAATCGTCAAAGAGCTTGTCAGGAAGTCTCTGCCTCACGGTTTCCTCTCGTCTCCGTACTCGCCATCATTCTTTTCCTCTTCGTCGTCGTCTTCCGCTGGGGCTTCTCGGCAGGCCAGTCCCGCCGCCGGTTCTCGCCTTGGTTGATCACACAAGAGAAGCCGCACCACATGGCTAGGCTCCTAGGTACCTATAGAACGGAGGGACCAAAACAAAGAGAGCGAGCGGAAAACGGCGTAAATAGCGGTGCATTTGTATCTACAACGAATGCAACGTCATGAGCGGGATGATTCTGGCTAAAGCAGCCTGAGTCCGATGGCTTCACTCGCGCGCAGAATGTGGGCAGCGCCTTGTCGGGTTCCCAATACTCCGGATACCAACCGCTTAATTCACAGTTAATCAACATGGTCACTCAAGTTCTTGATGATGCTGATTGTGCCCCAGAGCACAAAGCCCTCGAGCAGACTATCACACAGATCCTCGGTTGACCCTCAGTGCGGCCTGATCTAAGGCCCAGTGGTCTGGGAAACCCGCCGAGTGTCAGTTATCTGCATATCATTGGCACAGCACATTCTCTCCCGCGGCCGCTTGGAGGGGCCTGCTTTGAGGGTCTAGACCATTCCCAGAAAATGGATCTCGGACTCGCACTGCGCCGCTCGGTAATCTGAACTTGCACAGGTCAGGGGTACGGCGCGGCACACTCATTGAGACACCATCCCATCTTTTAAGTTATTTCCCCGATTTACAGTGTGCTCCACCCCCATTGTTATACTTGCGGATGATACTAGTCTGGGGTGATCGGTGGTTTGATATGACTCTGGAGTTCTGTTGGTAGGATATGACTTCATACACCGCCGATTAAGCAAGGAGAGTGATGTGTTCGTTGAGCGGCTTGATCCTATATATCCATCCCTGTGTTCTCCTTACCGAAGACAAGATTCACTCCTTCATTCTTCAGGATACTCTGGTAGTGTCATTGTCTAGTCATTCTTTCCAACCCTTCCCCAACCCTAGTCATCCATAATCACAGACGGCTGCGCCGCTCTTACACCCTTTTCCCACCTATCTATCAACACAACACCCCCTTACTCGACCAACCCGTCCACACCCCAACCCGTCCACACCCGGCCCTCTCAACCCCCTTCGACAAGCGAACTCAACCTTACCTCACCAAAATGCGCGCAACATCCGCTCTCACTCTCCTCGGCACCGGCTTCTCCGCCGCCACCACCGCCAGCAGCCTTGGCGCGCCCGGACCCAACGCCATAAACCTGCGTTACGCTGTGAGCCCCAGCCCACCTTCTCTTTTCTCTCCCCATTTCACACCCCCCACAACCGCAACCCCCTAGGACAACTTCGCCCCCCAATTCCCAATCTCAACCCCCAGAACTCCCCACCCCTCCCTCTCCCTTTCCACCTCACAACCCAACCATCCCACAACAACGCAAACAAAAACAATGTACATACCTTAACTAACCCCCCATCCCACAAACCTAAGGCCCCCCTCGCGCTCCTCGCAGCAGCAGCAAACGCGCCCAGCACCGCCCTCGCCGCGCCGTCTCCCCACCGTGGGGGAGGCGGTGGTGGTAGTGGTGGTGGTGATGACGACGATGATGATGATGGCCGTGGCGGCCGTGGTGGTGGTGGTGGTGGTGGTGGTGATGGCGGTCGGGGGGATGGCGGTCGTGGAGATGGCGGTGAGGGTGGTGATGATGAGGGTGAGGGTGAAGGTGAGGGTGAGGGTGAAGGTGAGGGTGAGGGTGGTCGGGGAGGTGGCGGTGGGCGAGGGGATGGAAAGGGGAAGGGGGGTGGTGGTGGTGGGAAGAATATTCTGGTGATTATTGCTGGGGGCGGTAATGGTGGCGGTGGTCAGGGAGGCGGTCAGGGAGGTGGTCAGGGGGGTGGTGAGGGAGGTGCCGGTGGTGAGGGTGATACCGGTGGTGAGGGAGGTGAGGGAGGTGAGGGTGGTGAGGGTGGTGAGGAAGGTGCTGGTGGTGAGGGTGATGCCGGTGGTGAGGGAGGTGAGGGAGGTGAGGGTGGTGAGGGAGGTGCCGGTGGTGAGGGAGGTGAGGGTGGTGAGGGAGGTGCCGGTGGTGAGGGAGGTGAGGGTGGTGAGGAAAATGCCAGTGGTGAGGGTGGTGGTGAGGGAGGTGGTGAGGGAGGTGCCGGTGGTGAAGGCGATGCCGGTGGTGAGGGAGGTGAGGGTGGTGAGGAAAATGCCAGTGGTGAGGGTGGTGGTGAGGGTGGTGCCGGTGCAGTGGCGGGAGGGAACAACGCGACGAACGCGACGGCCGGCGGGTTGCTGACTGAGCCTGCGCGGGTGAGGAGGAGGAGGGTGGGGGTGGTGAATTTGGCGAGGCATATGCGTTGAGATGGTTGTTGATTTCGGGTGGGATTGGGGGGTGGGGGAGTAAAGTTGGAAATAGCAAGTTTCCGAGTAATCCATAGTGAATTTGCCTGTCATCATGTTGCAAATTCTTCGAGGCTATGACCGTTCCAGAAGGGTTGTAAATCACTCCACCCCGATCACCCAGCACCTGCGAAGCTTTATTAACAAAGAAAAGACAGCATTTCTAAAACTACGAAGGAGACCCGGCTCCCGCTGTCAGCCCAGCGCAAGTTCAACTCATAGAATGAGATCCCATCCCCAAATTTCTAACCAGTATAAGTTCGACATGAAACAGTCTAGTACAGAGCTTCACAATCGTACATTTATTATGGTAACCATGCTGACTTGGTCAAACCCTCCTAACACCCGGAACCTAAAGTTATGAGCCAAGCCAGTCACCATTGCTTTGGGGGGGGCTGCTTTTGGAACCCTGTCTCTCGCCATTGCTACTCATTTAATGCAAGGCGGTTTCTAGTCGACCGGGGGCTGAAGCCGTTCAGACCGAGAAAAGGCATTGTTCAAAGCCAAGCAACACCACACGTGGTCTTTGTGGTACCATATTCAATATTAATAAAGCCGGGCATCTTTCAAAATGACGCGCGAGTTTGGCCATAAATAAGACGGTGAAATGGTCTTTGATGACACCCCCCACAACGACCACATATTTCGAACACAAGTAGTCATAATTAGGTAGTTGCCTCGGTATTCTGTACAGAGGCAAGGCTGTCGACAAGATGCCAAACAAATCAACCTTTCCGGCTTTCAGCTCCCTCCCCGTGGACATTCGCAAAGATATCTGGGTTGAGGCGGTGAAAACAAGTATATCATACCCATCCATGTACTTTTTCAACATCAACCGAGACATCGACGTCAACGTCCAAAAGATATTAGACCGCAACTTACAAGAGATCGGCGACCGTTGGCTTGGAAACCCGTCACGGGGGGATATGGAAACTCTGGTTCAACTGATCCAAGAAGTCTCAACGGCGAAACATGAATTCTACACTTCGGTCATAGGTCTTGCACCAACGGTTGAAAGAACTGGACTAGCTCAATATTCGGCGTTTCACCAACTTGGTCAAATACTCGCAACATCCAAGGAGGCGAGGGAATGTTCTAGGAAGGCATTCGAGGGAATTAGGAGGACGACAAGCTCTCTCGTTTTGGGGGACGACTACGGTGACAAAGGCCACGCGGTTGTTGACCCATCTCGGGACATTGTTTGTTTTACCGGCCCCGAGAATACCACCACATCCCACGTTCCGTTCTTTACCGAGCGGACTCTAGACAACTTGGCCCTGCTTTCTACGTATGGACAAGGGATGGAATTAATAAAACCCGAGAACCACGAACGAGCTTTGAAGCATCGTTCCCAGTTCTCTGTTAGCCCCAAGGACGATTACAGCTACCACGTTTCGCTGGTGGATGCCTACCCCTACTTAAAAGCCGTTGAAAGAGTGGCATTTAATTACCGGGAACCGGTCGATTCGACACCGCCGAGTGGGCAGAAAGCAACCTATTCAGAGCGGATCGGCCTGTCCGAACTGTGGCCCGGGAACCTCCCAGGCTTGAAAGAGGTATACTTTATCGACGAGTCCATCTCACTCAAGCCGGGGATTCAGCGCCCGCCTTCCTCAACCCCGGCCTTTGAGGGGTTTGGCGCTACCTTCTACGAGGTGACCAAAAGCGATACCGAAGTTTGGGACATCAAGATCACATCGGGTTACCCGCCAGCCGCCGTGTTTCGGGATGCCGAGTACCTCCATTCGCAATACTGCGGCACTTTGGGATTTCACTCACATAACGCCCCGGCAGTCAAGGTTCTTGCTTGTGTTCCGCATGACGGTTCCATCGGGGAGCGAAAGCATAAAGCATAATTAAACCACGGACACGCTAGACGAAAGTCGCTGGAATCAAACGGTACCTACCTAGGTAGCAGATAGGTAGCCAAGTAGCCGTCGCATTACGAATTGTTCCAAAGCATCATCTATTAGTCGAGCGAGATGCTGTTGATGCAATGCAACAGAAGACTAAAACTTGCAAACTCCGGTCCCATAGTCAGGATCCCCGCCCGAGTTCATATACTGTTACTGTGGGAGAGTCCGTTGCCCATTGCCAGGATATCCCAGCTCAAAGATGGTAGTTGCCGCTCTAGCCTCTCGTGTATGTCATCAGGTGGGTACTTACCCGGGCTTTTCTTCATGGTTTCCAAACTGAATCATTATGGGTTCTTCCCCAAAACATCCTCCGTTGTGTCTTCCCTCCCGCTCCCCTCCAAATTCAAATACCCAGTCAGCACTTGTTTCCACTTACACTTCTCGAAATGCGAGTGGTAAACACGGCCCAGTCTGGCCCGCCCTCGGCATCCCATTCATTGTCGAACATATGCCGCCACAAGCCGCTCAACAACAATCAGGTTTTAAATTGCCCTCGTTGCGGCGCGGACATCTACGAGTTGCGGCCCAGGCGTGAAGGCCCAATGGATGCTGTTCCTGACTTGCCCGAATTATCCCGCGAGGGTAACGAACACGACGCGCTAGAGATGGCTGAACAGGTCGACAAGCTCAAACAATTGATATGCTCCCCCAACAAACACATTACGAAGTCGGGGGCACCCTATCCGCGAACGTTGCGGCCGGTGAACGACTCCCCCGACGAGATCTTGACGCGGGTGGTCGAGAAGATGCAAGCGGCAATCCGTCATGCGGGACAAGGATCCGCCGATGCGCTGCTCCGATCAAAGCTCAAGGGAAAATACGCTTTTTGCCGACCCCTCCGGCCGGAGCACATCCTTAAATCCGTAGGCGGTATCCTATATGATCAGGAATGGACAGGCAACCTAACGCAGGGGATGATTCCTGACCACACAACTCTAGACAACACCAACTCGACCATCTACTCTACATCCAATTACGCGTTCGAGATGATGCTTCTCGTGGACTACGGGTTCCCACCCTGCCCCGTCCGATCGCCATGGTTCTGGTTCAGAAGAGTCTTTCTCGACATCCCCTGGACCCAGTTTGAGCATTTTTCTCGTTTCCTCACCGCCGTAGCCTGTCGCTGGAACGAGGGTCACCTCCCGGACCCGGCAGCGTGGGAGTACATCGCTCGCAAGATGGGCATGTTCTACCTCCGCGGGCTCGAGGTGTGGGATGTCGCTACCCTTATCTATTACTATTACACCCGCCGCGAACCGGTCGATAGCGAGTCAGCGAAAAGGGGATGGACAGGATATACCGGTGTCTTGCAGGAGATGGTCAACGAGGTTCCTAAGCGTGGTACCGATCGTCTAGCCCGCAAATTGTCGCTTGATATCAATCTCCTCATCCCAAAGTTCGTCTCGGATCGAGAAAAGCGGGAGCTGATGTTGTGCAAGGCTAGGCGACTCGTGCATGAGTACCATTTATCGACGATCTCGGACGCTAGGACTCAGGAGAAGGGCGGTTGGCTGGAGTCTGTGGATAGCTTGTTTTCGTCCGATGCGGTGGCTGAGAAGGAAAATGAATCATAATACTCTAGGGGGGATTCTAGGGACATGTAAGAATATTCAGTTTTCTAGCTTAAAAGCGATTATACAGGCCATTTCCACTAATATTACCACAAATAGTTCAATGGTTATAATATTGGTATATTCTATGAAAGAAGCATTAATACTTTACGTTTTTTCTACGTAAAACTTTATAGCTTTTCCTTTTTTTCTTTTTTTCTTCTTCTTTTCTTTCTTCTTTTCCTTTCTTTCTTTTCCTTTCTTTTTCTTTTTTTCCTTTTTTCTGACATATCATATGTGAGAGATCCACGGCCTCTGCTTACTCGAGCTGAGTCGAAAAAAGGCCATAGACCTAGAACAGGCAGAAAAGAATATATGGCTGGTTGACTTCATTTTGGTTGTTGTTATAGTGAACAAGAACACAAGAACTTACTACTTTAAACTAAAAGACAGCAAAGCTACCTAGCTAGGTAGGTTTGGGCCTGACGCCCCAAACTTTACTCCCACCCTTCGTGTCTCCTCCCACCTGGTTAATCACCAAGAACATAAGGCAACCTTTCATGACCGTTAACAAGCCCCCCCCCCCATACCCAACCAGCGTGCCCAATATCTTAGTAGCCGAAAGGCGAAACGAGCCGTGAACAGCCGGGGAGAACGGTGTAACGAACCCCTACCAGTGGCAGAGTTATCACCAGTAGCGTTGTGGCGAGTCAGCAATTGCACCGGATGGTATGGTTCATCGACTATTTTACAACTAATGTCTAATGTACAAGGTCAACTATGCCACGGCTACCTAGGTCATGTACAGGATCAACTACAGAACAACTAATGTACAAACATGGCGGCGGCTTCTTATCTACCTACTCTCTCATACCTAATTTAATCCCCAAGACGGTGTTGTGGTACGAGATCGAATGTTGCAGCGCGGTGAATGGCGGGAAATGAGTCCGGCAGGGCGGGTTGATGGCGCAGGGTGAGTTGCTGTTGATCTAGTTTCGGATGGGGGGGTCTAGAGAAGGCGCCGGTATAAGACGGCAAAATGTCAGTCTCGACGGCGGGACGCGATATAGTAGTCGGTTTTGATAGCTGGCTTGTTCCGAAAAATTCGCACGCTGGAGGGGATTTCGACGCAATGCGTCATCCATGCGGCTTGGGGTCGGTGGTGGGTTAAATTTGGATAGCACATTGCCGAATACGGATGGGCCCGTCTGGAAAGAGGCCGTGTTCGATTATGGCGAGCATGTCGGTGTTTCGGCGTTGATGTAACACCCTGGTCAGGGGCTGCGAAACGGTGCCGAAAGAACGGGCTGCCAGGTTTGATATGGGCCGAACTTCTGCTAATTCGAGTCAGGAATCCTCAGGTGAAGAAAAATGAAAAAGCTCTAGGACAAAAGCCAGTGTGGCAAGTTACCTTTGCGGTATGCCAGGACAGGGTTTGCCTCTTCTTAGCTCATCGGTGACCAAGTTCGATGAGGAACACCCATCCACGACGGTGACGTGAGAGGCTTCGGATGGGATAAGAATACCCGCCCAGACGGGCAAAGCAGGGCAAAAACAAACCAAACTTGAAAAATAAAACAAACACAAGCCAAACGATAAAAATATAAAGCCATCACCCCCCCGGCACCCCCGCAGCCGCCGCCGCCGCCACCATCGCCGCCACCACCGCCCCCATCACCACCGCCGCCGCCGCCGGCACCGGAGGCAGCCCGGCCCACCGTCCCACCGCCGCCACCACCGGGCGCAGCTGTCCCGGCGGTATCGCCGGGTTCCCCTCCACCCACTCCACCAACGCCACCACGACGCGGCCCACGGACTGGAAGAATTCGGGCCGGAGGACCCGACGCACCAGGGCGCCCACCCGCCCGTAGGCCCACCACACACCGGAGCCCAAAGCTCCCACCACCCCCCCAACCCAGCACGCCGCCCGGACAACTCCATCCCACGCCGGCCCAACCACCGCCCACCCCTCCCAGTCCCGCAGCGTCTTCCAACCCACCCAATCCCAGACCCCCCACTCCCCCACCCACTCCCCCACCGTCAACACCACCCCCCGAACAGCCAACACCACCCACACCACCACAACAATCGGAAGGTGCGCGAGGGGCACCCCCGCGGCAGAGGCAAAAGCGCCAAGGAAAAAGACAGTGTCTAGCTGGGGCGTCAGTCTCCATCACTTCCAAAAAGAAAAAAAGAAAAAAGAAAAAGGCGCCCATGCACATGTGGGTGGTGGAGGGGGAGGGAAAGGCAATTCCGTCTCTGTGAGTGATCAATGGGCTTTGACGGCAAGTAAGCAAGTGAAAAACTTCTCATTTGCCGACGGCCAGGTCTGTTCGACGGGGAAACGGGTTTGATGTCCCCGGCTGGTATAGCTGGGCATGGGGCCAGTCGAGCATGCCGCCACTCGTCACGGACAAGCGTGTCAGGGGCATCTTTGCGACGAGGACGGGACGGCGGGGGAGGGGGACGGGGCGAGCCCGCTGAAGCCAGGAAGGGTGCTTGGTTGGGTGGGTGACAGGCGGAAAACGGAAAACCTCACTTACAAAAGTCCATCTTGGCTGGCTTGAAGAAACAAAGAAAAGAGGGAGAGAACTCGGTACGCATTTTCCTAGATACATCCATCTCTGAGTAGCTTGTTCCCTTCGGGTAAGAGCTATACACATCCTCATTATTGGAAGCATGACCTGATGTCCAACTGCAAGTGCGCTCCAGACTTTCAAGTTCAGGGCGACGACGCGGGTACGTCATATTTAAAAAGAAGTCCTCGTAGATTCTATTGGGAACTCACGCCTGGAAATTTAAAGGGACCTCTTGCCTTTTCAAACAGTAGAGCAGACAAGTACTGCCAAAATCGTAAATCAGTCCGACGGGGACAAGGAGCGCACTGGGTACTCTCCGACCCACGACCCCGATCAAGAATTGGAAAAAGACAATGACGCTTCCACAGTGTCATATACATATACCCGGCTGATTGGTACTCCGAACGTTCCCAGCCCTAGTACGATAATGGTACCAAGTCGACGGCATGTGACGATGTTCGGTAGTAGGGAATAAGGAATCGCGAATCATGCTAATTTACGGACATTCCAATTATTATCGGAGGCTAAGTGTTGTAGCTGATTCGATATGTTTACACTTTTGGGATCCCATCTGTCAGTGAAGATCCAGCCCTGGCCAATGTCTCACCGCCAGATCATAGGCCCAGCTCCCCCAGCGCCATAACCGGGGCCCTCTCCGCCCGCTCCGGTCCGGCAACCAAAAGGGCCGAGGCATCGACAAGGCTTTTCTGCTTCCTTCCTCTTCCTCTTCTTCCTCATCCCTTTCCTCCCGCTCCTGCCTTGCCGCCGAGGCCTTTATCACGGCAACCACAGGTGTCAGCGCCCAGGTATCACCCAGGGATTTCCTCCACCCACTTTGCAGCTGCTTCCAAGAGACCAGAGAGGGACCCGCAAAGTCTGGCTCCAAGAACCCAAGAAACGCCGGCACAAACCCGCCCAGTCCAGTACCTAACCAACCCCCCTCCCCAACTCCGCCCGGCCTCCTCGGGTCCCCTTTCTCTTCGTCCTTCTTCCCCCGCCCGCGGCAACCACCGCCATCACCCAACACACGCCTCGCCACACCACCGCGCCAGCACCAACGGTGATATCGGGAAAGTCGGAAAATTGCGGCTCGTTTCGCAACAGGGGGTCATGCGGCCCCTTCTGCTTTTTCCCGCAGTGGTATTACATCTGCGGCCCAGATTACGCACTAAATGTCGAAAGATTGTACCACATCTCTGATCGCCTTGGTTGCATGTCGTGCTTCGATATAGGCGTCCCTACCGCCACCGCTACGCCAAGTATGGCTTAAACAGAGCTTCAACTTCGATCGTGCCGAAAAATAATAGGAAAGAGAAGAGGAGTGGAAAGTGGACGCTGATTGAGTCCGTTGTGAATTTTTCTGAAGAGAGAAGAAAGAAGCGGCGCGGATCTGCCTAGGCAGGCACAAGAATTTATCACCAGTTGTATTGTGGCGGGTCAGCAATGGCACCGGATGATGTTTTTCATCAACTATTTTACAACTAATGGACAGACACGGCGGCGGCTTCTTATATATTCTGTCATGATTTGATCCCCAAAACTGTGTTGGTGGCGCCCGCGACGTGATCGAATGCTGAAGCCCGGTGAATGACGAGAAATGAGTTCGGTATGACGTGTTGGTGACGGATGGTAAATAGCCGTTGACCTGGTTTCGGATGGGGGAGTTCTCGAGAAGGTACCAGTATCCCGTATGACGGTAAAAATGCCAGTCTCGACAGCGGGGTGCGATATGGCGGTCGGTTCTGATAACTGCCTTGTTCTGAAAAACCGAAAAGCTGGTACACTGGAGGGGATTTCGACAAAGTGCGTTATCTATATGGCTTGGGGCGGGTGGCGGGTTAAATTTGGACAGCTTATTGAAAGACCAGCTTATTGAAAGACGCCGTGTTTGATCATGGTGACGATATCGGTTCGGCGTTGATGCGACACCCTAATCAGGGGCTGCCAAGTTTGACTGGGGCTGAACCTCTGCTAATTCGGGTTAGAAATCCTCAGATGAAGAGAAACAAAAAAGCTCGAAGACAAGGGCAGTGTGGTCAGTTACCTCTGCGGTATGAGGACAGAGCTTGCCTCTTCTTAGCTCATCGGTGACCAAACCCGGTCATGGATGAGGAACGCCCATCCACGACGGTGAGGTGAGAGGGTGAGAGGCTTCGGATGGGATAGAAATGCTGGCCCAAATGGGCAAAGCACGCCCAAACTTCAAACAATAAAACAAACCAGAAACCAAATCATCACAACCCCCCCCTCCGCCGCCGCTCCCGCCACCACCGCATCCATCACCACCTCCGGCACCCCGGCCGCCGTCGCTCCCGCCGTCGCTCCCGCCGCCGCCGCCGCCACCACGAGACGGGCGAGGCCCTCGCGGGCATCGGGCATGAGGGCCTAACCCACACAGGCACCCGCCCGCCCGCAAGCCCACCAGACAACGGAGGCCCAACCTTCGACCACGACCCCGCAAACACGCACCCTCACACCCCAAACTTGCAGCACCACCACCAGCACCACCGCAGAGATCGCCCAGTCCGGGGCGTACTTGGCCGTGACGTTAGCCAGAACGGTGTTCGAGTATATTCTCTGGCAGGGGCGTATTTGGCCGTAACGTTGGCCAGAACGGCGTTGGAGTAATTTTTCGCTGGCAGGAGTGTCAGTCTCCATGAAAAAAAAGAAAAAGGGCACGCGGGTGGTGGGGATGGTGAGGTTCCCTGCTGTGACTCCAATCAATAGATTTCAACGGCAGGTGGGCAAGTACCAAAAGTGAGAGAAAGACCTAATGGCTTACCGTACTCCATCATGGTGGGCATGAAGAAAGATGAAGAAAAGGGAGTGAAAAGTGGACGCTACTCTCGTTGGGTTTATTGTCGATCGTTCTGTGGGGAACAAAGAGAAAAACAAAAGAAGCGGTGCGGATCTGCCAATGGTAGGTAATTTAAAAGACCGATATCCTTGTGCTCGGGAAAGAGCTATATCCATCCCCGTTAGTGGAAGGAGGGCCTGATGTCCGAGTGCATGGAAGTGCGCCCCGAACTTGAACTTTGGGGCGGCGGTGTAGATTTGACGTGTCTAAAGGAAAGAACTCCTCGTAAGTCCATCGACAACTCACGCAAAAAGCCTCCTGTATTCCGAAACAGAAAAAAAGCAGGCAAGTCCTCCCAACACTTTTGATACTCAAGTTTGGCAGGAACGAGGCCCGCAGCTGGGAACCCTCCAATCCACAAGCCCGATCAATGATTGGAAAGAGATATTCACGCTTTCAGGGTAGCCGTGCATGTGCCTGGCAGATTGGCACCTTGGATGTTGTAGCGTTATGATGATGACCCAACTCCACGACATCTAAAGGGGCTTGTCAGTTGCGATTTGCGGCTTCTTTACGATATTCCAGCCATTGGAAGATGATTGTCGTAGCTGATTCGATGCGAGATGGCTGCGGTCTGGGGATGTCGAGCGTTGGGAGGGGTCCCACCCTGGATGCGGCGACACGAGAACTTCAAAGGCTGGAAGATCACGAGAATCCTGCAGTGCCAAAAGTTCATTCCAAGAGGCTGGTTACCTATCCAACATCTTTCTTTGTCAGGATCTCGAAAGCAACACCACGACGTCCGTTTCGCAAGAGATACCGCACCAGTTGCCATGCCCCTGGAGCATAACGGCGAAGGATATCTCACACGAGATATGATCAAGTTAGGGGACAGGCTCCATCCCGAACGGCATGCCCATTCATTCTCCTTAACTTAAGCTACCTACTATCTCCCAGCCGTTTCCCCCGCCCCTAACCAACCCAGCCCCTTTTCCTCGGCGCACCACACCCGCACCCTCCAGCACCAGAACCCTACGAAGCCGCACCCATCCCATCCAAGGACAGGCACGACCCCCAACCCCTAAAAGAACGACCCCCTATCCCCATACCCATACCCATACCCATACCCAACCCCATCCTCATCCCCACCCCTCCCCCCCATCCGCATCCCCATCTCCATCCCCCCTGACCACCCCCCCGGGCATCCGCATCCCATCCACCCCCATCCGCATCCCATCCACCCGCCCCAGCGCCCTCGCGCCCCTCGCGCCCCTCTCGATCCGCCGCCGCAGGATGATGCTAGGCACGCGCTTACGATGCAGGCGAGCCGGCCTAGGCGCGCCCCGCGACTCGAGGATGCGCAGGGTGTGTTGGCGGTGCTGCTCGATGTGGGCGCGTTGCTGCTGCTGCTGCTGCTGCTGCTGCTGGGATTGGAGTCGAGTAGGGGTTGGGGTTGTGGGTGTGGGTGTCCGAGTGGGAGTCGGGTTTGTTGATGGGGTTGGGGGGGTTGTGGGAGTTGGGGGGATGGGTGGGAGGGGCTTGTTGGTGTCGATGGCTTTGGCTGGGGCCTGGGGGGTGGTGGGTGTTGCTGCTTCTTGGTGTGTGCTTGTGCTTGTGTGGAATGGGCTCGATGGAGTTGGTCCCCAGGTCGGGGTCGTTGTCGGAAACGGGGTCCCTGTCGGTAACGGGGTCGCTGTGGGGGACGGGGCTCGGGTCTGCTGGGCTTGCTGTTCGGGGTGGGTGGACTTCCGGGTGGCCTGCTGCGTGGTCGGGTGCCCGAGCCGCTGTAGCACCCTGTCGAGGGTTTCCTTGTTGAGGGAGATTCGGCGTCGCAGGGCCTCGGAGTCCCGCATTGTCTGTCCAGAGGCCTTGGATTTATGCTTCTTAGGCCGGGAGAGGAGACAGCCCATTGTCGCGATGAGTCTGGGGCGTGCGTTGCAGCGGCTCAGGCGGATTGTGATTTGGCCGGCGAGTTGGATCTGGTGGGAAGCAGAGTTTGTGAAAAGGGTTTCACCTTTGTGACCCAGAGAAATGGGAAGGACTAGTGCAATATGTGCTGGACCTGATCCCCGTCATCGTGATTCCGTCCCATCTTGAAGATGGGGTTGAGGGTGGTGTTTAGACCCCCTATGTGCTCAACCTCATGCCGGGGAAGTGGCTTCCGTCTGAAGTGCAAAGATAGGGGTGACTCTGTTTACCAGATGACCATTCAGTGAAGTTGGAAGGGCTTGAAGCCACTGCTGTTAGATATATGACTTGTAGTTCTTTACGTTATGGTGAGTCTACCCGGTCATCTTCACCCTGCGCCTGAAGGTCATCACAAGGTGTCCGCTCTCATATCAAAGACATGTGGTTGATAGGGGTGAACCAGACATCCTTTGAGCTCACAGTGCAAATAATCACATGAGCATTACGTATGGCTGATAACTTCATGCAATGAGTATATCACTTGATCTTGGTTGTTCACGTTCTCATGGTCATCAAACAATGACCACTCCAGGGCACCTCAACAGCAGCGTGGAAGAAGAAAAGGATGTCGGCGAACCTCCGTGTTTCGGGTTATGATACCACAGCTACCATCTTAAACTAACAAACAATGCAAACAGTAGAAAATTGATAGTCAAGTTGATATCAGAACGGCCCTAGAATTGCGACACTCGTTGATATTTGCATTCAGGTGTTGGGCACAGAGCTCCATCTCTAACCCGCACCCTAGTCAAACTGAAAACAAAGTACGAACTATTTACAAAAGCCACAGGCCATGTCCTCACTGTCTCATTATCACCACCAGATGATCGCTATCTAATCCATCTACCCACATCAATATACCCAGACAAACAAGGAATCATGACGTCGTAACCAGGCTATCAACAGCCTCATCGAATCCTCCCTCCTTTATGCATTCCATGCCGTATCAACAACCCAAAGCCGGGCCAACACACCAGGATATATACCCACCATCAAGAGACACAGATAAGAAACCGGAAACCACGTTGCATTGCCCACTCTTCAATCGTCCTCCCTCCTCCCCCCAGCCACCTCACACAACCAAACCCTCAAACATAGGCGCGGTGATGCGAGTGCGAGCTCCTCCGGCTCCCATGGCGTTGACCGCTGTGGCTGCGATGGCGGCTATGGCTATGGCCACGGCTGTGGCTGCGACGCCTGGTCTCGACATAGCGCTTCTCGCTCTTGACGGCATGGTCGCCATGGATCCAGGCCATGATGGAGGTGACGAAGAAGAAGACGATGTTCATGATGCCGAGGGCGAAGCAGGCCTTGAGCATGCTGCAGGACTTGTTGAAGGAGACGTCGAAGCCGGTGAAGCTGGCGGAGCCGACGATGCCGAGGTCGATGGCGACGGTGGAGCCGGGCTGGATGGAGGCGCAGTCGGCGCTGGCGATGAAGCGCAGGTAGTAGACGCCGGCGATCAGGGCGCCGACGAAGCCCAGGTCGATTAGACCGACGAACTTGGCGTTGGCCGATGACCGGTGGTAGCTGAACAGCGTGAACACGGCCCACGCCAGCGCCAGCACCGAGACGATGAACATGACCAGGATGTGGGTCGGCGTCATGACGTTGACCTCGAGGTGGATGTTGACGAACCAGGCGAGCATGCCCATGATAGGGATCTGGTTGAAGGGGTCAGTCAATCTGAAGTTTGGTTGGTGAGGTATATTGGTTGGCGAGGTCGTGAGGTCCTGCTTACCAGGGTGACGATCTGCAGGAAGCGCCAACAGGCGAACATGATTCCGAACAACATGGCGGCGGTGGTGTTGATGCGCGGTCGATGGTTTGGTGGTGTTTGGTTTTCAGCGATCGCGGTCTTGAAATTGAAGTCGCGGTGAGAATCCAGCCGAGACTGGTTGGGTGACTTCCGTTGGGTGCCCGACTTTTAATTCGTGGCACGCACAGTGAGATCCTGCTGCCGGCGCAGCTAAAGAGGGATTGGTAGGTTCCCGGATCCCGGACTCTCTCAATTGTGCGACCCGTGCCGTAGGGTGCTTGCGTCGCTGTTAGGCAACTTTCAAGGTCGGCCTCCACTCGATGGAGGTGAGGGATAGGTTCACTCGTACACCGAATCGGTATACACAGTATCTCGTCCCAAGAATAAACCCCAATGCCTCCGTTGAGCGATGCAAGAAAAATCCTTATGACGTCTGCGCTGATCGCCCTGTCGCAAAGCCCAACCCGAGGATGCAGGCAAGCGGGGTTGGTTCGATGGTTGGCACAGGAACAAGCTCAGGAACCGCGCCGCTAACTGAAACCAGCGAAAGATGCCGGCCTGGAAATCTGCAAACGAGGAAGGATGGAAGAGGCCCAGGACTTTGACAGCTCGGGTTGAAAAACAATCGCCTCTGGTCAAAACAAATCTGAGAAAATACAGACCGCAAAAGCCGACTTTCTCTTCCGCTTGGAGGACCTGCCATCTCATCGTCTCCTTCCGAAAAAGAGGCTGGGCTTGCAGCTTTTCCCAATTTAGCCAATCAGCGTGAGGATTGGATGCTCGGCACCGGCTCCGCTGTCATAAATCCCGATGGCTGGTGTCACTTCAAATCGCGGCGCTGTGCCGTGGCTGTCTCACTCATGCTTGGCTTCGAGAAACTCACCACACATTTGTTCGATCCACAGCCAACTCTCGATCAAATAAAACTCGAGATGATGAAACATGTCGAATCGCCGGCCCCACACCGTCCGGCTCCGACTCCGGACCCACACCGGCCTCGGGCGCCGGTCCGTTCCTTCAACGGGCCCACTGGCTCTGACGACGTCTGTCGATGGTGGGAACGAAGTCCATATCTTGTGAAGAACTTGACTAAAACACAATACTTCCAACGAGGCTGGTACAAAGAATTTCCAAGGCAGATGATTGGGAGCTTCAGAGACTCCCTACTTAACTGTAGACTACTAACAGAGGACACTGGCTCGAGACAGGCTTGACTTGACGCTGGACTGTTATCGCCCGTTATCTGGGCCTGCTCCTTCCTTATCGTTGTGTGGACGACCTCCCCACCTTCCCAGCATGGGTCCCCCACTGTCAGCAACACTGGAAGGTGCGGTTCTCAGCACTCAATGATGGATCGTCAGGAACTGCCGTTCTTCCCGCGGCGGCAGACGCACGAGAGCGGCGGTAACAGGTAGGTGGCCATCGGCTGGGCCCGCCCGATCTCTCATGTCCGTGAGCCCGGAAACGGGAACTGATCCTGAAGCATGGCCGGTTCCACATTCGCCTCTGGGGGTTCCATTCTACGTGGATCCCGCCGAGATACGGAAACAAGATAAGCTGCCGGTTACGCTTGGACATGAACACATGCATGTGTGTGGCCAGCAACCAACATGAGACCGGGGACCTTGGTTTGCCATTAAAAGCTCTGCTTCCAGGGCTTGCTACAACTACTGGCAATATGTTCTATCTCCTGTCAATTGGATGAGACTTGTCTCTCCCGTCTGCACACCTTCTGGTTTGAAGAGTCCCTCATTCAGACCACCATATTTCCCCGCCGACGATGGATGAAGACCAGGTGCCGTCACAAATCCTCCCGGAGCCGGCTCCGAAGCGGACCCTCGGTTACCGATTACACGCCGTAAAGAAGGCGCTCCTCACGAAAGAGGGCCTCATCGGCAACTACGACTATGCCTTCCTCTTCCGCCCCAATCTTCCTTTCATGAAGAAGGCTGATAGGCCACCCCCCTTTTTCGGCCTCAATGACCGAATGCCCGTGGTTCTGTCCCTGCTCCTCGGCTTCCAACATGCCCTCGCTATGCTGGCCGGTATTATCACGCCCCCCATTCTCATGGCCGGCGCCGGCGGGGTGAATCTCAGCACTGAGCAGACCCAGTATCTGGTATCCACCGCCCTGATCGTGTCTGGTATCCTGTCCGCCGTCCAAATCACGCGCTTTCGCATCCTCAAAACCCCCTATTACATCGGAACGGGTCTCATCTCGGTGGTCGGCATCTCCTTCGCCATCATCCCGGTCGCCTCGGGTGCCTTCAGCCAGATGTACGCCAACGGCTTCTGTCCGACTGCCGAAGACGGCACGCCGCTGCCATGTCCCGATGCCTACGGTGCCGTGCTGGGTACAGCGGCTGTCTGTTCGCTCTTAGAAATCCTCATCTCGTTCGTGCCGCCCAAGATCATCCTACGCATCTTCCCGCCCATCGTAACGGGGCCAACCGTCATGTTGATTGGCATCAACCTGATCGCCTCCGGTTTCAAGAATTGGGCGGGCGGCTCCGGCCCCTGCGCCGACGCGAACCCGACCGAGTTCTTTGCCCTGTGCCCCGACATCTCCGCACCGCATGCCTTGCCCTGGGGATCGGCCGAGTACCTTGGTAAGCCCCTTTCCAACTTCCAAGAATGTGTATCCCCTGACTGACAACCCCAAGGCCTGGGCTTCTCCGTCTTCGTGACCATCATCCTCTGCGAGCGCTTCGGCTCGCCCATCATGAAGTCCACCAGCGTGGTGATCGGCCTGCTGACGGGCTGCATCATCGCCGCGGCGTGCGGCTACTTCGACCGCTCGGGCATCGACGCGGCGCCGGCGGCGTCGTTCATCTGGGTGCACACCTTCAAGCTGTCCATCTACGGGCCGCTCGTCCTGCCGCTCATGGCCGTCTTCATCATCTGCGCGTGCGAGGCCATCGGCGACATTACGGCGTCGTGCGACGTGTCGCGCCTCGAGGTCGAGGGCGACATCTACGAGAGCCGCATCCAGGGCGGCGTACTAGCCGACGGCGTCAACGGCATGCTCGCCGCCCTCGCCACCATCACGCCCATGACCACCTTCGCCCAGAACAACGGCGTCATCGCCCTCACCCGCTGCGCCAACCGGTCCGCGGGGTATTGTTGCTGGTAAGCATCCTCCCCATCCATCCCTCCTCCCTCCCCATCCCTCTCCCCCAACCAAACCAAACCAACCCAACCCAACCCAACCCCCCCTTTGTCCACCCCTTCTCACCCTAACCCCGCTCACAGCATCTTCCTCCTCCTCGCCGGCATCTTCACCAAGCTCGCCGCCGCCCTCGTCGCCATCCCCCCCGCCGTCCTCGGCGGCATGACCACCTTCCTCTTCACCGCCGTCGCCGTCTCCGGCCTCGCCATCGTCGCCAAGGGCGTCCCCTTCACCCGCCGCAACCGCTTCGTCCTGACCGCCGGCCTCGCCCTCGGTTACGGTGCTACTTTGGTGCCGACGTATTTTAGCAGGGTGTTTACGGGCGTGGCGGAGGAGGATCGCGCGCTGAGGGGGTTGTTGGATGCCATTGCGCTGGTGATGGAGACGGGGTTCGCGGTGACGGCGCTGGTGACGGTGGTGTTGAATTTGGTGCTGCCGGTGGAGTTGGAGGATGGGGAGGAGGTGGCGGGGGATGGGGGGAGTGTGGTTGTTGCTGGGGGTGGTGGTGGTGGTGCTGAGGGGAGGGTTGGGTCTGGGGAACGTGGAGGGTCGGTTGATGGGGTGGTGGTAGAGGGGAGGGAGAGTGGGAGCGGGGAGTTTAAGGGAGGGAAATCGGCTTAGGGTGGGTAATGTTTGTTGGGAGGTTTTGGTGTATTTGGATACCCGGTTATACGTCGCTGGTTCAGCTCATGAGGTTTGGGATATGGGGGACTGTGGAAACGGTTTCTCGTGTTCCCTTCAGGATATTACGAATTATGGAAGTCTTTCCTCGCGCTCCTACCCTAAGTACTCTAATCAAGCTGCCTCCGGGGAGCACTCATCCCGATAGTAAGCCTGCATTGCCACACAATCATCAGCCAGATGCTTAATACTCAACGCTATAAAGAACTCCAGGTCATCCGCAGAGCAATGGAATACGGCCCTCTACAAATCCAGCATCACTCCCATCCACAAGCCGGAAGTTTGACAGGTTGCTGTCATCCTGATGCACGCTAAACGCGTGCGGTGCTCGGTAACACGACCGGAGTAGAGTTGACAGGTCTTCAAGCATCATCGTTGCATCCTCAGGCGATGAGAGGAAGATACCCGAGGTGCTCGACTATCTTGGCTGTTGTTCCATTATACCGTAGACGACCTTAAAACCTTGGTGTCACAACTCGCTGTAAGGGTTTGAGCCGGCCATAAGCCCTTACCTCAGTGACGAAATACTCCTCCTTGATCTTTTTTTCTTCACCTGGTCTTCACCTGGTTTTTGTGTATTCAAGACGACGTGCTGTGGGAGGAACTGTTCGCGAAAAGTCGTCTAGGCTCAGGACTGGATAAAGGCGGACAGGAGTCTAATACCCGATGTAACTAGGCCGGCTACCATTTCCGGGCGAAGATGAAGTTCGAGGACGTGTGGAATGAAGGTCGGGGATTTCCGAGGCGACAGCTGGGATGTGGCGTGTCCCAAACGAGAATTGCCTTCGGCCCTGTCCATGAGGATATCGAGATCGGAAGGGCACGACTACTTGCGCCTGACTTCGTTCGAGGCTCCCGTTCGATCGATCTAAGAGGAGCTGCTGAAAGCCGGTAGCACTCAGGTTCACTGGGGCATTTGTACTAAGGTAGTCGGATTTCGGGCGGCCGGCTGGGGGTTGTGTGTATGCATGGAGAAACACGCCAGTTGATACTGTTGTGAGAAGTTGGCACCGCTTTGAACCACAATGGTTTCCTATTACCACCAAAAAGATTGGCCATCACCCAGTCTATTGCATTACATTATTACTTTGCCGCCTCTGCCATACCCGTATCGTACCAGAAGCATCATATACACATATCCCAGAACCACGGCCCCAGCCCCCCGGGCCATCTTTCCCCACCATACACCTCCCCCTCCCAAACCCCAACCCAACCCCACTCAACGCCTCCCTTCTATTTAGACACCCCCAACCCACCCAAAACCCGCAGGAGACCCCACTAAGCGGGCAAGCCGAGCTTGTTGTTGGTCTTGCGGGTCATGACCTTGGTGATGGCGTGGCGGATGGTGACGCCGGCCTTCTCGACGTCCTTCTTGGACAGGCCCGACGTGACGCAGACCTTGAGCGCGGGCGTGACCGTGTACGTGTTGGTCTTGAGGCTGGCGTGCTGCGAGATGGGCATCGTCTTGAGACGGGTGACGAGGACGCCGTTGGCGAGGGACTTTTTGGAGAGGGGAGGGGTTAGTTTTTGTGACAAAGAAGGGGGGGTTGTTTATGTTCGGGGTTGGGGGACATACCTCGTCGACGCACTCCTGCAGCAGGCGCTCCTGATCCTCCACGCTCAGCCGGCGCGCCGCGACGACCTCGGGCTTGAATACCATGAGCATGATGGGGTTCTCGGGGGCGCTGGAGCACACGACCCAGTCGCTGCGGGGATCGAGCTGGGCGCGCATGAAGCGGATGTTTTCGCGGCAGTGAAGCAGGATCTCCGGGTTGGACTGCAGCAGGTTGATGCTCTCGCTGGCGGTGACGGCGAGCATGGCGGGTAGAGCGGCCGAGAAGGTGTAGGCGGTCGACGAGACGCGCTGGTGTTCCACCACGTCCTTGGCCCCCGCGCAAAAACCACCGCCTGCGCAGAGCGGCCCCGCGAGCGAGCCCACGATCATGTCCACCTGGGTCGGGTCCACGTTTTGCGCCTCGGTGAGGCCCCGGCCGGTGCGGCCGAGCACGCCGAAGGACCAGGTCTCGTCGAGCATGAGGCGGAACTTGTACTTCTCCTTGAGTTCGATCTGTGGTTTGTTAGCGAAAGCACATCCCGGCTAGACTTGTGAGGGAGGACTTGCCAGCTTGGGCAGGTTGTTAATGTCGCCGGTGGTCTCAAACAGCGCCTCGGTGACGATGAACCGCCGCGTTAGCTTCTTGCCGGCCTGCTCCTTAACCACTTTGCGCATGACCTGCTCGAGTTCATCCATGTCGCCGTGGTTGTACCATTTGACACTGCTCCGCGAGATCTCAAGCCCACGGCGGATCGAGTAGTTCACGCCCCGGTCTGCGACAATGATATCTCCTCTTTTGCAAAACGACGGGATCACACTCGAAATGGTCGAGAAAGAATGCGCGTAAACGATGCAGCCCTCGGTGCCGAGATACGAAGCGATGTCGGCTTCCGTCTTCATGTGAACGTCTTGGGTGCCGTAAAATTGTGGGGGACCGCAAGGGCCGACGCCGTAGGTGCGCAGGGTTTGGATGGCCTTCTCCTTGATTTGTTCGTTGGCGTTAAAGTTGTAGAAGTTGTACGAGGCGAGGTTGGTGACGGTCTTGCCGCTGGCGAGCTTCGACTTCGGGCCCGTAGGTCTACCATAATCTATCAGCAAAGGTCTTCCCACCCAAGTATTCTGTAGCCCCTTACCCAACAAGCACAGGCATCTTCTCCATCTCGGCCTCCTCTTGGGCAGTGGGCGGCGCCACCAACGGCTCCGGTGTCCATTCCTCGACGAGTTCATCGATTTCCTACCTCGCCTTAGTTAGTAGCCAACCCTGTCTGTCTCTACCACCTTTCCCACGGCGAAAAGACTCACGTCCTCGGTCAACTTGACGTAGTTCTGCTTCGAGGTCGAGTAACTGGGCGCGAGCAGGTATCGGATGAAGAAGATGACCAGCACCAGCTCAATAGCCGAGCGGACGGGGTCGTTCTGGTAGCTGGAACGGACGTAGCGGATGAGGACAGCCGAGCCAGGTACTTTTTGGAAAGTGACGGCTGCTTCCTGGAGCCACTGGTCCAGATGCGCCTGCGCCTCGTGCAGGTCCATTTTTGCGTTTGGGATGTGTTTTCGCCTGCGTGGTTCTGTCGTCGGGTCCGGATTTCGTCGGGGTGAACGAGAATGGGAGAATTGGGTATATTTCGGGGGTGCGACGTGGTGTGGTTGCCCCCTGGATCCGTGCTTGCACGAGAGAAAAGAAAGTCGGGCAGACGGCAGCTTCGGGGCGGTCGCGACGCGTGTCGCCGACAGAGCCCAGCCGACGGGATTTGGTTCAATCGTTCCACAAAATTCAGGGGAAAAAGGTGCAAATCCACAAGGTCTGGACAGGGGTCGCCCCACCGAAACTTGGCATTGAACCCAGGCCTCCGGGGAGTTGGATTTTGACACACGAGCCGCTGCCAGGAAAAGAGAACTCCGAGAAGAGTAATGCACAACGAAGTCTCATCCCATGTAAAGTAAGGGCAGCACTCCTCTACTTCGTACATGGCTACATAGACTACCACTAGAGAATACGACCATCGACGAGAAGGGTCGCCCATTCTCAACATCAAAGGGCAATTTTTCTGATCTTGAACGCACCGGCAACGGAAAGAACAAAGTCGCAATCATCATGGTGCTATTCCCTTCTAATCAAGATACTGCGTAATTCCACAAGCAGAAAAGCGTAGCAAAATAGACTGCATACCTACACAAGACACAGACCGAAAACAACAATACAAGTTGATTCCATGAGAACCAGCCCCAGTTCCATTCCCAGACAGAAAAAAAGAGCAAAAAAAGAGACAGCGTATTACGCTTGCATAGTGTATCCTCTTTCAGATCCGAGTCGCCAGACTCGTCTGACTGGTCAACCCTATTAAACAGTGTACAAAACAACCACTTCTATTCGTCCCCCTCCAAGATCACAACCTGAAAAACGCCGGGTCCACGCTTCAAATGTACAGAGCCCTCTTGTCAGACCCACTCGTAGCCGTCGCCCTGGACGACTCCGTCGTCGGCGTCCAGACGCCCGAGTAGCTTGCCGCGGCAGTACCAGTCTCGGTCTTGCCGCGCGTGTCGTCGTTGCTTAGACCGGTGGGCTGCACCAAATTGGTGCTCTCCAACATCTCAAACAAGCTCGCCGGGACGTACTTGCCCGCCACAATCGGCCCGACAATGAGCGCAAGGAATACGACGAGCAGGACGAAGTAAAGGATAGCATAGCGAACGACGCGTCTCCTCCGAAGCTTGGTCTGCTTCATCGAGTAGATCGGGGGGCGGATTTGCCGGCTGCGGTAGTGTTAGTCACCCGTGTCATCTATGATCCGGAGGGGGGTGCGTGGGGTTAACGTACCTGGGGCGAAGCCAGAAGAGCATGATCGAGTGCAGCTTGTCGATTTGCGGGATAAGGATAACGGGGGCGAAGAGGAACAAGATGACGTGGCCAAGAACGAAATCGCCCGCAAACATGCACAGCTCCGTGATCTTGCACAGATACTCACGAGCCGGCTGCGACATGGAGTGCCACCCCATCGAGTACCACTTACCGGTCCAAAACGCGATGTTGGACTGGTCCGTCTTGAACTCCCTTGTGAGCGTCAAGGAGATGATCAACTTGAAGACGAAGCGCTGCATCGCGATGGCCGCAATCATGCCCAGGAGGGTGCTGGGGAAATCGAAGCTCTGTAGGACGAACATGACCTCGAACATGACCAGAACCACGATCACGGCAATTGCGTGCGCAATGGCTGCGAGAACGGAGCCGAACTTCTTGCAGCACATGCTCAAGAGAGGACCCATGCAGCAGGCCATCGCGAAGAAGGCGGCCAGAGCACCGGCGTTGACGCCTATGGGGGCGAAGGCGACGATAGCGACTCGGAGGAGCGCGGCAGTTGCCTCCGTCTCCGACTTGCTGACACCTGTCTGCGCGTTCATGAATAGGTAAGGGATCAGCGTCACCGCGACAAGCATGAGGGGGGCCAAGATCTCCGCCCAAAGCAGGTTGGTGATGGCAGCCCGGGGTACATCGGACGACATCTTGCTGGACGGGTCTCCGAGAGCCTTGCGCTTGTAACCTGTGATCCTCGTCCGCGAAAGGCGGCAGAAAGCGATCCACGACGACGCGTGCGAGCGAGAATTGCCACGGGACAACCAGCGGAGGTAGTCGCGGTAGTCGATGAAGAAGTCGGTCCACGCGAACTGGTGGGGGTTGTAGACGAAGGGCGAAATCACGAGAGCAATCAGGGAGACCCAGAAATAGACGAGAGCCCCCTGCCAGACGGTTACCGTCGCAAACAACAGCATCAACAAGGTGCGAATGCCGAAGTAGATGGACGGGCCAGCAAACCGAGAGTACAGCACTCCAAACGGAATGCGGGCAGTGGCAAACCCACGTCCTGTGCCGATGTACCTGGCGCCTCCGAAAGTGATGTCCTGCGAGACCGAGGTGGCATAGATCTGGCAGACGAAGACTTCAAAGAAAGGCGAGAGAGATCCGAGATGTTTGGCGAAACGGGTTGCGGCGCGCAGCGGACCCCGCTCCGACAGCTCTTGGACGATAAGAGGGACGAACGAGATGAAGTAGACGAAGAAGATGGAGAGAATGCAACGGTACACCCAATCCATCAGCGCGTCCGTGTTCGCGCAGCCCGTAGGGAACAAAGCATCCGTGATGGGCACGTCCGGGTTGTACTCGCAAGGAATCGTCTCCCTCCGGAGAACGCCGATTTGGAGCAGGCAAACCATGAACAACTGCACCGACAGCATGATGAACATGTTGTTGACGTGGAAACCGGGATGGGCGTAGTAGAACGAGAGGAAGCGATCCAGGGGCAGCTGCGTTCCCAAGTAATAGTACTCTCTGGAGAGCATTTGCTCGCCCATACCAGTTCCAATCTTGGTCGTGAAGTTGAGAATAGAACCAAAACCAAGATCACGACCTTTACCACATTGGTAGTATTCGCAGTGCTTGATGCGGCCACCACGGAGCAGGGCGTTCATACCGGCGTAAATATCTTCGTTGAGATGGAGACCTTTCTGTGCCTTGGAGACACCGCCACGGGTGTTCATGAAAATGCCATTGAGGAAATCAGGATGACCGTAATGGAGCTTGCCACCGACCTGGGCGAGAGTTCTCGCAAACAGGGTGCCGAAGGTCTGTTCCTTACCGGCGGCTATATCACCGAGGATACCGATGTTCTCCGAGAAGATGTATTCACGAGCACCCAAAATAGCGACCGGGGCGACAGGAGCAGCCTTCACGCCAGGGGTGTAGGGCGATACCTCGTCAGTCGACATTTCCTCGAATTCGGCAAGAACGCTGCGGATCTTGAGGCATTCCTCGAGGTAGTTGTCTTGGTTGGCATCAATGAGCTGGATGTATTCACCGCGGTAAAAGATGATGGAGTGGTTCTGGTTGTCGGATTTGCCGTCACCAAGAATCGGGTTGCCAGAGAGCTGGATGCGGAACTTGGGCCGGCGCATACCGTTCTCCATGATCTCGGAATGACCATCAATGAGGGCAGAGTACAGACGGGGCTCCTCGCCTTCGTTGAGGGGCGGCTCCTCGTCAAGGTACGCGATCTGAAGATCGGGGTAGGCACGGAGCAAGAACTCGGCGTTCTCCATCTCTTCCTTCTTGAACTTGGAGTACCGCTGCATAGAAACGACGAGCTTGAACTTCCGGCGCGCCATGCGCTCGAGCTCGCGCTCGAGCTTGTCGGAATTACCGCCAAACATCTGGACGACCTCTGGGTTCTCGACGCGGTAGAGAAGCTTAATGGCGCGGCTGTAGTTCATGAAACCGGAAATTGTGCGGTACAGCGTTTGGAAGCGGAGCGAAGCCCAGATCCGAGTCCTGAGCGTGTATTCGGGAGCCGACGACTTGAAACCGATGCAGTAGAACGGCAGATCATCGATCTTGCTCTTGGCGGTGCCCTTCTCCTCCTTTTCTTCCTCGCCGTTAAACTGAGAAGTCTCGTCCGCCAAAATCTTGGTGTCCTTGACGAAGCAATCCCACTCGTGCGGGTGGAGCTGTTTGAGATATTCGAGAAGGGTGACGCGCGAGTACGGTTCATCCTCGCGGATGATCTCCCTCAAGGATAGAAGGATCTTCTCGCTGTAATGAGGGATCATGACGGTGAAGGTAGGCATGTTGTCAACCGGGAGGGGTTCAGGGATGGGTGTCGAAAGCGATTGCGCAAAGAACGAGATTCTCCGTTCGGCCTCACTGTGGCTGGGGAAGTATTCCGTCTTGAAAGAATGGTCCTCCTGTGAGACGAAGAACGTGGGGGCGCGAAGCGTACGCTTGCCTTCCTGCTCAGAGGGCACCTGGTGGTAGAGAAGCTTCTGGACATGGTCGATGGCCAACAAATGCTCCCGGTACATGGAAATGACAATAGCATTCCAAATTTGCGAGATCAGAACCTTCGGCTTGTACTTGATCGCCATGTCGGTGGTGGCCAGGATCTTGGAATACATGCGCTTCGGGAGCCGGGAGAAGACGTTTCTCCAGGGGGTCAAGATAGACGAACCGAGGTAGAACGACCGAGCGACCGAGATGCACGTGTTGACGACAACGTACATGAGGTATGTGTCCAAGAAGAAGAAGATCAGATCCGTGAAGATCATGAGACCGAGAGTGATCTGTGGCTGATATGGGCAGAGGTAGTTCTGCAAGATGGTATCGCCGATGCAGCTGCTGGTATCCATGATGTCGAGAAAGCGGATGGGATCACGGAGTGACAGGGCCAAAAACAGGTAGGACTCTCCAAACTTGGCGCCGAAGATCACAGCCCACATGCCGAAGGACAGCGCCATGTCATTGCCTCGGAGTCGCGGGTAGCTGGCGGTAAAAGTCTGGCTCGCAACATACCGCCTCGAGTTCTTGGTCAGGTAGCTTCCGAATAGACCACCGAGGGGCATGATCGCGAAGAAGAGGAACGTAACCAGGGCGATAAAAAATTGTGTGATGCCAAGAATGAGTGCGATCTGCCCATTCTGCTTCTCGAGGTATGCTTCCTGGTTGGCCGCGGGCATGAAGACGTAGACGCCAGGGCCGACGTTGACGGCGAGAACGAGGAGGAGGAACAGCAAACGCTTGGTGAGATGCTGCGCACCGGCCCATCGGCGCGGGACATACATCCACTCTGTAAGAGTTGCCAGCACCTGGATAAGGGAGGCAATAGTGCCACCAAAGCCGACAAGGGACCAGTGGGCTGCCCTCGGAGGCGGATTGTCGACCTGCTGCTCGTAATTGGGCGTGATGAGCGTCGGCGAGTTAAAGGCCGTGTAAAACCAGAACATGGTCAAGTGGAGGATCCAGATACGGTTGAAGTTGACCAGCATGTGAAACCAGGAGCGCGTTTCCTTGTAGGTCTTGAAGAAAACCTTCTTCCACTCCACATCCTTCAGCTTGACGTAGCGCTCTGCGGGCGGGACATCGACCAGCTTGCTCTTATCCGAAAGCACGATGCGTTCAATGCCCTCCGGGTACCAGAAAAGCTGGTTGCAGTCGTCATAACCAATGATCTGGTGGTGATCCCGCTCGCGGCGGACGTAAACCCCATTCGAGATCTCGTATCCCTGATCGCGGCAGTATTGGTACAGCGGCGTGATGACGTTGTTGAGGAATGTGAACTCCTCGACGGGCTCTACCATGTTTTGGCAAGCCGGCGAGTTCAGGTAGTCGTCCGCGCATTTGAAGATGAAGCAGAGACACTCAGGCATGAAGCGGACCTGGTTCGCCTCGCCCCAACAGAGAAGGTAAAGAGCAACCTGACGAACACGATCGTGCTGAGACATGCGGTTCATCCTAGTCTTCCAGCGGTACTCAGCAGCCTCGAGAGAGTCATCACCCTCCAGGTCCTCGAGGGCCTCGGCCTCGTTCTCGGCTTCGCCCTTCTTCTTCTTGTTCTTCCGTTTCCCGTTCTTGCCCTTCATGTTGGCAAACCCAACGGCATCGTCAAGATCCAGATGGGCCGCAAAGTACCACTTGCGGTAGTTTGCGTTATCGCCACCAATGTAATCGGCATGCAGCGACAGAAGGGCCTGATTCGGGGTCATACGCGACGCACGGGAGTCCAGAAGGGTCATCAGGTGGTCGTACATGTTGCGCATGCTGTCCCGTTGGAAACCAAATTTGGCGGTCAGGTCGAGGAAGATGTCCTCAATTTCCTCTTTCGAGAGGGGAATCTGGGCGTCCGACGTCCAAGCAGGGTAAGGTTCCCGCGAGCGTTGACCGGCCGGGAGCACGTTCCCGTAGTCCATGCCATAGTTTGGAGTCGACGCACCAGACGATCGATTGGCGCCGTACGAGATCTGGGAGGAGGGAGGCCGGTATCCTCTGCCACCACCTTGGCCGTCATTGTAGCTGTTGTAGCGCTCATCACCACGACCGTAGTAATCCATCTCGGCCGCCCGGGCCATGTCCGAGCGCATGGTGAAGTCGCTGAACGTCTCGGAATCCTCTTCGGACCCGTTTCGTTGGCCCTGGCCCTGCCCTTGACCGGGGCGATCGTAGCCCTGGTCATAATAGCCGTCGTTGTTGCCGTTGTTGTAGTAGTCATCCTGGTACTGGTCGTGATTGTCATAATAACCGCCGTCCTGGTGATACGGGTTATTGGGGTCTGCGTTGTAATAGCCACTACCGACATGTTAATAACCGAATTCGGAGCGGAATCTGGTAGAAGGAACGTACGACTCATCATAGTACCCGTCGCCTTGTTGTTGGCCACCCCGGTTGTTCTGCCCATTGTTGTCATAATAATGCTGGTCGTCTTGGTAGTAAGAATCGGTGTTGCCCTGATGGCCGTAACCGTCATCGTAGTCGTGATGGCCCTGGCCTTGGCCTTGGCCCTGTGGATATCCCGACATGGTGGGCGAAGAGTCTAATGCGAATCGAGTTAGAGATACTGCCACATGCGAAAGCTCAAGACGGTGCCGTTCGAGCAGGTGATGAAGCTATTGATGAGGGCAGGGAGCCAAGCGCAAGCTACTTACCGGATCAACAACGCATGGGAAAGCGGTCTGTGTGATGAAATTTCGCAGAGGTTGTGGGAGCAGCGATCGGCGATCGGACCGGTAAGAATTCCACTGCTAAAAGCGGCCGGCCACGGTGCGAAAATGACGGTGATTGTTTGTTGGTTGCTGAAGAGCAGTATTGTTATGGTCGCTGCACACAAAACACACGCAGACTGAGCGATTGGCGGCGCGGTGGGGCGCAGGTTGCAGATGTTGGCTTGGGAACAGGCGAGTGCAGTCCCAGAATGAAAAGCGAGAATCTCAAGGCTCCGCGCAAAACAAACTTAAGAGACTCAAAAAGCCGCAGTTGATTCCTCGTGAATGCTTCCTCGCGCCTCTTTCGCCTCAGCGATTGACTTGGTCGAATCTCCCTTGGCCAAGCGCCTGGGTTGCCGCGGGCGTCGTGTCTCGAGTTGTCGAAACGCAAGGCGCTACGGAACCAAATGACTGGCTGGCGCGGTGTCGGTTGCGTTGCCGCTGGGAACTGGCGCCGATGCACGACCAAAAGAACTCCCTTCAGAGATGGGCCCAAAACGAGAGATGGGGAGGGAGGTTTGAGCGAGCGAGCGTCAAGCAGGTCAAAAGGGAAGAAAAAAAAGACTGGCGCAGGTCGAGGGGGCAGGAACAGGGAAGGGAAAAGGAGGCATTCAAGGATTGGGTGCGTTTCGTCCTGACGGAAACAGGCAGGCCCAGCCAGGACGGGGCGGCTTGCCAGCGGCAGGGGTGATTGTGGTCTCAGCAGGGGTTCTGAAAAGGGGCACAGGCCGGTGAGGGGACAGTGTTAGATCTATACTAGCCACACGGTACGCGGCAGGAATTCTCCAAACTCGACTTGTATCCGTATCTTCTTGCACTTTCTGATCTTGTGCAGAAAAAAGGATCACTTCTCTCGGGTCTTGACGCATGTTAAGATGTTTCTTAGTTACCTATTATTTTATTTCTTCTCCCCTCGGCCATCGACGTTCAGCAGTGAGGTAGTTCTCACGAAGCCTCACTTCTCACCCACAGTGCCATTTTCCCAAAAGCAGTACCCACGCCCAGGGGGCCTCAATGCCGCCCATGCCCGAATCTTGCCACCGCGCTGGATTTTCCAGCTAGCGCACCAAGTTAGCGAGTTAGCTGAGCAAGACCTCCGATCCATGGGCGGTTGTCGACCAGGTATTGGATCTTAGCGGCTGCCGGGGGCTGTAGGGCCGGCAGGGATAGGAACGAGCGACAACGCGACTCCTCGGGACATCCGTTCCCACAATCGAAACTGCGAATTACATAATCACGACACACCAATCACGGTCTGGCAGTGCTTCCTGTCACAGGAATCTCAGCAGCTTTGGCGGTCTGTAACGGACTGTCAAACCGAAATTACGGTGCGTCAGATTTGGTGCTCCGCCACTCCGTCTGCCCCTGTTCCCCTGAATCGACGCGCTGCCGAAGTTTCGACTCGGTACCCCTTGTCCACGGCGAGACGGCTTCTTGGTGGCCCGCATCGCATGGTGGCTTTCTCAGAGCTTGGTTGGAAAGAAGAAAGAGCGATGACGACAGCGGTCAAGCCGAAATGCGCGTCGACGCCGAGATGTACCAACCAGATGAGCCAAACTCCAAAGGGTTTCTCTCACTTCCTGTAACCAATGCTCCGCAGCTGCATGAGAAGGCAAGAAACGCTCAAGGACAGGACTGGGTACCAAGGAGTTATTCGTAACGGATGTATATACACGACCGTCGTGAACTACCATGCATTCTGCAGCCCCCAAGGATCTGAGGTCTGGGCTCGACACCTGTCGGCAACGCGGACACGAACATTCGAGGTTGCACCGCCACGAGGGACACAATAAATGTGTGTCCATTGACGCTGAACACGAGCTATTTGGCTCTTCGGCAACGCACAGCAGCCATGCGGAATTCATTCTGCAGTTGATGCTCCAGTAGACAATGAGTTCGAGGTTCCAGTCCGCCCCCATTTCCACGGCCGCGTTCACAAACCCGACTCTTCCGAACACAGTGTGCCGTACATGGCGCATCCGCGCCTCCATCGATTGGAACGTGCCGCCCTCTGACAAACCACTCCGGAGATTGGCCCGCAATCTATTTCCGTGCAGGAGGCCTGATAGAATTCCGCGCCGACTTGTACATTTTCGGGACTGGACGGTGCACCGCTGCCCCAACGGCTGCCATTCCAAGCCGCTGGAGAGTCGCATTCAAGTGTCCCCCCCTCCAATCGCCGCAAGATCGATGACGATTTTCCCAATCTATTTGACCCTGTTCCAGAACCGGGCAAGCCAAAAACAAGCTCGATTGATGCTTGGTCAAGCACGTCACAGTAGTTGGTTGTGGTGGGTGTCTCGATGGATAGTCGACCGCGCCAGGAAGCACAATCAGAGTTACCTAGGTATGTCGGCAGGTCGGTCAGAGGTGACAGCGCAGCCAGCGTTGTTGCTTTTGTTCGATTGGCAAATCGTCACCTTTGCCGCCAGGCAGGCGGGAAACAGTTGGTGATCTGGCAGCGTGGGAGAGTGCCCGCAATTGAGCCTCGGACGAACCAACCAGCGTCAGTTCACAGCTCGGCCGCCTTGGGTATGAGTGCATGCCGAAATGGTGCTTCGTACCTGCGTCAAGACCTTGACAAAGCTTTGCTGGCCACGCATGAGACTAATTTGGGGGCCATGCAAAGCCAGAAGTTAGTTACATGTAGGAGCTGGCACAGCTGTGGCACCTCTGTGGGTAAACCTAACCCTACCACTGCATGCTGCAAGTGAGACCGAGGGAGGTCGGAAAACGACATCTCGCTGCCCGGTGGCTAAATCGAGATGGATGGGTGGTGATTTATGATCTCTTCACACCTCCTCGTTCCCGCATGTTGGCGGCAAGCATGAATTCTGTGGGGCGTCCCCCGGCCTCCCAGGTACCGGTCCGTCTCGGCAACATGCCTCCTCGAGTCCACTTCTAATTGTGATGGCATGTACATAGAAGGGTAAAAACACCGAGACGGGTCCGAAGAAAGCAGAGGGGGGTGCGAAACCAAATAATTTGCCAATTCGGTCTCGATGGCTCCAGGAATGAGAAATATGTACATTAAAGCAAGAGCCGCAATTTCATCCACTTTGACGAGCGGGATTTGGCTCCTGAGGTTTCGCTGCACTCACTCCCTAACCAGGAGCGGAAATCTGTTGGAATTTGTTGCCCCTGGCAACGAACTCCAGTGCTTGGACTTCCGACGATGCGCAAACTCCTCAGCTTGAACATTCTTGCAATCAAAAAGGAAAATGGAGGAATGAGCCAGCTTGTCGACCTCTGTCTTTGCTAATCTCCATCAGCTAAAGGACCGACATCATAATTTGCGACAATGGCTCGGTTGGCGAAGTCTACAATCTGGAGCGACGACGACGAGTTTCCCGACATCGACGCTCTCGTCACTGGGAAGAAACCGCGGTCACAGAAAGATGCACTAAAATCACGGCAGAAACCAAATGGGCCTTTTAGTACTCAAGAAGCAGCGAAGCCAGCCGTCACTGTCAGGCGACGGAAGCTAGCACCCTTGACCGACAATTTGCTGCTGCGGGCATGGACACCGGACAGTGCGGAAGATGACGGAGAAAGGAGAGGTTCGGACCGAGAAACGGAGAACATGGAACCACGGCGGACGAGAGTTGAACTAAGGACGAGGAGGGCGAAATCTGCGGCCGCCCCCGCTCCATCGCCGCTCCAGGATGAGGAATTTGTATCAGCGCAAGAGGAGGTTACCATTACCGATGATGTGTCTCTATTCGACGGCACCTTTCACACTTGCAACTCAGAGGGCTCAGACTACAGCGGTAGCGAGGATTTTGAGGAGGATGGGAAGTCTCAACCAAAACCTCTGCGGACCGGGCGGCTGCCAGTAAAGCCATTGCTTCGAATGGTGGACAAAACGCGGTCGGGGCGTGCCAGCGAGGATGCAACGGACAACTATTGTTCCACGCCAGAAGCAGAAAAAGACAATAGCAACCGGCCGGGATCAGACGGAGAGTCTTCCATACGCCTCCACGATGCTGCATCGAAGCCGGCGAGGGCACAAAAAGGCGAAAGGAGAACGAAAAAGGCGACCAAGGGTCTCGCAGATTCCATGTCTAAGCTTCAACTGTAAGCCGCCTTGCCCAATCCAAGCTCCAAACCGGCTCGGTCAACAGTCCGTGCTTGGTCGACAGTCAATGCTCGGTCAAAAGTCAATGCTCGGTCAACTAATGAGTCACAGTTCTAACGATATCGAAGAAGAGTTTACCAAGTCTAGCACCTCATGCCCAAGCGACCGCGAAGCCACACCTCCGCCAGCACCACCAAGCTCCCGACCTGGTCTCACATCACCCACAAAGCTACTTCGTATTCCCACCACACCTCACCGTCCCAATTCCGACATGTTTTGGAGCCAGGAGTTCGTCGACGATTGGAACGAGGAGCATTCGCCTGCAAAGCAACTGTTCCCAGACCCCGTCGCGGCTCGACAGAACAGCCCGACGAAGGCCAACCCCAAGACGACAACCAAGCGGAGCACAAGCGTAAAGGAGCCCTCCGAACGCGAGGTCAAGCTGGCATTCGAGAAGACCAAGCACGAGCTCGCCAGGACCTTCCTTCAAGAACTCGACCAAACGATCACCAACGGCAAACTAGCCGAATTGACCGCCTCGACGGGCGGCATCAAGGTAGTCTGGACGCACAAGTTCAACAGGACGGCCGGGCAAGCGATTTGGAAACGCGAGACCATCACCCCACAACGCCAGCCCGACGGCACCACCACCACTCCAGCCGCGCACAAGCACCACGCGTCCATCGAGCTCGCCGAGAAGGTGATCGACAGCGAGCCCCGCCTCATCAACGTAGTGGCGCACGAGTTCTGCCACCTCGCCACCTTCATGGTCAGCGGCGTCAAGACGAACCCGCACGGGGCCGAGTTCAAGGCCTGGGGCGCGCGGGTGTCGCGCGCCTTTGCGGGCCGCGGCATCGCCGTCACCACCAAGCACTCGTACGACATCAACACCAAGTACGTGTGGACGTGCGTCGCGTGCGCGGCCGAGTTCAAGCGCCACTCCCGCAGCATCGACCCGGCCCGCCACGCTTGTGGCGCCTGCAAGGGCAAGCTGGTGCAGACCAAGCCCGTGCCGAGGCGTGCCAAGGGGAGTGCTGGTGGTGGGGGTGATGGTGATGGGGCGGCTGCTGCTGGTGGGGAGGGGAAGAAGGAGAAGGTGGTTAGTGCGTATCAGGCGTTTATGAAGGAGCAGATGCGCGCGGTGAAGGCGCAGAATCCGGGGTGTGCGCAAAAGGAGATCATGAGGATCGTGGCGAGCCGGTGGGCGGCGAAGAAAGCTGCGACGGCTGCGTTGATGACACCGCCACCAGATGAGGGGGGTGAGAGATTATGAGCACTGTGGTGAGCCGGTGGACAGCCAAGAAAGCTGAGACGGCTGCGTCGATACCTAATGAAAGGGACGAAGCAAGGTGGATGAAGGTGTGGAGGAGCTTGGTGTCCAGTGCGAAAAGAAAGCACAATCACTCGGTGTCATACCCGGTGGACGAAGGTTGCGTTAACTCAGAGTACAAGGATCTAACGCTCTCGCGATCAGCAAGCTAGAGCTCTCGTATTTGCACGTGGGAAAGCGCACCGTAGTCAGATACCAAGAGCAACCTTCGCAAGCGTAGAATTTCATCAGCTTTGCCATTGTTCATTCATGGTCATGAGCTCATCAGGAGCTGTTCCGCCCTTCGTCTAACGCCGGCCCTCGCCCGCCTTGCCTACCCAACCAATACAACATGATCGACATCCAAGATAAGTCCTCTGCTTTGCGTGTGAAACTCGCAGCCCCAAGTTGCCCGAATTGCCCTTGACCCCCAACTACGCCCCATCAAACAGCCGCCAGCTCTTCACCTTGAACGTCTCCCAGATCCGAGCCGCGTACTCGACCGCATCCCCAATCAGCTCGCCCTGCTTGCCCAGCGCTAGGTCGACCTCGTCCTCGTCGTACTCGCCCTTGATGTGCGGCACGTTGATGGTGATCAGGATGTCGGACCGCTCCTTCTCGAACCGCAACAGCGTGAGGATCAGCGCCGTGAAGTCGGGCGCCGCCCCCCGCCGGGCCTCGTCGGCCTGGGGCGTTTGCGTGGCGATGAGGGTGTAGGCCGGTGTGTCGTCGCTGTGGGGCTGTTTGTTAGCAGAGGTACTATCTACCGCGCGGGAGGGTGCGTGAAAGTGGGGTGGGATGGCGCACTCGAGGTGGGTGAACTGGGTCTCAGTCGTGTTCCAGACCTTGACCGAGTCGGTATCGTCGCCAACTAGGTCCTCGAGATGAATCGTCAGGGCGCGGCCGTCGCGCTCGAGGCCCTCACCACTGGCTTTGACGCGCTCGGTGATGTCGAAGATGATAGAGGTGAAACCGCTTTGATCGATGTAGACTTCTTGGTTGTCGGGAACTTGGCGGATCTTACTGGAGAGGGGTTAGTATGCGAGGGAGTCAAGCCATGCGCAGGGCTCAAAAACATCGCGAGCGCATGGCATGGCCAGCCTGGAGCAGCGAGGACCATACCTAACATCGGCAAAATTATCGGGGAGGTCGCATTCGAGCGCCCCGCCGAAGAGGGGCGTCTTTGTGAAGCCGGGAGACATGATGTTGTTTGGGAAGGGTGGTGGTCGGGTACGGACTAGATTTCGGTGGTGTTTAGGAGTGAATAACGGGAATATTCAACTCGGTAGAAGGCGCAGCTGCCTTGAGCGCAAGTTGGTTTTGCGACTGACCAAGGCTGTGACATCAAGCGGCGCAGGTGATGGCGGGGTCGCGTGGAGGGTTAGTGGCGGGGTATCACATTACGCCCGGTTGCATGGCCGCGCCGCAAATCACGGCTCTCAAACACATACTTGATTGATGTCTTCATGGTCAATAGTTCGGTCATGACAACCTAGAAGAACTCGGAAAGGAATGGGTACATAATTCCATATTTGGGTCGCTAAACTATAAGGGGATACCCAAACGAGCTTCCTCTTGCTCCCGACTTTCCAAAGGGAAGAAAGATGCCGTTGAGGGCGTTCGTTACCCCGCTCTAATGGAATCGCGGCCTGGGTCTCGTCCCGCCTGAGGTGTACCGCTGCAGGGTATGGACCTCTTACGCGGCAGTTATCGGATAGAAGGACCTCCAGCTGGGGAACGTGAAATCGAGCATTTATCAACGTCAGCATATATGATCAAACCCCTCTTGGATTGACTCTCCTTCTCAAATCACATCCAAGGCATAACAATACCAATGGCAAGCAAAATGGCCTCCTGCATCTTCTGCAAAATCATCAAGGGCAAGTCGATCAACTCGAGCTTCCCAAGCTCCGCTTGAGCTCCTCCCCTCTACCCTAGCTCCCGAACTCCGGCTAACAACGTCCCAACGACCAGGCGATATCCCCTGCTTCAAGCTCATTGAGACCGAGAAGACGCTCGCCTTCCTAGACATTAACCCGCTCAGCCGGGGCCACGCCGTACGCTGCACACACCCTCACCGTTAATACCTTCCGAATGGAAGCTCACACGGTCCACCACACTTTTAGCTCGTCATCCCGAAGTTCCACGGCGAGAAGCTGACCGACATCCCCGATGAGCACCTGAGCGATATCCTGGTACGCCCACCCACCATCCACCACCCGCCGCGCATTGGCGGCCGTGGAGCCGTGTTATACAAGACTCTGAGACACTGACGAATCCCCTACCTCGTTCCACGGGGTAACAGCCCATCGCCAAGAAGCTTGTCGCGGCGACGGGCGCCCAGGAGTACAACATCCTGCAGAACAATGGGAGCGGGGCGCACCAGGTGGTTGAGCATGTGAGTTGGGCTTTTTCCGGGTTGGTGGTGGGACCGAGTGTGGCTGGGGAGATGCTAACGGTTGTGGAACAATAGGTTCATTTCCATATGGTATGTTAGGCACTAGAGAGGTTGCTGCACGGTGTGGTGCGAGAGATGTGACTAACAGGCCTTTTAGATCCCCAAGCCGAACCCGGAGGAAGGCCTCGTCATCGGCTGGCCCCAGCAGCCGACGGATATGGATAAGCTCAAGGCGCTGTTTGAGGATATCAAGTCCAAGGTGTAAATGCGAAGGGATGTATGGAGAGGTAGGTGGCGTTGGGGTAAGGGGAGACGTGTGTGTATTCAAATTCTCGAGTCGGTTCCTCAAGAGAAATAGGAGGCCGTAGTCAGAGTCCGAATAGGTTCACTCCATTCTCAGCAAGTGCGTGAATTTGTGTGACCCCCCGGCAAGGCGCAGACATAATATTTTATCGCGAGTTCAATAACACGACACGTTCAACACGGAGTCAAACAGTACTGATTAACACTACTCGGTATATACAAACTACAACCCCCACCCAACCTTATTCAATCCACATCATCGTCCGCCGTCTCAACCGCAGGCGCGGGAGCAGCAGCAGGAGCCGCCGCAGCCTTCGGCTCCGGGTACCAATCCAGCTTCCCGCCCGGCAACAACACCCCGATGCGGTCATAGTACGACCTGGCGCGGACGTAGGGGTCGACATTCCAGTAGTCCTCGCGGAGCCTGGCAGCGATGGCGTTGCGGCGGGTCTTGATCTCGGCGGCCTTGGCCTGGTCGGCGCCGCTGGCGATCCACTCGAGCACGGCGGCCTCGTACTCCTTGTACAAGGCCTCGCGCGCGGCCAGCAGCCGGTCGCGCGTCGCGGCGTCGGCCAGCGGGGCGTTCTCGCCCTCGGCCGGCTCCGCGTACTGGTACGTCCAGTCCTCCTCGCCCTCCAGGTCCTTGGGGATGTGCTTGAGCGGGATGAACTCCTCCATCTCCTTGGCGTTGTTGGTGAAGTGTACTTTGTTGGCTACCACCGGGTCCAGCCAGCCGCGGATTACTTTCCAGATGCCTGGTGGGGGTGGTTAGTGTGGGTTTGGTTGGGGCCGGGGGAGGGGGGGGTTTGGAGAGGGGTGATGGGGTTCTGTGGCTTCTTACCTTGGAAGATCCAGGGGGCTTTGTGGACGAGCACCGTACCAAGACACTCTGGGTAGTTGGCCTCAAAGCACTTGATCATGAATTTGACAGGCGTGTAATCCTATATCGGTCAGCCGTGACTCAAAGCGAGGCTTCTGAGGCTGGACTTACCATGTTGGCCATGGAGAAGTTGGTCATGTCAAACACAATCGTCTGTTCCGGTTAGCTTGATGATACAGTTTCAGCGATGTATGGTCGCACTCACGGCTGTGTCAACCGGGTGCTGCAACACCATGCGGCACGTTTCGATGAGGTACACAGTGTACTTCTCCAGAGCCTCTTCCGCTTGTTCACCCTGCTTGTGTAGCCTGACGTTGACGAAGCAGAGCGGCCTCCCCTGCTTATCATGTCCATGCACGTAGCTGATGCCCTTCCTGATCTGCGCCATGAAGTCGCTCCCGAGCTTCTTCTCGGCCGGGTCGCTACTCTTCTCAGCCGCCACCGCGGCAGCCTCGCCTTTCAACATAATGTCCTCGACATTCATATCCTGCGCCCGCCAGTTCATGGTGGAGACCAGCATGATTAGTGCCCGCTCGACGTCCCACTTACGCGCCCTGAGGAAGCGGAGAAGGAGCGCATCCGGGTGGTCATGTTTTACCATTTTCCAGATGGTGTCCCGTATCGACTGGGGCGTCTGGATGGCGAGGGTATCGTAGAACTGCTTGGTTTGGCCATACTTGTCAGCCTCCCCATCCTTCCCGAGGTTGAGCACGGGCGCATTTGTTGGCACCCCTGATGTGGCCTCGGCCTCTGCCTCCTTCTTGCCCTTCCGGGAGAAGAACGGTATACGGCTCTTCTTCTCCTTCTTGGCGTCCTCCTCCTGCGCCTTGTCGTTGGTGGTAGCCGCGACACCCGCGCCGTTCTGATCCTGGCCCACCGCGCACACTTGGAAAACGAGCTGCCATAACCGCCTGAGCTTCTCCTCCTGCTCAGGGGTAAGGGTTTCGGGGCGGCCCGGGGCGACGTCTGCCGTCATATCTTCCGCGGGTTGAGACAAGTCCTCGGTTTCGTCTAACACGATCTTCCGCGGGAAGAGGGTATAGCAGGCTGATAATGCGACTGCGGCGGCGAGGACAAGGAGGAGTCCAGATGAGGAGGCCGTCAAATGTCTACCGTACGGAGACCGGGCTTTAGCAGGATGAACAGCCCTCCCTGGCGCAGCACTTATTGTGAGCTGTCCTTGGGGCCGTTGCGCACGTGATCTACTGCCCGATGAGAAGGCTCGGGGAAGAAGGGCTGGAGGAGTGGAATAACACGCCCGCGAGGATGGTAGAAGCGGAATGCCACGCGATAGAGCACGACTATATCCCGAACTCCTGGTGAAAGAGGAAGCCGAAAGTAGTGAATGAGGAGGATGAGGTAAGAATCTCAATGGCGCATGCATAAGAGAATATCACCGCAAATCTCCTGAAAACGGAGAAACTGCCGGTGCGCTGTAAACCCAACAGGTAAAATGCTGTATGTACTCGTGCAGTGCTGCAATGACAGGTCAGGCTATCCCGGGTGTGTCGTGTCAGTTTGGAGACTGCATTGAAAGAGAAACATGGATCACGTAGGGCAATGGAGGCAAGAACCGTCCAGGCAGGAGTGGTTTCACATACACAATACTAGTGCGTCGGCGTCGTCGTCGATATCGGGAAGACAACACCGGCCTCCGAGAATAACTCGTTGGTTTTCGGGTGCAACGGTCACTCCACTCCGTTTTGGTGGCCGGGGTTGGATAAGTTTGGAGGCCGCCGGGAGGAAGAGACGGGACGTGACGGGCTTCCAAAGTCCAACGTTCCAACACGAATCGGGCCGCTGACGGGGAACTCCAAGAAAACGAGCTATCCGGAGGCATGAAACGAAGAATCTGCAGGAACGGCATGAACGGCATGAACGACTGCGTCTTTGGCCAAGGAAAACCCGGACTTCGGGTCGTCTGGACCACCCGAGTGGGCATTGTTGGAATTTCCCCCGTCCAAAAAAGCATTCCTCTCCGTTCCGGCTGCTCCGCGAGACTCGAGCCAGAACTGCATGAAGACAAGGTCGAAGACGGATCGGCTAGCCGGGCCAAGGTGACCAACCCCACTGTGACGGTGGCGGCGTGCCTTGGCTCTTGGCAGAACTTCCATGGGAAGGTGGGGTGAAGTGCGGGACAATATTGCCAAGACCGATCTCCAAAAGGTACCTGACCAGGTGGAAAGTGCCAATCCGGGAATTTGGGAAAGCAAACAAACACGATCGAAACACCAAACCCGGAAGTCAACAATCGCCGCTAGGCACTGCCCGGAGCTACACCGATACCGTCACCAACCCTGAGGATGTCACACGACGAAACACCTCACCGCCGTGCGCGGTCAACCTCCCGATCCCGCCCAACGACGCCCCTGCGGCCGTCATCCCGCTCCTCGTTCCGCGACTCGGCCCGCAACAGCGTGCAAGGCGATGCCGCCTCCTTCCCGCTCAACACCTTCGAGCCAGCCTTTGCCGAACTGTCGGATGCCGTCGCCGACCTCGAGGCCAATATGATGCACTTCCAGCTGATGCACGAGAGCTTGGCGCGGTTCAGCGAGAGCTTTGCAAGCTTTCTGTACGGATTAAACATGAATGCTTTCTGTGTTGATTTCCCGGAGGTACGGTCTTGATAAGCAAAGGGGGCGTGGACGGTTGCTGACTGAGTGTTATGCAGGGTCCGATGACGGAATCATTTAAGCGGATGAAGTTGAAAGAAGAGGAGCAGCAGCAGCAGCAGAGTAAGTTATTCGAAGCCAATCTCCGAGCAGCGTTGCTGACATATGCTTAGACACCACGAGGATTCCTGAACGGACCACTGGCGAGATTGATACCGAGGCGACATTCATGTAAGCAATCTGAGGGATTGCCGGCGTATAGGACTGACAAAGCGTAGGACAACGGACACCTCGTTTGTTGAAAACCCCCCATCAACACGGTCATCACATAAATACCAGACCCCAGCCAGGAACCGCCAATCCCGAGTTCCAGCCCCGCCCACGTCCACCAGAGGCACAACATCCACAAGAGGAACGGCGAGAGGTGGGCGGGGAGGTATCGGCGGGCCGCGGCCCAGTGGACTTGCGAGAGCGAGGGGTCGTGGAATCAGGTGAGGAACCGGAACTCTCGACGCGTTTCTCAACGCATTTCAATCACGGTTTAACGCTATCGGTGGAACGACGACATGTCTATCAACAAGCCGCAAACTGCAAGAAGACCGGAGGCTCCCTTTCGCCCTCGCCGGTCGGGTCTGCTGGTGTTAGTCCCGTGTTGTAGCCCGCCCGGCCCCGAGGTTGCGAAGACGCAGCCCATCCTAGCGCATCAGGCTGTACCTGCGCCAGGAAACCTCAAGTCAGGGGCTCTCCATAGCTTGGTCTAGGTACTGCCTCGCCCGATTTAGACACTCTTCCTCCCCCGCGTTGACCCAGGACCCGACGACGGCGACGGTCTTGTTTCGCGACTTGAGTCCCTGGATGATCTGCAGGTCGGACTTGGGAAGGTCGAGGACCTGGTGGAGGACATGAGGATTAGGTAGAGGTAGAGAGCGAGGTGGGCGTATTTGAAATAAAGTACTCACTCCACTCAACACCTTGACCACGGCTTTGTTGGCTTCCCCTTCGCGTGCCTGAGCGGAAACACAAATGTCGACGGCCTCGTCGTCAATGGAGACGACTCCCTCGCGGTTCTTGCTCGCTCCCGGTTTGACGTTGCAGTGCATGTACAGGGTATTTTTGGCGGATTTCTTTGTCGCGGCCACGTACCGTATGGCGCGGGCCGACATGGTTGGCGAGGGGAGAGTGAAAGGTGGGTTGAGGTTACTTAGAAGTCGGTCTTATCCAAAGGCACGCCTGTTTGTGGGCGAGGAATTGCGGGTTAGGGTCCTGCATATTATAACGATGGTTCAGCAGTTCTTGAAGAGCTCAGGCGTTGCTTATGCGAATGGATGCTACACTAAAGCCGTAAGACGCAATTGACGTCTCGGTACACTATCCTTTTCCCTCCGCCCAAACACCGTACGATTTCAGAAGTTTCGTCTTTAAGGGGAAACAGCACCCAAAACCTTCTCCGCCAACGACACATCGGTACCGGTGTTGTCAGGCTCGACAGCAACCGACTTGACCTTGCCCTGCTCGACAACAATGGCGTACCGCTTGGACCTGTCCCCGCCAAAGATGGCCGACCCGTCGAACGCCATGTCCAGCATCTTGGTGAACTTGCCGGTCGGGTCGGCAAAGAAGCGGATCTAGACAGCCGAGTGAGCTTTCATTCTCACCAGACCAATTCATCAATGTCAAAGGAAAGATAGAGTTAACTTACCCCCTGATCCCCAGCCGGATCCAACGCCTCACCCCAAGCCTTCATGCTACCACCCCCACCCCCGTCAGCAACCACAACCACAACCACAACCACAACCACAACCACAACCACAACCACAACCACAACCACAACCACAACCACAACCACACCCCGAGAGAGGGAGGAACGAAAACACTCACACAAAAACATCATTAACCGACACCACCCCAACCACCTCAAACTCCTTCGCCCTTGGGTGGTTCGCATAACCCGGAACATGGGTCGCCGAGCACGCGGGCGAGAAGGCCGCGGGGACGCCGATCAGCAGCATGTTGTTGACGCGCTGCGCCTCCTCGGCCAGGTTGACGCGCTGGCCCGGGTGGCTCTCCATGAGCGCGTCCGTGTCGGGGAGCGGGTCGCCCGGCTTGACCAGCGCGCGCGGCGTGGCGCGGAAGCCGCGGGCGGTGGTGATGATGCGCGGGGTGGTGGTGAGACTGGGGTTGGTGAGGGGGGTGGTGGTGGTGGCGCGGCGCGAGGCCGTGGTTGCCATTGAGGTGAGGGGGCGGAGGGTTGGGCGGAACATTGTGGTGGGGGTGGGATTGGGGTGGTGGTTTGTTGAGGGTCGGTGGTGGTGAGGCTCAATTGGATGTTGCGCGATGTTGAGAGAGCTGTCTTTTCGGAGGTTGCGGGTTGATGAGGTGACATCACTGAGCCGGGGTGGGTGATGTTCAGGGTTAGGGTCTGCCACTTACAACTTTAACAATCGACGAAAGAAGCTATGGAAGTTCACCTACCCCCCAAGTCAGTGATAAAGAAGTCTGAAATATAATGGTTGAAACTTCTGTGGTTCTAGGTTCGGCTTGCTGCGAGCAAGGGCCTTGAAGTTCCTTGTATTCGTCCTTGCTTGGTTGTTTCTTAATTCTTCAAATTAATACGTTAAAAATTGGATATAAGAAAATCTCCTTTTCACACCACCGTTTTGCTTGGATTTCTTTCGGTGATTGTGTCGAGACTCGGATATTACATCACATGAGGATCGAGATTGGTAAGATGGTAATGATATGGGGAACTTGAAGCTGGACCGGCAACTTCGCGGTCTGCAAGCCAATACTCAACGGAGGTACGGACAAACTCCAGTAGTTAGACCATAGAATGATTCAACCATGACCGGACGCGCCGCAGTATCATTCCCGGAACTAAGCCACTTACCCAAGGTATCTACAATATATACAGATCTGTTTTGAACCACCCATATTCCAACCCCCTTTCATACTGACCCCATAAACCGTGCACTTTAAAGCATCGGCTTCAGATCATCAGCAACCTTAAAGGGAGCCTCAGTCTTGGCCTTAATCTCGTCAACCGTTACTCCATCGGCAATCTCAATCAATGTGAGGCCCTTTGCAAAGTCGACGTCAAAGACACCCTGTTCACCAAGTCAGCACTTCATATCACACCTCAAAAAAAGACAGGACGGAAACCCACCAGCTCGGTAATAATCCTCGACACGCACGTCTTGCCCGTCAGCGGGAAAGCGCACTGCTTGACAATCTTGGGATTCCCCTTCTTGTCGGTATGCTCCATCGTGACAACCACCTTGGTGGCGCTGGGGTTGCTGACCAGGTCCATGGCGCCGCCGAACCCCTTGACCTTGCCCGGGAGCATCCAGTTGGCCAGGTCGCCCACGGCACTGACCTGCATGGCGCCCAGGATGGTCAGGTTGATGCGGCCGCTGCGGATCATGCCGAAGCTCTCCTCGGACCCGAACACGGACGCGCCCGGCTTGAGCGTGACCGTCTCCTTGCCGGCGTTGATCAGGTCCGCGTCCTCCTGGCCCTTGGCCGGGTACGGCCCGAGCCCGAGGATGCCGTTCTCGCTCTGCAGCATCACCTCGACGTCCTCCCCGACGAACCCGGGGGCGAGCATGGGCATGCCGATGCCCAGGTTGGCGTACATGCCGTTCTTGAACTCCTTGGCCGCGCGCTTCACGATGCGCTCGCGCTTCGCCTTGGTGTCGCCGGTGCCCAGCAGCGCGGAAGCCTTGGGGTCCTCGGCGGCCTCGGCGGGGTCCTTGCTCCACGTGTACTTCTCGATATTCTTCTCGGCCGTGCTCTGGATGACGCGCTTGACGTAGATGCCGGGTAGGTGGACCGCCTCGGCCGGGATCTCGCCGGGCTCGACGATATGCTCGGCCTCGACAATCGTCATCTTGGCGTTGCGCCCCATGGCGCCGTTGAAGTTGTTGGCAGCGAGACGGAACTGGCAGTTGCCGAGCCGGTCGGCCTTGTAGGCCTTGACGAAGGCGTAGTCGCCCGCGATTGAGTGCTCCAGCAGGTAGCTCTTACCGTTGAACACCTTGACGTCCTTGGGGTAGGAGAACTGGTCGGGGGTGCCATCAGACTTGTTGCGTAGCGGCAACTCGCCGGTCTGGACGACCGTGCCAAAAGCGGCCGGCGTGTAGAAAGCCGGGATGCCCTTGCCGCCGGCCGCGCAGCGCTCAGCAAGTGTCCCCTGGGGTGTCAGCTCCAGCTCGACCTCGCCCGTCAGGTACATGGTCTCAAAGGTCTTGTTCTCGCCGATGTACGAGGCGATCATTTTGCTGATCTGCTTGGTGCGTAGAAGCTTGCCGAGGCCGCTTTGGTCGGTGCCCGCGTTGTTAGAGACGGCGGTAATCCCCTTAAGCTCGGGCTTCTTGAGCACTTCGTCAATTAGAGTGTCCGGTACGCCGCACAGCCCGAACCCCCCGCATAGGAGAGTCGAATTGGGTTTCATGTCCTTGATCGCCTCGGCGGCGGAGGGGTAGACCTTGTTGATGTCGCGGCGGCGGGCCGTGGCCGAAAAGGACCGCGCGAAGAGCGCGGCATGCTGTTGAGAGTCGCCGTTAGTAAGTCTAACGGATGTAGGAGAGTCAGGGGTAATTCACGTTCTGGCCGTACTTGGCGTACGCACGCAGCGTCCTCATGCACATCGCCGTCGACGGCATCTTGAATGTGAATGTAGCAAGGGTTCGGGTAGCGGAGGGCTCAGGACAAATCGGACGGCAGCCAAATCAACGACCGCTCTCGCTATGGGACAAGAAACAAAATGTGAAATAGCAAAAGAGAAGTAAAAGGAAACAAAAGTCCAATTCAGGAAGAAGTCATCGCGGGACTACATCCAGAGCGCCTTCCCCCCAACTCGCTATTACAGCGAGGCCGAGATGGGGTCCTATCCCGTGAATGGCCGACGGCAGTGCCGTGGTCCCTGGTCATCCTGGGGCCGGGGGGCTCCCCACGGCATGTCTCCGCCTTCGGAAAGGGTGCTCGGCAGCGGCACGAGCGGGTGAGAATTGACCCATTCCGCCTTTTGCGGGGGAACCTGGAACCGCCCGGGCCGTGCTCGGAAACCAGCGGCCAACCTCGAAGCACCTATCCGCGCAGTGCCGTGCGCTTGTAACCGGAAAACGCGGGAGATTACTTCGTACTAGGAAAAGGAGCATCAAATACGGACACAAGCTCTATTCAGCAACACTGCTACAATCGTACTTTATCCGTATCTCTGATCAGTTTGATGACTCGCGTAAGAATTCTTCCTGCTCATCGAGCGAAGACCCGAGGGGTCAAGTGCCAAGCGGGAACTGGACAGGCGAAGTGGGGTGGATGATCCCAACACCCGGGAAATATTCCGGGGAGGGAGATCTGCCCCACGTGCCTCGTGAAGTCCCCGATGATGGACAGGGAGGGGAGTTCTGTCAGGCGTCAGGTTCATCCGACAAGTAAACGACAAGAGTTGAATGAAGCTAAAGTACTGATCTTTGCACTTGAGAGAAACGCTAATGTTGATAACTTTGAATCGCAAAAACCCATTCCCTCCCCACGCTCCCGGCCTGTCGCTTTCGATTCCATGTAATATGTCCACTCCCATGCAATTCCAGTCCCCGTCGAATGGTCAAACTCCGAAGACGTGCCCAATCTATGCCCATTCGCGCACACAAATCCCGCTCGGCCATGCTTTGTTGCGTGGCGGGCTCGAGCAACGCCCAATGCACCGCACCGTTCCGCCCACAACCCAAGGTCAACTTGCATCTTGAGGACAGCCAACAGTTTGCCGCCCCAATATCGGAAATAAAAGCCTTCGCCATCTTGCGCGCATCCTTGCGAACAATCCTGCGATGCCAGGCCCGAGGCGAAAGTTCCTTTAACGCTGAGCGCTCGATCCGCTGCTGGGCATCGAGCCAGTCAACTCAATGTTAAAGGTCCATCGTCCTAGTACTTGTTAGTCGTTTATCGCCAAAAACAGAGGATTGTCCGCATCACCATACCTTCAGCCAGATTTTGGGCAGTATCATCCAGGAGAATCACCCTCCGCTTGTTGCAGTACGACGTCTTGTCCATGATCTCCACCTTGAGCTTCGAGTCCGCGAGCTCCGAGATCGGCTTCTCGAACATCTCAGAGAGGGCCTCGACAGCCATTTCCAGATCCTTTTGGTTGTCTTCGAAGATCTCGGTCAGGTTGTTGCGGGCGAGGTAGAAGGCGAAGGCGTACGTCCACATCAGGGTTTGGCGGCATGTCTGCAGCGCCTGAGAGGCAGAATTCAGGTACTGCACCTCTATCCAGGACATGCCCGATTCCTTCTGCAGCTGGACCATTTTCTTCTCCGTCTTGTGGTAGATGTCCTTGTCCAGACGGGCCGATTGCTCGTGGTTGGCGTAGCGGTTGTAGTAGTGCAAATACCGCTCCAGGGACACACGGGATTTAGCTTGCGCATCCCTGGCGTCCAAACCGCTCTTTTCTTCGAACCGGTTGCAATTGTACCAGCTCGTGCCGTGCTCGGACCAAAGGCCCATGCACATCCAGCAGAACTCGTGCTTGCACTTGCGACAAGTCATGTGGTTGCAGCCGCCATTCTTCTCAATTGTGCTGTTACACTTCGGGCATTCCTTGGTGTTGGCGGAGATCCAGTTAGCCGTCTCCGAGTCATCAGCGCATTTCTTGAGCCACTTCTTCACCAACTCGCACGGCGCCGGCTGGTGGTCGTTCAATATACAACCAAAGCAGAACCGGTGCGTGCAGAGACAGGAGACGGTGGGGACCACCTTATCTAGGTCCTTCTTTTTCACCCCACACTCGACGGCGTTCTGGCAGTCTGGGGCCGGGCACCACTTGAGCGCCTCCTTGTCTTCCACATAAGTTCGATGGAGAAGCTCATGGTATCGCTCGGTCAATTCCGGAGTGACGAGGAGATCCAACGACCGGGCGTCGATGATGATTGTGCAGCCTTCAGAGGGGCATTGAATGCGGGCTGCCTCGCCCTCTCCTTGGATTTTCTGCGATAGATAGTGGCGATAGCAGTCCACGCAATACCTGTGACCGCACTTGAGGGCAAACGACTCGAGCCCGGGCTCATCCTCGCAGCAGATGTCGCAGACAAAGTCGGAAACAACCTTCATCTTGGGTGGCCCGGCCGTTGACTGGGCAAGGCCGGCAGCATCGAGAACTTGACCTGGCCTGTCCATATAGTCCTCAATCAACCGCTCTTTATTCCACCTGAAGTAGCGGAGGAGAATGGCCGCCTCTGCTTTGGAGATATCCAGAATCATGTTGACCTCGTCGATAAGCTCGTCTTGTTGTTTCTGGATGTCGCTTGGCTGAAAGACCCTGAAGCTGATATCGTACGCGGCCTTCTTCTTATGCCCGATTTCTTTTGGGGAGTCGATATAAACGTCCGGTTCATCGTCGAAGCCAAAGTCTACAAAGCCAGTGATGTTAGCATCCCTGTGGGGAACAAGACAAGCAAGCCGCGAATCCCTAGATAGCCATAGTGACAAAGGAACGAACCTTCGTCGCCAGATATGTCATTATCGCTGTCATCTGGGTGCATGTCGTCTTCACTAGAGACGTTGGACATGAAGTCGTCGTCGGTGTCCATATCGCCGTTGGACGCTGTAGTCACTGGAGTGGGCGGTGCGATCTCGGGGCCGGCTGAGGCGAGTATCCTCTTGTTGGGGGCAGTGGAAGTAGAGGATATCGTCGCCTCAGCGGCTTTCCGCTTGCGAGTTGTTGGGGGAATCGTGCCGGCTTATGGGTGCTGGACGGAACCGTGTTCCAGCGCCTCCGGGTAGACGGCGAGGAAATGCGGAGTACCGGAGGCTGGTATGACTCGACGGCAAAGATGTTGCCTTGCAGCCGGAGCACAGGGGGCACTCTTTGTCGGGCAACAAGGGTGCCGGACAGGCAGAACGTTGGAGCTGGTACCTTGACGGGGGGAGTGGTGGTACGGCGACTTGTAAGCGGGGTGAAGGTCTAATAAGTTAGGTTGAAAAGGATCGAAAGAAGAGAAACAGAGGTGTTGAAGACTGATGTTCGAAATGTCGGTAAAGAGAGTCCCGCGAAAGCGCGTTTCTTGAGGTCGGCGAAGGAAGAGTCAGACCCAGTACCTGTGTTCTCGTGAATGTGTTGGAAGTGGGAAAACAGGGCCCAAGCTGAGCGGGCGGTCACCAAGGCATACGCCTCAGCACAGGCCGATTATGTAACTGGCAGCCGAAGACTTGGGAGTCATTTGGCCATTTGGCCCCCCCCTGGTCACTGCCCCGTTCCGCTTCCAGTGCAACCTGGAAGCGGCAGGCGGCCCCAGAGCAAACGCCAGGCAGCCAGGGGCAGCCCCACCCGACATTTGCAATCCCGTCGCGTCCAAGCCGACGCTAGCTCGCCCTGTTAGGTCAGCTGGAAAGAGAAGCGAGGCACCCGCCAAAGAAAGTCGGAGATCGCCACCACCGCCGACGACCGCGCTCAACTCAGCAGAAATTGCACACCGGCCATCCCGATAATTCAGATACCAAAAAAGCAAACCCAAAAAAGAGAGCTCACGGCGGGCTCCAAATCCCTCTCAACATGAACGATGGGATTGCAGAACGCGGTGATCAAAAGTCGAGTCGCTGGAAATCTGAAGATGGGCTCGAAAATACAAGGGACAAACGGAACGATAGGTACCGGGATAACGGCACCGGGAGACGCAGCAATCGGTCCCGATCTCGGGAACGGGGTGACCGACGCCGTTCAAGAACACCAGATTCGAAAGACCGCCGGTCTCGCTCAAGGGATCGAGAGAGAAGGAGAGAAAGAGACCGCGATCGCGACCGCGGTAGCCGTAGGCAGAGGAGCGGGGAGCGAGATGACAAGAGGCGGAATCGGGGAGGTGGCGAGGGTAGGAGCGGCCGTCGAAGCCGGCGAAGCCCAGATGGCAGGCCCCCGCGACGGGAAACTCGACTTGAAGGAGGGGATCACACCAGGCCCGGCAATGGACAGAGTCTCGTCAAACGTTCTGGCCCACTGCCTTCCCAGGATGACTCCTTTGCTGTCAGCAAGGGCGAAGAACCAGAGAAGCCGGTGGAAAAACCTAACTTTGGGAACTCCGGTGTGCTCGCGGCAGCCTCCAACTCTGTGACGCAAGCTGACGGCACTACCATCACGCTGAAGTACCACGAGCCACCGGAGGCGAGGAAGCCACCTCCGCGCGATTCCTGGAAGTTGTTCATTTTCAAGGGGCAAGACATTGTTGACACAATCGAGCTCGGCACCCGGAGTTGCTGGCTGGTTGGCAGAGACGTCACTATCGTCGACCTCCCCGCCGAGCACCCGAGCCTCAGCAAACAGCACGCCGTCATCCAGTTCCGGTACACGGAGAAACGCAATGAGTTTGGCGACAAAATTGGGCGGGTAAAACCGTACCTAATCGACCTGGAGAGCGCAAACGGCACGATGCTCAATGGCGAAAAGGTTCCCGAAAGCCGATACCTAGAACTGCGAAACAAGGACATGGTTCAGTTTGGTTCAAGTACAAGAGAGTATGTCCTCATGCTTGCCCCCAAGGAATGAGGGGGTGATCAAAAACACACCACACGGTATTTTCCCTATCCGGGGAAGAACCCGCAACAACCAAGATCCTGATGTCTTGACGTCGGCACTCTGCTCCGCATACCATCACCTATCACGGCTTCACGGGGCTTTTGCCACCGGCCTTTCCAACAGCTATGCCGATGCAGGCCGTATGGTACCACACCGCGTACTGAGGTTCACACCGTCACACCGAGGCTCGGCTTGGGTTTGCACGACAGTCGCTGCCTTGGCAGACCGCGAGTCCGGATCCAGGAGCGGCTCGCTCGACAACCTCGGGCTAGGCTTTAACGCGATCTTTGTTACCTACTGTGATACGTCGGGGATATTACGTTAGTTGTCGTTGTCTGTGGCCAATGTGTCGACCTTTCTCCGACCAATACCCTAAGCAAACTGTTTGGATCGCCTCTCAAAACTCTGGATGTGATATCTCTGTTTACTTTCCGCTAGCAACAGCTGGGACCCTGGTTTCATGGTCACTTGAACGTGCCCTCCTGGCTGTAGGGGTTGTACAGTTTAGGTCGTGGCTAAAGAAGGGCCGACGGCCGTATTGAAATGTGATCGACGTCCTGAAAAGAAAAAGTGATGGGAACTCAGTTCAGTTGATTCAACTTGAGTAACGAAACGACATGTTCGATCCGCGCGGGCTGAAAGTGCGACTCTAACGACACGGAACTTTCCCAGTAGATATCCGACCGAGAAATAATGCAATAGCTGGAGTGGTTGATATTGTCACAGAAACTTTTGACAGCTCGCAAGATTCCTACTGAAGTTTCCACCGAGATACCGAGAATCAGCGTCATAGCCAGCCTTGTGAGGCTTGTCGATTGCGGCACGACCAAGTGCCCATTCTGACGAAGTTTATAACTGGCCGGTCACTCAAAACCGTTAGCGGCGACGCTCCGACAGACCCTTGCACGGCAGTCTTAGCCGGAACTCACCCGCGGAACCGCTCAGTGCGGGTGAGTGGGCGACCAGGGGGGCGGTGACACATTGCCGCACACCGAGCTGAGGCGCCCATCAGCAATGCGAAAGTCCTATTCGCGACAGCCAAGGAGCAGTGCCATGCTTCGCCTTCGTCTCGCAGCAGCGTCCCGCCCCGTAGGGAGGGCGGCCAACGATGAACGGGAAGATCGCAGAAGGCGATTTCGGGGAACCAACACTGACCTCTTATTCCCTTAAACTAAAACTGGCCTTTTGAAGTCCTGTGCCCGACACTTGAGACAACTCAATGCTACCCCTCACAGCCTGATGGAGGGACACCCCCCAAAGAGGGCTCAGCTGCCCACCGTTAGTCACTTTCTCAGCCGCCCCGTGACAGACTTTCCCCACGCCGTCCTCGTCTTGCAGTCCTCAGTCGTAAATCGCGGCTGTCTCGGCGACAGTCTGCAGCGGAAGGCAATGTCTATCGAGCTCCGCTGATGGGCAATCAGCGGGCGATGTCTGCTGCGCGGAAACGGCTCAATAGTGACGGTAAAAGAAGGACAACTCACGTCGCACGACTCTCTCCTGTGTACCTCTAGAGATATCCTCACCCTTGTAGCCTCGCCTTCCCCTTTCGTGGCGAAGCACCCCCAGGCAACGTTCCTAGGCGCCATATAAGAAAACATAGGACACCTTTTTGGCCTCTGTGCCGCACTCATTCGTCGTTGCATTCATTTGGAACAAAACCGCCAGGAATGGTTCGTAGCACTTCCCATTTCACGTTCTGGGCCGCCGGCAGTTAGTGCAACATGGTAAGTAAGATCAAGAGCCTTTGACCCCATCACCAACCGAGCTACTCCAGCTTCTGGGTCGCATATACCCGCGTCATCATCCCTCTACCGGCTGCGAGTGCAGCACAACAACCCATTTCCGTGGCCTTTCCCGCCAAACACACCCCGGGCTTCTACGATACGACTAACATATCCCCCCAGGCCTCTATCAACAAGAACCCGAGCCGGTTCGAGCTCACGGCCGTCTACCGTCATCCAGAAGCCAAAGCCGACATCGTACTCGTTCACGGCCTCAACGGAGCTCCAGAGAAGACATGGACGGCCCCGAACGGGGTATACTGGCCCGCCGACCTGCTACCGACGTCGTTGAAGGATCAACATGCCAACGTGCTGGTATATGGGTACAACGCCGATGTATACGGAGGATTCTGGGAACGGCCTGCCAAAAGTCCGAGTGACAACTTCATCCATCATCACGCGCAGACCCTCGTAACGACTCTCACCCACTACCGCAAGAGCGAAGGGACCGAACGGAACCCCATCATTTGGGTCGTCCACAGCCTCGGCGGCATAGTCACCAAGCGAGCGCTCCTGTATTCGAATGATCTGCGAGATCCCAACCAAGAAGACCTTCGCTCGATCTACGTCTCTACGTATGGCATCATCTTCCTAGGCACGCCGCACAATGGATCGAACGCGGCCGCGTGGGGAGGGATAATACAAAGAATGGCGGACGCTGTGGTTCCGAAGAAGATCTTCGAATCCGAATCGGTGCTCCTCAAGTCGCTCAAGAAGGACAACGAGACGCTTCAGCAGATATCCAGTCATTTCTTGGATATTTACCAAAAGTTCAAGATCCATATGGCGCATGAAAACCAAAAGACAGATGTAAAGGGGTCGAAGTGAGTTACTCTCCTATTCTTTCCTGAGTATCACGGCGTCACACTGTCCGACGTCGTACGCCCGACACACTCGAGCATACACTGACTGTCCCAGGATTCTGGTCGTGGATGCCTCGTCTGCGAGCCCACAGCTTGTCGGTGTCACGTACTACGGCATCGAGGCCACACATTCCCGCATGTGCAAGTTCGAGAGCGAGAATGCGCCCGGCTACCGGACAGTCTCCACGGCGATTAGAGAGTGGATTGCGGGCGCCCCCGAAGTGATACCAATCCGTTGGGAAGTGGAAGAGGACCAACGTCGGGTGAGAGCAAACCTAGAATACTTCGAGCGTGTTCGGCAATATGTGAGTCCCTAGTGCATGTAATCACATGGATAACACCGAGAGCACCGAATTAACTTCGATTTCAGCAGGGTTCTACGTCTCTCCCTGCCGGGCATCCGCAGCAAGCACTTGGTAAGTTGATTTTACCAACAGTCAGGGGTGGTACATGTCCGACGGATCTCAAGGACAGGAGGAGTTGCACGCTGCCGCAGTTGAACAGGAATCGTGGCACGGGGATCATGGGCACCACTGCTTATTCAAGGAACACGCGCTAATTTATTCTTCTTTTAATAGTCCAAAGCAGCAATGGGATTGCCTCATCCCAAACCCAACCACCACCACCACCCCTAGAAGCCGGCCGGTCCATCTCAGCACCCCTCCTAACCGACACGGCCCACCCGCCGACACCTTCCACCTACTCTCCCAAGCTCCTCCCCGCCCTCCCGGAGTCCCAACCGCTCCCGGAGCCCGACCACGAGCCGCTCTTCATCCACCCGGAGACCTTCCGCCCCAATTCCTACTTCATCGGCCGCGAGGACGAGCTGCGCGGCCTGCACGAGATGCTCATGGACCGCAAGCGCCGCTCCGAGGGCACCTCGGCCGTGCTGGTCCAGTGCCTCCCCGGCGGCGGCAAGACCCACCTCGCCCGCCAGTACGTCTTCCAGCACCGCAACGACTACCCCGGCGGCGTCTACTGGGTGCGCGCCAAGTCCCGCCAGGAACTCGAGTACTGGTACTGGCGCATTGCCAGGAATGAGGCGCTGCGCGGGCTGGTTGATCAGCGTGATGTGGATGAGCTGAGGAACCCGAGGCGGATTGTGCATATCGTGCGGCGCTGGTTGAGCGCGCAGTCGGGCTGGCTGATCGTCTTTGATGGGGTTCAGTTTGATACGCCCGGCTTGCATGAGTTTATTCCGGATGCGAGGGACACGAGCCTGATTTATACGTCGACGGAGCGGGCCGTGACGGGGGATCCGCGCTTTGATAACCCGCAGGTTATGGAGCTTGGGTTGATGACCGCGCAGCAGGCACAGGATTTATTGTTGCTCGAGACGGAGAGACGAAGGCCATGGAGTGCGGAAGACCAGGCCATTGCGCTGGAGCTCGTGGGTTTGATGGGCAGGCTACCGCTGATGATTCACGTTGCTGCACAGCATCTGAAGGCGACGAGGGAGCCGTTGTCGAGATATCTCAGGTCGTATCGGAATCGGCCGAAGGCGGGAGATTTGCCGGCATACAAGGCTGTGCGAGAGCAGCTCGAGAACAGGGGCGAGAACGAGGCGTTGAACTTGATGTCGCTGTTGGTCTTCTTTGACCAACACGTCCCGGTCGAAATGCTCGCGCTCGGTACGTACATCCACCCCCTTTTTTGGTGAGACTCGAGACCGCTAACTCCTCACAGGCATCTCTGCCCTCGATAAGGTTACCCCCGTCAAGAGCTGCGACGCTACACACAGGAAGGCGAGCCTCAACAATACGCTCAAGGTTCTCATCGCCTTCGCCCTGCTCGAACGATCTGAAAGCGATGACATCTCGCCTAGTAGCTCCCGCAGCTCCAAGCGCAGCTTTGATAGGCACGTCGACTATCTGGACCTGCTCCGTATCCATAGCGTCGTCCAGGCCTTCTTCATCGACTCGCTCCACGAACAACACCAAATCCCATTCTGGCTTGAGCGAGCGGTGGCTGTTTGGACTAAATCCTACGATGACGCGGATAGACGGATCCAGGAAGACCCGAGAATCGGCCTGCCAGATGACTACCGCCGCTTCTGCATCCACGGCGAGAAGCTCCTGAAGAACCTGAATCGATTCGAGAAGCGGTATCCGAAACTCGCCGTTGCCAAATCGCACCTGGAGCAGCGGCTGGGCAGGATCCAGGGGCAGATCGACGACCTCTCGGAGACCATCCAAAAGAATATTGTCGATGGCTCTGTAGAGGAATACCCAGCCTCGGTCTTTGACCGCATTAGCACCTCCTCGCAGTCCGACGCGGCAACAATGCAGTCTCACAGCAGCCAACTAAGCGGGATGGGATCGCTCGATGGCGAGATCGACCTAGTTCAGTCGCCGCTGACGGAGTTGTTGGAGCGGGATGCGCAAATGCTCATGCCGTATCCTACTACGCCTGTGATGCCGGAGGCACCGGAGATTACCGAAGACGACCAGGAGACCGTCGTTTTATCTGTGGCTGGGACGCAGGTTCACGTGGGGGCAACGGACATGGTCGACACCAGTTCGCTACCGCCAGATCCATACGACCGTCAACAAGACTCGGCGTTCTTCAATGACTGGCAAGACGACATTCCACATCACAGGGTGCTCAAGAGACAAGAGACTCGGCGGTACCATGATCGTGGGGGTGCCTGGAGAGCGACGACCGTCAGTGATCCGCGGGTCGGGCTCAGCTGGGATGTTGCGCTCGGGTCCATCCTGAGCAGAAGGGATGCTTCACAATCACCATCGGGGGCTCACTTGACAGCTCAGAGCGAGGCGGAGATGCAACTCAATAAGATCAAGATGGCAGCGCCGCCGTCCCCCAGGCAGAGAGGAAGCTTCGGCTCCCAGTCCATGGCTCGACCCATGACCTTGGTGGGTAGAAACAGTTGGGCGGTCCCCAAGGCTCAGAAGACCTCCGACACCGAGGTGGCTGAAGTCCCACCCGAAGAATTCTCAAGCGGGCTCACCCAGATTCTGTCATCTCCCAAGAGCTGGACAGAGGCAACAATAAAGATGCTGAAGAAGACGGTGATGCCATCGGACAAGCCCAAGTCACCACCCCAGCCTGAGCAACCCCAGACTCCGCCCGAAGAAGAGATCGTCGTTTCTCCCTCGCCCATCTTCCGCGGCAGCCGCTCCGCCAACTCGAGCCCAGCTAGTCACTCCTCGCCCTTCCCCCCGCCGTCCTTCTCCGGCATTCCCTCGGATGACCTGTTCTCTAAAGCGGGCGTCCCGCTCGTCGTCCGTCGCTGGGACACGGTCGTCTACCACCCCGACGGCACGCCGATTAGTTCGTCCGGCATCGAGTGGTCTAGCGCCTCCGATCCCCTGTCGTCCTCCTACCCGACCCTGCCCTCAAACAGGCACCACCGCCCCAGCAACATCAACACTGCCCAGCTTCTCCTCCATGGCAGCAGCAACGGTGGCCCGCCGGCAGGATACTCCTCCCAGCCCATGTCGCGTGACGGCTCGCATCAGTCAAACCCCAGCATCAACATCCACAGCCCCACCGCGGCAGCCCAGTCGGCTCGACGTTCACGCTCACCGTCCTCGTCACCTACTGGGACAGACCCAGCTCAACGACAGAGCCCGCCCGGCCCAGGAGCCAGCACAACGGGAGGCGGTCCAGCCGGCAGCCTGCCCATCCCGACGCCCTCCTCCCGCCTCAACCCCTTCCCCTTCGCCCGCGGCCGCCCGCCCTCCTACACGGAAACAGAACCCTCGCCCAGGATGGACACGCCCTTCTCCGACGTGCACACCTCCTACCAGCACTGGGAAGACCGACACAACCACAACAACCACCACCCCGACCACCGCAACCACCCCGACCACCGCAACCACCACAACCCCATCTCACCGGGCACCTCCTTCCCCCCCGCCACCACCACTAACAACAGACCCCACGCCCGCCTCAACCCCTTCCGCTTGCGCCCCGGCCGCCGCGCAGCCCGCATCCTCCCCACCCGCGGCGCCGCGGCCCGCCGTGCCCAACAGCACCGTGACAACAACAACAACAACGGCCGTGGCAGGCGCGCACACTCCCTCTCGCCATCAGCCGGGTCGGGGTCGGGGTCGGGGTCGGGGTCGGGGTCGGGGTCGGTGTCACCCGTGCCCTGGCCGTCGTCGCCGCCATCGCATTCGCCACTATCCTCGTCGCCGAGGGGAAGGGCGTTGGCGCAAGCGCAGGCTGTAGCCGGGACGGGGGGTGGCGTGGGCGTGGGCTTGGGGGTTGGGTTGGGGAGTGGGAGTGGGAGTGGGTATAACTTCCCTTCACAACAACAGCAGCAGCAGCAGCAGCAGCAGCATCTGAGTCCGTTGGCGGAGTGGGCCGTGCCCGCGCCTTCGGGGCCGGAGACGGGTGCGGTGATTGGTGAGGTGGTGCATGCGGGGAGCGCGCCGACGGGGGAGGCGGGTAAAGGCGGTGGTGGTGGTGTGGGGGTGGGAGGGGAGGACATGGCGCGGTCTGCGTCGGCGGGGAGTGGGAGTGGGAGTGTGGCGGCGGCGGGGATCCGGATGGAGGATGGGACGGTGGTGGAGTTTGGGTCGCCTGCTTTGGGTTCGGCGGGTGGTTCTAGTCCTGGTGTAGTGTCTCCTGGGTCTGGTGGGAAGAGGCCGAGGACGGGGAGTTTCCCTGGGATGGGCACGAACGGGTTCGTGGTTTTTGAGTGAGTGCATGGTGCATTAGTGAAGGGGAATGGTTTGTTTTGTGTGATTTGGAGGAGTAATGGTACACTTCATAGCGATTGGATGGCTAGAATGTTTTAATAGATGCGGATGCATGCATTAGGAGCAGTTATGTTACTTTGGTACTCCCTTCTACGCGACGGTATTACGGTTTAACAGAAAGGAGGGCGTTATACAATGGCTGAGCTCGAGGACAAGTGATGACACAGCTGGCTGCGAACACGTAAATAAACATCCTCGTAGTTAGATAACAGATTTCATGCGCATACCACTTCAATCTTATTTGACGCGGTTTGGATATCAACACCCCTTTGCCCCCGCTCTCATCCAGTATAGATGCTATCAAAACGATCCCCTATTTCACTCCCATTCCACGATCAGACTACTACGCAACAGTAAACTCCGGTATTTCGCCCATCTCCTGCTTCAACTCGCTCCCGACCTTGTACGACACCCGCCACCTGAGCTTGATCCCTTCCACCTTCTTGGCCTGGTTCCCTGCGTGGCGCACTTTGATAGATTGGGTGACGCCCCGGCTTTGCTTTGGCTCCAACGTTCTCCCGCTCTGTGGTTTCAGGAGCAGCTCGTACCCCTGTCACAAGCTGTTAGCACACAACATCAGATTAGTTGTCTGGTGGCTTACTTTGGTCACCGCCAGCTGGAAGTGCAGCTCTGAGATTGGCTGCGCCGTGTTATTTGTGAACGCGAATAGCAAGTTGAGCAAGGGGTCCGTATCGACGGTCCGGTTGGCGACCATGTCGACCTTTAGGTTTGTGTTGCTGACCAGCGCCTTGTGCTCTCTGGGTACTTGCGGGGCTTCTGGGGGTAGCGCCGAGGAGAAGTTCCACTCGTCGTCGTCGTTCGCTAGAGTGGGCGCCTGAGAGGATGTGGCTGGTGCCGGGGACAGGGAGGAGAGTGCTGCGAACGGGTCCGTGGTCGATGACTGAGTGGGTGGCGAGAAGGCCGATCTCTGAGCCGGCTGCGGGGTGCTCGACTTAGATGCTGGCGCAGAGGTGAAGGAGTTGAAGTTTGAGAAGGGTGCGGGAGACGGCGTGGATGCCGGCACTTGTCCCTTCGCGGTGTTGCCTTCTGTGACAGATGAGAGCAATGCCGGGCCAGGGATATCTATAGCTAGTTAGTCGTATCCGGGGGTGGGATTCTATCACATAACATACTCGTGTTGGCCCCGAAACCCAGAGCGATCCCGCCTGCTTGGCCGTAACTGCTGGTGTCGGCTATTGACAAACCCAGGAGATCGTCCTCAACCCCGGCCGTCTTGGAGGTCGACTGGCCACCAGCCGCGCCGTTTGCATCCGCATCGTCGAAGTCAATCAAGGACAGTTCGTTCGCCGCGCTTGCCGCACTTTTCCCACTACTTGTTGTCGGGACTGGGGCGCCCTTGGCTATTTGCTGCGCGCCTTCGACATCGCCCTTCTTGAGCAGCTTATACCGTTCGACTGTGCGGTGTATGCTGTCGTTAATCTTGAGCAACTTGGCTACCGCCTCGTGGTCGTCGGATTCCTCCTCGCACATCTTTTGAATCTTGGGCTGGGCACTCGAGAGCGCCGCCGCGAGCTCCGAAAAGACATCACCGTCCACCATCTTCTCGCCGGCCTGGAAGGCCGCGAGCCTCTCCTCGAGCAGTCTTGCCTTTTGTTGAATCTTGCCGACCTCCTCAGCGGCCTTGGCGCGGTAGTCGACCTTGGACCGAGTGTCGTATCCGGCCATGACCTTCATCAACTTGTTGGCTTCCCTCAGGTCTTCCGGTGTACCTCTCCGGATGAGCTCCTGCAGCTTCGCCGACTGCGCCTCGCGCTCCTCCTCCTCCATCTCCTCGGCGGATTTGAGGTTCTGCAAGGGTCAGTATGGGGCGCGGTGCTCATGCTCAAGGCTACCACGTACTTCACTGGGATTCAGCACGGCGGCATCCTCCCTCCTAACCTCCGGAAAAGTGTATCCCTTGTAGCTCAGCAGACGGTGCATGTCGCGGATAAATCCGAGGTCCTCCCTGTAACGACTCGTATCGCATATGGTGCTGCGCCATTCTTCGATGGCCTCGAGGATTTTGAGCTGGACGCGCGACGGTCGGATCGGAGGTCGTTCGGGGAAGCGGCGCACTAGCTCGTTGAGGAACTCTTTGGTGGCAATCTGCAGCTGGAAGGGGTAACCGCAATTCTTGACGCAGATGTCGAGCAGGTTAAGGGCGAGCAGCGAGACGTTGGGGTTGCGGTGGTTCACATAGTTGACGATGGCGACGGCGGCCTCGCGCGGGGCCGAACCTTTCTTGGCATTGATTAGGTCGGCGATCTCGAGGTTCAGCGCGAGGTTTGGCTCGAAGTTCTCTGGGCTGCACGCCGCCTGAATAAACCGGTGGAGTTGCGAAGGTGCCGGGGCGGCGCCCATCTCCCCCCAACGGTCTCTAGCGGCGAACCGCGCCGAAGCGGCCTCCATCTTGATGATTTCGGGTGTTGCTCTTTGCGCTTCGTGTCTACGGAACTGGCGGGATGGATAGTCGAATATTTGGACCCAGCAAGTGGCGCCAGGTAAGTCGCTGGCTAATATTCCGTGGAGGCCGCGCAATACCTAAGGTAGGCAGCTCCTTAGCTGGCTTGAGCACACGTAAACGTTGTGGTTGAGCTTGGGCCTGAGGATGCGCCCCTGGGCTGTGGTTGACGCAACGCAGAGGGAGAGAGGGCCCCGTTTCTTGAATAATCCCAGGGGGAAACGGCTGATCGGCGCTTTGGTGAGTGGTGCTTGTGTGGGGCTCGGGCAGCAAGCAGCAACGCGCATAACGGACGCTCGGCGGTGGAGGCGGGGCAGTCCCTTGGTTATCAACCCCACCATTAAAGTTCTCAGCGGGAGGCAGGAAATCTCCGAGTGAAGTCATTGCAAGTAATTTATTATCACCAACACCCAATATCAACCCTTTGACACGGTATACGAAAGGTCTCGCTTTATTATTCACCAATTCCACGGCCATTCTCTAATTTCCCCACCGGCTTCCCCCCCGCCCCGACCCCACCATGGTCCGCCACAAGAAAGACAACTTCTCGTCGCGGGGCAAACATGCCCACCGCGGACCGCCCCGAAACGCCCGACAAATCGAGGCCGAGAACAACGGCAGCGCCGAAACCCCCGACAGCAACAACCGCACCGGCGGCTCCCGCCCCGCCTTCAAAGCCGCGTGCTGGGACCTGGGACACTGCGACCCGAAGCGATGCTCGGGCAAGCGGCTGATGCGGCTGGGGCTGATGCGGGAGCTGCACCTGGGGCAGCGGCACGCCGGGGTGATCATCACGCCCAACGGCAAGCAGACGCTGTCGCCGGCGGACGCGCCCCTCTTGGACCAGCACGGCGCCGCCGTGGTCGAGTGCTCGTGGGCGCGCACCAAGGAGGTGCAGTGGGGCAAGGTCGGCGGCAAGTGCGAGCGCCTCCTGCCCTACCTCGTCGCCGCCAACACGGTCAACTACGGCAAGCCCTGGCGCCTCAACTGTGTTGAGGCTCTGGCTGCCGCTTTTGCCATCTGTGGCCACCTCGACTGGGCCGCCCAGGTGCTGAAGCCTTTCTCGTACGGGGAGGCCTTTCTGGAGATCAATTCGAGTTTGCTGAAGAAGTATGCCGCGTGCGAGGACGAGGCGGGCATGAAGAGGGTCGAGGAGGAGTGGATGGAACGGTTGGACCGGGAGTATACCGAGAGCAGGGAAGAGGGGGATCCGGATGATTTGTGGGCCGGCGGGAACGTGAACAGGAGGATGCCAGCGGACTCGGACGAGGACGAGGAAGGGAGCGAAAGAGATGGAGAGGAGGACGAGGATGAAGACGAGGATGAGAAAGAGAAAGAGCAGGACGACGAAAGTGTAGACGGCATCTTTCTCGGCAGCAAACCACCACCAAAAGCGCAAGGGCAACAACCAGAAGAAAGGGACCGTTTTGCACTCCCATCAGACAGCGAAGAAGACGACGACGATGCCGAAATGGAAGCCATTCGCCGCAAGATAATTGCCTCGAAGCCCTTCTCCAACCCCGAGCCCGACGCGAAAAAGCCACTCGAGACCGTCGCCCGACCACAACCAAAATACAAGCCGGATTCAGACGCCGAACCAGATTCGGATAACGGGTCGGATGACGAGTTTGATAACATTATTGATGCGACACCAGTGACAGATCGAATGGGGCTGGCCAAGTTAGAGAAGGAGAGGGCGCGGATCACGACAACATCGAGAACGTTCTCATCGGGCGGCGTGTCTGCACCCTCGAGGTGGTAGCCAGTCATAAGAAGCAATGCTTTTTCAAGCGCGTATATAATCACGACAGCGTTTAGTATATTTTCATGCCGGCGCGCGTCTGTACCATCGAGGTTGTAAATAGTTACAAAATGCAATGCTTTTTCAAGCGGGTATAGAACTTGTTCTATTATACACAGTATATCTACACGGGGGAGCCTCTCCGACCCATCCATCACCGTCTAGAACAGCCGCCTTTTGGTCGCCATGCCCCAGATCTATCTTTCCCGATCTTTGTAGATGCACATGTACAGTTGAAAAAACAAAACAATTCATCTTACAGCGTCCGCTTCTCCGTGTACTCCTCAAGCATCTGGATATTATCCCCCGGCTGGAGCTCGTCCCAGCCGGCAAACGAAATGCCGCATTCGCTGCCCTTCTTCATCTCATGCACATCCTTCTTGACGTGCTTGAGCGTCTCGATGGTGCCTGTTTGTTTTGTTAGCCTCTGTCACAAGTAATAATATAATGCATGTCATCAGATGGAACTCACCCTCAAAGACATTCTCTCCCTCCCTGATAACCCTGCCCTTGGTCCCCTTCTTGACAAATCCGTTCCCGATCCTGCAACCGGCAATATTCTTGTACTTCCGCCCCTTGATATTGATCGGGAACACCTGCAGCACCTCAGCCTCGCCCACCACCTTCTTCAGAATCAGCGGCGGCAGGGCCTCGATCATGCGCTCCCGCACCTCCTCGACCAAATGGTAGATGACGTTGTGCTCGAGGATCTTGACGCCCGCGTCGGCCGCCAGCCGCTTGATGTGGGCGGGGATGCTGTTGTTGAAGTTGATGACGAAGCTCCCCGACACGGCGGCGTGCTCGACGTCCGACTCGGTGATCTGCCCGGGCGCCGACACCAGCACCTTGGCGCGCACGTCGTTGTTGCCCTGCTCCAGCAGCGCCGCCGTGACCGCCTCCACCGACCCGTGCACGTCGCCCTTGACGAGGAAGGGGACGTAATGCGTCTTGTCGGCGGGGTCCTCCTCGCCCTCGGCCGCGGCTGCGTCCGCCGCCGCCTGGGTGTTGTGGTGCTGGTGGCGCCGGTGGTGGCGTCGCCTGTTGTGGGGCTGCGGATCAGCGGCCTCGGCGAGTGCCCTCTCGCGCTCCCGCTCCAGGTCCCGCTCCCGGCGGTCTTGTTCTTGCTGGGCCATCTGGGAAATAACTTCGCCGCGCTCTTTAAGTTCCTGGCGGTACCGGACCGCGGCTTTGGCCTTGCCTTCGTCGGGGGCTTGGAGAACCTGGTCGCCTGCATCGGGTGGTTCTTTCCAACCGAGGATCTCGATGGCTGTGCCGGGAGGCGCCTCGTCAACTTCGACGCCGGCTTCGTTGCGGAGCGAACGGATCTTGGCGTGCACCCGCCCAGCGACGATGAAATCGCCGGGTCGGAGTGTGCCGCGCTTGACGAGGACAGTAGCAACGCGCCCAATGGGTTTGATGGTTGACTCAAGCACCCAACCCTCGGCCAAGCCGTCTGGTTCGGCGCGGATGTCGAGCATTTCGGACAGTAGGAGGATGTTCTCCTCGAGGTCGTCCATGCCCTGGCCAGTCCTGCCGCTGACGCAGACAACCTGAACGTCGCCGCCATAGTCTTCGAGCTCGACACCGTGCGTGGCAAGGTCAGACTTCACCCGCTCGATATTGGCTTCGGGCTTGTCGACCTTGTTGATGGCCACGATGATGGGTACCTTGGCGGAGCGGGCGTGCTTGAGAGCTTCCAGGGTCTGTGGCATGACGCTGTCGTCGGCGGCAACCACCAAAATCACCATATCGGTTACACTGGCGCCGCGTTGGCGCATCGACAAAAAGGCGGCGTGGCCGGGGGTGTCGAGGAAGGTGATCTGCTTTCCGGTGGACAAGCTTACCGAGAACGCACCAATGTGTTGCGTGATACCGCCGTGCTCCTGAGCCACGATAGACGACTTCCGCAGGTAGTCTAGAAGAGTTGTCTTGCCGTGGTCGACGTGGCCCATGATGGTGACGACAGGCGGCCGAAGTGGTAACGAGGAGAGATTGGCAGGAACAGGAGCTGGCTTGAGATCCTCATCCTCGCCGGCATCCACAGTTGGTTCGAAGCCGTATTCCTGGGCCACCAAGGCAGCCGTTTCACCCGTGAGGATGTTGTCCTTGCCGACCTCCTCAAAACCAAGCTCCTCCAACTGCGACACAAAAACGTCGATTTTCTCGCCAAGGGCGACAGCCAGATTCGACACGCTGATGAATTCGGGGAGGAAGATGGGCGTCGGGCCAGCTGCTTCAAGGGCAGCCAGTCTTTCCCTCTCTCTCGCGGCCTTCTCGGCCTTCCTCCGGCGCTTTTCCTGGTAGAAATCATCATCCCAGTCATCGTCCTCGTTGACCTCCCTGCGTCGGATTTTGGGCTTTTTCGGCTTCTCATCTACTTCCTCATCGCGAGCATACCGACTCACCCGGCCGTATCGATTATCCCGCTCATCACGACGAGGCGGTAAAACTTCAGAACTGGTTGCTTCCTCGCCAGGCTCCTGCTCCTCCTGACGAAGCTCGCGCGCAATACGTTGCGCCTTCACCAGCCTGGCTTCTTCCGTATAGTCCTCGGCCCAATCCCAGTTCTCTGAGTGCTCGGCCGCCGCCCCGTTCCTCCGCGGCTCGTCCTGCCTCGTGGCTTGACTTTCCAGTAGCTTCCATTGGTCCACCCCAGCGTTTGGGCTCCCTGCCTGGGGGCGACCAGCGGTATTCTGTCCCAACGAGCCGAATAAGTTCGCCCCAGGTTTCGAGGCGTATGCTTGCGGCGCCACCTGAAAGTCGGAAGGTGCCGCGCTAAATCCTGGAGGCAAACTTCGTTCTCGGCGCGCAAGGTTCTTCCAGTCGCCCTGATCCGCTGGCGTTTGTGTTAGAGAGCTGCTCGGTCGAGGAAGATCATAGCGTGGTGTACTGCCATGCGGGGTTTGACTAGTGGGCGCAGATGCGTCCCGTTGCCCGACCTGGTTTTGCCCTCCATCCCCAAGGGCGCCCGTAATCCCAGACGGCCGGCTCCGGCGGCTCCGCAGAGCAGCGAAATTGCGGGATACATCGTCCTGAAACGTGTCGGGTTGGTGCGGTGGGCTAGCGGGCTGTACCGGCCTATCGGTACCACCGGCCTTCTCCCTCGCCGCGCGCTCATGTGGAAGAAGAAACGCTAAAGGGTTCGTTTGCTGTGGTGGTTTCGCTGCATCGGGATTGGCCCAGGCGGGTTGCGCCGCCGCCGGAGTTAACCACGATGGAGCTGCGGATGCCCAACTAGGGGTGGTGTTCTTGGGTGTCGGATCCGCTGCCGGCGCCGGCCGAAGCTGCGTTGGCGATTGCAGAATAAGTTCATCAAAGTTCGCCTCTCGGAAGTTGGTCGGGTTCATATTCCTCGTGGGTTCGGGTCGGGGGGGGCGGTCGTGCGCCGTCCATGACGTTCTCCTTCACCGTCCGCTCGTGAAGAACCAACCGGCTGTTGTTGATAGGCGACTGCGGATTCGCCACGGGTGGGTGTGTACGACCCATGGGCATCTCCCTTACAACTCGATCGCGTGGAAGGGGGCCAGTATTACGGACGATCGATGGAGTAATCCTCGTTGATTCAGCCGCGAGTGGCCTCCGGCCCATAGCCCTATCCCTTGCAGCCATTTCGTGAGGAAGCAATCGATTACTCTGGGCGATCGGTTGGCTGGTTTCGGCAGGCCATGGCCGAGGCGGCTGTGGAGGTGGGGCCGGACGTATCCGGTTCATGGCCCTCTCTTTCGCCGCACGTTCGTGCGGGAGTAGCCCATCGTTTGCGGCTACCGGCCGGGCATCCTGGGTAGGGGTGGCTTGAGGTGGTTGTGTTCGGTTCATGGCCCTCTCTCTCGCCGCACGTTCGTGCGGGAGTAGCCCATCGTTTGCGGGCACTGGGAGGGGATCCTGTGTGGGGGCGGCCGGAGGCGGTTGTGTTCGCTTCATGGCCCTCTCCCTCGCCGCACGTTCGTGCGGGAGTAGCCCATCGTTTGCGGGTACCGGGAGGGGATCCTGTGTGGGGGCAGCCGGAGGTGGCTGTGTTCGCTTCATGGCCCTCTCTCTCGCCGCGCGTTCATGCGGGAGTAGCCCATCGTTTGCGGCTACCGGGAGGGGATCCTGCGTGGGGGTGGCCGGAGGTGGTTGTGTTCGCTTCATGGCCTTCTCTCTCGCCGCGCGTTCGTGTGGAAGTAGGCCGTCATTGGTAGTGGCTGGCTGTGCTGGCTGTGCTGGCTGTGGTGGTTGTGTTGCCCAACTGGGTAGGTCACCGGTCGTAAATTCCCTCTGGCATCCCCTCCCATCCCCGAAGCTTGCCAATGCGCCTAACCCGAGGGGTTTACGCGGGCCCGCTGTGCTACCGAGTCCTCCATGCCTACTACCAGTGGTTGCGACGGTGTACGGTCGGGTTACACTGCCGGGAGTTGGCGACGGTGTGTTCGAGAAGGACCCGGGGTCTATTATTCCGTCATTGGGACTCGACGACGGACGAAGGGCGGGGCGGGTGTAGGGACCGTAGCCGTAGCTGAAACGGCAGAGCAGGCATGCCGACGGTCGGTTCTGCTTCTAAGGCGAGACCGTTAATATTGAGGGATCCCTTAGATAAGAGAGTCAGTTAAAACGCACCTGCTGCCATAGTCCACGTCGCATCATAGTCGGATCTGGCGGGGCATGGCGGTCTCAGGTCGAAAGATTAGAGAGCGACTTCCGGGTTTCCTCTGCTGCAAGTCCATCAAATCGCCAAAAATTCGGCCAGAGCTTCTCCGATCCAGGATACCCTGGCACCCCAGCCGAACAGGGGTCCAATCGACTTTTTGCATGCGATAAATCCAGGGTTAGGGTCTTGGAACTGGACACTTGATTCGGCATCACCGCAATTTCCTCCCTCTCAACTTCCATTTACACTGGAAGAGACGGAACCTTTGGATACTCCTCCAAAAGGCCATCTCAGCGCCTCATAAAACACCCTCGCTTATTTCACTTCCGGAGGCATCTCCAACTTTTCCATTCACTTCCTTACCGGACAATCCCGACACCACCAACACTTAGTTACCCGCCTAAGTTTTTTCACACCTTCAATCAACAACCGCGCCCCTGAGTTTCCCACACACGCCCACCGCCACCACCACCACCACCACCGGCACCATGCCTCCCACCAAAACCGCCAAATCCAAAGCCCGCCTCACCCCCTCCTCCAAATCCAGCAACAGCAACAATCCCTCATCCCCACCCTACCCCTTCCAACCGGCCCCCGCCGCCCTGCAACCCTTCTGCGCCACGCTCCCGCCAGGGCATGTCTACATCACGCACGTGGACCCGCGGCCGGCCGCGGCCAAGCGCAAGCTCTTCCTCATCCCCATCGGCATCAACCTGGCCGTGATCGGGCTGTTCGTGTGGCGGGTCGCGCACATCGCGCCCTACTACCTGGCGCTGGCCATGTCCATGCTGGGCCACTCCAACGCGACGACGCTGCGCACGGCCGAGCTCGGCTGGAGCGAGCTGGGCTGGGCGGTCGCGGCGCGCGCCGCGACTTTTTTGTTGGATTTCGTGCTGGGTGTGTTTGTGTGGCCGTGGCCGTACGAGTTCTTTGTGGGCACGACTGGGCGGGGGAGTCCCGTCGCCTGGCGCTGGGCGGTTGGGTTCCGCGGCAAGGAGGTCTATGTGCGCCGCAGTCGGGATGGTTGGGACGGGGTGCTGCGCAAGGAGAAGGTGGATTTGTTTGATCTTGAGGCGCCTGATGCTAGGGAGGGTCGCGAGGCGATCTTGGGCCGCATCAATACCGCTACTTCGCCCATGTTCATGCAACAGAAGACGGGGTATTTGACTATGAATGGGGAGTGGGACTTGGACTGGCGGGGTATGGTGGACGCGACGCGGTTGGCGGATGCGAAGGAGATCGCGCTGGAGGCGTTCGGGACGGTGGTGCTGTTGCATCACGCCAAGTTCGGGTGGGTGAGTGTGGATTTGGGGAATGGTGATAGCGCGGAGCAGGATGAGAGACGGCGCCAGGTGATGGCTTTCAGGGATGCTCTCACGGCGCTGGGGAAGGAGGACCTGTTCTTCAGGTGGGTGGAGATGATTCAGTTCGAGACCGACCAGCCGGGCGGGTTCACGAGGGAGAAGCAGGTCGTGGCCGCCCAAAAGATTCGGGATATGTTCAAGTCGAACGGGGTGGATTTTGATGGCCTCTGGAAGGAGACCGTCGGGACGGACGGACTGGCCGGTATGCCGGAATAACATTGTATCATACATCTGTACTACCACATTAGCAGTGGAAGGGGGAGAAATGGGCTTTCGGCGGGGCGTTCATAGAATGGCTGGTACAGGCAGTAAGAGATCTAGCAGTATTGTAATACTATCCTAGGACACGGGCGCAGTTCATTTCTTCTTCCCTGTCTTCTTCGGCCCAAGGGCTGCCTCACGCCGCTTAGCTTCCTTAGCATCAAACTCAGCCCGCTTTTCCTTCTCCTTCTCCTCCTTCTCCTCTTTCTCGGCCTATATACCGTGTCAGTTTTCGCATATAAAAATACTAGAAGACATTCATGGGGCCATACCTGTCTCCGGGCTGCCTCAATCTCACGTCTTTCCTTAATGAGCGCCAGGCGAGCCAAATCCATCCTGGCCTCATCCGTCTTGCCCGCCTCATGCAACTTGCGGTACCTCTCCTTGGCCGCAGCAGCCTCGATAGCCTCGCGTTCCCGCCTGCTAGGCGCGACGCTCATCTTCTTGACGCCCTCGGTGGCCTCCTCAACGGGAGACACCTTGGTCTGGTTGCGAGCCTTGCGCGAGTGGTTCGGGTTGGCGGGCATGTCATCATCTTCATCCTCCTCCGAGTCGCTCGGCGGTAGGTCGCCGACCTCTACCGGCTTCTTGGACCTAGCGATGGCGGCGTCCTTGCGTGCCTTCTTTTCCTTCCTGCGCTCCTCGCGGCTCAGCTCGGCGGCGGATTGGTTTTGGGCGGATGGGCCGGCGGCGTCATCGGAGTCCTCCTCCTCGGACTCTTCCTCCTCCGAGTCCTCCTCGCTGTCCTCGTCGGACGATGTCTTCTTCTTGGCATCCGCGCTCCACATGTCGATTTCATTGCCGTCGGCATCAAGCGGTCGGAGGTCACGCGAGAAGTGCTTACCACCTAGAACGCGATTAGCGGTTATGTGCGCAATGGGGGGAATAGAAGCACTTACCTCCACGTGTGTACTTCTTAAACTTGCCGCCGCGGCCGCGTGAGTTTGCACCTGGACCACCGCCTGCCATTTTGCGATCGTATGCGTCGAGTCGAGTGCCCGAGGCCGACTGATTGAGGGGTATGCGCGGGCGGGGTATTGGTATGGTTGAGAACAAGGTCAAATCTGCGACACTGCTGCTGATAAAGTCTAGAAGTCGGGTCGATAGTGAGCAGGTAGCGTCACTATAATCGCAGATCAGACAGATAGGTAGGGGGCTCTGTACGTAGAACAAAGCACCAAAGCAAACAGACTTTGGGGCAGCAGTGTTAAAATAGTCTATGCATTCCAGGGCGCAAAATGCTGACCCCGCCATCCCACCATTGCGGGGCTCCTGAGCCACTGCCGATAACTCGTTACCATACCATCACTCTAATTGGTTAACCAGCCGGAGAACTCGCCTCGACAAGGTCTGTTGTCGTCTGCACAGATCTGGACTTCGGACACTGTGAAACTCGTCGACATCGAGTCATTTTAGATAGTCAGACGGCTCGAGAAATTTCCCAGTTTCATGTATTACAAATCTATGGAAACTTAGGTGGTATAATTCGACCAGACCAGGCCGAATTTCGTCACAAGCACCGAGTTACCTAACCCGGTGCTTCGGCTGGGCTCCTTCACGCGACGTTGGTCTCCAGCACTTCAATCGAGTCGCTCTTGATTGGTCTAGGCTGCCCCACTCCAAACGCGCTGCTTAAAATCTTTGATTTCCGATTTCTCTTTCTCCCTTTCTTCTCCTTTTCTCATCATTCATAAAACACAGTTCCTTCAAATTCACTCCGGTCCGAGTCTTACGCCATGGCATTCTGGAGGGGAAACTGGAGGATAGACTGAATTCTTGCACTTACCCTTTGTCTCCGGCAGCTTGCTGCATCGTCGGAGAACAGAGAAATATTTTGCCAGATACATGCTGCCCTCTTCGTCATTTTGTTCACATGGTTGCATCACGGAAATCCGTGCCGCTCCCCCAAAATATTCGTAGTTTCGTACATTAGCTTTGTAGCCTTTCTTTGCCTCTCCGTTCCTCGGTCATTGACCGAACCAACCGGCGAAGGAAGTCATTGCTTGAACGTATCAACGAGAAGCCGCGTTCCATCAAAGACAATATCCCGGAAACTTATTCCGGCTTACCCTGAGGTACGCCAAACGACGAAAGTAAATCCCCTGTTGACCGTTTCTGCCGTTTCCCCGGCTCGAGATTCGTCTCCTTGCGGTCATCCGAACGAGGAGCCCACGAAGGTGCGGGACCGGGACCGGGACCCTGCTCTGCCTCGGGCTCACTCCGTTTCAGGTGCGGTGGAATCTCGGTCGACGACCCGGACGGTGCCCCGGACGGCGCCACGGCCCCGTCTCGACGCCGAGAGAAGATCAGGCGGCTCACGCACAAATCCAAGCGATGATAACAGTGGCCGTAAGCCGGGGCGCACAGCGTGAGGCTCACAAATTGATCGCCCGGCAGTGTAACTCCTTCTACTTGCTTTTGCATCGCCGTTTGCTTCGCCTTGCCGACCTGGCGCTGGTCCAGAAGTGCAAGGAACCAAAAGATCTGGTCGACGGTCATCTCGTGACGGCCCGTGCCATAAATCGTCTGTGGCCTTGCGGCGCCAGACAACTCGTGAGTGCCTTGCAACACAGCCCGCCAGCCATCATCGAGATAGTCGCGGAGGTCCGGACCGTCCGGCTGCTCAGGTCCAGGTTCGACATGTCCTGCATCGTCTTCGGCCTTCTCTTTTTCGTCCGCCATTTCCCGGCTCTCCTCCCATTCCCGATACCGCGGCAGTCGGGGGTTGTCAGCCCAGACCGCCGGTTGCTTGTCATTCTCAAACAACCACTTCAAGCCCATAACACCTGCCCGATGCACCTCCCTTTCAAGGTAGGCCTCGGTATATGCTACGAACAGCGATTGCCTTGCCTCTGTGATTATTGGCTCGGTGATTTTCCAGCCAAAGTGATTCACGATGTCCTTCGTCTCGTTGGAAGTACGCAATGGGCACTCCTTGACTGCCGTGATATCAAGGATCTCCAGACGCGGAAGTGGCAGCACGTATTGCAGCGCACTTGGCGTAACCCGGTGCCCTCTTGAGACGAACTTCAAGACGCGCAGGGATGGGAAACTCACTCCCGGAACCTCACTCCATGCTCGAATCAGCCTATCGTCAATCCGGCTCCCCTCGTCCCGCTGCCGCTCGATGATCTCCAGCACAGCCAGTTGCGGCAGCGTAGCCAGAGGGATCATTTCGTGGGTCTCGAAACGCCCGACGTTGTCGATGCAAATATATATGAGACCCTCCTTCCAGTCCATAAGCGGCGCGAGGTAAACGTCCAGCTTGCACGTCGGGCAGCCAACATCATGAGCGTAGCGGATCAGACCCATCGGGAATCTGACTTCTTTCCCTTTACCCTTTCCAGAGACAGCCTGGACTTCCTTCTCTTTACCCTTTCTAGAGATGGCGTGGTTGGACGCTGGCCCCGGCGGTTTCGGTATTAGGGGCGAAGACAGGTTCCACCAGTGTCCTAACGACATGTTCCTAAATGTCAAAACAAAAGTCAGTACTCAGGTATCCAATGGTCCTGTGTGGGCTGGGGAACCCTGATCAGCATCACTTACCTAGCATACAGCTCCTTCCATAGAGGGCGCTGCAGGTGCTCCGGGAGATCAGATAACAATTCCCCGGGGTTGGGTGCGCCGACGATGTTTTCCGCCAGCACGCGAATGCAGGTCGAAATCAGCGACCGTGGGCCCTTGAACCCTCGCCCGCTCCGCGCGGGCGGAAAGGGGATAGCATTATCGTGCGCATAGTACCAGTCGGCGCCGGGCTGGTAGGGAGCGGACAGAGAACTCCGTGCTACGGGTTTGGGAGCGACGCTCTTGTGCTGGTGGGGAGCGAACAGAGAACCCGGTTCTACAGGTTTGGGTTCCATCCAACCAGCGACGCTCTTGTTTGCTTCCACGAATTTATCCATTGTTGAGAAATCGGGGGAAATGTGGTGACGTCACGTTGAGCGGGCGTTGAGTTAAAACACGACAGTTTTGGGAGTTTGTTGTTCAACACCACGCGCACCTTTTTCGAGGAAATCGCGGTCAAAATAAAGAGGGGGTTGGGGAGTCGGGTCATTTATAGCCCAAGCTCGAGACAACACTCTATCTCGTATTTTCATCCCGAACAAAACCGACGACAATAGCGAACCACACAAAAACGTGTTGTTTTTTCGGTGAACAGTAAGGTAGCGAGCCACAAGGGCGAATGTTGTTCTTTCATCCACGAAATTATCCACACTTGGGGCCGGGAGCCTCCAAGATTTGTTGACGACCCTCTACCCCGAAAGCCACCTAGAATCATCAAAAGATGAAAAGCAGCGAAGTCGGAGCTTCACTAGGCCACAGGGCCCGGGGACACAGATAACGGGATTGAGACTAAGGTACCCAACCTATTGATTTACAAGGGATCGATGGCGGGAGACCTTTAGATTCAAATAGGATTCAAAGTTTCAAGTTACGTTTATGTTTAAGTAACTGCCTTCCTACCTACCTAGGTAGGCGGGCAAGCTTGTGAGAACTACGGGGACCATTCTACGCCAAAGATAGGACAACCGCCAAGGTCATCGATGGCATTAAGAGAATGCCATTAACAAATATCAATGGGCAAACTTTTCCGTTACTGAAAATCACAAACACTGGTGACGGAGTCACTATCGTACTGAATCACATAGGCTCTTTCCCTTCCCGACTTGTGATCTATCGGCGGAATTTCCTTTGAAGTCCTTTTTCGCTGTCCGCGGCACGGCGCTGGTTTTCGGGTTCGCCGGTTGTTCTTAACTTTGCGCTTTACCCCAAGCGGAATGCCGCCGCCAACTCGGGCTTCCCCAGATTTGAAGTGGAGATACAACCAAGTACCGACGGGAGTTGCGTGGGCACCCCATGAACCAGAAAAAAGTCGATCCCGAGGGGCAGAACATGGATCGGGGCTTGGAACGCGTCGGAGAGTTTAGAGGCACCAGTCCAAGTCCATACACGTCCTGGTAGTAGGAACAAAGACTTCGATCAATTTGAGATTTGAATTTTTTCTATGCGCTAGCAATTTTATCCACGGCATCCCAGCAAGCAAGCACTTTTGCCGCTAACCACCCACGCTCCGACGAACACCCCCCTCTTAACCCCCCACCCGTATGTGTGGACAAGATAGGTAGGCAAGTAAGATCATGCCACCGGCAAGAAGCACCGGCGCGCCACAGGCCTACCAGAAGGGAGTCAGAAGCCCGAGGCTTTCACACCTCGCCTCCCCCCCCTCTTTCCAGGTACCAACGCCATCGCACAGCTGCACGACACACACCCTACGCGTGACGACACAACAGCCTATGCGTGCCCGCCCAGGGCTGCGAGCTCGTCAACCACGGACTTCTTGGTGTTGATCTTCTTGACCTGCGTCTCCTCCAGCTTCTCTCCGCCGGCGAGCCTCATCTCGAGGTCCTCGATCGCCCGGATCTTCTTCTGCAGGGCTCTGACCTTCTTGGCGTTCGGGTTGGCCGCCCCCGCGCCGCCGGGTCCGTCCGCATCGCCGGGAGTAGCGGGGGAGACGGGCGAGGCGCCACCCTGAGGTGCCTGACCGGGACGGCTGCGGGAGGCGGCGCGTTGGGTGTTGCTGCGGTTGCGCGAGCCGGGTTGCAGGTTGTTGCCATTGTTGTTGGCATTGTTGTGGCGCGAGCGGCTGCGGGCGTGGTGCTGGCCGCGCCGATCAGGGCTGCGGCCTTCGTTGCCCGAGGCGCTTCCGTACTCGCGGGGAGAGGGCGCAAGCCCGCCTTCGGTGGGGGCGCCAGCGGCCGCGGCAGCGTCGCCCTCCTTGGCCTTCTTGTTCCGCTTCTTCTTGTTCTTCTTGGCCGCGTTCCCGTCGTCGGCGGGCGCCGCACCGGGAACGGAACGGCCGGCGGGCTCCGCTCCCGGAACCAGGTGACGCGGACGACCGAAGCCGTTGGGGCCGATCGAGGCAGTTCCGTTGCTGACGACGTGGGCGGCGCCACCCTCGTCTTCGCGCTTGAAGTGCAGCGGAGTCAAGGCGCCGCGCGCACCGGGCGGGCGGTAAGCTCCCACGGGCTTGGACGGGGTCTTGACCGTGCCGAGGAAGGCCATGCCGGAGGCGTGCGGGGTCGGCACGGGGTGCAAAGGATCCCCGGCGGGAAGATTTTCTGCGGGGATGGGACGCCACATGGCATTATACAACTCGACCATATCTTCGTTGTACATGATGCCGCCACCGACGTGCCAGAGCTTGATGCCGTTGTCTACGCGGAGGCGAGGCGACGTGGTCGCAGTCATGATGTAGCGACTGTCGGGGCTCCAGGTGCAGACACTGGGGTTGCCGCTCTCGATGGTGCAGATCTTGCGGTAGTCTTTCTCCAAGTCGTAGACGTCGATCTGGCCGGCCAAGTTACCGAAGCCGGCAACCAGGGTGAACCGGCCCGTGGGGGAGAAAATGATGGTGTTGCGTGGGCCGAGCGGGAACGAGTGGATGGCCACGCCGCGGTGGTTGAAGATGGTCGTCTTCGCGGGCATGAAACCGTAGATGACGCCAAACTCGGTCGAGTTGGGGGACCAGGCAACGTCATGGATCGGCCCATCCTTGTCGAGCGTGATCCTGGCGTCGAACGAGCCGTTGGCGCTCAAGAGATACATGGTCGTCTCGCCATAGTAGCTCTTGTTCGACTTGTCCACTTCTGTTTGTGCCAGCACAATCAGGCTCGTTCCCAGCGCGTTCCACTTCAGCTGCACCTTGTCGCCCTTGAAAAAGGTCTTTTGGGAGATGGGGCTGGCGAACGAGGGCACATTGTAGACCTTCACGGCAGCGGGTTGGCCCTGGAGAAAGAGGGTTAGAATCGGACTCGCGAGGCCTCGTTAAGAGTTCCCTGGTGGGCTTACCTTGCGCTCCGGGATGAAGACGGCAACGTTCTGGTTCAGGCCGGGGGCGATGGCAAAGTCGGTCACACCCTCGGCACGCAGCTTGTTCCAGACAGTCGAGAAGTCGTTGCTGTTGTAAAACTGCACCTCGTTGGTGACGATGCGGGCGCAGTACTTCTCGTCGGCCGTGTACTGCAGGTTCCAACCCGACTGCGACTTCTGGACAAACTTGCCAAGGGGCTCCTTCTCGGCTCCCTCAGCGACGTCCTCGATGGTGCGCCAGATCTTCAAGTTCTTGGTGGCGTCGCCGTTTTCGTCCTTGGCAGGTCGCTCCCAAGTGCTCAGGTAGTTGCCGCGGGGAGAGAATCCGAGCTCGAAGGCGTTGGCAATGGGGAGCGAGGTCAGCACGTGGCCGACCGAGGCATCAGCAACAACGACACCCTCATTAGAGGCGTATGCGAAGTAGCGGCCACAAGGCGAATAGACACAGCACCGGAGGTTCCCTTCGGGCTTCTCGAACCCAGGAAGCTCCTCGTAGACAGGGGCGGCGTCGAAGACGCCGATGGCCTTCTGGGTTCGGTAGGCAAACTGCAACGGATTCGCCATGACTAGTCAAAGCCACAGGTGGTCGCGATAGCAGGTGTGGGCGGGGTTACTGTTGTTTTCTTGGTTCCTCTTGCTGTCTGTCTCCCGGAGGACGACTGCGTTCTCGATCGTAGCGCTGGCGCCGAGCCCAAATCAATGGGATGCGAGGACAAAGGCGATCAGGGAGACTCGAACGGATTGTCGGCGAAGAGTCAGGCGTCGCAGGAAACTCGACCTTTACGCGATGGACTGGCTGATTGTGACTGTCGAGGACAGAGACAAGGGGGATTCGGGGTTCGGTTCGTGACACACAAAGTCTACCACGCGACAGCAATAAAGCGATGATGAGGCGATGGGACGGAGGTGCGTGAAGGTGCGGGCCTTTGAGGTATTGACAAAGAGGCCGCGCAGCAGAGATGCGATGGAAAACCCGACCGACAGTAAGAGGGGGGACAGTAAAAAGAAGAGAAGGGCCCTGGGGGAGAGTTGGCGAAGGCGGTGCGCGTTGAACCGGATGGGCTTGAGAACGGGAACGGGAGGAGGAAAGAAGAAGAGAATGAAAGGGAGAGAAGGGACCAGACGTGAGGACGGGAGGCAGTCCCACAATCTCGCGACCATTTTTTTAGCTTTCTGCGCTGCATGCTGATTCAGGCCGTGCCCGGCGGGGGCCATCTGTGCGGCACCGCAGGGACTGGTTGGTCGAGGCCATTCGAGCCCCACTAAAACACTCGGTTCTGGGTGCCAAGCCTGGCTGGCTGGGCTCTCTTGGCGTCAGATCTCGCCCCATCCTGGGGTGTTGCTTGACATCAGAGCATCGCCTTTTGGCGACACGGCAGATCAGATTTATTCACTGTTTTGGAAAATGATGAGGTAGCGATATCATCATCATCATTTTATTTTGTCTGTTTTTTCGGAAACGATTGTACTTGATGCGCGAGTTACAACAAATGGTCTGCACCCTCTTTCCCCTTCAAGTTCCCTCGAGACTTGCTTGTGGAGGCGTGTCGGGCATCAAGGTGCAGGCTACCATACAGAAGCACCGATGGGGCGAATCCGATGGATGCACTCCTCTAGCAGACCTCCTTTCCGTACTGGATAATGATACGAGTGTTGCAAAAAAAGTAGATGGCCTTACAAGTTCAGTTTTGCAAGCACGAAAGTCGGGAGCAGCAACCTCACCCTGAGGCCCCAGATGCGGGCAACATCATGACCAGGTGGCATTGGCCACAAGGAGGCGGGCATCTCATCTTTCAGAAAAATCAAACGCGATAAGTACCACCTAGTACACTTCAAATTCCACAAGAACTTGAGAAGCTGCTCCCACGGAAAAAAAGCTGTTAGAACAAAAACTTTTCTTTTTCGTTTTCTTTTTTTTTTCTTCTTTCCCACATTAATTTACCTAGGCATCCTCGGATATCCAGATCGGATCTGCGCCGTTGAGGCGATCGGGTATGGTAACAGGCGGGGCTGGCTGCCCGGAACAAGCCGCTGTGGGGAGATCCATCGGGCGGCGGCACAAATGGCTTTGCGCTAACTCTCATTCGGGCAACTGTGTTCAGCCGCATCAACGTCCTTCCTACAATTCTATCAAAAAATTCGAACGAGTTGGGTGGAAACAAGACAAAAAAACATCAGTCTATCGATCCCAACCGATTTGTTCAATCTTGGGAGAACACTATGTTTTTTTTCTCCAACGAATCCAGCCACGCTTCCGGGATACTCTGTCTGTGGTTGCCCATGGTTTTCCCTATTTGTTTTGGTTATTGTTTGTTGACATTTGATCTCGGGGAATCTCCCATGTATCTTCGCCACCCACAAACCGGTGCCCCCCTTCTCTGGAGCGGTCTCGAAGCTACACTGCGTTTATAATTGAGACAGCTGTGTGGAGACCGTTCAGGAAGTCCCATGCCCACATGGCACCGGTGCGAATGACGGGCTCACCATCAGAGTAGAAGTCTGTATACCTGGTGATCTCAAAGGAGAACAACACTCCCCCATGACAGATACAAGGGTATATGTTTACTCGGGCGCTCGCCTTTCTTTTCCGTCCAAACCGCCCCGAGGCTGCCATTACCCACTACACCCACGTGCCTCCAGGCCAGTAATGGAACTCCGAGGCAGGAAACAAGCGTAACTAAAGCCCTACTAGAGCCCTATACCTGTAATTTGTTTCCCTGTCACGCTTGTCCACCTCCCCTCCTCCGAAGTATGTCAATTGGGGTGGAGACGGGGACAGGGGTTCTAACGCAGGGCTTCAATGCACACGGGTCTCTTTGGAGAAACTCGTGATCCAGGATCTGGAGCAAATGACAAATCTTCATGGTCCTTGACAGTGTCTTGCTACCAGATTCCCCTTGTTCCCATCTAGCCCGATTGTGATCAAGTGGACACCCTCAATACCATAAAACACTTAGTCTCACCTGTGAGGCCTTTAGCACTGCCAATCCCCACCAACCCAAGAAGAGGGGAGGCCCATTCTGTCAAGCAAAGGAGGCCTGGGAGATGTTCAGATGTTCAGACGAGCAACTCTGCACTAGTCTCTGGCTAGTCAGGACAGAACACGATTTTGTTAACACACGTTGCCTGGGAACCGAATCAGCAACGAACGGGCACACGTCTATAACTTGGGCCTGCTTTCCCATTCTGCCTTTCTTCTTCTTTCTTCAACTATCGCCAACTTCATCACTGTCTCCCTGTCGTCCCCGCGCCCAGATTCTTTTTCTTTTTTTTTTTGACAAGAAAGATAACGACAAGGAAGTGTAAGTCTATCTCCTCTATCTGTTGTATCATTTTTATTGGCACAACAACACCATTCCCCAACTGGCTGGCTGGGAGGGCCGGAGTGGGTGGCTAGCAGGACCAAGTCGGGCATGAGGATGATCTTTTCGCTCTAAGACACCATCTTTTATCAGCCAGACAGGAGTATCTCATCGATTCACATTGTGTTCTCGATGTCTCCTTGCCCTCTACCCCCCCCCCCCCCCCCTTCCCCCCCTCTCCAAGATTGCGACCAGTTTCCTGTTCGGATTAAGCTGTCAGTCGGGCATTGCACTAACATTTGTCCACCAGAAAGATGGAGCAGCACCGTGGTGCTGGCTCGCCGGGCTTGCGCCCCCCTCCTGGGTTCCGTAAGTTAACTGCGATGAGGTGACAGGATGCTCCAAGAGGTTATCAAGGAGGCGAGTGGGCAGGCAGCAAGGATTCACGGCGTAGTGGCTTCAACGACAGCAATAAGGTCACATCACTTCAACTTTCGGCACAACACTTGGGGTCTGAACTCCCGCTTCGACACTCACATAAGACGGCCACTCAACCGCTGCGAAACAATCAGCAATCAGCCCTGGACCCCGCGCCTGCCCACAAGACCAAATTTCCCTTGCCTTCCTGCAAAATCCCTATTCCTTTCTCTTCTTCGCGCTCGCAAACAACAGAACACTGACTTTGCTTTTTCGCACCAGCAGCGCCCACCAACCCCCCCACCACCGCCGCCACCGTGGAGCAACACTCCTCGACTTCCTCTTTCGCCGCCTTCGGGCTCTTCCCTTTCCCCCCGGCTAGGGGTTCTCCACGGTCGCCGCCTTCGTCGGCCGCTTCCGGCCGCTCGACACTCCCCGAGGTGTCGAGCGAGTACAGCGATCGGGAGAAAATGGAAGAGACCAACGCGTGGCTCCTCGGCCACCACCACGACCAGGTGGTGGCCACAATGCACAAGAAGTTCCAGGCTCTCCTGGACTACGACACGACGAAGAATCGAAAGATTCTTCACATCGACTGGTAAGTTCAATTCCCATCCACCACAGCCTCCCGCAACGCGAAAGCGAGAAAAGGAATCGCTAACCATGCGTCATTTCGCCTCCCAGGATCTCTGGGAATCCCAACGATCCCATCAAGAAGGAGGAAGCTGCCGCCGCTCACGGTGGCATGAGCGCCGAGGACCGGCGCCTCAGCGACAGCGTGGTCAGGACGGTTATGCAGGTCACCCACGGTGTAGACCAGTGGGACGAGACCCTCACGGTATGTCATCAATTGGTTCGTTCCTTTACTCTGCCATTTTACCCTGTCGCTCCCGATCGCCGCCGAATCCGGAAAACATGACCAAACATGGCCCGCTGACTCTCGTTTCTTTCCGCAGTGGAACAAGTCAATGTTCTACGGTGACTGGCTGAACGACCAGAAGGGGTTCCGCCAGTTCTTCTTGGAGATCCAGATCAAGAGGATCTCTGGCGCCGACGAGGCGCTGCTCGAGAAAAGCGGGATCAGCCCGGCGTTCGTTTGGCTGCCCCTCCACGACGAGAAGGCTCCCGCCATCACCCCGATGATGGTCCCTCCCGTCGTCTCCACCGTCGTTCCCGGGCAAACACCCCGTGAGCTCCCCGTTCCGGGCCAGGTCATTGGCGAGCTCGTCCCCGGAGTCGAGGAAGAGGAGTATGCCACTCCCGCCCCAACTTCCTCCCTCCAAGTCCCCACCTGCCCGGCCGACAAGGGTAAAGGAACGACCGCCGCTCCCCAAGGCCAAACCGGCGACGGAAATCACGATGCTCCCCTGGTCGTCTCTTCCGAACCCGCCCAAGCCTCCCAGCAGCAGCAGCAGCAGCAGCGGGCACTACCCAACCCGGACAACCTCGTTCTCGGCCAGCAATGCAGCACCGCCGGCGACACTAGCGCCCCTGCCGACCCTACCGTCCCTCGGTCCGGCATCCCTCGCAGCCAGCCTCTCCCCGCTTCCGGCAGCTTTGAGTCTCTCGATCCCCCCCCTTCTGACGTATCCGACTCCACCGAGGAGTCGTACGAGGATGAAGGCACCGTCTACCTATCTGACGGCGTCGATCCCTTCGAGTCGCTCATCCCCGCCCACAGCACTCCGGCCGTCAGCGCTGCCGACCTGCACCGGCACCGTCAAGAATTTGACCGCATTGCCTACGCCAAACGCGAGGAGCTCGACCACACCTTTTCGTTCATGAAGAACCCCGAGATCACGGAGCGCATCAAAAAGTCATTTGTCTACACCGTCCGCGTCGTTGCCATCCCCGACAACGGCAATATCGTCAACGAGTTCACGGGCCCGCGTGTCGATGACCGCTACGGCACCGTTGTGGGACAGGGTGGTTGGGTCGTCCCCCCTCTCGAAGAGCGCATCAGGTGGCGCGAGGAGCGCAAGCGCGCGTACCGGAACAAGGACGCCAAACCCGGCAAGTACGAAGGCCTCCCTCGACCGCAAGTTCAGAACGCCATGCCCATGAAGTTCGACTGGTCCGGCGGTCTTGAGCCGCGCTACTATGGCCCGGTGGCCCCGATCTGGCGCGAGACTTGTGATCCGTGCCTGGAGGATATCTACTGGATGGTCTGGCAGCTGCTGGCTGGGAAGCAGTTCCTCGGTTTCAACCCCGGCATCGGCTTCGGTGTGCATCGGCCCCGCGCGACAGGCGATGTGGCCATGCTAAACCAGTGCCCCTTCAAGAGCCCGTCGACTGAGGCACTCTATCACACGGCTTCCTACCCGCGGGGCAAAGAGGAGTAACTCTACTGACTTCTTTATCGAGCCCGAGGCCCACCACGGCAAATACCCTCCCTCTTCTGCCGTCGCCTCTTGAAGCAACTACCATCACACCGTCACGAATCATGGAGTCACGAATGTTACGCGCCGATACCAATATTTATCTCTGTTCCCACGAGCCAGCGACCGTCGCGACTTGTCAGCCTTCAACCGAAGAGGTCCCAATTGACGACCATGTGGCCAACACGTCAGAGTACACCTTTTCCTTTTCGGTTCTTTCCCACATCTTCTCGCTGCGCCGTCGCCTGGCTTCGCCTCCACGACCCCGTTCAACTCCAGTCGGCACTCTGCCTTCTGTTTTATCACGACCATCCCCGTTCGGAGCGGAGCTGGCCCGTCGATACCGATCGCAGTCACCGCGCTCCGAGTTCTACCATACGGTAGCGGGAACAAAACGGACGGCACGGCGCCTGATAACCGACAGGACATCACCACCACCCACCCCAAGACAAGAAGACATTGGGCGCCGCATCAGAGGAACCTATCGGGATGGGCTGGGCTGGGGGGCCCTTTCACTTCTTTTCTTCTCTCTTCTCTGCTCTGACCTTTCCTTGGGCATGCATCGGGGTACGGGTCTGATGGACGCTGACTGGGTTGGGGAGCCCTCTCACTCCTTCCTGGCTCAATCCTCGTTCGGCATAGGGAGGATGGTTTATATATGGACGGGCCTTTGGACAGACTGGCGCGGATTGGAATGGACTGGGTTGGGGAACCCTCTCTGTTCTTTTTCTACTCCCTTGACTCTGTTTTCTTTTCTTCTTCACATATCTCATGGCACGACACGGACTTATTGGGGCGTTTTGGGTCGTCACATCCAGACTCTCGCGCATGCACATACAACCTCTCGGTTCTCCTGTAATTGGCGTTGGGTGGAGGCATTTTCGGAATCTGGTAGTTGGTTGGTTGGCGAGCTTGGGGCTTGGAGTTTGATACCCCCGGTCTGGTCTGGTCTGTGTGTCTGGCCAGGTCTATTCTCATGAGGAATGGTCGTGGCGGTTGATACCCATGAAGTCGGTTGGGAAGATGTCTCGGTAATCTTTTCTCTTTCCTTTTTCTGACCCAATGGAACTGTTCCTTCACGCTTTCGGTACCTGTGGCTGAACTTGTGATGAGCAGACACAGTATGGTGCTGAACTGCTGAGGTCGGCCTTGTGATCATGGCGGTGGAGATGGCCAGTTGAAGCCCTGATCCATGCCATCGTCTGGGTAAAATGGTGGTTGATTCGACCGACGGCGGTGTGGAGGTAACGAAGGGCATGCAGGGTGACGTCGCGTATCCGCCACCATGTCGATCACCCGCCCATCTCGCTGATTGAGGGATCCTATTGTGTTTCAGAATGCGGATATCCTCATTGTGAATGCAGCTGCCTCCGAATGCTGACCCGGGATGGGACCGAAGTGTTCATGAGATGGTATCGAAGTCTATTTGCACCAAACCCCTGATACATTTACATAATGGCCGTGGAAGAGGGATGGATGTCTTGACGTTTCGACGACCACGGACGGTATGACACTCATTTGTACAAAAATAATAAACCGGTGTGTAAATAGGGAGGCCGCTGGGAGGGACGCTGGGGACAAGGAGTGAAGTTGAGATCAGAGTTGAACATCTTCACTAAAAAAAGAAACCATCGACACATAAGCAACACCTTCACGCACGCAAACACATGAGGCACCCCAAACATGTCGATTACCACCACCATGGGAAAGCAACCTCGGGACCCCAACATCCCGAGGACCCCTACTTTGTAAACCATGTTACCCTCAAACCCTCCCTCGCAGCGCAGTCGGCCCGGAGCCCGGCCATGCCCCAAACCCAATCTCACCCCCCCCCTTCACGAACACCCACATCCCCCCCCTCACCGATCACCGAAACCACCACCGCCGATCCCTCTCCCTGCACACCTGAACGGAACGCAACCGAAAACCCACAACGGAGGAGCACAGCCACGCAGACGGCCGTCCCTTAATCAGAGCAGAACAGTCCAGACAATCCAGAACAGTTGTCAAGCCTCCCCCCTAACTCTCCCACCACCGCCCCGCGCCGCGTTGCCGATCGTTGTGGCGTCCCGCCGAGGTGTGGCGAGAGCCGTCGCGAGTCACAGAGAGAGAGAGGTTCGGGGCTGGACTCCGATAACTAACTAGCTAGGGAGGTCGCTCCTCATACCGGTACCGGTACATACATACGACTGTGGCGAGTGCGGTGGCTTTTGCCGCGGTTGTTGTTCAAGTCCCATGTCTCCTCACTCACCCTGCTCTGCACAGTCAGTTAAGCGGTGTATCAAATCCCAATGTCTCACTCTGTTTCAGACAGTCAGTTAAACGGTGTTGCTCGACGCACGCCCCCCGCCACCCACTTATTCACACCCACACACACACACACACACACCTGGCTGGTGGCGTGCCACAGTGGCGGTGCGGGCTGTTTACATATGGAGATGATATGTGATGGTTAAATCTTGGGCTCGGGGATGCTTTCCGGGGGTGTTGCTGATGTTTTCGCTGCTGCGGTTGTTGCCATTCATTGGTGGTGACTCTGGTGAGTGGGCGAGGGGGAAAGTCCCCGGCGTCTGGACCGCGGTGTGGCGAGGGGTTCGAACTGTGGTTGTGGTGTCTGGGCGTGGGCTCTCGGTCCGACTTGTGGCGTTGGGAGAGACGCGCAGCTTTCTCTCCGGGGGGAATTGGTTGGTGGGAGGGCTTCTGTCGGCGAGAGAAGGTCGATGGTGTCTAGCTCGTCTAGGGATAGGGATGGGGAAGAAGCGCTGTCGGATGTTGGGGTCTCGGTGGCCAACGGACCGGGAAGCTTTTGATGATAGCGTGACCGTCTCAGCTCGGCGCTGGCGGGCGCTTGAGGGTTGGTGCTCAGGCTCAGGACTGCCGTTTCGAGGAGTGAATCCTGGAGTGCATGTCTGGGTGGTGTTCTTGTGTGACCCCGGTCTGGGCCCATGGCATGGTGTATTTACATACACATATATACAACCACACACACCTCGAGGACCCCTATTCCATCCGGCACAAAACAGATCCCGTGGCGAGAAACACAACACCCATTCCTTTTGCACACACCCGGTCCCCATAGACCCCATTGGTCGGATGCCCATCCAGAGGCGCGGCAGCTCGCCGTCCCGAGTACCACACCCGGCGTCCCGACGCCCGGTGATCGACAGAGGCATGCCCCGATTTGGAACCCGCAACCACGCGCGCAACGGCTGTGAGGGGGGCGTGCCCGTAGACACACAGATGAGGTGAAACATTTTGATCCTGGGGGTAGCGGGGGCGGGTTGTAACGCGAGGGTCACTCGGTCGATTCTCCGTCCACGAGTGTCTTGCACGAGATACAAGTCAATATGTGAGGCATGGATCATGTTTGAGGTCGGCGAGGCCGTCGCCAGTAGCGACAACCCGTGTCAGGCTTTGACACTGCCCTGAGCAGTCACGCAGTCCCCGGTTGATACCCCCCGAGACATGGTCCCCGGAGGCTACCTCGCCGGTACGTCGTCCCGCGGGGGAACAAGCCGGACGCCAAGGAGTGCAATTGCGGCCCGCTTGTACATACATCCAGGACCACGCGTGGAGGGACTGAGCACCCTGATATGGAAGCCGGGGTGCGCTGGTCTGAGTCCTCCAACATGGCAAGACGGTCGGCCATAACAAGCGGCGGCGGAAACCGGGGCGCACGGGCGTAACCCCGGCCAGCGGACGGCCTCCCCGATGGCCACATGATACTCTCCCAGCAATGGTCTTGAAGGAAGTATCGTCCGAGCTACCGACGAGTTAGCTTAGTGTAGTTCTGCGTCTTTTGACATGCACTTGGGCGCAGTGGCTCACTCTTGACAATCAGGCCCCAATGTCGCCATCGAGCTGCAGCTTTGCAGTCTGTTCGGAAACAACGTTGTTCGTAGTGGTGAATGCGTTAAGCTGTTGCTGATAGATGTATTATCGACTTCAATGCGGTGGTGGACCAATCCCCGAATCCAAAACCCCCACCGTATCGGGGTGTTCGTCCGATGTGAGTGTGGTGGCGAATAACGTGACGCGTTCTAAATATGTTACATACCAACATGTACCTACTTATATATGTATGTATGTATATACGAGAGCATTTCACATGTATATTCCTTCCCGTCGCTTGAGAGTGCCGCCACTGTGTGCCGACGAGAGCGCTAACCCGTTAGTTTCCACGCACCAAAACAGCCACCCAAACGCAATACTTGTACAAGGAGGACCTCGCCGGAGCATTTCCTCCTCGGGCCCGGCCTTCCGGGATTTGGGAAGGTTCCAGCCCCCAAACCTCCACGGTACGGACAAAAAACAACGACAAAAGAAACCGTGCGGCTGGTAAACACCGCGACACCGCACTCCAAACGCGGCTAATAAACCGCAACAATAGACAGTACTGTGTAAGCAATGCAAATGAGCGCCAGATCCTCCATCCAATGGCCATGCCCAAGGGACAGACCCGTTTGATGAGCGGCTCGTTTGAAGGGGCGCCGACTCATCCTCGATCCCCGATCCCCGATCCCAAGAGTTTTTGAGTAAGGACACGCATCGCAGGGATCTGGCGGCCGGGGGAACCACGCTAGCAGAGCGCGAGGGAAGAGGTGGAGTGGTGAGTTAGTTATGCATCAAGCGGAAAAGACCCCCCAAACGGGGGATGAGGAAGAAGTGAAAGTAGATTTTGGACTCGCTTCATAAATAGTTACGCAGAGAGGAATTCCGCTCAAGTGTAATATAAAAAAAACACCCGGTGTTGGAGAAACTCTAACCATCCAACGCGGGAAGCATCGCCAGAACAGTAAAATGTAAACCAAGAATGTAGACATTACATCCAACAACAAAAAACCAATTCCATACAGCCGCAAACCACACGCCGGGGAGAAAAGCCTCAGGAAAATCCCACCGGACAACCGTAAAACCGCACAAATATAAATAAATAAATAAATAAATAAATAGCTCCCTATACACCACCCCCACACATCCCCTCTTAAGGGCACGCGCGAGAGTAGAAGAATAAACCGAACAAAAAATAAGCCAAACAAGGCAAGACAACGTCCGCCGCCCGTCGAGCGACCTGGTATCTCGAAAAAGAGCAAAGCGAAGATCAGAATTCGCAACCCACCCCCGGCCTCCTCCCCCTTAGTACCCCCACCCATCCATCCCCCAACCAACTCAACGCCCCGAAAAGGAGTGCGTGCGTGATGCCACAACCTAGCCAGCAAACCGTGATTTTTGATGACAGTACCCTCAACCACCAGCAACAGAACCCATACATCCCACCTACCCCCCTGCCCCCCCAATAAAAAAGCCAGCCGAGCCAAACTGCGCCCGAGAGACAAAGACGCCCAACCGACCTTACCCTACCCCTATTTATCCACGCATAGAGTGATGTGTTTCCTCTCCAGCCCAAACCATGTCATCCCCATCACATATGTAAATAAAATATCATCAACAACACCCCGCCCTCCTTTCAGTACCGCAGCCGCAGCTCAATCACACCGAGCGCGGCATTGCTCTCCGGCGAGGGCAGGTCCGATTCGCCGGGGGCGTCGAGCGCCATCTCCCACTCGCGCTTGACGGCGCCGCCGCCGCCAGCGGGGGGGCTGCCGATCTCGACGATCTCGAGCGTCATGTCCAGGCCCTCGGGCAGCTCGCGGATGACGTCGTCGTCGACTTCGACCTCGAGGCCGCGCGGCTCGACCACGTGTACGGTGCGCATCACGCGGGCCGGGTCGAACTGCCACTTGGCTGCGAGGCGCCCGACTAGGTCGCGTACTGAGCGCTGGGTGAGGTAGACGGCGCGGTGGAGGTCATGCCCGGCCGCTGCCGAGGGGTCCCCGGAAGGTGTGCGGCGCGCGACGTAGAAGCAAGCAATGGGCTTGGGGGCAGCGCGGTCGGCAGGCGGGCGGTAAGAGGCGTCGACGCCGAGGGCTTCAATCCAGCCCGTCAGGTTTCCGGCCTCGTCGACCTGGCGGACTCGGGTAGGTTGGTGTTGAAGGGGACGGCTATTGTCGCGTGAGGAGGGGTCCGAAGTGTTGCCGCCCATTTGGTAGTCCTGCCATTGAGGCGGCTTGCCGCTAACCGAGGCCTGGGAGTGGAGCGAGAGCGAGCTTGGGGATGGTGAGACCAGGGAGGAACCGGTGACGGAGCTCCGCCCGCTGCGCCAAGCGTTGCTGTCGCGGGACTCAACCTTGCTGAGATCGAGGGACTCGCCGGGGAGGGAGACCGGGTGGAGGTCCGGGTCGTCGAGCTCCTCGCCGCGTAGGTACAGTATACTCACGGGGCGGGTGCTGGTGAACATGTCCTGGAGGGTTTGGAGCTTGAAGTGGAGGTCCTCTTCTAGGGGTACCCGCGCGCCGCCGCCAGCCGAGCTGGCAGAGGACATGGACCACGTGCGCTTGTGCTTCTGCACCTTGCCGGGGCGTTGCCCGCTCTGTCCTTTCATTTGCGACCCGCCCGCTGTTCTCTTGCGCTTGCCGAAATCCTTCATGCCGCTCTCGGCCTGCGCGATCTGCTGCTTTAGCTTGTCAATGGTCTTGCGGATGTGTGCCACGTCGTTGGAGAGCTTGCGCTCAGCTCCATGGTCGCGGAACAGCTTGACCTTGCAGTAGCAGATCTCCGGGGCGTTATTGGTGTCTGTCGGGGGCGACCCGTCCGCCGGCAGGAGGTGCGTCTTGGCGCAGAGCCTGACGGGGATACCCTTAACGCCCTTGGAATGGCTGAAGTCGGTCGAAAGAAAGTTGAAGCGGACGGCAATGTTGCACTCGACGGCCGCCCCGTTCACACCGGGAGTCCAGACGACCGAGAAGCCGTCAAATGACGAGGTCTCCAACTCGATGCGCGTCTTCTTGTCGTCCCCCTCTGCCGGCTGCCCCGCCTCGACATACTCGACCGCCTGCAGTTTTCCTCCTCTTTGATGGGCCTCGTTTGTCCCGCGTCCTTCCTTCCATAGGCTCCAGCACACCCCTGGCTTCTGCCGCTGCTGCTCGTCCTCAAACGAGACACGCACAAAGGTCCGGAACCGCGTGCCCGGCACAATGGGGAGCGTAGGCATCGTATCGACGATGGATAACGAGTACGCTTGGCCCTTATTTAGGTAAGTAACGGGGATCTCGTCGGCGTGCTTGATCATAGCGGTCGGCGCGTTGAGAGCCGAGTGGAAGCGGAACTTCTCGGCCGACGCCGGGAGAGGTACGGACGTGGCCATTCCGAACTGTCTTGTTTGGAAAGCCACCATGGGGGACTGGCTCTGAAAATTGGCGTCGATAGTTCGGATCCGTTCGTCGGCATGGTCGGAATCCATTGGCGACCCCTGGTCCATCGTTTCGTACCCGGTATCTTGGTGCATGAATGACGACGGTGCGAATGACGGCTGTGGTGGAGGAGGTTGGATGAAGGGGTTGAACTGCTGGAACGGTTGGGGGTGAAAGCCGGGGTGAAAACCAGTCATATCCATCGGTGCTGCGCTCGCGTGTACCGCACCCGCGTGTACCGCGCCCGAGTGTACCGTGCCCGGGTGTATTGCGCCCTCGGAATTTGGCATTGATAACGGGGTCCCGAGGCCCATACCCAGACCCAGAGTGGGCGTGTGAAGGTCGCCGGCCTGCGGGTGGTAAATGGTATTGGTCCCACCCGGGGTCGGGGTATAGTACCCGGGGGGTTGATTTGGAAAGTTGGCGAACGAGAATGTGCCCGGGTCTAGCAAGGACGGTGTGAACCGCCAGGGATCGTTCGATGCCCGTGGGGTGGGGTCTTGGTCCCGGAACGCTTCATGGCTGATGCTATGGGACCTGAAGGGCGGGAACGGAAGTTAGTTTGATACGCCTAGGAGGGTTGATGCCACCGAGGCATACGCATTTGACGTTTGGGAGGCCCAAAAAAGAAAAAAAGAAAGGGGCGCAAAATACTCCGAGGGTGAAGAGACGCACCTTTCCGGTCCGGTGCCGGGGACATCGACATGCTGCCCCGCGGTTGCCGTTCTAGCCGGAGCGGCTGTAGTGGCGGATGAGCCGACGACGGCCACTTCAGGGAATTGTTGCCTGAAATTGGCCAGCAGGTCGTCGGCGGGCTTTTGCGAACTTGTTCTGTTTGGCATTCGGTGTCAGTAACAGAGCCATCACAAGAACACTGTAACCCGAGCGGATCGGGCGACTCGCGCGTTCCGACCGGTGTCAAGAGGGAAAGCGTCGGCTTCGACTTACCGTTGACGGAACATGAGTGCGACAACGTCGGCTCGGCCGGAGACGGCGCAAAACTTGTGACGGTCCGGGCACTTCTTGTCGGCCGCGCAAAATGTGCGTGAAAATGCCCAATGCGGTTGTTCTCTGTTTTGTATTTTTGGCCTTTTTTATTTTTTATTTTTTTACCGCGAGGCGCGCACAGCCTTCATGCAGGCAAGCGAACAGAACAAACGCCCGTTCCCGACGGTGTCGCCTGGCGTGTCACAATGAAGCGAGCGAACCGAGCGGTTGGGAAAATGGTAGGCGTGCGGGATGAGAGTAACTAGTATCGGAAAACGAGAGTCGTCTGGGTGTAAAAGAAAGAGAGGAGATGGCAAGGTGCCCGCTCGTTGTTTAGTAAACTCAAAGGTCTGGCAAGAAGCGTCGCTCGCAACCGTATCGAGAGGGGAGGTGCGAGTGGGCTTCGGGGCTGTACGTATATACCAACTCGCAGCCGCTAATGCGCTCCACTGTCGAATAAATGCAGCCGATTCCGAGCGAGCCCAGGTCCGTGTGTGTGCGGAGGAAGTGTGGAGCAGGCGTGGGAATTGGAAAGAGCCTTCTCGAGACAGAAGAGAAGACGGCAGGCAAAGCTAGAAAGATTGAGCACAAGCAGGTACCATAACACCATCCAATTGCGCTCAGCGGCAACCCCGCCGACCCCCGGAGACCCGAGGGTACCCAAGGGAGGACGAAATGTGGCTGCTTCTGTTTGCGGAGACGGATGGGGTGCCTCGAAGACTCATGAAGGGGGGGTGTGGCCCAGAGGGATATTTCCCTTAACGAGATGTGCAAGGGTCGCAATGGGAAAGTCAGCGTTATATCGGGGCATTATCTCCGCAGATGGCGAGCATGGGATGGCCGGCGATGCCTCCCTGGATACCTCACTAACTACGTATCATGTACCTTCGTCTGTATTGCTCGATACGGCGTAACTAACTCCAGCACTCGTACGCCTCTTATCGGGGAGCTTCGGCGACTTGGGGCGGGAGCTGGCTCGGATAAAGTACTGGTACACAACATACTTTATCCAGCCCCGCCGCCACGCATTGCGACAACATACGGCTGTGCCCCGCGCGGTTTCGCCACACATACCTCAAATAAGCCACACGGACAACCTTCATCACTTCTTTTTCCCAACGATAGGCTATCCTGTCGATCTGTCTCTTGGGTTGACGACGAGCCTTTCAAACCATGAGCGAATCTTTCGAGAAAAAGGCAGCTGTGGGCCAGTGACATGACGCTGTGGCTCAGACCGTGGCCACACTGGACGGTTCCGTAGAGCAAACGCATGGGGGTCTCGCGCGAATGTTCCGTCCAATCTTCGGGTGTGTTGTGTTGCATCAACAAATGCAGGGATGATCCCGGGAAGCTTTCGAGTGCTCCGTTCGCACAGGACACACCCCCCTTTCTCACCCGACCCCAGCTGATGAACACCAGCAACGGAATGTGCCGTTCTGGGTGTCCTCAAACCCCTTGTTGGACCAGCTTACCAGCGGCATGGCTATTGTTGATGGGAATCGTATCCCAGATCGATAATATCGAACCACCAGAGGAGAAGGAGAAAATCAGCTTTGCTCAGCTCCGAACTCACACACGGCCCAAAGTCCCGATCTGAAAGTGTTACAGGGATCTGCATCCCGGGAGGAAGATAAGAATGACGTCACGGCAAACTTTTCCCCAGCCTTCCTGCGTTCCTGGAGCATCGCATCCCTGCGGTTGTCCAGACTCCAGCGCCCTCTCGGCTGCCCCCGCCGCAAACGCGGGTTGGAGGCCCATAACAACGCCGAATGGCCGACAAAAACGAAAAGAGAAAGGGATGAACCCTCGTTTGGTGGAACAGAGGGTGCTGACCTTTGGTGCTTTGCTTTGAGGTTCAATGTTTATCCCCAGGTTTTGCGCCGGCATTGCTGGGCTATCATTTGCACTGAGGCATTGCAGAAGTCGATCTCGACTGCTTTGGGGCCCGCGAGTCCCACTAACTTCGGTATTTCTGGAAGCATTCCGAAGCTGGGGTCCAGGGTACCCGAGAGCTTGAGAAATAAGTCCTATCGGGACTGTGCCCGTGCTGTGTTGGTTCACCGTCTTGTTCGTCCCTGTGTGGCGGTATCGAGCGCCAACGCGCCCGACCTATATAGGTGCAGACTGTGCGCGCACAACGGGCACTTTCGCGCAGACCACCAGCACTTGATATTATTGCGTTTCCCTGCCCCGGACACCATCGAACTCGGCAGGCAAGTCCCCACATCCGGCCCCAGGTCCCGGCATTTGCCCCCAGGAGTCAGATTACCGACCGGCAGAACACGCAAGCGTCGCCGGGTTGAGCGTCGGTGAGAGCTCGAAGGCCCACGGGCGACCCAAAAAATAACGACAATCACGCCAAGAAAAGGGTCTGATCTTCGATCCCCCGCAGGCACACAGTTCATATACCCAACCCTTCCTTCCACGGGAACAAATAGACACAAAGAGCAACACTCTCACTCTCTCGGTTTTCGAGACTTCGAGTGACGAAAGGGCTGACATGCTGCCCTCCATCAACTTCTTGTCGTCCTGCCTTTCCTCCTCTCCTTTTCTTTCCTTTGGCCCCCGTGCCCCCCCTCAGTGGCCCAGCCCATTCAGCACGGTGACGTCATTGTTTCAGCCGGACCCTCCTTGCCAATTCTCCACGAGGGACAATATTTCTCTGTAGCAGCGCCCATGCTCCATGTCCGACAGGGCGACGTGGCATGCCCGCGGTAGGCGAGCCAACACCGCGGGCAATGCTCCGGATCAATCAAATGACTTCGAGCGTTCGTCAACGGATGCAGAAGCAGTCGCTCGTCCTGTTCTGGAAAGCCAAAAACGCACACTATTCATCCGCTTCACCGCCTCCCCCGCAAGGTCGCACCGCATCAAGCAGCAGTGCAGAGCATCGAGGTAGGCTCGCGCAGGCAACCATCATCTGATCACTATTCGTATCATGACACAGAAAGGGCCGCAAGATGATGTTGTGACACGGCCGGGAGCACTTCCGCCGCGTGGACGGGTCGCGTGCGATTCGTCACTGATGAACGAGCTGCTGCACTCACTACGTCATCTCAATTCACCCGAGAGATGCGATTGTTGACAAATTCCCATCTCAGCCCGCCCCCGCCTCCGTTCGCCGTTGTCTGCTAAGCCGCTATCTCGGCCGTTATGCCGTTTCTCGAAGTCGGGAAACATCCACATCTGAGCAATGAGTGAGAAGGAACCACACCAGCCAAAGCCCATGTTCAAAGGTACCGAGCTATGACGTCATTGGGAGATTTGTTCAAAATTGCCCGGCGCATGGGATGAAGAACTCCCTTGCTCCTGCAAGCTCACCCCACACCACTCCGGACCACCACCAATCATCACCTCTGCACTTCCACCAAAAGGCGAGCGACCCCCAATGACAACCCGCAATAAAATCGAGCGGGTAAAAAAAGGTAAAATGGACAGCGTGGGAAGGGCACCCTTGCATTGCCTTATGAGATTGGACCGAGCAGGAGGGAGCACCGACACACGAAGTGATCGACAAAAAAACAGAAGCACTGCCAGACGAAGCTCTTCCCCCATTTGGCACTTGCCCCGAGACGACTCCCTGCCGGCCGTTGGACCGGGCACACCGGCTGAGGCCGGCTCGCCGGGTTTGCGGGAGCGTTGTCACCCACCCACCGTGTCGGGACTGGCTGGATTCTTCCGTTCCTTGCACACCCACTTGTCATGACTTACACATCATCACCACCGCGGCTGACGTTCCATCGAGCAACAGCACAGCCGCTTTCTTGATCATGATTCAATATAATGCGACTCGAGCGCACGCGCAGGGTTACTTCTCGCACTTCAACAAGCTCAGCTCGACAAGGGGCGGAGATTTGAAAAGGCCATATGTACAGAATAGTTCATATCCTTCGCCCTGACAAGTATGCACGAGGCTGATGGGCTGGGATAGGGGCCAGGGACCAGACATGCAGACTGATGCAGCTCTGCAGTTCAAGTGCAACAACTCTGTCGAATGCGCGTGTATCAAAGCATATTTTGCCACCGCGTCTGACAGTTCGCCGCCTGGATGGGACGCACACATACCGTTGGTATGTCAGCTAGTCGATGTTGTAGTGAAGGTAGTGGGTAGGTAGTTGTAGTGTAGCCCCCAGCTTGTGCGGCACGTAATTTTCAGTCTGCTTTACCAGCCGATCTCATCGAGCCGTTAAGGTTAATCTGCCCTCGTGAGAAAGATCAAGCTTCCATTGCCACCGTAACACCCGCCAACCCCAACAGAAATCTCCATCCCGTTAGTTATTTTTGGGAGATCAGCACCGCAACCCATCAAGGCGGCGAACCCCCCCTAGTCTCCTATGGATATATATCACAAAAACATATAGCCGTTCATCCCCCCTTTTCGACCATACATCCGAACAAAAAAACCCTACCGCCGGCGTTCCATGCATACCACGCCACAGCCGTCCTCCACCACGAGTTGATCGCCCCCTGGGGGGTCGCTCGGGCGGCAACGGTGGTGATAACCGAACCGGGAGTGGCCCCCGCCTTCCCAGTCCCGGGAGGCAGGATGGATAGACTCATATGCATACCACACTAGACCAGGTACGCTACTACATACATAGAACCGGCTCGGTGGCCCTCGGCGAGGCGCAGTCTCCCGACCCGGCGGCAATATAGCAACTTCGTATTCGGCCGCCCCTCCGTTTCCGTACACCGGGCGTGCCGGCCGGGTATTGTACCTTGTTTTTTTGCGCCGCGCCGGCCGGCCGCCCGGGACTTGGGTTGGCTAGTTAGGTCGGTTGCGGCCCCCGGATGACGGGGGTGTGGGCTTTAGGGGTTGGGTGAGGGGGGGGTGCAGAGGCGACCGTTGTTCAGCGGTGGGACGGCGGCAAAGTACCGGTATGTGGGACAGAGAGCGCGGGGGCGGGCATCATGGTGTAACGGTGAGGCTGAAGCTCATCTCATTCCAGCCTCGTGTTTGCAAGCGAGGCGGCGATCGTGTATATGTGGTGTTTGTTATGGCTCGTGTGCCCTTTCGGCTGAGCTGGTCTGGGGGTGACTGATACTGCTTCGCTGGGATGGGGATGTGGTTGTAGTGGCGTTCTAACCCCGTTGTTCGCAAAAGTGGTGTTATTCGCAACATATGGATTGACGCATGTTGTCTCGTCTCGTAACGTTTTCTGGTTATCTGATGCGTTGGGAAAGAACGCGGTGGGACGGTTACTGCAAACTGATACTGGGACTGCAGGTGGGTGGTAGCATCAGGTCTGCCAGCGGCAAAGCTGAAGGTAAGACCCCGAGAATCAACTGTCATAGTTTTGTGGGTTGAGACTTTTCCGTCATGTCATTGTCTAGGTTGAACTGACACGTAGATTCAGGTACGTCAGTCACGCGCTGTCCGTCCCGAATGGCTCGGGATCGAGCTTAAGTAAACAACATAGAGTCATAAGACCGACCACTTGATATGTATAAGACTAGTGGCCGTATGTTGTTCAAATCGTGGGGTGGTCGACCGTCCCACTCAACTGGTTCTCTTATTTCAGCATCACGATAGCGTGCCAGGATCTCAAAATTGGCCGGAGGGAAAGCCATCTCACTGAAACGTGTAGGCACCTGCATGAGCCACGAAGTAACTATATGCAGTGAGTGTCACAAGTTGCTCGCTGTGCCTGTAGGCAGGTATATGGGTAAAGTTAGACGGTGGGTCCCGTTTGACTCCCATTCTTCTCCAAAAGGGATCACGCGTGAGATAAAGGTTAACGAAGAGACAACTGAGCCCTGGAGCGCTCGTGCTCGCCTTCCGAGACACACCTTACCCCGTTCAAGCTCTTCCCGGCGACTAGCTCTGCAACCTCGTGCTGGAGGATACTGGGGTTATTGGCCAGATGTTGCCTCCCGACTGCCGACGGGTATTGGCCTCAACTAGAGGAGGGTCATGAGAGCCCGCAGCCTTCCTTTCGGCGAACCGCTGTTGGCTGGTTGAGACCCGCGATTCGTGCTCGTGGCCAGATGATTGGTTCGTGATTCGCCCCGGGGCGGCTGACGGGACTGCGCCGTGATCCCCGGACGTAGCCCGGACGAGCTTCCTGCAATATCAATTCCTCTTAGCTGAACCCCTTGATTCTCCGCCCGGTATCACTTCATTTTTTTCCTGATCGCGCCATACTCACAAATCATCGCGAGAAAAGGTTGAGAATGTTTAAAGCTGAATTATGAAAGTTATGTTTTGACGGCGGTGAGCCTACAAGGTTCCAGTCAGGTCGCTCTTGCTGTTCGTTGCTTGGTGGGGTGTGGTGGATCCCCCTCGATTTCTCCCCTTATCCGTCCGCCGTTGCCCCTTATCAGCTGCCCTGCAGTGGCGCTCGGCCCGCTGATCGGCCCCCGGACACCCCTAAGCCGGTGACGGTCACAGTTCCCGACCGCCAACTTCAGCAATTCACGAAATACCTGGCCTCATCCACTTCGTTCTCCAAAGCCAAGCCTCCCCTGGGATATCGCCAGCGTTGCGGAATCTACTTTCGTCCACTGTATTTGTCCACCCGGCGCCGCGCCGAGGAGGGCTTGAGGAGCTTCCATCATGTGGACGTTCTCTTCGCCGTCATCGAACACACCGGAGGCTGCCACTCCGTCGCCAGATGTTCCCGCGACAGACGAACCTCAGAATGACGGATCAAAGCTCAAAACCTTCATTTCGATTCTAAGAAAGTGAGTGCATTGAGCCCAGATTCCCCTTTCCCAACCACCTATTGCCCTGCAAAAGGCGTCGAAGGCGATCATAGTCAGTGAAAGTGGGGAGAGGTCGCCGAGTCACCGCCGAGCATATTGGCATACGGTGTTAACATTTCTACCTTCTCAGGTTCATAGGAGTCACCGACCTCGCTTCCGTCCGGTTCTCTCTGCCGTCACAGCTTCTCGAACCGACCCCAAATCTCGAATATTGGAACTATCTCGATTCCCCGAATGCATTTATCGCCATTGGGACCGCAGACGAGCCGGTTGACCGCATGCTGGAAGTGTTGCGGTTCTGGTTCACAAAGGACCTCAAGTACGCAAAGGGGAAGCCGTGCAAACCCTACAACTCTTGCCTGGGCGAGTTCTTCAGGGTATGTTGAGGCCGACATAAGAGCGCGCCGCTTGAAATTATTGGATAGAAGGACAGTTACTGATGGAATAATGTGGTCAGTGCAACTGGGAAACCGAGGATGACGCCCCCAAGATCGACACGAGCGCGCTGCGGAGAAACAGCAGCTCCCCTGGGAGCAGCGCGTCCAGCATGAAGTCAGCAAAGCTCTCCGTCCCGGCTGGACTTGGATCTGGAGATGCCCGTGCTGCCTCAACTGTATCGGTCTCACAGTCGGCCAAGAACCCGGCCAAGCCAGTCCGGGTTTCATATCTGACGGAGCAGACTTCCCACCACCCACCTGTCAGTGCTTTCTACATCAGCTGCCCGGAGAAGGGGATCCATGCCAAGGGTTTCGACCAGATTACGGCAAAGTTCACTGGCACTTCGATCAAGGTGATGCCGGGAGAGCACAATCTGGGAATCTTCATCACAGTGGAGCGCCGCGACCATGAGACGTATCAGCTCACGCACCCTGCTGCGCATCTGGGCGGTATTCTCAGGGGCGCCCTGAGTGTGAGCGTTGGTGATATGGCCTACGTTACATGCCCCGAAACCAAACTCAAGGCAATCTTGCGTTACTACGATGACGGCTGGCTTGGTCGGACAACAAACAAAGTCGAGGGCATCATTTTCCGGTATGACCCGGAGAAAGACGACAAACGGCAGATCCAGGACGTCCCGGAGGCGGACATCCTCGTGAGATTAGGCGGGCCCTGGAAGGAGAAGATCGTGTTCACCCTCGGCTCCAAACCCTTAGTGAGTTCACATCATGATTACACACAGTGAAGCCACAGCGCTGACCCCACTTTACAGAATTCCCACCCCCCCGAGAAGCAGATCACGATCATCGACATTGCCCCTCTCGCTGTTGCGCCCAAGGTGCTCCCGCCTACTGAGCAGCAGCTACCCCATGAGTCCTTGCAACTCTGGGGCGAAGTTACCAAAGCCATTCTTGCCAAGCAGTTCTCGCGGGCGACGACAGTGAAGCAGGAGCTGGAGGAGGCCCAGCGCGAGAAGGCTCGCGAGCGCGAACGGACAAAAGAGACGTGGAAGCCCGTCTTTTTTGAGCAGGCTACTGACAAGGCGGGCAAGCCGTCGTTGACGGAGAAGGGGAGAGAGGTGCTTAACCGGGCGCAGAAGGGGGAATGGAGTATGGATGGCATCATTTCCAAGGAGCTGGTTTAATTCAGTTGGGGGTGCATGGGGAGCAGGGTGCATTTTGGCTTGGTATAGAATAGAGGTGGTTTCAGCGGCGTCATCTCGACCGACATCCCCTGTTGGATGCGTTTACACACTTTTTTGCCTTTCGGCTTTCTAGGCATGTTCTAGGCATGGCAGCCTAGGCGTTCATCGCTGGCACGATGACGCGTACGCACTGGGGCAGAAGAGGGGCTTCCCCTCAGCGCACCACAGCTGGGAGAGATGTTGATGATACCTGCCTAGAATAGGGTATATTCTTTGAAACCATTCTATTATGAGATACATTAGGTAGCTCAAACACAAATGTTATGGGCATGAAGTAGGAGGCAGTGCTCGTTGACACCTGTGAAACCCTCTGGTGATAAACCACACAGGCGTGAGTTACAGAATAACAAAACGATTCAGGGTCCTGGGTTAGGGTTATGTATGAATGATGAGAGGACGGGCAAGGTGGGTGAAGACCGGGGCGGCGAGACTGAAGACAACAATTCCAATAAATCAACATCCCCAAGACGAAAAGAAATTGTTCCTGTTGTCGTTTTGAGCGGAGAACATCACCGGCCTCATATTCGTCCGAGGTCCTGACCCGAGCCTTCGATGGAACGCAAATCTTGGCAACAGGCAACCCGATCGCCCCACAGTGCATTTTGGTTCGTTTTGGCAGGGCGTTCTCACTCAGCTTATCGTTATCGGGGCCGCTAAACCCCATTTCAGCATGCTGCGGCGAGCGCAACACTGAAAAAGGAGCAGAAAAAAAGGAACATACATACATAGTACGGGGAAAGATTGGGGGCCACTGGCAAGGCAAACACCACATCAATACCGATTTGGGCTCGTGCTACCGCTCGAGACACTGTCCTCGATGATTGCCTAACCAAATCGTTGATTAAAGACCTTGACATCCGGCCCCTGCAAAACCCCCGGCTCGCCAAGCAATCGCCTTGTCTCTCGAACCCCTAAACTCAACCTAACAATCCCCGAAAGCCAAGCCAAAGAATCTCATCAGCCAACGCGCGACAACCACCGACCCCATCACCCCAACCCGGGCCCTCACCACCCCAGCGAACGGGGCAAGCTAAACAGACTGCTGCCACAGGCCTAAGGTTTCTAGCGCCATTCGCGATAGGAATAGGAAAAGGCAACCAAGAACACAAGAAGAGCAGAGACAGAGACAAGGAAGAAACAAGAAAAGAAACAAAAAAGCCATGGCGACCACTACGTCGGGCCTGACACGGCGTCGAGGCGGCGCGGGAGGAGACGCGGATACCAACGGCGGCAGCGGCATCGGGTCGCGGACCAATTCGTCGGCCAACGTCCGGGACAACGGGACACCCACAACGGGGCCCGAGACCAGCTACGAGAGCGGCGAGAACGGCCACCGGATCGCCTTTGATCCGCGCGATATCAGCGAGAGCGCCGAGCGCAGCAAGCAGCCCAAGCTGACGCTTATGGAGGAGGTGTTGCTGCTGGGGCTGAAGGACAAGCAGGTTGGTTTGAGAACCCGACTTAACCCCCTCCTCACCTTGGCGTGTGTGGTGGGTACGATGGCAGACGGCTGACTCCGGTATACAAAAACAGGGCTACCTCTCCTTCTGGAACGACAACATCTCGTACGCGTTGCGCGGGTGCATCGTCCTTGAACTGGCCTTCCGCGGCCGCGTAGCCATGCAAAAGACCCCCTCGAGGCGGAGCTTCCCGCTGCCCGACCGCATCATCGAGGTAATCGACGACACACTGACAGGCGAGGTGCTTCTGGACGAGGCGCTCAAGATGATGAAGACGAGCGAGAAGATGAGCGTCAGCAGCTGGATTGACCTCATGAGCGGTACGCGAGCACCACCACCACCATCACCACCACCACTACCTACCACCGACCCCGAAAACGGAACCGAATTCGCAAGTGTGTGCTAACGTGTGTGCGGGCGGACAGGCGAAACATGGAACCTCATGAAGATCGGCTACCAGCTTAAGCAGGTGCGCGAGCGGCTGGCCAAGGGCCTAGTAGACAAGGGCATCCTGCGGACCGAGAAGCGCAACTTCCTGCTGTTCGACATGGCGACGCACCCCGTGGTGGACAACGGCGCGAAGGAGGAGATCCGGCGGCGCGTGCGCAACGTGCTGACGCAGCGCACCGTCGTCATCAACGGCTCGCAGTGGCTGCCCGAGAACCTCGAGTTCCGCCACATCCGCACCGTCGCCATGGTGTGCGCCGCGTACGCCGCCAACGTGCTCGAGAACGCGCTGTCCACCCTCGGCCACGAGGCCCGCGAGAAGGCCTTCAACCAGACCGACGAGCTGCTCGCCGACTACAGCCAGTGGCCGTTCGGCCGCAAGGCCACCGGCAACGATATCGGGGAGAACCTGCCCCAGGTTATTGCCGAGGTGCGTTTGACTCTGCACTTCCAAAAAACCAAACAAAAAAAAACCAACTAACCCCTCTATAGGAAATCAACAAGTCCCCAGAGAAGGAACTCCAGCTGGAAGTCGTAGCCGCCTGCCTGAGCGTCTTCACACGCCTCGACTCCCTTCTCTAGTGGTCAGGTAGTCTGCCGCCGGCACCCCCGCTGCGCCGATACGGTTTCTGACCTCCCTTTTGGTGGTGCTGCAATTTGCCCTGGCGAGGCGGTCAAAATGCTGCCCATGATGAAGGTGCCGTCATCATCTGTCGTCTGCGAGTCATAACCCCCCTCCCCTCGGCCGACTTCACTTCTCTCCTTTTCTCTACACCACTCCATAACGCCAAGCCACCTCTCGATATACTTGGCGTGTGATGGGCTGGACGCACTGCCACTCTCGCCTGCTTAGTCGACCTCGGGAAAATACGACGGGTGTTTTTTTTCTTTTGAGTCGTGGGTTGGTTTTGGGTCGCCAAGGCGGAGAGGACTGATCCCTCAGACAAACAAATGCTGGAAAATCGAGGTTGACAGGGGCGATGGCTTTTAACCTAGGGTTTGGGCTGGCGTTCGGGCCGGTAAGGTGAAGTTGGCGGTTTCTGGCGGGCAAAACACTTTTCGGATGGGCGGCAAAGAAACGAACGGACGGGTGGTGGGTTGGGTAGGCGGGCGGGCAAGGGAAGGGGGGAAGGTGGGGACTGGGACGGGGAACGGGGGCGGCATTTGTCTGTCTCTGTCTGTTTAGGTGCAATTCGTTGTATCCTTCCTGGGTTCTAGTCAAGGGGTGTGGGCCGGAAAGGGGGCGTTGTCTCTGATGGCTCGACCCGTGGCTTTGCGTGTGGTGCTAACAGGGCTGTACGACGACCTAGATGCCCATGTTGGTTTTTCTCACTGTTGCTACTTTCGGGGGTGCTCTTGCTTGTGTTTGTTTGGTTGTTGGGAAACGGAGCAAAAGGGAGCCTGTTTCTTCTCTCTTCTCTTGTTATCTTAAGGATTCTTCTGCTTCCTTCATTTTTTTTCTATTTCATGCAGATAATTGATGGCGTGTCATGACGATGATCTATAAAATCTCTCGTAGAGGCTGGCTGTCGATGGGGAATAGATCGGGTATTTGGGTGGTCGCGTGTCGCATTACTGGATTTGAAGTTGGTTTGTACGACATAGTCCGTATTAGAATGTGAACACGTGAACTTTTGTTTCTTAGACTCAGCGCATCTAATTTTGAATAGGGACACGCGGAAAAAAGGAGAGCTGCGCCTGGTATGTGACGTAACACGTAGTGCTGAGGCTAGGCCGGAGTTCGAAATCAGCTTTAGGAGGATGGAGCACACAGTGTGCGGCAAAGATGTTGGGTTGCTTGCTTGCGATCAGCTCAGTCAATGATATTTTCCTATCCACTAGACTCCGGGAATCGCATGCAGACCAGGTGCCGCCCAAAAGACAAGAATAAAGCCCAAAATACCGCGATGCGTCCGGTATACGATCAACGCCAGACACCCGCAACATACGAAACAAAGACCGCATTACCTAGCCGCCGCCCCGACAAAGCTTCCCGTGCCATCAACTTCTAGGACGGACCCCTTCACTTCCGCCCACCGCCAAACCCGCCCTCGAACCCGGGCCGGTTCTTCTTCTTGGTCTGCACGCCCTTGTTCTTCTTCTTGCCGGACTTGTGGGCGGCCTTCTCGTCGCGGCGCTTGCGGAGGTTGTCCTCGCGCTTGCGCTGGCGCTGGTGGATGGAGGTCTTGACGTCCTCGGCGCGGTCCTTCCACTCGCGCTCCGACTTCTTCTTGGACTTCTCCTTGCGCTTCAGCGCCTTCTTAAGCAGCGACTCGTTGTCGTGGACCTTGACGCCCTCGGCACGCTTGCGCGCGGCCAGCCACGTTTCCTTCTCGAGCACCTCCTTTCGCTTGTCTTCGTCCATGCCTGCGACGCGCTTCTTTTGCGCCTCTAGCTTGAGGAGCGCGGTCTTGGGGTCTGAGGGTCCCTTCTTCTTGGCGCCGTTGGGGCCCTTCTCGTAGCTCAGGTCGTGCGATAGCTGGGTCCCGTCGGAGAAGGCGAGGCGGCCGAAGGCAAAGTTGTTGGCGCTGCGGTCGTCATCTTGATCGAATAGGGGGCTGAGCCCCGGCGAGTTGCGCGCGCTGTTGAGCGCTTCCTCCCGTTTCCTATCCTCCTCCTCCTTAGCCAACCGGCGCATCTCCTGCTTGTGGGCTTTGCGCTGGGCCTGCTTCTCGCGCCGCGACTCAATGAGGTCTTGCCTTGTGCGGATGGGCTTGCCCTCGGAATCGTCAGCCTTGCGGTCAGCGCGTAGGGCTAGGAGCTTCGCCTCTAGGCGGGCGCGAAGAGCAGTGGTGTCGGCGGGAATCTTGAGGTACTTGGGCTTTTCTGACGGCGGAACAGCTGAAGATATGGAGGTCGTGGTACTCGCTGGTTCGACGGACGCGTTCTTGACTGTGTCGAAGGTGGGCGACGCTGGGGTTGAGTCGGCTGAGGTGTCTTCTTCGTTCGCAAGTCCCGATACGTTGATGGGTGCCAATACTTCGTCGTCGCTCTCGGCTTCGGCAGATGGCTGTACAGGCGCTTCGTCGGTTGTGGACTCCTCAGCCTCGCTCTCGACTTTCTTAGCCTTCTCTGCTTTCTCTGCTTTCTTCGCCTTTTTGGGATTTTCTTCCTTTGCCTGCTTGGCCTCCTCCTGCTTCTGCTTCTTGGCCAACTTCTTCTCCTTCGCCTGGGCCTTCTTGCTGAGAGCCGGCTCGACCACCTTCTGTTCCGGTTCCTCGACCGCCTTCTGCTTTTTTGGTGCCTTTTCCTCCTCCTCCTCCTCCTCCTCCTCCTCTTCCTCTTCCTCCTCCTCGTCGCCATCGTCCAACTTCAGCTTCTTCTTCAGTCCCTCCCCAGGCTTCTCCCTCTCGATACCGGAAACATCACTGTCGTCGTCCTGGTCGGACCCCGCATCGCTCTCCTCCTCAGCCTCCATCTCCCGCAGCTTACGCTTGTTCCGCGCCCGCTCGTCCAGCACCTCCTTCGCATTGCGGTTGAGTTCGCTGTCCGGGTCGAGCTTTCCCCGCTTGGCGGCCCTGGCTTCGTCCTTGGTCTGCTTCTTTTTCCTCCACTGGTCCTATCACGAGGCAACGAATAGGGGCATCAGCAACAGTCTTGCGCGTGGTAGCACCGCAACCAGATGATGGGATGCAGCTGGTGGTGCATAAAACAACCAATCCCCCGGAAGCGGCGCGGGGCGAGGGAGCGAGGAGAGGGAGAGACAACATACACTTGTGTCTTCCCCGTAGTACATCTTGGCTGGGATCAGAGAAAGGAGGCCATCGAATGCCTTTGCATGATTGCGCAGGCGCTCCTGGTGCACGCGAGCAAGGATCAGTTGGCGAACTTTGGTTTGGTGATGATGGCTTGCACCGGGCGCTTACCTGCAACGTCGAGTCCGCCATGTTTGTGTGTCTCTTGCCCAGAATTGTAAAGAAGGCGGGTTCGCGTTGTGTTTCCGGGGCACCAACGTTGAGGGGGTTCCCGTGCTGCGAACAATCCTGTCAAACACAAGCGTCGACCTCTCGTGGAAAATTGACGAGGCGGGACGACAAGCGGATGAATTTTATCGCCGGCGAAATTTTGGGTGGATGTGGAGTTCTCGTTGCTGCCCCACCTATGCAGCTCGTTGATTCTGCCGGGCGGTCAGGCTATTGAGAGTGGATTTGGGGGGGGTGACAATAGCAACAGAGGATGAGCAAAGATAACAATAGGAAGTTGAAAGCCAAAGGAGCGAGCCATAAAATCCGAATAGCGCAAAAGTTCATTTACGGACGCATTTATTCCTATTGCTAAATTGTAGCTCTGTGACCCAGAGACAGCGGCATAAATCTGTTTCTACCTAAATAATTGGTCGGGGTCTCGGGGCGACAACCTCAACGTCACCATTCCCTCAAAGAGCTCAAACGCTTCCATTGCCATAATCAACTTCTTCGTTCGCCTCGTCCCCGCCGATACTAGGGCCTTTAGTACGCCCAAGACCAAGTTGATTAAAGATAAACAACACTTCTCATCATGTTCCCCGTCGCCAGATCCCAAACGCCAACTCGGCCCTAGAAGAAATCGGCCAAACGCCAGCGCCATGCTATGCACTACTCCCGCTATCTATTTCGCCATCCCAGGTTCCTGTCCACCGGTCTGCCACCCTATCAGGACAACAAACAGATCATGAATACAGGAACTTGGACAGATTCAGCCGCCTAACTGTGGGGCCACCATTCACACCATCCACACCATCATCTTCGCTCTCACTCTCGGGGATAAGCTGGTCCTCGCTACCCAAGGGAATATTCAGCGCCTCGAGCTCCTCGACATCTACCTTTGGCAAAGGGATGAAGGCCGGGTTTACAGGCAACGAGTCGAACTGCCCAGAATCGTTGCTTGCCGGCGGGGTCAAGGGCATCGACTGAGATTTTCCACGTCGGAACGCCCGAGCCCCCATTCGCTGTAGGGGAGTCGGCATGGGGATTTGTGTGCCTCTTGGGCCGCCGCTCTTCGGGGTCGCCGTTTGCTGGAGACTAGATGCCGGCGTGGGCAGCCCGTGGACGACTCGGGTCCGGGGCTGTGCTGTGTCATACGAAAACTCCTTAAGCAGGTCCCCCAGCGGCGTCATGGATGCGGGGTGGCCATCGCTATACCCCTTGGTTGGTCCGTGTTGAACAGGCGATGAAGCTGGTACTTCTACGGCATCGTCGGAATTATGGTCCTGCCGATCGATTGACAGTTCCGAAGGGAAAATATCTTCTTTCCGCTTCTTAGGAGAGGGCTCGTGAAAAATGGTGATGTCGTCGGTCGGCTTGGCTGGCTTTTCAGAGCGCCAAGTGTCGTCCGGAAGACTCCGGAATGCCTCTTCGATCGAATCATCCGACATCAAAAACTCGTCCACCTTTTTCTTAGCAGGCCTCTTTTGCTCTGTCATGGAAAAGAATTTGCTCTTTTCTGGGGTTGCACTGGCGACCCCGGCAAAGGCCGAGTCGTCACATAAACGGGCTTTCTTCGGCGGTCTGCTGGAAGCCGCCGAGTCCTGGTACACTTGGATTGCCGGGCCGGTTGTCCGGCGACGATGACCAGATGACTCAAATATATCCAGGCCGAGCAGCTTCGAAACAGGCTCCGTCTTTCGGCGGAGTGCGCGAGCATTGCTGGTATACGGCCGGAGTGGACTCGCCGAAGCTTCCTCCGCACCATCGATATACGGCCTCGGAAGTGGGAACACAATCGGGCGGGGTGCCTCTTCGACCGCGGTACTGGTGTTAGGATCCGAATCCACGGCGAAGCAGTTCGGGTCCATTTCACCAAGAGGTATCCGACGGGCATTCCTGTCTTTAAAGAACTCGCTAATCGGTTTTCCCAGACTTCTTGGTGGTCCGCTCGCTGGGGCAAGAGCCTGGCTAATCCTCCTCTTCCCGGGAGACCGCGGAAGCGGGATACGTTGCTTGGTGATGGGATTGACATCGCCATCAGCGATGGACCGAGCCATCTCCGTCTCGACCGGTGCTCCAATGAATGGCATGTCGTCGACCTTGACCGAGGGCGCTGGGTCCGTCAAGAGAACAATATCCCGCTTTTTTGGACAAAAAACACGCTGATGTAAAAAGGTGAGCTCGGCTTGTTTGAAATCCTGAAGGTAGGTCTCGGGGATCTGGTGCTTGCCGTTGAAGCGAAGCATTTTGATGATGCGCTCGGGGGTCTTGTGCTTCCGAATCAAGCGATACGCCGTCTTCAGGCCGACGTTGTTGACGCCATCTAGATAGTCGCAGCCGCTGAGAATGGCCATATGCCGAAACTCGTTATCCGTCCAGCCGGTGAGAGAAATCTCGCGGACGGCACAGAAATCTCGCCGGTTTATCTCGATACAATGACCGTGTTGGTCCATCTTGGTTAGGAGGCGCTTGGCGCCAAACACCAGCAGGTCGGAATCTTCGGACACGATGCCACTGATTAGGCCTTGGCGTTCGAGATAGACCAGCTGAGAGTCTGCTTCGTACGGTGCGACCACATATGGGACGTCGGCTTTCTTTAGCTCCTCGATCAGATGACGAGCCATCTCCGGAGTGACGTCGATGGACTTCTGAAGTTCGGCATAAGCCTGTGACGGTTTGCCAGCCCTCAAAAACTCGAGCCCGATCTTCTTGCTTTCTTCCCGACGCTTGGACCTTGAAGCCTCGGTCTTGGCCTTGCTGGGCAGAAAATCGCCGTCAAACACCAAATACGGGGTAACGCCGAAGTACTTGAACATCCTGACACGGTGCATGGCAAAGTCCACATATCTGATGGGATGTTAAAATTGGAAGGGCAAGAGAGAAGGGCGTCCGACTTACTTGCGAGTTGGCTTGCCTTGGGCCAGCTCCATGGCACAGGCTACGGCACCTCGATGGAGCCAGCCATAGCCGTCGATACCGAAGGTCTCACCGGCATACTTCTTGAGCTCGGTGGGACGATGGATTGATTTGAGGAGCGGGAGAAGGCCTGCAGGTCAGTTAGCCGGCAAGGCAGCGGGAAGGATAAGCAGGCGGAGTAATACCTGAGATGCCCATCCTGGCCGCCCTAGGGAGCGAGGCGTGCGAAGTTCGTTACAGCGGTCTATCGGGGGAGGTTTCGGCACCGAAAAGTGGACAGTGGCTAAACAGATGCGAAAGCCATGGGGTCTCGGTATTGGTATTCTCTGCTTGTTCTGTCGGCGGGCCTAAGACGGGTTATCGTGGGAAAGACGCGCAGTAGTGGAAAGCGTGTTTATCCGCCGGCGACGCGTGCCGAGTAGGAAAGGACGAAGGATATGAGGCGGTAATGTTTGATAGAACGGCAGTAGAACAAGTAAAGAACGGCCCGAACTGGTCAAGAACAAGAAAATCGAGTCTAGAACGAACGCAATGGAGGGGAGTCGGTTGGGTGTGGGGGTTGCCAGTTGCCAATTTCAGCCGTGGATGGGATGGGATGATGGGCAGTCGCTAAATTATTCACGGGGCCATGGAAGCGCGACCGCGTCGGTCCTGAGCTCCGTTACCCCCGCGACGGCCCCACCCGATGGCTGCCAGGTACCGCGAGGGTTAGTGCGGGGTGGTCAGGGTTCGATACTTGAGGATCCATGAAAGAGAAAAAAGACATGAGATCAAATACTAACGGTAAATACAGAAGGCGCGCCCAATAGCAAGTCATTTACTAAGGAGAAGGTCCTACGATGCACCAAGAGCTCACCTGCGATATCATCAGGAAGCTTCGAGGCACGGTAAGTTTGTATGTGCAAGTCGGTACCTCAACCCCTGCAGGCACTTAAGCTTATCAGCGCAATGCCCCGCCGTTATCAGCCTGCTCCATCAAAAAACTTCCCGACAGGGGAACTCAGATCATCCGACAGACAACAGTGCTCAACCCAGAGGCACCCGAGGTGACAACGACCGGCCTGAAACGATTACCTTCATCATGGCGAAAACACTAGAGAAGACCCGCAAGCAGATTGCGAAGAAGAGGAACGGGAATATCGATGCGCTTCACGGGAAGAGCCGAGATTCAAAACGGCTTCACCGCGCCCAAGTGCGCGATGACCGACTCGAGAAAATCGCCGAGACACGACGTAAAAGAGACAAGCCGCTCCGTTCGTGATCCTTTCCATCCATCAATCAACATGTTGATACCGTGAATCTATCTACTAACTGTAAAAAGTTGCCCGTGCCGCTTTTTTCCAAGAAGCTGTCCAGGAAAATGGAAACAAAGCTCTCGAGCTCGAGGCCGTTCAGGCGAAAATTAACGAGTGAGTGCTGTGTGTTGTCGACGAACACAAACAGTCTGTTTACAACAGGAACACATGCTAATTATAGCTCAGATTTGTGCACCAATATGATGAGGAGTACGAAGAGGTCAAGAAGACCCGGCGCGCAGGACGGCCAGCAAGCGCGAGAGAAGATCTGCTGAAAATGAAGATCTCGGCCCTCGAGAGAGAGCACCGCGACGGGTTCTGTACGGCTGTTTCCGTCCAATTCCACAATTAATGAGCTAACCGTCGTCTAGATCTGCCTGACCTTACTGTGGAAGCAAATGTTCAGCTGCTCAGCAGATTCGAAGGATCCTGGTCGTACCTCACCAGTGTTGCCTGGGTCAAGCTGTCAGCCGCAGGAAACGTCAAGCCCTCCAGCTTCCCTCCCCAGGGTCTCTAAGATGACCAAACCGTCAACCCGGAGGGAGCCATGCGGGGCCATGTGCTCGCCACGCGAACGACGCAGGGGTACTTTCGATGCCAGCCGGGCTTGCGTCTCGCACGTCGGATGTGGCTACGAGCAAACGCTCTGAGACATTCTGAGGCACAGTCGGGCGTCAGTCACCACGGCGGCGGATATTCGCACCTACATGTTGTACTTCCCGGTGTCTTGCGCTCATCCGGGCCCCCTGGCAGCGTCTCCTTGGCCAAGATGCCCGGCTGTCTGCGGGTGGCCGTGTCAGCTTGCATCTCCGGGCATCGAAGCGTACCTGGAAAGGCCCATGCTCCCGTCCTCCGCACGGTGCACACCCGAAACACAAGCGCAGAGCATACATGCAGCCCCCCGGCGCGCGGGATCCCGGGTGACATGCGCAGGTCACGGATGGTATCCGCGCTTGTGTTTGCCGAGGGTGCCGGCAATGCCTGTCAAGGGGCTGTTGTATGATGCGGCCTCCACGGCCCCAGGCCCCCGGCAGCCTGACAGACGGGGCAGAATGGGAGCCCTCGGGCGCCGCAATTGGCGGGGGTGGATGGTTGCACACACGGGCTAGCGGCAGGTATCCGAATGCCAGCGACGGCCCGGACCCGTCTCATCTCTCTGAGACCGGAGCCCTGGGAACGTTGTGGTAAAACTTGGCACAGCTTTGCGCTCGAGTCCTCCGAGTCCGCCCAGCGGAGCCCGGCGGCGTCATGTCATAGGAGAACAATGAATCTGTCAACCTTCCCTCTGTCACGTCTTTCCGGGCGTGTATGACATGCCACACACGCACCTGTGCCCCCTTCGGTCTCCCGCTGTTCCCTCATCGACCTCGGCCACGGATACGTGCACCGAGATACCCTGTGCTCCGCACGTTGTCGCCATGTTTGACTACAAGACCCGTTCCAAGGCTTCAGACACTTGAAGACTCGGGCGCCGCAGTGCCACCCGTCACGTATCTGGCGCACAAGGGGGCCTATCCGTATGGCCGGGACGATGGGCCACGTTCCGCGGGAGGAGCCGATCTGGTTGAGCGGATGGGCTGTGATGTAGTAGCGGGTCGGATCGAGCCTCGAGTCCGCGGTTGTGCTTAGGGTCACGAATCTACGATCGGTGTCGACGGGGACTATCTTTCCGTCTCCCGCCTACATTTTCGTTCATATTTATTCACTTTCGGAGTTTTAAATACTGCGCCATCTCGATTATATCATAGACTGACAATACTACTGCCAAACAACCCCATATCCAACCTTCTTTTATCCTCATCCCAAAACCACGCACCAACAATCCCCAAGAAAACAAACAAACTCACACCTCCAACCCACCAGCAAACACCACACACCAAACAAACCCCCCTCCACAAAAAAGAAAAGCCAGAAAAGAAAAGAAAAAAAAAAGAAAATAAAAAACACAATGTGCACCTACACGACGCACATCCGCATCTGCGCCCGCTGCGCCCGCGAGGACACGGTGCTCATCTCGGAGCAGCTGTGCCTGGCCGCCCGCGCCTCGGGCATCTTCGGCAGCTGCCTCGAAGGGGTCTGCGGCCAGCGCGACGCCACCGCCTGCCGCTGCTGGCAGTGCCGCGAGGAGGACCGCGAGGGTAGTGGTGGTGGTGGTGGTGGTGGTGGTGGTGGTGGTGTGAGGGTCCGCGCTGCTTGGGTGGCTGCTGGGGTTGGGGGGAGGGCGGCGGGGGCGGTTGGGAGGGCCGCTGCTGCGGGAGGGGGAGGGGGGTGGGGGGGGAGGAGTGGTGCTGCTGCTACTGCTGCTGCTGCTGCTGCTGCTGGGGGGAGGAGGGTTGGGGGTGGGAGGGTGACGACGGCGGCGGTGGTTGGGGGGGTGGCGGTTGGAGGGGGTGGGAGGTGGAGGTGAAGGGTATGGGGGTTGTGAGTTCTTTCCGTGCGAGGGAAGGGGAAAATACCTAACTTGGTGGATTTCATGGTGTTTGGGTGGCGTTTGGGTGGGATACTGCTGCGGTTGTTATGAAGTGATGAAGCGATGAACCAATACCCCTAGTGAATTAATGACTTAAGCCCCCTTGCCCCTCTCCGTGTCTTAAACCGCAAAGTACCTACCCTTGGTTTCTTGTTGTTCTCATGTTGTTCCAGCGTGTTAGTCGATTGTGGATCTGGAAGAGTCCTGGTCTTGGCGTCTTTTGCAACCCCCCTCCGTTCAATATCGCGGCTTCATGATTGGACCCCAGCCGTGGCCCGTGCACGCGATTTTTTTTGCAGCTTTGAGCTTGCCCAGAGGCATCGTCTTGTTCGAGGTGCAGAACTCATTCTTCTACTCCCCTCAGCCTCTTCAACCCCCATCAATTGAAGCACTTTCCCCTTCTTTTTGTGCTGCATCCCCACCGCAGACTCACAAAACAAATACAGCCAAAATGATGTCCCTTCGCTCTATTGCGCGCTCTGCGCCCAGGGCTCTGGCCCGCGCCTCCACCACATCCACCATCTCCCGCTGCCAGAGGACAAGCAACATCCTCAGCGCCCGCCCGACCTCGTTCCTCCGCACACAACAAGTCTCTGCCTTCTCCACGTCACTACTCCGCAAGGCCATGGCCGGCGAGGTGGATGAGGAGGTGTCGGCCAAGCTGGCCAGCGAGATCGATTTCGAGAAGGATGTCAAGCAGAACGAGCCCTTGCCCGCCAGCATTAAGGACTTTCTGGACAACAGCGCGTTCAAGGTCGAGGACGTCCCCGGCCGGGAGGATGTTGTTCTGACGCGGACGTTCGGTGACGAGAAGTAGGTTTTCCACGAATAGCTTTTTTTTTGTGTTTCCCCGCTGACCCTCCATTTAGGATCACTGTCACTTTCTCTATTTCCGATCTGCACAGCTACGAGCCAGACATGATGGAGGACCAGGCCATGGAGGACGATCTAGAGGATATCGAGTCCGGCCAGAATCAGCAGGAACAGCGGACTGGCGCCGCCGACCTTGCCGAGGAGGCGAACGAGGACCTGGAGGCCGGTTCCGACGAGGCCGCCGTCCCCTGCCGTCTCAACATTGTCATCGAGAAGCCTAACAAGGGCGCTCTCAACATCGAGGCGCTCGCCCAGGACGGCGCCGTCGTCGTTGAGAACCTCTACTACTATGCCGACCCCAAGCTGGCCCACAGCACCGACGCCAATGCCGTGCACGCCGCTCAGGACGCCTACCCCGGCCCGCCGTTCGGTAGCCTCGATGAGGACCTGCAGATCCTGATGGAGCGGTACCTCGAGGAGCGCGGCATCACGCAGGCGCTGGCTCTGTTTGCGCCAGACTACATGGACTTCAAGGAGCAGAAGGAGTACATGGCGTGGCTTAAGAACGTCAAGGCCTTCATCGATGCTTAAGCGAAGGACTGGGATACGAGGGGACGGGGATAAACGCTGTGCGATATGATTGTATTACTTGCCACTCTACGGAAAGTCTGGATGTACGATAGGTACGACAGACATGAGGACGTCTTCCTCTACACATAAAACTGTCGAAAATGAGAATATGACAAATAATGAACGAAACTTCCGCAATACCTGTCCGCTTAGGTTTGTCGATGTATCATTGAGCTGCACAGGAGAGCCAAGGCACTTTTTCACGCCATTCGCTTAGTCATTGGCTGGCCAGACCCCGATGGCCTTACCCCCCCTGCAGCTGAAGTTCGTTCGGATCCAAGCGGCCTTTTCCAGACTTGACCACCGGCATATTATGTGACTATCTTGCGAGCAAATGTTTCTTTCTCTCTTTTATTAGCCCGCCTCTCTTGTAATATAATTTTTATGGCGACATGGTTTTGGATTTATTTTCCTCATGTCATTGAGTTTCATATTGAGAACTTCTGTCCTTGAACCCTACCTTTTCGGGATCCGAGGTCCTCGTATTGGCAATTGACCAACCCAGCCTCAAGACAGGACTGGAGATGTTGCATTATCAACTTTTTAATGGGGTTCTTGCACAGTAACGACAAACCCTAAGCAAGGTGTTGGAACATGAGCCGAGATAAGACGACGGAGTATGGGGACCGAGGGGACGACATTGAGATACACCTCTCCGAGGTAGCTGATGAAGAAGCTCAACTCTTACACGACGACGAGAACGGCGCCTATGAGCAGTTCGAACTAGATGATACGTCTCAACCAGGCCAGGGACAACAACTGCCACCACAAGGCCGGCCAAGTTCAAGAGGATTTTGGGCAAGGGACCGGGCCCCCAGATGGCTTGCCTTCCTCTACGGCCCTGACCCGCCCAAGATCCATACCATCAACCCCATATTCCCTTCGGTGCAGGAGATTCCTATCAGATGGCTTAAGAAGACGCTACCGCGGCGATGGCAACGAGTAACCCTACTGGTTTTGTTCCTCCTCGCCTGGGCCACCTCACTCGCCGTCCCCCTGATTCTGAGCAAAGGGACAGCCACCGACGCATCTGGTGCCGCAATCCGCCATGTTGACTGCGTCGATACCCTCTGGAAACGCAACAACGAGTGCGGCCTTGACGGCGACAACTGCCGTCCCTTTTCCAACACCTCTTTTGCCTTCCGCTGCCCGGCCGACTGCGCCAGCGTTCGCGTGTTGAACCCGCATCATGTCGGGAGCCAGGACGTCAACTTTCGACCTCTGGTCATTGGTGGTGGTGGTGACGGACCCTACCGCGGTGACTCCTTTATCTGCGGCGCCGCCATCCACGCGGGTGTCATTGGCGACTCCACAGGTGGGTGCGGCGTCGCGACTCTGGTCGGAGAGTACTACCAGTACTTCTCTTCTTCCCAACACAACATCGAGTCGATCCCTTTCGACTCCTACTTCCCGCTCTCCTTCACCATCACCACCGACCCCACCCTCAAATGCACTAGCCCCGACCCGCGCTGGACAGTCTCACTCCCGCTCTCCATCCTCTTCACCGTCCTCCTCGCCCTCTTCACCACCTCGGTCCCACTCCTCTTCTTCACGACCTTCCTCGGCATATTCACGCACGTCGCGCTCGTCTCGGACCCGCCCAACCTCTCAACCGCCTCCACAACCTACCTCCTCCCATCCCTAATCTCCCACTACGCCGGCCGCCTCCTCCCCGCCCTCTTCACCGCGACAATCATCTACCTCACCAGCGTGCGCCACACCCTCTCCCCACCACCCCCCCAAAACCACCACCACCACCAACCCCAACCCCACCCCCTCGAAACAACCCTCCTCTACCTCCTCCCCCTCTGGCTAACCGCCCTCACCAACCGCACCCTCGAACCCCTCATCCCCATCACCCGCCTGACCCCGTCCGACCTGACCACCCAACCCGGCGCCCTCCTCGCCCTCACCCTCATCCTCCTCCTGCTCACCACCCTCACCCTCCTCCAAGCCCACACCCTCCACCGCGCCGGCCGCCTACCCCAGTACCTCGCCTTCTACGCCACCATCGCTTTGGCGCTAGGCCTCCTCGCCGCGCTGCCGAGGTTGAGATTAAGACTGCACCACTACGTGCTCGCGCTGCTGCTGCTCCCCGGCACGGCGGCGCGGACGCGGGTGTCGATGGTCTGTCAGGGGTTGTTGGTGGGGCTGTTTGTGAATGGCGTCGCGCGGTGGGGGTTTGATGCGGTGCTGCAGACGGATGGGATGCTGAGGGGGGATGGGGGGTTTGGAGGGGGGGTGCTGCCGGAGGTGTTGCCTGCGCTGGTGGAACGGTTGGCGGTTGAGGGTGGTGGTGGTGGTGGTGGTGGGGGGATGCGGATTTGGTTTAAGTGGCGGGGGTTGGCGGAGGGGGTGGTGAGTGCTGGTGGTGGTGGTGGTGGTGGTGGTCCGGAGGGGATGGGGGTGGAGGGGATTAGTGTGCTGGTGAATGATGTGGAGAGGTATAGGGGGTGGTTTGCGGAGCGGCCGTTGGAGGAGCAGGTGTTTAGGTGGGCGAGGGAGGCGGGGCGGGTGGTGGATGAGTATTTCCGGTTTGGGTTTGTCACTCAGGGTGGGAGGGCGTTGGACTACACCGAGGCTGGGACGTGGTTTGCGAATGGGAGTTGGAGTCAGGGGGCTGGGTACTGGTGATGCCGTTTCTTCTCGGGTTTTGAATAGGCGTTTTGTATGTATGTACATACAGCATTCACGGGGCTTGGACCGCGTGCCTTCCTGTCCCCCCTTTTCCATCCGAACCCCTTGCCCACCGCCTTCCCGCCACCCCACCCGCTAGCGCTATATATACAGGTTCCGCAGTCATAATGTCACCGCCTCCTCTCCCAATTGTCAAGCACCGGTTTGGTTCAACGGCATTGGGAGGAGGACCGGTTGGATACCAATCGAAAGAGGGCCGGTTCGATTCCACCTCGCGACGCAAAACCACCCGGTTTTCGTAACCGTCAACCTTCATTTGACCGCAAATGGGGCTTGGCGGTGAGCTATTTGTGTTTGGTTCCAATTGCTGTCCCGAGTTGTTGTTTTAAAAGTACAATGTGTCAATCTATTATTCTCTCGCTTTTGGCACAGGCCATAATACAGTCACAGTTACATCACAATCTGATATTTAGCGTGGCCTCGCGATCAACGCCCAGGCCAGTCCACCCCTGCCAGTTTCTCACCAACTTCCACGCGGCATGTATGTAGAGCCTCCCATGCGCCGCGCCATATTTGGCCGACAGCTCTCGTAAGCTCCTCACCGCTCTCAAGAGGTCGTGACCACCTTCTCTGTCCTCCAAAATGCACTGACCGTGGATTCGGTCAATAATTGCCCCCCAGCCCCTCGTTTCCTCCGCCAGTTCCCTCGAGACCAGGAGCTTCCCGTCAATGACTGGCCTCAGCTGGGTGATGTACGTGAGAATCACGAGAAGCCACAAACCTCTGACGAGAAGAAGCTTGTGGTTCTCATCTTCGACCCAGTTCTCGAGGATCACCCGGGTGCTGTTGACGCAGGTCGGCAAGCGGGCGAGATAAAGGTCGAAAGCTGGCTGGTTGGGCTTGTGTGTTGCCGTGAGGAGCAGCACTGACAGGGCAGAAATTTGTTGTAACAACAAGGCCAGGTCGCGGGTATCGAGACAGCGCACGTACTCGACAATAGCCGTTCTGGCGGTCGGGTTCGAGAAGACGTGCGAAACCCCGTGGAAACCGGAGCCGGCCTTCATAACTCCGCTGAAGCGTCCGTCATACGCGACTCGGCCAATAATATCCTCTGGTGACAAGTACTCCCCGGATGGCGCAGCCAGCTGCGGGTGTGTCAGCAACTCGCCCATGGGCCCCATCCAGTCGACGGCGGAAAGGGTTAAGGACTCCATGACGAGTATTGCTGCCCGCAGCTCGATACCGTCAGCCAACAAAGTCAGCGGCCGTCCAATTCCCGAGAACAGGCCGTAGACCAAGGGGCTATCGCCCGTGAAGAGATGGCAAATGGCGAGTGACCTGGTGTTGCCTGAGAACCTGCCGTTTTCCATGCTGAAGTACGTCATAAACGCCCGTTGAAACCTGAAAACTGTGAGCTAGGTGCACCTGCCTACCCGATTCTAGATGGTTCACATACCTAGAATCACTTAAAAACCTTGACTTGGCCTCCTCGTCAGAAATTCCCCTAGGTGACGGCTCCCAGGATAAGAGGTCACCTTTCAATAAGTCATAGGTTTCCCGGAGGCCATCTGGTGTCCCATCGAGTAGAAACAAAGTAGTTAGGGCCTGGGCGTGTTAGCGCTGGGTCGGATAATGCGGCGGTGTTGTAAACTTACAGAAGGGAGTTCGTTGTGCCGGCCGTCCAACTGAACCAAGGCATGCTGAACATGTGTCTTGGCCAGGAGACTATCCAACACGGTTCTCGACCCCGGGTTGGTCATCATGATAGATCTTTCTCTCCTTGGCTCATATCGGGCTGACATATCCAAGGTGGGAAAGAGTGCTGCCCTGGATCCCGTCCCTTTGACCAACTTTATATCACGCCAAACGGTCCAGCTCTCTCCCGGCCTAGGTGCCTGACGTCGAGCCAAGCCTCTCCGTGTCTCCCCTTGGCATCCATCGCTTTCTGGATCTTGCGTTTGGAGGGCTGAAAGAGGGATGGACATACCCAGTCAAGACCAGAGGATTCGATCTGGTGGCGATCCGGGGAGCTTGTGGAGTTCTCGGCATCCATAGAGAGATAGCCATGGTGTTGGGGTCGGTACAAATATTGCCATTGGGCAGCCATCGTTTGACCGGTTGAAGAGGTAAGATCTGTGACTCAAGTCGGCAGCTGAGGGATGGCGTATGCCGGTAAGGCGAGACCAAAAGAGAGATGGTAACCACACAACCGGGAAAGCTGACTGGCCACGCGGGCGGGAAGAGGACGGGCCGGGAGTCCCAACTCCATGGCAGGGCCGGTGACATCTGCAAGGGGTTTACCATCGCCACCTCCGAGCAGCGGGTGCCTCCATCACACGCCGTGGCTGGATAGAGACCGGACAGCCACTTGTACGGTGCATCCGGTTTTCCCGGAAGCCACGAGAGAAGCTGGGGACCCGGATTGGTGTTTTGGGAACGCCATGGCTGGGAGGAAAGCGTACATTATGACATTTTGGTCGATGGCCGGCGATAGTGTGCCCCGATTCGGCCAAGCAGCGAAATTCGCAAGACCTGCCAGAGATGTTTAGTTTCAAAAGTTCAGTTTTGCTTTTTTTCAGGGAGCACGTCGAAATCTCCATTCGAGAAAGAGCCATCCAATTCATCCTGCCAGAAATTGAAAGGGTGTAGTCAGCGTTGCATACCTAGGTAGGTACCCTGCGTGCCTGCCTGCTTGCCTAGCCGCATGCAGCTTGCGAGCATCATGTCAGTGGATGGAAGGCGCGGACCCACACCGACGACCCCTAAAACCTGCCCCAAAGAAACCCGAGTTTCCGCTAAGAAACCCCCACCGCTCGGTCATCTGCAGTCATCGCTTAGGAATCACGAAGCATCGAACAAGTCGAGAATGTGCACCATTATCTCGCGCACGCCGTGATATTGGTACACCGCGATCCCAATAGCGATCTTTTAGTTGGTGTTTTGTGACGATGATTTCTAAGCAACTCCAAAGCGTATGTCCTCAAGGTATGAAGGTAAACTCTTACCATTGTTGCATGTACCTTGCCTGTCTCTCAAGGTATGGACGTTCCCCTTATTCGGAGACCGAAAGCACGACTAAACTATTAATAGGTATTTGGAATCTAGAAACTGCCATCCCTACAGATGTACACTAGATGCCATCCGGCAGAGCCGCGATGTCTCGTCTCAAAGGACCCTAAATATTTTGCCACTGGGTATTTCAGCCGGACACTTGCTTGAGATCGCACAGTTCCAACATCTGTGCGGTGCCCAAGCACCTATCCGACGCGGCAGCTCTTTCTTCCTCGGGTGACACGACCGGCGCCACCACGGGTAACAACAGTAGCCTGGGAATGTTGGCTCCTAACAGCGTCGACCCCTGAGGCTTCGCAGAGGAAACCGGGCGTGCTCACAGCCCCAGTCGGAATGTCTCTGAGTGTCTCCGGTTTCAGCTGTGGCAGTCATATATCTGAGGGCCCCCAGTACCGTCCGGGGATCCAGCGCAGCTTGTCAGTTTCTTTTGTGGTCCGGTGGCTGCTTGCCCAACATTTGTGGCTTGTAGGACACCCCAATGAGACACGATTGACTTGTTGTTGCAGACTTAACGTTGCTTCCCGGGTCACTGACCCGGACTCCAACCCTCACCAACTCACCACCACCCAAGCCCCAATCCAGATTTCCCGTCCGCGCTCAGCTTTACTTCACGTATCAGATTCAGCTCCGGTGAAGATCCGGGGAATTTAGTCGGGGCATGAGGAAAGGAGAAAGCGAGGCGGCTGGGAGGTGCAGGGACGGCCGATTGTTTGCGCCTCACTCAACCCACGTTTCACCCACCGCCCGTACTACACTGTACAAGTGACGTACATTGTACCCCACGATGGCCTCTGGGTTATGGATCGAAGCGATGCTCTTGGTGGCAAGACCTATCGGGAAAACACGAACCCCCAATTGCGAGCACAGAGTTGCGCCAAAATTTTATGGCTGTTACCCCAAGTACCCTTAATCTCCGCGGTGCGGACGATGACCTCGGTGAAATAACAAATAGATTGTTGTCTATCGATGGAAGCATCTCCTCTTTTGCAGCTAGTCTCGCCCTACTCCTCTAACTGACTTGGGGGTTGTCGTTTTCACTGTACCGTTTGCTAATAACTAGCTCCTCGGACTCCAATGCGCACCCCTCTGCCTCTGCTTCTGGCTCTAGCCGGCTTCCCGGCCGCCGTTTTGGCCGAGGATACGACGCTCATCGACGGTCATCTTTCAGGACCTGTAGAAAATGAACACTCGGGAGACTTAAACTTGGTTGGTATGTGAAGACGCGGTCCCAAGAAAACGAAAAACACTGCTAATACAGCTTCAGAACGATACCCCCTTCCCGAGCCGCAATGCGGCAGCTGGGTGGGTGTCGAGGTGATCTTTATGGTTGAAGTCACTGAGGTCTGCCCGGAGGGGTCAACAGGTAGAAGCTCTTGAGCCGGAAGCTCTGTACCAAGCGGTCTAACTGAAGCCATTCGCAGTGACCGAGACTTACACCCAATGCGTGGAGACACTCACTCGTTCCATTTGCGCAACGGCGATGACAAACCGTCCCTGCTATCCCTGCATCATGGGCACGCCACCGCCATCCGACACGGCGACAGTCACAATGGTGAGCGCTTCCAAAGTCTCCATCGGCAACACGCCACAAACTAACTCCTCGCAGACCTCCTGCGCAACCGCAACCGAGCAAACACTGACCGTAACGGTCCAACTCTGCAGCACATGCACGACCGCAACCTACGTCGGCCCCATCCCGGGCTACACCCCCGGCGGGCCCTGCCACGGGTGCACCCCATACGGCAGCGGCAGCGACAGCGGCTTGTCGTCGTCATGCTCAGAAGAGGGCGGCTCGGCCACGCCGGCCATTACGACAACGACAACGTCAACCTCTACCATTACCGTAAGCGTATCGGGCTGTGTCGAGTCTGACGTGAGCTCTACTCGCAGTACGCCGCCTGGAAACCCGTCTGTCTCGTTGACGACGTCCCCGACGAACACCCCTTACCGGCCTACTACGGCGCCTCCGGCTGTTACGGCGGGCGGTGTTCGGAATGGGGTTGTTGGCTTTGAAGCTCTGATAGTGAGCTGGGTGATGATGTGTGCTTTCTTGGGGATGTAGCCGTGGATTTGGGTTTCTCGTTTATTTCTTGCTTATAAGGAGCCCCTTTCCTTCCTTCTTATTCCCGAGTTTCGAGAGTCTCTTATCGAGACTGCCCGTTTATTCCTATCTCCATTCTTAATGTCATATCAAACAGAAACGTCTCTGTGTAAGCGACAATGCGCCAAGTTCACTTTACCTAATATCACGCTCCGATTTCGGGGCCGCGCGGGTGAGGTCGGATCCCGGATGCGGGCTATGGATGCCGGAGTGGACTGAGCGGTTTCTCTTCACCCAACGCCGGTCTTGCATTGGCCAATTCTAGATTTTGAACAGACCCGTAATTAGCCGCGACATATGGGGTGCACATTGGTGTGTGAGGGTGCAAGCTCATTCCCTGCCGCCATGGGGAGGCGAACGTTGGGGTACCACGAGGAGGAGGCCCGAGTTGATCAATATCGTCATTGGATTGTCATCGAGATAGCTCGCTCGCCCATTCGACTGAGTGCGGACCCCGATCGCTGGCTCCGTGAGGGGTTCGCTTCCGGAGAAAGTAGTACCATGTATGCGCAAGAGAGGGGGCCCGTGGGGGTCTCCATATTGCTTTGAGCCGTCAAGAGCCGTCGTGGAGGGCATGATAAAGGAGTCGTCCTGCTGTTTCCCGCTGTTCTCCCTTCCTCTTCTTTTCTTCTGCTAAAGCGACCACTGTCTCGACAACTAGTCCTCTCAGCAACTCCACTCAAACAGCCTCATAAGTGTCGTGCGCATCGGACTCTCTCCGCTCATCATGAACTCTTCTAACCACAGCTCAGACTGACATATCCGTCCGGTACATGATGCCGTCCCACTCTCGAGAGAAGAAGCCATGATGGCCTTTCGATGGTGTCCTATCCCACAATGATCAATTGTATCATCTTCAGGTAACTATCTGAATGCATGAGCCGGTGCCAATCTGGTTGCTGTCGAGCATCCACCAGTCTTAGGACCTGGATGTCTCGACAGCGCCGGAGCGGCTGAGATTATACGGCAGTAACTTGATCTGGATAATACCAGCGAAAGGATCATGCTTCTTGTCCTCTTTCCTCTGCAGTGGCAGAACCCTAACTCTCCCAGATAACACCCAACACCACCAACAACAATGGCTCCGTCGGCAATCTCTCCCGCCCAGCAGCACGCCCAGCTCGCATTTGCCTCCAAGAAGGTCAAGGATGCTGCGGCTGTCGAAGACCGTACGGAAGATGGCTTGACCAAGTCCCTTAACGAGATGATGGGCAGCTGGGACAACTTCACCTTTGCCCCCATCCGTGAGAGCACCGTCTCGCGCGCCATGACCCGTCGCTGTAAGCCATACCACTTAAACCAAACCACATAGCCAGTCCTCGATCCTTGACTAACGAGAAAACCAAGACTTTGCCGACCTCGACACCCATGCCGAGTCCGACATCGTCATCGTCGGTGCCGGCTCCTGCGGTCTGTCAGCGGCCTACACGCTCGGCACGCTCCGACCCGACCTGCGCATCACCCTCATCGAGGCGGGTGTGGCGCCTGGCGGTGGTGCCTGGCTCGGCGGACAGCTGTTTAGCGCCATGGTGATGCGCAAGCCGGCGGACGTGTTCCTGCGGGAGATCGGGGTGCCCTTCGACGACGAGGGCGACTACGTGGTGGTCAAGCACGCGGCGCTGTTCACCAGCACCGTCATGTCCAAGGTGCTGGCCATGGACAACGTCAAGATGTTCAACGCCACTACCGTCGAGGACCTGATTACCCGCCCTGATGAGGGCGGTGCTGGTGTCCGCATCGCTGGTGTTGTCACCAACTGGACCCTGGTCTCCATGCACCACGACGACCAGAGCTGCATGGACCCCAACACCATCAACGCCCCCGTCATCATCTCCACCACCGGACACGATGGTGAGTCTTTCTGGTCTTCTACAACGCCATAACAAAACAAGAGTGCTAACGCTAGGGATGTCACAGGCCCCTTCGGCGCCTTCTCCGTCAAGCGCCTCGTCAGCATGAAGCAGCTGGAGCAGCTGGAGGGTATGCGCGGTCTGGACATGCAGCGGGCCGAGGACGCCATCGTCAAGAACACGCGCGAGATCGTGCCGGGCCTGATCGTCGGCGGCATGGAGCTGTCCGAGATCGACGGCGCCAACCGCATGGGTCCTACTTTTGGCGCCATGGCCCTCAGTGGTGTCAAGGCGGCCGAGGAGGCCATCCGCGTGTTTGACCTGCGCAAGAAGCAGAACGATCTGTGAGCGGGGTCAGGAGTGTGGCAGTGCGGAGGGCATCAGTTGCACACCAAGTCGCTAGGTTCTATCTTAGTCGGTCACTACGAGATAGTCAAGGGGGATACTTCAGGACGCTCCCTATATCGACAATGAAATCTGCTTTCGAACTAAATGAGACTAGACAGTGATGTGACTACAGTTCTATCGCACTAAACCAAAAGCCCCACCAAACCACAACCCTACCTTGTATCTCATCCCCCTTTATGATACACCCCCCTTTCACTCTTCACACCCTCAAACCCCTTCCTCCCCCTTTCCCCTTCCCCTTCCCCTTCCCCTTCCCCTTCCCCTTCCCCTTCCCCTTCCCCTTCCCCTTCCCCTTCCCCTTCCCCTTCCCCTTCCCCTTCCCCTTCAACCCCCCCCCTAAACCTCCCCAACAACCTCCCTCCCCACAACCCCCACCGCCCTCACCAACCCCTCCACCGTCCCGCGCTCCGTCCCCCCACTAACCACCACCCTCAGAAACGCCCCCCTCTCCCCCGGCGCATAATCCACCATAAACCCCCTCCCCACCAACCCCTGCACCACCGCCCTCGTCCGCGCCGTATTCACCCCCTCCTCCGCCGCCACAACCCCTCCAGGGGCATAATAAAAACACACCTGCAGACACGGCGGCGGGTCGGTCGACACGAGCACCAGGTCGGGGTGTGCGGCGACGAGCGAGGCGAGGTAGGCCGCCGTGGCGAAGGCGCTGTCGATGAGGGCGCTGAAGCCGGAGGTGCCGTGGTAGATCCAGCTGAGCGCGAGCTTGAGGCTGTCGGCGCGGCGGCCGCATTGTAGCGTGAGGTCGGCCATGTCCCAGGGGTCGTTGTAATTGTTGGATGCTGAGGGGGAGGGGTAGGGGATGGGGGTGGTGGTGCCGTTGGTGGGTGGCGGGGTGGGGGGTTTGTTTGTGGTGGTGGTGGTGGTGGTGGTGGTGGTGGTGGTGGTGGTGTGGAAGAGGTAGCCGGCGGGCAGGGTGTTGGCGCGGTGGAAGACGGCCGTGTCCGGGCCGAGGAGGAAGGAGCAGGTCACGGGCACGTTGAGCATCTTGTGCGGGTTGATGGTGAGGGAGTGGGCGAGGTGGGAGCCGGCGAGCTTGTGCCGGTGGGTCGGGGAGAAGATGGCCGGGCCGCCCCAGCTCGCGTCGATGTGCAGCCAGAGGTGGAACTCGGCGCAGATGGCGGCGATTTCTTCGAAGGGGTCGTAAGAGCCTAGGACGGTCGTGCCGGCGGTGGCGTTGACGTAGAGGGGGGTCTTGCCCTCGGCTTTGGCGCGTTGGATGAGGGCGCGCAGCGCGGAGGGGTCCATTCGGCCTGCCCCGTCGACGGGGACGGTCCAGACGGAGGCGGAGCCCAGACCGCAGGTCACGGCGGCCTTTTCGACAGAGTAGTGGCCGTGGACGCTGGTGAAGAGGATGAGAGGGCCGGGGGCGCCGCTGTTGCCTTGGGTTTTGCATTCCGGGTAGAGGGTGTTGCGGGCGACGACGATGGAAGTCAGGTTGGAGGAGCTTCCGCCTTGGCAGGTTACACCTCCGGCACGGGGGCCGGTGAAGCCAAAGAGGTTTGCGAGAGACTTGGCTGTGTGCTTTTCTATGACCGTCAGGGCCGGCGAGACTTGGTAAACGTGCACCTTGATTCTATTAGTCATGGGTCCCTTCTCGAGCTCAGGGGCTCAGGGGTAACACCCGCGGCAGACCACTTACATTTGTGTTTAGGGCGCCCAAAAGGAGCTCGGAAGCTACGCCAACCTAATACGCCAGAGTCAGAATAGGAACACGATGGTAATCAGGGGCTGGACGACCACACCGGGTTGGTGCTGGCATACAGCTTGTCCATGAACCCCTGGTCCCACGTGTTGACGCTGTGCTTGAGGACATCCTTGATAGTCTCAAGCAGACCCTCTTCACCCCGGCCTTTCCCTTCGGGCAGACTGAGGGCCAGTTTCTGGACCAAGTCCTCGGGTTTCTGGGCGTTGACGAGGGTATTTTTAACAACTCCCTGGGCGTTCGGGAGCAGCTCCCCGGCGGCCCTGGACGGGATTGCTTCATCCGCCTCTCGGACGAACGGAATAATTAAGGCTTTTACGGCATCAATGAGCTACCAACATGTCAGTGCTATCCTCACGTGGGGGACTGGGGCCCACCACTTACATGCTCGACCTCATCGGCCCTATTCAGGGGCTTATCCCCATGTGTTCCATTCATTTTCGAGTTCCTAACACGAGTCTGGGGATGGGATCAACAGCAGGGTTCGTAGTGGAGGGAGAAAACGAGGTCAATGGCACGGAGTCATAACATCTCAATTTTTGCTTACTAGTCCGGCCTAGGGCCCGGATGGTCGGGATCTGACTCCCCACGCCCCCACGTGTCGCCTCGGCCGTCCGGGGGACTCCACAGTCATGGAAAGCCGAAAAGGGAGGAGAGCCGCAAACCGGAGCTCTTGGCAACCGAGGATATCATCGGTCTGGTCCACTCCCCACGCGTGAGTCAGGGTAGGGGGCGTTTAATAACTCATGGACTTCCGTCGTCAGCCAAGCAAGCAACATGGTCACCCGTCAACAAGATCTTTGTATAGATGGGATGTATATAAGGTCAAGAAGGCTTGTAATTAAAATGATACTAAACCACCTCTATCACAAGAGGAAAACGACGTCACAGTTGGAAGAAGACCGGCCGTTGTGGAGGAAAAGGAACGTAGGTACCCAGTTACTGACCCAAACATCTAAGTTTGGATTGGATAAATCCATCAAGCTCAAATAGAAGCCGGTCCCATGGTGCTTGCTTGCTAGAGAACGGGTTCGAATTAGCATGATGAATAGACACAAACACTTCAACGTGTGGTCTTTTAGATAAAACGAAGCAAGTTCGTTAAAGCCTCGAATCCAGACCCGCTCAAATTAATAGACACTAGACATGAGGACGACTCTTTTGGATTGAACTCCTTTCTTTTGGGATAGCATCTCTTCAAATTCAAAGACATTATTCAATTTCACACTCTGCGATCCGGTGCCCTGCCACGAATTGACATACTTCCTACATATCGTTATTGCAGCGAAATCATGTTTCCCCCAAGGCGTGCTCGTTTCCCTGCGCGGCTGCGCCCCAGTGCCCGATCATAGAAAGCCCTCACTTCTTCTCGGCTGGTTTGCGTCCCAGCTTCTCCAACAGTGCAATCAGCTCCGGCCCTCTCTCCTTGTGGGCTGGATGGTCGAGGAAATACTTGGGCAGCGGCGCATACTTGTTTGGAGGAGGATTCCCCCACGTTTTCAGCAACCATTCGGCTGCCAGCTCTTTGTTGCCGAGCCAGCTCTGGGGAATCCACCTTGCCCATGGGCCGTCGCGCTCCTCGTTGTTGGCGAAGTTGGCCCCGCCAGGTGCGAAGGGCCAGCGACGCTTGATGGGTGAAGGGGGGAGGTGATGTGCTTTCTTGGAGTATTTTGCATGGGGCCAATGCTTCTGAAAGCGGTGGACAACGGCTTGGTTGAAATCAATGAGTACCACGCTACCGTCACCCTGGACCATGACGTTCCGCGGTTCCAGATCCCCGTGTGTAACTTCAGCGTCCCACCAAATCGAGATCTCGGCCTCAAACGTCCTCTTCAGGACATGGAGACGGAAGCTCTCGTCAGGTAACAGGTCGTACCGAACTGCGCCGTCTTTGGTGGCCCTAAGAATCTTGTCGAACACGGTTTCACCAGGCACGAGCTGAAGGAGGAGCATGCGCACCCATCGCCGGCGGCCGGGCTCATCGGTGGCGACCGAGAATGTCCAAGCACCGTGGTAATCGGGGACAACCTTGGCACCGACAGTGGGAACGGGCTGTATGGTCTTGTAAGCCCAGGCCTCGACGGCGTAGTCGGCATCAGCGAGCGTCATGAAGTCCCAGCCCATATCCGGATCCTCGAACGGGTAAGAAAGGCCGTCGTAGATTTTGGCCACATATGACACGGCTTTGTTTTGACCGAGATGGCCGGTAACCACATGGGCGCCGCCGTCATCAATCCCGACACGCCGCAAGGTTTTCGTGCCGGTGATGGTAAAAGTGTGCTCAGTCACGGATGGCGGCGGGGGCGTTTCCAAAGGCGGGTACTGAAGAGCGAATGGAAGACGTTGGGCGGGCACATTATCTGGCCAAACCGACACTTGGGGTCGCGGGTTTGGTCCATAGGCACCGCCAAAGGGTTCTGGTGGGACATGGGCCCGAATGCGAAACTGGGCACCCGCCTGGTATGGTATGGAGGAGGAGTGAGTTGTTGTACCTGAGGCCATGGCGGGAGGGATATGAATGAAAGGCAGTTGTAGTTGACCTGGGCGTTCGTAGAGAGGAGAGACGATGGTTGAACTTGGCGGCAAAATGGAGTGATAAAAGGAGAGGGAAAGAGAGAGAGGTACAGAGAGAGCGAGGGAAAGCGAGAGAGGGAGGGAGAGAAAGTGATCACCCTCAACTTGGGTGTCCCGTCAGGCTTACGCCGGCCAAGTCGCGCCGGTTTGTAGCTTGTTGGTTGACTTGGTTTAGGTTAAGTTGCCCGTTCGTTGCCTTTTGTTCAACCAGCGGAACCGAAACCCCCTAAGACGGTAAGGATTGTTACGGCAGAGGACACACGGAGAAAATGATTATTCTGTGCCTTTTCCCTCTTCTCCTTTCATCTCTTCTCTTTCCTTTATTATTATTATTATTATTGGGGTTGCTTTTTCTTTTTAGTTTGTTTTCTGTTCTGTTCTTGTCTTGGGTTGTTGGAACGAACACTGCCCTCGCGAACCCAACGAGCGGCAATGTATGTATGTACTTACGTTGCGATGGCGATAACTGCCTACGTACCTACCTACGTAGTTACCTACTCAGGTACCTTAGTTATTTGATTTATTATTGATAGATCGAGAATGCCTCAAGCAGCTTACTACCATCAGTTAACTTGTGACTCGGTAATCGAGAAACTGGACGCGCTCACCTACCTCCTTTGATTTCAACATTTCATTCCCAGAATTAAGTTGTATTGTGTCGTTGCGCAACTTAACCTCGCCCTGTCCCTGCCTCGGATTGTTTCCCGGGTGACGTCGCGTTCTCGATTCTTGGGTGCCCCACCGACTTTTTAAATGTTTGCCCGCGGCGTGGTACTTGGCCGAACACGACCTCGGGGCGCGTGCGGAATGCCATTGACGACAAACACCAATCAACCAACCCCTGTCCCAACCCTCTGGCTCTCCGTCGCTGTCTCGCGCCCGCGATCAGACATTCCCTCTCTTATCCATTGCGCAGAAACTCCAACCAACGCGTCGCACAGCCCCCGGCGCAACCTCCCGTCGAAAGGATCTACACGCATCCACCCGCGGCAACCGCCCCTTGCGGTCCGGCGCGCGCGCCACAATCGATCGTCACCAGGCCGACCCCCCCGTTCGCGGCAAAAGAAGTAAAAGGAACCAAAAAAGATAAAACAAAAAAAGAATGAAATCTTCGCACACCCCCTCGGCGTCGGACGCCTCCCAACCGCCGGTGCCCATCTCCATCACCATCTGCGGCGACGGCGGGTGCGGCAAGTCGTCCATCACGCTGCGGCTGGTCAGGAGCCAGTGGACGAGCGACTACGACCCGACGATCGAGGACAGCTACAGCGTGACGCGGCGGCTGGACGGCGCCGTGTACCACCTGGCGCTGACCGACACCGCCGGCCAGGAGGAGTACCGCGGCATGTGGGCGTCGTCCAACCTCGGCGCCGACGCCTTCCTGCTCGTCTACGACATCACCGCCCCCGACTCCCTCGACGCCCTCGACTACTTCAACGAGCTGATCGACATGGAGGCCGAGACGCGGCTGGACAACGCCGAGCGCGCGCGGCGCGCGGGGCTCGCGCACATCTCCCCCAGCCTGCCCGACGCCAGCCGACCCAGTCACCACCACCACCGCGGCTCCGGCGGGGCCGGCTCCGGCGGCAAGACGGTGGCGCCGGTCAAGATGGTGGCGGGCAACAAGTGCGACCTGGCGGAGAGCCGGCGGGTGGGCGCGGCCGCGGGGCTGGAGTGGGCGCGCAAGCGCGGCTGCGGCTTCATGGAGACGAGCGCGCGCCTCGAGGTCAACGTCGAGGAGACCTTCGCGCTCATCGTGCGCCGCGTCGAGGAGGCCCGCCGCCGCGCCGAGACGGGCGCCGCCGACGCCGAGCTGGCCGCGAATAGCCGCGGCATGACCAAGCCGCTGACGCCGCTGCCGCCGGGGGATGATTCTGATGAGAAGGCTGGTCGCGGTTGTGGTGGTGGAGGTGGTGGGGAGAGGGGGCCTGGGGTGAGGGGGCCGAATATTGAGGGGGATGATCGCGTGGGGAAGGGCGAGGGCCGGTTCTGGAAGAAGTTGCGCTGCTGGTAGGGCCGGCTGTGCCGCGGGGCTGGGGGTCGCGGGGGTGGTGTGAAGCGTGTCAAGATAGTGAAATCCGATATCAGGCTCGTGAAGAGGGTTTCGGTATTCCGGGGTGGGAAGGATCTTTGATGGTTTGTAGGGAGTTGGGAACATGCTTTTGGGTCGGAGCTGGGAAGCGCGCGATATACCACGGTTGGCTGTGTTCTGGTTGGGGGGGGGAGGGGGGCACCATGATCTATTTTTCCCTTGGCTGGAGTTGTCGGGTCCGTCATTGTAACGATATCTCATGGCGTTGTTGGACTTAATGACAAAGAGGAGCGGCCTTCATTTGGGTGGGCGAGGTTCAGCGGTGGCATGTTTTGTTACCTTGTATTGATTGTGAGATTCTCGCCTGTGGTATTCTGCGTGAGGGACAACTGCAATCTTGAAACTTCTGGCTCTATCGCCCTGTATTATGGAATTCTAAAGCACGGGAGGTAAAAAAACATGAGATGAGATCCTTCCTGTGGGAACTTGTTAGCCGCGGGCGATGGGCATGGGCCTCTGAAAACGAGGTATGCGCTCACAAGCCCAATTCCCCTGGTCCCAACCATTCCGGACTCGAGCAGCCGTTTACCTCAAGCCCAACCCAAACTTACCATTTAACCCTTTACCCAAACCGTACTCCTCAAACCAGAACCGTGTATTACCATGAACCGCCACCCCACCCCTACTCCCCGGATGCCTCCTCTAAACCCTCTAAGCCGACAACTCCATCCCCTCCAACCCCGTTGAGAACACCGCCCCGCCATCACTCCTCAACCCCGTCCACCCAATCCCGCCACCTCTTAAACTCGGCATACTCCAAGCTCACCTTCTTCCCCTGGTAGCGCACAACATCGAGCTTAATCTCGGCCCACCTATCCTTCCTTCCAACCCAGCCAGCCTTGCGCATCAAGCTCACCAGCGTCTCCTCCTTGGTCCAGCCCTGCTCCACAGCAACATCAGGCAGGTAGGTGGCGCCGTAGCGGCGGCCGTGGTGGTGGAACGAGATGCGCAGGCCGTGGGTGCCGAGCTCCCAGTCGGCGGGGTCGGCGGCGGGCTCGAAGTCGGTCAGCAGGGTGACGGCGACGGCCAGCGACGGCAGCTCGGCCGCGCGCACCGCGTGGAACCGCGTGTCCTGCGTCGCCGAGATCACCGCGTACGACGACAGGCCGGAGTCCAGCTCCTGCGCCTCGAACGTCCCGATGCAACCCCGCAGCGCGTGCTCGCCGCCCCGCTCCGATACCGTGTTCCACGTCACGAAGAGCGGGGATTCCGTGGGCGGTGTGGGGCCGTCGTTTTCTTCTTCTTCTTCCTCCTCGCCTGTGGCGGGGATGGATGAGGTGGAGGTTGCCGGGGTGTCGGCGCCGAGGGAGAGCGTGCTGTTGGAGGCGGAGGAGGTGCCTGAGGAAGAGGAGTCTTCGGTCACGCGGCGGAGCGCGGGTAGGCGCTTGGATAGCTTGCTGCTGTCGGCGGGAACGTCTCCGGTGCTGTCATCTTCGACGGAGCGGGAGTACTCGGCCCACGACTTGTGCACCTCGGCAAGGGTCATGGATTTGCGTTTCTCAAGGTGGGCGGCTAGAGCCTCAAAGCAGAACAAACAGTGCACGGTGGAGGCCATGATGACGTGGGTGGGCTTGGTCGTGTCGCTTATCGCGGCGGAGGGAGTGAAGTGACTTTACCAGGTCTAAAAAGACCAAGATGGTGGTTTGAAGCGACGACGACACAAGCCAACCCCGGATATGCCGGGAAACGCACGGATTGAAGTCGAGATATGTTGGAGGTGAAGGAGGGGCAGGAGGGGTAGGAGGGGCAACCGGAGGAAGAAGCGTCGAGGTGTGGGGTGGGCGGAGCTGGTCGGCCGTCAAGGTGGTGCGGGGCAGGGCTGGGCTTCCATTGCGGGCAAGGCGATGCCAAGACCACGCTTGTCTTGGAGCTATCGCCCCACCAGCCTTGCCGATAAGACAACACTTTTGTGAGTTGGTCGACTTGCCAGTGTCGTCACAAAAAGAAAGAAGATTTCTCCAGAAATGTCAAACCGAAGTTCTTGCGATTGCAGCTAGAAGTATTTGCTCATACCTAAAATCATCCCTCGGTGGGCGCATAGGAAACGAGGCACTATGTAACCAATATTCTGTACAGGCTGGTGGATTATCCTTGCATCCCGCATTTCTTATCCTTTCTTTTCTGTAGGAGAGAAAGTCAATGAGATAACGTTTTCTACGATGCTCCCGAATACCAAACCATATGCGACTTGTTTAAAAGTAGAGCGAGCTCATCGATTTTGGAGGAATACTAGGCGCATCATGAATGGCACATTCAGCCCTTCCAAAGTTCCAGACCCTTTGCGCGGCGGAGCGCGGTCCGCTGTAGATCCAGCTGTCAACAGCTGCTGCCAGCCGAGTCTCTTCAAACAACATCACAGCCACTTGTTTCACCCTCTTCTCCCCTCATGTCCCCCGCCAACAACAAACACTCCTGGTTGCCACCGGCGCGTCATGTTTCGCGGGCAGGAGACAGGCCGTTCTGGACTCTGGGATCCTGCGACACGGAAGCAGGGATCCGTCCCGGACTTCTCAAACACCTGGGGACGGGTTTTGCGCCTTCCGACTGCACCTTCTCACCGAAGCGCGGCTCTTTCCAATGCAACACCCCGACCAAGCCACTCTGCCGGTTTCACCCCCCTGCCCCAAAAGCTTCGCGGGCCTGGCCCCCGCCCGTAGACCTCTCCAGACCTTTCGTCCCAAAAATTTAAGCTCGTTTTGCCTGCCAGGGGCATTCAAGCTTAACGGTGGCCGCGTAGCATCCAGCGCGACTACACAGCACATCGTGGGTTAGCGGCCTAGGCTGCGTGCACTGGAAGTCCAGATTGTTACCGCGCCTCGGTGTCTCAGATGGACATCGGTTTGAGCGAAGGCTCACTTCCTGCTTTTCTCGCGTCATCGAAACACCAGGGTCGATTGAAACCCCAGGGCCTTGGAAGACCTTCCTGGGAACTCTGACCGGGCTGTCGAAGCTGGGAAGTGATCATCTCTCTTGGTATGCGTTCCTGAAACGTCTTTTGTCTATCAGGCATTGCGGATCCTGATCGTCGAGCTGCCGCCTGAGCATTCAAGTACTTAATGCCGCCGAACTTGGCCCATCCTGTCTTCTACTTTTTTCATACTCCAACGCCCTTCTTTCCAACTCTTCTCTTCCACATCCAGACCGCAGTTCTTGCTCGTCGCCGGCCGACACATTCGTTTCTTCCTTCGTACATATTCATCACACTGAAGCAAGCCCTTCCGCATCTTAATCAGTCAACATGAAGTTCACCATTGCCACCGTTCTTGCTTTCGCCGCCATGGCCCTTGCTTATCCGGCAACGGGGCGCGATGGTTTGTCTCCCATAACACCAAGCTGGTAGAAATGAACTTTGACTAACCTTTCCCCCCAGCGCCCGTCAAGCGCCAGGCCGCGGATATCGACGTCTCGCAGCCGGCCATGACGGACCAGACCGGGAACGTCATCCCCTTCGATGCCGCGACGGTCTACCAGGACGCAGCCGCCAAGGGTATCTAAGCGGTCTACCGCCGCCACCCATAAGGAACGAGGCACAGCCCCCGCCGGTTCCAGTCGTTGTTCGACAGGGGTGCGTGTCCATGGACACGCCACTCGGATGCATACGATGGCCACATTCATCAACGTGTGGCCTCGATAATCAAATGGAAACATACGGGAGGGTTTAGACGGCAGCCAGCCTTGGCCGAAAGGCAAGTCTCGGCTGTTTCTGGTTGAATATTGGTCGGGAGCGGGATACAGGGAACTTTGGGAGCGATGATTTATCAATATATCCTTATTCACGGCTTGTGTCGTGGTATTTCGTGGTCACCACCATTTCCGAGGAAGAGCAATGTTCTTTCTGCCCCTGCTTGCATGTCTGACCGCTAGACAGGTGGATGGAAGGCATCGTCCCATGTCATTTCTCTCCATCCCTTGCACACAATGCTTACTGTGTAAGAAGTATTCCGTAATCCGCACACAGCCATGGATTTGTTGGTGCATGTACAACCCTAACCCCCAACCTTGAACTTCCCTTTTCACCACCGCACAGATCACCAAATGAGATCTTGGAGCTTCGGGGTGGAACCAATAAACAAAAATAACTGCAGTTGGCCGGGGCTCAGCTCACGGCGACCCCGCCAACATGCATGGGGTGGCAGCCAGCTTCTGCCCTTGGGTGTTGGCGCCTGATGAGCTGAAGGATTGCATGCCAGCTCTTCGAGGCCCTGCCTCTCTGGGCGCCACTTTTCTTTTCGTCTGACGATGGGATTTAAAATCAGACAAGTCCCCGGATTCTGACATTTTCGGGGCTTCCCTCAGTTGGCCCGGCCCGTTCCTTTCCATCTCGCCGCAGCGAGAAGTTCAGAACCGCGCCACGGGAGCGCGTTGAATGGACGGTTGGTTGAGTTGGGAGTTCGGATAAAATAACCTGTAGAGCCCAGCCATTTCACCCCACCACCCGACCATGTCGTCGTCGCTCGACCTCGACCAGGTGCTTTACGCACGCGCAGGATGGCGCAAGTCCATCTTAGTTCCGCTATGGATCTTCCAAGTCATCGTGCTGCTAGGCTTGATGGGCATCTTTGCGTACCGCCTAGCCGAGACATTCGAGCACTATGAGGAGCACAACAAGTTGGGCGAGATGCCCATCGTTGAGGTTGTGTATGTCGCCATCTGCCCGTTTGCCATTCCCTGGCCAGACTCCTACTGACACAGCCACAGCTGGGAAGCCACCAACGTCGGCTTCAACCTCATCGCGCTACTCCTCAACATCCTCGAAATCGCTCGCAAGGCTACCGAGCGGCTGACGCCCTTCATCATGGTCTGCACCCACGTCATCAAGCTCACCCTAGCGTTCGGCGTGCTCGCCCTCGACATCGTGGCCTACCTCCAGCGCATCGACGGGCACTACTCGACCATCGGCCTCTCGCTCGACTGTGGTTTACTGTACCCACCCCTCTTTTCTTACATTCACACCCCACCACCCTCTCGGTAACTAACTAACCCCCCCTCCCCCCAGCGCGGCAACCCTCATCACATTCATCTACTCCATCACCACCTACCGCCGCCTCCTCAAATACGACGAGTACGACCTCACCGCCAACGCGCAGACCCGGGGCTTCGTCCCGGGCAACGACGCCCTCGAGCTCGGCCACCAGCACCACCAGCACCACCCCAACGCCCAGACCTCGGGCATCACCACCACGCGCACCACCGAGCTGCGCTACTCGGACCTGTCCTACCCCTCGCAGACCGCCCGCACCACCCCTAGCACGACCACCACCATCGCCACCGCGCACGCCACCCCGACCCCGTCCCCCTCCGGCTCCGTCCTCAAGCGCGAGGTCGACCGCGCCATCGGCGCCGAGTTCGGCTGGGGCACGCCGCCCCCGCTGCCGCCGCCCGGCGCTGCTGGCGGTGGGCATGATCCTGCTGCTGTGAATAGATCCGACAGCGTGGTGCTGGGCGGGGGGCGCGTGGCGGTGCATCATGCGGCGGTTGGGGTTGGGGTTGGGGGGGATGGGTTGCAGAGACAGCATAGTTGGGTTACGGAAAGGGGGGTGGTGGCGGATGGGGGGGATGGGATGGATGGGATGGATGGTTATGATGATGATGGGGGGGAGGGGGGGTAGGGAGGGGATGGTGATGGGGGGGGTGGGGTTGGGTGTTAGTAATGGTGGTGGTGGTGGTGGTGGTGGGAGGGGGAGGGAGGGGGGTGGAGGGGGGCAGGGGAGAAGGGAGGAGGATGAGGAGGCGCTTTTGCCGGGGAAGTGATATCCCGTCGGTAGGGGATAAATTGTGGGAGGCTTTTCTTGGATGGGATGGAGTTTGGGGTTCTTTTTTGGGTTGGGTTGGATTCAGCGCTGGATTTAAATGGGCATGGCATGTATGGCTTTGGGTGGGTATATATGAAAAAATGAACCAAGGTAATGTCAAATCCCATGATCAAACCGGCTTCCACCACCACCACCTACACTACGCATCCCCCAACCCTACCACATCACCTCGCCTTCCACCTCACCCTCCCAACCCACTCCCCAAACCTCCGCACCTCCTCCGCGCCCAACAACCTCTCCACCGTATAATACTCCCGCGCCAGCTCCTCGTGCCCGCGGAAGCGGTGCACGAACCGGTGGCACGCCCCGCACAGCCACGCCACGTTCTGCAGCTCGTCCGCCCGGTGCCACCCCCGCTTCACCGCCTTGTCGTGCACCATCCGCGGGATCAGGTGGTGGTAGCTCAGGTTGATCCAGTCGCGCCCGCAGATCTCGCAACCCGCCGCGTCCGCTTTGGTGGAGGCCGGCGGCGGCGGGGCGGCCGTCGCGGTGCTGATGTAGGCGGTGAGCACGGGGGCGAGGAATTCGGAGGGGGTGGGCAGGTTGGAGGGTGTTGTTGTTGTTGTTGTGGGCGGTGCGGTGATGCCGTAGGTGGCGAGGGAGTCGGGGATGGAGGGGTCTAAGGTTTGGAGGAGGGTGGTGGTGCGTTCGGCGGTTAGGGGGAGCGGGTAGAGGGTGCTTGCGAAGTGGGCGTTGTCGGTCCAGGTGTGGTAGGTTAGGGATTGGAGGTCGAAGGGGAGGGTGAGGAAGGTCGAGGTCGCGATGTAGGAGGTGAAGTCGGCGAGGTCGTCTGCTGAGGGTTCGGCGTCGGTGGTGTCTGGCGAGGTTGGCGGTGGGGAGTTGGTGGGTTTCTTCTTGGAGCGCCGTTTGGGTTTGGGTTTGGGTTTGGAGAAGGGGGTGGCCATGCGCTCGATCAGGAAGGATGAGAGGATGTCGCGGAATTGCGCATAGTTGGTGATGAGTTCTTCCGGTATTTCTTCCGACATGGTGGATGGTGAGTGAGATTTAGTTTGATGTGAGGTGAGTTATAAGACTAATAGTGAAACTTAGGTTGTGTAAACATGGAAACTAAAGTGAACGACGTCAAGTTTATAAGTTGACACCCCTGAACCCCTGACCCCGACCACCCACCCCCGGCTCAGCCCGAAATGTCGATCCCGTCTCGGCCACGGATTGCCCCGCACCCGGCCCCGCCAGATTGGGTCCGGCGTACAGATCTGTCCAGCTCGGGACTGACTCACACACCGCGCTAGCAACCCCAGTCCTGGCCAGCAACAACCTACACGAACGACAGCATCAACAACCATGACGATCATCGCCTTCGACCTCTACGGCACCCTGCTCTCGACCGAATCCATCGCCGGTGAGCTCGCCAAGATTGTCGGCGATGAGCACAGCAAGACACTAGCGGCCCTCTGGCGGCGCTATCAGCTAGAATATACCTGGCGCATCACCAGCATGGGTAAGCAAGCAAGCACTCGCCTCGCGCTGAGCACCCACGTATCCAATATCAAATTCCACCACCTTCTCCCCCCTTCGCCGCCCAGTCACTCACCCACCCACTTCCCCCCCTCTCACCCACATGGGTTAACGCACCCGCCTCCTCCCCCATCCAGGGCAGTTCCAAACCTTCGAGACCCTCACACGCTCTTCCCTCGAGCACGCCGCGGCCGAGCTCTCCCTGCCCCTCACCCCATCCGACACCTCCCACCTCCTCGAAGCCTACAACGCCCTCCCCGTCTTCCCGGACGTCCCCCCAGCCTTCGAAACCATCCGCGCCCTCACCACCCCCAATACCACCCCCAATCCCACCACCACCAACCCCCCCCTACAAACCTACGCCTTCTCCAACGGCAGCCGGCACACCATCTCCGGCTGCATCCTCTCCTCCCCCGGGCTAGGCGCGTGCGCCGAGACGTGGAGCGGCTTCGTCAGCGTCGGCGACGTCGGCGTGTACAAGCCGGCCGCGCGCGCGTACGAGTACCTGCTGGAGCGGGTGCGGCGGCCGGCGCGCGAGGTGTGGGTGGTGAGCTCGAACCCGTTTGACGTCGTCGGGGCGCTGGCGGCGGGGCTGCGCGCGGCGTGGGTGGATAGGAAGGGGACGGGGTGGGTGGATCGGTTGGGGGAGGGGGTTGGTGGTGGTGGTGGTGGTGGTGGCGGTGGTGATGGTGCCGGGGGGGTGAGGCCGGAGGTGGTGGTTGGGGGGGTGGATGAGGCGGTGGGGGAGATTTTGAGGGTTGTTCATGGTTGGGGGGCGGCGTGAGGGGTGCTTGGTTGGGGTTGGGTGGTTGGGTTGTTTTGTTGTTGTAAGAATGAATTGCTTGATTGATAGGTAGGAAGGTTAAGTTCGTTTGTTCATAATACATAGGCTCAGTCCGTTCTTTAAAGTCATTACAGGTTGGTTTACCTTCACCCGGAAAGAATATCACACGATAAGAACGCCATAGCCATGCTCCAGCCCCATTACAGTACCCCCCACTCCTAGCCCGCCATCACTTTATCACATCGTCGCATTCCTCACCACCCCATCCGCCCCCTTCACAAGCAAAGGCGGCATCTCCTCCGGACTCCGCCCATTCCGATACTGCCACAGCCGACTCAGCTCCTTGACCTTGACCTTCACCCCCTCCCTCTTCCTCCTCCCCTTCAACAACAAGCTCAAACTACTCGCCCTCCTCTCCAGCACCGGACTAACACTATGCACCTCCACCTCCTCCTCATCCCCATCCCCACCCCCATCCTCGCCATCACTCCGCCCCTCCCCCTCCCCATCCCTCCCCGTCCCATCCCCCCCACCGCCCACCACAACCTCGCTCTCCATAAACTCATTCCCCTCCTCCTCCGCGCCCACCGGCACCCCATCCCCATCCCTCACCAACGCCCCGGTCTCGGCATCCCTCTGCAGGGGGAACATGCCATCGAGGTAGTGCTGCACCATCTGGTGGCCGCCGCGCAGGCTGGAGCGGGCAAAGACGCGGCCGATGAAGCGCGGGATGACCTGGGACGACGGCGCCGAGGTCGCGAAGTGCAGGACCCCCCAGAGGGCGACGAAGTCGGTCGTGTGCGCGTAGTGCTCGATGTGCCCGATGGCGCGGTCGGAGAATTGGGAGGGGTGCGGGGAGGTGGTGGAGTCGGCGAGGGATGGCTGTCTGGTGGTGACGGGTGGTTTGCGTCTCGGGTTGTTGTTGTGCTGCCCGTTTCTCTTCGTCGTGGGTGCGGTGGTGGTGGGTTGGGGGTTGGTGAATGGGTCTGCGTCCGAGGAGCTGGAACTGGAGCTGTAGTCGGATATGGGTTGGGACTTGGGTTGGGGTTGGCGGAGGCGGGGGACCGGGGCCTTTCGGTCGTCGTGTGCCAGCCGGATAGAGTCGATACACGCCGCGAGCGGGTTGCGCCTAGCCAGATTCTGTGTGCGGATATGGCGGTGCGGGTTGTTGAAGTGGTTGGCGGCGTTGCCGAAGGTGTACACTTCCAACTTGGAGAGGAGGTCTTGGGGGAGTTCCTGAAGCAGCCAGTCCAGGATCAGGCTGCCCTCGATGCCGCCCTGCGAGTGAAGCACGAAGATGACTTTGGAGTACTGTGGGTTGTACAGCTTCTGCTTGATTATTTGGTAGCAGACGCGCACGTCCTTGGTAGCGTAGCCCCAGTTACGCTGGATAAGGCACTCGACAACGTCGAACAGGATGCCAGAGCTGTATGTGGTAAGCATAGGGCATCAGAGGGTTAGATTAAACTGAGAGCCTCACGTCTTGTTGTGGATACCAAGAATCGGCCGCTTGAATGTGACGGCCAGACGGTTGAGGTTACCCTGCATCCAATGTGACCTGGCCCGAGTTAGTCCAAGTTCCGTAGCGGGATTCTGGCAACCTACCCTGCGGCCACCCCGTTGATGTAGATCCACTGCTCGTGGGCATGCTCGGGTAGTTCTGGCGCGTACTTGGGATCTGAGTGATATTCGACTTCCTTGCCGTTGAGTAGCGCGTACAGGAGCTTGTTGGCTAGGAAAAAGAGGCCAACGAGCAGGATGGCGGTCCAAACTGGCAGTACAACCAAAGCTGGGAGGGCTACAAGGCCAGCCAGCTGCACCACGCACAACACAACGTGTATAGCAATGGCCCAGGCATTTCCCCAGGTAGGCGAGAGTTCGCTCAGCTCGGCCGAGTCAGCGGGTGAGAGAGGCCACAAGATGTAAGGGATAGCCCAGAAGAACTTGAAGAAGTTGTAAATATCCCATGCCATGAGCTTCCACGGCATGTCGGTGTAGCCATAGTTGATGACGGATCGGCCTCCAATCTGGGACCCAAAGAATCGGATATTGTTGCTGTTGGGTTTGTTGTTAAGGTCGGGGTTGGTGTTGGTGTTGGTTGTGGTTGCCCCTGGCCTTGTCGGCGGTGGTGGGGGTTGTGCGGCTTGTGCCATGGTTACCTCGGTTGGTTTCCTCCACAGCAGGTAGCTTTCCTCGCCTCGACCCGCGACGGGCGATGAGCAAGTGGGATACTACCCGATATTTAAAGTTTCAAGTTTCGAGTTTCCAGTTGGTGGCCGTGCCCAGACGGGAGTCTCTTGACCCTGCTCACATGGCGGGTCTATAGGGTGTCAGCAGGATGGCTGAGGAGGCTTGGCGTCTCCGAGACACCATTCTGTTGCCTGGAATGGTTACGATTGGTGGCTAGGCGATTGTCCACAGGGCTGAGGGCGCTCCCGAGACGCTAAATGCAACCGCTGGTCGAACCAACGGTGTGCCATGCCAGCGGCAGTCGCGATCGCACAAATCACGCGTGCCTGCCATTCCGCTTTGCCGTGCCAGCCTCCAAGCCAAGACTAATTCATGGGTCAAGTTGTCCAAGCTGCACCGTGACACGCGATCGTGCGCTCTCCAATTGAACACCATTTTCAGTGTTCGATCCTCGGTAGGGAGTCGGTGTGGACGGGACTGCTGTAAAGATCCATGCGGGAAAACGGTGTTGCTCATCGCTCATTCCCTTTCAATATGTCTCTGCGGCCTTCTCGCTCGCTCCTGTCACAATATCATAGTATATTGAAAGAAATAAAACCATCAACCTCACAAAGCTCCGATCACGATGTGTGAGGTTCGACTTGTAAGGTTTGATCGGGTATCAAGATCAGGGTTGGGGTTAAGCATGGAGGTCACCATCCGATAAGATAAACATTCTCCACCATAACTTTTTTACGATGCAGCGCTTCCTCTCTTCAACCTCGTTGCCGACTCGAAATAATCCACCAACAAATTACACCATGGGAAAGAATAGGAAATCCAAGAGGCAGCTGGTCCGCGACGAGAAGCGCGCCAAGAAGCGCGACCGCGATCTCGCCGATGACGAAGAGCGTTCCGCAAAGCGCCAGCGCCACCACGACGATGCCGCCGACGCCGACAACGAGTTCGCCCAGTCCAACGACTTCTACACTCTAGACCCCAATGCCGACTACATCCCCTTCGACGACGAAGAGCAACCCCAAAATGCGGCCCCGACCCACCACGACCGCGGCGGCAACTTCGAGCGCGAGTTCTTTGGCATGCTGGCCGAGGAGGAACAGGAATACTTCCGCCACGCCGACGAGTTGCTCGAGCTGAACGACTTTCCCTCGCCCGAGGACCGCCACGTATTCCTGCAGAGCGTCTACCGCGAGGCACGCGGGAAGGAGCTCAAACTGGCCAGCAGCCAGTCATGCTCGCGCCTCATGGAACGTCTGATCCTGTTGTCGGACGCTAGGCAGAAGAAGAGCCTGTTCGGTGCCTTTGGGGGGCACTTCATGACGCTCGTTACTCACCGCTTTGCGAGTCACTGCTGTGAAAAGCTGTTCCTTATGAGCGCGCCGGTCGTGACGGCCGAGTTGAGCGGGGAGGCGGACAATGATGTGGAGATGGGGGAGGCAGATGAAGAGATCGCGGCCGAGGTTGCGGAGGCCATGAAGACGTCCATGGAAGATTTATTTATGCTGACGCTGGACGAGTTCGAAGAGCACCTCTCGTTCCTGTTGTCGGATCGGTACGGTTCCCATGCGCTACGAGTGCTGCTGGTCGTGCTGTCGGGGAGGCCACTGGCCCAGGCGGGGACCAAGTCGCTCCTCCAGGGCAAGAGCAAGGAGTACATCACAGTGGAGGGCGCATATTCCATGACGAGCGAGCTCAATTCGCAAGCTAGAACGGTGCCGTCGTCATTTTCCACGGCGATACAGAAGATTATTGGCGACGCAACGGCTACTCTGGATTCGACGGCGCTGCGGGTACTGGCAAAGCATCCCACCGGTAACCCTACGCTGCAACTCTTGCTAGAGTTGGAGCTGTCCTTGTCTGCAAAATCGAAAAAGGCACCTCCGCCAAAGAAGGAGGACGGCGACAAGGCAGCCGAGGGCGAGAGCGAGAGCAAGGACGCCGCAGTATCGCTGCTCGAGAGGCTTGTTCCAGATGCCCCCGCCTCCTTCAGCGACGATAAGTCGCAGGCGTGCGAGTTTGTCAACGGCATGCTCTATGACCCCATTGGGTCGCGCCTCCTCGAGACTCTAATTGCCCATTGCCCAGGCAAGATCTTCAAGGGCATCCTGGCCAACATCTTTGGACCTAGAATCCAGAGCCTCCTCCGGAACGACATCGCCTCGTACCCGGCCATCAAGGTCTTGAACCGGCTAAGCAAGGAAGATCTTGCTGACGCCGTGCAAAAATCACTACCCGAAATCCCATCATTCGTTGAGAAGGGCCGACTCAACGTCATCAAGACCCTCTTCGAGCGCTGCAATGTACGCGGCGCTACCACCGAGCTTGGCACTCTTCTCCAGGCCCTCACAACGGCATGCGGCGGCAACTGGAAACACATTGTTCCGAAGCTCTGCCTCCTCGCCGAACCCGAACCAGAACCCGAATCCAAGGAAAAGAAGTTCCAGACGCCCGAGGCCAAAAACAAAACAGCCCTCCTATCCCACGGCAGCCAAGTCGTCTCATCCCTGCTCACCATTCCCGGTCAGACCACCAAAGCGGTCCAGAACTCCCTCCTATCCCTCACGCCACCCCAGCTTCTCCGCATGACCACCACCTCGGCCGCGACCGGGACCATTCTTACCAAAGCGCTCGCCACCGCCCCTCAGATCCCGCACTTCCACAAGCTCCTCGTTGCAGGGCTGCTCCCTAACATCTACGCCATCGCCACCTCCCAGCACGGCAACGCTCTCGTCAACGACATCATCTCGGTCCCGTCCAAAGGCGATGGCACGATGGCGGTCGTGCCATTCCATCTCAAGGAGAACATCATGGCCCAGCTGGCGGGGCACGAGCACGAGCTGCGCGAGTCGTGGCTCGGGAGAAACGTATGGCGTACGTGGCGGGGCGATTTATGGAATCATCGACGTCACGACTGGGTGAGGTGGGCGAAGGAGACCGATCCCGAGGAGGCCCGAGTGGCGGCCATGCCGAGGTTGAAGAGTGAGGGGGACGAAAAGAAGGCGGGGCGGGGGGCGGGGAGCGCGAAGCACGAGGTCGAGAGGGAAGATGAGATGATCGAGGACGATGTGAGGAACGTTGAGAATGGGGCGGGAGCCGAGGTCGACGTCAACAGCGGGGATGAGGTCGAGCACGTGGTGGAACACCTGGTTGCCGACGACGTACAAGACAAGAAAGCCAAAAAGGGAAAGAAGGAGAAGAAGGACAGGAAGGAGAAGGAGAAGAAAGACAAGAAGGACAAGAAAGAAAAGAAGGCAAAAGGTGAAAGCGGCGATGGGAAAGTAAAGGAGAAGAAGAAAAAGAGGGATAAGGAAAAGGCAACTGACGAGGCGGAAGTGTCTGCTTAGCAGCCTTTGACCTGAAGCTGTAGATGTTAGTGAGATAGGGCATGATACCCAGAGCGCGCCCCTAAAGAAGACACACAATCAATATTGACTATGCTCGTCATGGCACCCACGCCGTCCAGGAACGGCATTGTACATTGAAAGCCAGGAAGTAGTCTTCTGTGCAGACTTTCAATGCAGCAGGACACATCCGCCGGTCGGGTGCAGCATGACATAGCCAGTCCTTTGGTTTCCTTTGACCTTGCGGCTAGGACGCATATACCGCGTGGGCGGCTTGCAGCCCCCATGTCGTCGAGCTTGTCGGTTCTTTCACTCAAGCCCGGATCCTTCCCCGTCTGCGCCTCCCACGCCTGTTCACAACAGGCCCCGACTCACGAAGGTGAGCGCCGTTGAGGCCTCTACCAGTCCGTGTCGGCTGGAGTGGAACAGCCAATGGCCATTACCGGTAGAGGTCTTTGTTTGGGGACGAAGATTGTCTTTTTAAGACCGGCCGTTGAGGAAGGTCAAGCAAGACCTTCCCTAGTGGAGGATAATATAACACAATCATCTAGCTGAGGTCAGATACTGGACATGGGTATAGTCCATCATCATCATCATCATCATCATCATCAACATCGACGACACATTACCTGCCCATCGACTACAAACATCTTACTATTCACACCCGGCCCCCCTCAAACCCTACTACATACCACACCCAGCAGAGCTCATCCCCCCACCCCCCCTCCTCTCTCCCTCCTCTTTAACTCATCACCCACCACCTACCAACCAACGATGCCCCGGTCAGGCTACGATGTCTCCGGCTTCAGCAGCCCAGGTCCCATACCCCCCCGAGCCAGACATAACAACAACGACGGCTGGAAGCAAGACCGGGAGCGGGAAGGGTGGCGGAGGTGGAGGTGGGAGCGGAGGTGCTGGCGCTGGCGCTGGTGCGAGGGTGAAGGCGATTGCGCAACAAGGGGTCGGTACGTCTTCCCCCTCCGATGCTTGGTGGTTGTTGTTGGGGCTCGTTGCTGATGATGCGTGCGTGTCTTCGTTAGATGACAAAGATGGTTCAGAGGGCGAAGGGGAGATAGCGCGGTGTTTTCGAGGCGGGGAGGTCGGGGGTTGAGGTGGCTGGGTTGGATGACACTGTTGATGGGATGGTTGGGTGTGGTGGTCGGGGTTGGCTTGGGGGACCGGGTGCTTCCCCGGAGACAGGAGCCGCAGTTCAGGAGGGATCCATGTTGTCGGGGTGGGAGAGAAACACCAGGGATGGCATCGCCCATATGCTGAGGAGGAACGGTGATGGATGGCAATAGCTCTCGGATAGAATATCTAGAGAGGTAGGAGAGGGAAAGGGTCCGAGATAGGGGTAAGACCCTTATAAACGTTCGACAAAGAAACGTGTCATATTGCTCCCCCCCATTGCCACAGCACCAAAGGTTCGGGTCGTGACGTCTACAATCTGACGATGATTCACCGAAGGTATGTGCCATCACCTATAATGGTGGTGGAATGCTGCTCTCCTGCTTACCACCCTATCGATCAAATACGTAGCCTCCCATCCTCTTTTTCGCCGCATTTTTACTCCCAAACCCATTGAATACTCCGGCTTCCCCTTTCTCTCTCTTGTTCTCCATTCCGTTGCTCCAAAACCTAGCAAATACTCCGGCCTCTCTTTTCTTCCTACGTTGATGAAACTCCCTTTTCGTCTTTCGTATATCGATAAAACTTCCCTTTCTTGCATTAATAAAACCCCTTTCTCATGCCTTGATGAAACTCGTCTTCTTGCGTTGATGAAAGTGTCTGTTTTAGCCCCCAACAGAAGCATGTCCTTCTGTTGCTATTATCCCGACTTACACCCGACCGGTATTCTCACAACAAAGATTCCAGAACGTCCTCAACCGACCCTCGTGTTCGAACCACATCCCAACATGACACTTCACAGGACTAGTGATGTCGATTTAATTCCATTATTCATTACTCCTATGACTACTAATTAAACAGTTACCCGTTCGACGCCATTTTCATAAACCATACCGACCCCAACCCATACCAACTCCAGTCCATACCGACTCCAGCCCATGCCGACCGATGACCATACCGACCGATGACCGATGCCCGATGAAACACCAAGAAACGCTGCCAGATGAGACACCAAAAAAGCCAGAACCAAACAACCAAAGAAAATCGGAACCAAAAAGCAGAGTCCAATCTCGGTACTTTTCGCACAGTTTTCCCCGTTCCCCAAACTCCCCAGTAATTTTGACCCCCCTCCATCTCACCACACCACACCACACACCACACAGCATCTTCCAACTTCACACACCACACAGCATCTTCCAACTTCACACCTCGAACTTCACATCTTCCAACTTCACACCTCGAACTTCACACCTCGGACTTCACACCTCGACTCCCAACGCCGGGGCAGCATCCCCATCGAAGTTGAGCCAAGAAGTCCACAACTCGCTCGGCGTCTCGGCCGCGCCGTTAGCGTCGTTAGCAGGAGGGTTGGCGATGCCGGCTCCGTCAACGCCATCGGTGGCCGTCACGGTCAATGCCGATGCCGACAAGATATCCGGATCGATCAACGACAGGCCGTCGGAGGGGTGCTGCGCGGGTGTGTACGCGGGTGCCTGCGCGGGCTCGAAGGCCGGGAACCGGAACTCCTCCAGGGTCGACGGCAGCGACTGGTTGAGGAAGCGACAGAGTTCGTCGACGCCGCCACCGTTGCCGATATTGCACAGCCCGCGGAGCTCGCGCAGGTCGCGCTCGAGCACATCCTCGTCATCGAGATGCCCGCCATCGAAGTTGCCGCCATTGAGATTGGCGCCATTATGATTAACATTATACGAGAAATACAGCTCCTGCCCCTCGGAGCCATTCCCGCCGTACGCCGCCGCCGCCGCCGCCACCATACCGGCCGCCATGTGCGGGCTCTGGCCACGCACCTCCGGCGGGGACATGGAGTGCGGGGTGCGCAGGCCGGTGTGGAAGCCGTCTGCGCCGTGGGCGGACGGGGGCGGGGGGTACGGGACCGACCCGGCGGGCGAGGCGGACGCGATGGACGAGATGGGAGAGGGGGGATGGGCTGGGGTGTGGGCGTGGACTTGGGCCGGCCCGAGCATGGGCGCGAGTACGGGCGCGTGCTGCTGGAAATGCGGAGCGTAGCCGCCGCCCACGGCTGGCGAGAAGGGGTCGGAGTAGTTGCGCCGGTGGCTGTGGGGGTGGGGTCGGGACGGTTGCTGGTGTTGCTGCCCCTCTTGGGCGGCGACGCGGTCCGCGTTGAGCTGGATGCCGGGGAAGGCCCTGGCGAAGAGGGCATCGACCGCGTCGTAGTTGTCGATGGGGGGTTTGGAGGGGATTCCTACGGGACAGCTGGAACGACGGGGCTTCTGCTCCTCCTCCTCGCTCTCGTACTGCTCGTCGCCCATAACTGCTTGGGCCGTGACCTTGAGCCCCTTGCCGGTTCGAAGCTTGTGGCAGTCGGACGCTTTCCTCGCAGACTCCATGCGTTGTCCAAGGGGCCTGTCGGCCCTGCGCGAGGCGGCGATGTACGCGCGCTCCCTGTTCTCCTCATGGGTCCGAACAGTCTGTGTCGGGTGAGAGTGTTAGGGGAGGTCAGTGAAGAAGTGGGAGAAGAAGGTCCTGGTACCTTTTTGACCGGCTGCTCTGCCAGATCGCTGGCCGGCGACGGGGATAAGGGTCGTTTCATAACTCTGGAAATGGTGGTAGAAAAAGCTAGGCGCTGGGATAGCGGACAATATTCTTTATCTTCAGGTTCTAACCGAGATTCTCGCGAGAAGCTAGGTGTGTGCCCGGTACGGTAGGACGTTGTCAGTGTTGCAGCGATTGAGTGGTGATGTGAGTTCAAGATGGGCTTTGAATTCGGGTCGAAGAAGAAATGGCAGTGGAAAAGTCGGCAAACATCGGCAAACACCAGCAAACAAAGGGATGGGGGGGCGCTTTTGTATGAGAAGCCGGAACCTGGCTCTTTCCTCGGAGCTTAGGTAGCTTCTCTGAGCTTCTGCGGAAAAACCAGGGATGGACACTGCAAAAATGGGAGGGAAGCGGCCGATTGCATGTTAGGCACCCAGTTTCCATGTGAAAGTGATTGGAACAACAACTGTCCTCCCAATCCCCCGCTAGTTGCCGCTTTCCCGCTCTCTCACTGCTTCCCCAATCTATCGAAATGGGAGGTCGCGATCGGTAGGGGAGCGTTGCGATCTCGATCAACAAGCCCCGCCCTGTGCCCGTTACGTCAACCTGGGTCCTTTAGCGGGGTGAGGGTCCAGGCCTTCCCAAGCTGCCAAGCCCATCTGGGCACTTGGCCACAACCCACATGCCCAGGTAACACTTGCTTGCCTCCAGCTGCACGGCCTTCTACGGCCCTTCTGAAAGGTTGAAACTGTCCGGCGAGTTGGCAATTGTCGGATGAATCGGTCCCTCTGATGGATAGGACTTCCTTGTACATTCTCGAGCACCAAATGTACTATACTGGGTTTAATCAAGTTGAGAGGTTGACTTCGGACAGGTTGGGGGGTCGCATCGGACGCACGTTTACGCTAGACCTGCATCCCATAACCTCGCCCACCTCGCCCACATCGCCCGCCGATGGTTCTAGGCCCTTCCGGCACCTGCATGTCAGGCTCGGCGTTCACTCCGGCGCAGAAGCCCCTCAGAAGCACCGTTCCCTCAACCGCAGGAGAAGCTCCGGCCAACCGCCAATCCTCAGCTTGGAGCCACCGATCAAGCAGGGGATGGCACCCATTAACCAATTGGGTTATGACAGCTTTTCTACGTCATTCTGACGCTTGCAGGACCGCTTTCTCCCTTTGGCATGTCGTGAATTCGGTGAACTTGAACAAAGAACAGAATTGGGGCTCGGAATTGACCGGTCGACCCATCTCCCCCGCCCATCCTAACGGAAGTCGTCAAAGGTGGGGCAAACCGGTGTGCAGATGGGATCCCTGGCAAGCTGGCACGCCGACCACCCGCCCGAAAGTGGTGCCACTGTTGCTTGCGCTTAATGCACGGGGAGCCCGAAACTCGCTATGCGCAGTCGATGTGTATATAAGTGCTATAAACGCCCAGGAGAGCTAATGCAACCTGTAATTATAATCTGAACCCGTTATCTGAGTGCGCTACCCAGGCTAAAGATTCGGCCGAAACATCTCTCGACAGACCTAGCGCTGAGCGATGCGAGGCGGGGTCGAGAAGTTCGACACACCCATCGACAACCTCCTCGCCCTGTACGTCCCCCTGTGACGTCAGCGGGCACAGGACGGCTGCAGGAGCAAGAAGCAATTGAATGGAAAACTTGGAGGCTGCTCATAAATGAATATGCAGATGATCGAAGCTCTCTGTTCTCCGTGTCTCCGTCTTTTACCGGAGCTTTTCGCCCGGTCGCACGGGAGCATTGGGAGCGCATCGCCTTCGTCAAACGCCCCGCCTGCCCACCTCAGGTACCGACGAGCCAACCGTGCCAACCCGCTCTCTGGGATGCAGCTTCCAAGGATGCCCCGCTCTTTTGCTTGGTCGAATCTCCACCTTGACCAGAACAAACGGCAAGGTTGAGCATTCGCATTCCCTGACTTCCTGCCGACCTGTCCGAAGGATACCTGCAGCAAACCCAAACGAGCGATTGAGATCGAGCTAATCTTCCATGAAAATAGCAATTGTCGCGGATACGGCACGGCCATAGCTCCTGAGACGAATATCGACTCAATGAAAAAGAAAGTTGGGCAAACAACGTTAGAGTCCGGGCAGGCCAAGCTTCGTGGAATTCCCATGTCGGCCCCGCATGGGATTCCACCATGCAGTTGCCAAGTGCGCCGCGCGCTTGTTCGTTTACCTTACCCGAGGCCTTGCCGTTTTGGATGCCGCCAAGGCTTCCTCCACGGAGGACGTTGGAGGCATGTTTGGCAATCTCGATGCCCAAACTTGGTCAGCGACTGAAATCAGTGAATATCAATCACTTCTCTTCATGCTAAAACTCCAATGCTTAGACCCTCGTGACATCAAACAGATCAACGTGGTCCGCCGATCCTCACAACCCTTCAACCACAAAGCACTGTTTCAAACGTCATCCGCCCTGTTCCGTGGTTATACAACAACAGCCTCAGTGACGTGACGGGGTTGCTGATGGAGGGTCGTCCCGCCATGTCGGAACAGCCGCAAAAGTTCCTAACTTTCCGAGACACGCCCGATGATGCTACCTAATGTACATGCGGCACTCCGTTCACGACAACAAAAATTCGATCTCGATGTCCAGGGCACAGCGTGACCTCATCGGCCCCTTGTCAGCGCAGATGCGTGTCTCACAGCCGCGAGATAAGGGACGCAGATCGTTCCTTACAGAGGTGGTACTTTGTGCCGTTGAGTGTTTTCCTGGCCCCTCTACACGTGGCCATTACACAACTTCCAAGTTGATAAACACGAAACGTTCACAGTGTATAAGGCCTACCCTAACCCTGGCATGCCAACCTCACCGGCCCCTCCGCCTCTGCAAGCAAAAAAGATGACTCCACACCACCATCGCACAACACATTTAATCAAGGAAAAAAACGCAAAAAGAGAGGCATCGCTGCCGGGGATTGAGCCCGACGTGGGGGTCGAACCCACAACCTTGAGATGTGTTGAGATATAAGAGTCTCACGCTCTACCGATTGAGCTAGCCGGGCAGGCTAGATGTGTGTTGAAGAAACGTTGTCGGAGACCGGTTAATCAGGGGGAGCGAACCACCACCTCGGGGCGCCACCACCACCATGGCCTCCAAGGAGCGGTATCATTTCGCGTTCCTATTCCTAATTCAATTCTCGACTCCGTTTTCGATGCCGGTTTCAAGCATGTGAGAAAGGCAAAAAGAAGTCGAGTCACGCAGCTCGTCAGTGAGTCACACTGCCTTCACCCTGACATCATGAATGAAGACATTCCGAAGCGCTCCGGGCGCTAGCCTGAGGGGTAATGGAGCGAGTAAGTGAGACGGTCTGATAATGGCCGTGGTGACATGGATGGAAGAGTCTGAGAATGGGGTGATGTTTGCGGTGTTGAGACAGATGGGACCGTCGGTTCGAACGGCGTCCCCCGAGTCATCGGCCCGTCCTGGGATCGTACGATGGCAACTCCAGCACTAACCCATCGTGCTCGATCGAAGCCGGCACGCATGCCGAGGAGGAACCCGAAACAATCCCCATCACCTGTGCAGCATACATGAGCACGCACACATGCGATGCAGCACGGCGACACCGTGGCAACCAACCAACGGCGGCCGGCTCCAACTCCACGGGGGGCGACCGGGTGTAACTGGCCGTAGCCGAGATCCGTGAGCGTCGCAGCCGCCCAGCCAGCGAGACAACATTTCGTTCGACGACCAAACACCTCGCGGGTTTGGGTCACCGAGACCCGCCGTACCACAAACGGTATCCCGAGAGCCACAAACAGAATAACTAATGGATGGATGGTATCTAGGTATCTATCATTCTCCTTATCTGTAGACTACCTCCAAGACCCCGACAAGAATGGTATCAATAAACAACGTCCAGTCAACGAGCCACACAACGGCCATAGCAGCATCATCATAACAAGCCAAAAAAAAAAGAGACAGAAGCAAATCCATCATACAGCACAGAGAAAAAAGAGCAAGACATATCTCATCGCACCAAGACCAGTAGCCATAAGAAGACCACACGACGAGGGACAGGACACAAGCAAAGGAACACCCCCGCAAAAACGACACCGTTAACGTTAGCCCCCGAGAGATAAGACACACAAAACACAGCGGGCCGCCCCGGACCAGCCGAAAAATCCGCACCTGCCTGCCTGCCTTGCCTGCAATTACACGATCCCCCCCAAGCCCAAAACCACCATAATAAAGCCCTTATCGTATCACATTCCCAACCCCGCTATCCCCGGCCGTAGCTAACAGTAACCCTCCCTCCCGCCCGCGCTCGTCCTCGCTTTCACCTCCCGGCCCTCCTCATTATTATCGCACGGCCAACCCGACAACTCCTTCCACTCCATCCGTCCGTCCGTCCCTCCCCGTCGCAACTAACCAAGCGACCAGACATCCACTCCCCTTCACCCCCTACCCACCAACGCCCCTCACCTCCTTTAAGGTGCTCCCATTCGTTGCATTCCATTAATCAGGATAGTGGAGAAAGAGATTCCTGGTATGACATCCATCCCGTCCCATGGGACGAGGGAATTCGAAGCCGTAAAGCAGACGCGGCGGATAAACATGCCGATGGCGAGAACGGTGATGATACAGTCAGACCGATAAGCAAACGTCCCGCAGTCTGAAAAGTTTCGAGTTTTTCTTCCTCGTCCCGTATTTTCGTCGGTAACAGATCCGAGCTGAGTGAGGCCAGACCAGAAACGAAACGCAGCCGGCGAGGGAGGGAAAAAAAAAAGGAAAAAGGTAACGAAAAGAGAAAAGCAGGGCAAAAAAAACAAAACAAACAAGCAGGCGACAGTGGTATCAAGGAGGTGCCGTACCGTGCAAGGGCGGCACGCGGCGCAACAATAACATCAAGAGGACGGCCCAGATCCAACCAAAAAAAAAAAAAAAAAAGAGACCATCCTCCCCCATGCCCCCTTCCCTTCCAACCAACCAAACCACCCAACCCACCTTGCCGACCGACCCCTTGGGAAAATGAAAGAGGAAGAAAAAAGAAAACGCCAATTAAACGAGGCAGGCTAAAGCCCTCGCGCTGCCTTATCCCCAAGCCAAGTCGTCATTAACGAAACTACCTACTGCGTCGGGGTCGTGACACAGTCGAAGCGGTAGTAGCAGCAGTAGTAGTGGTCAAGCCGCGGGGAACGACGGGCTCCCTACCACCCCTTCTTCCGGGCAAACCGCTTGTTGAGCAGCGCGAGGACCTTGGGCACGTTGAACTGCACGTACTCGAGGTCGAGGTCGTCCTGGTTGTCCTTTTGCATCTCGAGGAGATCGTCCAGTTTGAGGTCGAGCTCGAGCAGGCCACGGTTGCGTCCTACGTATACGCTGTTAGCAAACTGGTCGAAATACACCACGATATGAAAACAGAAAGCAGAGCGGCGACTTACCCTTGTAGTGTAGTGAGATGACAAACGTCCCCGGCAACGGGCTCGTGAAGTTGAAGTAGATGTTGGCCCGCCGGTTGTCGGGAACGTTGCTCTTCTGGATCACGCCCTCCTTCTCAAGCTGCTGGTGCGTGAACTTGTACGGGCCCAGTACCTGCTGCTTCTGCTGCTTGCGGCGCACGCCTTCGCTCTGGCCGCGCACGTTGTGCAGGTAGTTCTTGTACGTCTCGAGTTGGCCGACCAGGTATGAGTTGTGGTCACGGATGGTCTTGTACACCTCGTCGAGCTTCTGTGTCTCGGTTAACACGCCCTCCTTGAGCGAGCCGAGGTGCTGCAGCTCTTGTTCGACTTCATCCCGCAGGAGGCTGAAGCCGTCGCTCTTATCGACGACCCGAAGCTCCTGCAGCTGGCTGAGCAACTCCATCGCCCGGATACCTTTGCGCACCATGACGGCATCGTTCTTGGATGTCGCCGCTGCGTCGGCAATGCGCTCGAGACGCAGCGGTCGCTTCGCCACCGACGACGTCGACGGAATTGTCCGCAAGATCTGCACGAAGATGGACTTGGCCTCCATGAAGTATACCTCCTCCTGGGTGATGTCTAGCGCAGCCGTAAGGTCGTCGATAGCCGTCTCCCACTTGCTGTACAACGGCAGATTGACCACCTTGTTCTCCTTCCGCGGCACCTGGGGCGGTGCACCGGCCAACTCCGCCATGATAATAGCAAGGTGTGAGTTCTCGTCCTTACAGAGCTCCCCAGTGTGCTTCTCAATCAAGGAGTGCATGGCATAGATTTCGTTGAGGGTGATGGACAGCTCAAGGTCCTTCTTGGAGAGAGCGACGTAGTTGTCCATCTCGAGGCTCTCGTAGAAGTCCTGCACCTCGCACAAATCGAGCATGAACTTGTTAACCCGGTCCTTGTTCTGGTGGATGAAGGGCTGCAGCTTGGCCATGTACGGCTCCTTGGCGTACGACGGCTTGTTGGCCAAGTTCTGCAACATCTTGGCGATGAGCGTCAGTGTCCTCCTCGGACGGTCAGCCGGAGTCCCGTCGATGAGCATGTACGACTTTGGCGTGACGATGGCCGGGTTGATGAAGCGGAGGAAAAAGAAGCCGCCGATCAGCGTGCAAATGATTTGATCGTTCGCATCAGGGTATTTCCTCTTGGTTAGGCTGCGAATCTGCTTGCAGATCCACCGGATACCGTAGGGCGCCTCCTCCAGGCCTTCGATGATGGTCGCCAGGAACCCGTTGGCGATTTCCGTGAGCATCGTCAGCCGCGGCTCAATGATGGCTTGGACCTGGGGGTTCTCGGCCGCCTGCTCTTGCGTAATGCCCTTGGGCAACGACGCGGGCAGACTCCCGGTATCCTGCTCGATCTGCTCGATCATACGCTCGTAAACCTTGAGGGGGTTGATCTCCAAGTCCAGGTCCTTGAGCTCGATCAGGCTGTTGATCCTGTTGGCTAGCACCGACTTCAAGAAGCTTTGGCCGGGTCCTCTCCTCGTGTATGTTGTCATCATCCGCGAAACGGGGGTGTTGGCGCGCAGAAGCGACGAGTACTCAGGAGTGTTGTCGAACTGGTATGTGAGAACGGACTGTGGTAGAGTGTCAGCAAGGGTAGCGCTACGCGAGCCGAAGGCTGCATACCTGAAACATGGTCAACAACAGATGCTCTTCACGACTCTCGTACTGATTCCCGTAGATGGTGAACATGACGGTCTGGAGCAGCGAATCGATCTCCGACATGGAAACCAGCCGGCAGAGATGGGCGATGTGTCTAGGTTCCGACTGCAGCAGGAACATCAAGTTCCCATATTTTTGTGTCCTATCGTCATTGGGGAAAGCACCCTCCGGCATCTCAGTGGCGTCTTCGAGATGACTTGCGACTTCGTTTTGCTGTCGAGTTTTGTCAATATGAGAGAACACAATGCACCAAAAGTGGCCGGACATACCTCTTCCAGAGCCATCCGATTCTGGATCAGGAGGGCGATGCGGGAGTCGAGGGTAACGAACATCCTTTTCGAGAACGAAGTTTTTCTTAGATTGCGACGAGATCTTGGACTTCAAATCCCGCAAAACCTTTTGTGCTGTAATACGGTCAACGTGCTGCCCGCCATCGACCCGCGCCGTGTATCAAAACGCACCTTTGGCGAGTTCGTCCTCAATGACCAGGTCGGACTCATTAGCCGACATAGACATGTACAAGGCGGACATGGAGTACCGCTTTGACTGGCGGGCGGACCGCGATCCATCGTAGGAGGACATGGTGTTCTGGCGGGATATGGGTTGAAACGAAGAAGACGAAGCGGTTGAGGCCCGGGAAGGTGTCTGCAACATGACAGACATGTTGGCAGGTGTGCCGTCGGGGGCGATCAGAGATGGTCAGGCTGCCAGGCCCGAAGCCTCTTCGAGGTGGAAGTGGCAGAAATTCGGTAGCTACCAAGGGACGCGACCGTGTTCTTTGATGTCGAGAGCGTTCTTATAAGGTGCGACGTGCGGGAGAATAGGGATGGGCTCGTCGAGGACCAGGTTGTCGCTGCTCAACACGTCGGAAGGAAGCTTTGACAGTCGCTGTTTGAGCGGTACTGCCTATGCGCGCCAATTGATTCGGGAGAGCTCGGGGATTGTCCGGTATTAAATTCGGGAGGTGAGCGATAAGTTCGGATAGGGATGGATGTTGGAGAGAGGAATTGGTCGAAAACACCAGATGATCGGAGGCTTTGTTCGCGCTCTCGGCTGGAGTGGTTCGTGCTCGGCCCAACAAGGGGGTCTCGGTGCCTGTCAGTGGGGCAGGACGAGCGCCACAAAGGGGAGGAACGTGGGAGCGAAGAGAGGAGAGAGGCCAAGACGGAGAGAAGAACGTTTGCCTCTCCAAAGAGTAAAAAAAAATGCCGGGTTGGAATGTGTCGCGCAGATGAGAGGGGTATGCTCCCAAGTGCCTGATTAAGTGCAGTCTTGGTGTGTGTCGTTGGCTGCAAGAGTTGGTGAGGGAGGGTGGTTAACGGATGAACGACGGGAGTGCGAACTCTGCGTGTCTCGACGCTCGGGCGGGCGTGGGAGGGCGGCTCGTGGGTGGGTGGGTGCGTATCAGGGGTGTGGTGGGCCCTCTGCAAAACTTCCGGTTGGGGTGAACCTGGAAGCGCACTGTGCACGCAATACCGATACGACTGTTGTCCGCCGCGGTAAATTGGGGGTTGCTGCTTTATGACGGAGAGTCAAGTAATGGAATTGGGGGTAATTGAGAAAGCGATTTCAAATCGGCTCGTTTGGCCCGGAAGCTGTGTGGCTGGCGTAGAATGGATGGAGATTTGATTTTTTGAAATCGGTACATGCCACACGGGCTTTGTCCAAAGGGAGAAACTGAAATCCGAGCCAGTTGCGGGTGCCGGCATATTACCTGGACGCCCATCCCAAGGGTCAGGTCAAACAGTGGTGAGGCCGAGAAAAAAACTCCAGCCACAACAAAGTAATTCGCTCAATAGCAGAATTAGAAGACAAGAACAATAGAATCGATAATTGCGAGAAGGTGGGGGCTTCGTGTTGCAAAGCTTGCTCGTTACCTTGCCTCGATCACGCTCCTTGGCTGACTTGGGCGAGCCTTTTGGCACTCTTCATCGTTCCTCCTCCTTACTCGATCGGGTTACTTCTTTCTTACCTTCCAGCTGGGATTACGGTTCATGTATTGTTGCTTCTTAGTCTAGTCCTTTTCCTTCTCGTTGGTCGTCTCATATCAGACTCCTTCTCCCTTTTTCCCTTCTTGACTTTGGTGCTTGTCAAGCAGTCGGGTTGTGTGTGTCTCCCCCAAACAGGGACTCGTCCATATTGGCGAGGTGAGCCCTGGGACCTGCATGACAAAACGGGGAATGGGACGCCAAGACAAACGGTTCGGCGCTAGGCACAGTGTGAGCGGGGAGTGAAGCGTCCCTGTCCTAAGTGGACCGTTCGTCCGTGGAAGAAAGAGGCAAAAGCCAAAGAAGGCAGTCGAGGACGAAAGCCTGATTGATGTTTGAATCCTGGGGGGAAACAAGGCCGGAAACGAGATGAAATTGAACCGCGAGTGGGACAAGGAAAGCGGGAAGGGATTTGAATACTTTTCATGTCAGTAAACGACCACAGACAACGGCCGTGTTTCAACTCAAACAGCCCAGCTTTCGGTCCTTGGCATCAGCCCCTCCTGCTTTTCAAGATCGGATTCGTGGAGCAGCTGGCGGAAAAAGAATGTCAAAACTATTTTTGAGCAGGAGCCGCGATACCAAGTATGTACTCGTCAATATTACCACGCCGGCTCGAAGAACTCCTCCTCACTTGCCCAGAAACAGGAGGGACAAGAGGAGCAGCTGGCTCGTCGGAGCATCCCCCATCCAGGTCATCCCATGCCGCGCCATCACGGGCCCCATCAGCCATCGGCACGAGTAAGTTACCAGCATTAGCGCTGCTCGGCTCCCACGGGATGCCCAGGATCTCTCTTTGATCAACCTGCTCAACGGCGGCCTTCCCGGGACAAAGGGCGTTCAATCAGGGAACGGCGTGCTGGATTGGGCCTGAGTCCCTGACTAGCAATGCAACAAGAGGAATCGAGGTGGTGTTTCGGGACCTTGCGGGAAGGGGCAAAGCCATGTGAGAGCTGCCGAATGGAGACAGCCGGATGGAGTCACCAATCCATGTGACAGGGGAAGGTGCGCGACGATTGGACAAGCCGGGAGACCCCCGACCCTCCCACAGTCGAACCTGCCAGGGGCAATGTCTTGCCCCTCCATTCGTTGTTCCAGCCTCCGAACCGAAGGCGTTGAAGAAGAGGGTGGGTGTGCCGGGTCAGCAATGCGCGGCTGTGACGGTCCGACTTGGGTTGCAAGAATCCAACAGTCCCGATAAACATCAAGGCACTTGCTATATTAGCGGGCGGCTCGGGCGCGTCGCGGCAGCGGCAAATCGACCGGCAGGACCCCTCCTATTTCGGGCCAGGAAAATGGATGTGATGCAAGTTGAGGGCTCACACCCCGCAGTGGATTCCGAACCACTTCACAGGGGCTCTAGCGGGGAACCTGCACCTTGTAGGGCAATTTATCTGTGGGGGACTCATCTTACCTTTTACATACCACCCATCACTTATCAGTAACAAACGGCGACGGCTTCGCCCGAAAACAAAGCATGAGGCCGGAAACCAGACTGAGAAGCCCTTGCGGTTGCTCCTGCAGATTGCCGATAAAAACAAAATTGTTTCTTCGCTCGGGCCGCCCGGGTTGGAACGAAGCGCGATGCGTGCAGCCGGAACACGGGCTGGGTGAGCATGATGTGCCAAGTTCGGCTGAGCAAAGCAAATGTCTCGTATGTTTCTCTCGAACCGGCCCCAGATCGGCGGTTTCTACTTATAGATGAGGCATGTGGATCGGATGAATGGCGGTCGATGCGATAAGTTTGCATCTCAGCCTGGGGAGAAGCAAAGTTGGGAATGGCTCGAATGGCTCGAATAGGTGAGTTCGTACTGCCGGTATGTCGAATCTCACGGACTAAAAAGCAATCCAATCACACAGTAACTATCAACACAAACTGTGGAGCCAGGAAGCACGATTCGGCAACGAGACAATGCGACAGCGCGGCTGTTGGACTCATCTCGTGCTCATCCCTCGGGCCTTGGGCTCGTATGAACTTTTGTGTGCATGGACAGTGTCAGACAGTCAGACAGTCAGACCTGGACGGCACAAGATGTGGCAGCGCAGACACAGAAAAAACCAAACATGGGGAAGGCCCTGCGTTGGAACCAAGCTTCATTGGCCAGCCACGGCATCATCACACGGCCCAGGGCTGCAGGTGCGGGCGTCGACAAGCACACGGGCATCGGCTTTGCTCAACAAGCCAATCATGCTTCACAGCCCCCTCAACCCCCGTCATCCTTTCCAGAGCGCCGGGACGGGAAACGCAGCATCAGGCACGATCGCCATTCTAACCGTCGGCATCACGCCATTTGTCGAGCCTCGCCTGGGCGCGGGAATGAGAGACAATATTCACACTCAAAGCCGGGCTTCATATTATCACTGGTTCACGGCTCAGAACAGCGAGCGTGCATGACGGCTCGGACATGAGGACGGACGAAGACGCTGCCGCAGTCCCGAAACGTTGGGACATGGAGTTACGTATGCAGGTCTCTACCACCGCAGCTGTCAAAATGGTCCTCAGTCGCACCACCGGCTGTGGTGCCAATGAGGTACAGAGATTCTGTAACCTGCGCCCAAGCACAACTTCCGCCCCGGCGGGTGTGGTCGCACCACCTCTCCTCTTACGTTCCTCGACGATTTTATTTTCGTGCGAGTCAGCTCGTGGATGGTGGTCGTCGAAAACGGACTTTGCAGCCTTTACAAGAGGTTGGCTATGAGCGTCATGTCTGAAACTCGCCGCAATTTGACAATTATTGCTCTCATGCTAAAACCGCACATGCGGCCGCTGCGCCCGGGGAAAACGGGCGAACAGCCGGAGCCGGCAACCTCGACGCCCTCGAGGAAGGGATGCCAACCCTTTGCCTCCCTCAACTTGGAGCCACTTGGAGCCACTCTAGAGCCCGATGGTCATCAGGAAACGGACGCAAGCTCGAGTGACAAACCACGGCCGTTGCAGATATGATCAGGTCCAAGGCCCCGGGGCCCGGCACCGCTCCCTCACTAGCTATGCCCTCGGCGGCGCCATCGATGTCAATTCCGACCCCAGCCGTCCAACCCACTCTCGCTCTCCTTCCTCAGCGACGCGTCATGATCCACACCCAATTTCGCCCGGTAAAATCCTCGTCAATCCGCCCACACCCTTCCACAACCCGGGCTCGAATCGCAGCACCCGGGTCCGGTCGCCAATGACAGCGGCCACGGCATCCCGATGCAACACAGGGAGCCGATCGGCCTTGGCACCGCTCCGTGCCGACTTCCGCTCCGCGACTCGGACCCGGGCGCCCCACTTTCGCCCCCTTCTCCAAATCCTGAGCTGCAGCCATGCCTCGGCAAACGGAAGGGGCGAGTGGAGCCCCACGAGGTTCATCCCCCCTTCCCTTGAGATGTTGCACCCTTCCTGCACGCTCCTGCACCGGGCGAGTTTTGTAATCAGCCCGAGAGCCCAGCCCATCCTGTTTTCCCGTCTGTTCGAGCCAAGCGCGGCATTGGCGAGCGTTTGTTGTTCGCTTGAGACGCGGGGAAGAACCAGCTCCCTGGCTCGCCTGCTGGTTCGAGAAGGGGCGGTCTGGACGCGTCCCTTCCAGAACAAGATCAGCTTGAGTAGGGACGTTTGTCGGTCCAAGTACGAATAGGTAGTTATATATTTTGGAGATCCTGATCCGGCGGTGGGTTATGCTCGGCGTGGAACTCGATTCCCGAAATTGAACTCCACTGCACACCCAAAACTGCCCGGTTCACTCGGCACGCTAATAGGGCTGACCGCCCCTCGCTCAAGAATGGCAGGTACGCTCAGTACGGTACATGCAGGTTGGCAGGATACCTTTCAGAGATAAAAGCGAAGGCGCGAGAGGGATCGGAATCGGGAGGGCCTACCCCGGAACGGAGACCCAACTTATGCTTTTCTCAACCCGACCGACCCCATTAACATCTACACCCGGCCTACCCCCGGTGCCCTGGTGGGAGACCCGCCCGACTAGCAAAACGGCTAATTGCCCAATCTGTCGCCATTAGAGTTTTTAACCTCACGATCCGTTACAAGCACACTTTTTTTGTCACTGTCCCTCGCTGTGTTGCTGTGAGATGCTAGGTATTCTGTTTTTGGAGTCGATGTCGGAGACTGCCTCATTTAGTCAGTCTTAAACTTCACGATAGTTACTACCTAGTTACTTGGATCACACCGACAAAATACTCAAGAGTCTCACTGCTTCTGTTGTTCTGTTGTGAGCAGAGAAAGGTCTTAAGAGTCTAAACTAGACATCATGGCGGGCCATGCCCAAGACCTAGAGAAACAAGGCGCGGCTACTCGTCCCGAGACCTCGCCCGCCCGTCATCATGACCACCGAGTCCCGACTTCAGCCCTCGAGAAAGACCAGTTGACCACGGTGACCGGACGGAGTCTCACCACCTCCCACACTCAGTCCTCCACCGACACGGACCCCCTCTCCCCTCTCGAGCACGCCCTTGCCCGGCCCCTGTCCAGTGCCGACATCGAGCAGCTCCCGCCAGACGACCCGGACGACGACGACGACGATGACGCCAACCGCAACAACAACAAGAACGACCCGCTCCACCTCAGCCGCACCCGCACCTCGATCGTCTCCTCCGCCTCTCGCCCACCAGACTATGAAGTCACTCTCGAAGCCGACGACCCCGAGAACCCACGGAACTGGTCAGTCCCATTGTTTACCTCACCCCTTTCTCCCTCCCCTCTTTCGTTCCCCTCCCACCCCCTCCTCAAAACACACACACACGCACACACACACACACACACACACCCCAACCCCCCAAACAAACCAAAACTAACCCCCCGCCCCCTCCCCCCTATGTAGGCCACTCTGGTACCGCGCCTACACCGTCTTCGCCGTATCCTACGCCACCTGGGTCGTGGTGCTGTACTCGACGAGCTACACGGCCAGCATCCCCGGCGTCATGGCCGAGTTCGGCGTCACCAGCCGCCCGCTGGCCACCCTGGGTCTGACGTCCTACCTGCTGGGCCTGGCCGCGGGGAGCGTGGTGGTGGCGCCGATGAGCGAGGTTTATGGGAGGAGGGTGGTGTATTTGGTGTGTTTGGGCGTGTTTGTGGTGTTGATTGTGCCGTGGTATGTTTTTTTCTTTTTCTTTTATTGTTTTGAGGGGGGGTTGGGTTGTGGTTTGGTTTGTCTGAGTGGGCGGTGAAGGCGATGGCTGACTTGGCTACAGTGGGCTGGCGGATGGGTTGGCGGAGCTGGTCGTGGTTAGGTTCATCGGGTACGTCTTCTTGCTTCCGGTTTAGTTTTAAGATGTCACACAAACTAACACGCACAGGGCCGTCTTTGGCGCCGCCATGATTTCCAACAGCCCCGGCACGGTGGTCGACATCGCCGGGCACGAGTCGCTCGCGCTGTGCATGTCGTGGTACAGCATCGCGCCGCTGAACGGGCCTGTGCTGGGCCCGCTAATCGGGGGGTTCGTGTACGAGAACCTTGGGTGGCGGTGGGCCAACTGGATCGCCATGATCCTCGCGGGCGTCGCCGTCGTCATGCTGGCCATGGTCAAGGAGACGTACGCGCCAGCGCTACTCAAGAAGAAGGCGGCTAGGATGCGCAAGGAAACGGGCGACGACAGGTGGTGGTGCCACCACGACCAACGCATCTCCACGCTGGACCTGCTCAAGACTAACCTCAGCCGGCCGTTTGTGCTCGCCGCGACGGAGCCCATATTGTGGTTCTTCAATATCTGGTCAGTCACTCCCACGACCCCCTTAAACCCCAAACCACCACCGCCACCCCCCCTTAGCCCACTCAACAATCAACACAGTCAACTAACCCAACCAGGATCTCCGTCATCTACGGCATTCTCTACCTCTGTTTCGTCGCCTACCCCATCGTCTTCACCCAACACCGCGGCTGGTCCGTCTCCATGACCGGGCTCGCCTTCCTAGGCATCGGCATCGGCACCCTCCTCGGCATCGCCATGGAACCCATCTGGCGACGCCTAATCAACAACTCGCCCAAAAAGGACCCAGAAACCGGCCGCGCCGCGCCCGAAGCGACCGCCCTCGTAATGTGCATCGGCGCCTTGCTCACCCCCTTGGGCCAGCTCGTCTTCAGCTGGACCTGCCTGCCGGCCTCCATCCACCCGGCCATCCCCATCGCCTTCGGCATCCCCTTCGGCATGGGCAACACCCTCTCCTTCATCTACGGCTCCAACTACCTGGCGGGGGCCTACGGCATCTACGCCGCGTCGGCCATGGCGGGGAACGCCGTCATGCGCTCCGTGTTCGGCGCCGTGCTGCCCCTGGCCGGGCCGGCCATGTATGCCGCGCTGACGCCCCAGTGGGCGGGCACCTTTCTGGGCCTGCTGGAGGTGCTGCTGATTCCGATCCCGTTTGCGTTTTATTGGTATGGGGATCGCATTAGGGATCGGAGCCGTGTGATTCGGCAGATGCGCGAGGAGAAGGCCAAGGGGGAGCGCCGGGCTGAGAGGCTGGCGGCGAGGAAGGAGAGGGCGGAGAAGAAGAGGGGGGTGGAGGCGGCGGCGGCGGCGGGTGCGGGTGCGGGTGCGGGTGTCAAAGCTCCGCCTCCTGTGGTTGAGGGTGGGGGGACGAAGGGGGAGGAGGAGATGGAGAAGGCGGCTGCGCAGGGGGCGAGGATGGCGTGACGGTTGAGGTGGTGGAGGGGGGTGTCAAAACGGTAAGAAAGCTTTGGTTGGATACAGGCGTTCGTTGGAAGTAGTTGTATATAATCTGCTCTTTGGACAGTGCCTTTGGGACATACGCCATGATTAACGCTGCTCTGTAGCGGAGCAATAGTAATTTAATACTTCATCCATGATATGTAGTCAGCCTCAGACGATAGGCTCTGCTGAGTGTTGGCCTGCTATCTTCTCGTCGGAGTTCATTCACTTGGCCATACACACGACGACGTCTGATGCTTGGATTTCAATTTCAACTCTTGTTGGATTGACTGGGTTCCAAAAATCGCCGTGATGTGGCTACCTGGCCGCCGAGTGCTATGAGCAACCAGCCGTTATTCGGCAACGCTCTCCGCCTCTATTATTACCGCGGGAGCCTCGATTGCAGAAGAACTGCTGCTGGTTCAAGGCCGTCCCAAAGACCGTCTTTCCCTGCAGGCCGGAATGATGCGATGCGCCTCTGTCAACCCGCAAAACCAGCCCCAATCCGAGTTGAAAAAGAGAACAAATGAACCTTTGAAGCAAAGCCAGCTGTGATGTGATGATTTCCGACCGGACCGGACCGGACCAGATCCCCCGTCCAGCCCCAGAATGCAAGACGCAAACAGCCCGACGCCCCGGCCTGCCGACGCCCTACCCCCCACCCTCCCAATTACCGCACATAGATGATACACCCCCCGCCTCAACGAGGCCAAGCCAAGCCAAGCAAAGCAAAGCAAAACGCCAAAAAGCCCAATGCCCGCCCCCATCCATAACTATGTACAACCGGCGCGCCGCTTCCCAACCAACAACAACAACCACAACAACAATATCAACAACAGCAGCAGCAGCAGCAGCAATCTCACATGGCCATACCCGACGCGGCCCCCTGAGCAGCCGGCGCCCCGCCCAGGGCAAGCAAGCCCGACGCCGCCGAGTCCGCGCCCGTCTTAGACGCCATCAGAGCAAGCTTCTCGCGCTCAGCCTTCTCACGATCGCGCTGCTCCTTCTCGAGCTTAGTGATGCGGGGCTTGCGGACGGTACCGCCGCGCGACCCGGGCCCGCCGCCGCCCCTGCCGCGACCCGTGCCCGTGCCCGTGCCCGTGGCCCCTCCCTCGCCACCACCACCACCACCACCACCGCCACCGCCACGCACGGCGGCGGCGCCGCCACCCCTGCTGCCGCGCCCGCGGCCACCGCGACCGCGCCGGGGCCGCTCCTCCGACGCGGCGGGCTTCTCGACCTCGGGGATCAGCGGGCCCGAGTAGACGAAGAAGCCGTCCTTGCTGGCGGCGGCCTGCTCCTCCCAGAGCAGCTCCGAGTCGTCGACGAAGTCGTCCTCCTTGTCGTACTCGTCCTCTTTGAAATTGCGCTTCTTCCTCGCGGGCTTAGCGGCGGGGGCGGCCGGCGCCCCGTTGCCGTTGGCGTTGCCGTTGGCGTTGTTGCCGGTGCCGGTGCCGTTGCCCATTCCGCCCATCTCGACGTTGCTCTCGCCGGCGTCGGACCCCTGCAGGATGTCCTCGTCCATCTCCTCGCCCGAGTCCCGGCCGCTGCCCGTCTTCTCGAGCGCGGCGGTGGCGGCGGCGATGCGCGCCTTGCGCTCGCGGCTGGCGGCCAGCCGCGGGTGCAGCGCGTCCCAGCCGTAGTTCTCCTCGGCCATGCGCATGAAGTTGACGTACTTGTTGCTCTCGCCCGGCACGAGCGGGACGTGGAGTGAAATGCTAGGTGCCTCCGTCTCCTCGCCGGGGCGGGCTTTGCCGAAGTCGAGGATCGAGCGCTCACCGCCGGGCAGGGGCGGGAGGGCCTCCTTGAGGCTGCTAATTTTGGGAGACGATGACGAAGAGCTGCGGGCCTTTTTCTGCGCCTCGCGCTCCTGCTGGACGACGGCGGCGATCTTTTTGCTCTGCGCAGCCGCGGCCTGGACTGGTGTTGCGGCAGCAGCCGACATAGCGCTGGGAACTGACGTCATGCTTGTGAATGAATTGGTCTTGGACTCCTGTTTGGCAGCAGACACAGGAGGCGGGGGAGGTGGGGGAGGGCGCCTGGCGTCAGCTAGGGTAGGCTTGGGCATCGACTGAGGAGTGCTGCGCAAGGCATTCGAGGGTGAAGCGGCCGGAGAAGTTGAGTCTTGGAAGCGTGGTTGAGAGGTGGGGTTGGTGTAGGCCGGGCGAGGAGAGATAACGCTAGGCACCGGCTGGGGATCCACCAGGCTGGCGATGGAAGGCGATGCGCTGGCCCGGTTAGTCATCTGGGTAGGCGCACGCGGCGAGCCCAGGGGACCCGTGCCATAGGGGTCACGCGTGGCCATGGACTCCCTGATCGGGTCATAACCGCCTCTGATAGGATCGAACATCTGCCTGGCGGGCGGGGCAGCCGGTTGGGCTTTTGTTGGCTGGGGGTCTTCGTTCAGTAGGTTCATCATGTTCATGGACCCGGAGGCGCTCTCGCGCTTGGGGGCGGCAGGCGGAGCGGTTGGCGCGAATCCAATATCGGCGGGAGGAGAGCGGGCATCTAGAGCCATCCGCATCGGGGTGAGCTCGGTGATCTTGGTCTGACGGGGCGGGCCCGATGCGGACCGGGCGTCCATCTCGGAGTTGGCGTCACTGGCCTCGTTGGTGGCGGCCTTGCGTTTCCTCTGGACAGGCGGGGCATTGGGATCCTTAGGCTTCCGCGGCCGGCGCTGCTTAGGCGGGTCGGCGGCGTTTGCTGCGGTGCCATCGGCGGGGACCTTGGGTTTGACGGTGCTGCCGGGTTTCCGGCCGGGCTTCTTCCGAGGTAGGCCGGCGGCGGTCAGCGGGACATTCTGGGCCGGTTCGGTGGGTTGGTGTTGTTGCATGATGGTGAATCGAGCTACTGAACTGGGATCTACTATGATCTCGTCCATCTCAATGTTGGCTCGACCGGCGTGGAGCATCCGGGTAGGAGAGCCGGGCTCTGACAGGGCAGACGGCGGTGATGAGAGCGATGGCGAAGAGCTGTAATGTTGTTGTTGCTGTTGTTGCCGTTGTTGTTGCTGCTGCTGCATCGTAATATTCCGTTCGCCACTCGTTGCCATAACCCAGCGGCTACAAGACGGGAAGAGAAGAAGAAAAGAGAAAACCGAACCGAAAACGGAAACGGAGAAAACGAGAATCGCCCCAAAATACGGCTACCCTCAAGTGTTCCGATCTATTAGATTGGATGCAGTCGCTGACAACAATTCCCGGCAAGATGCAAGAATCTCAACAACAAAGCACCAACAAATGCCGCCGGCACAAAACTCCTTGTACAAGTCGCCAATTGGTGGTGTTGAGAAACCGGGAAACAGCCTCAGGCACTGTTGCAGCCCTCTGATAGGTTGCCTGGTCCCCAAAGTTGGAGGTGCCTGGACTCTTGTCTGCGGAGAGCTGCAGAAACTGAAAAAGGGTGCTGCGGGTTGGCTGATTGGCGGGAATGGGTCCGAGCGCCAGGGTTGGTAAGGCGGCGGGGGCTGTTTTATGACTTTGGGGGTCGAGCTGCAGCGGTGCCGTTGCACCCTCGGAATGGCTTCAGGTCCGCGTATGCTCGACTGCGGTCGGCGGCCCCCCCCAAAAAATCTAGGAAACAGAACCCAGCGTGCGGCGATGCTGGCGATCACAGTGGACGGTTCAATTCGGCAGACTCGGCCGAATCTAAATATGCTCCTTGCACGATGAAAATAAGGGAAGGAGGAGACGGTCGAGATGCGTTTTGCACTCTACGTGCGAAATGTCGGTGGCAGTTGGGTGTGTTGGGAGGGGAAAAGAGCGAGGAGGAGAAGAGGAAATTTTGGGGTGCGACGGGGCGAAGAGAGAATGGGGATGGGCTCTCTTTTTGGAACTTTGATTATTTCGCAGCTGGCGAGGGAAAACCGGGGCTCTGACCACCTCAGGACCGTCACGGACGCAAGGGAAATTTTATTCTGGAAAAAGGCGAATTAAACCACCAAGACGGACCGGGCGGGCAAGCTCGATGGGCGCTGCCGAAGGGAGCCCAAGGGGGGTCGCAGGCATGGCGGTGGAAGGACGGAGGCGGAGAGGGAGGGGAGGGACCGAATGGGGAATGGGGAAACACAACGAACGAAACATCAAAGACCGTGGACCATGATGGACCATGGATGGAACCGCCGGATGGAATTGGGGCCCTGGATGCATGCATTGACTTGACCGGGCACGGCCGGGGAAACCAAGGGGGGGGCAAGTTCAGGTTGCCGATGGAGCCAAGCGATGACCGAGAAAGGGAATGGATGGGATGGGATAAAATGGAAGACGCCTCTTGCAGCTGGCAACGGTGGACAGCGATGGGCGTGCGAGAGTGCGCGGGCGCGATACGGTAACGCAACTCCACGGCAGGTTGCGGTAATGTACAGTGCCGAGAAGGACGATGGGAACAAGAACCAGCAACAGAAGGTGATCGGTCAGTGACAGTGACAGTCACTCGCCAGCCGCGAAACCGAATCGTGGATCCCTCCTGCCATCGGTCATCAGCGAAACAAGCCGCCACCGGCTGCAGAACAGGGCTGCACAAGCCGAGCTTGGCTCAGCCCGGGGATGAATTGTCGGGGATGGCTTTAAGGTGTGACAAGGATCTGGATTGGGAGTGATCTGGTTCGTGCCTTTGAGCGCGGGTGGGGCCTTAAGCTTCCGAGCCGAGAACGCGGAAGAGGCTCGCGCGCCGCCGCACCTCACGGTTCCAGGTGGTACGTTACGAGGTACGTACCTGATACATCCATCCTTCCCGTTGGCCAACCCCACCTCCGTTTCGAATCTGGTGTGGGTGCTGCGTGACATCTTGAAGAAGCCGCGTGCCCCACATATGGGAGGCAAAACAACCGCGCAGCGAGCAGGGGTACATCCAAAGGTGACATGACCACTCGCACGGTGGGGGGTCGCACGCGCCGCGCCTCCAGCATTTGGACACCCGATTGCAAGCTGCAGCCTGAGAGACATACCAACGGACTTGGCGGCTCGAGAGAATAAGCGCAGAGTTTCAAATCCAGCCACCAAGATATTCAGTCAGATCACTCACTCTTCGACTTTCTTATGTTCGTATACGCCCTTGGACAAATGTTCGACGAAGCAATAAAAAAGCTTAGAAAGGGTAAATGATCGGTACCTGCGCAGGTAAATACAGCGAGGTGGTTACAGTGCAAGGTACTTTATGCTCCAACCTCATGAAAAACAAATGCCAACAACTGGACCGTGCCCCACCCATACTTGGGTTCGTGCCGTGGTGCCCCACGCTCCGGGAGTCAGATAAGATAAGGCTGCTTGCGGCTTGAGAAACGTCACAGGCACGAGACTCGGGAAACTTTACCAAACACTCACATCAAACCACGAACAACGCGAATCCGCAAATAACCAAAAGCCTTTCTAGCTAACGCAGGGGTTTCATCGTTACCGTCAACATGGATGTCACACTAGGTATTCTGGATATCGAAGAGAAAAAGATCGGCCATATTGACACACCAAAGCCTCCCGCGGCAGCCGGGTCGAAGGGCTTCCCCGTGAGCAAAAAGCGAGTGTCAGCCTTCAAAAACCAGTTAAAGGGGAAGCCAACCAGTGCTTCGCCCGCGCCCACATCCCGAACCCCCTCGGCCGGACCTTCAAGCCAAAATGATGTGCCTAGGAGAGATGCAAAGGTGGACGAGCGACGGGGGATTGATGAAGAGAACAAAGCCGTCCTCAACTCCATGTCGCCCGACGAGATTGCACAGGCACAGAGGGAACTTTTCAGCGGGGCGAACCCCAAACTCATCCAAATGCTACTGAGGCGCGCAAACCTCGACGAGCCGACCGGACCGTCACCATTCGATGTGCCGTCCCCGGAAAGCCCACCAGCCCCGAATCCCCGTTCACCACCTACTCCTCAATCACGACAAGTCACCGTGGAAGACGACCCGGAAGAATCTCATGAAAGCGACCCCATCCCAGCTCCTGTAATCAACGATAATAACGAGCTCAACGATCCCGACGACTACGACGAAGACGCCGAGCCCCCTGTGCCGCCTCCCAACCTCTTCCCAGTAACATCCATCGCCCGGCCGAAACGCGCAACCCCCAAACCCGCAGCCGCCACCAACGACGCCCTATCCGCCGACATACCCCACAACACCCACTTCCCACCCGCGCCCGCGGTGCCGGACCTCGACCCGTCCGACCCGGACTTCCTGCAAACCATGCACCAAAAGTTCTTCCCCAACCTGCCCGCGGACCCCTCCAAGCTCGCCTGGATGGCGCCGCTGCCGACCCCCGACTCGGCCGCCGACCGCGAGTCGCCCTACTACCCGGGCCAGGACGCGCTCCCGATCTCGGCGCTGCGCTTCGACTTCCGCGGCGCCCTCATCCCGCCGCGGGCCAGCCGCGCCATCCCCGTCAGCAAGGGCCTGCACCACCACGGCGAGGCGCCCGAGGCCGCCGGCTACACGGTGCCCGAGCTGGCCCGCCTCGCCCGCTCCTCCGTCGCGCCCCAGCGCTGCCTGGCCTACCAGACCCTCGGCCGCATGCTATATCGGCTTGGGCGGGGTGACTGGGGCGAGGGCGTGGGCGGTCGCGGGGGGGATGAGGACGATCTTGCGTTTGGGCTGTGGCGGTGTTTTAAGGAGGGGAGGGTGCTGGAGAGCTTGGAGGAGGAGGCTGGCTTGCCCGAGTGGAAGGGCCATATGAGCAGTAAGGCCTATGCGACCGAGGCGTTGTGGCTGTTTGAGAAGGGCGGGTGGAGGGAGAAGTGGAGGGGGATGTGATGTAGATCCGCTGTGGGAATAAGTGCGGAGCACCACATTCAGGGAGCTCTATGTACCTTACACTTGGTACATATTCACCACATGGAGCACAAGTTACTTAGGTAGCAAGAGTTAGTTGCAAAGCTAGAACTCCCTCGAATCCACCTCTAGTCAGACCCATTTCTATCCCTTGAGCCCAGCAGAGCCACCATCTAGCTAAGCCAACCCTCCCCCACCCCCTTCCCAAACTACGCGCTCTCCCACCCATTGCAGAATTTTCACCCGCCTTCATTCATCCGACCCTAACTTCCATAGTCATTGTTCATTCTCCATTCGAGGTCGACATTGTATTCTACGTGGGCTCGTCTCCCACTCCATGCCCCGGGAAGAGGGCACTTGAAGAATGACAGGCCGCACAGGCGAGAGGACTCGCCACCAAACAAAAGCCCAACAAGCAAACCATGGAAGCAAAGCAAAGCAGAACATGAAACACATAACATTTCATAACGACATACAGCCCAACCCGTAGTGGCATCTATCCCCACAACCCACAACCACCCCCCATTTCATCTATGCCTCCCCAAAGAACCCCCCAACCGCAAACAAGCAAGCCCATATCCCATATCCAGAGAAGAAGCCGTTCCCACAGACCCCCCACACACACCAAGCCCGAAACATGCGGTATTTTACCCCGGACGACGGATCGACGCAGGGGTAAGAGGATGATGCTAAGAAAACCCTCAATATTAACCACTGCACTGACCTGTGGACCGAACAAAACCAAGCCAGAAATAAACCACCCGCGAAAAAAAGCCCCGACTTCCTACTCTCAAGAAAAGAAAGGGAAGCAAAAAGAGAGAAAAGGAAAATATAGGCCTCGCTCATCGCACACGATGGGGAAGAACAGAAGGACGAACCTGTTGTTGCTGCGCCTGCAGATGCTGCTGTGACTGCTGCGGCCGCTGCTGTTGCTGTTGTTGCTGTTGTTGCTGTTGTTGCTGTTGTTGCTGTTGTCCCCTCGCCTGCTGCCCTTGCGTCTGCCCGCCGTGCCCGGGCTGGTTCCGGCCCAGGACATAGTCCCGGTTCTCGATTGTCACGCTCTTGGTCATGTGGTTGACCTTGTAGACGCCCACGAGGCGGGCGGCCAGCTCGAACATGTTGTTGCGGAGCGAGATGACGATGAACTGCGCGTTCTTGGTGCGCTCTTTGATGTAGTTGGCCACGATGGACACCTACGCGGGTACCCGTCAGTACTTGTTGCATGTCGCGTGAGGGAGGTGGTTGGAAGGGGGGTGGGGGGAGGGGGATTGACAACAACAAAAGGCTGGTAACTCACATTCCTGAAATCCAACGCGGCATCGATCTCGTCCATGACGTATAGCGGCGTCGGCTTGTAGTGGTGCAGCGCAAACACCAGCGCGAGCGAGCTCAGCGTCTTCTCGCCTCCGGACAAGTTGCCGATGTTCTTCCACGACTTCTTGGGTGGCATCACGCTGAACAGGATGCCCTCGCTGAACGGATCGAGCGAGTCCACCAGCTCCAGCTCGGCGTTGCCGCCCATCGTGATCATCTGGTACATTTCCTTCAGCCGCAGCGAGATGGTGCTGAAACCTTCCATAAAGCCTTCAAGGCGCAGCCGGCGGAGGTCGTCGCACCGCTTCTTAGCCGCGTCGCGCTGTGAGACGGCGCTGGCAAGGTCCGAGGATCGCGCGGCGTGTTCTTCGACGCGGCGGCGGTATTCGGCGAGCACACCGAGGTCGACGTTGACGCTTTGTGTCTTCTCCTCCAGCGCCGCGATCTCCCCGAGGAGGGTCTTCTTGTTCATGTCCGCAAGTTCATCCTTGCTGTAGTGCGGAAGCTCGAGAGGCGCCGACCGGCCCTGTTCATGCGCCGACTGGGTCATTGTTTCATCCTCGGCCTCAGCCTCAGCTTGTAGTTGAGCCGACGCATCCTCCATTTCAACATCTTCATCGTCGTCGTCGTCGTCGTCGTCGTCGCTGCCGCCGTCGTCATGGCTTTGAGGGTTTGGAGGGGTTTGAGGTCGCGCAGGGGCTGCAGAGCTGCCACCAGATTCGAGGTCCGCGATGTTCTGGAGTGTGAGCTTGGAGCGCTTTTCCTCCCAGTGGTACCGCTTCCGCTGGTTGTCGGAAAGGACCTTCTGGCTCTCCTCGAGCTTGTTCCGCATCTCGATCTCGGTGGCTCGAGTCTCGTTGAGCTCGGCAGTTTTACCATCCAGCTCGGCCTTCACCTCGGCGAGCTCCTGCTTCTTGGCTGCCAGTGCCTCCTTGGCTTCTTCGACCCTGGTCTTGTAGTCCTCAGCCTTGTCGCCCTGGTTCTGGATCTCGGCTTCGAGCTTCTCCGAGTCCCGGGTAGCAGCTTCGAGCTCCTTTGACGCCTTGGCGTGGTCCTTCCTCAACTTGGTTATCTGCTTCTCCGCCTTGGCCTTACGGACTTCTGCGCTGGACACCTCCTCATTTTGGGAGGCGATCTCTTCCTTGAGCGCGTCTACCGTCGCCCTCTGCGCGCGGAGCTTTTCGCCACCGATTTCCATAATCTTGTCTTGGAGGGCCTTGATCTCTTCCTCTACGCTCAAGGTTTCGCCGTTCAGCCTCTCGATATCTCTGTTGAGCTTGGCGATCTCCTTCTCGAGGGTGACGATGCGGCTGTCATCAGTCTTGGACGGCTGGTGTTCCTTGCCGAGTTCCTTAACTCTGCGCTGGGCATCGGCCAATTTCCTCGCTGAGCTTTCCACTTCGAGGTTGATCTTTTGCATCTTGGTATCGAGCTCCGGGATTTGTTCTTTGAGAGAACGAATCCTAGCCTCGAGCTCTCGCTGCCGCTCCTGGAACTCCTGAAAGGCCTGCTCTAGCTCATCGCGGTCCCCCTCAAACTTGGCGACCTGCTCCCTGCTGGTGCCAGACGCAAGCTTCGAGGACATGAGCCCCTTCTTGACCGTAGAGCCACCTCCGGACATAGTACCGGACTTGTCGATCAGTTCACCGGCCAGGGTGACAACGCGCCACCGTCTGGCGCCGTAGGCGATGCGGTTTGCCTGGGCCAGATCCTTGGCCACGAGAGTGTCTTGCAGTGCGTGGTAGAATGCTGGCCGGAACTTGTCATCCTTGGGCTTGACAAGGTCAAACAGACGTGGCGCATTTTCGGGTGTTTGGATCTGGGACAGGTCGCGGGATCTTAGCTTGTCCAGGCAGATGAAGTTACCGCGCCCAAGATTCGTCTTCCTGAGGTACTCGATGCATTGCTGGCCCGCCTCAACGGTGTCGGTGACAAAGTTGTCAAGTGCACCACATGCTGTCGAAATGGCAACGTCGTACATCTGATCGATGGCGCCTAGGTTCCCAAGACGGCCGTGGAAACCGTCGATACGGCCCGACTCCTTCATACGCATCAGAGCGGTGAGAACATTCCCTTGTGTCTGTGTGGCAGACATGCTCGACCGGGCCTCGTCGGCCTTTTGCCGGGCGTTCGAAAGCTGGGCGCGTAGTTTGGGTTCTTCCTGCGTGAGCTTCTCCAACTCCGTGACGGCTCTCCTACCCTCCTTTTGAAGAGTCGCCTTCTCAGCCTGGCATTGCTTGAGTTCCTCCGCCTTGGCTTCCTGACTCTCCTCGATGGCGGCAATCTTGGCTTGCATCTCTTCGAGCGCGACAGCGCCGGCGTTGGCCTTTTCTCGAAGAATGGCCATCTCGCTCTCGGCAACGGCGATGGCAGATTGCTTCTGGTTGATCTTGTCCTTCCAGGGCTCTAGTGACTTTTGCTTTGCAGCAATCTGATCGGAGAGATGCTGAGTTTTGCCCTTCAAGCTGTCGCGGATGACGGCGAGTTCGGCCTCCTCCTCCTTGACCCGCTGCTCGAGCGAGACGATCTCCTCAGCCCAAGTCTCGATATCATTGGCGCACTGCTCGATAGTCTGCTCGGCTTCAAAAGTGGAACCTTCGGCGTTCGCGATGGTTTTCTCTAGCTTCTTCCGCTTGTCCGCGAGGAACTTTCGCTTCTCGTCGAACTTGACCCGCTCTTGGTCGAACTTGGTCATCTCCTTAATTAAGGCCTGAGCCTCCTTATCCTGAGCATCGTACTCCTTGCTACCTCTCGAGTAGCCCTTCTCTAGCTGTTTGATTATTTGCTCGCTGCCGTGATGTTTTTCGAGTTCTGCGTCAAGCTCAGCCTGCATCTGGCCAATTGCCTCCTCCGTGACGGCGATGTTATCATCGCATTCGCCGATGTAGAGCTGGTACAGCGCGGATTGTTTCATGACAAGCTCGTTTTCATCCCGAATGTATGCCAGGGCCTTCTCCTTCTTGTCCTCGAGGCCATTCTTTTCCTTCTCCACATGCTGGACGCGGCCACTCTTTTCCACACAAATCTCGTTCAGGGTTTCAACCTCGGTGGCGGCCTCCTCAATCGGCGTCTTGTACTTGGATGTGCCAATGATATCCTCCAGGTACTCGAGTAGGCCGTCCTCGTGCTCGTTGGCGGCCTTGGCCTTCATCTGGGCAATGGACTCGACCTCGCCCTGGAGAATCAAGAATCGCTTGTGGTCTAGATCCACGCCAAGTTGACGGAGTTCGGCAGTCACCGTCGTGAAGTTGGAATTCTTGCCGTTGATATAGTATTGGCTCGAGTTGTTCTTGAACGCTTTGCGCGAGATGACCAATTCAGAGTTCGGGACAACCTCGTGGCCTCCTCCAGGTTGGTCCATAACCTCGTGGAAGTGCACGGCAACCTCGCAGTGGTCCAAGTTTGGGTACTGCGCAGAGTTGTGAATTAGGGCCGAGATTTTACCTTGTCTCATTTTGCTAGCTCGGAAGCCAAAGACGAAGAGCAAGGAGTCAATAACGTTGGATTTACCAGAACCGTTGGGCCCGACGACGGATGAGAACGAGCCGTGGAAGGGTCCCACCTCTTGTCTGCCGGCGTAACTCTTGAAGTTCGTAAGGATGAGGTGGGTAATGACGATGCGCGCCTTCGGTCCAGTTTCTTCCACGGTCGGTATAGCCATGCTGCGTGACTTGAGGATGATGTCCATGGGCTTCTCGAGAACCGTGTCCATGGCCTTGATGGGCTTGGCCGCTGCTAGTTGTTCGTTGGCGGCGGTAGTTGTGGTGTCGGCGAGGGGGACATTATGAAGGTTGACCGGTGATACCGACATTTTTGGCGAACGCTTTGGGGGTTGGAGTTCGGGGGTGGCCGATTTGCTCGCACGGGGCGCAAGACTTGTCCGCCTAGCGGGGGTCGCCGCCGGGACCGGGGCCGACCTCTTGGGTGGGACATCGTCGTTGTCGTCGTCGTCTGGCGCGGCGGTCGTAGCTGTGGATGTAGAAGCCACCGTCTGATCGGGGTCGAGCACTTCGCTTGGTTCGACGATGGAGGGTGCGGGGGCGCTGCTCTTCTTAGGGGGGCGCCCACGACGCTTGGGGGCCGGTGCTGGTACTGCTGGTGGGGCTGGCGTTGGTGTCTCTGCGGCAGTTCTCTTCCTTCCGGCTGCACGGCGAGGGGTCGCTGCCGGAGCAGGTGTGAAGTCGTCTCCGCTATCCTCAGTCTCTTGGGGCGCGTCGGGCATGTCCTCGTCCGAGGACTCGACGATGGCGGTGCGCCGAGTGGCCCGCCGCGTTGGCCGTGTTGACATGGCGAAAGGGTATCTGAAAGAAAAGGGTTACCGAGAAAAGGTAACTACCAACGTCGCAGACGGAGGGGGGAAATCATACAAATGCGACCGCGTGGTGTTTCGTGGGTGGCGCGGTCTCCAAACGGCAGGCGCGAAAACGATGCTGGTCGTTGGGAGCCCCGCTGTGTTGACATTTGATTGATTGATTTGATTGTAAACAATCAGCCACAATGCAAGCCACTGAGACATTCGACCCCTCACCTTGCTTAGCACGAAAACTCGCGACTTCGCTCCTCGTTAAGTGCATAGAGATATCATTAACTAAACTACCTGATAAAAAGATGCCAGTTTTTGTTGACTCTTGCATCAATCGGGTCACCGGAGCTTCACCTCCATTCTTTCGTGCGACGAAGCTCGACCAGCGGCGGTTCAGGTTGCCACTCCCGGAACTCACCTCTACCGCGAAAATGCTAGATTTCTCACAATTTGCCGCCGCGTTCCCGACCGACGGGCCGAAGCCGTACGACCAAAATGGCGTGCGGGAGATCGAGACCTTCCGCAAGTCATTCGAGGGCGTCTTGTTTATCGACCGTGTTATGAAAGCGCTAGGGGTTAGCGAGGGTGCGCAACGAATCCTACCATTCCCACCTCATCTTCGCACCAAAGTCAAACTGACCAGAGCCCCGGCAGGCAAAGCATACCCTCCCCGAGGCGACAGCGGGCTGCGCGCGTTGCACAAGCAGATCTGTGACACCAAGGTCTCGCCGCACGCCAAGCTCTCCGTCTTCTACTACCTCCTGCTCGACTACGACGAGCTGCGGGGCGCGCGGTCCGACCTGGCCGAGGCGCTGGCCGAGGAGTCCGGGCTGCCGCCGAACTACCAGCTGCTGATGCGCGGCCTGTGGCACATGGACCGCAAGGAGTTCAAGTTCGCGCTCGAGCACCTCGCCCACCCCTCCCTGCCCTCCGAGTTCGCCGACGACATCATCACCGTGCTCGTGCGCCACGCCAAGGCCGACGACTACAGCCTGCCGCTGGCCTACTACCACACCACACAACCAGTCCTCCAGACATCCGAGGCGCTCGAACTGCTGTTCGGCGCGCTGGCGCGCACGAGCGTGGCGGAGGCGCTGTACTTCTCGCGGGCGCGCCCCGAGCCCGCGCGGCAGCAGCTGTTCGAGCGGCTGGTGGCGTCGGTGCTGGAGCACCCCGAGGCGGCGGGGGCGCGCGGCAAGGAGCTGGTCAGCCTGCCGCTGACGGGGGCCGAGGAGAAGTGGTTCCAGGAGTACGTGGCCGGCGGCGGCGAGGGCCGCAAGTCCAAGAACGCAAAGGCCGTCGCGCAGATGCGGCAGGTCGTCACGGGCCGCCACCGCGGGCCGATGCCCGTGGGCGGGTTGGGCGGTCAGGGGACTGGTGTTCGGGCGGGCCGGTGAAGCCTGGGCGTGTGAAGCGAAGTCACGGGGTTGTGAATTGTTGTTTGGGGAAATGGATGGCGGATTGGGCATAGCGATGGCGTTTAGGATTTAAATGGAATACCATGGTGTTAAAAACGTCAAGGCTCCGCGTTTCGCCTTCTGGGCTTCGCCGCCATATCTTATGGTACTACTAAGACTCACACTCTGTCCTGAATAAGTATTACGGCCAACGCTACATTGGAGTTTTGAAACGTATACTTAACATTTACTAGTGAGATTCAGGCCCGGTGGTGGAAGGTGGACATGGTATCGTAAACTCTGCGCCATCGGTATACGTAGGTACATTCTCTTTCGAAAATTAGAGTCAGTATATAGGTAATTATGTCTAAGTTGAATCCCAACACACAACACACAACTACTTGACGCTAAGCTTTAGCCATTTACTCATTAAAGACATCCACCCTATCATGCAACCATATCCAAAAATTAGAGGCAGCATACATCCGAGGGAAGAGCGACCTGTATTTACATTCTTCCCCCAGCTCAAGTAATATAAGAAACTCATGGTGAACTCCCCAAAAAAGCTTCATCCCGACCAGCCTCCCTTTACACCAAATACCCCTTTACGAAGTAAACTCTGGCACCCTCACAACCCAAACACTCAATCACCAATTCCCTCAGACGCCAGCCCGGGACTTCACCAAATGTATACCATAATACTCGCTTTAAAGTCCAAAACCCATATATAATTCGACCGCTATACCACCCACACCACCCATGGATATCACATACCTAACTAGCTCGTCGCACCCGTCGCACCCCCGCATCTCTCATCTACAACGTATACATCTGCCAAAAACATACAACCCTGCCGCCCTCGCCGGCAAATGACTTGTAGGGGGAACGCGTTCAGACCACTCACCCGCAGACAACTCGAAAGGGAGTCTGCTATCCCCTCTCTTCACCGTCCACTTTTCCATCCCCGTTGAAAACGCCCAACCCTATTCCGACAATGCTTGAACACCCCCTTCCACCCCACCACCTCGATCACCAAAGAGCATTCCCTCTACTCCATCCAACCTCACTCATCCTTCCAACCTCACTCATCCCCTCCCAACTTCACTCATACCCTCCTAACCTCACTCATCCCCACCCACCCCACCTCACTCACTCCCTCCCAACCTGCCCTCTCAAAGCATCCACCTCCCTCTGCAACGCATCCAAATCCGCCAGTATATCCCCCACACCATGCGACGCATCCCCCGGGTCACCCAACCCACCACGATCTCCAACGGCACCACCACCACCACCTCCAGTACCACCCAACCCACCACGGTCTCCACCACCACCACCACCACCACCACCACCGTCCGCACTCCCATGACTCGACCCCCGGTCCCGATGTCTCGTCGGCGGCGGCGGCGGCTCCTTGCCCGCGCGGTTCCCGCCTCCGCTCGACCTCCTCGGGAGCACGCCCGCGTCCCGCGGCGGGGTAGGCAGCGTCGTCCTCGCCGGCCTCTTCCCGCGGACCGAGGTGTTGCGTGCCGGGGGCGGGGGCGGCGGGGCGAGTTTGGCTATCGCGGCCGGGACTGGGACAGGTGGCCCGGCCCCGGCCGGGGATGGGGTTGAGGTTGATGCCGGGGCGGGGGTGGTTGACCTGGGGGTGCTGTTGCTGCTGGATGGGTCGCTTGTTATTTGGGGAGGAGAGGCTACGATAGGGCCGGAGAGTGGGGAGGGTTCGGCGGCGGCATCGACGGGTGGTGCGCCAGGCGGTGGCATGCCGTGCGAGCTGGAACCGCGGGAGTGGTGACTGGGCCGACGTGGCGGAGGGGGGGCTGGGGCGTGGATGCTGACGCGCAGACTAGAGGAGCGCGACCTTGTCGAGTCGACTGAGGATCGTCTATGCGAGAACTCTGTTTCGTCATGCTGGGCTGCTGATGCTGCGCCCGAGATCCCCCTGCTGTCTGACCGGCCGTGAGGCTGACGCCTTGGGGGAGGCGCCGGCTTCCTAACTGGCTGCGCTGCTGTGGCCACAGCATTTGACGTTGCGTGTGATACGTTCGGGGGCGTTGGTGGCCTCGGAGGCATGACAATGTTGAGCCCGGGTTGTACCTCTGGTTCCGGCGTCTTGCCAGCTGCTTCGCGGTCAAACACGCTCTCAGCGTCCTCCTCTGCGGGCGACCTCTTCGGAGCCAGGGGAAGAGGCTTGTTAACGCCGGATGGGGTAACGGGTCGCGCCTTCGATGGAGATACCGGTGGCAGGGTAGCAGCTCCATGGTTGGGGCCGGGTGACGGGGGCGGTGCTCCGCCCGGTGTCCCTTTTGCCTCCCCGGCCGATCCGGGCTTGATCAGCTTCCCATGTCGCGAACTCGGCGGCGGCGGCTTCTTCTTCACGATGGCCGGAGCCGGTTGTAAAGCTGCGGGCGCATTGCTAACCAAGCCGCCCCGGTCATCCTCCCCTCCGTGCTCTGATGTCTCGCGGGAGGTCTGTGGCGTTTCCTGAACAGCCTGGAGCGTATCGGATATGGATTGGCGCGATGCAGAAGAGGTATCCGCTGTGCTTGCGCCGTCGCCGCTCGGTATTGGTGGGTGCCTATTGTGCTGGGCGTATGGTGCAGTCGCCTGCGATGGGCCTGTGCTTCCAGCAGCTTGGCCCGTCAGCAGCAACCGGCCGAACGCGCCAACATCCAGTCCGCCTTTCGTTCCTGATGCCGTCTCAGAGTTCTGTTCCGGCTCTGTCACCCCGGCCTCCAAATCCTTCAAGGTTTTCTGAAACGGGTTCGGCGGGGTTCGATGGGTTGGTATCGATTGGGGCTCGTCTCCCGTATCGGACACGTCGGCAGAGCCCGTTGACGATGGGTATGTGAATGGGTCGATCTGTTCGTATGTCTCATCGCTGCTGCTGCTATCATCGTCGGATACGTCGACCGGCGGGAACCGCTGGGGTATGCCGGGAGAATCGGGAGACGAAGGCGGGGGCGATTGCACGCGAACCTTTTTGACAACTTTTGGTTTTTGAAAGCTCGTGGCAGGGGGCGGTTGGTCAGGGCTGGAAAGTGATTGTAACTGGTGTCGAAATAGGTCTGCCGGTGGGAGAGCAGGCGGCAGACTCGGTGTTTCGTCGAATTCGGCGAACCTTGGGACGCCCGCAGGTGGGGCAGCGGGCGCAGAAAGGCCGGGGTCTTTGCGACGAAATGGATTGTTGGAGCTGAGAGATGGCTGCTGTGCCATGGCTGCAGATGGTAGGGCCAGCAAAGAAAGCGATCGGACGGATAAGATACCTAAGGTAGGTAGTTCGGGTGACGAGGTGGTGCTGGCACGGTTGGTGCTAAAACAGGGGGCTAAGAACCCATCGCCGTCGGGTTTGTGTTGTCACCCGGCTCCGCATCCGACTCGGCCGTTGGGAATAGACAATGGATGATCAGGATTCAGGAACAGGGCCGCTGATTCAGCTCGTATTTTGTGACTTTGAAGTTTTCCAACTCGGTCGTTGCCAACGTAGGTCCCTTCTAGAAATGACTCGATGCCCTGGATCGTAGCTGCCTGCAGTGGTTTTTGGGGGGTTCCGTTCACCCAGGCAGGCCCGACACGCAGGTCCGACGGGTGTCGTTGATCAAGCGGTGGGGCTTGGCAGAAATGCCCCGCCATTCATCAAGCCATCCTGGGCTTCCGACTGGGCATGGACGCTTGCGCAGGGCACTGCGGCCAGGGACAGCGCACCTGCATCCGTCGAACTGCGTGGCAGACCCACAGTGGAGCAGAGCGAGAAACAACCACCCCGCCTTGCCGAAGCGGGCTCGAGGCAGGTTGCGCACGAGCCAGGCACGGGTTGGAGGGGCGGAGGAACCATGGAACCAGGGAGCTCGATGTGAGTGGGGCGAGCTCTCGACTTCGCGTCTTCGCCTCAACAGCTGCTCTCCCACAAGAAGCTGCTGCGATTTTGTGTTACAAGAGCGCCACCACTCGAGATTTACCATAATCATGTGCCCGTATCATTCAGATTAAAAGCGATATCCAACTAGAGCGCGCTAGGCAAGGCCGGGCAAAATTGCAGCTTGAAGGAAGATGAAGCGTATCCCAACGAAGCCTTGCAATAAAAGGAGCTGAAAGTGCGCGATCCCACGACCTCATTTGTGTGTTGGGCCGCGGTATTCACCGCCTCTTCATCCGGATCGTAAATGTCAAACATGATGTGGAGACCAGGCAGAATAACCTCGCCAGCCCTGATTTAAGCGCCGGCAAAGACAGACGAGAGCGATGCGAAAAGGTAAACAAGCGACGTGACAAACCCGCGTTGGTGCGTGGCCAAGCGAAAGGACGCGGCACGGTGCGGATTGAGCTGCTTCAGGAGCGCAAAACAGTTCATTTGCAGGTATAATTACAATCCACAAGCCTCCGGGAGAAACCCCTAAGTTGGAGGCACCTTCGAAATTCGCCGCCCGCGTGATCCCAACGCCCGCCTGTCCCCCCAATTCTACCTTCTTCGTGCGCTGACCTGCCCCCGAACCGTGGTGACCACTTGTTTGACCTTGGTCCTTCCGAGTGCGCGGATGCCCTCCCGCGAGTCCATGCGTGCGGCGGTGATTGCAACAAAATTCCAGCCGGCCACGTACCCAGGAGGTAGCACGCGTCGATCCAATGCGCAAAACGGCGTGTCCCCTCCGCGCGCCGATGTCGAGCGCGGCAGCGCCCATGCTGCCCCCAAAAATGATTCCCCAGTGCCGCCCAAACGCCGAACTACCTAGACAGAAACCGGACCCTCACACCGTGACAGGAAAAAGACATCATGACAAAAGCGGAGGCATAAACGCATTATGCCGAGGCCTTCTCCTTCTTGGCTGCCGCCTTCTTAGGTGCGGCCTTCTTAGGTGCAGCGGGCTTAGCAGCCGTCTTTGCGACGCGACCAGACTTGGTCTTGGTCAAAACTGTGGGCTTGTCGACAACGGCGGGGGCAGCGGGTGCCTGGGCGGGATTAGTTAGGGGTCGACGGCGAACGATGCGGGGCAGCTTGCTCACCTTCTTGGGGGCAGCGGCCTTCTTGGGGGCAGCCTTCTTCGCGGCAGGAGCCTTCTTCTCCTTGGTCTCCTTCTTAGCGGCAGCCTCCTTCTTAGGAGCAGCCTTCTTGGCGGCGGGCTTCTTCTCCTTAGTCTCCTTCGTCTCCTTCTTGGCCGCCGTCTCCTTCTTAGGCGCGGCCGCCTTCTTGGGAGCAGCAGGCTTAGAAGCCTTCTTTGCGAGCTTAGTGCCACCGGAAGGGCCTGTTGATGGTTAGATTACCCTGGGTGCGTGTTGCGGGAGGTAGGTGCTCTACATACCCTTGGGCTGCTCAAACGCGCCCTTGTCGACACCGTTCTTCAGGGCCTTGTTGAAGAGCGAGTCGAACATCTTCTCGGTGACATTGATTGTGTTGTTGGCGCGCACATACTTCTTGAGCGATTGGCGGCTGGTGAGGGTATTAGTGAGATGCTCTACGAGTTGCGACAAAAGGAAAAAAATGGTGGGTAGTGGACGCGACCGTGTGGGCCACAATGTTATGTTGGAATGCGACGCGTTAAAATGTGCAAAGCGCTTACCTAGAGCCATTGCGATCCTTGAGCTGTAGGTGAAGACGAAGGGTCAGTAAAATGCATTCCCATTGCGCATGAATCATTAAAGCATCGTGTGGCGAGCCATGCAACACCAACATGAGCAATCCCTCATGTGCGATGCGCGACAGAGCGCCCCAAATGCGCCGGGGGTAAAAGGAACGGGATGAAATACCGCGACGATGGCATCAGTGATCATGTCCTACAATTCGTTAGCTACTAGATACGATGAGAAAAAGGGCCGGTGTCAAGTCTGCGCACCTGATATGTGTGCTGCGAGCCGGAGGACTTAGGCTTCGCGGCGGCGGCGCCCTCGCTCTTAGTTTCGGTCTTCTTGGAAGGCATTGTGATTGAGGTGTGTAAGTGAATCGGTTAAAACGGTGGGCGTTGTTGAATAAAACTTGAAATGACTAAGAGTAGGCCTTGGGATAGAAATGTCGCGTCAATTGTAATTCGGATGGAGAGGAACCAGGAACAGGAGGGTGTGGGTGGGCAGTCGCGGTCCGGGGCATGCCCTGGTGTTTATATGGGAAAGCGGGGGGGCTCACTTCACACGCGAGTGATTGTGCTGATTGCGCCTCGCATGCTGGGGGTCCAGACACCATACTCCGAACCAATTTTTAGACCCAACCTCGCCCAGCGACAAGCTTCCATGGCCCGTGCTCTTACACATCAACTACAAAAGTATTAAACCATCAGATCTCCTCCTTCCCCGTGTGTGCATTGCTGCGACCCCCGCGAGTTGGTTTCACACCCGGATTAGTTTGACGGGGCCAGCCTGGCAGCCCTAGATCCCTCCCTTCAGCCCAACCCGCCCGCCCGGTCGATGCGACTCATTCATTTCCCTCTCTCACCAGACGTGGATGGGTGCCTGACTTGGTGTTTGTTTGGCTGGAGCTGCTGTTGTTTTACATCGAGTCGTCATGTGTTGGCCTTGTCATGGCTGACAACACAAATACCACCATTCACGCTCTCACGGCCAGAGGAGGGTTGTTGCAGTCAGCAGTTGAACCAAACCATGCCCCAGGCTGCATCCCGAATTGCATCATTGCCTCTCCGCATGGAATCCCTTCTGTTTTGCTTCCATGACAGATGACGTTGCGCCGTTGCGGCAGCTCTTTGGGCGAGAACCAACAAACTGCCAACGCAGGTGCCGGCGGTTGTGCGAGCCACCGAGACTTGATGGATCGGCTACGTGGGGAGGCTTTCCCTAATTCGGCGATCCTTAACAAAAAAAAGAGACATGCTGGTGGGTGGGTGAATTTGCTGATTGGTCCGTCGAAAACGGCACCTCGTCCACTTTGTACCTTCGATCATGTGTACCCCATCGAAGCTTGAGCTCTCGTTCTCTGATCTCGACTCCCCCATCCCCTCGACCCTCCGGCTCCCTCTGCTTCTCCCGTTTCTTCCCCCCTCCTCTTCTCTGCATTGGTTACTGCATGCGATGACTGGCTTCTTTGTCCCATTTTTGGTTCGATTTTCGACCCCGACCCCGCCGTCATCCGATCCCGGCTCAGATCAAGGTCTGGAGATGCCGGGTTGTGATGAATGCTTGTTTGGTCGCGTTTTGGCACGTCGCGATGCTCGATTGAAGATGACCATGCTTCGGCGCAAGGGAGATAACACCCCGCCAACCCCTGCTTCATTGCATCAAAGTGTGTCATCTCGATCGCCGCATTCCATGCCTTCTTTTCGTGCCCTTCTTTTCCTTTTTATGCCCCGGTCCGGTGTCAATATGGCCGGAAATGTCCGAAGTCACTCGTGATGGGGGGCGGGGATCGAGCGTCGCGCTTGAAGCTATCAACACCGCCACGAGTCTTACCTTTCATCTTGTCCCAACACTCACGCAGTCTCCAGTTTTTGAGATCTAACATCACTCAAGTATCTCGGTGACTCTTTAGCCTGTCTGTGACTATTTTTTGCTCCCCAATCCCCAGCCTGCGCACCAAGTTTGGGCACCATCCGCGTCATCACAGTTGATGTCGTGTCGATATGCGCGTCGGCCACCCAGCCACGCCGGATTGGCCAACCCCCCGACCGCCATTCAAACATGAAACAGCATTTGCATCTGCCAGATGTGCTTCGCTCGAGACATTCACTTGTCTTGGGCGTTTTTTTTGTTTTTGGTTTCCTCCTTTTCTTGTGACTATACGCGTGGCTTTGATCTCAGTTTGTCACACGATCACGGCTCGTGGGGGGGCGTGATGACATCTCTCAATGCCCGCCGTCTTCTCCGCCCGCTCTGTCCGCGTGATTTTGTCCGTCCGCGAGACTCCCAGTTTGTCTCCCAGCCACGCTACGAGCAACCTGGGTTTCAAGACTCGTTTCTTTGATTGTTGGCTGCCTGCGCCGCCCTATTCTAAAACAGACGTCCTTGTCGGCCTGGCGCCTATACAAGGCGTGCTCCCTCGGTCCACCCCAACGGCAACAGGCGGATCACTGTCAGGGTGGACGCCGAGCCCAGAAATGCCTCCTTTCGTAATTGACAAGCAGCACCTCGTAGACAAGAGGTAGCTAGTTAGTGGGCGCACATTACCCTGCAAGAGGAGCAGCCCGTATCGGCTGATAGCCAAGTGACGCTTTCCATCTTAGTCTTTGAGCTCGAATCGCCTCCTAGCTTAACCGTTCGTCTCCGTAACCCGCACCACTTTCCATTTATTAAAGGTCTCCATTAACTCCAACAGCTCAGGCACGACGGTGACAAGGCGGACCTTGAAGCGAATCTCTTCCAGCCAATCGATGCGCTCCAGGCCGGCGGCAACCCGGCGCATTATGTGCTGGACGAACTTGGCGTTGGCCGACGTATAGTGCATCTGAGTCAGGGCTCGGTTCTACACGCCCGAATGTGTGGATAGCGTTTTCAGACCGGTGCACCTCCGCAGAGCCACCAATTCACCGAACGCAGCTTCTTGGTCGCCCGGATGGTTCGGAGTAACCATATCTAGAAACCCCACGGACATTGTTGGCAGATGGGCCACGTTCACGGGCCCGATGCAGTCGAGGAAACGTGACAAGACAGGTAGCGGGCGTCCAAGGGGCCCGTCCGGAGCAAAAGTGTTGCACCCGTACAAGATCCCGCTGGCCTCCTTGTGAATTGCTCGGTTGGTGCGAAGCAGCGCCAGCCAGGGACCGCGCTTCTGGCCAACTGGAAACAGCGTTAGGGCGTTCGAGGGTCCGTGGGACATAACGAGCAGATTGCCCGCCTTGACAACTACCGTCTTGTAAATCATATTGCGAATTTCGGGGGGTAGGCTGAAAAAGCGGCTTTTCTTGGTCGTTTCCATAGCGGCGGATTCCGGAGTGTCACAAAACCCTGGTGTTGTCAGCGCCCGCACAGCAAAAAGATACCAGGTATTAGGGCATATCCTACGGTGATACGACGGTGGGCGCTTGCGATGTCGGGGCCGACGACCCTCGAAGAATCAACGAGAATAAAAGTCGTAGTTGGTTGCTGATGATCGATACCGTCGCTGTAGGCCCTCCTTTTTCCTTCGCGATGTAAGCAAAAAAGGACGGGACCAAAATGAAGAAGAAGCGGCGGTTCTTATGATGAGTTAATGTTGATCTGATGGTTAAAGTTATTTGGCCGGACGGGATAACCTGCAGAAACTCCAAAAAAAAAGCGTACAACAGAATCTAGTAACGTATATTTGTAGTCGCCTTTCATCGTAGGTGATACCCACCCTCTGTGCAGGATACCATTGCCCAAAACTGAAAGCCCCCCCGGGTGTTTTGGGATGGCAGTCGTGAGGGGACTATTTGCCGACAACATGGAAGCCACGACAGAGAGGTTGACAACGGCGCAACAAACTTGGTGGGTATTGGTCACACCCACCCTCATTCACCCACCTGCTTTCCTCATGCCAAGTTTACCGGGAATGGAAATGTCGATGACAGAAGACGGATGGTACGAGTATAGCTATTCTGTTTGCTCGCTCAAACACCAAAATACCACCTGGGCACTATATTCCGCTGCCGCCATGCAAGCAAGTTGCATTATTTTGTGAGCAAATTTAGTACTTGGGTATTCGCAACACTGGCAACGGGCCAACAACGGGGTAACAACAAAATATCCCGTCCGAAGCATACAATTTCAAGGTCGAGGAGATAGAATCTATGTTGAAGGCAAGTTCGGGCCCAGTAGCGCCGGGTGGTAGAGGAAATAATCACAACCACCCGGTCTCTCTCTCTCTCACACACACACACACACACACAACACACACATCACGCATCACACAACCAGCACGGTGGATTGCAATCCCAACCAAACAATTCCACTGTTCATTCAGCCGCAGGCAGCAGGGCCTGCCCAATGGCTCCAATGCGTAACTCTGACGGGTAAGGTAAGATACGTCGGTAGTAATCTAACTACCCAAACCCCTTTCCCCCGGCCCTCAAACCACCCCAACGCCGGTTATGCACGACCCGTCCCTTCACTCACCCCGAGCCTCTCATGCAAAAAAGGTGAAAAGTGACGCTGGTAACCGGGGACCAACAATAACGGAAAACGAGAACGACAACAGAAATTTGTGCGTGGGGGGTCACACCTAACCACTTAGCCCCCTCTTTCTCTCTCTTCCCCCACCAAGTTGAATACTTTCCTCCCAGACACACTCATCCAGACACGTTCATCCAGACACCCACCCATCCAGCCACACCCACCCATCCAACCCCCCTCCACAACCCCCATCTCACACACACTCAAAAGAAATTCTTATTCAACACGCCAATCGCCCTGGCATCCTCCCCCTGCGAGCGCAAATCCCTCCCCGACGCCGACCCGGACCCGGACCCCGACGCCACCATCGGCGCCGCCCCACTGCTCGGCGAACTCCCCGCACTACTCACCCCCCCACCCCCACTGCCTCCCCCCGCGGTAGCACTGCTCACCCCACTAACCGCACTAACCGCACTAACCGCACTACCCGGATGCGCACTCCCCGGATGCGCACTATTCGGCTCCGACCCCCCCGCCGGCGGCGCAGGCACAGAGGACGGGTGCAAGAGAGCAGAGAGTGTCGGGCGGGTGCTGGCGGCGGTCGGGGTGGCGATGGCGGCGGCCGTGCCGTCCGAGATGGCGCTGCGCGGGGGCGAGTCCGAGGGGGCGCGGACGGTGGGGCTCGCGGCGATGCTCGGGGGGTGGGGGAGGGTTGATGACGAGGGCGGGGTGGTGATGGCGGTGGTGGTGCCGTTTGGTTGTGGTTGTGGTTGTTGTTGGTGGTGTTGTTGGTGTTGTTGTTGGTGGTGGGCGAGTTGGCCGGGTGCTGGGAGCGGGCTGTGTTGGTTGCGCGCTGCGTCGATGGGGGCGAGGCGCGGCTCGATTTGCACGGCTTCTCTGGCCTTGGCTTGGAGATGTTGTGATCGGGGTGATTCGAGTAGGGAGAGGCGAGGCGGGGCGGCTTGGGGTGAGTGGTTTTGGTTTTGTGGGTAAGGCTGTGCGGGTGGCATCCCTATCCTGGGGGGAACCAAGGCGGGTAGTTGTGGATGTGGATGCGGGTGCTGGTGTTGTTGGTGTTGACTTTGCTGTGGGTGCTGCGGATGTTGTGGATGTTGTGGGTGTTGTTGGTGTTGTTGGTGTTGTGGTTCTGGGTGATGTTGCGCGTGTGGGTGTTGGTGAGCGTACGAGTGCGGATGCGGCGGGGGCAGCGGTGTCCGTTCGTGGGCCGAGTTTGGCTCCGGGGGCGCATAAGAGGGGTGCGCCTGCGGGTGCGGGGGATACGCGTGTGACCCTGCAGGCGGAGGGCCTTGTGAATATGGGTAGTGGCCGTGGCCGTAAGGCGGTGTCCCGACGGGCGAGGGCGGCCATGCATAGCCCGGATGCGGGTACTGCGGGGGGTAGCCGTGAGGAGGAGGCGGTGGCTGGTGGTGGTGTGGCATGTAGGATGGTTGGGGTAGAGGCGCCCTCGCCGGTGCTGGAGGTGTGGTCTCGGCGAGGCTCGATTCCGGGTACATGCCTTTTGCCGGAACGATATGCCTGAGCGACGGATCGCTGCTAGGCAGGGGCAAGTCCAGTGGCCCTCGGGAATAGTAAGCAATCAGGTGGAGGTGCTGACCCGCCGCGTTCGTGATGCTGAAGGATTGCTTCGTTAGCCCGTCGGGCTTGTACCGGTAGCCGTCCGGTTCCCCATCGTCGTGATCCTCGTCGCTTCCCCGCCCAGAGTCAGGCGTCTTTCCAGCGGCTCTCCTCCCACCGCCAAAAGCGTTCCCCCTCTTGCCTTCCATTTCCCTGTACGTCAGGAAGCTCCCAGCGACACGGCTAGCGCTCCATGACTTGCCGTCTGTCCACCGCCGCATGCCAGCTTCCCGTTCATCCCAAACGAACACGGAGCCGGACCGGATGGCTTGCCGCTCTTTTTCCGATAACCTCCTCTGGACCCGCGGAAGGAGGCCGAGCCTGCATGCTTCGAATAGCTTGATGGCGTCAGCGGGGGACCGCACCACGCCGTAGTAGGTTTCCATGATGATCCGTCCGAGTTTCAATACGGCCGGATTAGCGGTCCATGTGGCGATTTCTCGTGCAGGTGTTGAGTTTCCTAGACCCGATCCTCCGTTCCCTTCTTCAGGCCCGGTAGTCCTTCACCATCCAGAACAGGTGTCCCGAGATGGCGTCCCAGCAAATGGTCAGGGGGATGTGTGGTTGAGACTTGGCAGTTTCCACAGGAAACAATACTCGCTGCTGTGAGGAAGTTAGACCCAGGATCTTGTAGGAACGAATAAAAAAAAAGTGCCGACTCGGCCGATGCCATCTTCGGAAGCTGAAACATGGCGATGGTAGGGTGATGACGCCCCACGCCGCTTGGCAAGGGATCGTGCCCGACGGGTGATGCGCGGAAACAGCAGGTGTAGTACAGAATGGGTTGAATGGGTGGCAGGTCCAAGCGAGAACGGGATATCAACACCGTCCCTCTTCGGCTAGTTGGGGTCGTGGGCCGACTTCGCTCACGGTACGCGCGGCGATCCCGAGACGTGCCCGGTTACAGCACAGCTGCTGTGGAGTCGTCCAGCGCATCACCATGCCTCCTGACACACTGGCATGTCTTTGGCATCACCCCGCTCACGGGAGCTAAACCATCCTCCTCGGGGTGTTTTCCATCGATAGGGTGGCCCGTTGTGGTTGTTACTATGGTCTGATAAATTCCGGGAAATCTCCGATGCCGACCTGGTTCATGTCGATTCGGCCAAGGTTGGGTTTGCTTGGGATTGTATGCTGAGAGATGAAGTCCCGACCTTGAGCGGGTATTGAAAGACGGGTTGCAGCCCAGCTGATAGTGGCATCTTGTGTGTTGTGCCGTTATGTTGTTGTGTGCAAAGTCGTCGACTCGATATTCCGTACCCGGTTGAACGGAGAGGAGGGAAAGAAAGGCACAGATAAAAAAACAAAAAACAAACAAAAACAAAACAGCATCCACTTACCAAGTTAAAATCCTTCTTCCTTTTTTACGTCTTCGAAAACCACGTACGTGATTTGTGCGAGCAAGCCAAGGCGGTGGTGATATTGTTATTGGTGTTGTTTTGTTGTTGTCGCAAAGGCGGGTGTCCGAATTTCGAAGTCGGTTCTGCATTCGACAGATGCATGTGAGCCGGGGTTTGATCTGGATTTAAAAGAGACCTGAGCGTCACGGTGTGAAAATAAGGCCGGCGCGGCTAGCGGCTGACAGGGGGGAGATCGGCTGCAGGTCGATGACGCTGCAGCCCAATGAGCAAGGGTCTGTCGGAATGTGGGAGGGGGAGGCTCCAGCGAAGGTGCGGTTCGGCCACGATGTTATCAGGGATGTTGGCAAGCATTTCGTTCTGCATTTCATTCTGCATTTCATCGTGCGTGTTGCTGTGACATACTGTGCCGGCACTGTGGCGGTATAACTGGTACAATTCATGTCGGTACGATATTCCTTCCCATACCCACGGGACAGTGTATGCATACACCCACAACTGACAGTTCCTTCCGAGGTACCAAAGGATGATAATTGAATCCTAACACCGCCAACCCAACTTGCCTGTTTGCCGGTGGGTTGGCTGATTTGCTCGGCCCTGCTCTCTCCACCAACGATGCCGAGATGGGACAAACGATGTTGGCGTTATGGAGCCTCGGCAGCACATTTCTGCCCACTTCTGTACTTGCCGTACTGTACGCAGGACATGGTTGGTGCCGAAGGAGGAACTGTCGGTCGAACAACAATGCGCTGCGACAAGCAACAAGGCAGTGCCCCCCCGCCAAGTTCCACTTTGCAGTCGCGTTAAAGTTGGGGCCGAGTTTCTCCCTGACTAGGCAATTAATCAGCATGAAAAAACGTGCCATTCTAACCCAAGAAAGGAACTAAGCCCGAGGCTCAGTGCCAACCCGCAGTTGGGCAACCTTCCCCCTTCCGAAAGCCAACGGGGCAAGTGCCAAGACGGCCAAGGCAGCCAAGAGGCGGACCAGGCAAGAGCCAAGCATTGCGGAATGGCAGAAAGCGGGAAGAATTGCCTTTCAGCGGCCCCGCCCGTTGTCGTCAGCTTATCAATGGAAATCATCTCGACCGCTGTCCTTTTTCTTCATTAAGCACCACACCACCACACCTGATGGAGACTTTATAACCCCGCGGGAGAGGTGATTACGACCCAGGCACCAACGACTGCACCCTCGGACGGGAAGGAGGCTAACTCCATACCTCCTGCGTAACTCCCATGATGGAACGTACACAGGATGCATGATGTTCGAAGTAAGTACCTCGGTACCTACGTTCTCTACAAACGAAACGTGAGAGTGCCCGGTCACGGTTGGATTCCATGTTGGAGCGACTGGGAACATGCAGCGGAATTCAAGCCGCCCCTTGTCAACCTTGTCGGCTGCCCGGGACGAAGGGAAGATGGGCTTGATTCCTCACCAGGTTGCATGGGTTTATTGGAGAAGGACCAGCGAGCTGAAAACCCCGATTTCCAGCTCGTTTTCCTTTTGGTACTTTTTGGTAGGTCTTGCATCCTCCATCCCCGCCACCCCCCCCCCCCCCCCTCCTCCAAGTCTTGGGGCAATAGCGCAAAGTTCGGTCGGCCAAGTGGGTGCGCTTCGCGTGGCTAGTCACCGAGTGAAAAGGAGGTGGCTTCGTCGGCCGAACTGGCCAGAGAGGATTTGCCCGCGATCCCGCGATCCCGCGATCCCTTCCTTCTTCTGCCTGCCCGCCCGGCCCAACTCCTCGCCCGCCTGATCCGCCAGGTGGGTTGGGTTATATCCGAAGTCACCTTCCTTCAGCTTACAGCGAAGGTTGGCCCCCTTCCTCTGCGCCTGTGTAACGTAGTTACTCTGTATGTAATCTGTACGTACATACACAGCCTGTCAGAGGAATAAACGTATCGAGCCCAGAGGATGTCCAGACCGACCCTCCCGAGTGCGAGGAACTGTGCGCAACGTTCCCGCATGGCCGAGCAGGAACAAGAGAGGGCTTGGCCTTGACCGGGGACGGTATCCAAGATCCCTGCATTCGCCAACGGGAGTGTCAGAGAAATATAATAGGATTTCAAGCTTATTTCACGGCGCCGCGTCGGGCCCGTTAGCGCGCATTGGCATTGCTTGGGGGCCCTCCCGACCAAGCCTTGGCTCCTTTGTGGGTTTGTCTGGGTCGTCTGGGCGTTGGGGTCAGTTTGTCGCGGAACCCTCGGTTCGGTCTTGTGATGGATGGAAACCACGCAGCCTGAACTCACTACCTAACTCCATAACCCACACGTCGCTTGTCAACAACTCAAAAACCACCGAGCTGCCTCTGCCTGTCCCGGAGCGGTTGGATCTGCGACTTGCTCCAGTTTCCATCTGACAGGTGCCACAAGTGAGTGTCACAGGTTCAACAGATGCGCTTCGGAGATACATCAGATTCTTTTTTTTTCTCTTTCTTTTTCCTTTTCTGGCGCGAGCTGCCACTTGTTGACGCCATATCCTAACCAAATTCTTCACCTCGCCCAACGATTGGCACGCCACGGCAGCCTTTTCTGGCCACGCTCGATAGCGCCAACGAGCCTTTTCCACGCGGAGCTCCACTTCCATGTTGGGCACTTACTCAGATCCTTTATCCACTAGCGTTGCGACTGAGTCGTATTCGCGTTTCGCGGTTGCAGCTCCTGGAATGCGAAACCTTGGCCGGGGGCTTGTTTGTTTCCGTCTTCCGATCTCCCCGGGTACGCTTCTTTGGGGAAGAGTCAGGTCGAGGTGGGGTGTGGAACCCAATTCGTGTAACAATTCGCGGCTGCTTGAAACCTGATACGGAGTTACGAAGTATCCTGCTCCGTTCCTTTGTTCCGCCAAACCTTCGTTAGCTCGGTTTTAGCCAGTAAGCACGGTTCTTCTTTTCCGCCTGGGAATAAGATCCTCCTATGCGTCCCAGCCATGGGTCACGACCCAAACCACTGTGGAGGGAACTTGTGATGAGATGCGATGGCGGACTCTTGCACCGCCCGTTCGTCCCTTCATTGTCTCCCGGTGCCTGAAGCTTCCCTCCTTCCCGAAGCCGCAGGCATCCGCTCCCGTGTAAGCAAACATGACTCGGACATCAGGAACAAGCACCTCGCTGTGTAGCCATTTCCCAGCCTACCCTGGATCCTTCTCGCCGAAGGAAGGGATCATGGTTTCGAGGAGCTCTCGGGACCACGCAGATCATGGGTCCGCACTCTGCACTCGACGCTGGAGAGTGACCGCCGGAATGATCGGCGGTCGGAGAGATCAGTTACAAGTCAGGCTTGTGGTGAGCTCGGGTCCCCGGGAGGGAAATCATCCCAGATGCGATGGCAGGGCTGATGGAAAAGGTTCTCGCTAAGCATTGGGGTGCCACAGCATGCCATCGGCGTCGAGGAGGCACCCCGGAATGTCAGAGGATGCTGAGAAAGCTTGTTGAAATGCGTCCAGGCGGCTGGGCGCACCTCGGTTTGGGGACGACCGAACCAGCCGGACGGTGAAGGGGGGGCGCTGTCGGTCGTCTGTTTAAGGTTAAAGTGAGCGAGACACAGCCAAAAATAACCGCTCGACCAGGCCTCTTTGGTTCAAAACCCCCAAGTGGCGTTCTTGAACCTGCGAGCAATCCGGCGGTCAACAAAGACGGGACAATTCTAGATTTCCCGGCTTCAGCTCGGTTGCTGTTTGCTGATAATCAGCCCGGGTCATACCACGCCAGCACCGTTTGCCGGTATCACGCAGGACGGTACGATCAGGCGGCTAGCCTTGGTTGCACAAAACACACAACGACGCACCCGGCCGGTGGTGTTGCGCAAAGTTGGGTGCGAGCAGCGAGCAGGCCACCACGGGAACGGGAGCAACTCGTCAACAAACGCAGGACAAAGCCTTCCACAGTCCGTCACAGCATCTCGGACGTAAAGTGGGCGTCCAGAGTGGCTGCTGTGGACGGGGGGCATGAGGAAGCTGAGACCAGGATACTATGTAAAGGAGGGGGAGAGCACCACTTTCTCAGGTTGCCTTGCGGCTGGCTGACCGCCGAACCGACAGAAAGAGTGCGAGGATTAGGCAATAACACAAGAGAGAGGCTCACAGGATGAAGGCATTCTTGGCCCCCACAGAAGCCATCCAAACTAGTGTACTTGTACGAAGGAAAAGCCACCGTTGCTCGCGAGGTTGCACTCGGACTCGGGGCCAAGGGATGTCAGAACGGGATCTCGGGTGAGAGTCACGACATGTCGCCCCCACATGGAGAACTCACCACTCACCTCGCTGGTGTGGTTGAGCTGCAGCGAATAAGCAGAACAGGAATATGCGAGTCTTGGCGCTGCTCTGTGCTCCCAACCATCTTGTCTTCTCCCTGTCTTCCACGGCCAGCATCAGCCTCTCGGGTGTCATTCCCACAGCATCCGACAAAACGGGTAAAGAGGGCGTGTGTGGGCGTAAGCCAAGAGCTGCAGCGCACTTCATTCTTCTCCTCGTGGCCGCCATTCTGTTTCCTCCTGCCGACTCGATGCACAGAGGGGGCGTATGTAGAATTCCATGAGGATTCTGCGATCAATGAGTGATGATATCAGAAAGGAAGAGGGGGGTGATCGAACCGAACAAATCAAAACCGCAAACCGCATGACGAATTAACAACGATTGTGTTGGCTGTCTCCTGCCTCGATGGTGAGACTCGAATGTGCCCCGCAATCAACCGTCCCGGCGACGCCCGCTTAAGCTTAAGTCGTGAGTGCGCAAGTTGAACGCGCCTATCGCGTGGCCGGCCAGACCAAACAGACAAACACATCAAGGTTTTTGGTATGGAGTGTACATACGCAGTATGTACGAGTCCATGGTTGCACAAATACACCACAATCACAGTGACACACACCGCGATAGAAGCTAAGAAGCCTAAGCCCATCCGCCTTCCTTGGCAGCGGGGGTTCTTTGCATCAACCAGCTGTGCCAACCGACTGATGGAAAGGAATGCATCACTCCTGCGTACTTGGTAGGCTCGCAAGCTGCCCCCAGAAGCGATGGATCGTCCACCAGCATCGGGCGGTTGTTGCTCCTCTGTTCCAGCGCTGAATGCGGGCGTCGGCAGTGGGGTTTTTGATTGCTTCAGAATGCTGACGCGTCCCTGCAGCTGCTGTGACTGCGAGTCAATGTTACAGGAGGGAAGTAATATGTATCGGCAATGTCGCCCGTTCAGTATAAAATATACTGTGTGTATTTTCGGACCCCGAGTCGGGCAATATGTACTCCGCCGATATTGACGATTTGAAATGTGTGTGTGTGTGTGTGTGTTGAGTGCGGGTGGTGCTGGCAGGTGGCAGAGCAAGCAATGCTTGGTCCAGGGTCGAGGGGTGTTCCTTTCTTTGGTTCGGTTGGGGTTCGCACGGCCCCAACTTTATTCCATTGCCAACAACGTGGGCTCGAGTGGGCCCTTCCTCGGCAAAATCGGATCAGATCGTCCCAGCCCCAAACTTTGTGCGACGCCAAGCCCCCTCGACGCAAAGCAACCACTTTTTGCTCGCAGGCTCGCTTTTGTGGCCGGAATCTGCCCGCGACACTCCCCACTACTGCACGGTACTTGCGGCTTATGCGCCCATTCCTCTTTGAGTTTGTAGCGGAATCTCAGAGAAGGAGAAGAAGAAGAAAAGAAGAAGAAAGGGAAAAAGAAAAACCGAAGAAAATGATCGGCAACTCTATTAGCAACAAACTTGTTGATGACCGCCCACTCCCCTCCTTTTCCCCTCACATCCCCGCCGTTGCCGAGCCAAGCGGGCGGCCAAGTAAAAGCCAAGAAGCACATGGCCTGACTTTGGTCGAGACGAAGGAGTTCCATTGTGCCTGCGGCAAGTCGCCCGCCGCGCCGCCTCGTCCGCTCATGATCTGGTCCCCTCGAATTGTGCGCTGGAGTTGCTTTCGTCTCTCGATCCGGCCTGAACACCGGCTCCTCCGCCCCCAACAGCCGATCTCACATAAATCTCGCTTTTTCCGAGCTCTTGATCATCCTCGACGCCTTCCCGTGTATGGTAGCACCGAATCTCGGCAGTGCAATCGACTAACCACTAATTAGTCCAAACTCCCCGGTCCTGGAATATTCTGTGCTGCTCGCTCCGCAGTGCGTTCAGGGGGAAAAGCCATTATTAATCGGGGGGTTCCTGATTGGGAAAAAGCTTGATTACCCTACACATTCTGCAGCCAAAAATTATGCGTCAACATTCGAAAAGCACTCGTCTCGTGAAACCATCACAACCAACTTGCATCACTAACTACTGCGCTCAAATCTTGGCCCGACTTGGCCCCCAGCTTATCATAGATGTCCACCTCGCAAGTACTGTGTAATCTGTACGTAAGAGCAACACATTGAACCGCCCCTGCCGAACTCGTCCTCCACTCTCTCGCCGACACAGCCCTGGACTAAGGTACGATGTACACGGGTACACATCTCCGGGGATCGGAAACCCGGAGACCGGAGACCGGAGAATGCTTCTCGTTTCGTCGGTGATATACGAGACCGAGCGTCGATCACAGGAAACACTTGTTGTTTAACGAATGCCCACCTCGTTTCATCCTCCGGTCGCTTCCTTGACTCCTTTGTGGCTTGATTCGTGGGCGAGGAGTTACGGCCAGTCAGAAGGTCAGAAGGAGGCTGAGTTTCCTACCAACGGCCAACCGGTGCGCGGACGCAAACTGGAGACCGGCTTTGGCCCGCTGTTGTTTTTCTCCCCCGGCTTTATCACGGGCAAACGGGGCTGGGGTCGATTCTCTCCAGGTTTGGGAAGGTGGTAGCACGCAGGACCAACAGCATGCCACACAACTGCGAATATAGTAGATGGGATCCGCTCTCCTCCCGTGCCGAGTGACATGCAACGGCGGGAACCATGGCAAGAATACGCGGTTGGACGGGAGCAGTGAGTGAGCGGTTTGCTTGCTCATTGGCGATGGACACCAAACACACCTCTCCTCCTGTCTCGTGCCTCTGGTGGTCTGTATACTGTGTACTTCGTAAGTCAGAGGACCGACCTCGAGCCATTCATTCCCGTCCCATTGCCAGCTTTGCAGCTGCTATCTCAAACCCGTAGCTCGCCGCAGCGACAAGCTGCTCCCATCCAACCGCCCAGAGCCTTCAGACGGAGCCAAGCATCCCAAGAACCAACAACATCCACCAAGCACATCCACCAAGCCAGGCCTCGACGCGGTTCCATATTAAGGCCCAGCAGGCCAAGCTCGCAACCGAGGCGCCACAACGTCCCCCCAGTCTGGGTAAGGTTGGGCGGCGGCGGTTGATGAACTTCGCCCGCAGCGTTTTAGCCTCCGCGGGCCGGTACCTGTCCATCCCGCCGCCAGTGCTTGTTCGGTCCCGCGGGGCCCGATGAGCACGCATCATCACCCATCGTAGCACCGCGCATATGACGGATGGACGGACGGGCGAGCTGATCTGGTTTGTTGACTACACTACTGCGATATCACACTAGTAACCTCACGCACCGGATCACCGCCTACGAGGCACCCGCCCCAATCACGCTGCATGCCGAGTGGGAGGGAGGACCGACTCGGGCGGGGACGGTCGTCGGAGAGGGTCGTCGGAGAGATAGATATCGACGGGAGGGGCTCATCGTGTTGTAATATCGAGCCCCGAAACACTGTGACTAATAAGACCGAGCCCGGGATGGCTGGATAGTATGTAAATATGTATTGCTTGCCACTGTACATAAACGACACCGCGCAGTGGTACATGGCGGACCCTCTGTAAATATGTAAAACCCGATAACGCCGGCATAGGCCCAATAGCGCTCCTCCGTCATGAGATCGCCAGCTCTCCTTTCCGAGCGCGGTTAGTTACTCTACTTCTTCTGTTGGGGGGGGGGGGGGGTTGGTACAGGGAGGAGTCAACTTCCTCGACCAGATCGGGCTGCTGCTCATGCGGTGCTGTCGTGTACATACCACCCCCGAGCGAGAATGAGGAAATGCGGCCAGCGCTTCGCTCGCAAGGAGACGCCGGAAGGGGGATCCACCTACCCATAACTACCTAATAACTCCGACTCTCCCGTGTCCGATTCCCCACAAAGCATCCGAAAAAGCCGATCGGAGTGTTTCGACAGATCCCTCTTCCGGATCACACCTTCTATGTACAGGGACGAAAAGGGGTGATGCTGCCAGTACATAGCTGGTTCTCGAGGTGATCGGGCCGAGAGGGCTCCAGCTGAACCGACCCTGTACCGTCCCCCGGCAGGGCCGGATACCCAACGAGGAGGTGGGCCCCGAGCGACTCGAGTAGAAATACAACGGAAGAACTGTCATGCACAAAGTGGCCGCTTTGACTCCCGCGCACTCCGAGGTTGAGCCGCCACGCAAGGCTGGTTGGAGATTGGTATCAGGGAGAGGATATCTGGTCCATGGGCTAAAAGGGGGGGGGGGGGGGGGGGGGGCGGACCAGGGAAAAACTGGTAACAGGAAGCGTAATAAACAACAACACCCCTCGCTACCATGATCATCACCCACCGTTAGGATCCTGGCAACTACATAGTGAAGTGCAGAAAAATACTCACTCCTTCTCTCAACCGAAGATTCTGCGTCGGGCCCGCGGCGCAACAGAGGCCTCGCTCGGTCATAGACTTAGCATAGGCGTCGGCTAAGCGAACGAGTAGAGAAAGGACGGGTCGTAGCTTCGGGCGCTGTGGGGTAATACACAACTGGCAACTCTATTAGTAAATGCGGCACGAGGAATCATGACGAGTTCACTCTCTAGTAAAACAGTCCTTTTGGCGGGGACTCGGGGTTAAAGTTGCTTGAACTGACCTGGCATAGAAATGCGTACCGTGACAGTTGGGGTATTTGTGATATACCGTGGCTACCAAAGAGGATTGCTGCTGTTGGTTAAGTCGATAGCGGACCAGATCAACCGTTAGCTTGGTGCTAGATAGTGTTGCCATTGTGATCTGCTGTGATTCGAGGTTGATATAAGCCGTCGTTACAAGTTGATTCAGCAAGTTTGTGCCCCCCCCCCCCCGGAAAAGATATTACCTGGCGTGTGTGTGGACAAGGCGTGGATTGGATGGCATTGAAGCTACCTTAAGTACTCAGAGCCAGCCAGTCATTCACGGGTGAAGGTAGCGGCACGGATTCCTCGAGAGGTGGCAATTTGTGTCCGAGCAGGCAAGGTTCTTTATTCGACTCTTAGTCCAAGAGCAAATAGAGTAACTAACTTGGCCCCGCGATTACATGGTGTCGGGGTGCGAAAGTCAAATCGGTAGTCCACTATGTGCCCGAGAACCGGCATGCTTAGTCGGCGTAAGTTAAATTGTTAAAATGAGTTGGGTATCAGAAACATCTAGCATAGACAGTACCCAAAGCCGTTGGGTTCTTGGAACGGAACATCTCGGACTTGGAATGCACGCAGCCGCTGGGAGAATATGATGCAACAAAGATGCCTCTCCGCCCGAACCTGACACGTTGAGAGGGGCATAAGGCCGTAACATATTCCAGGTCGCACACGATTGAGTTAAACGGCCGGCTCGTGTCCGATCTGTCACCTACGACTCGCCTCCGTGGCATCATGTGTCTCGTAACATATTTTTCTCGCCCGCTCCAAAAGGGAGACCGCATATCGATCTGCCCATGAGGACATGGAGGGCGGGATTTCCGGTTCCCAACACGACGATACGGTATGCTGTAGGTACGACAAAAGCACCTGACTGAGTCCAGGGGCGGGCGGACTGTGATGAGCACGGCAGGTCAGGCAGCACGAGAGGACCGCGAGGATGACCAAGATCTTGTGCTTGTCTGCTCAGCAGTCGCATCGTCCATGCCAGCGTGGGAATGAGACGATGTCTCGAACAGTTTGGACGCCAGCCAGATAGCTGAGCAGCCGGTCAAAGCCGACGCCAAACCCGCCGTGCGGTGGGCAGCCCCAGCGGCGGAGGTCGACGTACCAGTCAAGACCGCCGGAGGAGCTTTCGTTAGGGGCACCTTCTGATGGTGGTTTGAAGATTCCCTGTCGCTTCATAACGTCTAAGAGAGGGTCTAGACGGTGCTCGCGCATCGACCCACCAGCAATCTCGCAGAACTCGGGCACCAGCAAGTCAAAACAATCGACTGTTGGGCCGGGTACCCCAGAGGCCGGCGCCTGGGTTTCGCGCATGTAAAAGGCCTTGATGTCTCGGGGATAGTTGGTAACGAAGACGGGTTTCTCACCGCCTCCAACGTATTCAGCAAGGTACTTTTCATGTTCAGATTGTAGCCCTGCACCCCACGTCGGCTTGTGTTCGAAGAGGTCGGCTTTCTGCTGCAATAGTGCGACGGCGTCCGAGTATGTGATTCGCGGCCAGTCCTGGCGCATCAAGCCCTCCCAACGGCGCCTTACCTCCTCGGCCGGCGCCAGATCGGAGCCGCTGGTGCGTGATCGGAAAAGAAGATCCCGGACCGTGGCCGACTCGATAAGATTGGTACTCAATGACCGTAGCATGTCTTCGGTCAGGTCCATGACGGGGCTGAGGCCATCGACGAAGCTCATTTCAGCTTCAAGCATGTAAAACTCGCTCAGATGCCTCGAGGTATCGCTCTTCTCAGCGCGGAAAACGGGCGAGAGGGTCCAGACATTGCCGACAGCTTGCGCGAGGGCCTCTAAATGGAGCTGGGTAGACACCGTGAGATACTTTTTGGAGCGGAAGAAGGACCCCTCGGAACCATCCTTGTCGGCCGGCGCAGGCGTGTCGTTGGCCGGGGTCACGGTAAAAACCTCACCGGCGCCCTCACAGTCCGACGACGTGATGATGGGAGGGTGTGTCTGAGTGAAGGACCGCCCTGCAAAGAACTGAGTCAACGATGCGATGGCTTCGGACCTCAGTCGTAGCAAGACGGCGTTGACAGGAGTTCTCGGCCGCAAATGCGGCATGGTACGGAGATACTCAGGTGTCTGGTATTTCTTTTGGATGGGGAATGTCTGCAGGTCGGTTGTTAAAATATTAATACCTTGACTGGTGCATGGCCTAGGAAAGCAAAAGTAGGGCAAAGAATACCTTTGCGTCGGACGGACCCAAGACCTCTACTTTGCTCACATGCAACTCATGGCTTTGAGACGCACCGGGAGAGGACACCCAGGAGCCGGTGAGGCGGACGGCCGCACCAACGGTCAGGCTGCAGGGACGGTGTCAGTACCAGGTTACCAGCTTAACCGAGACATCCTTCTGTCTGTCGGAGAGGGGCGAAGGGAGGGGCGAGGGGAGATGGGGGAATAGGTTATTTCTTACTCTTCGGCGCGGTCGGCCCGGACGAGGGCCTGTAAAGGAGCCAACGACGAGCCATCGCCGAGAGCAACGAATTGATGGGCTTTCATTGACCGGACGGACCGGACGAAGCCGTTGACGGTCACATCCTCCGCCTTCTCTGCGGGCCTCCACTGTAGTAACTCGGCGACGGAACGGTTTGCCCGCTGAGAGACAGATCGGTGGAAGCTGGCGACGTGACGCGGACGCAAGACACGCGAGACACTCGACGGCCGAAGTGCCGGAGCGGGCCGCATGGCTTGGAGGTCACCTGCGTTTGGTTCTTAATTGCAACCCGGAAGTTCCGCCCTGTCCGATGTCGGTGAGAATTTCCGGATTGGAGGTTTGGCCCTAATTTGCCGTTCATGCACTGACTGCTGCTGCTGCGTAAGGGGCTGGCTGAAATAGCGTCAGCTGGAACTTCCACGACTTGGAGAAGCTGGTTGTTGCCGTGCTGAGGTCACGGTGCAGTGGGATAGAAACACGCCAACGAGCTCGAGCTTTTTTTTGAGACGGCACGCGGCTGGATCCCTGTCATCTCCATCCATCTTACCAGGCCCTTTCTTAGGTCCTCGATTGAACCGCAAGCACCCCACTGCTGCACTTGCCCTTCTCAGACCTTGCGCTACCATGATTGGCTGCAGCTCGATGCCATCCAATCTCTTTTCTTGGCACAAGCGAGAGAGCTCGCACTCGCACCTGCCATACCTTGGCCCAGGTTTGGCAACAACACCATTGTTACCACGATTGGCTTCACCAAAAGGAAGGCGCTCTGGTACTGTAAGGTAGGGGCGTTCTTGATCTGGGGTTCCTGGTATGATGTGGCTTTCCCCGCAGGGTACAGCTCCTTCCCGCTCCCTATCTCTGCCGGATCCATGACATGGAGCTAGGGAGGAGCTCCTTTTGCTTTTTTTTCGGTTACCTGACAAAGTCTTCCCATCCGCACCTCACACTTGCATCTCCTCAGCTGAGCACACAGCGCTGTGGCTTCTGCCATCCAGCGAGACCTTGCGACGACGATCTCTTGCCCCGCTTCAGGTGATGCTTGGGCACCCAGACACTCGTCATTGCACAGGGAAGTGTCAGACATGCATCGTTTCGATTTTGTCTTTTTGGTTATCCCCGCCCTCACCGGCCTTCTTTTGGCGTGGTTTGAAGCTCGGGTCACCATCGTAGGCCCCTCCTCTCCTCTCTCCCGGCCGGGATGCCGATCCAGAAAAACCCGCCGGCCAACTGAGCCGAGCGGCTCGATTGCATGTCTCGCCCGCATTGGATTTGATTCGCCTGCAAAGAGGTCAGTAAGTGCGGAGTTTAAGCCGTGCCCAGAGCCCGAGTAATTATTGGTTTCAGCAGCTGTCCGGGCTTCAGAGGACTTGACGCATGCACCAGGTTCAAAGACACTTCCATTCAACGGCGGACAGCAGGGACCCGGCCCATGTCTCTGGTCCCGAGTGGCGCGGGAATACCAGATTGACTCAGACCCAAGATGGCGCACCTACGGCAACACAGCGGCCCCAGAGTTCCAGCATCCGCCCACGGTGTAATGCAATTCGAAGGGTCTCGGCAACTCGCCTCGGTCCCAACCCTGCCCCTAGGAACCTCAGGGGTTCTTCTTTTCTTGGCTACGCATGCTATCTAGCAGCGAGGGCGTAGTTATATCCATATAGCCAAAGAAAGCCTCCTCCTGGCTTACTTTGTGGTCTGGGCGGGAACTTCGGTCTCCATCGTGTCTTGGGCATCCCGGCTTGGGCAGAAGCCTCGAACGATAATAAGTGTCCCCACGCCTGGGAGGCCGGTAAGTATCCTTGGCCTTCTCGTCAACAACATAATTTGGATGTTTTTGATGTCTGAGACTGGGTAGTTACACAGAGATCTCTCTGCATGGGAATCGCAGCACGCGACACGGCCATCGTGTTGGCCACTGCGGCTGCTCGCAAGCAACGGCGTTTCTGGCGTTTCCCGAACCTCTCCTTTCTCGCCCCACCCCCTTGACCACGCTTATGCAGATATAAAGCAACTGATGCCCCCAAACACCCTCCCCAAGAATTGGTAAAGCTAACAACACCCAAATCCGACCTCAGCCTCAACTGACTCCACACGGGCCTGCCTTCTCATAAGGCATATTGTCCTCCGTCAACCGCCTCGCCGGGTGCCCCTAATCTCCCTCACCTACCACAATACGATGCCTTCTTCCAGCTCCAAGTCGAAGCCCAAGCCGTCCGAGGTTGCCTCGGAAGCCAAGAGGATTTACATTCCCACAATCAGAGAAAAGTACGCATCGACATGGACCACCTACTCGTACATCTATCACCAGCCGTTGTTGCAAATCACCTTCGATGAGCGTCCGCTTGACCTTTCCCCTCCTGTTTTCTGTGAGTATGCGCCTCTAAGACGAAATGGCGGTCTTGTTCTAACATGGCCCCTAGATGTCTCCAGCGGAGACCCGGTCAACACCGCATTGGAGTGGGTGGACTCTGCACAGTGTGCTATACCTTTCATCTGTGCAGCGAACGACAAGCGCCCTGGAGGCGACTGGGAGACGGGCGTGGTAGGGTACGAGGAGCGCTTATGCCGGCGGAGCACTCTCGCGGCATGCCTAGGAACGCCAGCGGATGGTTCTCCCGCCAACAGCCACTACCCCCCTCCCGATATGCGCCGGAGTTTTGTCGCAGCATGTTGGTGAGTTAGATCCCCTCGCCTCTTTCTGCCCCGGACCCAGCCATTAACCTGCCACAGTCGTGTTCCGTGGGCCCCATGACAAATATGAGAAGCTGCCGACTGACCAGTGGCGGGCACTGCCTGTTGTGTCGGTGCCTCCGCCACGCTGGCCCAAGCTGACCCAGAACGGCACCAAATACTCGTTCGACGATGAGCGCGAGATGGTCAAGGAGAAGATGCGTGGCGCACTCCGCATCTGCGCCTACAACAACTACAGCACTGTGGTGATAGGAGACTTTGGCCTCGGGAACGGTTACCGAAATCCGCCGCAGGAGCTTGCCGAGCTGTGGCGGGAAGTTTGCCTCTACGATCCCGACCTCCGTGGCCGGATCCGCTGCGTGGCATTCGTTTTCGAGGACCCCAACCAGAGCACCACACAGTTGATCTTGGACGATATCGCGAAGAAGGCCAAGGGTGGCAGCAGTTCGGCAAGCCGATCCAAGACAAAGGGCGGTTCGGGCTCGAGCTCGAACTCACCGCCCGGCACCTCGCCCGCCGACGTCGACATTTTCTCTCACGTGTTCGACAGCGCGGAAATCCAGAGATTCCTTGCCCAGCCAGATGCGAGATACGGCTTGAGCAACCTCCTTGCTTGATGAGATTTGGCTTTTTCCTGGAGCAGGTTTTCTGCGGCGTTACGGAGGCGGCTCCGAGTTGGGACTTGGATTGGCTTTTTTGGACATTTCTTATTGGGTTAACTCCTCATGTCTCACTTTAATCTTTGGACAGCATTCCGGATAGCCGTCTGGTGGTCGGATACACGGGACTTTCGACTTTAGCATGATTCCCCGACTTGGTCTATTCGCGACGATAAGGATAATGTACTGTATAGTTTGCCTAATTTTGTTATGCATCATCACCCTTTTGGACTGATATACATATATTCATCGAGCGGCAAGCGCGCTTGTCTGAGCTGGCTGAGTTGCCCTGGCACCAACAGGGATGCCGAGCCCAAGCCCCGGGCTTGCCGAGAAACAGGGCCTGGAGCCCCGGGCCGAGACTGATCAACGGCCGGGGAACCAAGCCAGGGGCCCTGCACAGGCATCCTGGTTAGTTATCACGATCCGGCGACTGGCTGTCATCATCAGTCTCAGACATGGGGCGACCTCATGGGCGATGGTCTGCATGAGGCTGAAGCCGTGCCGTCAATTATTGGCTCAGAAGAAGGCCAAACTCCATCCGCAGACATGACGAACACTCCCTCGGGGCGTTTCGCGCAGGTGAACATCGCGAGTCCCGCCAAGCCGCAAGAGGTATTTCGAGCGACCGCAATGCCTCATTGGGAGGTGGCTGCAGACGTGGCGAGCGGGCAAGTTCCTTTTGCTTTTTCTCGCCCCACCGCTCCTCATGCCCTGGACAACCGCGCCACTTATTGAGTCCTCGGACCGGAGTTCACTCCATCAGGACACGAACCGAGACCGCCTGACAGCATGACAGACTGCCGTTCCCCGCTGCTTGCCTGCCGGGCCATCTCCCTCGGAGAACCTCTAGCGACGTTGAGAGATGTACACATAGGATGGGCCTCTACCACTCAGCGAGAAGCGATCAGCGCGTTTATGAATGCATACATATTATATCCTGAAACACGAATCATCATCACATCTGCTGCATAGCGGCGAGCCGTTGGCCTGGGGGTCATCCGTTGCCAAGGCAGTGGGTGACCGAGATCCGGCGGTGGCGGCGCGAGATGAGGCACGCAAGCGGGCAAGATTTCTTGCACAACGCTCCCTCTGCTGACCGCCATGCAGTAGTGCGAAACGTTGTGGTGCGGAGAGCCATCCTCATCATCATCTTTCACCCCCCCTGCCTTGGTCTCGTTTTGGGAGACCATCCTGCACATCTCCTCAGTCGCCGACTCCCCGGGTGTCGACGTCTGCAGATCTGCCGATACGATCGCCCACCGTCGGTGATAAATGACCGTTGCAATGTAAGGACCCTGCATTTTCACATCCACGTCTCCCGGCGCCGAAACAGAGCAGCATCGACCCCTTCCGCCGGACTGTCGACACCCACCACTTACCCGCCTCTTCCGGTGCAAGACGAGGGGCGGTGAAGAAACCTCGAGAGTCCTCCGTCACACAAACGCGGCTGCGGATACCCTGGTGGAACACCAAATCTCGTTGGGCAACGACGCACATCACAAGGCCTGGAGACCGCTGTGTGAGATCGAGTCATACAGATCGTAGATTGTACGCCACACCACAAACACGGCCCACATAGGCATAGGCGCCCGGCATCTCTGGGTGACTGCGTTAGCCTTGCCGCCCCCTAACCCGGTGTAACAGGGCTTGGGTCGATCACAGGACCGGGCAGGGCAAGGGTCTCTTGACAATGGAATGCAGACAGGGGCGGGCCATTGTCACGGGGGGCTGGCGGCGCTGACTGCACATAGGGCCGTAAGGAATGTCCAGACAAGTCAAGGGACGTCGATTACGGGCCTGGGCCGTTGCGGTTGAGATGGGTGGTTGTCTCTGAGGAAGTAGTGATTGGCATGGGAATGTCTGACACTGCTTTGTTTCTTCCATTTTCGTTGAAGAAGAAGCACCCCGAATAAAAGCCCGGGCGAAACGGTCCGGCATGTCACTCCGGCCATGACTTCATACATACATACATACATGGCCGCCACATTGCTAGGATATCAACCACCCATGGGGTTAGCCAAGGCGCGTCTAGACCCCCCCTAGACGGACCCCTTACCCGACACCTAACGGCCGGGCGGGGCAAGGAAAGCATGGAGGGCACCCTGCAGAAGTGACAGGTCGCAACTTGGTCTCGCTTCCTCTTCCGAAAACCCCGGCACGAGTTATTTCTTCCCACAACCGGCAAAAGGACAGAAGAAGCAAGGCCGTCCGTCTCTCTCCACTTCCCATTCACACGTCAACAACCCCCCTAAAACAATGGACCAACACAATAGCAACACATCGTCATCTGCTCCGGCAAAACCACGGAGTCACACCTCATAGCTCCCTATCACTTACTAGCCATCACGGGGGTTGGGGAGGGGGTGGGGGGTTGAAAGTAAGGGGAGGGGGGCGAACAGAGAAAACAACCCCCTTCTCCCCAACCAGTAACCAGTAACCAGCAACCACCAACCCCCCAATCCCACCCCCACCCCCCTTATTGACCTCAAAACCGAAAACGAAACAAAAAGAAAAAAGGAAAGGACCACGCCCAATAACCGCACCACTCCACTCCACAGCACAGCACACCGTACCGACGGCAGGCAAGCAAGGGAAGGGAAGGGCGAGGGCGAGGGCGTCAGCCGACACACCGGGCCGAAAGTCCTCGGCCACGGCCAGCCAGCTAGCTAGCCGGGTAGAGGTAACGGAATGCAAAGCCTGTCAGCCCGCTACTAAGCGAAAAACAACAACAACCAGCGAACAAACGAACAACGAAGGGCGCCCCCCCAGCTAGTTAGTTAGCGGCTCGACGTGACTGACGATGGTGGCGCTGTCTGGGCCAACCCAACCAACCGCAGCCGGGCAGCAGCCGGGCAGCAGCCCGGCAAGCCCGGGCTGACAGGATGGGGACATGGTCGGCTGGCTTGGTTGGGAAACCGAGGTTTCGGGTTCGGGTTTGGGAGGGGGGGGATGGGGTGGGGTGGATCGTTGGGGGTGGTGAATAGGTGAATAAGGGGGGTTTGCTTGTGCTGATGTTGATGCTGTTAAGGAGGTATCCTGGGGTATGTTTGTGTTTTGGTAGGTACCTCCTTTACCTGGGGAAGTGCGTAGACGAGGTAAGCATTCAAAGAGGAAAAGGGGGGTGGGGGAACCCTCTCAGCCTCGTGAGGGGGAAGATGGATGTTTGCTATGTGCTGATAAATGCCGTTCGTTGTGGCTGACCATCACCGGTCCGAGTGAATGTTGTCGTTGGACGATATCGTCCAGCATTAGAACAACCAACCCTTATTTCATAGTTAGGAGGTATAGCAGCCCGACAGAATACGGTATGTTGCATATGAGCAGAAGTAGCCGACGTAGAAAACAGCCCAATCTTGAACTCCACGGATAATATCATGTCACGTCGTATTTTGGTATCACCTCCATCTAATCTGGCTCACATGTACGTCCGCCCCTTCTCTACCAATACGAAGGCCTCAACCCCGTAAAACTCGACAGCGCCGACCCGTCGCCCGAATCTTCCCGTTTCCTCTGACCCGCCAACTGGAATTCCACGTTAGTCACTCCAGGTATCATGATGACGACGACAAAAAGGATCAAAGCGGACTCACCTCCAACTGCACCCCCTTATGCAGATGCACCAGCCAGTCGACATAGCTCTGGGCCTCGTTATTCCGGTCCTCGACCAGCATGCGCGCAAACTCGTACTCGGCGCCGTCGATGCCCTGGCGGGCGAGCTGGATGGTGAGGCCCTTGGAGCCGCGCATGGCGCGCAGGAACTCGACGATGTTGCGCACCTGGGCGTTGAGGTGGGTCTGCAGGGCGGGCAGGGCCGAGGTGTAGGCGTCGAGGCTCTGCAGGCTGGTCTTGTCCTCGCCGAACAGGTCGGCGATGAGGTTGGGCGACGTCTGCGCGTGCATCCACAGCAGCGTCTGCTGGCCGTTGTCGACCAGGTACACGCCGCCCGGCTCGACGCGCGAGAAGGAGGCGCGCACCGCGGGCGGAACGCGCAGGTGGCCGCCGGCTTGGGCGTCCGGGAAGCCGTCCTCGGGCTGCAGGTTGTGCAGGGGGATCATGCGCGGGTAGAGGTAGAGGCTGAGCTCGAGGGGGCCCATGGAGCGGATGAGGCGCATCTCGTGCACACGGCGGTCTGACGACTCGGAGCCGCCCTTGAAGGCGCGGCACTTGATCATGCCGAGCACGTACATGGCGAACTCCTTGAGGCGCTCGGGCATGACGAGCTGGCCTGGCGGGTGCGCCTGCGCGAGGAAGTGCTTGCGGTAGTTGGCCAACACGTCGATGCTCCTCTCGGTGAGGCCCAGGCGGATGTCTTTGAGGGCGTTGGAGGTGGTGGCTAGCTTGGTGGAGCCCTCCTTGGCCAGGATCGTGATGACGGCGTCCTGGTCGATGAACTTGATGCTCTCGCGGGCGCTCTCGCTGACGCCGGCGATGACGTTGATGCACCTGACTCGCCGCTGGCCCGAGGCGGAGGTGTAGAGCAGAGCGGCCTGGAAGTGCGTGTCGAGCTTCGGGTCGAGCTTGCCGTCGTAGCTGAAGGTCACGCCCAGCGCCTTGTCGGCGTCGATGACACCAATCTCGAGGTCGGCGCCGAAGGTGTGCTGGATGAAGTTGCCGTGGTATCCCGACACCTGGAGGCCGTTGGAGCATCTGACCTTCATGAGAGCCTGGAATCCCGTCTCCCGTGTGACGGCGTGCTTGATTTCGAGCGACAGCTTGGTGTTGTCCCTGGGGGCGATGAAGTTGGGGTAGTAGAAACTCTCGCCACCAGTGGTAGCAGACACGTAACCTGAGAATAGTTAGCAAGGTTTGGACGAAGGGATAGAGTTGATCGCCGATTTCGCTCACCAATGGTAGCAATGTCTAGATAACCGCCCGACGGAGCGGCCATAAAGAAGTCGACACCGACGCCGACGGAAACCATTTTCTCGGCGGCTCTCCTCCAGGCCGGGTGTTCGGTGCTGAAAAGCTTCTTATCAGGCTCACCGCTGGGGTGCTTGCCGTCGTCCCGCATGAACAGCCGGCCGGGGCCCCAGGTGGGCAGCGCGGAGAGGGAGCAGAAGATCTTGCCGCCCGTGGATTCTAGAGCCGCAATCGCCGCATTCAGCGTCGACAGGAGCGCCGGCTCGGGGTTCTTGATGGTTGAGAACATTTGGGGCAGGCGAGTTAGCAGCGAGCTAATCACGGCTTTGGACTCGTACGGGTCTACAAACAGGCCCTCGCTAAGCGGCACGAAGGGGTCTTCGATATCGGGCATGATCATCATCTGCGCCTGCTCCAGGGTCGGGCTGACATTGTAGAAGTGGACCTCCTTATCGTACGTCACGAAGCCGACCTTGGCGCCCGGCGGTATCCTCCTCTTGACTTCCCCATTCTCATCCTTCTCCTCGTCATCCTCGGCGCTGTATAGGGTGCGTAGAATACCGTCACAGAAGGACTCGAGGAACCCCTTGTTGAAGGCCTCTTGGGTCACATCAATCAAGAAGAGATAGCGCAAACCAACTGGTTCCCTGGTCCAGTACTCCTTCGGCACAACGAAGTCGACTGTCCCCCTGGTGAGTTCCGGCCGCTGGTCGCGGTCAACGCGGACACCCTGGGGGCTAGTGGCGCAGAAGTACTCTGAAGGGGTGTCGTTTGCATAGCCACACAGGTTGCAGACAAACTTGTTGCCGCCGGAGCGGAACATCATAAAGGGGTTGACATAGGCGCGGCATCTGTGGCAGCGCGGCGGGCCAACGTCACCAAAATCCAGAACGGGAATCTCGAGTTCGCCGGCCTGGAGAGGGGCCATCGGCTGGAGGACGAGACCGAGGGGCAGGCCTGTGCTCTTCAGGCCCTCGGCGGTGGCGGGGATGTTGGTCATGGTAAGGCGGGCAAACTTGGGTGAAGCGTTCCCCTGGTCGAAGGCAACAAAAGAAACCGTAGCTGGTGGTGGTACTAGTCGCTCGAAGGTCGGGTACACATTGCTGAAGAAATATTGCTGGACGGAATCCCGGGACACTGGCACACTAGGCATCTCATCGGGGGACACCCTGGTCTGTCCCGAGTGAGAGACCATAGTCGGCGCAGGTGCGGCGGCATCGGCAAAGCCGCTCCTGGCGGCGAACTCGGCGGGGGAAGCGGGCGCGGGCATGAAACCGGGGCTCACGGGCGCCGGGAACTGGCTCGCCTGGGGAGCTAACCCGCCGCCGCCATACAGAGAGGCGGCCGCCGAAGGCTCGGCGTTGAGGTAGGGGGTGGCCGCTGTGCCTGCTGGGGGCATGCCGTTGAAGGGCTGGGACGAACCCGTGGGTGCGTCAACCGTGTGGTATGCGTGGCGGTCCTTCTTCTTCTTCCTGACGGTACCCGCCCCTGCGTCGGCCCCGAGGCTCATGCCGCCCATCTGCGCCGCCAATCCTCCGTCGTCAACCGGGGGCTGCTGTTCCTGGAAGTAACCGCCGGGTTGGGGTGCTCCGTATCCTGGTGCCTGTGGGGGCATCGGCGCGGCTGCCGGTGAGGGTGCGCCATAATAGGGTTGCTGAGGAGCACCTTGTTGATAGGGGTTCGGAGCGATGGGGGGTTGGAACTGCGGAGGGGCAGGTTGGCTCGTTCGGTTCGGGTCGTTGGGGTCGAGATTCTCGCCCTGACCGAGGGCGTGGTACATGGAGTGGTCGGCCATCTTTAGGGGAGTGCTGTCGGCAGCAATTCTCCTTGAGATCCTCCCACACGCGGGTGCTGTCTGTTTCTTGTCGGCGAGTTGATCGAGTGGTTTAAATCGGAACCCGAGCTCCTTCTCCGTTTTCCTTTTCCTTTTTCCTTTTCCTTCTTCCTTGTCGGGCTTGTCACCGGGGACCTTGTTCGTAGAAAATGACCGGGTTCATAATCAGAGTCACTCCGGGAGCACTGCCTTCCCAAGATCCAATGCGGACGAGTAGCTACCTGGGTAGTGTTTGCGCAAGGTGGCCCTTAAGCGATGCCCTGGATGTGGTGTGTTGAAGTGGATTCCGACTTGTCCCACTTCCGTGTTGCACTCCCACTCTCTGGCGGGCGGGCGAGCAGGAGCTCCAGCTGTCCTTTTTTGTCGGCTCGGGCTTGCTTGGCACAATTCACGGGGGTTTATCGGGGGTCCCTCCCATGCAATCGGCTGCTTCCGTACCTCGATTGGGCAATGGAGTCGATCTCTGCCGCCTGCCACCGCCTTTAACGGCCTGCGGGCTTGGCTTTGCGCTGCTTTGCCGGCCCGTCGCGTGCCATTGCAGACGCGACAAAGGAACTGCCCGGACGCTGGAATCCCAGCTCCCACCTAACTCTCCCCCATCCATTGACCAGGATTCCAGAGTCTTCAACCACGCCCGCTCCCACTCCCTGCTGGTTAATCATATCCGCACTCTCATATCACCACTACCCTCCCAGACTGACGGAATATTTAAACCAATACCTAATAAGCCATGCCTCAGCTCCCATAGCGATTCGACACAGCGACTACGAACTGCACCTACCGACGACACCCTAGCCATGTTCACCTTCAGCCCGCTGCAGGGCGCATTGACGGAATCGACAGCATCGCAGTCGCTCCTGGAACTCGATGGGGGCGTTAAGGTACTGATAGATGCTGGTTGGGATGAGACGTTTGATGTCGAGAAGCTGCGCGAGCTGGAGAAGTAAGTCCATGTCGCATTCCATCCGTTAGGGAGAGAGATAACTGGGTAGAAGAGCTGGTCGCTGACTGCCTGGTCTAGGCAAATCCCCACACTCTCCTTGATACTACTCACCCATGCGACCATCGACCACCTCGGTGCATATGCGCACTGCTGCAAGAACTTCCCTCTCTTCACACGCGTTCCCGTCTATGCGACACGCCCCGTTATCGACCTCGGCCGCACTCTGACCCAAGACCTCTACGCCTCGACCCCCGTGGCCGCGACGACAATATCGCCCACTTCGCTCGCCGAGGCATCCTACTCCTATGCGCAGACATCATCTGCCGACCACAACCTCCTCCTCCAACCACCAACCCCCGAGGAGATCGCACGCTACTTCTCCCTCATCCAACCCCTCAAGTACTCTCAACCTCACCAGCCGCTCCCATCGCCCTTCTCTCCGCCCCTCAACGGGCTGACAATCACTGCCTATAACTCGGGCCACACACTCGGAGGGACGATTTGGCACATCCAACATGGCCTCGAGTCCATCGTCTACGCCGTCGACTGGAACCAGGCCCGCGAGAACGTTTTCTCCGGTGCCGCCTGGTTAGGAGGAGGCCACGGGGGCGCGGGAGGAGCCGAGGTTATCGAACAGCTGCGCAAACCGACGGCGTTGGTATGCAGCAGCCGCACGCCCGAGACCGCGCTCCCACGCGGCCGGCGTGACGAGCAGCTCCTAGAGTCCATCAAGCTCTGCATTGCCAGGGGCGGGACGGTGCTGATCCCCGTGGACTCGAGCGCAAGGGTTCTGGAGCTCTCGTACTTTTTGGAACACGCGTGGAGGGCCGAGGTTGCGAAAGATAACGAGGTCTTCAAGTCGACAAGGGCCTACCTGGCTGGCCGCACCATCAACAGCACCATGAGGAATGCTAGGAGTATGCTGGAGTGGATGGACGACAGCATCGTGAGAGAATTCGAGGCTGTAGCTGGTGGTCAAAGGGGGAATGGCGGTGCCGGAGGTGGCAAGGGCAAGGATGCTGGTCCTTTCGATTTCAAGTACCTGAGGCTGCTCGAGCGGAAAGCGCAGGTCGAGCGCATCCTGCAGCAAGCTGCGGATACCTCGGAGCCAAAAGGCAGGGTCATTATTGCCACCGACTCAAGTTTGGAATGGGGGTTCTCGAAGGAGGTCATGCGAACGATCGCGGGAGACCCCAGGAATCTTGTCGTCCTCACCGAGAAGCCGAACCTCAACCCAAACACGCCATCTATCGCCCGGACGTTATGGGAATGGTGGAAGGAGAGAAAGGATGGCGTGGCGGTTGAGCAAACGAGCAACGGCGACACATTTGAGCAGGTCTACGGGGGTGGGCGCGAACTCGAAGTGGGTGATGCGACACGGCAAGCACTGGAAGGGAGCGAACTTGATATCTACCAACAGTGGCTAGCAACGCAGCGCCAGCTGCAAGCGACGCTGCAGAGCGGCGGCACGGCCGCCCTCGAATCGGCCCCTGACGTAGTAGACGATGCGTCGGAAACCACAACCGAATCCGAAGAATCCGAGACGGAGCAACAGGGGAAGGCCCTAAACGTGTCCACGACAATAGGCCAGGCTAGCCGCAAAAAGGTGGTTCTAAAAGATGAAGACTTGGGCATCACCATCTTGTTCAAGAAGAAGGGGGTCTACGACTTCGACGTCAGGGGGAAGAGAGGGAGAGAACGCATGTTTCCGACCGTGATGCGTCGAAAACGAAACGACGAATTTGGCGAGCTCATCAGACCCGAGGAATATCTCCGGGCAGAGGAGCGCGAGGATGCCGACGGCCAAGACGAGAGGCAGGATGGCAACAGGCACGAGCAGGGCCTGGGCAAGAAGCGCAAGTTTGACGACGTTGGCGCGTCCAAGGGAGCTTCGGGGGGCAACAAACGGCCTCAAGGCAAGCGCGCTGCTTCCGACGAGCCAGAGGCCGCTGCGCTATCTAACGGGCATGCCGGCGACGAGCTGGACGAGCTGGAGGACGACGACGAAGCCGTCATCGGCCCGGCCAAGCTGGTGGTCAAGTCACAGACCGTCTCAGTCAAGCTCCGCATCGCCTTTGTCGACTTTAGCGGCTTGCACGACAAGCGTAGCCTGGGCATGTTGATCCCGCTGATCCAGCCGCGCAAGCTGATCCTCGTCGCGGGGGCGGAAGACGAAACGCTCGCGCTCGCCACCGACTGCAAGAAGCTGCTGAGCGCCCAGCTCACAGCAGGATCATCCCAGAGCACCATCGACGTGTTCACCCCGGCCATCGGCGCCACCGTCGACGCCTCGGTCGATACCAACGCGTGGGTGGTCAAGCTCGCCGACCCCTTCGTCAAGCGCCTCAAGTGGCAGAACGTGCGCGGGCTAGGCATCGTCACTGTGACAGGCCTGCTCCTCCCGGGCGGAGAAATCGCCATCCAATCCACAACCACCACCACCACAACCAACACAACCACCACCACCGACCCCAACAACCCCAAGCAACCCAACCCCACCTCCACCAACGACGACGACGACGAAGACGCCTCCCACAAGCGCCAAAAACTCGAAGGCACCCCGGCCCCCGAACCAACCGACGGCACGCTCATCACCACGCAGCACAAAGGCAACAAAGCCGCCGCCGCCCTCCCGACCCTCGACGTGCTCCCCGCCACGCTGGCCTCGGCCGTGCGGTCGGCCGCCCAGCCGCTGCACGTCGGCGATCTGCGGCTGGCGGACCTGCGCCGGGCGATGCTGGGCGCCGGGCACCGGGCCGAGTTCCGTGGTGAGGGTACCCTGCTGATTGATGGCACGGTGGCGGTGCGCAAGACGGCGACGGGGAGGATTGAGATTGAGAGTGTGGGGTTGCCGTTGGCGGTGGGTACGGGGGGTGGTGCTGCTGGGGGTGGTGGTGGTGTGGGGGGAAGGAATGGGGGGATGGGGACGTTTTATGAGGTGAGGAGGAAGATTTATGAGGGGTTGGCTGTTGTTGCGGGGGCGTGATTGTAGTCGTGATTGTTAGAGGGGGTGGGGGATATATATGTGTGTGTATTGGGGAGGAAAGGAAAATCATGGGGTTGGAGGGAGGGTATGGATCGGTTACGTTGTAGTTGTCTGGTCCGTAATTCCCGATGGTGGGATTCGAGTTTATTCTCACTAGATGCCAAACCGTCCTCCTCCCTGATATATCGTCAACATTAAAACCCACTATAGATGCTGGCCACGAAGCACACGCTCGATTCAACACCTGCCTCCTCCATCCATCCATCGCCGTTATCCACCTTACAAACCCCCCTAACATCCCCAACAACTCAGCCGCTCACCCTCAGCCGCTCACCCTCAACCGCTCACACCCTCCACCCTCCCACCCTCTGTCCCGTCCAGCGGCGGCTTATCATTTCCCCCCGTCGCCGCCATCTCCTTCTCGTACTCCTCTGGCGTCTGGCACTTGGCGCTCCAGGCGTGTATTTGGGCGATCTCCTCCTTGAGCGCCGCGTTCACCAGCCGGTGCCGCTTCAGCGAGTTCTTGCCGGCGAACTCGGGCGACACGATGAGCGACGTGAATGCCTGGCCGCAGCCGCCTGTGGTTAGGGGGGTTGTGATGGGTTAGTTGGGGGTTGTTGGTTGTTAGTTGGGGGGTTTGGGGTGTGGTTCGGGGTGTGGTTTGGGGTGTGGATGGTTTTAAAAAGAAAAAGGAAAAAGGAAAACGGCATCGCGGGGCTGTCCGGGATGACGTCAGGGCAGGGGGATGGTGAGGGCTAGTTCTCGTACCGGACATGTCTTGGATCTCGACATGAGTCGCCTTGAGCCGCTCGGTGATAGCAGCCCGCACCGAGTCTTCTGTTATCGCTGGCTGGGCCATGGTTTGAGAGAGCTGGTTGTGAGGGTTGGTGAAGTGAATTAATTAGTGAGCAGCATCCTCTGAGAGATGCGCAAATGCCCCGCGAAATCTTGGCGATGGTGTGAGGTAGGGGTTAGGGTTGTATTACTTAGTTTCTCATTGTACGCCGAGTTTCAGCGACGCCCGAGTTCACCTGTGTCTGTACCATCACTTGTTCCCCTCAACAAGCCGCCTTTCCAATGAAACTTGCCTCAACCTTTTTGAGGATCCCCAGACTTGCCTCATCAACTCGACTTATTCGACCGGTAGTTTTCGCGCGGCAGTACAGTATGGAACCCGCCCTGCAGAGTCCCCTCTTCACCCAACATGTCGTCAAGGCTATGCGGTCCCTGTAAGTTCCCAACCGAGACAGTTAATACTCCTTTTTGACATCTGAGACTGATGTGGCACCAGCTACCCTGAGGAGCTCGCCGACCGGGCCTGGGACAACGTTGGCCTCCTCCAGGAAAACATCAACCCTACCTCTGGCAGCGTCCCTTCACGGGTGCTGCTCACCAACGATTTGACACTCAGTGTCGCCGAGGAGGCCATCAAAAAGAAGGCATCCGTTATTGTCAGCTACCGTATGACCAGACTTGCCCCCTGCCTATGACCATTCTTGAATCCTGACACCCCCAGACCCCTTCATCTTCCGCGGCCTCAAGTCAGTCACGCTCAACGACCCGCACCAACGGATCGTGCTGCGGCTGGCCCAGCACAACATCGCCGTGTACAGCCCGCACACCTCAGCCGACGCCGTACTCGGCGGCGTCAACGACTGGCTCGCCGGCATCCTCAAGAAGATCCACGTGGCGCGGGAGGTGACGGTGGTGAAGCCGATCGGGGGCCCCGTGCCGGCGGGCTTCGAGGGGGCCGGGTACGGGCGGCGGGTGCAGCTGGCCTTTGACACGGACATCGAGAGCATCATGCAGGTCTACTGCATGGAGCTGGGGCTGAAGCACGTCAGCGTGTCGCAGCCGCGCCCCCGCCCCGGCGACAGCAACTGCGTGCGCTCCGTCGCTGTTTGCGCTGGGTCGGGCTATGATGTGCTCAAGGACACCGACGCCGACTTGATTATTACTGGGGAGATGTCCCACCACAATGCCCTGCGCCTCAAGATGCTCGGCAAGTCGGTCATCACCCTGTTCCACAGCAACTCGGAGCGGGGGTTCCTGAAGCAGGTGCTGCAGCCGCAGCTGCTGGGGGTACTGCAGAAGGAGGACAAGGCGGCCGAGGTGTTGGTGAGCGAGGAGGATGCGGATCCTTTTGAGATCTGGGAGGCGGAGGAGTTGAGAGGGTAAGGAATGTGAGCTGAGGATAGCATGGTGTGAGATGAGGAAAAATGAATGGTCATACATGAGAGATCGAAGTAGGCTTGGGCTTCTATATTAATATACCTGAACCACATGCCAATGATTGCCCCTGTTAATCTATTCATACATCCTTATGCAAACCAAAGGGTATCATTGTGGGAGGCCCTACTGCCGACGATGGCCCTCCCGAACCGCCCGTGAAGTTTTCACCCGCCCACATAGGGCAGGCCCAATTACGTTTGAACGCCATGGATGCTCAAACTCTCAGTTCATGCCGTCGCACTCGCACCCTCACCCCCCTCTCCTCCCCCCGGCCCCTTTAACGCGGCATCCCCCTCCTCGATCAACCCTCCCACTTCTTCCCCGCCGACTCCTAATTCCTTCCACCGCACCAATAACCTCCTCGGCCGGTCCCACTCCTCCTTGGCCTCCTCCACCCTCCCCTCCGCCACCAACCGCCTCACCCGCTCCGGCACCTTGACCACCTCTTTCGCCAACTCCCTCGTCCTCTCCCTCCTCGCATCACCATCAGTACCTTTTTGTTCCCCAGCAGCAGCAGCATCCACCTCCCTCCTCAGCTCCTCCCTCAACCCAACCGCAACCTCATAAATCCCATCCACCACCCCCTCCAACGTCCCCCCTCCCACCAACCCCGTAGCACCAGCACCCCCACCCCCACCCCTATCCGCATTACCACCACCCCCACCCCCACCCCCACCCGCCCCCTCCAGCAGCACCACCTCCCCCGGCGTCCCCGGCGTCCTTGCCGCCCTCATCCGCCGGATCGTATCCGTCGCCGCGATCAGCTTGCTATAGTTATCATACACCAGCGCCTTGCGCTCGGCGTCCAGCGCGCGCATCTCGCCCAGCACGCGCGCGTGCGTGCGCAGCAGGTCGGCGAGGGACGCCGTCTGCAGGAGGTGGGTTGTGTAGGCCGGCGCGTTGAAGGTGGGACTGTCGAGTTCGGAGGGGGGGTTTTCTACTACTCCGGTTGTTGTGTTTGTGGGGGGGTTGTTGATGATGGGGTCGCCGAGGTGGTCGGTTATTTCGACGGTTGGGGGGGAGGGGAGCGGTTTGTTGCTGCTGGTGGTGGTGGTGGTGTTGTTGCGGAGGTTGTAGTACTCGCGGAGGGCGGCGCGGTTGGTGCGTTTGGGTTGGGCGGTGGCTGTGGTGGCGGTGGTGGTGGATGAGGAGGAGGTGTTGGGGTTGGGGGAGCTGGAGGCGGAGGCCGGGGCATCGAGACTCGGGCGCGAGGAGGAGGTCGGAGTGATGGAGGAGTTGGTGCGTCGCGGGAAGGGGCCCGGGCGGTCTCGAGGAGATGCAATAGTGGACATTGTGGTGGTTGGTAGGTGGAGGTGTATTGCTGTCAGTGCGCTTATAGCCGGGACTGCATCAGAGTTGTGTTGTTGAAGGTGTGAAGATGAATGTTGGCAGTTGACAGTTGACAGTTGCTCGAGCTCGCACCAGAGTGGAGCTTCCCGCCGCTGGGCTGCGCTAGCAAATCCGGGGAGATCCCGAAAGCTCGCGGTACAGGGCTCCCACGCTCCACTAAAACCCCGACGCGCCAGGCACAGCGCGCCAAGGTTCGCTGCCATTGTCATGGAACGGAATCCGAGGTGAGTTCTTACGATATTCTAAGGTAACACCAGGCTGATCAAGCGCCAATACGATGAAAAATACTAGAGGATCGTCACTTGTCTTTACAAATTTATCACGACTCCAATTCCGATCTACAAAAAGAGCCGCCTTTTGCATCACAGTCTCAACCACAGCGTACACCAAAAAGCGCCAGCTCCCTCCCCACTGGAAGAAACCATCTCGCTCCACTACCCCTCAACCTCACCAAAACCAACCCCCAAACAAAACCACCTCACCCCAAACAACAACAACAACCCCCAACCCCCCCAAAATGGACATCCCCACCCAACTCCAGACCTCCCTCTCCACCACCACCACCCCCCTCCCCTCCCTCACCTGGCTGCAAACCCTCTGCACCCCGCGCACACCGACCACCCCCCTCCCCCCCTTAGCCTCCCTGCTCGCCACAGCGCGCACCCGCCTCCTCGCGAGCGACCTCACCACCCCAGGCCTGCTCGACGCGCGGTGGGCGTCCGCGCACGCCCTGCCGGCGAATCTGGCCGCGACACACGCCGCGACGCGCGAGAGTAAGCTGGCGGCGGATGTGGTGGTGCAGGTGCTGGATTTGGAGGACGTCAGTCGGTCGCGGTGGGAGCAGGCGGAGGGGTTGGAGGCGCTGGCGAGGGGGGAGGGGACGAGGGGGAGGGAGGTTGTTAGGTTGCCGCCAGCGGGTGATGGGGGGGACGGGCAGGACGGGGAGGGGGATAGGGGGGATGGAAATGGGGGGGATGGGGGCGGTGCTGGTCCGCAGCCGCAGGGTGCCGGTGGCAGCAGCAAGAATAGCACGCATAAGCTGGTGGTGCAGGACTGCAAGGGCCAGAAGGTCACCGCGATCGAGCTGAAGCGGGTGGAGCGCCTGGCGGTGGGCAAGACGTTTATCGGGGAGAAGATCCTGCTGCGGGCGGGGACGGTGGTCGCGCGCGGTGTTGTGCTGCTGGACCCGGCGCAGTGCGTTGTGCTTGGTGGGAAGGTCGAGGCGTGGCATCGGGCGTGGGTGGATGGTCGGTTGGAGAGGCTGAGGGAGGCTGTCGGGGCGGAGAGGCGGGCATAGGTTATGGGCGGTAGACTGGTGATACACGAACGGCATGGGATAAGGGCGATGCATGGATGACATGGGCTTTGGGCGGGTGCATGGGTTTTGCTGGAGTTGACTGTTTAGATACCCCATTCCTTTTCTCTACCCCAGACCATAGATCTACCCACACAATCATGACATGACACGCCTATCCCTTAACAACCATGACACCCCTACCCCTTGACGACCTCTCCCAACGCCTGCCAGCCCGCCTTCTCCCACGGCGCAACCATAACAGCCTTCTGCGCGTCCATAGCCCGCCCCGTGCCAGCATACGCCCCTGCCAGATCCCCCGCGGCCAGATCCCCCCTCGGCGCCACGGCCTTCAACGCAACCCGCAGCGCCATCTCGGCGGCACTCTTCCCCTCCTCGCCGCCCAGCCCGCGGAGCTCCGCCCACCCGTGCGGCAAGTGCGGGTGGAACATGACATCCGCCCGGGCCTGGTTCGCCTTGGCCTTGGCCACCTCCTCCGCGTCGTCGCCCTTCCCAAACGCGGCAATCGCCCTTAGCACCTCGCCGAGCTGCCGCTGGTCCGCGGGCGTCACGCCCTCGTCGCTGGCCCGCAGGCTCTGCAGCTCGGCGACAACCGCCTCCAAGCTCTCCTCGTCCTCATCCAACAACGCAATCACGCCCAGCAACAGCACCGACTGCACGTGGTGGGGCACGCGCTCGATGACCTCGAAGAGCACCTCGCGCGCCCTCTCGCGCGCCTCCTCTTTCCCCGTGGCCCACAGCACCTGGGCCAGCACGCAGGCGACGTCCGGGTGGCCGTCGGACTCGCTGATGGCCGAGTCGAAGCAGGCGACGGCGTCGTCGACGGCGCCCTGGTAGTAGCGCGCCAGGCCCAGGGTGACGTGCGCGCTCAGCCGCACCCGCCTGCGCTCCTCGGCCGCCAGCTCGCTGTCCGCCTCGTCGCTGCTCAGCTGCACGGCCAGCTCGGCCGCCTCGGCGGCCTCGGTGTTCGCGCTGGTTGCGAGGTAGGCGCGCGCGAGGTCGGCCTTGGCGATGGCGAACCGCTTGAGCGACTCTGGGGACTCGGTGACTTCGTAGTCGGTCTCGACCGCGGCGCAGATCTTTTCGAGCGTCGCGACCGCGCGGTCGTGCTCGTGGTTGCGCTCTTGGAAGAGGGCCGAGAGGTGGCCGTAGGCGAGCTCCTGCGGGTTGAGGCCCTGTAGTTGGCTGAGCGCGAGGATGGGTTGGATGAGCGAGGTGACGGGTAGGTCGGCGGGTGACTCCATGATGTAGTCAAACATGGATACCGAGAAGTGCCGTCGGCTTGCCGCGGACGAGCTCTCGGCGATGTCCATGGCGTGCGTGAACAGGCCCCGCGCTTCCTTCTGGTCGCCGAGCAGCAGAGCCACCAGGCCCTGCCCCAGCCACGCGTGTGCGAAATCCGGATCGGCCGACTGCGCTTTCGTAAAGGCGTCGTTCGCAAACTGAATATCACCCTGGATCAGAGCCAGCGTGCCCAAGTTTGTCCAGGCATGGGCGCCACCCTCGTTCAAGTGGAGGCTGCGGACGAACGAGTGCTGCGAGACGGACGGGTTGACGCCGCTGGTCACCACTCCGAGAGCGTTCCAAAATTCCGAATTGCCTGCCTCGAGTTCGATGGCCCGCTTGAAGCACGCGATGGACGCCTTTAGGTATTTGGTGGCCTTCTTTCTGAGCCGCATAGGGAGACACATATGGGCGCGGTGCTCTGCCCAGCCGAGGTTGTAATATGCCACAGCCTGCGCGTGTAGGTCGTTGGCAGAAACTTGGATGGCGCGCTTGTGAGCGAGAATGGTGGCATGCAAAACCCTCACCAACTCGTTCCCAATCTTGCCTTCGTCCGGGTTAACACCATTGCCGGTGGCTCCAGTTTCGTCTATCGGATCGGCGTCTAAGTCCTCGGTACCAAGTAGTTGCTGGACGGTGTCCACTGGGAACTCTGATAGACGGTTTTGGACGCTCGAAAAGAGCGCGCAAGCATCGGCCACGGCTTTCCAGAAATTAAACGTTTCCTTAATCTCTTCCGGGGCCTGCAGTGCGAAGTTGAGCATCTCCACCGCGAGATCAATCGACTTGCCAAAGAAACCCTTGTCCAAACTGTCCAAAGCATTGTCCACTGTGGCCTGCATCAAAGAGATTGCAGCACCTGCTTCGTTCGGGCGGCCGGCGACTACCTCGCGGTAAAGGTTAATAGCCTCGTCAAAGTCGCCGAGCTCGCGGTTGACATCGGCGAGGATGAGCTTGGAAAACCAGGTTTCCCCGGGGATGTGTCCATCCGCAGCCTCTTCCAGCTTTTGAGCGTTCAGGATCGCCTTTGTGGCGGCGATGTAGCGTCCGGATCCGTGGTAGCTTTCGCCCAACCCGACCCACGAGTGGTAGTCGTCCGGTCCTATCCGGAGGGCTGCCTGGAACGAAACGATGGCCTTGCGGTAATCCTGCTTGTTGAGTTCTGCCACACCCAGAGCGGCGAAGGGCCAGCTGATACCCTTGCGCTTCGAGCCCGGCGGTGGCTTCACCTTGCCCGAGTCAACCACTCTCTGGGCGACAAGCTCGACGCGGTCCCAATCCCCGTCATCTGCAAAAGACCTGGCCAGCCTCTCCGCCGATTCAACCTCAGAGGCCGAGATCTCGACCGCCTTTTGAAAGCACCTGCGGGCCCGCTTCTTGTCTTTGGCATAATCTGCGTAGTACTTGCCAAGGCTGGTGTAGGCGGGCGCGTAGTTGAGGTTGCTCTTGAGGGCATCGAGAAAATACGCATAGGCGCCGGATCGGCTCTTCCTCGCCGCTTTCGACGTGTCGATGTTCCAGATACAGTAACCAACGCGGTACTGGGTTTGCGCGAGGAGTTCCTTGTTTGTCTGCCCCTTCTTCGTAAGAAGGGGGAGACAGCTCTCCAGCTCGGCTCGGCTAGTGTCAAAGTCCCCTTTCAAGGCCTTGACCCAGGCGGCCTCGGTCCTAACGCGGAGATTTTCGGGGTCGCGTTGTAGCGCACGTTCCAGGAAGTCAATTGCCTCGACATATTCCTCTTCCTCCTCGTAGATCAAGCCCACGCCTATCATGGCAGCGGTAGATGACGGATCATGGGCTAGAACTCCGTCAAACAAACTCTTGGCTTCCTGGTGATTGCGTGGCGACTGGTAAAACACCAGCGCTGTCCCGAGATACAGAGAGAAAGCGTCCTCGGTGTTTCGGAACTTTAGCCCGGTCCTAGAACGCTCCACCTTGAGGTGGTCGAGGGCCTTTCGCATAAGCTCGACGTTACTCTCGTGCTCCTCGATATGCTGGTAGTATTCACCGGCTAACCTAAGTGCGAACAACGAGTCGGCGTTGCTGGTGCCTTCCATAATCATCAGCAGGCGATCCTCCTCGGTGAGCGGGACGTATGTCGTCGGCGCGCCTCCAGCTTCATCATCCTCGCTCTCCTCTTCGGTTTCCGCACCGGTAGAAGCCTCGGGCGCCTGTGTAGGCTCCTTAGGGAACGGGGAAATGGCGCTTGTGAGGAAGCCCATGATAACCCTGTTGAGGTCGCTGTCGGGAAAGAAGGTGCAGTATTGGCGGAGCACCGTGACATCCCAGTCCTGAATATTCTTGTGGTCTTGCCAATTGATGGCGATATCCCACGCGAACTTGAACGGGTTATTGATGATGACCATGTCGTTTGCGAGCTTCTGGACGATGGCCGCCTCACGTTCCTTCTGCTCGCCTGGTGGCCACGCGACGAGTCTGTCATAGCAGTACTGGAGGAGCTTTTCCTCGTATGTTCGACGCACGTCGTCGTCAGTGGTCCAGTTTATTATTTGCCCGTAAACGTAGCCCAGCCTGCTCTGGGAGTAGACCTCGCGTTTCACCTCGAGAGTCACCTCGCTCACCCGGGCGCCTATCCGGGTGCGCCGCTCACCTATCAGAGTGTTGATCCGCTTCTTTTCGTCCATCTCGACAATCTCGGCCTGGATGTGGTACGTTTTGCCCGGGTGGGGAACGCGGCCCTCCAGAGCCGGGTAGATGGGGCTCTCCGGTAGGATCAGATCCAGCGCGTCCACATACTGGGCTCGCTCCCCCTGTGTCCGTGCCTGGTCGATGAATTTATCAACGACATCTTGACATTTGTACATCTCGTTCGCATCCCGAAAGATCTCGGCCAGGTTGAGGGCGGCGTGTTGGTACTGCTTCAACTTCTTTCCTCGTTGCCGCTCGTACAGTTTGACGAGGCCTTGCCAGGCCTGCGGGTCACTGGGTTTGAGCCTGGTCGCAGCAAGGTATGCAGTCTCCGCCTCATCAAGCTTGTTCACTTTGTCTAGGGCAAAAGCGAGGAAGACATGTCTGAACGGACGGTCAGCATTTCCGGTCGAGTATTCTCAAACCCGGTGCACTTACGCCTGGTAGTTCTTGGGGTCTTTTTGGAAGACGTCCTCCGCCGCCTCTATCGCCTCATCCCATTTCCGCTGCTTAATTGCTTCGTTAATGCCCTTGAGCAGGGCTTTGGTGCCCGACATGGCGTTGGCCCAGCGGGATCGATCTCCCTTTGGCCTAGATTGAAACTGAATTTGAGATGGCGAAATGTTGAGTAGAGAGGTGCAGGGTTGTGAGGGTTCGATGATGTGTGGTGGGTGAGTCGTGAGCTTGAGCTTTGAGCTTGAATTGAACCTGGAGGTGGGGTTGGTTTGGCCTGGCTCAGGCTTCGGATGCAGTAAGAGCGATCAGAAAGAATTCGAAAACCAGATTAAAAGTTGAAATCCCAAGACAGAACGGGTCGCTTTTAGTGTTGGGTACTCAGTTTCAGGAGCAGTATTCTGCAGCAAGAATGATAGCAGAGTTGACACCTCTGAATGTGAGAGAACCTTGAACCTACACTCGAACTGAACCGTGGAGCGTGGAGCACCACATCGCATGCAGCACACCACCAATCAGTTCATGTGCATGGTTCAAGGAGGTTCCAGGGTCCAGCAGGGCCGGGACACCACCCCGCCGGACGTCAACGCTCCGATGCTCCGGCGACCCCCGGCATTGCCTTATCGGCCCCGAGCATGGGGCCTTATCGCAAAAATCCCCAGAAAAAGTCGCGACGGCGTTTACTTGCTGGGAGCGAGAGCTGCAACCAGTCTTCATGCGCCTTGCATTGGTCGTTCAACATCACCACCCTTCGCAACAATGGATTCCGCCCCGACAAAACGGCGAAAGCTCGACCATACGCAAGATGGCGCAGAGCTGGCCCTGGAATCGGCCGCTTCAACGGGCGTTTCTAGGTTTAGGGCATTTATTCTCCAGGCCGAGGAGCTGCTAAACTCGGTGCGCCTGGATCACGGAACTGCTCTGGAGGGCGCCGACGGTCTTTTACATCGGATCAAAGGTGTAATTGAAGGAATCAAGGCCCATGATGCAATCCCGGTAAGATATTTAATTCAAGCGCGTCTTGATGAGGCTTGCGCCTGCTAACTTCCCCCAGCTCGTTCAAGCCGCATCCAAACTCGAAAAGAAACACAAGATCAAAGTTCCCTTCCCCGATCCGCGGCCCCAAGAGAACTCCAACTACAAGGTCGCCTTCGCAAAACCCGCCCAGTTCAACGTCGTCGGCAGCTATGTCTCCAAGACCATGGTCAAGACGCAAAAGGATCACGCTGTCGACATGGTCATCGTCCTACCCGAGGAAATCTTGCAGGAGAAGGATTATCTCGACCTGCGCTACTTTTACAAGAGGGCATATTACCTAGCCGTCGTCGCCGCCGCCGTGAGGAAAGAATTCGAAAGTGGGGCCCGGCTATCCTACGAGCACCTCAACGGCAACCCCCTCTGTCCCGTCCTCGTGATCCAGCCGAATGCTTCCGAAGCGAAGGGATCAGAAAAGTCGGAGAATAAGGGAGCTCTGGACTTCAGGATACGGATTCTTCCATGCGCACCCGACGGCTTCTTTCCGAAGGCAAAGCTCCATCTAGGAGCCAATCTGCTCCGCAAGAGCCGCGATGATGACTCGAACCTCTTTTCCGAGCCCACGTCATTTTATAACTCGACAATCGTTGCGGAGAGCTGCTACTTGCCGTACCTCAAGCTCTTGCGGCAAGCCGAAAAGAGATGCGCGGCCTTCAAGAACACCTGCATCCTTGGTCGCATCTGGTTGCAACAGAGAGGTTTTGGAGGGGATATTTCACAAGGAGGATTCGGCCATTTTGAGTGGGCGGTACTTCTAGCTCTCCTCCTCCAAGGGGGCGAGAGCAAAGGGCACGCCGCTCTACCTTCATCCCTCAGCAGCACCCAGCTCTTCAAGGCCTTGGTCCAATTCCTCTCGGTGACTAACTTCGCAGAGAAGCCTTGCGTATTCGGCCAGGGGAACCCGGATTTGGAATCCAATATCGAAACCACCCCCATCCTTTACGATTCCGCAAGACAACTGAATCTCGCTTTCAAGATGGGACCTTGGTCCGCCGCGCTGCTCCATCGGCACGCCAAATGGACCCGAAGCCTACTCGCCGATAGCACTGCTGATCAGTTCAGCCCGACCTTCATTCTCAAGACAGATGTCTCTTTGCACAGCTTCGACTTGATCACGCGGCTAAATATCGATGGGGCACTGGAGGAGACGGGTGCAGACCCCCGGGGACCAACATGGCAGGCCAGCAGCAAAGTTTATCAGACTCTAAAAAGGGCGCTCGTGGACAAGGAGATGGGGGAAAGAGCCCGCTTGGTTCACATTCGGACTCCAGCTCACCAACCATGGCCTCTGGCGGCGGAACCCAAGGCCCGGGGCGAATTACCGTTGGAGGTCGGCATTCTTTTTGATCCCGTCAATATGGCACGAACGGTCGACCGCGGCCCGTCTGCCGGACCAAGCGCCGAAGAAAAAGAAGAGTGCGAAGAATTCCGGAAGTTCTGGGGCGAAAAGTCGGAACTTAGACGCTTCGAACGCGACACTATCCGAGAGACGCTGATTTGGGCCTCAGCAACGCCTTTTGATCTCTGTGAGGAGATCATACGATACGTTCTCGGCCGTCACCTTCGCATTGGACAGCTTCACAACGAGATCACCGTTTATGGCGACGGGTTGCCCGACCTGCTCTCCCTGAAACCCGCCGACTCTGCGTTGTTCAACGTGGCCAAGAAGGCGTTCGGTGTCTTCGAGCGCGATATTCGGGACCTGGAGGATCTACCCCTCCGTGTCAGGCAGATAGCGCCCATATGCCCAGAACTTCGCCAGGCATCGGTCAAGCCTCCGACCTTCGGATCATCAAAGTCAGGCCCCCGGCCGCTGGAGTGCGTTATTTCATTCGAGGCGTCTGGCAAATGGCCGGAAAGCCTTGCCGCTATCCAGAGGACCAAGATCGCTTTCCTCCTGATGATTGGCAGTCTTTTGGAAAACAGCAAGCCCGGTGAAATCAAGACACATGTTGGACTCGAAGACGCCAAATATGAAACCGAGAATCTCGCCTTCCTTGACGTTATCTACGAGTCCGGCCCGTCATTCCGTTTGCGGATACACAGCGATTTAGAGGAGACACTGCTGGAACGTCAAGTCAAGGATAAGACTGCAGAGCAGTACCTCCGGCAACGGGCCACGACCCTCCTCGCGACGTTCAGGCGGCAATACACCAACCTACCACTGCACAACCAATGCATCTCCACCTGCGCCACACGCTTTCCGGCCCTGTCCCCGACGATCCGTCTCGTAAAGCACTGGTTCAACGCTCACAAGTTGTCGTATCACTTCACCGAGGAGTTTATCGAACTAGCGGCCCTCCACGTCTTCCTCACACCATACCCCTGGGACGCCCCCACCAGCGCCAGCGCCGGCTTCATGCGCACGCTATTATTCCTCTCCCACTGGGACTGGCGTTCCGAGCCCCTCGTTCTCGACACGAGCGCCGAGATGCCAGCCGCAGACCGGACCTCGATCGCCACCCGCCTCGAGGCCTGGCGCAAGATCGACCCCAACATGAACCACACCGTCCTCTTCGTCGCCACGGCCCAGGAGCCCAGCGGCGTCGCCTGGACGACGGTCGACGGTCAAGCAAAGCCCTCCAAGGTGGTCGCGGCCCGCATGACGTCCCTCGCAAAGAGCGCGTCCCGCCTCGTCAGGGAGCAGGGCGTGGAGCTCGACTGCCGCCGGCTATTCGTGCCGTCGCTCAAGGAGTACGACGTGCTCATCCACCTGAGCAGCAAGGCCCTGAAGGGCACGCTGAAAACCTACTCGACGATCGACCCCGAAGAGGACGGGGACGTGAGCCGGCCCAAGTTCAAGAACCTCGACGAGCGGACCGGCCAGCAGCCGCTGCCCCTGGCGCAGCACCCCGCCGAGCTGTTCCTGGAGCAGCTGAGCGCGGCGTATGGCGGGCCGCTGGTTTTCTTCCGTGGCGGGGTGGAGGACAACACCATCGGGGCGATCTGGAACCCCCAGATGCAGAAGCGGACTTTTAGGGTTAATTTGCCGACTTCGTACAAGCCCGCTGGTGGGAAGAAGCGGGCGAAGGGGGGTGAAGATGAGGACGAGGACGGCGAGAAGGCGGAGCTGGTGGATGCCAACAAGGACGCGATTTTGTCCGAGATTGCGAGGATAGGAGCGGATTTGGTTGAACGGATCGAGGTGAAAGGTGCATAAGTGGTTGTTGTCTGAAGCAAGTGTACATGGAAATTCAAATGATTACGACCAGATACTGTCATGATTAATGACCTCGCTGAGACATGTTAATCCAGTGGTCATGAGTGAATTCCATTATCGATGAGACACACCAGAATGTCTGGATATGAATTTGTTTTCCTCTTAACCTCGTATCTCGTGTAAAACAATTATTCCAGTCAGTACTCCTAAGCTCGGGTGGTGACATCGATGCCGCCAGCCCTGTGTCTAGTTTTCCATGCCGAGGCGTAACTAGTGGACCATGGCCTCCTGCTTGTGGGCCACAGGCTCGGGCTTGTCAACCTCCATCTCGTCGCCTTCAGCCGTCTCGGCGCCCTCATTGTCGACAACCTCGTACTCTTCCAGCAGTTCATCCTCGCTTTCGCCCTCGATATCGACGCTGCCGTCGTCGGAGAGCTCGTCCTCCTCCGCTGCGTTCTCGACCTCGCCCTCGGGGCCCTCAACACCCTCCATCTGCGCGTCTTTATCGGCGGGCTCTTCCCCAGTGGCCTCAACAGCCTCGGTCTCCTCCTCTTCGCCAAGCTCCTCGGCACCGTACTCGTCCTCATCGGCAACGAGGTCAGCCTCAGGCTGCTCGGGGGGGAATTCGGCCGGGGCGGAAGCCTCAGAATCCCTGTAAAGGATTGTTAGCCTCCAGAATTAACCTCGCAGAGGAAATAAACAACAACATACCACTTGATAGCGAACCTGGTCACGCGAGGCTTGCCAGCGAGCACGTTACGGCGGATCTTCTCGACGTCGGGCTTGGCGGGGGGTTCGTCACGGAGCTCGTCGCTCTCGTACTCATTGTTGACGTAATAGCCGACGCGCACGAACTCACGCCCGTCGTAGGCGCACGTCAGCAGGATCACCGTGACGCCGAGCAGCTCGTCGATAGGGATGCGCTTGGTGTCGGGCGGGTCCGCCTCAAACACAAACTTGTTGATGCCCACGGGGATCGGCCCGACTAGCAGCGAGTCCAGCTCCTGGTCGTAGTTGTCCGACTGCGCCGACCCGACGTACGTGAGCTTCCACTCGAGGTCTGTTGGGCGTCGGGAGCAAAATAAGTCAGTTTTTTTCTTCTGTTGGGTTGTCTTGTTCTGTGCGGTGCCGTGATGCTAGCTAGCGCTAGCTAGCGAGCGAGGATGTGCAGACGAGGAGAGCAGATAAGAACGCACCCTTTTGAAGCGGCTCCAGACACTCGAAAGTGATCTCGAACTCGTACTTGTCGGTAAACTTGGCGGGGTTGTTGATCACATTGACCCCAAGGAGGGAGACGACAGACATCTTTGCGGTGGGGTGATGATGTTATATCGTATGACGGGCGATAAAGCAAGAAATCTATTGGAGATTGTTCTTTTTGCAAAAATAAAAAAAAGGCTGCAGTCGTAGACACTATGGGTGAGGTTGAGAATAGTAGTAGTTGAGAGAAGGAAAAGTGTTGGCAACAGCAAGGATGGAAAGGCGGTGTTTGGGGAAGGCGCTAATGCCTAATGGAATAGGCGTGTTTGTTTTGCCCCTTCCCGCTCAAAAATGGGCCTCGGGGGTTTTGAGGGGTCGCTGGCAGAGTGGACGACTTTTTGGGGCCTTTGCTTGTTCAAGTTCAGGTCCGTCACGGTCTGGCAGGTGCAGGGGTCTAGACGGTCGCGTAAATTGAACGCAGCCCAGAACGCGTTGCTGGCGCCCGACTTTCTGTCAAGACCCACATTGAGATTTTGGCTGAAAATTGTGGCTGGACACAATCATAATCCTTGTACAGATTAACAACGCCGCACGTGAGCCACATCGCTCGGCAGGTTGCTTCGAGGCCAGAGCTGAGGGAACCTTATTTTTCCTCGTCCAGACTCGTCCTTGAACCTCGAATCCGTTGCGAGCTGCACCAGCGAAGCACCACAGCATCGCCGGCCTTTGAATAGGCACCGACCATGCAATAGTGGATAATATCTCCACATCCATTCGGCGTACGGTTGCAATTAACACGATTGCTCCTAGATTTCTTTGTTGTGTGCCCGGGCCTTTATTTCGTCACAGCATGCACCAGCACTCGCCTTTTCTTTCGCGCTTTGACTGAAAACAGTGTTCCGGAATCACGAGGCACGACTTAAGGTTCACGGAGCATTTATTTCGCCATTTCTATCCACGACCTGATTTTCAGCTCCACCGTGTATCATCAACCTCGAAACATTCATCGATTACCAGCCTCACGATACGATCGCGACACTCAACCTCCCTTCGCCATTCGCGACAATTGACCGCCTCCCCGATACCAATTGTTCCATCGCAGACTGTCCCTATAATCAGGCGCGGCTCTGCTGCCTCGACATTTTCCCCGAGGGATTATCCGCATTCAATTAACGCCCCCCTATCTCGCGACGAGTCGATCTACCTCTCAAGACGCAGTCTTTCCACACAATGGCTGACTACGACCCCGCTCATCAGAGCGGTGCGTGGGATGAGAATGGGGACTATGAGGTGACAGATGGCAGCAGCAATCAAGAGAATATTCCGCAGCATAGCACCGATCAAGATCAAGCAGAGTATTCCGTTGATTCAGCCCAACATGCTTCTGGTGACGTCCCATCTCCTGATGGTGCCACCGACGATGTGGGTGACTACGATCCAGCATCAGTCACAGCTGAGCCGGCTCCTGGTGCAGCACTTCCGGCGGCTGCGGACCAGGTCCCCATCAGGCCTTCGCCCCAGCGCGCCGCTAAGCAGAAACCGCGAACGGCAGGAGGCTTCCTAGTGGGAGACTCCGACTCCGAAGATGATGAAGGAGATGAGGTGCCGCTCCCTGCATCAAGTGGTTTTGCTCTAGCTACTGCATCGCAGCCTACTGTTCCACGTTCCCCTTCCCAACAGAATCACATCACTGCCAAACAGGCCTCATCCGTCCCTTCTATTGCAGACCCTGCTCCCCAGGTGAACGACCCTCTTCCTGCTGGCCAGCTGGAGAATGGCGACGCAACTGCAACTCCAGCCACGGTTAGCCCAGTCGCTGTTGATAAGATCACCCAGCTAGAAGGCCGGGTCAGCGAAGATCCTCGTGGCGCCATGGATGCGTGGCTGGCGCTCATCGCCGAATACCGGTCCAAGAACGATATCGAGCAGTCAAGGCAGATCTACGACCGCTTCCTAACCGTCTTCCCCCAAGCTGTAAGTTTGAGAAACCCGACACGTCGTATACGACGTTGAGCTGACATCTTTCCGCAGGCTGACGTCTGGGCGGAATATCTTTCAATGGAGCTTGACATGAATAATTTCCCCGAGGCCGAGCTTATCTTCAACAAGTCGCTCATGTCAACATTGAATGTGAATCTATGGACCAAGTACCTAGACTACATCCGTCGGAGAAATGACCTCAACGACAGCAGCGGCAATGCCCGCCAGACCGTCTCGCGCGCCTATGAGTTCGTTATTGACAACATCGGCCTCGACAAGGACGCTGGCAGGATCTGGGCCGAGTACATTCAATTCATCAAGTTCGGACCCGGCACAGTCGGCGGAAGCCAATGGCAAGACCAGCAGAAGATGGACCAGTTGCGTAAGGCGTACCAGCGAGCCATTTGCGTGCCAATTGGCAACGTCAACACCCTATGGAAGGAATACGACCAGTTCGAGATGGGGCTCAACAAGTTGACTGGCCGCAAGTACCTGGCTGAGAAGTCATCGTCGTACATGTCAGCAAAGGGTGCGAACACCGCCCTAGACAACATCACCCGGGGCCTGCAGCGGACGACTCTTCCCCGTCTCCCGCCCGCTCCCGGCTTTGACGGCGACCAGGAGTATATGGAGCAAGTCGAGATTTGGAAAAAGTGGATCGCTTGGGAGAAGTCGGACCCGCTGGAGATCAGGGAGGACAAAGACCAGCCTGGCCTCTACCGAAAACGCATCCTTTTTGTCTATCACCAGGCGCTTATGGCCCTCCGGTTCTGGCCAGAGATGTGGGTTGATGCTGCCCAGTGGTGTTTCGACGACAACATCACATCAAAGGATGGCATCTCAACCGGTCTTGATTTCCTCACTAAAGGTATCGAGGCAAACCCCGAGAGCGTCTTGCTCGCTCTGAAGCATGGTGATTATATCGAGTCTACTTATCCCATCGAGGAGAATGACGAGGCGAAGATTGCCCGCGGCAAAGCCGTGCGCGCGCCATATAACAACGTCTTAGACACGCTCTACGGCATCGTCAAAAACCTCAAGGATCGTGAGACTGCCGAAGTTGCCCGTATCGAAGAGGCCGCCAAGGCCGCCGGTGAGAGCTCCAGCAACAGGGTAGACTACGACGAGGACGACGAGGATGATGTCGGATCCCCAGACAAGGGCGCAAGAGACAGCAGGACGAACGACCAGCTCCGAGCCATCAAGCAGGGCTTCGCTGCGCAGACTCAGCTGCTCTCGCGGACGATTTCTTTCGTTTGGATTGCCCTGATTCGCGCGATGCGCCGTATTCAGGGTAAAGGCAAACCCAACACGGAGCTCGGTGGCATGCGGCAGGCGTTTCAGGATGCGCGTCACCGTGGCCGTCTCACGAGCGACGTCTATGCTGCTGTCGCACAGCTAGAGTGGACGATCTATAAGGACCCGGCGGGCGGCAAGATCTTTGACCGTGGCGCTAAACTGTTCCCCGAGGATGAGGGTTTTACGCTGGAGAACATCAAGTACCTCCACTCTCGTGATGACTTCACTAGTAAGCATTTGACTACCCACTTTTTTCTCGAACGCTAACTGACTTTTCCAGATGCCCGTGTCCTCTTCGAAACGGTCGTCAACCGTCTAACACAGAAGCCCGAGCTCGTGCACAAGGCCAAGCTTCTCTATACGTACTTCCACAAGTACGAGTCGCAGTTCGGCGAGCTTGCCCAAATCGCCAAATTGGAGAAGCGTATGGCCGAGCTCTTCCCCGAGGACCCAAAGCTTGCCCACTTTACCGCGCGGTATTCGACCGATAAATTCGACCCTATCACCGCTCGGATCATTGTCTCTCCTACCACACAGCTCAGGCCTAAACTCTTGATGCCGTCGATTGAGCAGGGCACCTCTCTCCAGAACTCACCTCGACCACCGCCATTTGCAACCCGTGCGAGTCCCGCGCCCCAGTTCTTTCCTGCGATAAATTCCCCCAAGCGACCCTTGCCCGCCGATGACTTCGACGAACCCCCACGCAAAATCCAGCGTAGTGATTTCGGCGAGTTCCAGCGCGGCGCTTCGCCGCTTAAGGGTGCAGCCGGCCGCCGCCTGGACCAGCAGCGCCGGATGCAGGGTCAGAGCACGACCTCGTACACCGCCACGCCAGTTCCCATCGCTCGGGATATCACGTTCCTCATGGGTCAGATCCCCCGAGCCGATCTTTACGACTTTCATCGCTTCAATCCGACCAAGGTGACCAACCTCCTGCGAGAGACTATGGTACCGGAGTACGCGGCGTGGAAGAACTCCCGCCAACCTTCAGACCATCCCGGGCAGTTCAGCACCTACCAAAATCGTGACTCGCCTGCCCCCATCGGCCGACCTCTGAGCCCATATGTTGGAGGAGACGCAGCCCGCGGCCGCATGCCGCCCACGGCCGCTGCCCCGTACAGGCAAAGTTCTATGCGGCCTGGATCCAGCGGTTCCTACGAGCCCCCTCCTGCGGTCTACGCCCAAGGTCCGCCACCCCCTCAAGCAGGGTATGCCCAACCGCCGCCTATGCAATACGATGGCGGCGCTGCCGCCGGCTGGCCGTCTTATCCGCCTCCGCCCACCATGCAACAGGGCTACGCTGGCCCTCCGCCGCCGCACTTGTATGGCCAGGCGCCGCCCCCTCCCCAGGGAGGTTATCCCCGGTATCCACCACACCCTTACTAGGGGCCTTTTTGGGCCTTTTTCAGCATACCACGTGCATGAGGCGCATGAGCTGCGACTTGTTTCCAGTTCAGGGTTATCTAGGGCCCAGTCCAAAACACCAAGCCAAGTAGGGGTTCTGGGTGTTCATTTTCGACTAGCCTGGAGTCGCCTGACTTGTAATATCATCGCTGCTACTTCTCGACGGCTTGATGAGGGTAGCAGAGCGTTTTCTTTTCTGTAGATAAAATGAGGTTGGTAATTATCTGGCTGGCTTTAACATTGGTGGTTTCGTACACCTGGCGTTGGGGAAGGTTGGTCTTCAGGGCAACCACTCTGCTCGTTTCTGCCGGTTGAGCATCAGGGGGGTGTTAATGGGCATGAAAATGTTTTGGTCGTTACCATAGTTACCAATAGGACAGCGAATGAAGCGAGCAAGATTGACTTCTCACATATTTCGTCCCGCCCAGAAAACAGTGTGCTCGGGGGGTTTTATTCTGACTCAGTTATTTCTTTGCCTCTGATACTTCCATCATGACTTGCACTTTGCAAAGAAACGTGAATGATCGAAAGTGGCATATGATTCCTCTGACAGATCGTAACTGACGCCCCTTTGATCCAGCTTCCAAACAATATTCTCGTCGGTATGCAAAGCGGCGTTTAATATCATGCTCTGGGTTGGTGAAGGTAGACAAACGCCTGATGGCATGGTTGCTCTCCGTAGCCAATATTGGCAGAGACGCCATACAAATGACTCCTGAATAGAAACAGTTGGGGGTTGCCGTGCTCGATGAGACGAGCTAGTGATACTTAGCCCTCCTGGCCTAGCCTTCCTCACCTAGTACATCCGCCAATGGTATATCCCACGGAGATGGTATGTAAGCGTGTCAACCTTGATTCTGTGGTTATTTGACTTCGTACCAAGTTCCGGCCCAGGAGGTAACGTTTCCTTCGTGGCTTGCGGTTCTGCCATTCGGATTTTCCTCCTTCTGCCACTGCCTTCATCCCATCTCGTATCTTCTGCCGCCCCTGGCCTGGCTGAAGAGACCTTCTTAAAGCTGCGAGTATAAATCTTTCGCCTGCCGCCCAATCTTCCTTCTCTTTTCTTCCTCCAACCTTCAACCCCTCCATCCCCTTCGCTGGTATACACCATTTCGACACCCCAGGACGAAGTCACGACAGATCCTTCTGTTTCCTCATCAACCTTCGGGTATCTCAATCCCAGTTACTTTATCCATTACCTTCATCACTCGTCAACAAGTATCTCGACTAGATCACAGCTAAAAGGTAGGCACTCAGATCACATCATGAACACCAGAATTACCGCCCTACACACTGCCCCTGTCATCCGCAGCGAGATATCGAAAACATGCCGCCATGTGGCTGTTTCTCGCACCAGGCTCTGGCCTCTTCCCTGATCCCTCCCCCCTCCCACTCATCCACACCATTGGGGTGAGAAAACACATGCATATTTCCCAAAGCTCCAGTCAGATCGCAAACCATAGAGTTGGGCAACCAGGCTGGCTTGACTGGCATCCTTACCCCCGAAACCAAACCGCAGAGAGTTATTTCTGCAAAGTTCCTACTACCCGCACCTTTCAAGCCTCATTTTCCACATTTTTCGCCTCGGCTTGAAGGTAGGTTTTTGGACCTGCTTTGGCCCTATCCAACCTGGTTCCTACTTCTTTCTACCCACACTTCCACTTCGCTTCTTCCACTTTCGCTCCCACTTCCACTTCTTCTTTCTTCCTCACCTTAATCCATCTCTGCCGCTCGAGGCACCGTTCTCTTCCATACTGCGAGCGACCAACAACACTAATGCGCTTTACTTCTTCCAGGTAGCCCATCCCATTCCCTCACCACGCGGCTATTCGACCCATCAATCATACCATCTTTCTTGCCTCCTCTTTTCAGCGCATAACCCAACTCTCGAATTGCTTCTGACTTTGACAGGCAGCTAGTCAATCACCAAACCGACTACGAAGCTTGACCGGTAAGTTCATATTGCCCCGAAACTACATTCGCCTTCAATATCACCCTCGGCACGGCTCCCTCTTCATTTTCTCCATTACTCGAGGCAGCGGGACTCAAAACCTGAACTTGGCGAGCGATCACCTCTGGCTCCGGGATCCCCTCCAAGCACTCGCAGACACACATTTCCCTGGCCTTGATATCAAACACTTTCCCTGAATTTATCTCCGCTACAAACTCCCGGTTTCCTCGTCAAACAATTCACCCGCGAGAATCTGCGCTGACTAGCTCCTTGCAGTGTTGCGAAGAACTCCGCCTTCCAATCCCAAATCTGCTACGGGAAGAAATCGGTGAGTTCTCTGCCTTCTGCTGTTCCTTCCCTTCTCGCTCATACCGCTGCTTCCCTTGCTGGCGCCCATTGAAACCACTCTGCACCAAGCCCCTTCCATCCTCCTACTTCTGCGCCTTTTATTTTTTTCCCCACCCACTACCTGCACTCGACTTCCAATTTCTTCCTCTCCCCTACGCACCTAACTAGAAGGCACTCTGCTAGGTTACCTTCCCTTTCTTCCTTTCTGCACTTCCAATTCCCAATTCCCAATTCACCCACAAACCTGACCTTCAGTGCTCACCCATCTTTCAGCATCAGCGTTAGACCTCCAACACTCGATCATTGCCCCAGCCACTCGAGTAAGCCTATCCTCAACACAGCGCTGTTTCCGACACACTAGCTTCGACTTTTACTCTCCTTACACTTCTTGTTGCCCACAAACCTTTTCTCCGATCGGCCCCTTACTTTGAAAGAGCCTGACCACAGCTTGCTGATCTGATTTCCACCAGCAGCCATCTCAACCCCGGCGAAACTGCTCAGCAAGTGCCGCCTCACTGCCCATCATGGCGCCCCAAGTCAAGGAGCGAAACCCTTTGGAGCTCCCTTCGGGCATCAACAAGCGATGCGACTTACCGCCCGAGGCGTACTGGGTAAGCTCCATTGCTGATCGAGACCGAATGGCACAATACTAATCAAGTTTGCAGCACGCGGATAAAGTCAACACTCCGCATGCTTCCCGCCGCGGCTACAACAATTCCGGCGTAAACATCCGTGTCGGTGTGAACCAGTTCCGCATTGAGGGCATCAGCGGCAATGACGTTTATCAGTACGATGTGAGTATCTAGAGCCCTGCTGCCGAGTACCATGGGAAGCGTGCCACTTACACTTTGAATAGATCGGCATCACTCCCGAGCCGGATGGCGCCATCGTCTACAAGAAGGCCTGGAACACCAAGGCTTTTCAGGGCAAGTTGGCTGGGTACAAGCTCCCTTGGCTCTATGACAATCGGAAGCTTGCTTGGTATGTATCCATGTTAATAGGTGAGAAGGTTTCGCATGCTGACGCGCCATCACCCTTAGGTCGAGCACCAACGTTCCGAGTTTCTCACTCGAAGTTGACTTGGGCGCGGATGAGGGCCGTCCGGGTCGCAAGAGGAACCAGTTCACCGTCGAGGTGAAGCAGACATGCAAGGTCCGTCTGGAAGCCCTGAAGGGTTACTTGACCGGGAAAGTTGGCTGGGACAATACAGTCCTGGAGTGCATGAGTGAGTGACATAAGCTCCATTCCGTGTTGGCTATCATCGCTCACTGGGTCTAGGCTTCCTCGATCACGTCCTGCGCCAGGGCCCCTCGGAGCGCATGCGTTTGATCAAGCGCACGCTTTTCAATCAATACTCGGAGACGAGGCAGCTCAACTCGGTCACTGAGGCCATCAAGGGCATTTACTCCGCCATTCGCCTGAATGACGTATGTGCTACCTCTTCCGCTTTTTCCGCTTGGTTTACCGCGCTAACTGTGTAATAGTCGTTCAATACCGGCGGTATGGGACTTGGTGTCAATGTCGACGTCTCCAACCAAACCTTCTGGGTCGGTCAGAAGTTTGAGCAGTTGGCGCGTAACTTCTTGAGCTGCATGGACCGAAAATGGGACAACCGTGAGTGCCCCGGACACCCTCTACCCGCAGGACTTCTTCATCTTTTCTTTTTCTTTTTACTTAGCTGACTCTCCTTCCAGTTGACTATGAGGGCTTACGAAAGGCCCTCTTGCCCGTGAAAGTCGGGGGAGGGAATGGTGGCACGCCGACTTGGGGTATGTCGGAAGCCTTCAAAGCTCTCCGTCGCCTGCAAAACATCCGCTTTGAAGTGAAACATCGCGGTGACTACAAGGGAACCAAGGAGCACAAAGTCAAGGGCATCGCCTTCGGCGTGAAGTATGGTGAGCTGGGCGCCAATGCGAGGGCGGTCACGTTCGAGAAGAAGATGCCGGACGGCACCAGCAAGACATACAACATTGCCGAATACTATCTGCAGCAGTACAAGACCAGGATCCAGCATTGGTACTTGCCGCTGATCGAGTCGACAAATGCCGGCCTCTTTCCCATGGAAGTCTGCGAGGTTCACCGGTTCAACCCGTACCCCTTCAAGCTGGATCCCAACCAGGTATGTTCTCCATGTTGGGTTTTGTCTTTCAGAGGAACGAGACTGACACAGGACTACAGACCTCGGAGATGATCAAGTTCGCCGTCCAGCGTCCTCCACAGCGCAAGGCCGAGGTCTTGAAGATGGTGCAGAACCTCGAGTGGGGCAAAGACCGTTACCTCGCTCACTTTGGCATCAAGATCAACCCAGCCATGCCCATGATTCCGGCCAAGCTCCTCCCCAACCCCACCATCCAATACGCCGGCCGAGTCGTCGATCCCAAGATGACGGGCCGCTGGGATCTTCGTGGCATCAAATTTGTCGCTCCCAACCGGAACCCGCTGGTATCCTGGGCTTTCGTCGTGGTCGACCAGTGTGTCGACAGGGCGTCTGCCGAGAACTTTGCCAAAGTTTTCAAGACGACGTACGCGGGCCACGGCGGCAAGATTGTGAACGACCCGAAAATCTATGCGCCCCCGAGGGGCGTACCGGTGGACAAGGTCGTCGAGGGGTGCTACAACAAGTGCGGGCAGGAAAACAAGAGCATGCCCCAGATCATTTTCTACATCCTCAGGGACAAGTCGGCGTTTACCTACGACCGATTCAAGCAGGCCAACGACTGCGGGGTGGCATGCTTGTCGCAGATGCTGCAGGCCCAACACGTTCGGAAGGCTCAGGGTCAATACTGCTCAAACGTCTGCATGAAGGTAAACTCCAAGCTGGGTGGACAGACGTCAAGGATTGCCGCCAAGGGCAATGGCGTCGCCTTCTTCGACAAGTCGCCGACGATGATGATTGGCGTCGATGTCTCGCACGGCAGCACTGCTTCCGGCTCTGCCTCTACGGCGGCGATGTGCGTATCCATGGATCCGCAAGCCGCCATCTACGATGCTGCTGTGCAGACCAACGGCTGGGGTGTTGAGATCCTGCAGCCGGCCAACATGCACTCGATGCTCGGGCCGTTGGTCGCAAAGTGGCGGAAGCTGTCTGGCCGGGCTCCGCAGCACGTCTTCTACCTGCGTGATGGCGTATCGGAGGGCCAATTTGGGCATGTCATGGAGTTCGAGGTCGAGGAGATGAAGAAGGTCTTCAAGGATCAGGTTGGCGTTGTGCCCAAGATCACCGTCATCGTCGCCACCAAGCGTCACCACATCCGCTTCTTCCCTGAGCGGGGCGACAGGAACGGTAACTGTTTGCCCGGCACGCTTGTGGAGCGGGAGGTTACCCACCCCTTCCACTACGACTTCTACCTCTGCTCCCACGTGGCCATTCAGGGCACGGCGCGGCCGGTGCACTACAACGTGATCCACGACGAGTGCGCCCTGCAGCCTGATGAGCTTCAGCGCATCCTGTATCATCAGTGCTACCAGTACTGCCGCTCGACCACACCGGTCTCTCTGCACCCGGCGGTCTACTATGCGCACTTGGCTGGCGCACGCGCGCGGCATCACGAGAACTTGGCAAGCAACGCGGCACCGGCTCCCGTTGATGCCAAGCACCTGGTGTTGAAGCGCCCAGGCCCGATGTCCAAGGGTGATGGCAAGACGGCTACTTCGCGCACTTCGGATGGCCCGCCTCCTCCCCCGCTGCTTCGGGTTGGATCTGGCGGGGGCCGCCCGGAAGCCATTAATAACTTCATCAACACCATGTGGTGGGTTTGAGAGGCCCAATGACGCGGCAAGCCTGGGTGCGGCTTCGCGGTCGAGCTTGGGGGTCAAGGCAGGGCAGCGGTGGTTTCACGGTCGTCTGACATACTGCAGTCGGCTATTGTTGTGTTCGACGTTCATGTATTTACATCTTGGCGGTGGCGGTTTCCAGGCCCTGGGAGGAGATTGAGCGGCGTGGCAGCGCCTTCTCCAGCGCCCAGAGTACCTAACCACATAAGTCCAGAGAAGGGGGGTTCGTAGCAGTAATACTCGTTGAGTTCCTTACGAAAATCGGCTTCCTTTCCACTGTGACTTTGGAATGTGAAAAGCAAATATCTCGGTCAAGTTGTGGCATTCAGGAATGACTGTGAGCGATGTTGACTTTCCCCTGAGACGCGCTGCCGAGCAACGCGGGGACTGAGTGGGTGGCTGCTTGTTGGAGCGCAGGGGTAAGCGGTTTGACAAGGATCTGCCGGAGTTCGGCACATGGCAGACTGGGCTGGGGCAGGGTTGCATCGCTTGGCGTACCCGCGGGGCAGCAGGGCACCCCGGCCGTTTCAACCCCACATCGGTCGTTACAAGTCGTCAGCACCAACCGAAGCTCCCGTTTTCATAGCCGGGACGGTTCTCTCTCAACACCAAAACCACCATCACAGTATTGTGTCGTGTGGAAGGAACAGAAACAAAGATGGCGAGCTTTTTGCGAGCTAGACAGGCGGGGGTTCAGAATGACCTGTCAGCAGGGATTCCCCCTGGGTCGTTCAATCCAGACGAACAGTCTCGATACGGCATCAACTCCCAGATCAGGTATGTTTGTTTCTGTCTATGCATCCATCTGCCCTTGTTTTATTTCCCTTGTCTGTCTGTCTGTTGTGTTTGTCCGTTTGTTTCCCCCCCCATCACCCCTTACCTCTCACCCACCCATCCCACCAAACCAACCCCGCTAACCCCCCTCCCCCCCTCAAACAGCTGCATCGCCTACGACCCAATCCAATCCCTCCTCGCCGTCGGCACCACCACCTCGCAGTACGGCCCGGCCCAAATCTACGTCTTTGGCGCCCACCGCGTCTGCCGCACCTTCACTCCCTCCTCCTCCTCCTCCTCCACCACCAGCAACCCGACCCGCAAACCCCGGACCACCCTCTCCTCCTCCTCCACCACTTCATCCGCATCCACTCAACAACAGCCCCCCGCCATCCGCCACCTCGCCTTCGTCGCCAACCGCCTCGTCAGCCTCGACTCCCACAACGAACTCGCCGTCTGGGACCTGGCGTCCTCCGGTAGGCTGGTCGCCAAACACACGTACGGCCGCGTGGTGTGTGTGGTGACGGATCCGGGGCTGGACTGGGTGCTGGTGGGGCTGCAGAGCGGCGGGGATGTGTGGGCGTATGATTTGGATCGCGAGCGGCCGGCGACGGGGTTTCGCGTGCCGGGGTTGTGGAAGAGTCCAGGGGGTGGGGGTGGGTTGGGGATGGGGATGGGGATGGTGGGTGTGGTGAGCTTGCAGCTGCATCCGAGGGATATTGGGAAGTTGTTGATTGGCTATACGCATGGCGCGGTGGTGTATTCGTTTAAGTTGAATGCGGCGACTAAGTTCTTTGAGTATGTTTTGCCGAGGGGGGCGCCGGGGGGGGATGGGCGCGGGGTGGACAGGGAGCGCAGACCGAGGGTGGTGCAGGCGGTTTGGCACCCGACGGGCACGTTTGTGCTGACGGCGCATGAGGATGGGAGTTTGGTGTTTTGGGATCCCAAGGATGGGCGGGTGGTGGCTGCGCGGTCGGTTTATAATACGAGGGTTAATGAGGTTGGGGGGAAGGCGGCGAAGGCGACGCCGTTGGTGCCGTTTGGGAAGATCTCGTGGTGCTGCAAGCAGAACCCGGATGATACGGCGCTGTTGATTGCGGGCGGGCAGGCGGTGGATGAGGAGCAGAAGGGGTTGACGTTTTTGGAGTTGGGACCGACGCCTACGTACGCGACTTCGTCGTGGGATATGCTCACGAGCCACTTCGAGGCCAAGAGGCGGCTGACCCTGCCGATACCGCCCGGCGCCGCGGTGGCGGACTATTGTCTGATTCCGCGGTCGTCGCCGTATTTCGATGGTGCGCAGGACCCGATCGCCATCCTGGTCATGCTCACCTCCGGAGAGGTCATCACCATGAGTTTCCCGTCGGGGTACCCCGTCAGCCCGACCAACATGCTGCACCCGAGCATGTCGTTTGTGCATCCGTTTGTGCAGAAGATTGCCGTCACCTCGATGCCGCGCGAGAGGTGGCTGGCCCTGACCGAGACGCGCAACCACGGCGACCCAATACTGATGGGCGGCGCGCCGGCTTCGAAGAGGAGAAGAGTCGGCTGGGATTTCCGCAACATTATCCAGGTCGCGCACGCCGACAGTACGATCCGCATGTGGGACGTTGGCTACAACGACGACGTTGAGAACCCTATGCAACTACAAGTGGACATTGCCAGGGCGCTCGACCGCTTTGAGGACGTCAACGTCACGGCTCTTGATATGGCTGGCGCCACCGGGGAGTTTGCCGCTGGCACGAGGAAGGGAGAAGTCGTCATTTACAAATGGGGAATGAACAGAAGCTTCGGCCATGACGCCACGAAACCCCTTAACTCGAACCCTGGGGGGTTAACGGACATCTCCTCGCGTGCGGAGCCGACACTTAAGGAGGGCCTGCAGCCATTTGTTCTCTACGAGATGATGCAAGGCCCTGTCAGCGTGATCACGGTCTCCGACGTCGGGTTCGTCGCCGTGGGCTCCGAAGGCGGCTTCTTCAGCATCATTGACATGCGTGGGCCGAGAGTCATCTTCCAGGCGTCCGTCACGGACTTTATCAAGGAGGAGAAGCGGTCATCGTTTCTCAAAGGGCACTCTTCCAAGGCGTCGTCCGGGACGAAAGAATTCCCGACGGCCATCGAGTTTGGCGTCTTGACTCTAGAAGGAGACGGTTATTCTAGCATTGCGTGCTTTGTCGGGACGAGCCTGGGGCATGTGGCTACCTTCAAGATCCTTCCCTCGGGGCAGACGTACTCGGCGCAGTTAGCGGGCGTGTCCAAGTGCGGTGGTGACAAGGTCATCTCGATCAACCCGCTGAATTCGGAGACCGGGCAGCCGGCCAGTGCAACCGCCGTTTCGGTAGGAAGTCTGAGGGAGGGCCGGCAGGTAAACGGTGTTCTGGTCGTCGGTAAGTCAAATCACTCCAGGCTCTCTTTACGTTACATCCCAGCTAACAACGACCAGTGACGCAAACCGAGATCCGCATCTTCAAGCCCGCCACCGCAAAAGGCGCATCCAAATCCTTCGACGACCAATTCTGCGACGCCGCGCGCGTGACCGAGATCCCGCGCGTCGGCGTCGCCCTCGTAGCCGTCTTCGGCGACCGCACGACACGCGCCTACACGCTCCCAGGTCTCAAAGAGATCGGCCGCTCCGCACTGCCCATGCTCGACCCGGCGCGCACCGTGTCGGCCGTCGTCTCGCGCACCGGCGACGTCTTCGGCTGGACGGGCCCCTCCGAGATCGCCGTCCTGCCCGTCTGGGGCTCCGGCCAGCCGCTCCCGCCCTCGGCCGACTCCCTGATCAACCCGGACCTCGCCCTCCCGCCCCGGCCCACCATCAGCAACCTGCAGTGGATGACCGGCACCCAGTACGTCAGCCCCACAGACCTCGACCTGCTCATCGGCGGCGAGGGCCGCCCGCCGAGCAAGCGCATGATGGAGGCGGCGGCTGCGGAGAGGGGGTTGGCTGGCTCTGGTGGTGGTGGTGGTTATGGTGGTGGTGGTGCGTCCGGCGCGAGGGCGGGGACTGCCCAAGAGGGCTGGGGCCAGTATCTGAGCCGCCAGCTCAATGAGCGCACCGAGAAGTTGACGATTGTGGATGATGCGATGAATCGGCTGCAGGAGTCGAGCCAGGGGTGGGCGGATGATGTGAATAAGTACGTCAAGAAGCAGAAGAGGGATATGTTGTTGGGGAGTGTGAAAAAATCGTTCTTTTGAGGGATGGGGGTTGGTGTAGGGGGTGGGTGCATACATGGTGGTGGAAGGGGCTCTGGCATTTGGGGGTTGGAGTTGGCTTCTAGACGGGGTTCACACGGCTGGTTGGTCGGGATGTCGTTGCGGAGCTCTTGGAGGTTATCTGCTCTGTTATAAGGTACATTCTTCTATTTTGGGGATTTGGGCTTTGAACATGCTAATCAAGCCTCTCACGCACATTTTGACTTTGTTGTGCTTGACGCAAGGGCGTAACATTCCTTCCTTGATACACACACCCCTTTTTGAACTCGATGCGGGATAGTTACATGCGAAGCTCTGTTGGTTCAGTACGACGCGACCCCAACCGCTTAACCACCACTCGCGTGGGGCCGGGCGGCCATAGCCGTCGGGTAATCCACTGCCGGTATCCGGATCTAGGGGCGGTAGTAAGGTAGTACAGCGCGGAGGGTGACCTGCCAGTAGCTCCGAGTCCTCGCCGAACACTATGGCTAAATGGCGGGACTTCCCCATCCCCTCTCCTATGTTTCTCTCTGAGCTCACCCAGTCGCTCCAATTGATGGATTGGAATCACTGCAGGCCGCCGGTCTCTACCCTGCGGGGACGGATCTGGGATGTGCCGGAGCGGAGGAGTGAGCTCTTTCCTAGGTAGTTCAAGACATAGCCCCCCCCGATAAGTAGGTGAGCTACACCCATACCACCACCCAGGATACACAAACCGGTCATCCACACCCAAGAGGGGCAGGTCATGAGCTAAACCCCTCGCTTGCACACCATACACAGCAAGCACCATGGCACCCACCACCACCCGGAGGACCCTCCTCCTCCTCCTCACCTCCCTCCTCCCCATCCTTACACCACCAACCCACGCAGCCGACACCCCCTTCGCAGGGTACCCCTCCCCCTGGGCATCGCCCACCTCACCCAGCCACCCCGGCGCGGTCGACCCATCCTGGGCGGACGCCTATGCGCGAGCTGTCGAGTTTGTGGCTGACCTGACGCTGACGGAAAAGGTTAACTTGACTACGGGCACGGGGTGGGAGGCGGATCGGTGTATTGGGAATACGGGGGGCGTGCCGAGGGTGGGGTTTCGGGGGCTGTGTTTGGAGGATGGGCCTTTGGGGGTGAGGTATAGTATGTTTTTTCTTTTCTTTCTTTTTGTCCCTTTTTCTTCTTCTTCAATGAGGTGGTTGGTTGGTTGGTTGGGGTGGTGGTGTTAGTGGTTGGGGAAAAGGGGGTGTTGTGGATGTGGGCTGATGGTAGTCAACAGCACAGAATAACTCGGCTTTTCCGGCTGGCATCAATGTTGCTGCCACCTTCAGCCGCCGGTTGATGCGTTTGAGGGGTGAGGCCATCGGCGCCGAGTTCAGGGGAAAGGGCATCGATGTCATGCTGGGGCCGGCGTCGGGGCCGCTGGGGAGAGTGCCGCAGGGCGGGCGGAACTGGGAAGGCTTTGGGTATGTCTTGCGCCCCGTCCACTGATGGATCATGAATCGGAGAGCATGTGGAGCTGACGACCGAAGTCCCGATCCCTACCTCGCTGGTGTGGCTATGGCCGAGTCCATCCAGGGCATCCAGAGCCGTGGTGTGGTGGCCTGTGCGAAACACTACATTCTCAACGAGCAGGAGCACTACCGAGGGGTTATCGACGTGAGAATCGATGACCGGACCATGCACGAGTTGTATCTATGGCCGTTTGCCGACGCTGTCAGGGCTGGAGTCGGCTCTGTCATGTGCTCGTACAACAAGATCAACGGGACATATGCATGCGAGAACGAGTGGACGACCAACTACCTCCTCAAGAACGAGCTAGCCTTTCAAGGGTTTGGTGAGTGTGACCTGCCAGGGGTAACTATCCGGGATGAGCCTACTAACTAACTGGTGAAGTGATGTCTGACTGGGGAGCTCAACACACCACCCTCGGCTCAGCACTCGGTGGTCTTGACATGGCCATGCCCGGTGACGGCGGCCCGCAGCCGTACGGGGCATTATGGGGAGGTGCTCTCACCGAAGCAGTCCTGAAGGGCGACGTGCCTCAGTGGCGGCTCGATGACATGGCGGTCCGCATCATGGCCGCCTACTTCAAAGTACACACCGGCAACTACACCTCCCGCCCGGACATCAACTTCTCCGCCTGGACCAACCAGACCACCGGCCCCTTACACCCCTCCTCCAACCAGTCCATCACCGTGGTCAACGAGTTCGTCGACGTCCAGGCCGACCACGCCTCCCTGATCCGCGAAATCGGCGCCAAATCCATCGTCCTCCTCAAGAACACCAACAACATCCTCCCGCTCTCCAAACCCGCCAGCATCGCCGTCATCGGCGACGACGCCCAAGACCCACCGGGCGGCCCCAACGCCTGCCCCGACCGCGGCTGCTTCAGCGGCACCATCGCCATGGGCTACGGCTCCGGCACCGCCGACTTCCCCTACCTAATCTCCCCCGCCACCGCGCTCCTGCACCAATCCCGCCTCGACAACACCACCTTCCACAACACCACCTCCAACTGGGACCTGCCCACGGCCCAACACCTCGCCAGCACCGCCTCTGTCGCCATCGTCTTCGCCGCCGCCACCTCGGGCGAGAACTACCTCACGGTCGAGACCAACGCCGGCGACCGCAACAACCTGACGCTCTGGGGCAACGGCGACGCCCTCATCGCCGCCGTGGCGCGCGCCAACCCCAACACCGTCGTCGTCCTGCACACCCCGGGCCCCGTGCTCCTCGACGCCGTCGCCCAGAACCCCAACGTCTCCGCCATCCTGTGGGCCGGGTTCCCGGGCCAGGAGTCCGGGAATGCGCTCGTGGATGTGCTGTACGGGCGGGTGGCGCCGCAGGGGCGCAGTCCGTTTACGTGGGGCAGGACGGCGGAGGATTATGGGGTGGAGCTGCTGGTGGAGGCGGAGGATCCGCGGAGGCCGGTGCAGGTGTTTGGGGAGGGGGTGTTTGTGGATTATCGGTGGTTTCAGAGGGGGGTGGGTGGGGTGGTGTATCCGTTTGGGTTTGGGTTGGGGTATACAAGGTTTGGGTATGCGAATTTGACGGTGGAGGTTGTGGGGGATGGGGGGGTGTTGGAGCCCGCGGAGGGGGTGACGGGGCCGGCGCCGGTGGTTGGGGTGGTGGAGGAGGAGCTGGCGGCGCATGTGGTTCCGGAGGGGTTCGGGAGGATATCGCCGTATGTGTATTCGTGGTTGAATAATAGTGAGGGGTTTGTTGCTGGGGGCGCTGGGAATATCAGCGACTTTCCGGCGGCGGCGAGGAACGGATCGGCTCAGCCTGTCCTGCCCGCTTCAGGGGCGTCGGGGGGTCACCCGGGGCTCTATGAGGTGTTGTACACGCTTACCGCGCGCATCACAAACGAGGGCGAGGTGAAGGGGACGGAGATACCGCAGCTGGTACGTTTTTCTTTTGTTTACCCCTGAAGTCAACCCCCATAAAACAAGGAGTTGCTAACATGACAACAGTATGTCCAACTCGGGGGCGAAGACAACCCCTGGGGCATCCTCCGCGGCTTTGACGAAGTTGAGCTGGAGCCAGGAGAGACCAAGACCGTCACGTTCAACCTGACACGGAGGGACGTTAGCAACTGGAACACGGCTACACAGAACTGGGAGATCACCGACAGGGAAAAGGTCGTCTTCGTCGGCTCCAACGTGCGGGACATCCATCTCAACTCGTCGCTTCCAGCACCGGCAGGGATGACATTCAAGCACGGCCGAGGGTTATTTGGTGGCACCATCAACTAAACTTGAGACGTCAAATAACCGACTGAACTACTTCATAGTGGTATCTCATCACAGTCGCTAAACAACCCGGCCTCTTAGTCCCAAACCCAAAACATGACTGCCATTGATATCGCTCATTAAGTTACCCGCTCATCAACATCCCACACTCAAAACTTAGTAAGTATAGCGGAACCCAGGCTCGTAGTTATCATCCTGCAACCAAGTCAGCTCAAGCCCAAACCCGACGACCCCTGGCGAGACAAGACTTACCGCATCACACTCAAGCTCCCTCTCGCCCCGATCGGCCTTCTTGTTGAGGCGCCAGAAGTCGAGAGTGAGCGCGCCCACGATAAGCATAGTCAGGAGCGTCGTCGCGATGCAGGCGTACAGGCCCGGACGGTAGTGCGGCATGTCCTGGGCGCGGAAGACCAGACTGCCGGCGATACCGCCGATGCCGCCGAACGAGACGAAGGTGGCGCTGCAGAAGGCGCGCTTCCACTGGCCGCGGATGTTGTTGGCCTGGTACGACATGGCGGCGGGCACGTTGGCGTTGGCGCCGGCGGTGACGAGGAAGACGCCAAAGTAGCGGACAGCGGGACTCGAGTGGAAGCCCATGATCGGGAGGCCGATGATACACAGCATGCAGTTGAAGAGGACGATGGGCCCGCGGAGCCGGTACTTGTCGCCGGCCCAACCCGTGCCGTACATGATGATGCCGGCGAAGACGTAGGGGGGTGCCACGAGGCACTGCGACTGGGCGACGGTGAAGCCCATGTTCCCGGTGAGGATAAGGGGGAGGAAGTAGGCGAGCGCGTAGGTAACGGTGGTGGTGTTGAAGAAGATCATGGCGTACGCCCACACCTTGATGTCCGTGCCGGCGCGGAGATACTTGGCCATCGAGAAGGGCTGTGCCTTGACGTCGCCACGGTCGGCGTTGACGCGAGCGCATACCCTAGGCGTTCATCGTCAGCGGCAAAAGACAAACACGATGGTTGATCGGGTCATGCTAGAAACTCACCACTCCTTTTCCCTCGCCCCAAGAAAGCTCCAGCTCTTGCGCTTCGCGTCGGGGAAGTCAACTAGTAACCAGTACCCAATCATACCAAGCACCACAGTCATGATACCCTCGATGATGAAGATCCAGCGCCAGCCGTTCAGCCCGGCAAGGCCGCCCATTTGCATGAGCTGCCAGGTTGTTAGCGGATATCAACCTCGAAAAACATCGGCGAGGCTACTCACTCCGTAGGCCAAGATACCAGCAAAGGCGGCAGCGACGCAGCCGACTATATAAAATACCGAGTTCCGCTTACCAACCTCGTCTGTCCACTGTCAGTAAACCATCTTCCCCCCATTTCCCCCTCCAGCGGATATTCTTACATCTTGTGTACCAAGTGCTCAGCAGGTAGACACAACTTGGGAAAAAGCCTGTCACCTGTCAGTCACAGTCCTTCCCCAGGTCCCTTGCCCTTCTGAACTTGGCTGGTTGGGAGAGGAGGTTAGATAAACCCACCAGCTTCCAAGAAACCCAGCAAAACTCTCATCCCGGCCATTTCCTCCCAGTTGTTCACGAAGCCCATCCCGATCATGCAACCACCCCAGAGTATGGTGATGGCGGCCAGATGCAAACGCGGGCCGACCTTGCGCACGATGATGGTTGATGGGGGCTGAAAGACAATATAGGTAACGAAGAAGACGAGCGAAATGATACTCTAATCATCACAATTAACACACGAATCACCAAACCACTACACTCACACTAGAGCGCCATTGATGAATGTTGGAGGTAAACAAATGAGCGGGAAACCCACATATCGATCCCCAATCTTCAACTCCAGATCTTTCTCCATTCCCGCAATGTTAGCGGCGCCCAGGTTCGTGCGGTCCATCAGGCTGATGCAGTACATGGCGCCGACGGTCAGTACCAGGCGGCGGTCGACGTGGCGCATGATCCTCTTCTGCTCGGCGGGGGAGAAGCCGAAGTCGTCGGCCGAAATGGGGGCCATCCTGTTGCCGGCATGGTCCGAGTCGGCGCCTTCGACGTTCTCGAAGGCGACCTTTTCCTGCGAGGAGGCCATGGTGGCGGCGGGCTTTTCTGTCTCTTGGTTCACTTTACTCTGTCGGTGTAAAGGAAGGTAGAAATGGGAGAGAACAAGTCGGCTCGCTTGTTCCGTGGGATCCCGGTGATGGGAGGAGAGGTGGCGAGGAATAAAGATGGACGAGGAAGGGAAAGAGAGGGCCCAGGAGGATAGGACGGGGGAAGGTAACGGTATAAATAAACGTATCCATCCGACGTCACTTGACAGGGAACGATCTAGGCTCAACCGTATCACAATCCAGGGAGGACAGCACTCGCCTGGTACTTTGGAGGAGTTCGTGGATCAGTCCGTCAAACCATCCCATTCCCCGGGCCCCTCCATGTTACCCCAACCCGTCAACAGGAGGGGATACCCGGGTACGTCCAATCGCAACCCCTGGCTGGGGGTACATCGACATCATCCCTTCCGCGAACCCTCCCGGCCCCATAATCCAAATGCACCAGGAACAGCTTAAGTAGCATATCCTGGAGGGCTCCTCAAGGCTCACGCAAGCGCCACCGTCGACTATTCATTCTTCTCCATTGTTTCCCCTCAAACTGACACGCTCCCCGTACCCTCTTGGGCCGAAGAACCCGCGCGAACCCAGGTCTGGCCGGACCAGCCAAGGCTTCCCCGCATCCGGGGGTGGAAGAGCTCAGCAGAGGCGAGCTGGGGAATGTCCCCGCGAGCCCAATCAGACCCCTGGCTCAATGGAGAGACGTTGTGTGCAGACAGGACGATTTGCCAGATCTGGATGCAGTCGCCGTTCCACGCAGGGAAGCGTCGTGTTGTGCACGTGGGACAGGAGGCGAAAAGTTGGAGCAAGGTGGTCGAGATGCGACTTGGCAACTTCAAAGATCCGAGGGGCTCGACAGGGGTCCCCTTTTGTGTAGTAAGCGCCATAACTGCCGCAGCAGCCTGCTCCGCAAACGCGGGGAGAGGGGTGGGTGGTGTGGAGGTGTATGGGCTGTGGAGAGGGACTAAAATAAAGAGAGGCAAACAAACAGCTTCTCTCCGAATCCGGGGTACATCTGGCTTGGGACGCCTGGGCGCTAATCCAGTCGTGTGGTAGCGTTCTTCCTCCCGAGCTCGGCACCGCAGCCTTCGCCAGCCTTCGCCAGCCGATGCACCGAGTTCTGGCTTTCCTTGCGATTGGGGGCTCTGCCGAACAGGAAGGGGGTGCGGGGAGTGGTGGGAATGGTCGGCGCGAGAGCCTCTCGGGATGCGCCTCAACAACCGACAGCTCGCCCGATCCGGGCATCGAGTCTGTGGCGTAATCAACTCTCTTCCATTCGACGACCATGCAGCGGTGGATCGACCCTCACGACTTGGCCGTCGCATCCAGAGCTCCAACTCGGACCCCATCCCCTGGAACCTCGGTTTCCCGCTGGGTAACCGAGCATCCTCTGGCCAGGCAAAGCCGAACTGAAGAATCAAGCAAACAGAACAAATGCAAAGAAATTGAGCAAAAGATATCAAACAAAAAGCAATGGGGTAAAACAAAAGTAAACGGAGTAGATCCGGTTTCTTTGGGTTTCAGGGTGACTTTCGTTTCGTCCCTACAATCGAAGACTCGAGGTTCCGATGGTCGACATCTGCGCTTTGGAGTTCGGCCCTTTTTGCCCATGGGCAACCGAGTCACCTTCTGTCCACTTGAACGTTTGGGCGGTGTGGGATGTGAATGAGGGGCACAGCACGATTTGCTGTCAACGGCAAGACCCTGGAAGAACGGGATGGTTAAAATGGTTGCTTTTACTGTGGAGACCCAAGCAAGTCGTGTACACTACACAGTGCATGGAAGGACAACTCGAAGGGTGAAAGAATGGGGTCCGAATAAGGTAAGAAACATAGCAAGGTCAGTCACATTAGCATGGCCAGAAAGGTAGATTCACCGAAGGCCATTCTGACATACCTTGTTGTGATAGGAAAGTGCCCTCATTCTGAGTGACATTGGACGAGATCGATAACAGGGTCAGGCGATGAAGAGAAGCTCCGGATCCCGATCTGAGATTGCTTCTGGCTCTCACGAAGGAACCCGGTGACTGTCTCATGGGAGACCGCCAAGATAGGGAGCCACTCATATCACGTTGGGGGGTCCCGATGTCTTGGGTCCGCCCAGATGGCTCTCGCTGCTCGAAGATCGCGGCTTGCATGACGCCAACATCCGGGGCGTAGCCGTTGGGCTGGCCAACCTCGGTAGTCGGGCCCCGACCTCGGTTGACCTCAGCCCTGACTTGGCGGGTTTCCTTTGGTAGAGTCGGTTGCCCTCCTAGTAGCGAACGACTTGATGTCTAGAGTCCTGTCGCGGGGGGGGGGGGATTCCAGGCGCGGCGGTCCTCGAGCGATTCCTCCTTCTCTGGTACCGGCCAACCACTCACCCGGGGGAATTTCAGTGTTTTGATCAACGATGACGGTCCCCGGTTTGTCATCCTGCTTCTGTATCTCCGGCGGCAAGATGGTGGTTTGATCCTTCGGTGACAAGGTGATCGGTCTGATCTGGCTTGGTTGGACCTGGGCAACTAACAGTATCGTGGGAGATCGAGCAGCTTTCGTGCCCCGAAATGACTCCACGATCTCGTCGTTATTGCTGTCGCTGTCGCTGTCGCTGTCGCTGTCGCTGCTGTCCCCCTCATCATCACTACCGACAACAAACAGGCCGGGGTGGGCTTCAGGGGCTGCGGCGGAATATGCTTCAGGGCCCCTGAGGGTGTTGCGGCTGATAAAAGTATCTCGGCGGTTCAGCTCTTGTGTAAGTAACTCGGCGCGGTTCATCTGAAGGCCAAGCTCCGCCATTGCGCTGTCCACCTTGGCTGCCATTTTCCTCGATCGCCTCCGCGATCTCAGAGTATTGACTACACTCACAAGCAGTGTTGCGCAAGTGGCGACACCCAACACGGTTACCGTTATGATTTGTGGTTCAGTCCAGCGGCTCGTTGGCTGGACTTCCGACATGCTTCCTTCCATGGCCTGTGAGAAGGTAAGTAATACGGGGGCGAGTTGGCCTGTCTGGTAATACTATGGGGATAGAGATTGATAGAGTGTGACGGTGTAGGAGAGGGGCAAACCGAAGGTAAGTATAAGTATCCCTTCCAGGTCCTTTATATATCTTGCCGGGACTCTTGTGTTGATTGAACATGTAGATTGTTACGGCCGACTTTGTCTTTGTGTTTCCTGTTATCGCCAGGAATCAGCGACCAAACCCTCTCCCCATCGTCATGGCGAACAAAGGCTGCGTGATGGCAGAGAAAGCGTCGTGTCAAAAACCTTAAACAACCCAAAGCACATCCAGTCTTCTTGACGGCTTAACTGGTCAACAGTACTGCGAGCCACGACCGATATATTCCAGCTGGTCATATGGCAGTGGTGTCGAACCACCTGGAAGTCGAGGCGAGATAAAATGGGAGACAGAATTAAGCGAAGTCGCTCATTCTACTACGGAGGATGAAACCTAGCAAAGGAGAAGGGCGTTGTAAGATCGAGTGACGGCCCGAGCCTCGGAAGGAAACTGGAAGTTGGAAAGAAGCGAGTAGGAGGGTAGTTCTTTCCTTCTGCGCTGCTGGCGCTCCGGCTTGTTTCTCAGCCAGAGATGTTTCCTGGAATGGAAGGAAGAAGAAATGCGAAATGGCAACAACTTCCAGGTTCCTTCCAGGTCGAAGCCCTACCAGTTATACTAAGCGACGTTTTACTCCTTCCCTGTTTGTCCCTCTCCCCTTCCTCGTCCTTTCCTTAGGCCCCGTCTCTTTTCACTCCTCGAATTCTTGAGGAATCCCCCCAAGAGATAGGCTATTTCCAAGAGACAGACAAAAGAATGATGAACTGTCATCCATCTACCTAGTTAAGTACCCCCCCTTCCCACGCTGCTTGGTGGTTTCTGGATTTCCGCTGAATAGCAGATCTCACCCCTTTCTGTCGGGGCCTAGGGCAGCTCTCCCGTTCCCACGCAACCCGCTCTTGCACACACTTCCTCAAAGGAGAAGCACCTTCCTCCCATCCATCCAGGCAAGCTTTCTAAAAGCGGCGCGGGTGGGCAGCAAAACCGGGTTTCCTGGCAGTCGCTCTCAAGCTGATGCCCGCCGAATGTGGAGTGTCTCAGCTCACGTCGCTTCTCTCCCTTGGGATCCGTCGAGCCGCCCTGCCGCCCTGCCGCCCTCGCCCCCCCTTTGCGGCCGGAAACAAGACGGTGTGGTTTCGAAGGCGCCAATTCACCCGAAATACACGGGGCGACTTGTGCTGGCGTGGCCCACCGCGGGCATTTGTAGGCCCTCTCAATGGTCGCTTTGGACTTTACCCCGGAAAGCAACCGGCGATCTTCAACAGACAGGGTTTGCTGTTCCACCGATTTCTCAGTCTCTGAACTTCGAGAAAAAGGTGCCGGGGCTCACCGTTGGGAGAAAACTGGGGTTTAGTTTGCCGATCCCACAGTCGTGACCCGGATGGAAAAGAGAACAATGCGATCTGCACGCTGGGATGAGGTAGCCTCTCCATTTAAATATATGAATTTCTCCGTTCGGACCTCCCCCTTCCGCCTCTCCCCCATGCGCAAGCCCGCGAGTGCCATGACCATATCGTCAGTTTAGTTCTTTGAATGCGACTCACTCACTCAAGGACCCCCGGGACCCATGGCCTGGAGTTAGCGGGCGTGGTCTTCAAGGGGTTGGCAACGAGAACCGGGCTGAGCATGCATATAAAATGACCTCCGCGTCCCAACTCTCATTGTGAACTCTGACGGAGACCACTGAGCAACTGACAACTTCCCCTACATTCACACAATGAAGGCCTTCACTCTTCTCGCGGCGGCCTCAGCGGCCTCGGCACACACCATCTTCGTCCAGCTCGAGGCGGATGGCACAACGTACCCGGTATCTCACGGTATCCGGACCCCGACCTACGACGGCCCCATCACCGACGTCACTTCCGACGACGTTGCCTGCAATGGCGGCCCGAACCCGACGACCCCGTCCAGCGAGGTCATCACCGTCTCTGCGGGCACCACCGTCAAGGCCGTCTGGAGGCATACTCTCGACTCGGGCCCCGAGGATGTCATGGACGCGAGCCACAAGGGCCCGACCATGGCCTACCTCAAGAAGGTCGACGACGCTGTGACCGACAGTGGCATCGGCGATGGATGGTTCAAGATCCAGGAGGACGGCTACAGCAACGGCCAATGGGGTACCAGCACCGTCATTGAGAACTCTGGTCTCCATACCATGTAAGATGCCCCCACGAGAGAGTGTGTGTGCTCGACTGGATACTGACCAACCGCAGTGACATCCCGGCTTGCATTCCCGAGGGCCAGTACCTCCTCCGCGCCGAGATGATCGCTCTCCACAGTGCCGGCTCCCCCGGTGGCGCTCAGCTCTACGTAAGCCTCCGTCCTTCCATCCTTCGCTGATGGCCACCTCCCGCTAACATCATGACTAGATGGAATGCGCCCAGCTCAACATTGTCGGTGGCTCTGGCTCGGTCCCCACCGACACCGTCAGCTTCCCTGGTGCCTACCCCGCCGACGACCCGGGCATCGTCGTCGACATCTACTCCATGTCGCCCTCCGACTCCTACAGCGTCCCGGGCCCGGACGCCTTCTCTTGCTAGGGGTAGTCCTGGCGGCGGGGGTGACTGCCCCTCTGCGCAGGGGCGGTGGTGTGTTTGTGACTTGCGCGCGGGTTAGTTTGCGTTAGGTAGTTGTTTGGGTGGATGCATAGCGGTATGGCGGAATGATCTATGACTTCGCTGTACATCCTGTCGATGTACACGCATATGATACCTTAGACTGGTTCCTTCCGACTGCATCGATTCTTCTCCAGGTAACCGTGATCTGTATGCGACACACTGACGATATCGCCGAGACATATAAAGGCTTGCCATTTATCAGTTCCTCCCCAAATCCCTTCTCACCCTCCACACCTTGCTCCCCACAGCCCGGCTCTGGCTCCCATGCAACATCTCCACCCACGGCACCTCCCCAACCACCCTCCGCGATTTCCTGCCCCCCGCCTCCTGCTCACCACCCACATCGTCCCCACCCCCGCTCTCACTCTCACCTTCACTCTCCTCCTCGCTCGCACTCTCATCGTCACTCCCATCCTCCTCCTGCACACCCAACCCCCGATCCTCACCCGCACCGCCCCCCTTCCCACCCCCCCTCAGATACAAATCCTCCCCATACGCCCACGTAGGCGCATCAAACCGCCCCGCAACCAGCACCAACCCCATCCCCGCCGCCGCCGTCTCACCTCCAGCCAACCCACCACCACCACCACTACTACTACTACCCGCGCCGAGAAGACCAATAACGCCATCGATCGCCGCCCGCGGGGCCAGCAGCTGCAGCTCGCCGCGGACGGTGTCGACGCCGCGGACCAGGACGAGGCCGAGGAGGTGGGAGTGCTGTGGGGGGAGGGGGCGGGATTGTGGATTCGGGAGGAGGGGGAGGCGGTGTTCTTTTTGGTTTTGGGGTTCTTCTTCTTCTTTGTTTTGTGCGGGGGTATTGGGTTTGGATTCTTGGGGGGGTTGTTTGGATGGTTCGTTGATGGAAGGTGTGGTGGTGGTGGTTGTTTGGTTTGAAGGGGGGAAGGAGTTGGGGTGGGCGCCGGCGTCGGCGTCGGTGTCGGTGTCGGGGAGGAGATCCCCCAGTGCGGCGCGGTTTTCCAGCCTGACCAGCGCCATGACTGTGCCGTTGATAGCCTCGGCGAGGAGTTCGGGTGCCGGCTGGTGGTCGTAGCAGAGGATGCCGAGGAAGCCTCTGTCTTTCCCGGCGTAGCGTACGCGCCAGGGGCGTAGCTCGCTCAGTGGCGTGGGATCCCAGGTCGGGTAGGGCTGCTGGGTGGGCGGGTGCAAGTGGAAATAGGACATTGTCTGCATCGTGCGGAAGTGGAGGGATGTGCGCGCGGACGACGCCTCGCTGGGCTGGGAGGGGAGGGTGGAGAAGGGGGTTGAAGGGGCGGTGGCCGTGCAGGCCGCTTGGAGGCTGTTGACTGTTTCTTCGGGGCCGTCCTGTGACATGTAGATGACTTCGGTCGGGCGGATGGCCATGATTAGCTCGGTGAGGATATCGAGGCCGGTGCCTTGGACCCAGCCAGGTGTGTTGACCACCAGCGGTGGTTTGGGGTCGGGGCCGCGTTGGTAGTGTGTGAGGAGGTCGAGAACGCACTCGATGTAATGAGCCGGATCGAGCCCTGGAGTGACGGATGCGATGGCGTGGGCCCGCAGTTGGCCTTCTTCTGGTGTGAGAGTGGGGTGGCAGAAGGACGGAGACAGATTCGGTATGGTGATATTAGACAGGGAGATGATTCCAGGAGGAGAATACTCGGGCTGCCCGGGATCTATGTCGAGAACCATTACGCCCGACCAGGGCCGGTTCTTGGAGCCGGCACGATCGGTTATCAAGCGGTTCGTCAGGAGTCGCCCGAATGTTGACTTTCCCGATGACTTGGGCCCACAGAGAAAGATCACGGGGGTCCCTTTCCGTTTCGCTGCGGCCAGTCCCGATAGCTTTTTGTTCCATTGCGCCGGAGAGACGAGTTCTTGCAGCACGGCCCTCTTAGGGACATCCTGCGAAGTGTATATCTGCTTGGATTAGCCGGTGGGTTGAGTTAAGGCCAAGTGAGCTGTGCACAAACTATTTGGAAAGTCGTAGAGGACTTTGACTTTGAGGCCGTTGCTTGTGGACTCTCATTCCACAGTTTGGCAAAGGCGGGATTCAGTGCTGCTAGTTGCCTCAGCCCCTTGGCAGCAGGATGGGGCTGAAGTTCAAGCACCGTATCGTCGGCGGTTCGGAGAACGGCCACGGCATGGCAATGGGGAGCATGAACCCATTGTACGGCGTCGGATGGTGTCAAGATGGCCCCGGCAAACGTAGCTTCGCCCTCGCGGATCTTGATGCCGAAACTCCCAAGAACAACTAACCGCTGTGTTTGTTAGTATCGAGGCGAAGAGGAGGGGCTTGCTTCACATACCTCTCCTTCAGAAGCGCTGAGAACAACACGGCCGCCGGGTTTTCTTTGGAGGTTTTTCTTATTAGGCTTGAAGGTCGAGTGGTGCTTGACGAGTATCCCGTTGGACTCGGGGCCGGGCGTAGAGGGACTGTGTTGGATGAGTATCGTAAAGTGAAGCCGATGTGCTGACATGAGGGGAGTTCACCTACCCTGATACTCCCGTTCCGACCTCGATACCCTGTGTTTGCTTCACATTGACCACGACTGGCGCTTCTGGGGACTGGCGCTTGGTCCGGCAGCCTACCACAGACCGAGCCGAAGGGGTCTCACTCTTCTTTCTCGACTGGGTAGACCGGGAATCTTCCAACACTGGCTCTGGGGCAGCCTTCTTCTTCTCATCGCTGACGTTCTTTCTCGCAAGTGCCGCTCCCCATAATTGTTGCCGCGCTGCAAACGCGCTCACTGGATCGGGTCAGCATTGATGCGAAATTTATTGAATTCAATTGAAGTTGATTTTTGAGGATTTCCGTACCGGTCGGCGTAGAACCCCCGCTCTCGCTGCCGCTGCCGCCATCCAACTTCCTCCTCTTGTTTGTGGCCATTTTCTCTCTCTTTGCAAACGCAACAACAACTCGATCCCCGACCAGCTGCAACCCCCGTCTCTCCTCTTCTCTTCCTTGCACTTCCAACCAACCCCAAAACCAATTCTTTAAAATTGTCGTTCAACCACGGGCTTTTAGGCGGCAACCCGATCCACAAGAACTTCGAAGGCTTCACTCAAAATTCAGCTCCTACGCTCAAAGTCGCCCTTGCGCGACCTGTCCGACAGACTCGGTCGAGCCCTCTTTTCTTCCAAAGGTTTGTGATTCAGTTATCGCAAGTTTTCCCCGTTTTCCCTTTCGTCCCCAACTCCCCTTCCAACCAATCATTTCCCGCAACAATCGCCTTTGTTGCAGCGACCCCACCAAACCCCACCTCCCGCAGCTGTGCTTTTGCAGGGGTCATGCAGCAGGGAGAAGCTTATCGTGAATTTTTTTGGAGGCCGGGAAAAAAAACGGCAGGAACAAACAACAATCACCTTCACTTCTGTCGCTTCTTGCCAATTCCTGTTGTTTTTCCTTTCTTCCACCCAAACATTTCGCATTTAGAACCTCGTCTTCTTGCGACCAACCGCTAAAGCAGTCCTCATGGCAGGGCCACGCGCGCCCATCGGCACTCTCTCGCAGCACGCCGCCACAGCCGCGGGACTCGTGCGCGGCATGGTTCCCAAGATGTTCACCCGAACCGACCCGAAGCGCGGTCGCAATGCCGATAAGCCTGTGGAGATCGAGAGCGAGAGCGACAGTGATAGCGACAGCTCCTCTGGCAGCGACACCGAGACGAAGCTTGACACCAAGAAATGGGGAGAATCGATGAAGGCGAAGAAAGTTGCATCGACGCCGATAAACAAAGCCAAATCAATCAAAACGGAAGCCGATCTTATCGCATCACCCAAGGTGAAGGCATCCAACTCTGCCACCAAAGCCAACGCTACTAAGAAGCGTCAGGCTTCCGAGTCGTCCTCGAGCGAGAGCAGCAGCGACGACGATGAAGACGATAAGATGGCCGTCGATTCCGAGTCGGACCTGAAGGCGGATCAGAAAAACGTGAAGAGCGGTAGCGCCAAGGGAAAACAGAAGGCGGAGGAGACGAGCTCGGAATCCGAGAGCGCGTCCAGCGACGAAGAATCGGACGACGATTCTGCGCCTGCGGTCAAGCCAGCTCGCAAGGCTGATTCCACAACGACAAAGACCTCCGCCTCAGACGAAGAGTCGGCTTCCGAGAGTGAGAGTGAAAGTGAGGGCGAGAGCGGCAGCGAGGATGAACCTGAGCCTCTGCAAAAGTCCAAATCCAAGCCGGCTCCGGGTTCCAAAGCTTCACCGAAGATCGCAAATACCAAGAAGGCCGCTCCTAGGTCGTCAGCGACTGTCAACGGGGCCGCAAGGAGCAAGGAGATGGTCAGCGATGCGGAATCAGCCGATACGGAGCAGTCCGATTCGGACTCCGAGGACGAGGATGCGACCGAGTCCGCGACCGTCGAAAAGCTGAGTGGAAAGACAGCAGTGTTAGTACTCCTAGCCGCCCCGCGAGACTTCACGTGTTAACAGTTTTCTAGCCAACCATCCCGTGAGATTGTTTCACAGGGTTTCCATCTTCGCAAAGCCGAGGAGGATGTCGATGCCGCTGCAGTTGCCCGCGCCTTCAAAAAAGCCAAAGCAGAAGGCAAACAGATTTGGTACTTCACAACTCCGAAGTCTGTGCCTATCGAAGTTATCCAGAAGCACGCTATCCCCTTGGACAAGGTCCATGCTGGAAAAGCCATCTTTGCTCACGAGGGAAATGAGTACACCGGCCAGTTTGAAGAGCCGGTGAACCACGCCATCAAAGTCCTCATTCCAGGAAAGACGGGGACCAATTATGAGGCTCGTATGTTAAGATGTTATAGGCCACTACTTAGCCGTTCTCTTGCTGACCTTCAAACAGATAATCAATCGGTTGATCGCGTTCTACATATCACCCGTGTGACGCGCTTTGGCGAGGAGGGCGAAAGCGAGCCCGCCTTAGCCGCCGCATCAGCTACCGTCGTCACAAAGGCGCCTCGGCCCCAGCCTAAGAACCTAAGGGCTCGCTATCAGCCATTCGGCGTCGCCAATGGAAGAGCTGGCACAATCGGGTTGGACGCCTCGGACAATGACGATGACGTTGAGATGACCCAGGCACCTCCGCTGAACGCCAAATCTGGCACGCCGAAGAAGGCCGCCAAGAAGCGCAAGCACGGCGATGTCGAGAAAGGGAACGTCAACCCCCAGGAGACAGCGTCCACGCCCGTCAAGAAGTCCAAGAAGGCTCGAGTCGATCCGTCTCCGGCTAAGGCCGCTAAAGAGACCTCGATCGCACCCCCTGTTATCCCTTCAAGCTCCGCAATGACCGCCGGGTCCGAGCTGGCGCAGTCGTCTCCAGTTAAGAAATCGAAGGGCAAAGACAAGTCCAAGAAGAAGGCCTCAGCCTCGGCCGAGGAAGCCAGCGAATCCAAGAAACCCGCAAAGGTCACGCCCGTTTTACCCCCTGCTGTCCCCGGCATAAAGAATTCTTAGGCAGGTTCTTCATCCCAGGACATCATACAGAGGGGCATACGGGCGGCGAGCGTCCCACCCGGCTACCAGTCTATGTCGGAGAGGCGTAAGGCAACAGAGGCCGCGCAGGCCATGACGCCTAGCACACCGACCAAGACGCGGATCGCCTCCTTGACCCCGGTCCCTATTCCAGGCATTTACACACCTCGAAAAGTGGTGCCTTCGCAACCTTGGACGGTGAAGGGTTCGCCCAACAACCTGGCGCGGCCCAACGGCACCCCGAATGGCACACCCTATGGCACTCCGTCGGCTTCTTCACAGGCCCCCAAGGGCATCTTGAAGACACCTAACCGCGGTCAGCCTTCTCCCGGGCAGAGCACGGGATCGGGTAGCAAGAGAAACTCTAAGAAGAACAAGGCCAACAAGAACCGAATGCCTAGTATTTCCTGGACTGGGGGCACTAAGCGCGGTCATGGCTCCTCTTGAGGAGTGTACATCAACCCCGAAGGCCGCCCGGGGGGTTGCGCAGCCATCGACGAGTCCTCATCATTGGTTTCTGCTTTTATTTTGGGGGTACGGGGTACGTTAAACTCTGTCATACTTGGTCTTTGCGCAACAGTTGGGTTGGGTCGTTCTGGTTCCGCCATCCAAAATCACCCGACAAAGCATTTCAACCCGTCTTTTATTTGCTCATTTCTCTTTGCTGTCTCTGTAACCAGATAAGTTTTGTACGACTACCTACCTCGGTATCTTGGGCGTTTCAGGAGATATCCGGCCTATATGCAGGCCAGCCAGTCTGGATGGGCATTCGGAGGATGATAACCTGGAAACGACGGTGTCTGCTGGGTCAATCGCCCGCACTAGCCGAGATGAGGAGATGGATGATTTGCTTCAAAATGAGAACCATTACTAGAAGCTGGGCTGGATTCGTTGGGTCTAGCTAGCTTACCTTGCGGTAGTAAATAAACATACCTAAGAATTTGTGGTGATGGAGTCGTGTGTTTGGATGTCGGCGTTAACAACGCTCGATGAACTTCAAGGCGTTCCTTCAATGCGCCCTATTCTCGACTTCGACTCCGGGGGCATCGCGTCCCAACCCGTCTCCGTTCCCGTTCCCGTCTCCATTTCCCATTTCTCATACCCGCCTCCACCCCCGTCCCCGTTCTTCCTGTCCCCCATACTATTAAACCCCCTGCAACCCCCCTCCGTCGCATTTGAGAGACAACCCAACCTGTTATAACAATCACATGACATGATAGTCAGCGCCGCCAGCCGAAAACTCATCATCACCCACCCACGCTCCCACGTGTCGGCGCCGTGGACGGTGTGCGGCTGAACCCCAAGAAAAAAAACCCACCTTTTCCCATTTTATCCTCAAAACGCCGACCCCTGCAACCAACGGCAATCCCACTCAACCTCACGCCCCCCGGCATTCAGTGAGGCTGAGCAGACTCGCGCAGGTCGCCTTTTCCTAACACGGCGTATTCTTAATTCAACGACATGTCGTTCCCCCTTCCTGTCAGCAAGGACTCGTTTTTCGTTTCATATCCTCCTTGTCAGGGCGAGGAGGGAATGTCGAACCTGACCAACGACGACGGCATCACGCACAAGCAGCAGGTTTCGCAAATCCAGTACTGTGTCTATTAGTCTTTTTTCATTTCATCCCGTCCCCCCTTGACCTTAGATCTCCCAGCGGGTATCGACCGACGACCTCAACCTCTCCATCCACCAACACCAACACCACGAACCAACCGCCCCAAGCCCACGACAACATGACAGCCCAAAGGTGTGGTTAACACTCCCTCTTTCGTCTCCTCTGCATCTCCTCCCTCTCGAGCAGGCCAGGCCAGTGCATCCATCCTCCGTCCTTCTACCAACCCATTACACCACCCATGCACAGCATCCAACGCATTATCATTACCCATTCTCCGTCTCCCGCCCGTCCACCGTTCCCCCACAACCACCCCACGGATGCAGAGACAAGGCGAGAAAGAAGATGAGAAGAGGAAGACAAAGAAAGAAAAGAGGATATTAAAATAACCCATCCCACTCGATCCAAGCAACGCAGCGCAACGCAACTCAACGCAGCGCAGCGCAACGGCGCAGACCAGCCAGCCCAGATCCAGCACCCCAGATCCGCCCCACCGTTCCGCCCTTTCTCTCCCTCCGAAAACCACCGCCACTCGCCATGCGATACCACCCACCACCTATGCCCCCGCCTCCGATGCCCCTATCCATGCCCATGCCCCACGCCCATGCCCCACGCCCATGCCCCACGCCCATGCCCCACGCCCATGCCATGCAAAACGACAAGAAATGCCCCCTCCCCCCCCAAAAAAACTGGGTGTATGTGAAAAGTGTGTATGTCGAGGGGGGAAGGTGTATGTGTAACGACCGTAGTAAAGCGCGCCATCCCGATGCTCCCTGATATCTCTAGGTATCTATCGCCGATTCAACCAACCAAAGCGAACGAGGGGTATATTTCCGTTTCCGTTTCCGTTCCCGTTCCCAGATGAGACGAGGAAAGAGGAGGGGAATGGTACTGATAAAAAGTAAAACCGAACCGAACCGAACCGAACGGAGCTGAAGTTGTCTCTTTTCAGACAGCCAGCCAACCAGCCAGCCAACTACGGACTCCGCCGCCCAGCAAACGAGTCGCGGCCCTCGGCCTCCTTGGCCGGCGCGAAGCGGGCCTTGCTCCAGACGTCGTAGTGGTCGTCGCTCGGGGTGGTGGGGCTGAGGATGCCCGGGGTGGAGGAGCTGCTGCCGCAGAGGGTGTCGCCGCGGCTGATGGAGTCGAAGCTGGAGCTGCTGCCGAGGGTCCACTCGTCGCTGTCGCCGGTGCCCGGGCGGCGCAGCAGGCCGAGGCCGTAGCCGTTGCCGCCGCCGAGCCCGTGCTCCTCGTCGAGGGACCGCGGCCGGTCGCCGTGCTCGACGTACTCGTACTCCCAGCGGGTGGACTTGTCGACCTGCGGGCGCGGGAGGAACTTGGTGCGGGCGATGTAGTAGGCGACCGCGGCGAAGATGCCGCCGCCGACGAGGTCGATGGCGTAGTGGTGGTTGAGGTACATGGTGGACCACGAGATCCAGACGGCGTAGAAGATGAAGAAGGGCCGGAAGCGCGGGAAGCAGTACTGCATGAAGAGGGCCTCGAGGATGGCGTCGGCGGCGTGCAGGCTGGGGAAGGCGCCGAAGGGCACGGGGGCGGTGGTGAAGCTCGTCGTGTACATGTCGACGCCGAACAGCTCGTCGATCCGGCGCAGGCCCGCGGGGGAGCCCTCCATGCCGTAGTGCGCCGGCTCGAGGCCGTGCAGCTTCTCGTACCAGGGCGGCGTGCAGGGGAAGACGAGCTGGATGGTAACGCCGAGCATCGACATGTAGCCGAAGGCGCGAGCGAAGACCGGGGTGGTGCCCGGGGCGGCGAAGAGGAACATGAAGATGCTGCAGACAAGGGGCAGGGCAAAATGGCCCAGGCCATAGGGCACCCAGGCGATGACATCGAGGACGGCGTGGGTGTGGGCCGAGAGGATATTGGACAGGTTCGCGCCGTACATGACGTTTTCGAGCGCGGGGAGCACTTTCACCCAGATGTGCGGCCGGTATTCAGAGCCAATGAATCTATGAGGACCCCAAGAGTCAGCAACCTGGAAACCGGCTCTTGGCTCTCGGAAGAGTTTTATCCCCGGATCGCCTATGCTCGCTCGAAGCGCACCCGGGAAACACCGCAAACTTACCGGCTCGCAAAGAAATAAAGCAGATACGTCCATATCGGCAACGATGGCAGGAAGAACTGCTGTGTAGCCGGCATCAGGAGCAGCAACCCGAGCACGACCAGCACCCCAGTCTTAATAAACGGCGCCGACGGCAGGATCGCCAGCGAGAAAAGAATAAACCCAAACGTAATGGCGTGTTGCAAGTCCCAAAGAGTCCATCTCCTTGAGCGCAGCGCCCTTATCGACTTGGATACATCAAACGACGTTTGCAGTTTTGTGATGTCATCGGGCTGGTTATGGCTTTTGGATCCTCGTAGTTGCAGGCGCAACTTCCGGGCAGAGCGGTATTTGTGTGGTATCGGGTTGAGCTGTGCTAATGTGCCAGGCCATCTTAGGGGCAACAGTTTCGGCTTCATCGCCGGTGCCTGAGTGGTCATGACGGGGAATTCTTGAACCCCCTCCATGGTGGACGACATTGCGGAAAGAGGAAAGAGGGTGGACTATAGGTAAAGTGTTGTTTGTTTCTAATGGGAATCCCAGATACTGTCTGTCGGAACGCAGAGCGTGGTGGTCCCGTGTCGGAAGCGAGGGAGCGAGTGAGGAGCGAGAAGTGAGAGAGGCGGGGATGGCGAGGATCGAGGAATGTCGGGGTTAGGTCGGTCGTTATTGTGGCTGCATAGGGATGCTTCTTCGAATTACGGGTTTCTGCTTCTACTAGTGGCCAGGCCAGCTACCCGGGTCGCCAAAGGAAGGGGACGGCGATGACGGGATCGAGGAGAAGGGAAGGGATGGATTGGCGGCGGCGGCGGTGTTGAGAGAGGCACAAGAAGGTCATGACGGTGGACTGCGGGCGGCGGACGAGGTGCGTGGGCGGGTGTCGGCTTTCATATGCAGCGAAAGGCGCTGAGAAAGGCGAACAGAGACTGGGCCACCAAAACGCCAAGGCCCCCAATGTCGGTGCAAGTCTTGGGAATGCCCGCCTGCTGGGCGCGCGCGGGAATCATGGTTGTCCGAACCAACCGGAGGGTGGGGCTTGCATTTCAAAGAACTGGAATCCCGTCGGTTGCGAGGTGCTGCTTGCAGCTGCTTGCGTCCACGGAAAACAGATTCTCGGACATTAATTACTAAGCCCGCCGTTTCCATCACAGGCAGGTGCCTTGACACCCGTTTTATGATTCGATTGCTACACAGAAAACGCAGCTGTCATACACGAGCACTCGCCAGCAACCTTCCACCACCTCAATACTTGGTAAGTGAAGAAAATGCTGTTTCGACTTCCCAAAACTGATTGAGATCTCCTAGCGAATTACACCAGAAAGAGAGAGCGGAACCTCTCCACTCGCGGACTCTCGGCATTGCGAAGTCTCCAATGTTTGTCGCGTGACGTGTATTGGTACCGCCCAGCTCTCATCGGCCTCTCATCCGTTGCGAGCATATGCAATGTAAGTTTTGTCAGCGCAACAAGCCAAAAGCGGGACATGGTGGGTGAGATCTGGAAATGACCGGCCTACAAATCTACCCGACCCACGAGGGAATTACTGGACTCTTGATGAAAGCCGGCCGTCCCGTTTCCTGTGCGGTCTTTTCTTAACGCTGGTGTTTAGGTACCGTTACCTTAAACCCGAGGCAATCGCTGCCAAGCCCTACAGGACGCTCGCCCAGGATGGCGCACGGAAAGCCCCTGCTTGCATCCCCGCCCTTCCAACCCATGGCGTCAACGGCAGACCGCCCGCCAATCCAATCCAGGGTTTTTTACTCAATGCTCCCGATCCGTGCTATCCGAAGGGCCTGTGCTCGGGTACCTCGCATCACGACCTGACTGGCTGGATTCACCGTCACCAGCCCTGCTCGAGCTTTGAAATGGCGGTTATTCGTTTCTGACCAACGCCCAACCACTGCCTGCTGTCAAATGCCGTCAAGAGCGAAATGGTGAAATTCATATCCGAAGTACGAAGGACGACTGCCGTTTCCGCGTATTTCGCTCGGCCGCGTGAAAAATATCTCCGCCCGAATAGGCCACCCGCTGTGCCATGCCGCTGAGACATCGCCAAGTTGGCGCCCAACCTGGACTCAACTCTCGCTGCCCACGGGCGTCCCAGACAAAGAAGGCTTGTTGTTGTGGTCTCTTGTGATGGTTAATCCGGTCAGTCTCCCGTTGGGGTCTCCTGGCACAGTTTTGCAGCGGCGATCCGGTTGGCTCTACGAATGATCGACCTGGGGATTCGACAAACGCCGAAACGCCGTGACTCCCTCTGCAGGTCGGTGTGTCAGCCAGAGCGCGACATACTGCCACTCCGAGCGAAGCTATCTCGACAATTGAAGCCTCATGTGACGGTTGGGGGCGAATCCTGCCGCCGTCCTATTTTAGATGGGGGATTGTAACCTCCAGCTGTCCCTGAAGTTCCTGAAGCACGTCGGCTATTGGGGTGGGGTGGTATCAAAACCCCTTGCTACCAACATACGCGTATCGGTGTCGTGTGTCGTGTCTTTCAGATCTCAAAAGAAGACCAGAGCCTGGGCCCAACCGCGACGAGAGCATGTCTGTGATCGTCTGCTGATCACAAAGGGTTGACTTGATCCGCAGGGCAGAGGGCCCAACCGACGACACCTTGCCAGCCTCCCAGCTTGCCAAACGTTGAATGCACACAAAAAACCCCCATGACTCTCAGAAAGAACAGCACATGACGTTTTGTTGGATCCAAGAGCCGCCCAATCAGCCAAGCCAGGCCGCATCCGCATTGGCTGCGGGTCAGGAGAGCCAAGATGCTTGGTAACTCGTCCTGGTGGATTCAAGCAGATCCAGCGCATTGTTGAGGCCTAAAATTCTCACCAACCATTGGGAAGACCGAAATCCGAAAACTCTGCTTTTATTAACTGTTTCCTCTTTTTTTACTCGTTTTGGTAATTGAGTCGTTCCTCGTTCCTCGCTCCGCAGCAGGGTCCAGGTTCCCGGGAATTGCTGCTCGCGTGCTGTTCTTTTCTTATCGAACTCGAACTGGGCGGTCACCCGCTTTTCGAAGAATGGACGGCGGTCGATCTCGACCCCGGACAGCCACGCAGATTCGTACATCGCAGATCATGGGCGAGAACGATCTTTCCTGTCTCTGACCATGATATGCTCCGTCAGGAGGAGCAACTGTCGACAAACTTCGAAAAAGAAAATAACCAACAGGTTAGCGTCCCCGCCATCCTGATGCTGCGCGGTTTGATCCTCTGATGAGTGCCTGATCGGGCCGCTTGGTCATCTCCGAGAGCGCCGGTTTTGCCGGCCGTCTCACCCCCACACGAGGGAGTCCATCGGCCCTCGGGGTTTCGGTCGACAGATCTTTGCGAACCCCGCCGCGAGCTGCCGCGTGGCGCTAGGCTTTGTCGGGCTAGACCGCCAATTCGGATCTTGCCGGGGCTGATCGTTCTTCCCGCCAATCATTTCCAGAGTCCAGGAGCGAGGCTTCCAGTTTAGGTTGAGGTTGGAGTTCGGTTGAGGGCGGTGGAGGGTGTGGCTCTCGGAGCCTGTAAATGTATTGGGAAACTCGTCCATTACAAGTTTTAAAAAAAATTGTGTGAAGCTTGCCTAGGTGGTTATAAACTGTGTGCCGACAGGATGGCAATTGTGATGACGGCTTCGGGGCTCAGTTGGAAGCTCCAAGCACCGACACGTCGGACTAGACAAAAGCCCCCAACGCCGTGCCTGAAAAAGCATAAGCTGATCACAGCCATGTTGGGTGATATCTCGCCGTACCTCCTTGGAGCCTGAAAGATGGTTATATATCGGGAAAAACGTATCTAGGGCGCAGTCGCCCCTTAAACTACGTAGCCACCAAATCAACATTACCTAGTCATCTCACATACGGGCGTACGGTAGGTATCTCGAACAAAAATTTAGGCAAAAGAAAAAGAACAACAAGCCGCTTCTCAAGGAAAAAGAAGGAAAAAAACAAAAACAGAAACGGCTCCCTTCTAAGCCCGGTCATCGTGATATATCGTTCCGAGCAACGCAGCGCAACCAAAACAACAAAGCACGAGAGAGCCAAACCAACATGGATTGTTTTGCTCCGGTCGATGTGCGAGACCGGAAAAAGAAAAGGAAAGAGGGAAAAGAAGAAGGCAAAAACCCAAAAACGCGATCCCAGATCGTGCGTGACCTTCTGCTCTCGAGATATCTCAACCAAACAAAGAAAACGAATTCCGCGCCATCATCCCATTCATTCATCACATCAACTCATCTACCCCAACTCCCGCTTCAATCGATCCTCAGCCCCTTCATCCAACCAACCAACCCAACATCACCAACTAACCCACCCCATCTCACCAAGCCAGATCCCCCCGGATCCCCCCAGATCCCACATCTCAAATCCCATATCCCCCCCCCCCCCCCCCCCCCCCCCCCCAAATCCTCCCCCCACTCATTCAACACCCCTCAAGACCGCCTCGAAGCACCACCCCCACTCCACAGCCCCTTACTCGTCTCCACCACCCGATTCGCCTCGCTGCCCGGCCGCAAGCTCGGGGGCACCGCATACGACGGCGGCAGGTGTGAGGGCGGCTGCGGAGGCGCGTCCTCCATGTTGACGTCGTCGCCGTCGGCGGTTCCGTTTCCGTTTCCGTTTCCGTGAGCATGCCCGTTGGTATGGGCGGCCGCACCATTGTCGTTTGTTTGGGTTTGGGTGTCGTAACCGCTGTCTTGGCTTTGGGCTTGGCTTTGGGGCTGGTTTGGGGCTTGGACTTGTTGTTGTTGGTTGGGGTTTTCTTTGCGCTCCCCGCCCTGGGCTTGGTTGCCGTTGTTGCCGTTGCCGTTGCCGTTGCCGTTGGCGGCTGGGTTCCCGCGGGCGGGCTCGCGGCTGCGGATGCCGTTCATGAAACCGCCGGCCTGGCCCTCGCGCAGCTTGTTGATGGCGCGCACCGTGTCGATGGCGGCGTGTAGCGTGCGGCGGGCGTTGAAGTTCTTCTTGACCGTTGGCAGGAGGTTGGTGCCCTTGTCGGCGCCCTCGCCGCCAGCCGCCGCCACGCGCGCCCACCCCGCCACGAACGGGTGCTGCAGCGCCTCGTGCGCCGTCATGCGCTTGCCCGGGTCGATCGTCAGGCACAGCCGGATGAAGTCCTTGGCGCTGTCCGATACCCCGCGCCAGTACTCGACCGGCGTGAAGCTGTAGTCGGCGTTAAGGATCGCCTGCATCTCTTCAAAGTCCGAGTCCCGGTCGAACGGCGTGTAGCCGCACAGCAAAAAGTATGTGATGACCCCCAACGCCCACAGGTCGACCGGCTTGCCGTGGCCCGTCTTCTTAAAGATCTCGGGCGCCATGTAACCCGGTGTGCCGCAAGTGGTGGTGAGCACGTGAAACTGCTCCTCGTCCATGATCCGGCTGAGACCGAAGTCGGCAATGAGGAGGTCGGCGTTGTCTTCTGGGGTTCGGAAGAGCAGGTTCTCGGGTTTTAGGTCACGGTGGACGATGCCGTGGTCGTGCAGGTAGGCGACGGCCGAAAGCACGGCGCGGATCAGATCGGCGGCGTCCGATTCGTAATACGAGCCCTTGCGGCAAATGCGGTCGAAGAGCTCGCCGCCAAGTGCGAGATCGGTGACGAGGTAGAGGTTGTTCATGGTCTCGAAGTAGTCGACGAGGGTGAGGATGTTCTGATGGCCCATCGACACCTTTTTGAGGACGGCAATCTCATTCCGCACCTACAGACAGACGAGGCGATGGGTCAGACGGGTGACAGCCCCTCAGTTCCAGACAAGACAGGACATACCATGTGTTCCCTCCCGGCCATCAGCCGCTTGTTAATCACCTTGGCCGCATAGTAGCGCCCCGTGTCGATATGAATGCACTCCTTGACGACCGAGTAGGACCCTGCTCCGAGCACCTTCCCAACCTTGTACCTACAAGGCTGGACTTGTGGTGGCTGGCGGTCGCCGGGGGCTTGCGCTGCTACCGTGCTCATGGTGGTAATGTGATACCTCGCTCGAACCCGACGATTGCTGTCGCGTTTTGCTAGATCGCGTGTTTCGAGGGGCGGGGCGGTGGACGGTTCTACGGTACGTGCCGTAGAGAGCTGAGGGGTACTATGTCGCCTGATAAGTTGACGATCGAATCGAGAAATATCAGGGTGTTCAAGTGGTCGTTGAGACAGAAGCGCCTTGGGGAAAGAAGCAATTCAAGGCGGGTTTGCGAACTGCTGTCGTGGGGTGATGGACTGGAACCCAGGTTTCGAGTTTGGTTGCAGGTCGACCTAGGTTGAGCGGGGCACGCTCCGCAGGTTAAGTAAGGTCCCGTTGGTCTCGATACGAATTGAATTGGTCAAAGTTCGGCACTACCAAGCGCGTGATAGGTAGGCTCATGCAGCAAAGACGCAGGATCAAATCACCATAAAGAGTCTCCCAAATCAATTCAAGGAAGAAGAGAAAAATCAACCTAGGCCCTCCTCAGGTCGCAACAGAGAGTTATTTCGGGGTTATTGATCAGCCGCTGCGCACCTTGATTTGCGACCTTCCGAGTGCTGCCCCTCGTTCTCGGAACCAATCACAACCATAAACCCCACTCATCGGTCCCAAGTCTTACTGTGGTCTGCCATCGATTCGCACAGTCAACCTTCATTCACCCAAGGGCGAATCAGATGAGAAGCCTACTCCAGGCTTGGGTATCTTTTCGGCTAGTAGTAAAACAGCCGTATATCTTATCAATAACACACGGTCTCGCCTCACCTCTTCTTCTCCCGCTTCGCCTTCTTGGACTTCGAGTGCCCCTTGTCGCCACCCTTTTCCTCATGCCCATCCGCCTCCTCAGCCTTGCGCTTTACCTTCGTCTTGACACTCACAAGCGGGTTACCCTTCCCGCTCTTGGCCGCCTGCTGCACCCGCTTCTCCGCGTCCTCCCACGCCGACTTGTCGCCTCCGATCTCGTACCTAGTCTCTATTAGCACCGTCGTTCACGACGACACACTCCAGCAACGGGTGGGCAACTTACTGGTCCAGTGGGAGCGAGTCGATAAGCTCCCTCTGCTTCGCCCGAAGCTCACTCATCGCTTCGTCGCCCCCCTCCTCAAGCTCGTCCTCAAGCCTGGTCTCGATAGGCGCGTACTTGTTGTCGACTACCTCGTCGTCATGCATCCCGGCCGCGTTTTCCCGGCTCACACCGACCTTGCTCGGGTCCGGCATCTCGGCCGCGATGGCCCCGGTAACCAGTGAGCCAAGCTGTGACGAGATCTTCCGCATCACCTTGATGAAAATCGCCAGAAGCTGCGAGAACGAGACCCCCATCTCTTCAGAGACAGTTTCAAGCTCCTTCCTCTGCATGCCGATGGCCAGCAAAATCGACCGTTGCAGCTCAGTGAGGTTGCCGCTCAGCGGTAGCCGGCCGCTAAAGTACAGCTGCGCGATCGTCGGCATGAGGTCCAATACGACGTGGTAGTCGAGCAGCCCGTTGGCATACGACTCGAGACGCTTGTGGTCGAATGGCGTCAGAAACCCATCCAAATCAACCTTGCTGAGCGCAACCGGAGCCGTGGACGGATCCAACTGAGCGCCCGCGTTTGACGATACCTCGATGGCCAACGCGAGGCCAGGGTGGAATTCGCGGAACTTGTATGAGAGGAGGGATAGGAAACGGCGGTGGAAGTCGTTGGCGAACGCACCAAGCCAGCTCGGGTCGTTCCCGTCTTGGAGCGGCCGGATCATAACACACGTGTGTTCACCCGTGAGCTCGTTCGCGGTTTGCCTCTGTTGCCCGGTTAGTATTTTGTGTCATCACCACGCATTACGGAGCACGTACTAGGTAGACTGGGGCAAACGAGGCCCGTTTCCAAAATTTGTGTAGCGGACTAGTCAGGCCGTAGCTGACACCCACGTAGTCAAGTTTCTCGGGCCGGCGCTCTGCCAGCTTAGCGAAAAGCGGTGGCAGCTCGTTCATGTCCCGAACCTTGATGTCATCAAAGAGACTGGCTTCTGCAAGCTCGGCATCTGTAACCTTGGGAATGGACCGCTGCAAGGTTTTGCCTCCATCCTCCGAAAGATCGGCAAATTTCCCCTCGTAGTACTCGACTAGAAGCTGAAGCGCCTTCGAGCCGTACCCCATGGACATGTACTCGGGGTTCGTTGCGATTCGGACGACTCGAGCGCCCGATAGGGAAGCGAACTCGTCGTCCTGGAATTGTTGGCTGACCAGCCACGGAATCAAATCACCGGCAGGTTGTTGGCCTCTGCCCAGGCTGTTCAGGATGCTCTGTTTGCTGATCTTGCCTTCCAACGACACCTGTATCACACATAGAGGCTCCGGCAAGCGGCCCTCGACAATTGGGCCGGTGAGGACGAACAGTTCGTGCGCCGGCGCATCGCTCATGAGCTGCAAGTCGTTCGGAGAGTTCTTGTAGTGGCTTGCAACGTAGAGCGCGACCATCTGCTGCAAGAACTTCTCCGAGACTGGGTGGAAGGAGAAAAGCGTGTCGCGGTTAACATGCAGCAGCTCACACTGCGAAGGGTCCGGGCATCCCTGAGTGCTGAGTTTGGACTTCGGCAGTGTCGCATCCAAGCAGAGGAGTGTGTTCAGCCACTTTTCCACTTTATCCCCCTGTGCGTAACGGATGGGCTCGGAGAGAGTGATCTCCTTGAGCGACCGTCCGCCCACTGCGACGGTCTCCTTGGTCGCCCGTCCGCTCGACCTATCGACTTCGACCGCACCGCCGCTGCCCGGATTGGCGCCGGCCCGAGATTGTTCCCTCAGCTGCTTAATTAGCTTCAACGAGAGCGACCGGCCGGTGCCCTCATAACCGCTGATTGTTGAGGCCATGAACACCAAATACGGCCCCATCAACTTCTTCACCAGAGGCAAGGGAATAGCCGCCGCTTCATCAATGACCACCAGTTCGGCCTGTCCCAGGACATGGCTGTCCTGGGGGCGGATGTACTGGATGGTCTGCCGATGATTCCTGTGGATGTTGACCCGGACAATGGCTTTGTTGAAGTCGGGATTCGTAGATTGAATAATGGAGTAATCGGCATGGTCTTTGTAGTCGAGCGCATCGAAGCCCTTGAACACGAACTCGAACAACGTCTTCAAGTTTTCTGGCGATGGCGAAGTGATGAAGATGTTGCTGTACCCGTACGCGACAGCAGCTGCGATAGCAACACCCATGGCTGCCGATTTGCCGCGACCACGCGCAGCCGTCAGGGTGACGGTGTTCCGCAACGTCTTCTCCGCAATGGCATCCACAAATGTGAGCAAGGCCTTCGCCTGATCCGTCGTGCGAGCCAGCTTGACAAGAGAGCCTATCGGCTGGGTGTCTTGGAGGGAATCCTTCATCTTTTCCAGCTCCTGCGTCGCCGCACTCTTGGGCTCGTCCTCGTCTGGTGGTGGGAGAGCCTTCACGCCCTTTCCGCCTGATATCGGCAAAACGTTGAGCTCGTCATCGATCACGAGACAGGATTCGCAACCGCCGAGCGATAGAATGAAGCGCTCGTTAAACCTCGCAACGACGTCGTCGTGGGCCTCGGTCCGGTACCGCGAGTGGACGTCCATGGAAAGGGAGTATAGCTGCTTCAAGCTGTTCATGCCCTTAAGCAACAATACGACCAAGCCTCCACCCTCGACAGTTTCGATAGTTCGAGCAAGGATGTTGGGAGTCATAGCCTCGAAGTCTTGTAGAATGCACTGCCCCTTGTTGTCAGCTCCCCTGGTCTTGTCTTCTCTCGCGATAGTGCTGTAGTCGAGGTGGTGGCAAGCTCGGACTCACCATGCCATATGTGTTTCCCAAGATTTTGTCGGTCTCCTTGTAGTAGACATAGCGGATGTCATGGAGCGAGATAAAAAGCTCGAAGGGGTCCTCGGAATTGGCCTCGCGTGTCCCTCGCTTGATCTCCTTCTTGATCTTGGTCTCCCGCTTCTTCCGGTGACTTGTGAACCCGAGGAGTTTGTTCTTATACGCCCATAGAACCGACTTGTTTTGCCTCACGTCCATGCTGGACATGATGTAGTACAGATGCACAATGGCATCCTTCGAACGGTCGCCGACCACGACGAAGAAGCTGCGCTTCTTCTCTTGGAGGCCATTGCGGATGAGGGTGGGAATCCGTGAATCTCTGCAATGCGTAATACGTCAGTATGCAACCTCAATTTGATATCGAATGCCTGGCATGGCCTTCTTACACTGTTTTTTGGGTCGACATGATCGCGACTATTGGCTGATCCGGACTGAGAACGATCACGATGGAGGGGCCCAAAATTTCCAGGACGCAAGAGGTGCAGCAGCTCAATTATTTTTATTCTGCCGGGCGGTATGACCCCCGGTATCCACTTTCAGCACCACCAGCTGCAGCACTCGGCGCACTAACCAAGACCCTTGTCACTTACAACAAACAACGGGGAGTGCTGCTTCGTCTCGACGCGAGCCATCGACCCCATGCGCGCCATGCTAGTCTTCGCTCATCAGTCTTCAGAGCTTCTGCGGGACGACTTCTTTGAGCTCTGTTGTTTCTTTAACTTCATCCGAGTCTCGTTGGCGCTCTTCTTTCTATTTTGTCGTCAACATGAAACAACCTTGTACAATCCACAACACAGCAATTTCATCACTCACAGTGCTGCGTATTTCTTGGCCTTCTCTGGCCTCGTTTCGCCGGGCACCGTCCTCCGATACAAACCCTGGAGCTCCTCAAAAAGCTTTTGATGGTTCTCGTCGGCATTTGCACCGCGGCTTCTCTGTGTCTGTGCCTGTATTGTGAGGCAGTCATTTCGACGAGAGTAATACTTCAAGTCTCGAACGCCGGCGTGTAGCAACTTGGGGAGAATCCCCAGTAACCGTGCAACGGGCCATGTAGTTGTTGCCTTGGTTTCGGTCCTAATGATGTCAGTATGTTGTTAATAATGACCAAAAAATCAGAATGCCACAAACTTGTTCACATGCTGCCCTCCAGGGCCGCTGGACCGTGAAAAGGACGTGTTTCCTTCTGGCAAATTGACGGGCTGGAACGACTGGTGCCATTTCCTTGCCTCGGCCAATTCATCCTGATCGAAGGACGCATCAAAGGCTTGGTGTCTCACAGATCGTCGAGAAGCTGGCACATGCCGTGTGCTCCACGGCCAGCTGGTCACCGAAAGAATGGATGAACGGAGGGCATAATGAGTTCGCATCTTGAGCTCTGAGCAACACTGGGAGGTAACTCACACTCACCAGTAACTGATGGAAACCCACTCCGAGAAACTGATGAGCCAAGCATGGAAACCTTCACAATCGCCCACAGACAAGCTAAACCTAATCGAGTAAATAACCGAGCCTGTCGCGGGGCATGGGCAAGCCCGCCTTCCATGTGGGGAACGAGAATTTTCGTCAGTCGAGCAGACAGCCTTGCATCCCCACATCTCTCTCTCGCTCATGTCATGGCGGCTTCCTGTCGGCACTTCCATTCACTGCGGTCCTCCGCGTTCTCAGAGCCCAAAAAGTTTGACCAGTTCCTTCCCACTTCCACACTCGCCCACCCCAACAACAGTGAGCGCTTTCTGAGTCGTCAGGTTTGAACGCAATACCCCTGCCTAGAATTCCATCATCGTCTTGTGGACTTTCCAGTTTCTCTCCACAACTGGGTTATTTCAATCGCCAAATCTTATTTCTCCTGGCCCGTTTCCCTTGCCCCTCCCGAAACCAAACCTCGAGACTTCCTCATCACGAAACAACCCCAGGCCAACACTACAACTCCCGCTCTATTTTGATCAGCCTGCCTTCAGCCCGCGTTTAATGTGAATCGCGCCCAATTGCCTGACTACTGACCTCGGTCCATCCATCATCGCCCACACACACCCCCCAAAGGGGATCGACTTCCGTCCTCAACCCAAGAACCTGGCGGTTTTCATCACAGTCGTGTTTGATGTCAGAGCCATCCCCAGAAATTGTGGCTGTCGCCAGCCCAAGCCCCCTTTCTCCGATCCCCGTGTCCACCCAGAACGCCATCCAAAACACGGCGGTTCCAAAGCTCGAGGACCACGCGGCGACTGCTAACGAATCAACTGACCCCGGGATCTCGCTACCTGCTCCTCCTAATCCCATTACAATGGACCCAAATACGGCGCCCAGCGGAATGTCCGACACAATAGTAGTGGGCGGAGATTTCTCGGACGAGTCTCGCGACGAGACCGACGAGAGTATCGACTACGGCGAAGGCGAGGAGGGGCAAAATCAGGGGAAGGGTGAACCAGATACGGCCAACGATGACTATGCCAGAACCTTTGATTCGCCCGCAGCTCATGAGGATCAAGATGAGGCTGAGGAGGCTCAGCCAGATGTATCAATGGCCTCGATATCCATGAATAGTCCGTCTGCGCCTGACCCTGCAGCTGTCCCTTCTGATCACCCTCCCACCCCTTCGCCGGCCTTGCCCCGCACCAACGGAGAGGTTCAAGCTTCAAAAGCTTCCGTGCAGTCCGAGCAAGCCAACGGCTCCGACAGTCCCTCCCGGTTCCCGCCTGCCGCGCCAAACACCGTCCCTTCATCCGAGGCGCCTGCCGCAGCCTCTGCCACCGAACTTGCTGAGTCGCAACCCCCAGCCACCCCAGCTCCCAATGGAGCTTCTCCGCCTACCGGGCCCCCGGCGGCTCCTGCGTCGGCAAATGAAGATGATGCCTCTGTTGACATCCAGAAGCTAGTAGACGACATCACTGCCAGAGCCGCCGCCACAGCCTCGCCCCCCAGCGCGCCAGCACAAACCACTCCCGTTACCTCTCAAGCTCCCCCGGTTTCTTTGCCTGTATCTCATCCACCTTCCCTTCCTCCCAAGCCTTCTCTCCCCAATCCACCAGCCAGCCTGCCCGCCATCCCACCGGCGCACTACTCGTTCCAACCCCGGGGCCACAATGCCCCCGCTGCGGCGGCAGTTCCGATGTCCCTCACCAACCCCGGCACATCGCATGGTGCGTACGTTGCAAATGAAGGCCTTGCTTCCTTACCCGCGCCGCCACCGGGTGCTTTTGGCGGGGCCTCCCATCCCCATGCCCATCACATGCCCCATAGCGGAGATGCTTCTTCCGGAAATTACCCTGGCTCGTCTACCAAACAGCTTTGGGAGCAGTTCCAGGCCGACGAGAAACGGTACACATCGGAGGCCAAGTGGGAGAGATTCCCGGAGGGCTCTCGTATCTTCATTGGTAAGTCTTCCCAAGTACGCCGCCCCGCAATCATCGACTCATCATGGCGGTACAGGCAATCTGTCCAGCGAGCGAGTCTCAAAACGTGAGGTATTCGATGTGTTCCACAGGTTCGGCCGGCTGGCGCAGATTTCCCTCAAAAGCGCCTATGGTTTCGTCCAATACCACACCATTGCTGAGGGCAACGCCGCCATGCAGGGCGCCCAGGGCATCGAGCTCGGTGGCCGTAAGATTCGTGAGTAATTCCCCGCCCGTTGTCTCGTCTCGCTGTCTAACCAGTCCATAGATCTCGAGGTCTCCCGCGCACAAAAGAAGAAGGACGACAGGGATAGGTCTCCGGACCGCCGAGCCCCGCGGGGCGCTCACGGGAACGAGCGTTTCGAGAGCGGCGATCGCGGTTGGAAACGAGACGACTACCGGCCGGGGCGTTCTCCCTCTCCGCGCCGGAATGACCCCCGCGGTAGCCGAGACGGCCACTATCCTCGAGACCGTGGATTCGACGGCCATCAACGCCGCCGATCTCGTTCGCCCGCGCGCTTCAACCGCTACGGTGGCGACGACCCGTACCGGCGTAGGAGTCCCAGCCCGCACCGCAGAGCCCCGTCTGACGGTGACCGATTCGACTTGCCTCGCCGGTTTGGGGCTGATGTTCCCGACGTGCAGATCCTCCTTCTCCAGGAGGTCTCGAGAGAGTTTGTCGGCTGGGTCCAGGGAGCTTTCCATAACAAGGGGCTGAAGACCGATGTCATGTATCTCAATCCTCGGTTCCCTCGGGAGACTGTGCTGCAGCGTCAAGTTGTCGAAGGGGTGTATGCCATCGTTGATCTGGATTACGGCGCGCAGACGAAAGGCAAGATCCCCATCCAGGTATTCATCCGATCCGGAGGCAGCAGCGTCCGCTTCGAACTGTACCAGGACGTGGATCCTCCGATCGCGGCAGAGCTCGTCGGCAGGGAGAAGTCCCAGTCGGCAGCGCACCTCGCCCAGCCGCAGACAGCTTACGCGCCCAACCACTACGCCCACCCTCCTCAGGCGCAGGCGCCGCCTAGCGGCTACCCTTATCAGTACCCCCAGCAGGCCGTCCTCCCCGCACAGCCGCAGCCAGCGCCTCCTGGTGCCGACCTCGCCAGCATGGTGGGCGGCCTCGACAACTCGGCTCTCCAGACCCTCTTAGCCTCACTCCAGAACCCTCAACCGGGCGCACCCCAAACATACACGGGTATCCCGGCGGCCAGCGCGCCCCAGGCCGCCCAAATCGACATGAATGCCCTACTTGGCAACCTCCGGAGTGCGGCGGCAGCGCAACCTGCGTCGCCGAGCTACGGGACCGCCCCTTCTTATGGCGTGCCGATGGGTGCCGCCCCCGGCGGTTATGGCGGTATGGATCCGGCGCAGCAAGTTCAGACAATTATGGATCAGCTGAAGCGCGCTGCCCACTAATGCCGGGTTGGATTCGACGAGTGGCAATGGCAGCACTGAGAGATGAGCGGGCGGAAAGGGGGGACACTCGCCGGCGGGCTATTAAAGTGCTTAAGAAAGCGCAGGTTTCAAAATGAAAGCAGACGGAGAGTGGTCACTCGGCGAAGATACGTCATGCATGTTTGGAGATTTTGTGATACTGGGTCACGCGGCCCCGTACCCGGCGATGATATTTTACGGTTTGATGGCTTTAGGGGATATACAGGCGCTCCGGTTCACAGGGAGCGACCGTGGTCTATGTTTGGTGTTTGCATTGCGATTGGGACGCGAGTCCGAGAGATAGTCGACGCAAGTTACTCGGCCAACTCTGGTGTAGTCCTGGCAACAGTTGTTTGCTTTGCTTACCTCGCGCGCCAGCGAGGATACAATAAGTAGATTTATCAAGTTCTAGTAGTCTTTGCCTGGTTACCCATACTCGTATGTACAATCCAGGTGCTAACGGAGCACGGCTCTCTTCTCCCCACCCCTTCCCTCTAGGTTGGTGAGCATAATTACATCTATTTTGAAATTAGAGCCCCGCCGAGTTACCGAGCCTCATAACTCTAGCCGGCCAGCATCACTTGTTGTACTGTTGTAGCTCCTGCTGGCTGAGCCCCGACGACCTGTCTTTCCGTTCCTTCTTGAAGACGAAGCCGGGGTGCCCGATCATCAAGCAATAAACAGCAGTGAGGACGACCCTATTTGAAAACAGAGTCAGTGCCGGTTATTAACAAGACAAACATTGATTCCCCGGACGAAAGGAAATCAAGGGAGAGGGAGGAAAGAGGGAAAGTGTCGAAAACACCACCAACGACAGAAGAAACACACCAAACACTTACACGCCCTCCAACCCAATAAACAACGGCTCATCCCGCACCAACTCCCCATCATACCCCTCATTCAACTCCACCAACCGATACGCGCACCTCGCCAGGATCAACACCACCGCGAGCGCCATAAACCCAAAAAACAGCCCCAACCGCCTCCCATCCAACTTCACCACCCCCCCATCACCACTCTGACTCTCACCACCACGACCCCCAAAACCCCCCTCATACCGCCACACCCCCTTCCGAAAATACCGCACCAAAAAATCCCCAAAGAACCCACAAAACAACAAGATCGTAAACACCTGCAGGCCGAGCCCCGCCAGGGCGAGGTTGACGCCCAGCGCGCTGGACCCGGAGGAGGTGGTGGAGAGGGCGCCGCCGGCGGCTTGGAGGACGAGGGAGAGGAGGTCGCAGGGGATGAAGATGTAGTAGAAGAGGTGCGGGGGGAGGCGGGAGAGGTGCGGGGAGAGGGCGGTTATGCTGTTTGTGGAAAAAGGGGGGGCGGTTAGTTTGGGGGGTTGTGGGAAGGGGGAGAAAGGGGTGGGTGGAACGGGGAGGGGAAATAGGAGGGAGGGACCCACGATAGGCCGAGGGTGATGTAGATGGCGGCGCAGTAGTAGACGGGTCCGCTGGTGACGCAGACTGGGGAGGGAGAAAGTAGGTTTGGTTAGTGGTTTGCGCGTGTCGTTTGTTTATGAGTGATGGCCCGTTAAACTCACTAATCTGTATCATAAACGCCGCGAAGCTGAACGGGTTGTAGTATAGCATCACGCGGCCGACGTAGCCGATGATGGCGTTGGCGCCGCCCACCAGCATGCAGCCCATGTACCACCACTGCTTCCACCGGATGCCGAGGTAGGCGTGGATGGCCATGGAGAGGCCGTACAGCGCCATGAGGGTGATGTTGGCGGTGAGCGAGGGCCGGTAGCCGTACACGGATATCTCGACGGGGCAGATCTCGAGCGTGCAGTTGGCATCGGGGCCGAAGACCACCACGTTTGGGGGTGGCCGGATGGCGTCGGGGGGGAGGGTGGAGGTCATGGTTCGTCAGGTGTAGACGATATGGGCTTAAGGTCTTGGAGTTGCACAAGTCTGAACTCTGCTGCCTTTTGTTTTGAAGGGAAGGGAATGGCTGGGCTGAGTGGGCTCGGATGTCTCAAGTCAAGAAAGACATGATGATGGATGAGGCATGTCTCGACATATATACCAGCAGCAAGCAGGTCTACGACACGGCACAGCCGCAATCTACATCGTCAAGGTATTGCCCGGCCAGACCTATCGAAGGATCAAGGAACGTGGCGGCCAAGCAAAGCATACGTGTTGCTCTGAATTTCCCATGTTTTGAGTTGCACAGTTTGCTTCATTTTGCTTGCGCGGCTCACCCTGATGCGAGTTGGGATTTCGTGCCAGGCTCTAGTTTGGCATCTGCCTTTCAGGGGCTGGCTCGCTTTCGGGACCCTATCCGATCGCATCTTCGCATCTTCGCATCTTCGCACTCGCTTGTTCGCCGAATCAGAGACGAGGCTCACGATGCGGCTGGAGGAAGGATGACGACGCGGGTACCACCAACATCGGAGAGCACTGCAAACCTTATCTTACTTGCAGCTAGCCGTGGTTATAATATTCTGCCTATTCCATGTGAATGTTGGTTCCGATCCGGGGTTTTGGTGTTCGTGGCTGCCCATACCTAATATCCTCTCCCCCTTTACTGCGCCCTCTCAGGGTTCAGCAGTTCACTTACTGAGAATTCGTTGTGTTTATTATGGCTTGTTCATGCTTGTCCTCTGAGCAACTTGCTAGGCTTGTGCCGGTCCCATTTTTCAATTGAATAGCCGTGGACACGAGGCGTGAAAAAAAGAAGAAAGAAAGGAAAAAAGAGAAAAGTCTCGAGGGCGCGAGACAGATCAATCATAACCTCCAACTCAAAGCTGGCCGTTAAGATCAAGTCAAACAACGCCCAACAGATTCGTCACTCTCACGTACTCACCGCTGATAATGACCTTTCACAGCTCATCACCCTCCAAGTCCCCCTTCGGCCCATCCAGCGTATCCGCCTCGACAACAAACCAATCCTTCACCACGGCCGCCCCGTTCACTACCGTCTGCCACACCCCAGGCTCACAGTTCCCCGGCTGCAGCACGTAGCACTTCGGGCTGGGCATTTCGGGCGCCTCACTCATAACCCAGGCCTCCCTCCTGCCCTCCGTCACGAACCCATCCCCAACCTTTACCTTACTAGTCGGCACATCCCATCCGCCCGCCCATGGGCCGCCGAAACACCTCGTACGCCGCCCGCGGCTGATACGCCGGCACCTCATGCCCAGCCTGGAACAGCCGCGTGAAGCTGAACCGGTCAACCTGCTTGGTCAGGCCCGTCCAGTCGGACTCACGTTGTTGTAGGGGAAGTCGAAGCAGGCTTCGGTTAGGATGGACCAGTCGATGGCACCGTTGATGATGCCCAGCGTGTCGAGGTGCAGGGGGTGCACTCCCGAGTGAGACAGGCTGCCGTTGGCGATCCGCTCGTTCTGTTCCTAGAAGAAGCGGAAGAAGCCCGTCCCGTAGCGTCCGCCGTAGCTCTCAGCTCAGACGCTACTCCTGCCGTCACCTGGCCGGTAGTGCGGGAACTCGAACAGCCACGTCTGCAGGAAGTGCCACGTGGCGTGGGCGGACCGCTCCGTGGTGTTGGTGGTCTGCAATATCTTTTGGCTCCCCATGGTTCCGATTCAGAACGTGTTGTTGGTCGGGGCGATCTCGCCGTCGGTGAGGTTGGTGGGCGTAATGACGGGCTCGGACGGGTCTTCGATATCCAGTTGTATCGTCACGTTGGTTTGGACGTCGTAGGAGAAGCTAGTCTGCACGGGCCGGTCGATGTAGAGCATGTGGACCTCGTTGTTCCAGCTCCAGGGGTTGAGATATGTTGAACCTCTCTGAAGATTGCTCGAGAATATCGGAAGACGCGTACGACGACTAAACCCCAATGTGCTCGTGTGGTTGGGGTTTAAATCCGACCGTGGCCGCTCACCTGCCTATTCTGGAAGTCAGTTTTGTCAAGTCAAGAAATAAATGGGAGGCTAGGCTGGAAGAAACTGAATGTGAAGTGGCTGCTGTTTATATGCGGCATGAAAGTGGTCGCTGGGTGGTTTGGTTGTGGAATTGGTTGTGAAATAGAGTTGCTGAATGCACTCAACTTGATATGCAGGTTCTATCCCCCCCGATATGCAATCCATACAATGATGAGGGTTACTCTCCCCACACATCTATATCCCGACCGGCTGTCTAAAAGGCCGTCTAATCCGATAGTCATAACAGTGGTACACAATCATACACGCCACACCCAGGCGTTAACCCTGCCACTCGGTGTCCTTGAGCAGCAACAACCTCCGAACCGCCTCCTCCCGGCGTTCCTCCCCCAACCTCTGTGCATCCGTCAACCTCAACCATCTCTCCAACACTTGTCTCAACTCCCCCTCCCCCCTCCCCAGCACATCCACCCCGCGATCGGTACACGCCAACCGCAGCTCCTCCTCCTCCAGCACGCTCGCGCCGCCCGCCGCCACCAACAACGCATCATCCACCTTCAAAAACTCCAACCGCCTCCTCACGCGCGGCCGCACCATGAATCCCGGCGTCCACGACCGAACCCTCAGCCCCAACAAAGCCGCCATCTCCCCGGCCCCCACAACACCACCCCCTTTCCGCTCAGCACCCCCCTCACCAGCACCCCCCTTAACAACCCTCCCAGAAACACCCCCACTCTCACGCCGAGAAAACGCACCCCTAACAACCGCCCTCCGCCCCTCCACCCCCCTCACCAACCCCTCCACCTGCCGCGGCACCCGACAAGTAAGCGGCACCGCCCCCGGCAGCGCCAGCACGACCAGCGGCGTGAACTCGCCACACACCAACAAGAGCACGGCAAAGAGCGGCAGCCGGCGCACGTCATGCCCCCAGCGGGTGAGCAGGTGCATGTGTGCGCGTGTGCCGGGGGTGGGGCGGGGGATTAGGATCTCCTCTGCTTTTTCCTGAGTTTCCCCCTTGGTAGTTGCGGTGGTTGTGGTGGCGGTAGTCAGGGGGGAGGGGTGTTTCTGGGTTGGTTTGGAGGAGAAGAGGAGGCGGGTGTTGGTGGCGATGTGTTTGACGCCGGTCTTGTAGAACTTGAGGTAGGCGACGCCGGTGGCGAAGAGGTGGGAGAAGTTGGCGGGGGAGAGGAAGGGCGGCGCGGGGGTGTTGGGGTCGCGGACGGGCAGGTTGAGCGGTGGGGGGCGGGTGGTGGGAGGGGCGTTCGCGGCGTTGAGGGCGGCGATGGTGGATAGGAGGAGATCGTGGGTTCGGTCGTGGGTTCGGTCGTGGGTTCGGTTGTGGTTTCGGTTGCGGTTTGGGTGGTGCGTTGGGGTGGCGGCGGCGGCTGCTGCGGCCGTGGAGGAGGCGTGTCGGCGGTGGTGGTGGTGTTTGTGTGGGTGTTGTATCCTCTTGAAAAGGTCCTTCTCGAGCGAAATCAGAGTTGAGCTCGATTGGGTGTGGTGCTGTCTTGACAATTGGTAGGCATTGGTGCGCAATGCACTGCTAAGAATGATGCCGTGCTGGCGCATTGTATTGGCCATGTTTCGGCCAGGCCACAACTTCGAGAGTGGGCGAAGGGAGTGTGGTTGGAAGAAGAGAGAGAGCTTGACATGTGTCGATTATGTACGAAGTAACTCCATCGACATGGCCAAATCGCATCCGACGCTTACCGGTGTGTTGTGGTGGGATCGATGCTAAGCTAACCGCATTCGGCACGGCGAGGTACCAAGGTACTCCCTCATGACACTCATTTCATTGCTGTCAACCGCATCTGAGTAAGAGAAATAAAATCGAGCAAACAAAAACCAAGTAGGGAAAAACCCTGCGCCGAAACGCCCTGTTCTCTATCCGTCCATACCCATTATCTAACCATCCGTAGAACCCGAAAGCCGACCCTTCGCCAGCAAAACACACACGAGATACCCACGATACAACTATGAGTACACTTTCGCATAAATCAAGCCCATCCGCGCGCACACCTCCCGCAGGCGATCGAACGCCTCCAATTTGTTCTGACAGTAAATCCGCATCGAATCCTCCCAGAGCACCTTCTCGACGTCGCGGCCGAAGCTGTCCATCAGCCAACCGGGGTCGCCCCACAGGCGCATGTACTTGCCCTTCTCGTCCGTCGCCGCTAATCCCGACTTCTCGTCGAGGAGGCGCGTAAAATCGGGCTTGACGCCGTTGTGGTGCAAGAACATGACGCGGTGGTCGAGCTGCTCCCACGTCAAGTTGCCCACCGTGCCGAGGAATGACGAATCCGTCATGAAGTCCTCCTCGTTGACGGTCGCCGCTTCGCCCCGCTTGTGCAGCGGGTCGCCGTTGTCCCGGAAGTGCTGCCTCGTTCTACGCCCGGGACTCGCACGCGTTTCGTTCCTGTCAGCCTTGGCGGGCGCCATGATTTCCTTCTTGTCAGCCTTCTCAATGGCCGCCATGACGCCCTGGTAATCCACCATCGGATCCGCTTGCATCATGAGCATGCCCCTCCACTTGCCCTTGACCGTCCGCCCGTGCGAACGGGGCATCTTCTTTACGTCGTAATACCCCTTTTTAACGCCCACGCCGGGTTTCATCCACGTCGTCGGCTGCTTGTACGCTCCCCGTCCCCGCAGCGCTTCGAGGACCAGCGCAGCCTGGAAGAAGGTCTCCTTATCGCCTTCCCCAGCACCGCGCTGGCAGAGTATGGTGTAGTAGTGCTTCGGTCCGTTATAGTTGTAGTAGGCGGCGAGGAGGAGGGTATCGGCGTGGCGGGATTTGTCGTACACCATTATGCCACTTTCCGACGTTGTCCGCGAGTTAACCGACGGGACCTCGAGGTCGCCGGCAATCTCGTAGAACCGCGGCGCGGTGGTCGACGCCCAAAAGTCGGGCCAGGTTATGAAGCCGGCCGAGGTAAACGGCTCGGAACCGCGGTCGAAGATGGGGTCCGGATTCCGCACGAGGAGGCAGTCGGTGTCGAGGAAGAGCACGTTCTGAAAGCTGGACGCAACGATCGAGATGAACTTCCACTGGAAGCGCGCCAACTTTGGCGCCGGAGGGTCCGTGTCGGCCCACATGTCGGGAAGGGACACGCAGGTCGCGTTGAGACGAGGCATCGTCTCGGAGCACACCAAATCTATCCACGGCGCCGACGAGTCGAGCATGATCTGTATTGGCAAGAGCGAGCCAGTCCGCCGCGCCATCAGCACCAGTGAAATAGCCTGCCCAAAGTTGCGCTCCCCGGCCGTCGTCACAATGCCAGTGGTACCGGCACGGTAGGGTAGATGGCTGGCGAACACAGGAAGTTGGTTGACGAAGGACGCATGCGACTCGCGGAATATGGCCACGGCCTCCTCAGTGAGATTGAGCCGATCCAGGCGTGTCCCATCGACATCGGGCTTCCAGTTGAGCGAGCGGCCGCGCAGCTTGGTGGGGGGGTAACGTTATGCGGGTGCTCTCGAGGCGACCGAAAAACTCGGTCCACCAGCCATTGAGCGCATGCTTTCTGGGATGAGGAAGAGGAGCGTGTCGGGTGTAGAGGTCGTCGAAGAAGGACAGATGATGGACAAGGGAGGCAAAGGAGATCAATAAAAGAAGAAGGATGACGGAAAGCTTCGCCTTGCCGATGTCGAGGAAAGATTTCTGCGAGAAGTGCCGGACGAACCCCAGGCTTCCTCGCGCGTTCCTGGCATCCATAGGGAAGGTGCCTATAGATATGGAGGGAAGTGGCTACCGGGCAACAGCGAGGCGTCAGGAACGCTCGGCAGGCGCTGTCGCGTAGTCGCCGTCTCACTGACATCCAATGGACATTTTTCGGGAGGGAAAAGAGGATGGACTACGATAGTTTCTCTGAACCCATGGTTATGGTAGCACAAAAACGCCGTGGGGGCGGTAGGCGGCCGCTGACCGTTGTCTGTCAGACGTGGTTCCGCCAAGGGGTTGTTTGCTTGGCCTCGAGATTCTTGAGCATGGGGAAAACTCGGAAGGGAAGGCGCTCCCCAGTGAGGTGAGGGATACTATGTCGAAGAGGTGAGAAAAGAGGACGGGCGTTACCGTTATTTTCTCTGGTCGCCATCTTCATACTGATGAGAGTGCGCATCGTTGCGATTCCACCATCCATCCTCCTTCCTCCTCTTGGCTTCAGAATCATCTCCGCGGGTCAGCCTGGCGTGCCGTGTTTCCGGTGGACACCTCGTACCGCATTACCACCCCGGGCAGGTCGTATTTCGGACATAAGGGCATCGGTACCGGGGGTGTTGGACGCGCCCAAGATTGGGCCGAGTAAATTCGGCAGTGAAGCTGGCAATTGAACAAATAACAACCGCCCCTGCCATTTGGCCCCCTCTCGACGGAACCCGCCAACAATGGGTTGCCCCGGTACAGCGTGGTCAAAAAGAGCCCAGCTCCATCGTCGATTGGCTGGCCCGGCAAGTCTTGGATTGAGGCTTCCACATTGTCTTTCGTATGAGGTCTGTCGTTATTGGGGCTTGTTGCTGTCGAGGTCTGTTGTTGTCGCCGTTATCCCTGATCTCTGCAGGGCAGCTCCTGACTTGGCAACCTGCTGCCGCTGCTCTTATCATGGTTACAGCCAACGGGCATTGCCTTGGTTAGAAGGAATTACTGATCTTAGGATTAGTTCCAGCCGCTGTGAACTCTTTGGGGGCGGCGGCCTTACCGAGAACATGTGTATCCAAACATGCTTTGTAGGTAGTTAGGCATTGTTGTGAGTTCCAGACGTCCGCAATGCGGCTGAAGTTAATCTGGGGAATGCCGTCTCGGTTGTCGATCTTCAGGGGGGGGGTTCTGTCAAAAACCTGCAACATGTCGATCACGGTATCAAAAACGGCACAGCCGGGAGGTGCCTTTTCGACAGGCATTCTGTATTCTCTTATCTTTGACATATTATTATTTACTTTCAGCTTTACAGTGTGAACGCATGTATTCAATAGCTAACGCATCTCAGCAACGAAACAACTTGTCCCTCCACTCACACCACCTAACTTTTCTCGCTTCGAAATAGGCACAGAAAGAGATCCCAGACCGAGAAGTACCCAGCCAAGCCAAACAGGATCCAAAGCGTCAACGCCACGCATATCTCCTGCCACATAAACAGAACGTGCCAAGTGAACCTACACCAGATAACATCAAGCAAAACCCCACCAAACCAAACAGACACGCCCCCATCCCATCACGCCCTCCCTTCCGCCGCCGCCCACTCCTCATTGACCCCCCGATAATCCTCCGGCCCATACGGACTAAACAGCTCCGCCACCAGCCCCCCCTTACGATGCGTCTGCAAACCCAAATCGGACAACAACAGATCCAAATACGGCACCGCATCAAAGATAAAACTCGGCGTCCGACTGCCCCAATCGACAGGGTACCGCCAGCGCCCGAACCGGTTATGCAGCAGCGCCTCCCTGCGGATCTCCTCCAACCCCTTCCCCTCCCCATTGCTTAGATCACCACCCAACCCGCGCACCCGCCCGTCAAAATACGCCGCCACCCACAGGCCCTGCACGTGCGCCGTGATGACGTTGCTGAAGTTGGCGACGCTGCCGACGAAGGCCAGGTCGCGCGCGCGCAGGGATTGTGCGGTGGGCGGGACGATGAAGCGGTGCAGCACGAAGGGGGTCAGTTGGGCGCTCGGCGCGGGCGTTGCGAGCTCTGTGGCCGCCGCTGTTGCTGAGGCTGTCGCGTCGGTGTCGACCTCGGTGGGGGGAACAATACCCGGCAGGTCGGTAATCGGCGTGTAGTGCGCGTCCCAGACGGGCTCGTCGCGCAGGCGCGGGAAGGTGGCGAGGATCTGGGCGTCGGCCTGGGCGAGGAGGTGCGGGTGGCAGGCGAGGTCGTCAGGCCGAGCTGGCGGTCGATGCCCTCGGGCAGGAAGCGGATGGGCGGCACGTGCCCCCAGCCCGTGGTGGCGAGCAGCACGTCGGCGGGGAGCTGCACGCCGTCCGAGAGGTGCACCTTGCCCGGGCTGAGGTGGGTGATGTCGCTGACGTGCACGCGGATCTTGCCGTCCTTGACGAGCTGGAAGAAGTCGGTGTCGTAGTTGAGGATGCTGAAGCTGGTGCCGGAGTACATGGCGGGGAGCCACGGCTTGAGTTTGGCGGTTTCCGGGTGCGCGTCGTACTTGTTCAGCGCCAGGACGTCGCCGCCCAGGACGCTCCAGAAGATGTCGACTATCTTTCGCCCTAGCGCGGTGCCGTGGAGGAAGTTGCGGATGCCGCCATAGCCGTCCACGTTGCCCCATATGCAGGGGCTGAACCAGGTGAGGGCGCGGATATCTAAGAGCCGAATATCCATGTCAGTGATGATGCGTGATGAGAGGGAGTGGAACACATGATCGTACTCGCGAGCTTCTCAATCCACTTCTTCAGCGGCGTCACGTATGAAGGAGACATCCAACAGGGGCCGTGGCCGGAGGCTGTGTCGGTTTGTTAGCTAACAACACACCCCCACATCCCCTGTCGCGCAGGACTCACCCCGGATGACCATGTGCGTCTCCACGCCCGAAGTTGCGTAGGCGTAGGCGGCATCCCAGGCGAATTTGTGGCCGCCGAACACCACCGCTGACTTGGCCGTCTTCAGTGTATCGCGGTTCTGCCGGAAGTGCTTGCCGTGAAAGACGCGGCCGCCGAAGGTTTCTTGCCCCCGGAAATGCGGGAGGAAGGCATCTGAAGTGATCCCCGTGGCGACGATGAGCCGACGTGCTTTGACAAGCTTCTGCTCCTGCTTGCCACCGGCATCCGTGAAAGCGGTAGTCAAGATCCAGCCTCCTTCAGCCCCGTCTAGGTGCTCGGCCGATAGGACTTTTGTCCGTAACCTGATATGCTCAACGATGCCAAACTCGGTTGCGTAGGCCTGGTGATACTCATGGACGACCTCGCCAGGGACATAGTTATCGGTCTTGACCCCGAACCTTGCGGTGGTCATGGGGAAATCGGGATATTCCAGCGTCCCCAGCAGGTTATTGCTCTTCAGCAGCGGATACAGACGCTCGGCAGCCCAGGTGCCCCCCAGCGTGGACTGCTCGTCGAACACCACCAACGAGCCCGTCGGGTGGGTGACATGGTACTGTTTGGCCGCGGCCAGGCCGTACCAACCTTTGGTGTTTAGTTAGCATATGATATTTCCCGACATGCTACGAGCACACAAGGGATAGCTCACCGGCGCCGACCACCACGCAATCGAAGTTCTCCATCCCAGAGACGTAGGTGTTGTGTCTTTGATGTTGAATCAGAGACGCACACCATCAAGCCCGAACAAACAACCATCACGGTGCTGACTGCGCTGGCTGCCTGGCTGCGTCCCTCACGGGCCGGGGCTACTTGAACCGAGATGCTGCGATTGGCAGAAATACGCCGTCACTCCATTCCCGGCTGTTGTCTTGGATGGATGGATTATACCAGACCTTTCCTAAACGAGACTCTTCTTTCTCTTGCGGCGCTGGCAAAGTGCATCCATTTCGCCAACATATACTAAACTGGCAGGTGTAGCGGTCTTTACGTCGTTTTAGGGAATAAGAGTTTAGAGGTTGACCAATTCCATGTCGAGACGCGTCCTCCTGACTCCTGAGGTCCCGTCAGCGCGGCATGATCCCAGTTGAACATCGCCTCAACTTTACAAGTATCAGCTCTCGCCTGCTGGGGCGTCCAACCGTCCAACCACGCTACGAATTTGATTCGCGCTTAAATTGTGGGCACCGCAGATGATGAATGAAACCCCGAAGCCGTCCCAGTTCAGGTTGGCACGGTTGGGTTTCATGTACGGAGTAAGCCGGCGTACATTGAATGAGAAACGCAACTGAGAAAAGGCGAGGCGCGCGCCAGGGTTGGGGGTTCTGTATGGGGGAAGCACCCTCCGGCCAAAAAAAGCCGAACTCGAAAGGAAAGCAAGCAATCAAGCAAAAAGAACGAATGAAAAGAGATCGAGAAAAGTAAGTCGAATAAAAAGAAGAGGGTAAAGGAAAAGTGAATGGAGCAAATACAGTCTCTTTGGGCTTCAGGATGACTTTCGTTATGTTCCTCCAGCCGAGGACTCGAATTTTCCATTGCCAACATCTGCACTTGGGGAGAGGACCTTAGAACATCGCTGGGAGTCGAGGCACAAAACTTACTCTGTTACTCATCAACCCCCGAAAGTTTTTCCTATTGATACACATTTAACTTCCAAATCCCGAGATCGCCATCAAACACGATGACAGAACCATCCAAACATCCGCAGGTGTATACAGAAAAAATCCTCCTGGAGTTCATTGAATTCCGGCACCCACATTACGATGCACCAAGCAACATCCTAATCCAATTCCCACGGACAGAAGTGGTCGACCACCAACGTGGTGTTCACTATGGCACTGCCCTTGTTGCATGCCAAATAATTGCAAACAACGCCTTTTCGACTGGGTCGTTAGCCTTAGACCCAAACGGCGAGGAGCTTGTTGTGCTGGACTTTGATGACGTCCTCACTAACAGCTACTATTACTTCATTGTCGCCGGCTCTTATAGTAAGCCCCAGTTCTGCCGACATTTCCAGCGCTAACCTTTCTACACAGATCGAGACAATCCTTACCCCATTGTCCCAAGCTTCCAGGATTGGGAGTTCCCACACAATCAAATTCCTGACGCATGGCCCCCGTCCACCGTCTTCCCCAGCTCAGCATGTGGGGTAACTGGGTATCCATTCCCTGTCGAAAGTGCACACCTTGTGCCACAGAAGCAGTCCATGTGGTTCGAGCGGAACGGTATGCGCCGATACGCCGATAATCGGCTTATGGGCGGCAATGTCGACAACCAAGCCAACATAATACCACTACGGAGCGATATCCACGTGATATTCGATGACCGATCAATGGCAATCATACCTCGAAGGTCATCGTACACTACCTCTGTGATATCTGACCGGGCGGACCATTATTATCCGCACCACCACAACGTCATCGTCCATGGTCTGCACCGAAATGCCCGAGCATACCTCTTTGCGCGATTCGCGTGGACGGTTCTCTTCAGCATGAAGGCGTTCGTCTGTCAGGGTTTCGATCGCCGTATCGTCCAGATTAGCACATCGGACTCCCGAAGTGCGAACACGTACGGGACCGTATGGGTCCAGGCATCGGAGCTCTATGCCAAGTACAGCGGCGGAGGAACCCAAGAGTCCGGCCCAGCTTCCAAGTCGACTGCAAAGAGGCAGAAGCCAGGAGATGCCATGGATGATGACGATTACAGCGTCACAGAGGAGGAGATCATCAATGCTGTTTACACGTGGAAGAGCGAGGCTCAGACAAGAACAGAGCAAGCGAACACGGAAGTTTTGGGTGAGAATGAAGGTGGTAACGAAGCGAAGCCCACTGAGTCCAGGGCCCAGTCCGGTGGGGGCCATGAGTAGGACAATGCGCACTCATCAGGACAGGGAGGTGACATGACCCAGGCTCGGGATCGTTCGTTGAGGCTGGCTCTACGTCGGAAGTTCAGTGGAAAGTTGACCTCGGCCTCGAACTCCATCAAGGAGGCTAGAAGGCGGATGCGGCTAGGAGTAAAAGACGCATTCCAGGTTGAGGACAATACGGAGCAAGGGCAGGGTAGCACTGGAGCTTAGATACTACGAGAAGGCGGCAGAAGAGGTGCCCACCAGGGTTGGGGTTATGTTTGGGGGAAGTTGCAGGGACTAGGAGGCTGCCATTTTTGGACAGGGGGAGCTCGTCACCCTCTGGCCAAAAGAAGCGGAACTCCAAAGGAAAACAAGAAACTACGCAAAAAGAATTGAGTGAAAGGAATCGGAAAATCAAATCAAAGAAAAAACATCGTGTAAAATAAAAAAGTAATTTGAGCTAATGCAGTTTCTTTAGGCGTTTGGATGGCTTTCGTTTCGTTCCTACAGTCGATGTTTGGTTGACGTCTGCACTTCAGAGTCCGGCTTTTTTTGGCCATGGCGTGCCTGGGCAGTCGCGTCCCAGTCCGGCCGGCCCAGTTCGGCCCGCAGCCGCGTCTCTTCGTCTCACTGACTTCTTCCTCAAGTTAGTGTAGCTGTGCCTCTCTTGGCCGCGCAGGCCGTTCTCAGACTCCTCTTTTCATCTGCATCAAGTATTGATCTGCTGTGGCCATGAGTTTATTTAATTACCACTTCATTGACCTGTCTACGGGCGAGAAGCAAGTCCGCCGGCAGACTCTCGACAAATATGCACTCTACGCCCAGCTGTCCGTTTTGCTTCCGGTTGCTGTCCTCCTGATAATCCGTCTATGGAAGCAGACGTCCAAGGCTGGCGCATCTAAAGGTCATTATGACGCTGTCCCAAGCTCTCCGGTGCTGAAAGAGCGCAGGAACAGCAACGTGGGCACTTGGAGTTCTCGGTCGAGGAGGCTTCAGTGGTGGTTGGGTGAGGATGTCGTGGTGGCCGGGTGGGTGTTGGGCCAGAGAGATCGTACGTGATTCGAGGCCCTCTTCAACCTTTGAGGGGACATGAGGTGGTTAATAAGTGGACAGAATGGGTGGTTGGGCTGGTGTGGACCGCTTGGCTTCTGCTGCTCTGTGTATTAGAAACCGGGGAGGGTAAGTCGCAACCCCGTCTGTTCTTATTGCAGTGTACTAACCTTCGCAGACTACCTGCACCTGACAAAGAGACTCGGCGTCGTTGCCATCTCGCAATGGCCGCTTCAGTACCTTCTGGCGCTCAAGTCCCTGAACCCTGTCGCCTACCTCCTCCAATCCTCTCACGAGCAGGTCAACCGCTGGCACAGGGTTATGGCACGTATCACGACCGTCTTACTGTCCCTTCATGCGACTCTCTACCTCAACTTCTTTGTCCAGAGGGACCGCCTCGACCGACTGGCTGATCCCATCGTTCTCTCGGGAGTCGTGGGCTTCGGCGGTCTGCTCTTGATCGCCTCGACAGCTCTCCGGCCGGTCCGCCGGTATTCGTACCGGCTGTTCTTCGTCGTCCACCTCGTTGCGGGAATCACCGTGCCCGTGCTCATCGTCATCCATGCCGCCCCGGCTAGAATGTTCCTGTTTGAGTCCCTCGGTGTTTTCTTCGTCGACCTGGCTTCGCGGAAGATGGACACGGTGACAGGGCACGCCACGGTTGAGTCGATTTCAGGCACAGACCTCGTCAAGATTTCGGCCAGAATACCCCACTCCAAGGTCAACCGCTTCCGTACGCGTCCCGGGTCACATATCTACCTCAGTATTCCGCCCGCAGCTCGTAAATCGATGAGCGCCGCCTCCATCTCGCACCTCCTGTTCGAGTTTCTCTTCAACCCCTTTACCGCCGCGGCTGTGGACGAAGAGAGCCCGGATTTGACCTTGGTTGCCCGGCGCTGCAGTGGCCCCATGACTGCGGCTCTGAAGCGATTCTCGGGCCTGGCGAAACCTACCGATGTCAACATCACGGACGAGGACAAGATACCTCTGTCAATCGAAGGCCCCTACGGAGCGGCCAGCCGCCTCTCTCGGCTACGTACCGACTTTGACCGGATCCTGCTTGTTGCCGGTGGCGTCGGTGCGACTTTCACTCTACCGCTGTACCGCGCCATCACCCACGAAAACCCGACAGCGAGGGTGGAGATGGTGTGGGCTGTTCGATCGGCTGGTGACGCAACGTGGGCGGTGACCGGGAAAGAGGCCCAGACGCTCCTAAAGGACGATAATATCCATATCTTCATCACGGGCGACGCCTCCGACCCAGAAGGGACAGAGTTCTCGAGGCAGAGAGCGGCCGCTGGCCGCACTGACGGTGGCGCAGACGGTGAGGTCGAGATGAGCACCATGCATAGGGACGCCCGCCGTGAACGGTACACATCGCAGCACAACCGAAAGCGGCCCAACCTTCAGAATATCGTCGACGATCTGTTTAGGTTTGGCTACGAGGAGAGGGTCGCGGTGCTCGTGTGCGGCCCCAACGAGATGGCCAAGGAGTTGAGGGCACACCTCGGCGTCTGGGTCAACAGGGGGCGGTCGGTTTGGTATCACAAGGAGGGCTTTGCGTTTTAGGAGCGTAAAGAATAGTCATATATTGCCCATTTTGTGGGCGTTCAACCGAGATATTGTCATGATATCTGTGCCGCTGATTCTAATACCTCCGAGCCCGCGTTTCGTTATACAGGTAGGCCCAACGCAAACTCCGCTTTCCCCGTCCCAACCCATCCATTCTAAAGGAGCGAAAAGTGATTGCAGGAACGCCAGAGACATTGCAAACCGTTATCCATACATTCTGCGCGATACCGCGGCAGAGTCATCCATCCCCATCGCCGTCGTTGGGCTCGTTAATCCGAGCGCTTCTTTGCGCCGCCATGGTCGCCGGCAGCCTCGGCATCCTTCCCAGCCGTCGGCGCAGCGACACCAACATCGCCCGCATCATCCTCGTCCCAGGCATCCACTTCATTCTCATCCCAGTTATCGACCTCCTCCTCCAGCGTCACCGCCCCCCGCTGCCCCTCAGCAGCATTACTCCCCCCCATCACACCCTCCTCATGCCCGCCCGAACCACCACCCCCACCCCCAATCCCAGGCCCCTCCCCCAGCTCCAAATCCTCCACCCCCTCCTCCCCACCCTCCCCGGTCGGCACCGCCGTATACTTCCTCACCCTTTTCCGCTCCAACATCCTCTTATGATACCACGAACACAACCCCAACGCCCCCGCCACGCCCACCACATTGGCGACCACATCCCACAGGTCGAACGACCGCCCGTTCGGCAGCACGGCCTGCAGGAACTCGGAGCCGACGGCCAAGCCCGCGCCGCACACCACCAGCGTCAGGTGCACGGTGCGCCGGCGCGTCGTGTCGACGACCCAGTAGAAGGCGACGGTGAGCAGGAAGAAGGTCGCGAGGTGCAGGACCTTGTCGTTGACGGGGAGGGTGGTCGAGTCGATTTGCAGGGAGGAGAGGCCTGCGTAGCCGGCGAGGAGGAGGAGGAGCGTGAAGACGCCTGTTTGAGGGAGAGGGGGGGTTAGTTACTAGTTGGTTGGGGTTTGGTCTGTTATCTGCCATGGGCAAGCGGGGAGGGAGGGGGGGTTGGTGGGGATGTGCAGGTAGGCAAGATGCAGCTAGGTAGGAAATGGGAGGTTCTTTCGTGGGGATGCGGGTGTCTCGGCGGGACGACTTGAAGCTAACGGAGGTGTTGGGTGCGTGGGAATGTGGAACTGAAACGCACCTGCAAAGGGAAGCCGTATCCTCATGATGTGCTAGCTTGGGTTGCTTTGATATTGTGGGATGGCTTGCATGTAAATTGGTGGGGAAAATGTCACAGCTTTTGCGCCATCATTTTTATTGATTGTATGGATGTAGGTAATAGTAAAGTCGGAGGAGGCGTTTGGTTGTCCCAGGTCTGTCGCTGCCGGTGTCAGGTTCAGGGCCTCACAAGGCTACAATACGAAACTCGGAGCTCCAGCCTCACAAGCGAGGGGCTTGTGGCGCTCTTTCTTGTCCACCGAACAAAGAGGACGGCCCGCCCGGGGGCTGACAAGCGAGCGATCGGGCAGCCCGTGGCCTGGGGTGCTGGGGTAGGTGGGGCTTTCAGTGCTCTTGGCCATCGCGAAGCCCGCAGCCCGCTTCACCCCGAATCCCTGCCACTCCCGTCTGATCACGACGACTGCACAACAACAAAGCAGCCATCTTCAGAAGCTAAAACTCAGCAATCAATTGCCCAGAGAGTCGCAAATCCATCTCTTTTCCCGATTGAGCATCATCCACCTCCTGAATTGCACTTCACATACCACCTTCATCAGCGGAACACATATCACGTGATTACAAGAGACTCCGCCGACCACGCGAGGGTACCACTGAGGGACAATCTAGGTGCATCATTTACACTTGGAATTGAAGTGTGCAAGATTGAAAAATATCCATAACGACTTCTTTCAATCTATCAGGCTTCCATAAACCGACTTTTGTGCTCAAATTCGCGGGTTGCCAACAACGCGACAAAGGACAGCGAGCGCTCCCAAGGTACCTCCCTCTTTCGACGCAGCGCCAGCAAAAGGAGCCCCCTTGTCCAGAAACGGCAGAAGCCTGCTTCCGAAGTTGACCTCACGTCCAACTCGCCCCAAAATCAGCCATCACAGAAACCATCGGGACACAACCACGGCATCGTCGATTGCCTTCAAACTTCGTCTCCTGCCTCTACCGACAGCGCGCTTTTTGCCCATGTGACTCTGACGCCCTGAATTGCTCCGGTGTCGGCTGACTACGAGCGCGTTTCCGGCGCATGGCGACCGAGCGACGACCATCCCCCTAGCCATCCCGGACCCGGAAAAATGTCGATTACAAACGGCCAGCAAGCCTGGCATACGCCGAACTCGAGCCAGGCCAACGGCAGTCGAATGAACCATGGTGTTGTGGACGATGGCCCGTTGCCGATGCAGACTCCGAGCGACAACCCACTCGCGCTGATGCCTGAGGCATCCGATCCCGACGACGACCATCGACGCGCTCACTTCGCAAATCTGTTTCGGCGCGCCGAAGGAAGGCTTGCGCTGCTGTTTGGCGACAACGGCGAATACAGCCAGCCTGGCCTCGACACCCTCAAGCGCCCCCCGACTCCGATCGCACCCCTGCTCCCTCCCGCGACAGACCACGCGCCGGCCCAAGAGCCTCCCCGCAAGAAGGCGAAGCGCGTCATCGACGAAGACGACTACGGCGATGACGACGATGAGGAAGAAGAGGAAGAAGATTCCGCGCCCACATCACAATCCCTACATCATAAACGCGCCAATGACGATGCCGCTGCGAGAACCCTGCTGTCGCCCTCCAAGTCCGGTAGCTCGCCAGTCCACTCCGTCTCGTCGCCCGGGAGGCACGCCGGCAAGACTCGCGAAGATGGATCGCATACACAAGCCAAGTCCTCCGAGGACGCGCGCAAGGAGCTGGAGGAGGCGCGCAATGCCACCGAGGTAGCCGCCAAGCAAAGTTTCCACACCCTCTTTTACACGCTAGAAAACGACCGCACGGCCATGCTTGAGCAGCAACAATTGGAGGAGTCCGAAAAGCAGTTACAGGCCGAAATGGACAAGACACATCACAGCCACACGAGCCAGCCCGAGCAAAACCACGGCTCGCTCAGCAATGCTAACCTCGGCGCATCGAGTCTCACCCTGAAGCACCTCATCGCGAGGATAGACATGAAGCGCGACCAAGTGCGCGCATCCGACGCCGAACTCCGTTCGCTGATGAACGAAGTCCGTAAGAACAGGAGCAAGTGGGCGAGCGAGGAGAATGTGGGCCAGGAGGAATTGTACGAGGCCCTCGAGAAGGTCCTCAGCGAGCTCAAGGCCCACACCGAATACTCGACTCCGTTCCTGAACAGGGTCAACAAGAGAGATGCACCCGACTACTATAACTGTAAGTCACCGTCCCGCCGCCGTTCTACGCCGAGCGCCTCGTTTAACAATCTGCAGTCATCAAACACCCCATGGACCTCGGAACCATGACCAAGAAGCTCAAAAGCCTTCATTTCAAGTCCAAATCCGATTTCGTCACCGATCTCAACCTGATATGGGACAATTGTCTCAAATACAACCAGGATATGGGCCACCCGCTCCGCCGCATGGCGAACGGCATGCGTAAGGAGGCCGAGAAGCTCATCCCACTCATCCCGGATGTCACCATCAGGCCAAGAGCGGAAGTCGAGGCGGAAGAACGCCGGAAACAAAACGGTGGCGAGGATGACGGAGGCGATGACAGCGACGACGAACCGATAATGTCGTCTCGGGGTCGTAAGGCGGGCACAAAAGGCACGAACAAGTCCCGAAAAGCACCGTCCGACCAGAAGGAAGGCAAGGAGGGAACCCCGAGCGTGGATCAGAAGCCGGTGCTCCAACTCAACGGAATCCTCGCCAAAACCCACCGGGAAGGTTCCGAGGTAGACAGCAGCAATGGTTTCGGCACGCCCCAGATCGGCGGTTCCCTGACCCCTAACGGTGCCAATGGCCAATCCGGCATCAGCAATGCCGACGCCATGGAAATCGACGGCCCGTCATTAAACGGCATGGCCCTCGACCAAGCGTTGGGGGAGGCCGCAGAACAAGCCTACGAGGACGACGCCTACAAAATATGGAAGCAGGTCACTAAGAAAGACCGAGCCCTCGTCGCAAAGGAGCGCTACCAACTATTTGCTGGCAACAAACTCAACCCGGAGGAGCCCGCCCTCTTGAGGAACAAGGGAGGGATGCGTCGCTTTATCAAGTCTCGGAAAGAAGCGGAAGCCCTTGGTATCATCCACGGCTCGCACCTCGACGCCTCCGCCGGCGGCTCCAAAGATGGGGCAAAGGCGCCCGAAACGCTCGCCGAGGGCATGGAGGACGAGGGTAACCGGACAGTCCCTTCATACTATGAGCCCCAAACCATCATTCCCGATATCGACCCAAAGCTTCAATGGATCGAGGACGGCGAGGGGCACGTCATCAACCAACATGAAGACATGCTTCGGTTGATCCAACCTGGTCACTTCCTTCCGCCAGAGAGCCGCCTCACGAGCAAGTTCGACGCCAACATGCGGCAGATGCAAGAAACCCGCAAGCTCTGCTCCAAGGTCGGCGTCATAAAGCAGATGCAAATCCAGACTCATGTAAGTGGGCTTGTCCCAACTCGAGTACCCGACGCGACTAACTGACCTCGACAGGTGTATACTAATCAATTTCCCAAATACAACCCAGAGCCCTTTGTAGAATCTGACGCCGACCCGGCTTTCATGGCAGGGGAAGGGCCTGTGATGGCACCGGAGACCTGCCGACTGGCGATGCAGCGCTCCGTGGCCAAGATCTTCTACCACGCCGGCTTCGAAGAGCTGCAGCCCTCAGCGCTCGACACGGTAACAGACATCGCCGGTGACTACTTCCAGAAGCTAGTCCGCACTTTCGGTGTCTACCGGGAAGCCGAGAAGAAGCCGGCCGCGGGCGTCTTCGCGGAACGGGGCGCCCGCTCCCAGCCCCGGTTCACCCCCGAAGAGGTGATCCTTCACACGCTCAACGAAAACGGCCACGACGTCGAGTCGCTCGAAGGGTACGCCCGCGACGACATCGACCGGCTCGGCAACAAGCTCGGCCAGATTCACGAGCGGATGAAGGCCCATCTCGCCGACCTGCTCCGCCCGGCCCTCACCGACGGCGGCGCGGACGGCTCCGGCGCCTTCAACGACGGCAGCGACCAGTTCGTCGGCGGCGACTTCGCCGAGGAGCTCGGCGAGGACTTCTTCGGCTTCAAGGCGCTCGGCCTCGACAAGGACTTCGGGCTCGAGATGATGTCGGTGCCGCTGCACCTGCTCCAGTCGCGCGTGCGCAACCAGTACCAGATGCAAACCCAAACCATCAACGGGCCCATCACCGAGGACCTGTTCGAGCCGCTGCCCCCCTCGGAACCCGTCACGCGCGAGTCCATCCAGGAGCAGATCGGCCTGGTGCGCAACTTCTTCCTGGCCAAGCTGCACGCCAACGGCGACGCGCCGCTGGTGGAGGACGAGGACCTGCCGCCCAAGCAGCGGCGCGCCCGCCCCCGCCTCGGCGCCACGGGCAAGATCGTCTCCCCGCAGAAGCGCAGCCCCAAGGAGCAGATCGCCCTCGCCAAGAAGAAGAAGAAGCTCGAGTCCGGCGCCGCCCAGGTCACCGACGGCCTCGGCGCCGCCGCCGCCGCTGCCGCCAAGCCGGGCAGCGTCTCGCCCGAGAAGAAGAAGGCCCTGCAGCAGCGCCTCGATGGTAAAGGTGGGCCCGTGCTCAACCCCCCTGGTACTGCTGGTGCCGGTGCTGCTGCGCCGGGGGTTAATGGTGGTGGTCCGAATGGTCTGGCTGTGCAGCCGGCATCCGCGGTCGCTGCTGGCGGGGACACCACGGATGGTGGGGCCAGCCAGGCGACGGATAAGGATGATGCGGCCACGGGCATGATGAGCCCGGAGAGCTTGGAGCATCGGTGAGGGGCCGATGGTCCCTAGCGTGGGCCGGTATCATTCGGCTCTATTTGGTTTGTGAGAGTAGAAGGGGGGTGGGATGAGATGGGTGGGATAAAATGGGATGATGAGCGGGCGGGTTGGGGTTGGGATGGTTGGGGTTAGTTGAATCAGGATGGATGTGTTTTGTATGTTTGCCGTTTCTCTCTCTTCCTTTTCTCTTGGCGGAGACAAGCGGGTGAACGGCCGGGCGAGCCAAGGAGACAAGCAAGTCACAACGGGGGGGTGGATTGAACGCTTGGCTGTTTACGATATCGTACGGATTTGGTATGGCGGTCTAGGACGAACGGATGGGCGGACGGATGGAAGGATACGGACTCTTTTGCGGACGGACGGGGAGGGTGGGTGCGGGTTGCTTTTCCGTCCTTTCTTCTTCTCTTCTTCTTCCGGCACTTCAACCTTCTTCTTTCCATATTCCCCCCCTTCCGCCCTCCCCGACGAGGAGCAGGTTTCATCATTCTAGAATTCGGACCTTGGGCGCGCACACCCTGATACCAAGCAGTGTGGCGGCGTGCCTTCGCATATACCTCTCTATCTTTTTCCTTTTTGAGTCTTGTATCGTTGTCTTTTTTGCTTTTCGTTGTTTTATTTTGTCCCTGCTCTGTTCGGCAGTGGATTTGGTCAATTCATGTACATATATCTATCCTATACATGCTTATATCTTGGGGACGGCTACGATGGAATGCGAACGGAAGTATTGGAACTACGTTTATCTAGCTATAGCCTGGTAGCTAGCGAGAGTCGATCAACTGAGAATGTCCGTATCCTCAGTTGGTTTTGTTTCCTTGTCACTCGTGATGGTCTGTGTAGTTGGCAAGCCGTGATTCAGCGCCGCTCCGACACAGCACCGGAGTCAACGACCACTCTTTTCCACTAGTATTCGACGGGGTTAAAGTGAATGGTGGACTGTGCGATACAGCAATGAGAGACAGAATTCAGCAAGCACATGGGACTCAGTATGTACGTCACCACAACAGACAACAGCTCGCTTTTTTGACTCCGCAGTTGTTGCATATCAGATCGGGTATAATCATCCGCGTTGAAGCAGCCTCCTAAATAAGCTAAAACCAAGGTATAAACCAGACTCCCTCCCGGTACCGAACCTGGTAAGTTGATGACCAAGACACCCATGATGCAAACGCCTGATGAAATGATTTGCAGGATGAGTGATTTTCCGATTTCCGTTCCCCTCCCATGCACCCATGACTCGTTGAGATCGCCGTCCTGTGCACCCCTGTTTCTAGATGCAGACCCGGAAAAGACAAGAAAACAAGACGGCCGCTTGGGTCCGCCTATCTGTTGTTGAACACTGTGCGTCGGGGTGGCGCCGGATGTACCGTAACACCACCGCCGCCGCAGCGCAGACTGTGGTTGTAATCGGCTTAGATGCCGGCATCCATCCTCCAGCCCTCGACGGGGAGGGGGAAGGTGTGGCACCAGTCCGAGATCTCCTTCTTGAGCTCGTTGATGCGGGCAACCTCGCCGCTGGCGATCTTGAACCGGAAGTCCTTGAGCTTGTTGGCCTCCTTGGGCAGGGCAGCCTGGATCTCCTTGCAGAGCTTGATGCTGGCGTCGATGTAGGTAGCGACGCGCTCAAAGTCGGCCTCGCCGAAGCCACGGCTGGTCATGGCCGGGGTGCCGATACGCAGACCGCCGGGGGTGAGAGCGCTCTTGTCGCCGGGGACGCTGTTCTTGTTGCAGGCGATGTTGATCTGCTCGAGGACACCCTCCACGCGGGCACCGTCGAGGGACAGGGGGCGGAGGTCGACGAGGACCATGTGCGAGTCGGTGCCGTTCGACACGAGCTTGTGGCCAAGCTCCTTGAACTTGTTCTCGAGGGCCTTGGCGTTGGCGACCACCTTCCTCTGGTACTCTTTGAACTCGGGGGTCGCAGCCTGCTTGAGAGCAACGGCAAGGGCCGTGATAGTGTGGTTGTGGGGGCCACCCTGATGTCCAGGGAAGACGGAGAAGTTGATCTTGTCCTCCAGGTCATAGAGGGTCTCCTTGCCGGTCTTGGCATCAACTGACCGGACACCCTTGCGGAAGAAGATCATGGCACCGCGGGGGCCACGGAGCGACTTGTGGGTAGTGGTGGTAACGACATCGGCGTACTCGAAGGGCGACGGGATGACGCCGGAGGAGACAAGGCCGGAGATGTGGGCGATGTCGACGACCAGGTAGGCGCCAACCGAGTCGGCGATCTTGCGCATGCGCTGGTAGTCAATGAGACGGCAGTAGGCCGAGGTACCGGCAACGAGAATCTTGGGGCGGAAGAGCTGGGCGTTCTTCTCGAGGGTGTCGTAGTCGATGATGCCGGTCTCAAGGTCGACACGGTAGGGCATGGTCTCGAAGTAGGTGGAGACGGCAGAGATCCTTTAAACCTCTATTAGCAACAGCAAAGGGAGGCAAGGTTAGCGGGACGCTTACTTCCGCTGGGGAGTCTGGTAACCGTGGCTAAGATGACCACCGTGGGGGAGATCCAGACCCATCAACCTGCCGTGGGGAGGCATGATAGCCTGGTAGACCTGGAGGTTGGCAGGGCTGCCACTCAGGCACTGGACGTTAACACCCCACTTGGCACCATCGACATTGAAGGCCTCGAGGGCACGCTTCTGGCAGAGAAGCTCGATCTGGTCGATGTGCTGGTTGCCACCATAGTACCGAGCGCCGGGGTAGCCCTCAGAGTACTTGTTGGACATGGGGGAGCCGAGGGCATCGAAGACAGCACGAGACGTGACATTTTCGGAGGCGATGAGGATGATGGACTCGCGTTGACGCTGGATCTCATGTTTCTAACGAACGGTGTTAATTGACTGACTGGACGCTTTTACATTCAAGAGCATTGGCTTACCATGATCTCGGCGACCTCCGGGTCAGAGTCAAGCAGTGACTTCTCAAGCATCTAGATACAAGCGGTGAGTCAGACGACCGGACGATCCGGAGAGCAGGATATGATAACAGAGGGTAACGAACCTGCTTGTGCGACTCCGGGAGCGCATAGGTGGCAGCCATTGCGATTGATTTTGGGTGGGATTGGTTGGTTGGTAGGGAATTGGGGGGAGAGGGGATCAAGGTGTTAAGGTGTCAAGGTGGTGAAGATAGAAAGCTGGGAGAGATGGAGAATTCTCGAGAGACCGAGAGTTCCAGCTTCGGGGGTAGCAAGCTATTTTGTGGGGGAACGGGATGGAGGGGCATCGGAGCAGGAGAGAAAAATTGAGGACCCCGCAGTCCCTGGCAAGCATCAATTGCGGAGCTTGGCTGCGTGAGGGAGGGGTTGATGGACCCGGAACCGGTGGCCAAGCGTCAAGCCAAGGCGAGCTATGAGCATATCAGAAAGATCATGCAACTACCCAGCTCCAGATCGCAGCGATCTCGGTCCACAGAGGTCAAGTTGCGAGTCGGGCAACGACTTTGCGTTTTGACTTTATCCCCAATTGTGCCGTTACAGCAATAGGTAAGGCAGTCAGGGTTTAGACATTGTTTTCAGAAATCCAGCTCGACCACAGATGCCGGGCTCTTAACTTCATGGTTCGGAAGGGGGGTCGGTGATGCGGCTTCTTCGGAGTCTTGCCAGCTTGGTGTTTCGGGGTAACGAATTGGGCAATTCCCCGAAGAATTGGTACGTGGCTTACTTCGTAACAGTTAGGTACTTATGTTATCCTAAAATGCCCTAGAGATAGAGCCATCAAGGTATGGCCGATGCAAGGTTTGCAGATTCGTCTTTCCCCTCATTTGAATGAAATTCTCGAGGACCGATATACCTACCTTACCTCGCCCTTGATTTTCATATCCTATTGGGCACCTAGCACGGACTTGACAACATCGGGTTGTCAGCCAGCATCCATGGAGAAACCTCCAGCTTGGCCAAGCGCAGGAGTCGGTGCTGATGGAAGGCCGCTGGGCTTATGTAAACCCGCATCGGCAGGGATGAGTCACGTGCAGGCGCTGCATGGCGCAGGGACCCACTAATTCCCACAAGCATTGTTAGCGCAAACGAGCCTCGCGCTGGCTTTTTGTAACCAACTCTGGCGACCGCAGCCTCCGACTTCCTCCTCTGCACCCTGAAGCCTGTCGATTAAGGAAATGGCCGTCAGATACCGCATATCGATTTGATTTTCGGATGTAATCCAACCCGATCATCATCTCTACACCGCGTGCACCCATTTTGGACGCATTTTCTCCACCTTACGTGCCGGCCCGCCGACGACAAAACTTTTTGGAGTTGCAGAGTGACGGTCCCACGCAGCAGCGTTCCTCCCTTTCGCCGACGCGAATCGCGACGAGACCCAGCTAAACCACCACGCCAAAACCCATCCCACTTCCCACCTTCCCGGGGTCCCGATCTCGACGGCCCATTCCGCATTCCCCGCCAACCATGGCCGAGCCCGCTGTTGTCGCGGCCCAGGTCAACGGCGTCGCTCCATTGTCGCGTCCAGACTCGCCCGCTTCAATCAATTCCTCCACCAAGCGGAAGCGCGAATCGAGCGACGACAACGACCCGGATCTCAACCGCGCCGACCCGCCCAAGGTGCCCGTTAACGGCGTGCACACTTCCCAGGACCGCAAATCGCTCGTCCGCGATTTCTTTGATGTTTTGCAGAGGTATGCGCCCTATCGCCGTCGACCTATTTCTGCTCTGCTGCGCCGGGCGCTCAATTGCATCCGCCGCTGCCTGTCCCCTCCCTTCCATCCCTGTGCTAACTTCATCCACCCTAGTCACGACACCACCGCCCCATCGGTTCTCAAACGCCCTCTTCCAGACTCGCTCGTCGATGGCGAACCGTCTCCCAAGCGGGCAAAGTCGGAAGATGGCAAGCCCGTTACCATTGCAGACAAGGTGACGCAGGGCACATATGAGGCGCTGGATGACTTCGTCTCCGATATCGTCCAAACTGCGAACGCACAAGTCAAGGAACTTGGCGCTGCATCTACGCCAAACGATGCCAGCACCGTCACCAAGACGATCGCATTCAGAACGAAGGCCTTGGACCTCTACAGACAGGAGCTTTCGTATCCCAACGTGCCGCGATCGACTCTCGCGAAACCGTCTCCCAGGGAGCTGCAATCATCAAACCCGGACACCCTAGTCCTCACAACCATCGGGGCTGCCCCAACAGCGCGGCCCCTTTTCACCAGCCTGCGGCGAAATGCTGCCAAGTCTCTTGCCGGAGCCCCCCTGCCCAGGGGTGTTACCGTCACCAACGTCTCTTCCGAGGCTCCCCCGTCGGGCGAAAAGAATGGCCGCCCACTTACGCTCGGAGAGTTGTTCCCCTCACCCCGGAACCTCCCTCCCCTACAACCACCAAAGGCCCCCAAGACGGCCACGAAAAGCAATGTTTTGACTTTTTACCACCCCGAGCTGGCCGAAAAGTCCAAGTACCGGTCCGGGAGTTACTTCTCTTCAAACGTCTCGACAGGTCACTGGTTGGACTACAGCAATGCCACCCCGACAACCCACGCCAAGACAAAGCAGAGAGAGCGGGCTCAGAGCTTGGCAGGCATCAAGCCGTCTAGCACCGAACTCGAAATGTCCGAGATGGAGGCACTCTTCCGGGGGGCTTTCTCCACATTTGCACCCTGCCAGGACGACTCGGGCGCCATTGTCCCGTCCGGCCAGGTTGGCCGCATCTGGTGGCAGCGCGTCGGCCGGCGAAACTTCACGAAACTCGCCGAGGCAGAAGAGCCGGAAGAGGAGACGGAGGACGGCGCGGCTGCGGACTCTGCAGTTGCCATAGAAATCGACGAGGACCGCGTCAAGGACGCCATTGAGAACTGGGATGAAACCGCGGTCGACCCGAACCTGGATTATGCCCTGGGCAAGAAATCCGACGAGGAGAAGGAGGTGGACGATCTGCTTGAGGAGGTCTCTGATCTGATCGAGACGCTTGCGTCCTACCAACGCAACCGAAACCTTACGCTACCAACTAGCCAAGACCGTTACTCGGCCGATCCGGTCAATGCGGATATGCTCCGTAACGGCAGCCTCTCACACCAGCCAAGCGAAGAGGAAATGACGACGTACGAGGCGTTGAAGGCCCAGCTGTCGCTGATCATACAAAACCTGCCCCCGTACGCAGTGGCCCGCCTCAACTCCGATAAGCTTGCGGAGCTAGCCGTGAGCACCAAGATTGAGATTCGCTCGGACGAGTATCGCGGGGTCATGGAGGATGACGAGCCCGCTCGGCTGGCCCGCTTGGCTGCACAGGCCGCAGCCACGTCAAACCAGCGCCAAGGTCAGAGAGCACCGAGCGTTTCCGGGCCATACGCCAATCACCAGTACCAGTCGCAATTCACGCCGTCGGTCCGTCCCGTCGGCACTGCGCAACACTTCCCGCAGACCCCCGTCCGCCCGCAGGGGCAGAACATGTACCCGCGGGCGCCCTCCAGTGTTCCGATTCCGCAACCCCACCAACAAGTGCAGCCCCGGCCCGCGCCCGGAACACAGTTCAGACCGATGTATGCACCGCAGCTGGCCAAGGCTCAGGGCCCATACGGCCATTCCAATATACCGCATCAATTTGCTGGGACCCCATCGCAGCAGCCACGGATGCAACAACAACAGCACGCCAACTATAACATGGGGCAAGCCAACACTCCTAACCATCGATTTCCCCAGGCCTACCCCGCCGGCTACCAACAACACCAGCAACACCAACAGCACCAACAACACCAACAACAACACCAACAAATCCAGCCACACCCCCAGCATGGTCAGCCTTCCCCACTGCCACAACATCCTCCGCACCAGCCACCCATGGCTCACGCCCAGCAACAACCCTACTCGCCGTACACGAACGGGGGGCAGATGCCAAGGACGATAACGCCACAAGTTCAACAGGCCCACCAATACAGCCAGTCGCCGACGCCACCCCAACAGCATCAACAGATGGCCCGTCCTCCTTACGGGAGTCCAGGGCCGGGAATGCCGCCGAACGCAGTCCCTCGCCAGTATCCGGCCGGCTCACCCGGTCCGGGCATGATGCAAGGTGGCGGTGGAGGGGGAGGAGGCGGGAATAGACCGCCCTCCAATCTCACGGGCTTCGCTACGGTCATGCCCGAAGTGCAACAGCGACAGGTCATGGAACAGGCCCGCGCCCGCGCCGACGCGGAACAACGGGCCAGCGGCCACATGGGCAAGGTCACGCAGGGCGAGGTCGTCGGCCTCGCGGGCATTGGGCTGGCGGGTCACATGGACGTCCACAAGGTCGCCGCGGCCAAGATGCAGATGGGCAACCATAACAATAACGGCAACGGCAACAACGGCCACAGCGTATCGCCCAGTCCCAAGGTCGCGGCCATGCAGGGCGGGATGAACGGCGGCGGTGTTCCTGCTGCGGGCGGTGCGCCGCCGTCAGCGACGGATAGTCCCCGACCGATCCAGGCTGCCCCGGTGTCGGCGGCGGCGAGTCCCGCGCCGTAGGAAAAGTGGGAGTCGGTCTGCACCCCTACGTGATCGGTGTGTGAAAGTTACTGAAGGATGCCTACCTAGTGAGTGAGGCCTTCTAGAGTAGGGTTGAGAGGGCGGGGGTTATGGTTGGCTGTACCAAAACGGAGAGACAATACCACCTACAGATCACTTCTTTTCGGGTCTGTCTTTTTAGACGGGGGAAAGTCAAGTCGGTTGGACGAGGGCGGAAAGCAAGGCAAGACAAGTGTGTGGACGATCTGGATGATCTAATGGATGGGATATGCGCGGTGCGGTGGGCGGGGGGACGGGACCAACTGGAGTTTGTGTGTGAGCGGCTTTGGTCTTTTGCCTTAGTTGGCTTTATTTTTTTGCTTGATTGCTTGATTGCTTGGTTGCTCGAACCTGATACTTCCTCGGACGTGCCGTACCTACTGGGATCAAAAAAGACGCGGATCGAGGGTTAAGGGTCGGGAATCTTCATCAATTGTGATTTTATTTTCTTGTATTTTAATTCTTGTGGTGGCTGGGTTCAGTGGTAGGCTCCGGTACTCCCTGAGAGCCTAAAACGCGTTTTGCCGTTCCTCTTTTTTTGCAAGTTATCCTTTGGTGGCTTCGCTCTGATGGCTTCGTTTTGATTGTGTTGAGAAAAGCAAGGTGATAGATTCCTGGATGGTGTCTGCTCGGGGTGATGAGGTGCTGAGCTTGTGGCCTCGGCTCTCGAGAGTGTGCGGTGTGGTGTTCATCTGTAATGTAAGGGGCTAAAAATGAAGGTGGTAGGCCGAGCTTGGATAATAAATAAAGTAATAGCGTTGATTTTATACTTGGCGGTAGTTAACTACGTGCTGTGTTTTGAAGTGACATCCTAGATATTATTCTGTGTCTCCCGTTTCGCGAAAAGTTGACGGTTCAAGGTTGAGTGAGGGTTGGCGCCTCGCATAGGCGTGGAGGAATTGCACTTTCTAGGCAACACGACAGCGTTGAAAGCGGAGAGCAGTTCCATTTGTTTCTCATACACATGTAATTCCACCAGCAACGCCGGCGCAGTAACTCTGAGTTGGGTATCATTATTTCTCTACCTGGCATCCCGCCAGCCATCCTGTCCAAGACACGCTCCGCTCACTTCGAGGCAGCCTCCCCGGTCTTCCCATCCTTCCGCATATCCGCCCTCAGCGCGCGCAGCTCGGTGAGGAGGTCCTCCTGGAACACTTCATACCGCTCCATGTACAGGCGACGCAGCTCAAAGGCGACCTCGATGGCGATGAGGATGATGATGATCCACTCGAGGCGGGTGCTGTGGGCCTCGCTCGACATCTTCTCGCTGATGTCGAGCACGCCCTGGGCGACGCCGACGACCTCCTGGGCGTACGTCATCTTGTCGTTGAGCGTCTTGATGCGCACGCCGACGTCGAGCGCCTTGCCGATCTTGGCGTAGTACGTCTCCAGCTTCTCCTCCGTGTCCCAGAAAATGTCCGGTAGCGCGTCCGTCAGGTCGTTGTAGTGGTTCAGCTGGCTGCGCAGGTTCAGCAGCTCGCCGGCTTTTTGGAGGATCATGCCCCGTGACAGGGGCGTGTGTATGCCCTGAGAGAGCTGCTCGGGGATGTGCCGCGTGCTCTCGAGGTAGCGGGTGAGCGAGCTCTCGAGCACGGCGAGTTTGGTGCTGCGGGCCAGGCCGGAGGAGAAAGCGATCTTGGCCAGGGTAGTCTCTAATCGGTCGCCGGCTTCCACCTCGCGACGGGTGCCGAGCACGACCACGTCTCCGGTCACGCCGCTTTGGTCCTGCTCTGGATCGACCAGAAACTCGAGGTCCTCCTCCTCCTTGCTCTCGATGAAAGGGGTCTCCGCGGCTGGGAGGAGGTGCCTGGTGGCTAGCGTGTTAACGACGTCCGGCGGCAGCCCCCACGTCACCACAGTGCCGGAGGGGAACACGAAGATGTCTCCAGTGTTAAATCCACGAGCGTGGACGACTTCGTGGGACTCAAATCCGTTGCCATCCGGGTCGAGCGAGAAACCGTGATTTTTCAATATGTCCTCCACCCTGTCCATGTCGAACGACTCGGCTACGCACACGGCGCTAATGGTGGCGCTGCCCTCGGACCCGGTTTGGGGTTCGGCGGCGGACGGAGGGGGCTTCGCGGGCACACCCTTCTGGGCGACAATGGCCACACGGTGGAGCGAGTTCTTTAACGGGGGCTTTCGCTTCTTGTGGGCCGAGAGGTTCGTGTTATTGCTGCTGTTGCTGCCGTTGTTGCTGTTGTTCTCGGCGCCTTTCTTGCCGGCCGTGGGGCGGACAGACGGCTCTTTGCCATCCTGCTGTAGGAGAACATTGGAGGTGAAGAAGTTTCGGCGGCGCGGAATCCAGGCGGCGGGTGTGGGGTGGAAGTGTCGGTGGCTAGAGAGGTGTCGAGATGGCGTTGGAGAGAAGATGGTGGGGTTGGCACTCCGCGCAACTGACCCTAGATTTGGCAGTAAGGGCCTCATGACGGCGCCATTGAAAGGGAATTGGTCTCGGTAGTCGATCGGTGAACCCGGCGTCGTTCGGTCGGGCAATGCTTGGTTAGAGTTTTGTAGTGGAATTCATTGTCGGGTTATACAGGATGGGAAAAAAGAGTCTGGGTGCGGATAGGTGGGGAGAGATATTCCCGGCAGGCAGTGCGTCACTGGGGGTCCCAGCTTGATGTTTGATACGACCTCGAATGTAATTTACGTTACTTATTACATTAATACCGAGATGCATTTCAATCCCGGTTCTTGTCTTGAAGCTCGCCCAAGCTCCACATCACCGACTCCAACTTCGATGAACGGACAAGTGGCAGCGGTTGAACTGGCCGCCCGCTTCGCTGTCTCCTCCTCTCCCGACGCCCGCTTCAAATTTTAACCTCGACTTCCACCATGGAGGACATTCGCGTCGAGGACTACCTAGACGACAAGCTACAGTCGACGACCGACTTCGAGGACTTGGACACGTTGCTCAGCAGCGTCGAGTACCAGCGCAGCCAGCTGCAGTCCCAGCTCGATGATGCCAGCCGAGAACTAGACGAGGCCCGCAAGTCCTCGGAAGATCGCAGCGCCGCCCTCGTGGCTCAGATCGACGAGTTCCAGACCCTCCAGACGAGCATCGATGTCCGCCTCCAGATCATCGCCGAGTCCGACGCCCCCGATGAGGCCATCCGCCGCCTCGAGCCGCCTATGAAGCAGCTCCACAAGGTTGACCTCGCATACCGATATCTGTTGCTGCTGCAGGACGTGGAGAGTTTGCGCCAGGCTGCTCGGTCGCATCTTCCGCAGGATCCCAAAGCTGCGCTAGAGCCCTACACGAGGTTAAAACAGCTATCGATCCGGTTGAAGGAGCTCCAGCACCAGGCCGATGGGGCCGCCGTGCACTTGGTGACCCATGTCGACTCTGTGACAGACAAGCTGTGGGATGAGATGAAGAAGACCATGTGGGATGAGCTCGAGTCGGTGCTGGCCAAACGCGGGTGGCCGAACGTGGACCCCGACTCGGAGGTGGACGAGGACTGGCTCCAGTGCTTTGAGAAGCTCGTCGACCTGCAAGTGCCGGAGGTGCTGTACTCGCCCAGCACCGTCAGCCTGCTGCCCGTGGAGGTGATGGCGCAGATATTCATCAAGGAGTTCCGCTTCCATTTCCTCGGCGACAAGCCGACCAGCAGTCCGCAGGTTATCACGGCCCACTGTTTTCCATGGTTCCTAGCTTTGATCGAGAAGTGGGAGGACTTCCTGAGGGACAATTTTGGCTCAGCCCTGGCCGCCAAGTTTGGCGACACCAACGTTGCACACAAGATAGTGTACATGGACCCTGTCTGTGCCTTCATAACCTCCATGCTGCCTGTCATGAGAGAGAAGATTGCCGTTACCATCTCCGAGACGTCTGGGGATACCGTATTTCTGAGTAGCCTCCTCTCTCAACTAATGACCTTTGACGAGAGGCTCAGCTCTGGGTTTGCCTACGACGGTGGCGATTCCGAGGAAGAATGGGGCGGGTTGACATCAGAAGTACTCAGCCAGCATTTCAGGACATGGCTAGAGGCGGAAAAGAAGTTTGCTCTGGAGCGTTACCAGACCATCATGACGGCACCAGACGCAAGGAATATCGACTACGACTTCGCTGCCACCGGAAAGACCAAACCCACATTTGCCGCCGTCCGAGTCACCGATCTCCTTCGGTCCGTCACGACCCAGTATGAGCGCGTCAAGCGCTTCTCTCATAAGCTGCGCTTCCTCATCGACATTCAACTCACTATCCTGGATGAGTACCACGACCAGCTCAGGGGCACGCTCGAGGCGTACCTCAGCATTACCTCAACAGTAGGTAGGGCGTTTGGTGTGACCAAGGAACAGCTGGCCGCTCTCGAAGGCACGGGTGCCCTTGAGACGCTATGCAAAGTGTACGGCAGTGCCGACCAGATTGTCAACACCCTCAGGGACTGGAGTAATGAAGAGGTGAGCATTGTGCTGTCTTAACGACCCCGTACACTCTCTGACTTGACTAGATCTTCGTCACATTGTGGGAGCAGCTCCAGGCACGGGTCAAGGTCACCGAGGACCAAACCAACCTCGCCGGCGGCATGAGTTATGACCACGTCAGGGACAAAACGTCAGCGGCCGTTGGTAAGGAAAACGGCGACGGTGGAGTCCTCTTCGACGAGACCATCGCTGCCTACAGCCAAAGACGGAAGCGGGCCGAGGAGTTCCTCTCAGAGGCCCTCGTCGAGACGCACCGCAAGGCATTTAAAGCCTATCTTCACCGTCCCCAGTGGAGCACCATTGCGGACGATGCTTCGGTCGATCTAGCCGTCACGGCGGAGCTAGACGAACCTTTGAGGGTAAATCTCCCCTTTGCCTCCAACGGTACCCCGACTGACCAAAGACAGATCCTGAAACGCGACCTGGACTTCCTCCAGCGCGCCCTCGGAACAGCCGCCTTCCGCCGCGTCTGGCGCGAAGCGCTCGAGAACCTCAACAACACGCTATGGGGCGAGGTCCTGATGAGTCACAAATTCACCGCATCGGGGGCAGCCCAGTTCAGTCGCGATCTGCACGCCATCTCGGCCCTCGTCGAGCGGTTCATCCCCGACGGCTCTAGCTCCCTCGGTAGTGTTAGTGACGCTCTTCGGCTGCTAAACCTCCCAATGGAGGCCCCGGAAGGGGGTATGTCACTCAAACGGGCGACAGACATGGTGTTTACGGATAACACAGAGGCGAAGAAGGTTTTGGACGAGCTGGAAGTCGACTCGTTGACCTCGGCCAACGCAAGACAAATATTGCAGCGCAGGATAGAGACCGCGGAATAAGCGCTGTGTATGTAAACCAAAAATACCTATATACAAGCACCGGAACGCTCCAAATGGTATCATCTGCGCCCATCTCATCTGGCTCTCAGACATGTCCCCTGCTTCGTCTCGCAGCACCCGTTGAGGGCGCTGGCCATTCTGACCGTTGAGAAGCTCGTCCCTCACCTCTTGCCGGTGTCAGCACGTTCCCAACTCAACCCCGGGCCTCACGGCTGGCTCCATGATGATTGTTGCAACTCCTCCGTAGAGATGCCCCTCTCAGTTAATCGCCCGCATCGTCATCTCCACCACGGCGAACGTCCCCGCACTAACAGGCATGGCCCTCAACAGCGTGGGTCCAATCCCCTTCCAGAACCCCCTCAAACCCTCCGCCCGGAACGTCTGCGCAAAGCAGTCCCGCATCGTCTTGTACCGCTGCTCGGCACCAAACCCATCCGTCTGCATCTTGCTCTTGACCACATCAAACGGATAACTCCCCAACCACAGCGCCTCGCCCGCCAACCCCCCATAGAACGCCACCTTCCAGCTCGCAATCTCCTTCCGCTGCACCTTATTCCTCGCCGCATCCGAGTTCATCAACCACTCAAACGCCAAGAACCACACCCCATACGCCTGCGCCTCGCGCAACAGCGTGACCGCCTCCCCGCGATACAACCCCTTCGCCACACCACCCCCACCCCCGGGCGCCGCACTGCACAGCTTCCGCACGCAGTCCCACGGCCCGGCATACAACCTCCCCGCACCGTGCGGCTGCGTCTGCAGGCGGATGCGCACGTGCTCGATGGGGCCCGACAGGAAGCTATTCGCCAGCCCCGCGAACGCGCCCGCGGCGTAGTACTCGCCGTACCCCAGCGGGACACCCCGTGCGGAGGAGGCAGGCTTGCGCTGCTCGAGCCAGCGGCGCGCCGCGTGGAAGGCGCCGAACTGGATGGAGACGCAGGCGCCGATGCCGAGGAGCGGGGTCAGGGTGCCCTTGTAGAAGGCCAGCGCCCCTTCGTGGCGGTAGATGGAGGTTGCGGCGGAGAGGGCGGTCGGGTAGGCTTGGGAGGTTTGCAGGCGGACTTTTACTATGTCGAAGGGTTGGCCTGGTTTGACGCTGTTAGTTTTTGTTTTGTGGGAGGGAATGGTGGGGGGTGGAAGATGGGGGTAGAGGCGAGGAGCAAGGGGAGAGGGACGCACCGATCAGCACCTGGGCGATGCCGCCTGCTGCGCCAGAGAATAGGTCTTTGGCTGTCTGCAGGCCGGAGGACGGGCCCGCGGCGTCGTGGGCTTCCACGTCGGCGGCAGGGTCGGCCATTTTTGGTTGTGTCGTCGCTGGCGAGTTGGTGGGCGGGAGTTGTCGCTCTTCAGAGAGTCGGGGTGGACTTGAGAAAGAACAGACAGAGCCTGGGAGCGATTCAATTGGAAACTTCCAAGCCCAGTTCGTCGGTGCAGTGCCCGTATCGTACACAGTACACAGTTCAAGTTGTGTCAACCTTTTAAAAGTGAGTGAGTGTTGTCTCCCGCGCGGGCCGGTGCCGGCTATCGGAGGGTCTTGCCTCTCCTCCGAATAATCGCGGATAGGCGGGGTGTGGAACCCTGCAGACCAGGGTGTGACTGGGTACCTGAGTGGTTCTGGAACGCCAGGTCGATGGCGTGCGAGATCAAAGCGGGGAGCCCCTGTTCGTCAAGAATCGTGGTGCATCGAGGTGGAGAACGATGTTATTCTTAAACTCTGCTACCTACATAAACTGATAGAATGGGGAGAGACTGGGAAGCTTATGGCAAATGGTTCCCCGCATTCGTACCGGCAAGTACTTTGTTTAGGTATTACTAAACCACATGTCATCGACAGATCGATTACGTATTCTGTAGTTAGCAGGTTCGCGGTTACATTCAATCATCTAAAGTCTCCGTTGATTACGGCCAGCTATTTATCTCTTCAATATCTTGGCTAGGAGAGGTAAGACCCAGGTCTTGCAAAGTGGCAGCAGTATCACGTTATGTACATCCGTTAAAGAACCAGCCACTCTTACCTTCAAGATCCATTATTATACACATTGCCATTTGTAGGCAGCCTCGGAGCATTGTTAGCGTTTAGTCAAGCTTCAATGTTTTATTATTACCTTTATAATATCTCCACTACAAATTACCTGTCTCCTTTACTACATACCCCCTCGACTTTTCCTTTGTTTTACTAAAGTGTGTCCTGCCTGCCTAGCCGGTCTCGCCCACAAAGCAAGGCTGCCGACAAGGCATTTTCTACCGCTGGCCCTGCGCCACCATGTCAAGCCAACCAACAGATTCTTAATGGCCTTGACCACCCGCGGTTTCGGCAGCGCTCTTCAACCCCGCAACTAACCTCGCAATGCCTCCAAAGCGAAAAGCAAACTTTTCGTCGCCGAGTGCCAGCAAGTCGAAGAGGGACTCAAGGGTTTCAACGCCAGTGTCTTCGGCACAGAAGACTACAAGTGATAAATCCAAAGACCGAGATGAAACGGCCAAAGGGCCCGGCGAGCTGAGCAGGCTGGCCGCCAACAATGCTCAGAGATTTGACCTTACCGATTTCCCGTACACTCTGCCGCCAGGCATCACCGATATAGCATCGGCATACTTCCAGCCCGCGCAGAAGCGAGATTTCACCGATCTTGCCCTGAAGGCCAACCATCAGAACTTGCCTCTATGGATTGATGGGTCGGGGAAGATTACTCTCGAGAACTTCCACGAGAAAGCGCGTCGTGTACAGGAGTTTCTGATAGCCGTCGCCGAACCGACCTCGCGACCTAGATTCATGCATGAGTACAAACTCACCATCCACAGCCTTTACGCCGCAGTCTCCGCTGGGTTAACGACGAAGGACATCGTCACCACACTTGAACGCTTCTCCAAGAACGGCTTGCCTCCTAATATCGCCGAGTTCATCACGGAATGCGGTAAGAGCTATGGGAAGGTCAAACTGGTGTTGAGGAATACCAAGTATTTCCTAGAAACCACCGACGGGGCCTTGCTTCAGCAGCTACTCAAAGACCCCGAGATCAGTCTCTGCCGAGTCGAGGGCGCAGAAGCAACCCGTACCAGCGCTCCTACCATTGCGGGCCTTGCCATTCCCGGGACCAAGGAGGCCGCAGGGATGCGCGAGGCTGAGGGACTGAATCACGGGGTAGTTAGGCGGCGACGATCTGGGCACAGCGGTATGGCGGAAGATATATACGCGTTATTGAATGAAGACGACGACGATGCGGATGAGCACGACATCACCCACGCGATTGAAATCAAAGATGACAAAGTCAGCGCAGTTGCCGCACGATGTTTGGCACTGCACTATCCTGCACTCGAGGAGTACGATTTCAGGCACGACAACGTCAATCCCGATCTCGAGATCGACCTGAAACCGGCAACACAGATCCGGCAATATCAAGAACAGTGTCTTAGCAAAATGTTCGGCAACGGCCGGGCAAAAAGCGGCATTATCGTGTTGCCTTGTGGCGCCGGCAAGACCTTGGTTGGAATTACAGCAGCCTGTACGATCAAAAAAGGTATTGTTGTTCTAGCCACGGGCAGCATGTCGGCGATCCAATGGCGCGATGAATTCATCAAGTGGACAAACATCAAACCGAGCAGCATTTCAATCTTCTCCTCGGATCAAAAGTCTACATTTGCCGGGACCACTGGAGTTATCGTGACAACCTACTCGATGGTGACAAACACCCGGAACCGTGCTCGCGATGCGGCCAGCATGATGGAATTCCTTGGAAGCCGGGAATGGGGCCTTGTAATTCTTGACGAAGTACACGTCGTGCCTGCGCAAACTTTTAGACGAGTTGTTGGTTCCATCAAGGGACATTCGAAGCTCGGCCTGACAGCCACCCTTCTCCGCGAGGATAGGAAAGTTGATGATCTCAACTGCCTGATTGGGCCCAAGCTGTACGAAGCGAATTGGATGGAACTATCTCAACAAGGCCACATCGCTAGAGTCCAGTGTGCTGAGGTCTGGTGCCCTATGCCGGCTGACTTTTACGACCAATATCTGACTACCAGCCCCCGAAACCGGCCTCTGTTTTGCGCCATGAACCCAAGGAAATTCCAAGCTTGTCAGTATCTGATCAAGTACCACGAGAACCGGGGCGATAAGATCATCGTCTTTTCAGACAACGTCTACGCCCTCGAAATATATGCCAAGAAGCTGATGAAGCCGTTTCTGTACGGTGGCACCAGCATATCCGAGCGCCAGGAGATCCTCGACTACTTCCGCAACTCACCAGCCTGTAGTACCCTCTTCCTGTCTAAGATCGGTGACACATCGCTTGACCTCCCCGAAGCAACGGTCCTGATCCAGGTGTCAGCGCAATACGGTTCCCGTCGCCAGGAAGCCCAGCGTCTCGGCCGGGTGCTGCGGGCCAAGCGCCGCCACGAGGACGGTTTCAACGCCTTCTTCTACTCCCTCGTGTCGAAGGATACCGTGGAGATGGTGTATTCGGCCAAGCGGCAAGTCTTCTTGGTGGACCAAGGCTACGCCTTCAGGGTCATTACGCGGCTCAAGAATATCGAGAACACGCCCGGCCTTGCCTTCGCGACTCCCGAGGCGGAACACGACCTACTGCAGAAGGTGCTGGCGGAGTCGGAAAGTAGCGCCTGGAAGAAAGAGGAGGAGAAGGAAGCTGCCGGGTTGCTTGCGGATGGCAACATGTTTTATGGTCGTGGCGGGAGGGCGGCGCGAAAGAGAGGCTTTCGTGGTCACTGGTCCCGGCCGGGCCTATGACACTGTCAAGTTCTCTCGAAAGTCCTCGAGGGCATGCCTTGATTTGCTTCACTCCTTAGCTCGTAGGGGACATGAAAAAGCGGTATAGGCGGTGTATTCCTTTCCCCAAGGCAATGCCGCTGTATTGAAGGTTTGCGGTTGGTTCAATGGATTGAAGGAGACCCTCTACTTCTTTTCCACCCCTGCCCGTTTTTGATTACGCGGGGCTTTCAGTTTCTTGTCTGCCTTCCCTCAGGTAGGTAGTTGCGCCTCTCCTCGCGTCCCCCGGGACCCTGTTGTGCCGCGCCGCAGACGGGCTGCGACACGGTTGCGGCGGGTTGCCTGGGCCTACATCCGAGGCCACGGTATCAAGCTCTAGGCGCCCGTCTTGGCGGTCATATTGAGTATCCAGGCAAGCTGAATTCACACTCTTGTTTCCCTAGGTAGTTTCACTCTCCGAGTCCGAGGCCCGAAGGGTTTCAACTTCGAGGAGGTTTTGTACAGGAGAGCATGTGGAACTAGGTGCCTACCTATCTCACCCTGATTATTGATGGGAGATAAACAAGTATCGAGTGGTTACCTACCTGGGCAGGTACTATAAAAGGATAGTCAGTTCCCAGACATGGTAATGTTTTCGACACTATTACCAACTTCAATAGACCAAGAGAATTCCCTCTCTCCATGTTCCTATTCTGCGGCCGCATATCAAGGTCCAACACAATGAGCTCCAGAAACCCCCCACCGAGAAACCCCCCGGCCAGAAATCCCCCCTCGAGAAACCCCCCCGCCAGCAATCCCCCTGCCAGAAATCCTTCCGCCAGAGATACTCCCGCCAGAGATACTCCCGCCAGAAATCCCACCGCCGGAAATAGCAATACCAGGAATGCCAGTCGGTCGCCTCTGTTTGGCGTTGAGATCGAGGTTTACGTCAAAATCAAACCCGAGTTCGAGGCTGCAGTCAGAGAAAGGCAGCGAACGAACCCGAGCTCCCTACCAGAGTATTGGCGAGACTGGGATTCTGACCTGCCGAACGACAGCGGAGATATTAGAGCAGGAGCAAAGCAGCTGCAACGGGTTAATAAAGCTATTAACGCAATCATCGAGAACGTCTTGGGCCCGGGCAATGGATGGCACTGCGATGGGGACGACAGCCTGAAAGAAAAGCGGCTTCGAGTGCCCCCTGAGCCGAGAAAGTGGTGTACGTATAGGGTTATAACCTATAACTCATTCCTTAATACTCTCAACATACCTATCTAGGTACCAAGTACTAATATCACTATAGGGGGGGTCGAGATCGTCTCGCCGCCCATGTCGGCATCCAAGCAGTGGCAACTGGAGATCGAGATGGTTTTCGAAGACATTGGCAAGAGGTTTGACTTCTGGACTGACACCTTCTGTTCTTGCCACGTACACGTATCGCCCGGCCCGACCAAGGGAACCCCTTATACGCTAGATCAGCTCGTCAGGGTAGCAAAGGGGGCCTTCTTCTGGGAGAGCGCGCTGGAAGACCTCATCTCGAACGATCGTCATCACAATGAATTTTGCAAGCCAAACTACACAATCTTCGCAACCGACGAGTACCATGCAGTCCCCGAGCGTGGCTGGGGCCCGGTATTTGCAAAAATCGAAGGAGCTGCTACTACCCCGGGGGCTGAGGAAGAAGATTTTCTCATCGATATGCAAGGCCCATGGAATCGCCCGACACGCTACCTCTCGAGCAGCTTCTGGCCAACTGATCAGATAGGTACAGTCGAGTTCCGCCGCCAGGCTGGGACCGCCTCGGCCGCGACCACCATCCATCGTATTCTTCTCGCTCTTACACTCCATATCAGCGCTCTACGCTACGATTTCGATGGGGCCAGCAACCGGGTGGATTTCCCACGCGGACCAGAGCTAATCAAGGAGCTTGCCGGCTGCATCAAAAGGCTCCCCGAAACATGCCACGGTTCTCGATTCGTCAACTTCCTGAAATGGTCCCTCGAATCCTACGCCGGCAGCAGGATCTACACAGAGGCCCAGATCAACCTCAGGGAGGAAGCCTTGCGCAAGGGAACCCCCCCACCCCATCAAGTCTCCCAAATCTCCCAAGCCGAGCAACCCCCTCAAGACCAAGGACGCCAGGCATCGTCGTCGTCGACACCGACGCGGGCGCCCAGCGCCAGAGACACCGCCCCTCCCTCACGTCAGGGAAGACCGACCGCGCGGGACCCCGCCGGCAGAGAGCGGGGGGAGCCTTCCAACGCCGCGCCGGGACGCCAGGGAACAGCCGCCCCCTCCACGCGGGCGAGCCGGGACGCCCGGGACGCCGCGCCCCAGAGAGGAGCAGGCGGCCAGGGGCCACCAAGAGCCCCCGCGCCCTCAGGTGGCCGAGGAGGAGGAGGAGCAGCAGGCGGCGGTGCACGAGGGGCCGGCGGAGGACGGGCCGGCGGCGGCCAACAACAACAACAACAGCAGCAGCCGTCAACCTCAGCCTCCGCAGCACGCAGCCCCCCAATCACCACAACCGGGGGCCGAAGCGGCGGCGGCGGCGGCCCCCCCGCCCGGGGCGGCACCACACGTCTTACCGAACGGCCTGCGGCGGCGTCGTCGTCGTCGCCCCGGACTGCGGGTGGTAATAGCGGTGGCGGCAATAGCAACAGTGCTGCTGCTGCTGCTGCTGCGGCTGTGGGCCGGCGCGAGGCGGAATCTGCGGGTTGGCCGCTTGCGCGGAGGAGGAGGGCGGAGGGTGGGGGTGGGGGGTCTACGAATCCCTACTAGGTAGTTGGGTATAGAGTCGCTTGTAGTGGGGAGCGGGGACGGGGGGGGAGCATGTTGGGGCGTACGGCGTTTGTATCGAGGGGGTGCGGGTCGGTGGTGCGTGGTATTGGGTGTCTGGCTCCGGGTTTGTTTGGCCTTCCTTTTTTTTTGGTACTTCTTTACAGCACAATAAAGTTGACGACGCCAGTGTTGTGACCGTCCCAAGAACGGGGACAAAGCTTTGGCAGTCCCGCCACTAAATAGAACGTTAGCGAGTGTGATGAGCAAGAGGGATGCATCGTCGATCAGCCTGTTCTTGGGACCAGTCAAAGTTGACCTGCTTTATTCTTGGGAGGCCGACTTGAAGAATTCTCCTCCCAAATATGTTACTGTGGCCTTGACGATACTAACCCAGATCAACAAGACACTACGTTTCGACTCTCGTCTGCGAGCTAGGACATGAACCGCCTCAGAGGCGACCAACAAATGCCCACAACCCGACCTCCCGACCCCCATACCTCCCCTACACCCGCGTCACATAGCTCCTCTTCTCCCCCGCGGCCTGCACCTGCGCGTGCGCCTCAATCTGGATAGCCTCCTTCAGCTTGCCCACGACCTCAGGCTGGCCACCAAACGCCCGCTCCAGCATCTCATCCAGCTCCCTCTCCAGCTTGCCCACATTCTTCCCGCCCAGCTTACTCCCACCCGCCGCCCCGGCCCCAACTCCAACCCCAACCCCGCGCGCCTCGTTCAACACCCCCGCCCACCGCCTCGTGAACCCAACAATACTCTGCCGGAGCAACCCATCCAGCTGCTCGCTCGCATCATCGACCGGCGCCGCCCCGGCGGCGGCACCCCCCATCCTCGGCGTCGCACCGATAGCAGGCGTCCCCGCGACAGGGGTGCTCGTCCCACTCCGCGACGACGACCAGAGCGACGAGCCGGGGATGTAGGTGCTGAGGGTGCCGAAGCTGCTGAGCAGGCCGCCGAGCAGGTTCTGCGGGCGGAGGGTGTCCCAGATCTGGGTGAAGGCCTGGCCGCCGCCGCCGCTGCGGACGTCGCCGATCTCGAGGGTGACGAGCTCGTTCTTGAGGATGAGCAGGTTCTTGATCATGAAGAGGTCCGGGTCCGTGGCGGCGGCACCGGCACCGGCGGCGGGTTTGGGGGGGTTGGATTTGAGGCGGCCCTCGGCGCGCTGCAGGGAGGCGATGGATTCTTTGATGATCTTGAAGATTACCGGGCTGTCGCGTTGCTGGGAGCGGGTTAGGTTTGAGTGGTGTAGCATGATGATGGCGGTTACGTCTCTGACTTACACATCGCTCTTTCGGCATTGATTGGTCAAACATGACGAGGAGCTCCAAGGCGCGCTTGATGGGAGGGAAGGCGTTGGATGCCATGTCGCCGTTACTAACTAGCCCGATCTTGAGGGCTTCCGGCGGGACAACGGCTCTAGATATTGACTTGACGATTTCAGCTTCAAAGAAGGCATCGGTGAAGGCCCAGAGGTGTTCGGCGAGCAGCCGGGCTGCCAGCTCCCGGCAGCGTCCCACAAATGGCGTCTCATCTTCGTCGTACTCGGGAAGCAGATATTCGTTGGTGATCCATCCGACGAGGTTGCAGACTGTTTGCAAGTCGCTAGACTGAAGGACCGACTGCAGATTTGTGGAGATGGGTGTGATATTGGCCCCGGTTAGCACGGTGCGTTGAGATTTCAGGACCGCGAACGCAGACTGCGCGTCTGTCGAGTAGTGCGCGTCTATCGAAAATATGCTTCGGAATAGTGCGGCTTCGGAATCGGAGCGCTCGAAACACTGCTTCACGAAGTTCCTCGATGCTGTGTCTATTGACTCTTTTGCTTCTGCCCGGAAGACATCAAGATCATGCTGAACGATGGGTTTCAGATCCCGCTCCCTGGCGGCCCAGTAAGAGTGAAACAAGTTGTTCGCGGTATTGGCGTAGATGTCGGCGTTGAGGGCTGACGATGGCTGACCGTCCTGCTCGTAGGCGCTCTGAACCACAGCTTGGACGTTCGGGACCAGCGAGTACGACTCGAGCACCATCTCCTCGAAACGGCCGTACGCAAGAGCGTGGCGGGCCGACTCAGACTGGGTTGCCGCGACTTGCTTGGATATCTCGGCTGATACCTTGTTTAGATGATTAACGAAGGCCACCTCGAGCAAGTGCAGCGCCTTTGTTAGCAAAGCTTGGTACCGCGCGAGATAAGACTCGGCGTCCCGGTATGAATTCTATAGCACGTTAGTCCGGCTCCCATCCTAGCACGTCGGCAAAAACAACTGACATTCCTCGTCATAAACTCTACGCAAGAGTCCAGGGTAGACAGAATCTCGGCGAAACTGCCCCCCTCAACTAGCCGTCCTGCTCCGGGCGCATTGAGGCGGCGGGTAGCCAAGTCGATGTAGGTGTAGTACTGAAGGTCTGTGCCGACGTCCTCAGCTAGCGTTTCGAGACGTTTCTTTTCTGTCAGGAGGCCGTCACATTGGGCCTGGAAAGAGCTCGTCTGGTCGTCGACGGCGCGGAACGACTGGCAGAGTGACTCGAGGACCTTTAGCGCCGTGTCTGCGTCCGCGATGAGGGTGCCGAGGTGGCGCTCTGTCATGGCGAGTTCGTCATGGTAGAGCCTTGGGTCTTGTTAGCAGAAGGGACAAGATGGGTGGGTGTTGGGTAACTGGGTTGTCACGAACAAGTATTCCTGCTGGCTTGCCCGCAGCAGCTCCTTTCCTAGCGCATCGTCGTGTCCCTCCTCTTCCTCTGGCAGTCCCGCTGTCGCAGATTCTGGAACGGCTAATGCCTCCCAGCTGTGGCCGTCCCGCCTCTTCTTCCGCCTCTTCTTAGGCGCATGGCTGGATAGCTGGGCCTTCACAATATCGTAGAAATCCGAGTAGGATTTGGCCCTTCGGGACAAGGTCGGCTCTGGTGGTGAATTGGCATCTTCCCGGTCTTCGAAGAGGGCAGGTAGGGGTTCTGTTGTGTCGGCATCGCCTGTGGTGTCCTATTTTGTGTAAAACACGATGTCAGTGCCCAATCGGCCACGCAGCGCATTATTTTAGCATGGAAATTGGGGGAAGTCAACCCACATTCGGCCGCTGCAACAGCGATTGCTTGCGTCGATGGCCAGTACTCTGAGTTCCTGAAGCTGGTTGGCGCTGTTGAAATTCCGGTACAAAGCTGTACCAGGAGTCTTCGTACATTTTCAGGGCGTCTGGCGGACTGGACAAACAACACTCCCAATCTGCAATCTACAGCCGTAGCCGTGGGAGAGTCGCAAGGTCCGGGCCATTGAACAGGAGGGACGGAGCTTGGCCGTTGCTCCGTGGGGCCTGAATCCGGGGTTGGCGCACGGGCCATAATTAGCAAGAGCTCAGATCAGATGCTTCCCGCAGAACCCTGAACTGTGAAAGCTCTTATTACAGTGTGTAGAGCTGCTGTGAGATAAGAGAGAAGCTTTGGTTTACCTCATCCCCGCACTCACTCTTCCTCAATTAACGTCAACCTTGGGATTGAGAAACCCTCGGCAGAATCCGATATACAATCAAACAATGAAAAGGGCATAAGCAAGCATCCGCAGATGCACATGATGGCTTCACCTCTCTTATCCCGGGCTGCTGCTCTCCGGCGGCCGTCGTCTTTCCGTACAATTACTGCAGGTCCATCACAATGGATCCGCCACGCCAGCTCATCCGGGCCAACGCCACGTTCTGGTGCTCGCGTTTTTGGTCTATTGACCGTCATGGCCGCATCTGGTGCCGGTGCCCTTTGGGCGTACCCGTATTTCGTTACCCAGCCCAAGCCAGCCGGCCCCAAACCGCTGGAGAAGGCTGAGATCGTCTACGAGAAGCCCCGGAAGAAGGCCGCGTCCAAGGAGGAGAGCCGCGATATTGTGAGCTCACAGCATCTGCAAGTCAAGAAGAGCTGGGAGCATCCCGGCGTCTACGCTTGGGGGTCGAATGCCGGGAAGGTGGTTGCGCCTGATTCGGACGAGGCCGTCATCAAAACACCCCGACGAATCCCCTACTTTGACGGTCAAATCCTCCGTGATCTCAAGCTGGATCGCGATTTCGGCGTTGCCGTCAACGAGAAGGGTGACCTATTGCAGTGGGGTGCCGGCTTCTCCAAGGATGCCGTTGCCCCGGCCGTCACCTTGAAGGGCATGAACATCGCAAAGATCGCCATCTCGCGAGACCGCATCATTGCCCTTTCGTCCAATGGGTCCGTTTATTCCATCCCGGTCGCGAAGTCCGACCAGGCGACAGGCGAGAAACAAACCAGCAAGTCATCATGGCTCCCGTTCTGGTCCTCCGAAACAGCCACCAGCTACCGACCGCTCAACCCCGAGAATCTAGGCTGGGGGGAGAAGGTTGTTGACGTCAAGAGTGGGCTGCAGCACTGTCTGTTGCTGACTTCGAAGGGCCGCGTCTTCTCGGCCGCTTCGAGCTCCGAGGAGTTCCCTTCCAAGGGCCAACTCGGTGTGCCCGGCTTGACATGGCAGACACGGCCATCCGGCCGCCCGTATGACCAGCCGCACGAGGTGAAGTCCCTAAGCGGTTCCAACATCAAGTCCATTGCCACAGGCGCCTTCCACTCGCTGGCTCTTGACGATAAGGGGAGAGTGTTTTCGTTTGGAGACAACACCACGGGCCAGCTCGGGCGTGAGACGCCGATCGGAGCTGCTGTCGACACACCGTCGCCGCTTCCCATCAGCCAGCTCTACAGCGGCACCAACATGCTGGCCAAGGTCACCGCCATCGCTGCGGGCGGACAGAACAGTTACTTCACCGTAGACGCAACCAAGACCCAGAGCCACACGCCGAGCGAAGCTGGCCGGACCGTCGCCGACACGTGGGCCTGTGGCGCAGGCATCCACGGCGGGCTAGGCACCGGGAAGTGGACGCACATCTCGGCGACGCCGACCAAGATCAAGTCGCTGTCCAGCCTGTACGAGTACGACGAGGGGGCGAACCGCATCACGCCGATCCGGCTGGCGCAGCTGGCCGTCGGCAGCACGCACGCGTGCGCCATCCTCGACAACCTGACGCGGCTGACGGCGTCGCGCGCCTCGCCGTCCGAGACCGACACCAACTTCGGCGCCGACGTCCTCTGGTGGGGCGGCAACGAGCACTACCAGCTGGGCACCGGCAAGCGCAACAACGCCAACGTGCCCGTCTACATCGGCCCGCTCGACGGCGGCCAGGCCGATGCCCAGGTCGGCAGGAAGGGCGAGGACCACCGCTTCCAGATCACGCCCCGGACCAAGGTGCGGCTGGGCGAGGATGGGAAGGGCAGGATGGCGAGTGTGGAGCAGAGGGTGGAGTGCGGTCGCTCTGTCACGGCCGTTTACTCGGCGGCCTGACCGACCCTGTAACGATAACTACCGGGGGTGTGTTGAAAATTCTGGACGGAATTCGCGACGGCGGGCGGGATGGCGCATGGCCTGTTTGACTGTAACATATTGACGACTCTTCTTTGGCCTGTATCACCTTTGTACAATATTCGGGGAAGGATACGGACATACTCCTTAGTTTTTCCGTTTGTGGTATGGACTTCGTTCCCCATCGGTTCGAAATGCCGGAAATGAGGTGCCCCATTTGGAATCTTGGACCCAGAGGCCTGGTTCACGACCCTTGTCGCTTGTCGCTTGGCTAAGCTTGGGCTCCAACCCGGGATCCAACCAGCTGGGCGGGTTGAGGATATTTTGGGATTGCCACGAGCGCCACGCGGCTGCAGCAACGACTTCACTCCAAGGAGGCCGCTGACACAGCTCATCTCGTCGCCCACGGGCCAGCTGCCAACTATGATTCGACCATCTCTCTCACTCAACCACCATTCTCCGCCCAGCTTTCGGGGTGTTTGACGGCGTTTAGTTTTGCTAGGACGGGTAACTAAGAGCATGGGGAAGCGGCGCTGTTGGTCGGGTCAATGGGGATGCAGGTGGTGGAGGAAAATGATGAGCCTGACATGGAGGAAAGGATGGAACTGCGGTTCAACCTGCTTCAGGGGGATGCCGAAGGGAGTGAACTCGGGGAATATCATGGCACCCCACGACCGGGAGGTTTCCTTTGGGGGGACGATCTCCCACTATGTGTGGTTTTGGTCATGGTGTCAAAGATAGGTGAGGCGACCAAGTTCACTCCTCCATCGGAAACAATGCGCCTAAAATTACAACACTCGAGGGCTTGTAAGGTTATACTTATACAGAATAGTCCTATCTTGCCCCGAAACTCCGAGGCGTTCGGGCTAATAAACCTCTGTACCTTACATACAAGTCGGACTCGGCGGTGAACAATGAGCATCGAGGTGGGTCTGCTGTGCCACTTCAGGAATTGCACCTGCCATGCGCCAGCAGGGGGGATGGAGATTCGGCCCCATTCCAGCGGGTGCACCGTCCCGACGGGAGGCCCTGCAACCACTTTATGGCCGCTCACATGGACCTTTTAACCTTCTCAACCCTTGCCCAGCTGGTCCCTTGATCCATCGATGGATGACGCCCCTGCCACGAGACCCTCGAACGAGCCTTGCACTCCTTGGTCTCGATTCCAGTCGAAAAACCTTTTGAAAACGCGCCCAAAATCCCCCGATTAAGCGAACGCAATTCTTCCTCCGAACCCGAGTCTGCCGATCCCATCATACAATAAGATCGACGCTCCGCATTTCCGTGCATCTGCATTCCGCACGTGCCCCTCAACCATTCTCCCGGCTTCGGCTACTTTCAGATCAGCGTTCCCATGTTTGGTGGTCAGTGACGCATAACACATCACATTACACAACTCCATACTGTGTAGACCGACCGCATAATCTGTACTTTTGCCCCTCGCCGCACCGCCGCCCTCAAGTACTTAAACTTTCCTTCGAAGCGAAGCTGAATCGCCCAAGCCACCGCGCCCTTACCACTCCTCTCTCACAACTGCAACTCGTCTCCCCGCAACGGATTACGTCGACACTCGAACGGCATCGGGTTCAAGATCGCGGGATGGCACATCTTCCCCGGTTCCACCGGCGCAAAAAGGATGTTGCCGCACCAACCTTGATCACCAACGACCTCCCCGGCAAGACGACGCCACCGCCGGGCGATCTGCCGCCTGGATCCCCGAGGCGCTCATTTCAGAAACTCAGCCCTTTTCGCGTGTTCCAGCGCTCGTCCGGCAAGCGAGCCCGGGATTCGCCGCCGGCCTCGCTTCCGCACTCCCCGGCCGCCGCGCCAGTACCCGCCGGGGATTGCGCCGATGGCCGCCCGGTCTCGCCCATGTCGCTGAAGACGGACCCCGCCAGCGACGAGGGGCAGAAGCCGGCTAAACCGCCAAAGATGCCCGCATTCCTGGACCAGACCCAGGAAGGTGAGTCCTTTCCGACACATCCGCGTATGTTATCGCTCGGCTAACGTTGTGAAACCCAGAAATCGAAAACAAATTCTCCGAACTCGTTTGGCGCGAGCGCAACCGGCTTATGCAGTCCATCACCAACCCGTCGCCCGACTTCCGCTGGGCGCGTGTATCGGGGCCCCATCTCAAGATTCTCGATCGATACCTCAACATCCAGCCGTGGCAGAACAACCGGGTCAAGCTGCAGGTCCCCGAGGGGCACGTGGACTACATCAATGCGTCGCCCATCGTCCTGCCCCCGTCCCCGTATCCTACATCCGATGACCGCGCCGGCGCGGACCGAGAGCCGGACCGATACATCGCCATGCAGGGGCCGAAGCAGACGTCAACAGACCACGTGTGGCGGATGGTGGTGGAACAGCTCGAGAGCCCCGGCGTGATCGTCATGCTGACCGAGACGCACGAGGGCCACTTGGAGAAGTGCTACCCTTACTTCCCGCGCAGCCAAGACGACCCCCCGATCGAGATCAACGAGCACGACGAGTTCGGCGACGGGTTCCGGGCGACAGTGCGGTGCGAGGGCATGGAAGAGACCCCAGCCGGCGACGCGATCGAGCTACGCAAGCTCGTCATCCGCGTCCACTCGCAGCCGCAACGCCACACCCGCCCTTCAACAGAAGCGGAGCCCACCAACCCCCCAACCACCGACGACGACGATCCCGACATCAAGATGGAATCCGCCTCCTCACCACCCACCCCCTCCCCACCTCCCGAGAACGAGAACAACAACGACCCCGAACCCGAAACCCAACCCCCCCAAGAACAAGAACAAGAAGAAGACCAACCAGAACCAACCGCCACCTCATACTACGAAAAGACCATCTACCACTTCCTGTACAAGAAGTGGCCCGACTTCGGCGTGCCTTCGCTCGCCGACCTGCACTCCTTCTTCACGCTGATGCGCCTCTCGCGCGAGCGCAACCGCTCCCCGGCCAGCCCCCGCGTCGTCCACTGCAGCGCCGGCGTCGGCCGCTCCGGCACCTTCGTCGCGCTCGAGCACCTCATGCGCGAGCTGGACGCGGGCGTGCTCGAGAATTATGACGAGCGCGCGGCCGAGGCGGGCGCTGTGGTGTTGGCGCCGTCTTTTGTGGAGGGGTCTGGTGGTGGTGGTGGTGGTGGTGGTGGTGGTGGTGGTGCTGGGGGGGATGATGGGGAGGATGGGAGTGGGGGGAGGAGGAGCCAGAGCCGGAGTGGGAGCCGCGCGGGGAGCGGCTCCAATAGCCCCGTGCTGAGGCTGCAGGGGCAGGGGGAGGATCTCATCTTTGAGACGGTCAACCAGCTACGCGAGCAGCGCAGGACCATGGTGCAGGCGGAGGCGCAGTATGTGTTTATCCACCGGGTCCTGCGGCAGCTGTGGTTGGAGAAGTATGGGTCGGAGGTCGGGGGTGGTGGTGGTGCTGAGGAGGCAGAGGGGGCCGAGGAGGAGGGTGCTGAGGAGGGACGTCGTGGGGATGGTGGGGAGCCGGCCGCGAAGAGGTTGGAGTTTGATCCCTTTGTGGACTGAGGCTGAGGTTTGGGCTGGGGCCGGGCCAGACCCAGTCGGTCGGCTGGGCCGCCGTATTCTTTCTTCGTTCCTCTTTTTTTTTTTGCTTCTCTGGACGGGGGGGTTAATACATTCATAGAGGTTGCGCAGGACGGCATTCATTGACAAAGGTCTCCGTCGTTTTGGCATCGCTGGAGGAGCAAGTGGTCGGGGGTGCATACAGGTCTAGGGGCATAGATGGAGCTTTGGGGTGGCATTCCTTTCTATCTCGTCTTTATCGGGGGCTCATCATAGCATATAGCATTGGCGGCGCATCAACTCGCTGCGGCGGGAGGACTGGGTTGGAGGCAAGAGTGGCAAGCAATACATTAGGAGGTGGTCACTATCACTACTGCTTTCCGATATTGCCCAATATTTTCGTCGTTGCTTCTGGAGAACCGAGGTTGCGGTTTCAGATACATAGCTAGTCTATATCTACCTCGGTGCCTCCCATCTCAAGTTCCCTGAAAGGCTACACCAATCCATAGCGTCTTTCCTAGGTGCCTTTGACGGCTTTTGCCTTTCCTTCCGGCATGATCCGGCGGCTTGTCTCTCAGCTGCTGTGCTTTCCAGTTTTGCCTCGGTCATCTTCGGTTCGACACAACACTCGGCAACCACGGCTGCAAGTTTCTGTCGTTGACCTGCAGGTAAGATGGGACAGTTTTGTGCCGAACAATTTCCGTCCTCGGTGTTCGTCTTTGGCGACAACCTTCCTTTTTCGTTCAGCAACAGAGCCAACGAAGCCGGACCGGGAGTTTTCTTGGCGGGAACTTTTGAGGCCCTTCCCGGAAAGCTTGACAGGGCATCACACGTGGGAGATCTTCGTCAGACCAAGGCGCCACGCGGGAATGCGGACCCTCCCACCCAGTGGCTTGCAGCAACCCCATGCCATCACAGACGGCCGGGTTGCACGGAAGGAAGATCGTCCATGGAGAAGAGGAGGACATCGGGTCGAATTTCCGTCTTGTCGTGTGTGCTTCCTTGCTGCGTCTGCATCTTTGCTGTGGTCGTCACACCACCCGTTTGCCTTCTCGAGTATCATCCATGCCGGGGAGCTCACGCAACCGAATCACATGTATGTGCGTCGCAAAGGACCGGGCCACCAAGTCTTTCGGAAACGCTTCGCTTCAAGAACCTCGGGCGAAGCCATATCCGGGTTCCGAAGCAGTATGCTGACAGAGTGACGGGTAATTGACAGGTGGCTACTTATCCAAGGAGACACATCCCATGGTTTTGGCCGCACCGACCTGACCAGGCGCACCGTTTTGCCCTCCCAGATATCAGGGTAAGATATGTAGTTGCCGCCGATGGTTAATTATAGCTCAGACGGTCGCACAAGAACGTGGGCACGGCTCGTGCGCATCCGTGTCACCTCGCGACCCCAGATTTTCCCTGGATAAAATCGACCTCCATCTTTTTCTCCGGTAAAGAACACGACACTCCCAACCTCATCCTGCCGTGTCTGCTTTTGGGATGGGAGAACTGAATTCAGCGCAGCGCTCGCCGATACCGGCATGACCCCCATGCTTTGCATGTTCGCTTCAGAAGTGCTCGGCCTGCAGAAAGGGGGCCATGTAACGGTGGAACGGGCCGGCAAAGCAGGACAAGACGAGACGAGATGAGACGAGGAAAAACCAGACGGAAGAAACATCACGCTGCTGCCGACTGCTGCTCCTGCTGCACTCCCGGCGGGGACAGAAGAAAGTGGGGGACGTGCGGCCGGTAGTGGGAAGAAGGGTGTCGGGCCGCCGCCGGCTAAAATTGTTGTTTCGGGGGGTTTGGGGTTCGGTTCGCTTGTGCAGAAGGACGCACCGTTTGACGTTGACGTCGTAGTACTAGTCTTGACAATGTCTCGCCGACCGTCTTGACGATGTAACATGTAACGGTGTCGAAGTGGACTCGTTGCGCAGGATGAGGTAAGAGGTACTGTATGGAGGTAACCTCGAGACAAGACACGGCAGTGCTCTTGAACAGAAGGCAGAGAGCGTTTGCTACCTTTGGTCGTCCCGGGTCATGGCTTTACCACTTGCCTGTCGTGGCCTCCGAAAAGACAAACATGAAACCGCTGTTGACCGACGGGAAGTCCGGTAAAGTGGGCAGAACGAGGCAATTTCGAGGATTGGTCTGGGCTTTGAAGGGTTTGGAACAAGGGTCTCGAAAGTAGGAGGATGGGGCGCTCGTGGGGCCGCTGACTGCGAGAAGCAGGCAGCCAGGACGCTGCGGTTAATAATCAGGTACATCAGTGGAAGAAGAGACACGTTCACAGTGTGTGCAGTGGGACTAAAGTGGAAGTGACTGTATCAGAGGAAAGTTAACGTCAATGGTGCTGACTGGCTCGCGTCACAACCGAAGTGCGCAATTCCGTCCAGGTTACGGAGTAAAGAGTCGCATATTCCGAGGGTACATATTCCGAGGGTAAACTCGCTCTGCCTGCCCGTTAGTGCCCGTGTCCAACGCCGGTTTGGTTCGGCACCCCGAGTGGAAACCCAACGGTCGGTCATGGCCGGAATTAGGTAGCAAAAGGAGTTCGGTGAAGGTTGAAGGGGTGGAGACGGATCCATGACAATCCAGTGGTGCCCGATTCGCTGCCAGGCATCATGAGGCAGGTACTCGCCAAGATCGTCCCCAACTCGGCGGGATGAATGATACAAGTGGGGCAGAGACAGTTGAATTTCCACGTGGGGACCCGGCGGCCATGGCACGGCCTGGTGGACGGAGCGACGGGCTAAGAGCAGGCTAAGAGCAAGCTAAGGGAGAGACCAGGAGATGAAGGGTCTCACCCGGCATGGGTGCAGACTTGCCCGGAGCTCGCGTCGCTTTCCGAGTTGCGACAACGGTGCGAAGAAGATGCGCAGTTAACGGTCGCGAGACTGTACCGGATCCTGCATTAGCCACTCACTATCCGTTACACAATAAAGCAATCAGATGCGGCGGGATGCGCTGCTGCAAGGAGATGATCGCGGACCGAAAGTGACGTGATTTGAGCTGCATTAAGAGGGACGGCGCGGGGTGCATCCGGCCGAGGGGTTGGCCAAATGCGGAGTTAAACACACCCTCGAAGCTTACTCTCGGCCCGCTGTCAAATCGCCAATGCATCGCGGAAGAGGGCAGCAGAACACAAGCCAAACACTTCAACCGCCACACCAGCCAACACCACCCCGATTGCCCAACCACCCTGCCACAAACAACGCTGCCTAACTACCTGCCTCCCTTCTACATAGTTAGTTCTGACATTCCATCCATACAGTCGGAGGACAGCCAGGCGCAGTTAGACCGAACAGGGAGCGACGACGGGGTGGACGAAATGGCCCGATTCCTTCACGGACAGTCCTGCTCCCAAACGGCAGCTCTCAAGGGTTACAGTTCCGTCTCAAAACCCCTTGCCCCACTGCAACGCCGGCTTCCTGTCCCCAAGTTGCGCAACGGCCGGATGGGCCGGGGTGGCCAGATTAGGCAAAGCACTGACTAGCGTTGGAACCCACCGGTGCTTCTGGTCCTTCTGGAAGAATTCTTAAAAAGGTCCCGATCAGCCCTGCATCTTTTGCTTCGCTTCTCGAGATCTGGTCCCTCCGGTCCATCTGGCTGTCCACCGCGGCTTTCCCCCGACCTGCTGCTGCATTCACGAATTCGCCACAACCTGAATCAGCACGGCGGTGCCCGCTCCCCTCACAGTCAGATAGATTTCCGCCCGGGCCGTTTGCGGGCTACGAAGTACTTCAGCGCATTGCGTCGCGTGCCGGCCACAGAACGCGGGGTCTTTTCGTCGGTTAGCACAGACGCTGCAGCACCTATTGCCATGGCTTGCGATAACTCGTTCCGAGGTTGACGAATCCTCGCCCGAACTCTCGCCCGAATCCCGACATCCACGTGCGGCGCGGCTCTTCAGCGCGCCTCTTTCATCGCTAGGTAACCAAAACCGGGAGACCGGCGTCTCAGATTCCCTCTGCCTAGTCGACGACGACTTGGGCGCGCAGCAACGGGACGACCCCGGCACCCCCTGATGATCGCAGCGCAAATAACGGTTTCTTACCCTCGGGACGACCGAGGCACGACGACAACGATCGTTTGTTTGCTTCTTCGAACGGTCCTCTCATCTCGGAACCGCCGTGTGCTCGCTCAATAGCGCACGCACATGCCACCAAACGCCCTCGCGGCTTCCCCCATTCCGGTCCGAACCCTCCCAAACCGAACGACCCCCTGTTTGCAGCTGTCGCTGTTGATACACGGCACAGTCAACCTTTCGCCTTCTTTATTTACAACCCATTGACGGTCGCCAATTGTGGGAGGATAATGAGGAGTCGATAAGAGACACCGCGATCATGACGTCGATTGTGAGTTGCCCCTCCTCCTTGTGCCCCCCAACCCCCCCTTCACGCCTTCCAGACACGGGAACAGGCGACAGCCAAGGGCAGCCGAAGGGAAGCCGCAATCTGCTGTTTGCCCTTGTCGCACTTTCCTAATGTAACCCAATCTCTCACCGCCTCCTCGCTTTTCTTTGCTTGTTTTCGGGAAAGCGCTCTCGATGGGCGCAAGGCTGCCTGTTGTGCACCCCCACGCTTAGCGCAGCTGAGGCCGGCATTGCCCAACGGCCCTGTCATCTGGGCTCCGACACTCCCAAACACTTCCACGTGCTGCCGTCCCGGCACACTGGACAACCCCGGCCAGACTGGCATTCCACCAGGTCGCGACCGGCCTATGTACATGCTTCGCCCCTTCTTCCCGTCCTTCCCGGATATTTCGTCTCGTTTGCGACGATGACACATTTTATTTTCCCCTCCTCACAAACAGAGCACATACCTACCCGACCGGACGAAACACGGCCGACCAATATGCTAATCTGCCCATTTCAGCTCTGTTTAGCCCACTACTGTGACCTTCATGGGCCAACGCCCTTGATGGTCACCGAGGGCCTTCCTGTTCCTTGCAGTACCTGCTGTGACGAGGGGTTACTCGGCAATGGTACGACGAGGATTGAAAAGCCTCGCCCACGAGCGCCAACCACGGGCGCATCTACACACGCAGCCAACATCACAGAAGCCCTCCGGCGCATCAACTTGAACGAACCGCAAAGAAGCTCATCTGTTCCTGCTACGGAACATGAGGCGCAAGCCCACCGCGCCTCCCTACGGCAAGCAGCCCAGGCAGCCGCTGCGACCACCAGTGGCTCTGCCATCGAAACGCCACCCCAGAGCCCACGTCTTCCTCCAGGCTCCGCCGCTCAGCAGCAGAAGCCACGACAGGACTCGGGCTTCCGCAGGACTTACGATGAATACGTGACACGGCGCGCGGGGCCATGCGACAATTGCGCCCTGACTCTACCGAAGCGGCAAGAGAGCAGCAAGGACACGGGCGCGGGGTCGCGGCCTGACCGGAGCCCTACCTTGAGGACACGAGCGCCATATGCACGAGTGTTTACGGGGCTCGACAACAATATGTCGCCTTCGACATCTCAATCCTCGTCATCAGTCGCGTCCGAGGACGAATCCAACAACCGGCCACGCCCATCGCACCGTCGAACAGGGACTGCCCTCTCAGTAACATCACGTTCGAGCGCTAGCTCCAGCAGCGCCAACGCCAACTCGCACATGCACTTTCTCGACTACACATCAACCCACGAGCCTCTGGCGCCGGCGTCTTTCTCCCTCGTCCGTGCCTCCTGCTTGCGCACGCTGTCGCTCGAGACACTGCCCCGCGCCCCAGCCACAAGCCCTGCTTCAGCGGGAGCCACCATGCCCACCCCAAATCCTGCGCCAAACAGCCCTGCCTATGTCACGACGCATAGCATAGGCTCGGCCGCCTCGGGCGGCTCGATCTTTTTTGGCGACAAGAAGGTCGGTTACACGACCGCTTACATCTTCCGTGTTCCGGACGTCCACGCCCGCGGTCACAAACGTGTCTACGCCTTCCTCGCGCTCAGTACCCACCCAGAGCCCACTGCTGTCAAAACCTTCACCTTCCTCTCAGCCGCCTTTCGGGATATGGCTTCCTGGATACAGGAGCTCGCAGAAGCCGAAGCCGAGCGCGCCCTGGCCGATTCGAGCGCTTCGTCAGGAAGCAGTCCAATCGTTCCCGGTCCAGGGTACGGCAGCTTCGTCTCTGAGCCAACCGTCCCTCCCGTTTCCGGCGGCAGCAGCAGCTTCCTGATGGGTGGCGTGGGCGGCCTGTCGCGGCGGATGGGCAGTGGCTTTGGAGGTTCCAGCGTCGCCCTTAAGCAGCGCGGGCTGGCGGAGCTTGTCGGTCTGCCCGATTTCTTTCTTGAGCTACATGCCAAGTTTGTCAGGCTGTTGTTGGAGATTGGGGTCATGGTTGGTTCATGAGGCATTAGCCAACTGCGAAAACAACACCTGGATCTGTTCACCGGGCTTGCGGCCGTCTCAGGTACGGATTCCGCGCTGCGACCTATTTTGTGGGATTCTAGCTGGAATCGGCCAGAAAACACACCCGGCAACGGCCCTTAGCATCTGAGGAAGTCGAGCCAAGCCAAAGCATCCAAGCCAAAGCATCAAGTTCACATCGTGGCGGCCACGCCGCCACCAAACCGTCAACCGAGCGGCCGACCCGGCCCACAACCTGGCCAACACATGGCGGGTGACGGGTAATGAATTAATGATAGTATCATGCCACGCCGACGCGACAGCCGCTATATGAACTACAATTAAACAAACAATCAAACAAACAACAACAACATCACAACAACAATAACCACCCGCTCATTTTCAACCCCAATCCCCGAAGAACGGGGGCACACAAGCTTCAACACATCACTGAATCTAGAGCGGAATAATAGACGGGGCGGGACGGGTCAGGATAATGGGATACACAACATGGGTCAGGGTATCAAACGGAAGGGAAAGGGGTTTCTTAGGATCGGATTGCGTTGGTTGCATTGGCACGGAGGATATACCCGGTTTTCTTGTTGTTGGAGACTTTGTGGGGATGACGCGAGAATGAAGGGAGGAGAAGGAGGGGTGAGACCCAGGCCAGGCTGGAAACGCCTGTGGACCTGGGCCGTTACTCCTCCGGTGTTTGGGTTTTATTCAGCATGTGTGGTCATGTTTTTTACTGATACCCGGGGAGGTAGGGGTGAGGTGGGAAAGCGGGTTGGGGAAATGGATGGTTTCTCTTGGATCTATCTGGTCGGGAACAAGCGGGCCAGCTACGTTTTTGTACTATTATCACTTCTTGTACGGTCGACGACACACGATGTTAGACCTGTGTGGGGTATGGGAAGATGGATGTTGCATTTAGGATGTTGCATGTAGGATACATAGATGGAAGGTTTGGATGGAGCAGGACTCGAGAGCTGGCATCTTGAATACACGAGCCTTTACAACAACCAAGCATGCCTCCCAAACAATATCCCATGTGCTTCATCTCGGAGCAGAACTGAGTAGACGGCAACCACGTTCGTTCTATGGTAGCTACCGTACCGTGGTTATCGTACATCTCATCGCAGTCCCCCCCACGACTTTTGCCCTCGCTGTGCCCACTCTGCCTCCCTCCACGCGAAACACACATCCAACCACCCACCCAGTTTGCCCCATCGTCTATTTGTAGAAATCAAACTTGTTCTCGTCGCTCGACCCCTTGACCTGGCTGCTGTAGGCGTCCTCGAGGTCGACCTGGATGATGTTGTACCTGTTCTTGCGCACGGCGCGCAGGCCGGCCTCCTGCATGATGGCGGCGATGACGGCGCCGCTGAGGGGGTCGTTGCGGACGATGAGGCTGTCGAGGTCGACCTCGGGCGCGAGGCTCATCTTGCTGGCGATGGTGGTGAAGATGAGGCGGCGCTCGCGGCGGTCGCGCAGGCTGGGGAACTCGATCTTGCGGTCGAGGCGGCCCGGCCGCAGCAGCGCCGGGTCGAGCGTGTCGGCCCGGTTGGTCGCCATGATGACCTTGACGTTGGCCGTCTGGTCGAAGCCGTCCATCTGGTTGAGCAGCTCCAGCAGGATGCGCTGCACCTCGCGGTCCGCGCCCGTTTGCGCGTCGAACCGCTTGGTCGCGATGGCGTCGATCTCGTCGATGAAGATGATGGCCGGTGCGTTCTCGCGCGCCATCCTAAATACGTCGCGCACCATCCGCGGGCCCTCGCCGAGGTATTTCTGTACGAACTCGGACCCGACCACCCGGATGAAGTTGGCCGTCGTCGAGTTGGCCACCGCCTTCACCAGCATGGTCTTGCCGGTTCCGGGGGGCCCGTACAGGAGCACGCCGCGGGGTGGGTCGATGCCGATCTGCTTGTACAGGTCGAAGTGTGTCAGGGGCAGCTCGACGGCTTCGCGGATTTCCTGCTTCTGCATGTCTAGCCCACCGACGTCGGCGTACGTCACGTCGGGCTTCTCGTCGGCGCCGAGCATCGCGATCGAGGAGTCGGCCTCGGGCGGGAGGATGTCTACAAGGGCATTGGAGTGGCGGTGCAGGGCGACTGAGGAGGAGGGCTTGAGCAGTTCACGGTCCAGCGTCGACAGGATACGAACGACATAGTTAGACCCAGTGCTGGACTGGACGATGCCGGTACTGGGGTGCGAATGTCAGCCACTTCGGCTCGGAATGAGGGGTTCCACACCACGACGGAGAACCTACTTCTGATCGATGGCCTCCATAAACTGGCCGATGACGAGCGGTACACTCTGAATGCGCTTGATCTCCTCCTGTGCCCGAACCAGCTCCCGCTTCAAGCTCCTCTGCTCATCCTTGATGTACTCCTCCTGCAGCTGGATGTACTCGAGCTGCCGCTGCAGCCGCTTCAGATTCGCATACTCATCGCCGCCTTCTGTTGAAACGCCCTCAAAGTTCTCGATGCTGGGAATGGTCGAGGGGGTATGCTTCTTCAGCGGCTGAATGCTGTTGGCGGCGTTCTCGACCAGGACGTCGCCCATTTTGACGGTTGCCTCTTTGCTGTTGGGTCTACGATTTATGGGGCGGATTGCAGATTACCGAGGGCCTGGGGGTCGATGCAAAGTTCTCGGGATCGAAGCGTGTGATGCTGTGGACGGACGGTGCCCGCAATCGCAGATTCGCAGATTCGATGGTTGGGGTTGGAAGTTGTTTCGCTGTTCTGTCGTTGCTTTGCCTCCAGGTCGTGGCGCGTGCAGCCCATCAGCGATCTTGGCGTTCGACAGTGGGCTCGTCATCCGCCGGAGCCTGAGGCTGACCCACACCAGTTGGCTCGAGCTTTGGGGGGGTTTGCTGGGTGGGTTTGGTGGCTCGTGGTCAGTGGTTTCCATATCAGGCGAGGACGCAAGTGGTCCGTGCTTTTCCGTCTTAACGGAGATCCACAATCCCCCACCATCATTGATGCCAGTTACTTCAGGCAGCTCCATTACCAGCCCCTCTGACAGAGCATCATTGGTTTCACAGAACCAAATCTTGAATACATGGACAGATACAGGCGTTACGCAATAATCTACATGGTCACCCTGAACATATCTGGTGTCATGACCCTATCGATCTGCAAAGCGCGTGCTCTCGCGGACTCGGAGTCCTGTTGAGCATCAGTACCCGACCCGACAACGCAGAGAACGCCCCCACATACTGTTCCGACCTCACTGGGTACCGACCTCGATGGCCAAGGCCTCTCGAGGGGCCCATCCGATCCCGCTCCCCATCTTAATCGGGACGTCTGCACTGCAATTCGGGGAATGTGCCGTGACTTCACCACTGTGGAGATGCATCTTGCTGTCAATGACAGCCACGCAGCCAAGTAGCCCACCAACTGGCACCCAGTAATTGTTGCAGTTGTTGGGGGTCTCGGACAAAGCCGCGGGGCGGGTGCCATGTGGTGAGTGACTCCCGCCTTGCTGCAGGCGTTGGTTGGTCCAACGGCTGTGTGCCTTGTCGCTCCCTCACCACGACCCCCAGTCCGTCTTAGTCACTCACTCGAGATGGTGCCGGCCGGGGGTGCTGCCTTCCTCTCCACCTTGCCTATCAGTCATTCAAGTAAAGTCCAGCCGGGCCTTTCCATCCATCCCTCCTTCCTTTTCGTTCACGCCTCTTCCCCAGATTGTCGTTACCCGCGGCCAAGTTGTCTCACTCCCCGCCTCCTGCTTTGTCTAACCGTACCGTCGTACTTGATCTTGATCTTGCATTTCTGTCGGTTTGAATTCATGGTCTCTTCCTCCCCTGCCGCTCTGCACGTCCCGCCGGCAGCAGTAGCAGCAGTCCCGACGCACGCACTCGCCCACCGCCACTCAACAACATCTTGAAGTCTTTTTGGCACAAACAACCTCCCCACCACGCCAGCACTCATCGACATGGAGAACACACCTACGTCTATCTCTATCCCTGAGCACCGCCATCGGCCGGGCCAGGCCGAGGCCGGATCCTCACCCTCGTCGTACTCGAGCTCGCCGAGTTCGCCAGAGCCAAAGACGCCGTCTCGGTCGTCGCATAATCAGAAGTCGCTGCATGCCAGACGGCCGAGCCTGCTGAGTTCGTGTGCCCTTTGTGCCATGGAGTATGCCGCCCAACTAACATTCGATCGTCAGGCTCCGCGTTCACGCAGCAGGAATGTACGACCATCAAGATTGCTGACAGCCCCAAGGGGCCCCTGCGACTGGTAAGCTTCCTCCCGGCACCGGCATGATGCTGTGCTGCCTCTCGCGGGCGACACGACCATCGCTCACATTCGTATCACCAGATCACCTACCTCTCTTCCGGTCAGGGCTTCGTCTGGAATCCCGAGATCTTCGTGCCATCGTTCTGCGACTACGACTACGTGCCACTCGAGCAGCGCCGCGACCCGGTGCACGAGATCCACCTGAGCGACGAGGAGATCAGGAAGATGCTGCCTCAATAAACGAAGAACACGGATACCAACAACGCAAAATGGCATGCGTTGATATAGGTGTACAACACGGCACCTACTACACGGGTAGTCACCAGACCAGTTTATAATGCGCGAGCAACTCTGGTTTGGGTTGCCAGAGACAGCAGCGGTGGGAACTTGGTCCGAGGTGATCGTATTTCTAGCAGGGGTCCTATGGTTCAGCATCGCAAGGCGGCCACCACTTTTTGAGGTCTCATTTCGGGACCTCCAGGCGACATCGGGAGTTTGAAACAGTTTGTGGGCAGGGGAAACGGTCCGTCATTTATATCCATGGGGAGTTGTTGGTTTTGGGCATTCTCATCTCGTTTCTTTATGGTGCAGGCTGCCGGCCGGTATTGGGAGCGGCAGCCTCGGCGATCATGTACGGTACTGCGGGCACTTTGCTTTCCTAGGTAGCTTATTGACATTCCGCCTCTGGCTTTTGGGTCAAAAACTCCCCAAGGCACGACTAAGGATTAAGGGACAGCTTCATATGCACAGTTCGTGGCCTGCTACCTACATGCCTTCTACCCCTCCACGGGTCACCCGGAATACGAGCCCGGCATCTTCGTCCATTACCAACGCCGCCAACATACAGCTTTTCCCGGCAATCCGTGCGGTGGCTATCGCCGGCCGAGTACCCGCTGCCCCGTACATTTTCCCGTCTTAACTTTTTATGCCAAAACCTACCACTGCTGGCTGACCCATTCCCAGGGCCCCGCTCCTGTGTCTCGAATAAGGTGGAGGAAACAGCCGTTTTGTAAATGTATCAGAGTGCTTCTTCGTCGTGAAATCGGGGAATTCGGAGGCCAAGAGTCGGGAACGAACCCGCGGGCATACTCTATCCTCGAGACAAGACGTTTTGTCAAGTTAGTATGGCTACCGTCATGACATTTGAGGACTTACAGAGCATGCGTTATCCGATGCATAACCGGTGGAGATATCTCGCGGGTGTAAGTGCAGGAGGTTGCAGCCAGGCTGGAGACCTCCCAGGCAGGCCCGCCCCGCACTGGCAGCCGAACCCCACCACACCCACCAGCTGACCGCTTCGGCCAAGTCCACACCGACTTGCCGATCCTGGACGTGCACGGTCCTTGGTCCGCCGCCCACTGTTATCGATAAGCCGCCCATCGCGGTTCCGGGCTGGCGGGTTGTTTTGTCAACTTTGGCTGCGGGAACGGATCACGGAGTGCAAGAGATGAATTGACAACCTGCAAAGACGTCTAACTAATTACCCAAGGAACGAAGGGCTGGAAGAATAGACACCATTCGAACAGAAACTACACTCTCTAAACACAACACCAAACACCACTGCCAGCCTACCCACCACCACAACCGAAAATCAACAAACCAAGAAGACACAACAAACAACCCCGGAGCTACGCACGACCATGGACGACCCCTCACACCGACCGATCGAGCTGCAGTCGCCCGAGGACCTAACCTACCTAATCGACAACGTGCGCCGCGCCGCAGCCGACAGCATCAACGCGGCGTTCCCGCCCGTAGACAACGGCCTCGACGGGCAGGAAGACGAGCTGCGCAACCGCATCGAACAACTCGTCAACGATGTGCGTACCCCGCCCCCCCCCCCCCCAAACAAACAAGCCCACTAACCCTCGCACCCAACTCAGTACATCCTCAAAACCTTCACCCTCGCGGCCCCCAACCTCACCATCAACGGCCTCCCGCTCCCCAACCCCCCAACCCACCTCCTCACCCCACCCACCCCCTCCTCGCACCCAACCTCCCCGCAAGTCCGGTACGAATACGAGCCCTTCGACGCGCGCAAGCGCGACCGCATCGAGGCGCTGATCTCCGAGGAAGAAGACCTCCTCCGGTCCATCGCGCAGCTGAAGCGGCGGGCCCCAGGCACCGCGGCGGGCCGGTGGGGGGAGGCGACGCGGGCCGGGATAGCGGCGGACGAGGCCGGGCTAGAGGTCGCGGCGGGCCGCGTGGCGGAGGAAGGGGCGGTCAGCGGGCGGAGGGCGCTCGAGGGCATGGCGCCGCTGGAGAGGCAGGAGGGGGTGGAGGGGCGGTTTCGCGAGGCGGTGGAGGGGTTGGGGAGGTTGAAGAGGGATATGCCGGCGGCGGTGGCCAAGATGGAGAGGGCGAGGGTGGCGGCGGGGTATGTGAATGGGGGTGGTGGTGGTAGTGGTGGTGGGAAATAGGAGGGTTGGGTTCGGGATTGGGGTGGGGGGTGGATGGATGGATGGATGGGTGGGACGGGGAAGGGAATGGCGTTTTGGGCGTATACAGGATGAACGAGCGATGTGAATGATGCTTGCTAGAAGCCGAACAAAGCATGCAACGAGTCTATTGTGTATCCATGTGAATGATCAAGATATTACGGAGGGCCCAGGGGTCTACGCGTCCCCAGGTCCGTCCACAGAAACTCTGCAAAGATGCTTACTCCCTTAGCCACTTGTACATATCGGATCGCCGAGGAACTTTATATTCAGGTTGAACTCGGTCCGTTTGCTAACCAACACCCCGGTTCAGCTCAAACGCGCAGTTCCTGCCTAGCTGTCGGCCCCCTACGCGGCAGCCGGAGCAGCAGCATCGGCCTTGGCCGCATCAGTGGCCTCTACAACAGCGGGCGCTGCGGCGCTGGTCCCGGCACCCTCCGTGACCGCCGAGGGCGCCGTCTGGATCGTCGCATCGGCCTTCTTCTCCCACTTGGCGGGTCTAGCCCACTCGGCCTCGCGCCACGGGCCCATGTCGCTGAACTGGCACCCGCCCGCGCACTCGCACGTACCACCGAACTGCTTGGGCAAGTTCTCGGCGGGGACCTGCTTGAGCAGTTCGTCCTTGTAGCTGCTGCCGAACACGTGGATCTTCTGCACAGTGACGGGGTCCAGCCAGCCCTTGACGACGTTCCAGACGGTGCTGAAGCCCCAGGGCGTGTTGATCAGGTACAGGTGGCCGAGGCGCTCCGGGTAGTAGTTCTGGCTGAGGCCGCTCGCCTGCTTGACGTAGCCGAACACCTGCGAAGCCTTGCCGAGGCCCACGCCTTTGAAGTCCATGATGGAGCAGCACGTCTCGAGCAGCGTGCCTGCCTTACGGCTACACGCCGGCAACCGCGGGTCCGACACACGCTCGTACTCGACCGCCAGGTTCGTCAGCATGCGCTCCGCCGTTGTGATCTTGTACATGGCGTTCAGGTCAATGCCGCCGAGCTGCTCGATGTAAACGGGACGGCCGTCCTGTATGGCAAAAGCCGAAAGTCAACGTGAATTCGGCAATCGAGGTGATTAATAAAGGCATACCTTGTCGGTCTTGTGGTAGTACTGCGGGTAGTACTTGAAGATCTCCCCCTTCTCGGGGTAGTCCCAAGTCGGCAGTACCTCGTCGAGGTTTGTCTCTTTCCGCCACGCTTCGCACTCGACGAACCTAGAGTCGGTCAATAATTCCCCCCTCTCGGCTTTGATCCCTTCACCTCTCCAGTGGCTTACATCTTCTTGGAAAGATCAACATCGAACTTCCGGGCGCGCAGGAAGCGCAGCTGGCTCGTTTGTCAGCAGCCATTTCTCCAGGCCTCAAATCTCCCAAGGGTGTCTGTCATACCAGCGTGAGAGTGTCCAGGCGTTCGGTGTAACCCTCAGACTCGAGGGTCAGCCTCAGTTGGTGCACCTGGGCCTGCTGTTGAGCGGTCAGGTAGCCGGGATGCCCATTTTGCGGGCGAGGCGGTGTGGTCGGGAAATCGTAGTTATCGTGCTTGGGATCGAGCTCGAGCTCCGAGGGTGCAGGCGTAGGCGCAGCCATTGTATCTGAGTATTCGCTGAAAGAGGACGACCGACGATGCGAAGTTGCGGTGTTGTTGTTGTTGTTGTGTTGCTGTCTTAGGCTTGATTTCCCCGCTATTTAAATGCAACCAGCGGAGGAGAGTTGCCAATGAGGGGGAAAGATACAGATGGGCGTGGACCGGGTGGATACAGGCAAGGAAACCAGCGGTTTGTGGCAAAGAAAAAGGCCAAAAGCCAGGAGAAGAGAATCGCAGTGTTGATGGGGCCTGAAATAGTTAACTGGGATGGCAAGGGGTCCTGCACCGTTGAATTTTCCTCATGGGTGTCTGGGTGATGGCAACCAGGGCCGAATGTGCGGTCAATCACTCCCCACCCACTAGCGAGCATGCGCCCCGCACAAGGCCAGGCCCCTTCGGGCTCCCCACCAGACTCGCCTGGAGCCCCTGAAAATACGGCAAGACGCGTTGGACGAATCTCGAACAGGCGATAGCAAGTAACTTCCTAACACGGGGTTACACAGGAGATGTCAGATCTGAGGCCGGTCAGCAGTTGGCCCGCCTCGACTTTGGGCTGCCGGGCAGTTTGGAGCATAACACGACGCACAGCGACTGGCTGCAGTCGGGTCTGGGGCACAGCTAGACAGGGCCGCGAGTCTCGAACTCTGCCGCCTTCAGGTCCTCCAACTAGCGAATCTGGGAACACCTCGAGCACACGCACAGCCACCTATGCTCGCTTTTGACATGCACTATGCGGCGCATATCTCTTGTTCCCATCACCATAATGCAAAACAACCATTTGCGTTGTCCTTGATCGGCGTCGAAAAAGTATTCGGGTCCCTTAGATCATCATTGTCCCTGTTCATCTGTAGATCTCCAAGGCCAAATCCCGTTGACAGGAGGGCGCCGCAGGCTCGATAACTCGAAGATCGTTTATTACGAGCATCTCCTTCAGAGGTGCTAGTCTCAGCTTCCGGACGACCCCTCGGCCCCTTTCCCTTTTGCCTTATCCTCGTCTTCCTTATCTTTGCGCTTTTGCACAACGTCCCAGTTGTATACCCTAGCGACCGCCACTTCCATAGTCTGTCGGAAATTAGCAAGCCTCCTAAATATGGCCAAGGCAAGGCTGTGTTACCGTTACTTGCTCCCGTAAAAAGTCCAAATCTTCCTCGCAGTTCGATAAGCTCTGCTTCGCAGCCTGGAGCTTGGAGTCAAGGAGCGTCTCGGCCTCCCCAATCGGGTATGACAACATCACGTTGGCCTTCCATGCGTTAGCACTCAACCGCACACCCCAACCGAGCGGACAGGGTCCCTCCTACCCCGAGCCACAAGTAAACTTCGTCCGTAGGTGGTATCTCAGCCTTTGCGTAGAGGGTATCGTTCAACTCGAAGGTCGTCTCAATCGCATCCGACTCGGGCTGCCGCAGTTGATAGTCAGCACCATCCATAACCGAACTTGTTTCTTCGTCGTACCGTCCTCGACTTCAAGAACCGGACGGTTTCTAACGTCTTCCGGATATCGGGCAGCTTTTCCTTCAGCCCCACCACCCTCCGTTGTAGATTCTGCTCCATAAACTGGTATTTCCTGCATCACGAGCCCACACGTATCAGCCGGAGACCGCCCAGGCCGCAGCGCGTCGAGATCAGCTCACGCAATCATTTCCTGGAACCGCCGCAAGGTCGGCTCGACGTCCGCCCGTGTCGTGACATAGTCCTCGACCTTATCAACAAACGGCGCATACGGGATGCCACGGGGGTTGGAGGGTTGTAGCGTCCCTGTTTGCTCCAGCGGGGTCGGTCAGCAACAACTTCACGAAACTGGGATTATCGGTGGGCGCGAAGCCATCTGGGCAGTCGGTTACCTCGACGTAGCTTCCTGGTCTGTGCTGGCCATCGTGGGCAGATCCCTCACATGTTGCGGGGGAGAAAATTGGACAAGCGGCAGTCAACCCGAGCCAAAACAATGACGTCGAGTGTGGTCAGAATGGCCGTTGTGACCGGAAGCTCACCAAAAATTCATGGCGGGGTTGTTGAGCTCCCGTCGTGTGGGGTAACAGGGGCGCCTTGTGGCAGGCAACCTACACGGCGACGAAAGGTAGCAGCTCACCTTCAAGCTTAAAAAAAGGTGGACCAAAAGATCTCGTACTCTAGGAGTGCAGGAGGACTCGAGTAAAGGAAAACTAGATCGAGTAAAGGAAATCGATGAAAAGAAATCAACAAAAGAAATCGAGCAAATACAAACGACATCCACATTTAAAGTCCAGCGCTTCTCGGCCATATGCACTTCCCATCCCTTCCCATCTACCCTAGCTGAACCGCTTCCTTCTCTACCTGGCATAAAACGAGGAGAGAATATTGGAGACGGGGGTTGGAAATCTCTTGTCGAAGTTCCACGAATCCACGACCCATCACAGATTCGGAGCTTCCTTCTTGTGCCAAGTGTCGAGGCCCCACACCGTCTCATGTGCCACTCGCTCAACGACATCCATCGCATCAACGAAGGGCACAAGACTCATAACTACACAATAGTTTATCATCTCATCTGTCTTGTACGTCGGTTGTTAGGGATGAGGGAGCCTGGAAAGAACGGCGAATATCGCCCGCCGATGCCTTTTGTGGTATTCACTCTCTCACTGAACCATGGTGTCGATGGTGTCTCAGATCGGACATGGTGAGGCGACCAGTCAGTCACTCCCTTGACGTCTCGAGCGGGAACGGGTTGATTGGCCGCCTTGGGCAGTGTGTCACAGCGTCACAGCGTCACAGCACCGTTGTCTCTCGTGTCTCTGGGCACCCAGAACTGCTTCGTACACAAGAGAGATCGTTGCCAATTCATCCCATCTGTGTGCAAAAACGTCGTTCAGATGGAATCTGGAGATGGTGCGAATTGGCCTCTTCGAATAGTTAAACTCGTCATCCAAGACAAGCGGACTGGCCTGTTTTGGCAAGGCGCCGGTGGTTGCGTGGTTGCCTCGCCGCAACCAGACGCACGCCGAGTGGTGGCGATGATGCAGCCGAACCAGGGAGCCCAGCTTACCCCGGCTCCCCGGCCACTACGTAATCACACCTGACCTCCCATTGCTTCCCCTTCACCCTCCGCATCCGCCCCAAGCCGCTTCCCCAACCTCTTCCCGTCAACAACGAAATCCTATCGTTCATCCACCGGTATCACCATCAGCCTCGTTGTTCATCGTCTTTTATCATCACTCACGGCGACGGATTTGTTCGCCGCAATTGCTACAACCCGTCACTCTCCGTTCTTTCTCCGCCAACTCGACTGATTGATTGACCGAACGATCGCCCAAGATGAAGGGTGCTCTCCTCACCGCAGCTGTGCTGCTCGGCTCTGCCCAGGGCGCAGTCCACAAGATGAAGCTGCAAAAGGTCCCTCTCTCGGAACAGCTTGTACGCCTCTCCCCGTCTCCGCTATCCGCTAGAGCCATCGGCCACTGACCCGCGTCGCGTGTAGGAAGCCGTTCCGATCAACACCCAGCTCGAGCAGCTCGGCCAAAAGTACATGGGCGTTCGCCCCCGGCAGTCCCATGCCAGCGCCGTCTTCAACGGCATGGTTGCCGACGTCAAGGGCAACCACCCGGTTCCCATCTCCAACTTCATGAACGCACAGTGTATGTGAACCCGACTGTCGCGTGCTCGCATGTTGATAGATAGCAAACTAACACGCTTAGATTTCTCCGAGATCACAATCGGGAGCCCCCCTCAAACCTTCAAGGTTGTTTTGGATACCGGCAGCTCCAACCTGTGGGTTCCGTCCGTCGAGTGCGGCTCGATCGCATGCTACCTCCACACCAAGTACGACTCATCTGCGTCGTCCACCTATAAGAAGAATGGAACCGACTTCGAGATTCGGTACGGGTCCGGCAGCCTGAGCGGCTTCGTCTCTCAGGACACCATGACCATCGGCGACATCACAGTCAAGGGCCAGGACTTTGCCGAGGCCACTAGCGAACCCGGTCTCGCCTTCGCCTTCGGCCGCTTCGACGGTATCCTGGGTCTCGGCTACGACACAATCTCGGTCAACGGCATCGTCCCGCCCTTCTACAAGATGCTTGAGCAGAAGCTCGTCGACGAGCCCGTATTCGCCTTCTACCTGGCCGACTCCGAGGGCGAGTCCGAGGTCGTCTTTGGCGGAGTCGACAGCGACAAGTACAAGGGCAAGATCACCACCATCCCGCTGAGGCGCAAGGCCTACTGGGAGGTGGACTTCGATGCCATCTCGTACGGCGACGACACTGCGGAGCTTGAGAACACCGGCGTTATCCTTGACACCGGTACTTCTCTGATCGCCCTGCCCACTCAGCTCGCCGAGATGCTCAACGCCCAGATCGGCGCCAAGAAGAACTACGCTGGCCAGTACGCCATCGACTGCAACAAGCGCGACTCCCTCAAGGACGTCACCTTCAATCTGGCCGGCTACAACTTCACCCTCGGCCCCTACGACTACATCCTCGAGGTCAGCGGCAGCTGCATCTCCACCTTCATGGGCATGGACTTCCCGGAGCCGACCGGACCGCTTGCCATCCTCGGTGATGCCTTCCTCCGGAGGTATTACTCCATCTACGACCTCGGCGCCAACGCCGTGGGTTTGGCCGAGGCCAATTGATTAACACGTGAACTGCATGGGCATGATGGGAGTTTGGGACTGGTACTGGGCATGGGACTGTAATCTGTATCTGATTCTACTAGTGTGATTTCCTAAGTACCGGTGAAGGAAGCTTTGCAAGACGACAGGGTTTTATATAGCGAAAGCACCTCCAGACCTTGGCTCCGGCTTACAGTCTTGGTTATTTATGCAACATACGTCCGAAGTCAACATTAATACTGTTCCGAGTTTTTCTGTTTCTTCTTGTCGATGCGCTCTTTGCAACCAACCCTTCCCCGGCCTCGAATTTCTCCCGCCAGTTCCATCTTCTGTTCGCCAAAGTAGCCGTTTGCCTGCCCGATGAACCATGCAAGACTTGCCTTCATTTACGGTAGCACAGATGGACCTAGGAGTCAACCTCACTGGAAAATTAACACCAGATCCCCTTCAGGGCGAATGTCCCCCCTTCTACTTCCCCATCCTCATCGCCACCCCGTAATACGCAATCCACTACACTACACTCCATCTTATCACAAACATTGCCAGCCCAGACTTCAACTACAAGCCCGCCTCTCTCATCTCAACCCAGCCCAACCGCCTTCCACCTTCCTCCCCACCCCCCCAAACTACACAGTATCCACCCCAACCGTGATCTCGCCTCACTTCTTAAACGTCGCCGTCCGCCCCGCCTTCTCATAATTCATCTTCCTCGCCCCCTGCGGCGCATCCCCCGATTTCTTGGCATACGGGTCAAACGCCGCCTTGCCACGCCTGCCGCGCTTCCCGTCACCGTCACCGCTGGCGTTGCCGTGGCCGCCCCTCGGCGCGCGCAGCACCGACGAGGCCGCGCTGTAGTCGAACGGCTGCTCGTCGTCCGCTGGTTGTTGTTGTGGGTCGGTTGATTCGGAGGGGCATGCGTCGTCTGTGAGTGTTTGTTTGGCTTTGGCTTGGGCTTTGGGCTTCTTGGCCTTGCGGGTCTTGCGCTGTTTGGCGGGCTTGGGGTCGGGTTTCTCGGTTTGGGCGTCGGCCTCGCCCTCGCTCTGGGCCTCGGCTTCGGGCTGTTCGGCCTCGTCCGCTGCGGCAGGACTTTGGTCGTCCATCTCGGAATCGGAGGCGGACTCCGCTTTGGGTGGTGACGGCTCGGTGTCCGCGTCGTCGGCTTTGCGCTTCCGTCCGGCCCTGAGGGTGAAGCCTCCCTCTTCGGGGACAGGGGCGGGCTCGGCATCTTGCTTTGCCGCGGGTTTGGGTGGCGGCGCCGTGGTTTTTGGCGGCTCTTGCGTGAGAGCGCCAAGGGGAACTGTGTAGAGTGGGATCATCTCCTGGTTGTCCACCGGGCGGGCCTTGGAAGTCCCGTCCATTGCCGAATTCAGTGCCACGTCCCCCCATAATTGGGAGCGGTCACTCTTCAGCTCCTCGATCCCGAGCGGCTCGGCATCCTCTACTGCGGCGGCTACCGCGGGTTTGTCCGCGAGCGGGGGTTGCACCTTGTCAGAGGATGATTGCCTAAAGAACTGTAGCATCGTGGGGCCATTCGCACCCCGTGCCTTGGCTTCCTTTATGACCTCGAACAGCTCGCCGAGACGAGTCCTGAGCCTCTGGGCATTCGACTCCAGCAGACTCCACAGGGCCTTCGGGTCCGTAGGCACGATGCGGGCTATGTTACTGAGGACTTGTTGTGTCATGATGAAGACGGGACTCTCATCCTCTTGGCGGGCAACATCATCCCGCCACTTGTGCACCGCCTTGTAGACGGCAAACTGCTCGCCGTCGTATACCGTAGACGATTTGGTCAAAACGGCGTGCCAACCCCTGTTACCGGCGCCGGTTTCCGCGTCGCAGACGGAGTGCTCGTACCGCTGTAAAGACACTTCCTTGGATTTTTTAATGACACGGTCGATAGGATTCCCGTCTGAACTGCTTTGGGTGGCGAGTTGGGCGAGTTCGTTCCGCAGCATGTCATAGATGTAGAGCAGGAAATGTGTGTCGGATCGGGCATAGTAAAACATCTCCTCCGGGAGAGGTCTGGGGAACGGGTTAGCTGAGAAATAGCGAAAGGACTAAACCAGGACTTACCTTAATCGCCAATCCGCGAGTTGATACTTCTTATCCGCGTCGAAGTCAACAAACTTCTTCAGCAGAAACGCAAGACTTTTGCCGGAATACTGGAGGACGGTACTGGCGTAGAAAGTATCGAATAACCCCACGACATATAACCCAAGGTCTCGTTGGAGCCAGATAATGTCCATGAATGCGCCGTGGAGAACCTGGGCTAGTTAGCAGCATGTCCCCCTTGGTATTTTCGAATGTCCTTACCTTGACGATCTTTGGGTCAGCAAATACTTCGTTGAGGACCTCGAGCTTGTGTCTCCAGGGTACAAGGGTGTCCACTATCCAATCCTTCTCCCTCGTGCTGATCTGCATCAACGACAAAAGCCCCGTATATGACCTGAAATCGTGGTGTTCCAAATCGATTGCGATCTCGGTTGCCTTCTTCAGTTCCTCCAACATCTCCAAAACGCCCTCGTAGCTGTCGACCCAAACCGCCTTCGTTTCCTCCATGGGGGCGTATTCGATAGGTTCGCGAGATTGGAAAACGTGCTCTGGATATTGCATCTCTGTGATTTCCTGCTTGTACGGATGCTCGTATCTGTGCAAGTTAACACTAATGCACCCCCTGTTTCGAGACCCGGGGAAGAGGCAGGGGCGTTCGACGTACTGAGGACGGCCGTCATCGTTAACGGAGATCGCCATACTCGCGTCCAATGGGGTCTGGGCATGGGGCTTGGTCGTGATCAAAGGCTTCCATGGCCCCGACTCGAAGTTGTCTATCTTCTTCTCGAACGTATTCTGGGGCTTGAGAATGTTGGCGCGCTTCATCGACCAGTCGAGCCCAGTGGTGGTTGGCTTTGACCGTTTAAGGTCCCGTCCCTGTGATGCGTTAGCAGAGGCGACGTGGGTCTCGGGGGTGCGTTTGGGTAATCGTACAGATTCGCCGGTCGGCGCATCTTTCCTCTTTACCAGACCAGTATACTCGTCCAGGCAGGTGTCGGACTTCTCCAGGAGCGAGTCAATCACGTCCAGCACGCCTTTCCACTGGATCTCTACATCATCCACATCTTCCAGTCGAGGCTCCCTCTGCGCGGTGAATTTGGACGACGATTTCAAGACGCCACGGGCCAGATCCAGCAAACGATCTGTGTTCTGGTCGAGGCGAGTCGCGACCGAGGGATGGACAGTCCGCTGGAATTGGAGGTCCTCGTTCGCGAGCGTGTTCACCGAGCGTGTTACCCTGACGAGGGTGGCATGAACGCTGTCGCGGAGAGGTTTGAGGTCCTTCGACGAATCCATTATTCTACCAATGCCGATTCCGTGGTATCTTATTTTGCGAAAGCAATTGGCGAGGCGGGAGCACATGCTCTGCTGCCCAGTTTATCATCGGCAGCCTCGAACCGGTAACTTTTTCAGGCCCGCTTTGTCCTGGTTGCATGGATCCGATAAGATTCCCGCGCTCGTCGCAACCATTGGGCCGGGTCCACCGCGATAAGATAAGCTCGGCGCGTCCCTCACCGAGCCGCCGCTTATAAAGAGTCAGGTGCTGTGTACGGAATACAGCTTCTATAACCTTCTATAACCACTATTACGGCGCCTCATCAGTTAAACAATTTGAATTTATCTCCAACACTAACTACGTCCGTGGTTACTGCATCTTCCGGTGTTTCCCGGACATCCGAATCTAAGAGAAAACCAGTCTGAACAACGTAGAGACACATAATCAGTGGCACTGGCGAGGATCCAACATCCGTCACATTGAGTTGATCAATTGACACTCGGCACCCGACTCGACAATCTCGATATTGCGCCCAAAACCAACCAAGAAGAACTCCTATCCGAGACAAGAATCAGAGAATATGTCGCAATCACTCGCTCCAGAATGCAACGAGGTCAAGGAGTGAGCAAACACATTCCAATGCTATCTTAGTGCGAGTGTTACCCAATAGAAAGAGGCTAATGGAGAGGTGAAGGCGCTATGACACGTGCTTTTTGAAGTGGTATAGCGAGAGTTAGTTCTTCCCAGCTGCCCACTCTTTCTTTTCCGTGTCATTCCCAAGGCACTAATGGCTGCTGTAGAATATCTCCGTGGGGTGGGCACAACGGATAACAACGAATGCGCCGCTTTATTTAAGGAGTACAACTCGTGTTTGAAAGTAAGCGAGCTCATCTTTCCAGAGGAAAACATTCAAAGCCAGGGCAGCATGTGGCAGAGCTGATGACGTTTTACTCGCAGGGGGCGCTTAAAAAGCGTGGGATAGACAAGCTGTTAGACGAAGCACGGGAAGATAACAAGGAAAACGATGCGACACTGATGGGGAAAAAGAAGTGTAAGCCGACCTCGATCTACAAGACCATGACTCGGTACCTGCGGGCTATCAAATCTAACAAGCCTCTTTCTCAGAGTCCAAGGCGACGACACCACCCCACGACCAGTGGTATTTACCTCGCGGCTTTGTATCATTATTGTATAGTATGTAAAGCAGAGCATGCTTCCCCTCCATTACCTCTCTCACCCGCACTTCTTGTCGCTGCGTCTGTTACCTAGAAGTCCTAGTGCAACATTGCTACTGTATTGTATTTTGCGGCACTAGGCTCGTTCTATTCCTTCTCCGCTATAGTTGAAGCCAATAACCTTTTCACTTCTTCCACAAGATTCCCCCTCGGCACGAGCTGCCCCTTATCCTTCTGCGCCGCGTTCTTATCCCCTACGTGGAGGCACTTCACCCGCAGCTGCCCGGCTTCCAGCTCATCCTGCCCTAGCATGACGGCAACGGGCACGCCCTCGGACGCGTTAAATTGTTGCAGCGGCTTGGGCTTGACTTTGGCGGCGAACTCGGCGCGTATACCTGCGGCCCACAGCTGGCGAGCCACGCGCATGCGTTCGAGGAGGAGCCCGTCAAACTCCTTGCCCCCGAACGCCATGATGTACACTTGTGCTTGGCCCGCTAGGTCGGAGGTGCTCTTCTTGTTTCGGCGCGCGTCGAGGATGGTAAAGATCCGGTCTACCCCAAACGATATACCGACGCATGGCAAGGGACGCCGGCCGTACATGCCCACCAGATCGTCGTAACGCCCACCCGCGGCGATACTACCAACCTGGGTGGGCGGGCTGGCGCTGTCCGCGACGACGACGACGACCTCGTAAATCAGGCCCGTGTAGTAGTCAAGGCCCCTCGCGAGCGACAGGTCAAACGAGACCTTGTCGATGACGTCCATGGCCTCGAGATATGACGCGAGCAACTTCATGTCTGTGACACCCTCGATCAAAGTCGCGTTCGCGCTGAGCTCGGCGTCCGATCCAAGACTCTCCAGCATCTCGCGCATGCCGCCGCTGCGCTGCACATAGCCACCCACACGGTCCGCAACCTCCTCCAAGAGGCCCTTATCGAGCAACTCCTTCCTAACCTCATCCCACGGCGCCTTGTCTAGCTTGTCCACAGCGGAGCTTGTCGCGCGTATCTTGTCACCTGGCACACCCGCCACCGCAAACAGGCCATCGAGGATCTTGCGGTGGTTGAGCTTGATGGCCACCCCGATCTTGAAGGCCTCAAAGACCTCGGCAATGATGCACAGTATCTCAGCGTCCGGGATCATGGGGTCATATACACCAGCAATGTCAAAATCGCACTGGTAGAACTCGCGCAGACGGCCGCGGGCGATGGCGGGCTGGTCGCGGCGGTAGACCTTGGCGATCTGGTAGCGCTTGATGTGCTGGACATCGCTGCGCATGGAGAGCCAGCGCGCGAAGGGGACAGTGAGGTCGTAGCGTAGTGAGCACGCCTCGCCGCCCTGGTCCTCGAGGTTGTAGATCAGGCGGGACTCTTCGCCGTATTTCTCGGAGAGTATGCTGCGGAGCTCGAAGACGGGTGTGTCTAGGGCGATGCCGCCATGGCGTTCGAGAACGGTGCTAATCGTTCGGCTGATGGGTTGTTAGAGGATTATAGAAGTAAAGCTATTAGGGGCCATTAGAGAGGGCAACTAACAAGATATCATCTCGCAGGAGCAGATCTCCACCGACCCAATCGCGGGTTCCTTTTGGCGTTTTGAGTGAGCCCTTCGTCGCCATCTTGTCATATGAAGCAAAACAATCAAGGTGGGATGTTTTGGTGACGGGGAGTGACTCAACTCACTCGAAGTGGGAGGATACTTAAACAATCGAAACCAACTGCACACAGCCACAACCCAGACGCTCATTGGCCCTGGACGAGGTCTCTGACCCCAATTGATTGGGAGCGGCTATTTATACTTTAGAAGTACACAAGATTATCTTCCATTTCTATCTGTCTCGCATTTACATTATACGGAATGGTTGACATTCTTTTGTTTATCCTCCATGATCGACTTGGGGCCAGACCTCGGTTGTTAAAATGCTCTATAAAAATGAAATAGGTAACTGCTACGAGGAGCCAGGTACACATCTTTGTATTGGCACATTCACGAGCGAACTGGGATTTAGAAAACAAGCAAGAAGTTGTACAATTCAGGGCATGACCCGGGCCTGTTGTCGGCTGCAGCCTGCAGCTCAAGGAGTTATTTGATAGAGCATCCATGTTACCATGTATAGTAGGAGTATCAAGCCACAGGCGTGTGTGCTCCACACAACGGGCTGCGAATTGAGCGCCATGGCGGGCCCATGGCTTGCTTAACCTGAGCTCCGAGTGTACTGCGTATTGTCGTGGAGATGGCAGGAGAGGCAGTTATCGGAGACTCGGAGCCAACACCTAACCCTGCCGAAGCGAAATGGACCCCACCAGCCCGCCTGCAGCTATCACGCACGGACCAGACTGGCCCCCAGATTTTTCGATCCAGGCGGCTCGTGCACGCCAAGATGACAAGTTCGGGATTTCGAGGTTCTGGACCTTCGACGCCCCTTCCACTTCAAGAACGCGATTCTGTGTACACTGCCCGCCTGCCTTCCCGCCCGCCGCTGCTGAACACAAACCTCGCCGACGCCAAAACGTGGTCCTGCCACTGTCGCCGCGAGTATACCGCTCACAGTCACTCAATTGACCCCCACCTTGGCCCGGAATGCTCAGGCCGTAGCACGAGCGCGATTCTATGCACCCCTTCTCCATCCTGACTCTTGGCATCTTCGTAGCTGGCTACATAACCGCTCGATGGGATCTCGTCACTCGCCTATATGAGCTTGCCATCTTTGCCTGGAACTACGGAGTGGTCGTAAGAAACTTCCCCCACAACCCCCGACCCGAGGCGTCTTTAGCCCTGCTGTGCAACCCGAAACGATCGGCTTCTAACCGACCATCATCTTATCTTTTTCGCAGACTCGCGCCGCCAAGGGATTTGCCGTACTCAGTCTCGTCTTTTTCTTCATATTCCTCCCAGTAGAGCGTCTTGCTACCCGCGAAGGGAATTTGGTACGACCATGCAGCTCTCCGTCCTTTCCCGGCCTCGAGCCCATGCTGACCAGCCGCCCACAGCATCCCCGCTCCACCGGATCCGGCATCTCGGCCAGGGAACAACTACGACGACGGGGGTCTTTCTAGCTGATCGACCGCGTCTCTGCTGTCTGACATGCCAGAGAATGATGGCCTGATGCGCGTGTTCTGGCCGGCCGACCTGCCGCGGTCGGACCATAAGGGCGTAGTGGTGGGGTGGAGGAACTCAGCTCTGGACGTCTTCGTTTTGGCCATTTTGGAGGCGGTTGAGGTGTGTGCCCGTTGATATTATGGGGGGTTTTATATACAACACTCGCAGGATGTGTTCGCTGACGCGCCCCTAGCCCCGGAACGTCGAGTTCGCCCTCAAGATCGGCACCCTCGTCCGCGACGCTGCTCATCCCGTCCATCGCATCTACGAACTGTGCGGCCAATCCTCCATACATGTCCTTGGCCTCTCGAATACACCCGACTCCTCCGATCTCGACTCGTCATGGATACACGTTGCGGTTGGGCCGGGCCGTCGGGTCCCCGCTGTCACATGCCCGCGGGCCTCGAGCATCCAACTCATTCTCTTCGAGAGACCACGCCCTGAGAGGATGCAGTACATTTCGTTAAATCCTATTGCGCTGGCCTTGGACGACAAGCATGACAGTTCCCGACAAGACGTCCCTGACGGAAGCGAGGATGATGACGAGAAAGAAGAGCGAAGGAGGAAGGAGCAAAAGAGGAAGCTGGTCGAGAAGCTGAAGCAGCATTCGATTTCGAAACGAGTTCCCTCGGAAAAAGAACAGGCACTCGCCAAGGTTGTCAACCAGATAAATTGGTCATGGGAACTTGAGCAGCTGCTTCAGAAGAACGTCTCCCGGATTGGCACGCGCCCCAAGAGGAGTCTTAGTGTCTCTGAGAGGGTTGTCGAGTCAGCAACGACGGCGCGGGACATGATGCTAGTCTGGATGTGGAATCTGTTTACCGTTTATGTTTGGCCCATCATCAAACAGCTTTTCGTCATGGGCCTCATGGCTCACCGGGTTGCCGCCGAGGTGCTCTTGCGCATTTTGGAGTGGCGGGCGCAGCCAAGATACGCCGCCCTGAAGGACATCTCGGCTACCGCGCAGCAGGTCGAGATTCGTCTCCAGCAATTCTGCTACTGGCCGATGCAGTACGTCACTCTTCGGCTCAGGAAGAATGATTGGGAGAGCGTCACGACGAGCCACCCAGACTACATTCGTTTCTACAACAGCCTCTGGCTAGTGGCCAACGATGTTATCATCGGCATTGCGCTAGGATCCTACATCATCGACAACTCCGGCTGGGCCGCGGAAGAGATCAGCAAGCTCCTCAGCCAGTACACGGTAGACGCGCTGCAGAGCAGCATCTCATGGCTTATGGGATGGCCTGCTGGGTTGAAGCTGAACAATGAACTGGGAGCATTCCTAGGAGATTTATTTCTATGGGTCATCGAATATTGGTCAAGTAAGCAGTCGCCCGCCCCAAACCTACAGCAGGTCGAATACGGAGTATTCGCTAACACAAAGCCAGGCTGCATTGAAGCACTTCGCCCAATCTTACCGCGCATCATCTGGTTCATAGGCTTCTCGAGCTTCGCCGGGGCCAGTATGCCGATAGCCCTCTTCTCAGACCTTCTCTCAATCCTGACGGTGCACATTTACTCCTTCTATCTCGCCTCGGCCCGGATCTACCACTGGCAGCTGAACATCCTGATCTCGCTGTTCCACCTGTTCAGGGGCAAAAAACACAATGTGCTCAGGAACCGTATCGACTCGTGCGACTACGATCTCGACCAGCTCCTTGTCGGCACCATCCTCTTCACTCTTCTCTTTTTCCTCTTACCGACGGTGGCAGTCTTTTACCTTAATTTCGCCATTGCACGCATGGCCATCATTTCGCTGAAGGCCGTTTTCGATACTATGCTTTCCTGCTTGAATCACTTTCCTCTTTTTGCGCTCATGCTTCGGGTCAAGGATCCCGGGAGGCTCCCAGGTATGTCGATATCCAAACCCACCATTCCGGAACCCTGACTGACCCGACCACAGGCGGTATTCGTTTTGAGCTTCGAGATACCCAAGACTTTAGACGTCCCGTTAATGATTCATCCACGCAACTACCTTCCACATCTGTAATACATTTAAAGGTAAGCCGCTAGCAATACCCATGCCCGGAGGCCAGAACTAACAATAGACAGTCCGTCCCCCTCAAGTTCAAGGCCATGTTTCACCAATACTTCCAAATGGGCCAACGGATCCGCAAGCATTACCTCTCGCCCCGGGTGTTGCTCTGTCTCCTCACGGGCAAGTTTGTCCCGCCGCTGAATCGGAAAAACCTGTACAGCTTACAGTACAGCATGCTCCCTGCGCGGCGGGCGGGAGTCATGGAGATGTGGACTGCAGTCAACTCGCTGCCGGATCCCAAGAAGAGGATGCCGCGGGTGCACGTACCCGTTCTCGCGAACGGGAAGAAGTTTCCTAGTAATTACGGCGGGGGGCGGTCGCGGGGTTATGGGTAGATTTTGTATGATGGTACGAAGTACGACATAATAGAGGGGATGGTATTGGTGATGATATCGGTATGCTCCGCTCGTGAGTTGTTCAAGCGGATTTGATGTGGCCCGGTCCTACCCTATTCCCTATTGGGTGTGTGGCGGTCTTGGAGAAGGGGGCTCGTCTTTCTCTGCACATGCAACCCCTGGCCTAGGTCGGCGGTCGAGACCGCTCCGAGATGCACAACATCCCAGGATGTAGATCACAGGTCTCGGGCAATAGTCCCGAGAGCTTTTCAGAGAAGGAGATGTTAACACTAACAGCGTTGGCTTGTTCCCATCGTGAAGCCCAGCCAGAGCAGACCGTCATTTATCCAACAAGGAGCAGCTCGCTCACACATAAGAAAAGAACTGTACACACAGCAACCGGCTCTCCTCTGCGCCAACTTCCGTCCATCATTCAATAGTAAAGCATATCTACCTATCCCAAAAAGAATTGGACAACTATCAAACAATAAAATATCCAAGCTAAGGCACCTCAGAGCGGTGTAAGACAGGACAGGGGGGACACAACGAATGCAAAGTACTTGAGTTCACCGCCTCACTTACACAAGGGGAAGAACCACAACATTCACAGTCGTGATGTTTATAAGCCCAACATCAAACACGTCATGGAGAATTCATCCCAAGTTCCAATCTCCTCAGGCTCACAAGGCGATCACTGCAGTAGCGCGCGGACCAGCAGTTCAAGCTTGACCCCGCGAAACTGGATTTGTGACCGACCCCACCACCCTTTCCATCTTCCGCAAGTTCAAGGTAACTACCGTGTATATATCCATGGTCCAAAACTCCAACTGGATGCACAACTGACAGCGGCCGTCGCGGAGTTTGAGAACCAGGCGACAGTTCACAGATCTTAAACTCAGACGATGCCCTCAACATAATGTCGTCACAGCCATCCTAGTCGCTCGTTTGACTCATTTGAAACTGAGATTACTCTGGTTTGGGTGTTTCGGCCTACCCGACCCAGGCATTCCCTTTAAAGGGTGAGAGAGACAGCTTCCTTCCTTTCCCACCCACCATCTCCTCTCCTGTACCGTGTCTGGAGGGAGTTGTGAACTGTGCGTGACTGACCACCCATTCAGTCTTCTCGGGTATCGTCACTTCAACCACTCACTTCACACTAAACCATCTCTCACGGTCTACCGACCGATCGATCAGTCACGATGAATGCGACAGATCCCAAAGAGCGGTTCTACCGCCAGTTCCAAAACTCGGCGGAGTGTAAGCTCTCATTGCTCTGCTCTGCTACTTGACCGATTTCATATCGACTAACGAAATACCACAGCCATCCAGGACCAGATCAACCAGCTTCCCAACTTCGCGGCCGTGGGCGGCGTGCGGCAGGATGCCATCGAGCACATTCTAGGTGCCATCTCTCGCCTGTCCAAGGAGGTTGCCGATGCCACTGCATTCGTACCCGCTTACGACCAGCGGGCCTATTCCGACAAAGTCAAGTCACTTGAGGTTCAAGTGAACGAGGCAGCAGCCAAGTTCACCTCTTCCAAGAGTCGTTTCCGGTTCAAGAAACGTCCGGACAGCGCCAACACTGCCGCAACCAAGGCTGACGCCCGCCGCCTGGACTTGACCACTAATGCTAGCTATGCTATCGAACTCCCCTCCAAGCCGATCCCCGACTCGGCCTCGACTCCATCCAGCTCGACCAAGAATTACAATGCCGAAATCGCCAACTCAGGAGGCGAAGGCTTGGGCATAGGCATCCGCAAGCCCTCCTTCTCCGCGGCGCAGGACATCGCCCTCACCGACCACATCCGAGTGCACATCATGCTCCCGGCCTCGGCCTCGCGCGCCACCTCGGCCGGCACGCTGACCAACCTGCACCAGTGCGTCGTCGACATGTCGCTGCCCACCTGCACCGGCACCACCAGTAACGGCAACGGCAACGGCACCACGAACCCGGACGCGTGCATCGGGATCGGCACGCCCTTCGCCAGCCTGACTCTTAAGGACATTCAGGGCAGCGCCATCGTGGCAGGCCACGTCAACGGCCCCGTGCACGTCACGGGCCTGCGCGACAGTGTTGTGATGGTGGTCGCCCGCCAGGTGCGCATCCACGAGTGCCGCAACGTCGTCTTTTACCTGCACTGCGTCAGCCGGCCCATCGTGGAGGACTGCAGGGGGGTGCGGTTTGCGAAGGCCCCGGGGGTTTTTGTGAGTTTTTCTTTTTTCTTCTCTTTTTCTTTCCTCGGCTTTTTCTTCGGTTTTGTCTTTTTTCTCTGTTTATGTTCCTCCGTCTTCCTGCGATTGCCATTGCAAGAAGGGGTGACTCCTCGTAGAGGGAATAAGTGCTAACAGGGCTGTGTGCAGCTGACGGACAAGGAAAAGACCGAGTCCAACCTGTACGACCAGGTCGACGACTTCAAGTGGCTCAAGACCTTCAGCTCCCCCAACTGGAGCTTGCTGCCCGAGTCCGAGGTCGTCCCGGACGCTGTCTGGAAGAAGGCCCTTGCCGGCGAGCCTGGCGTCATCATCGACAACACTCTGCGGAGCCTGGGTGTCAAGAAGGGCCAGGATGTCGAGGCGGAGATTTGAAACCGGATGGTTGTGTTGTTTCAAAGGGTACCTCGCTGAAACATGGTCTTCCTTTAGGGGGTGTATTCTTGCTAGCCGTCCATGGCTCCAGTAAATTAGCGATTATTTCGTCGTGAACCGGTGTGTCGATGCTAGGGGAGTGATTGGTGCCAGTTAGTTACTGGGCGGGATACTCAACCTCGTCAAGTCCCAAGTTGAACTATTTCGAACCAGATGCCTAGGAGTGCCCGTCCTTTCCTCGATTCCGAGAATAAAGAGTAGAAAAGCCAATTTTGTCTCCCGCTCCCTATCGTGCCGTGAAATAATATCGTACCGCAAAAGATTAACCTGGTATCAAGCCGTAACCCGGTCCCAAACGAAACCCATCCAGAACGCCACCGATGCCATATCTAACAACCCCATTATCTCCGTCTCCATTATCTCTCTCCCCATTATCACCCCTCCCCTTATCTCCCCATCCCAGCCATCCCCCAAGGCTTCTCTCAGACCATTACCCCCTCACTCCACCATCCCCTCCCCCTCCCCACCACCACCCGTACCACCATCACCACCCCCCGCACCCGTAAGACCCTCCCCCCGCACAAAAACCAACCCATCCGCCTGCGCCCGCGCCAGCGCGGCAGCCTGCGCCGCCCGCCGGCCCTCCAGCCCGCGCATCTCGGCCTCCTGCTGCGCCACCGCCCGCCGCACGTCCCCCAGCGTGCGCACCGCCGCCCGCGCCCGCTGCAGCTTGTGCTTGAGCCCGTCCGTGGCCGAGGGGAGCTCCTTGACCGAGAGGAGCTGGGCGTCGGCGGCGGCGGTGTCGGGGGAGGTGGTGCCGTCCGGGTTGGGGGTGGAGGTGTTGTTGTGGGTGTTGTTGTTGTTGTTGTTGTTGTTGTTGTTGTTGTTGTTACTGGGGGGTTGGGAGAGGGAGAGCGGGTGTGGGTGGTTTGGTGGGTGGTGTTGTTGTTGTTGTTGTTGTTGTGGGTTGCTTGCGTTGGGGGTTGCTGCGCTCGTGGTGGCGAGGGGGGTTGTGCCGGTTACGCCGGTGGCGTGTTTGGTGCCGGCGGCCGAGGTTGCCGTCCCGGTTGATTGCTGTTGTGATTGCTGTTGCTGTTGCTGTTGCGCGGCGCGCAGTCGGGTGATGATGGAGGAGAGCTCCGTCACGACGTCGACCGAGTCGGGGGAAAGCCCGGCGGGGAGATGCGTTGCCATTGTTGGTTGTGGGTTGCTGCAGTCTCGTCTCGCAATAATCGGGCGCTTGTTGTAGGACAGACTACCTTCAGATGCGCTTGGAATACCGACCTCTTGCGCACGGTACCAATGGTAGGTCTTTTCGGGCTTGCGTGCGCGACCTGGCTGCGGAGGTTGGATGTTCGGTTTCGGGGTGGAGACGGGCCTGTCATGCCGGTGATCGCTCTGTTAGCGGGACGCTAACCTGCTTTGGGCCCCTACGTCAGGTGGGGTGTCCGCTGAAGCACCAGGAACAAGGCGAGGACCCCGCCATCCCGTCTCAACAAGTCCGGTCAACGGGTCGGGCTGGTTCGTGCATTTTTCTGACTTTTTTCCCGCCCTCTCAATTGACTTCCCCTGACGAGACGCTTTGATCACTTCCACTCAGTGTATCTCAACACCAAACCCAAAGCCAATCCCCCACCAACACCATGGCTCCCGACCACAAGGCTTGCCTGAGTACGTCCCGTCGTCCAGACTACCCGCTCGTCGCCTGCTACGTCCTGATATATCTCGAGCTGGGATGGCTGATCATGGTGTTGTTGCGGTCTTCTAGTCGTGATTGACGGCTGGGGTATCCCCACCGAGGAATCGCCCAAGAATGGCGATGCCATTGCCGCTGCCGAGACTCCCGTCATGGACGAGCTCTCTAAAAGCGCGACTGGCTTTGCCGAACTCGACGCGTCCTCGCTAGCCGTCGGTCTCCCCGAAGGCCTCATGGGCAACTCCGAGGTCGGGCATCTCAACATCGGCGCCGGCCGTGTCGTCTGGCAGGACGTCGTCCGTATCGACCAGACTGTCAAGAAGGGCGAGCTCGGCAACAATGATGTGATCAAGAAGGTTCTGGAGGCGGCCAAGAACGGAAATGGGCGCCTTCACCTTTGCGGTCTGGTGTCCCACGGTGGTGTGGTCAGTATTATCCGGCGCGTACCGCGTAGTCCCCGCAGGAGCTGACTTTTCGGTTTGCAGCATGCGAAGCAAACGCACCTGTATGCCCTCCTCAGGGCTGCCAAGGAATGCGGCATCCCCAAGGTCTTCATCCATTTCTTCGGCGACGGCCGTGACACCGACCCAAAGTCCGGCGCTGCCTACATGGAGGAGCTGCTGTCTACCATCAACGAGATTGGCGTTGGCCAGATCGCCACCGTCGTCGGCCGGTACTACGCCATGGACCGCGATAAGAGGTGGGAGCGGAACGAACTGGCGCTGAAGGGCCTGATTCTTGGCGAGGGTGAACAGAGCGACGACCCGGTCAAGACCGTGAAGGAACGCTACGAGAAGGGCGAGACGGACGAGTTCCTCAAGCCCATCATCGTCGGCGGCGACGAAGGCCGCATCAAGGGTGAGCACTTGGCTTGCTGCCATTCAAAAATTGAGGCACTAACTCGTTCCAGACGGCGATAACGTCTTCTTTTTCAACTACCGGTCTGACCGTGTCCGGCAAATCACCCAGCTCCTGGGCGATGTTGACCGGTCGCCCCGGCCCGACTTCCCCTACCCCAAGATCAACCTGGTCACCATGACCCAGTACAAGCTCGACTACCCGTTCGAGATCGCCTTTAAGCCCCAGCACATGGGCAACGTTCTCGCCGAGTGGCTCGGTAAGCAGAACGTAGAGCAAGTCCACATTGCCGAGACCGAGAAGTACGCTCACGTCACTTTCTTCTTCAACGGTGGCGTGGAGAAGATGTTCCCGCTTGAGACGCGTGACGAGTCACAGGATCTGGTGCCATCAAACAAGAGCGTCGCGACCTACGACAAGGCCCCTGAGATGAGTGCCGATGGTGTTGCCGACCAAGTGTGCAAGCGCATGTCGGAACAGAAGTTCCCCTTCGTCATGAACAACTTTGCCCCCCCGGACATGGTCGGTCACACCGGTGTCTACGAGGCCGCCATTGTCGGCTGCGCGGCTACCGATAAGGCTATCGGCAAGATTTATGAGGGTTGCAAGAAGGATGGCTACATTCTCTTCATCACTGCTGACCACGGCAACGCCGAGGAGATGAAGTTCCCTGACGGCAAGCCCAAGACCTCGCACACTACCAACAAGGTCCCCTTCATCATGGCCAATGCCCCCGAGGGCTGGAGCCTGAAAAAGGAGGGCGGTGTACTGGGAGACGTTGCTCCTACCATCCTTGCGGCCATGGGGTTGCCTGCGCCGGAGGAGATGACGGGCTCCAACCTCCTCACCCGGGCATAAGCAACGCAGGACTGATACGGAATATGATGATGATGAACTAGAGAGACACAGGCATGCGATATAGATGATAGAGTTGCGCAACGAATGATGAAATGGCCAAAACTCTCTCCCTCACAAGTGACCACAATGTCCATGCAGCAAAGAAGCCAAGGAATAGGTAGGGAACCACGTCACTCCCTCGCGTAGGTACCGAGTCCTAGCCTAACTAAAGTAATTGCATGGCAGCTCTGGCTCAACCACGCTGCTGCTGAGCTTGGTCACTCGCTTCCCAACCTCTCACAACCCCGGCCAAGATCATTCTCGCCCAGAGACCAAGGCAGCTGTTCGTGGAAGATTGCGCAAGATTTTTGTTCGCCCTGATGATTCGATCGGCAAGCCGGCAATATAGAAGGTCGCAGGCATGGTGTGCACGGTGGCAATGGTACCCCCCCTTGCTCATCCTCCCAAATCGAAGTCTGGGGTGCGGGGGATGGGGTGCAGATGCAGGAGGCTGCTCCAGGAAGGAAGATCGTTCAAGTATCTTCCCCGCAATTCTTCGCGGCGACGATACCTCGATTATCGAAGATCACCTGACACAAAAGACCGCGCCTCCCTTCCGTTGCATGAAAGCCGTGAGGGGAAGATCGAAAAGGGAAGCAGCGGGCGACCCCAACGCTGGAACAACCCGACGCGGAAAGGGTGCACGAGTTGCAACAAATAAGGGAACCGCTCCCGGCAATTGTTCTCTTCAACCCAGTTCTCCGCTTCTCCCCCCTCATTTTCCAAACGTGTTCCTTCAAAAATACTCGACGACAACGTCAACAACACCAGCATTACATCGCCAATGTCAACATCAGATGCATCTCGTCTGTGAGCGGGCCCTGGTTAACGGGGAGACGCTACCGAGCGGTTCAAGTGGACACGCAGTGGAGCAAACGATCGTGGACCACCACGACTCCGCTAGAAGACTCGCGTGCCAAAGTGGAGCGAGCATTCGGCGAGGTCAAAATACCAACAGCGCTGTTTGTTCATACAGGTCGTTGCTTTCAATTGGCACCCGTTTCCTTGCAATTGGTCCCTTATTTTCGTACCTGAACGTTTTATCAATATCATTGCAAGTTCACTGCAAGTGCAGCCACGCCGCCAGTGGACGAAAGTGGCCGCAATTTAACTCGTGATCTCGAGATTCAGAGATCGAGTTGTGTTGAAGGGGGGGGGGGGGGGTTGGCTGGACACGAAGTGAGAGACAAAAAAATGAAATTTTTGTGAGGTGTTCTCCCCAGCAAGCTGGGAAAGAAAAATCGCCGTGGATAATGTACAAGGTGTGCCGGCAGTGCCGACAGCGAGACGGTCGGATCGCGTTGGAGAGTTCTCCCCGATCTAGGTCTATATGGCCCCGTCTATGGTGATGCGATTCCCCGCCATTATCCCATGCACGCTTCCGCCTGTCTCATCAGTCCGTGCGATGCGATCAAGTCGCAGGGAACTATGAGCCTCTCGTACACTCCCTTCCCATCTCGTCCCCCGATCCCCATTATGTACAGGCGCTCGATCGCTCCCAACGAGGCATCGACGCCAATCCCGTCCGAACGCGGAGGAGATACGCTTAGGTCTGGTCGGCAGTCAGCACCCGAGTCCGGCTTCCGATCGGAGACAGCTATGCTGCGGCGGATGATACTTACGAACTTGGCCATGAGGGCAACCATGAGGTCGAAAAGACCGATGGCCTCGACGAAAGCGAAACCCAGAATGGCATACGAGAACAGCTGGCCGCGGAGGGCGGGGTTGCGGGCAACGCCGTTGAGGAGGGCGGCGAAGACGAGACCGATACCGATACCGGCACCAGTCAGACCGATGGCAGCAGCACCCATACCCAAGTTCTTGGAGACCTCGACCATGGCCTGGGCGATCTCAGAAGAGTAGGCACGGCGCTGGACGCCGAAAGCCTGGCGGGTGGTGGAGTTGATAATGGAGGACATCTGCTGGCGCTTGACGGCCTGGAGGGGGGACGACTTGCTGGCGACTGCAAACATGCGAAAAAAAATTCATCGGTTAGATCGCTGGTCCGGATCGTGATGCCATCATTGCGGTTGTGGCAGCAGGCGCGCCAAACTCAAACTCACCAGTCAGGGTCCGCTTGCTGGTGTTGGCAAGGGTGACGCGAGCGGCCGGGCGAGCAGCCTTGGTGGCCATCTGAGACGCCAGTCTCGAGGCGAGGACACGGGTGGAGGCCATTGTGACTGTTGGGAAGAGGATGCAGAGAATGCAAAGATGGGTCGGGAATGGCTGGCGAGATGGGACTCTTGAAGATTGAGGCAGAGGCGATGGCTCGACTGAGTGGGAGAGGGAAAAAGAGGAGGAAGGGAGGAGTGAAAATGAAGAACAGGTGGTCAGCTGGGGAAGCGGGACCTCGGGCTGGTCCGGGCAACGGGCTTGAGCAGCAGAAAGGAGCAACGTGAGTGGCCAATTCGGTGCCTGCTGGCAGAATCTCTCCACTTGAAGCTTGCGGTGGGTCACCGCTACAGGTTGGGACAACAGTGAAAAAGAAGGAAAAATTTGCTGCGGCACTTTGGGAAATGGTCGGGCAATCTCGGACGCGGCGGGCACACAAAACCGTGGTCGATCGGCCTCCCGGGGCTGGGCCGTTTCTCGGCCCTCTCCCTCGACAACCATCACCAAAACTGTTACAATTGTTCACGGTGGACACTGCTTGATGGGCCCATCAACTGTGGAAGCTATCACGGTTCCGTTTAGCGTTCCCTGGAAGCTGCTGGAGCTGTGGGATCTGGCAGACAAACGGAGCTTTTGCTTGTTGGTGTCGCCGAAATTTTTCAGCCCCGGTTTGATGTCTCAGGCAATGAGGCTCCTGTTTTCCTAACCGGGGACCCTGGCTGCCCCCACGAGCCCCCACTTAGCCATGAATGCACGATTCCCAGTCGTCGATATCGCGGCACAGGTTCCACAGGTAATCCACCACGGCATCAGGGGCTGGCGGATGACGACAGGACGAGTGAAAAATGCCTCTCCTCCGCTCGGCCAAGGAGGGGCCAACGGCAGGAAGTGATAACACAAGTCGCCCAAGAGCATTCCAAGAGCTACGCGCATTTCAAAAATGAGGAAACAACAAGAGCAGTTCGGAGGAGAGGGCAGCTTTCTTTGCCGAGCTGAGTCCCTGGGCCGCCAATCATTTCAACGGACCCGAAACCGTGTTTGCGAATGTTACACAGCATCTTCCGGGTCGGATCTGCCGGGGCGTGGTGTGATTCGTTGGCGGATATTTCCGGCTGCCCGACATCGTTGAGCCCAGCGATTCAGCGAGGCCATTTCCAGCCACAGGGCTGATGTGGCTGTTGTAGCACAAATAGAACTCCGAATGTCACGTCAAGCCCTCGGCAGTGGCGGCCTGCGTTTGTGGCATCCGTGGACGTGAAGTGCTGTGTGTACAAATTATGCGTTGCCTCGACTTCATATTGAATCATATTTACACAGTAGAGGTGCTCGGTGCCCGCGGCTGTTTGCATAGTTACTTCTATGTCAAGTGGGCAATAATTTCGGGGATGATCTCTCGGTTCAAAAACGCAGAGCAAAACGCAAGTTTTTTTGAGCTTCTTGACAAGCCCGTTTCCGTAACCGAAGCAACCGTTGTATGAGTTGTTGGCTGGGTTTATGGCCAGCTCAGATTCAGACACGTTTGGCATTACCTTTCTATAATTGCCACGGGGTGTTGTGTGATTTGTACTGCGTTGTCCCATCAGGCGGTCAGTTCCATGGTTACACAGAAGACGCTTCCTCAGCTATGGAGAGATCAACAGCAATAACACGAACGTCAGAGGCAAGCATTACCGTTAATCTAGGTACGTTATCAAATTACCTCTCAAATTAATGATTTCCATTCGGTATTCCAACCTGCCTCGGCGAGACCGCCTCATTCGGGTCTTCGGACTTATTAGTTAAGAAAGGTAGGTCAGTAGTTTGACCAGACTCGAGCTTCAATCGAAGATCATGGTTGGAAACTTGACTAAAAACCATGACGCGTACAAGGAACTAAATGGAATGATGAATGCTATTTCTCGAGACTGTCCCTCGAGCCCGGGTATAATCACCAAGCCAATAAATATCCTTCAAGACAAATACATCTCAATATCCCCAACTCCAGCACCACCCTTAACGCGTCCAGTAGTATCCCATATCCCAACGCCTGCCTGCTTCACAAAACAAAATCCCATGCACCCAAAACCTCAAACCGGCTCCTCCGACGCCGCCGCCCTCCCCTTGAGAGCATACCCCTCCACAAACCCGTCCGGATCACACGCCCTCTCCAGACTAACCCTGTTCGCGGCAACCCACGCCCGCACCGCAGCCTGCGAGATACGCACCCTGCGCACCACCACCTGGTCTGCCGCCGCCGCCGCCTCAGGCACTGGCGGTGCAGGTGAAGCCGCTTCCGCCGCACCGCCGGTGTTAGGAGGAGGGGCGAGAGTAGTAGTAGTAGCGGTAGCGGCAGCGGCGGGAGCGAGTTCCTCCTTCTTCTGGTTGTCGGGGGCGGCGGTGGTCCTTGCTGCCGTGCGCGAGACGGGCGGCGGGCCCGTGCCGGCGTCCTCGGCCAGGCCCATCTCCCGCAGCACGCCCAGGCAGTCCTCGGGGGCGATCCACGTCGCCTGGCTGCAGGCCTCGACGTCGACGACGATTTCGGGGTCGCTCCGCGCCGCGGGTGCCTCCTCGTCGCCGTCGGCTGAGGCGGTGGTGGTGGTGGTGACGGTGGTGGTGTGCGGGGAGAGGGTGAGCAGCCAGCGGCAGATCTCGCCGGCCCAGAAGTGCTTGTACCCGCGCTTGCCGAGGTCGGAGATGGGCTTCTCGGGCCCGCCGAGCACGCCCTCGCGGCGCGAGATCTCGTACGAGATGCCCATCAGCAGCGAGCCCAGGCCCTTGCGCTGCCACGGCGGGAAGACGAGGATGCAGGCGAGGTTGTTGTTGTCCCAGGACATTTTCTCCTTGGAGAAAAAGCCGACGATCTGGCCGCGGTTGGTGCCGGTGTTATGTGGCGCCGTGATCTCGGGGTCCGTGGCGGTGGGGGCGGTGTGGGTGCTGGAGGGATGGGGGGGTGGTGGCGTGTGGACGAGGAGGAAGTATTTGAAGCCGGTGACGTCGAAGAAGACGGATTTGTTGTCGAGAAAGAGCTTGGCGAAGAGGGAGAGGTTCTGGCAGAAGAGCACGTCGTCCTCGCCGTCTACCTCCCGGATGCTCCACTCGCCCTCGTCCTGCACCACCTCTTGGACCATCCTCTGCCCGACACTGCCGCGCTTACCCCTTCCCTGCTTGGGAGCCGGGCCTGACGGCACCATAACCGTCCGCTTCCCTTTGGGATGCGTGTAGATTTTGTTGCCCGGTAGGTAGCCTTGCTGCTCGCACCAGCGGACGTGTTCCCACCATGTTACCAGCTCCTTGGAGTACTTGAAGCAGCGCGGACACACGTAGAGCCGGTTTAGCATGGGCGGGTGGCTGTCACGGTCCCGCCTCCCGTGGGCTGTTGTCCCATTTATGTCATCCTTGCTCTCCTGGTTTGAGAGCGAGGCAGCTAAGCTTCCGTTGCTTTTAGTTCCTTTGCCACTCTTGGTACTATTGCTTGAGACGCCACCGAGCAACTCTTTGCCGTAGTACGACGGGTACCAGGCCGGGAAGCAAATGTCGCCCAGCACAACCTTGTCGATGTTGCGATCCGGCCGTGCTGCGCTGTCGGTACCCCTCGCAGCATTGTTGGGTGTCCTGTTCGGATTTGAGGTCGAGTTCTGACCGGGCTGGGCGACCGAGGTCGCCATGATTATCGGCTTGTTGCGCCCCAGTGAAACGGATTGCGGATTGATAGGTGTGGACACACTCTGGTTGCGGCTCCGTCCTGTTGATGGACCAAACCGTGAGGGTGTCGTTGGTCGTTGTGTAATATCAGATGGTGCCATTGCAGTGGTTCGGGTGGGAGAAGAAATGGCTGGCGATTTAGCGAGATGGATGTTGGAGCGAGAAGGGCGGGCCGAGGCAGACATGTCCTGGATGACGCTATGCCGGGTCATACGCGTTGACGTCTTTGGCAGCTGTTGCGCTCGGACGGGTTGTTCGGTGAGCATGTGCACATGCATGTTTTCCTTCCCACGTGGGGAGAGGGAAGGTGGCGATATCTCGGTGGGATGGCTATTGGCGTCACCGTCGGCATGTTGTTGCTGCTGTTGTTTTTGTTGTTGTCTTCGCCGTCGCCGTCGTGGCTCTGGATCTTCGGGAACGGGGAGCGGGGGGATCGAGCTCTGTCGCGTCGCTCGGCGTGATGTTACTGGCGCGGAAACTGTCGCGACGGTGGTCTTAGTAGCGGCGGAGGGCTCGGGTCCCCCGCTAGGACGTTTCCTTTTGAGGTGGCCAGGCATGTGTGCGTGCGAGATGCGTCACTTGTACACACTATGTACAACTGCTCGTTGTTGTGTCGCACACGGGTCGAAAATGGGGGGGGGGGGGGGGTGGGTGGTGGTGAGCGATTCGGGACAGGGATCTGGGGGGTGTTTGGGGAATTGAGTATGCCAAGACGGATAAGGCAATGGACCCTTGTCTCGTGCCTGTCAACCTGGCTTCTGAGAGGTGGGTTTGCTGTCATCGAGTGGAGCTTCTCCCAAGGCAAATGTCCAAATTTGGATCTGAAAGTTGATGTTTCAAAACATTTTCAATGTTCCCACGACGAAGAGTCTCAAGGACACAACTGCTAGTGCTATTGCGGTCACAGCTGCTTAGTACTTTTGCTACGATGAGTGGCTACTAGGTTCAATGCTCAGAGTGCGATTCCCTGCCTTGCGACAGGCTGAGAGATCTCGAACCTTGGTTAGTCTGGTATGTCGTCGCCTCTTTTTCTTCTTTCTTTTTTCTTTTTCCCCCGTCAACCTTGGCTCTTTTTGTGACAGCGACTGACTTGTACTTTCTGTTAGCGGTTAAATTCTGCGGTTCATAGTCTTCGCTGGAAATCAACGGATCACGATGGCGGCAGGCCGACGACCGAGACCCGACCCGGACAACCGGGGCAGCCACCCTTCCACAACCAATCCGCCCCGGTGATGGGGAAGACCGGGAAGATACGAGACTCCATCGATACCAACCAGAACCATGTGTCCCCATCTTCAGAAGGAGACCCATTCGATATATTATCACAAACAGCAGAGGGGACCGAGAGACCCTCGCGAAAGGCACCGGTGGCTTCGCTGTCCGGGGTATCCGAGGAATTAAGAGCCGGACAACGCGTCGACATGTTTAAAATCCGTCCGTTGGCGCCGAACCATGGGCATGAGATGGCAGCGACCCAAATGGCGGGTGATCGAAGGTCAGAACCTAACCCGCCAGAATTTCTCCACCGGCCAACGGATCCGGCCAAATTGAAAGCGCTACCGACAGGTTTTGACGACATGACAGAGCGGGAGCAACAGGAGGAGCTATGGGTAGTGCAGGCAGAAGAGCGGCTCGGCCGGGAGTGGGAGTTGGAAGATCCTGGCAAGCATTCGCCCTACACCCACGACTATCCGCCCTATTCACCGAGCAAAGTGATTGGGATGTTGCACCGCTGGCGCAACTGGGCGTGGACTTCACAGCAATGGCGACTCGCGCGCGCTATTGCCGCCAATCGGAGCCTGCGTTTTCCGGTGCTCACAGCCCAGGCTTTTCTTCGCCGGCATGTGCTCCTAGCTCGCCAACGCGGCGTGGAACTTAAAATCGAGCGTTATCTAGGCAGCACGGAAGAGTGGAAGGCCCGGCTGGCAGACCTCGAAAACCAAACGGGTATTTCCGAGGCCGACATCAAACAGTGGCTCTGGATCCTCTCCCCGAGCAGTGGAGATGTACAAATTCAGAGATTCCTCAAGAGCAGGTGCCGCAAACCCATATTCCTCCTCCAGCTACTCCTAGCCAGGGACAGGAAAATCCAAGAGCCGGCCACCTTCCTAGGGCTGCTCAAGTACTTGAGGGAGAACTACGTCTTGGCAGACCGGCCGCAAGACGAGCTGGACCACCCAACGTACAAAGGCCAAGGGCGAGCTGTGACGTGGTGGCATTATATAGTCTTCCTCTATCGCCTTGTTTGGCATTGCCGGGAAGGGTGGCCAGCGGCGATGCCCTTGTTAGCACGTCTTACGGCTGACTACATCGGCACGATGCGCCTCGACAGTAAAGCACGGGCAATGACAGGCTATCAAGCTCGGTCCCTTGTCTTGAACAAAGCGCTTCAATACTTCTCCTGGGCGGCACGCGTCCGCCCCATCGACCACATGGAGCACAACTGGGCGGCGCAGCGCCACCTGTTACGGCTCGCAGCAACAACCGAGCCGCCGCTTGTCATGGACCAAAACGGCTACCGCGCCGTTAGGACCGTCCTAATCGGCTTGAACAAGACCAAGGGCGAGGCGAAGAACGCGGATCGCACCGCCAGGACGTGGCCGCCGTACCGGCGGACCTTGGACGGGATAGACGAGCGACGGAACCCCGAAGATGATTTGAGTAGGAGCGCCAAGGCGGGCTTGCTAGTACGGGCCGCGGGTTATAGCGACGACGTTGTCGATCGAGCCCTGAGTGCGCTTGGTGGGTCAACGTTTGGTGAAGCACCCACAATCCAGACCAGAAGCATTCCTCCACCTTTTTTCTCCGGCCGACTAGCCAGCCAAAATATCTACTCCGAGTGGGCTGCGCAGCTGAGGGCAACGAGAAATCCTAGGGAGGCCTGGATAGTGTTTGAACACCCACCAGAGCCGGGTATTCGGCCGACTGCCCAGATCTACGGGGAGATGTTCGAGAGGCTCTACGCCCGGCCAGCCACAGGATCATCCGCGGTCCGGCCGGGAGACGTCAAGGAGGTGTTTCCGGTGGATAACGGCAGCCTCAGCGAGTTTGAGATTGCGAGACTCACCCCGCCGAGCCCGGAGGAGCTGTATGGTCACATGTTGCAGCAGGATAAGCTTCAGCCGACCGGCTTCTGCCTTGCGGTGCTCATCCGAAACTCGTCATCAATAAAGACGGCGCTGCGATACCTGGAGGACAGTCCGTATAAGCCCTATATCGACATGCTCAGGGCGCCCACGTCACAGGCGAGTACTGAAAGCACGCAAGCACTCGCCAAACTCCCGCACATCATTCTCAACGCTTGGATCACCATGCTCTGCCGCATACACACCAGAGTACGAACGGTGGAAAGCACCGTGTCCCATCACATCAAGGAACGGGCGGCCGCAGGCTCGACGTCGGCCGACGGACACAGCCACCGGTCGCTAGAAACGTCCCGGGCCGAGTCGATCCCCGAGGCCATCGCGGTCGCGTCCATGTACCAGGCGCGCAACGCCAAAGCGGCACAGCGCGACCGGCTGCCGTGGCACACCATCATGCAGGCGCTGGCCGGGCGCAAGGTCCTGTACAGCCAGATGGGCGCCGAGTTCAACGCGCTGGAGACGCTCGAGACCTTTCTGAAGGTCTACGAGCGGACGACGGCGGCCAAGGGCATCGACCCGGTCGCCTTCGAGGCGCTCTGCCTCGTGATCCGCAAGACGCTGAGGCTGACGACGTTTGAAAAGGCCGAGGGCGGCTCGATGGTCCCGCGCCCGTACATGTCGGGCGCCGCCGCGATTCAGACGCTGCTTTTCCGCGCGCACCGCCGGGCGGTGGACGCGTTTGCCGCGCTCACCAGCCCCCTCCCCGCCGAGCGGGGGGATGATGATGATGGTGGTGGATCCGAAAAAGCTGCTGTTGATGCGGAGGGCGACGCGGAAGAAGTGGAAGAAGCGGATGACGATGGGGTGACGCCGGGGATGCTCCGGTACAACGTCGTCGGGCGCCCCTTGCACAGGTACATGGCGGCGCTGGCGTGCTGCGGCGACGACGCCGAGATGGTGCGGGTCATGGACTGGCTCCTGGACGGGTGGGACCGCGGGTACATCCGCGAGGAGGCCAAGACGCTGCACAACCTCGACTACCACTACACGATGCGCACCATCGCCTACTTTGCCGAGATGGGCAAGGAGCTGGTCGAGCCGGCCGAGATGGACCGGCTCCGCGGCCGGCTCGAGAACATGCGCTGGGACAAGGGCTGTACCTGGTTCTGGCCCCAGGAGGGCTGGCAGGAGGAGGCCCAGGTTCAAGCGCTCCCGGAGCTAGAGACGGACTTGGTGGTCGCTGGCCGCTGGCCGCGGTTGAGGCATATGGTCAAGGTTGGGGGCCTCCGTTCTCCGGCTCGGGGTCGGGTCTCGTCGAAGCTGGGGGATCAGGCCCAGCAGCAGGAGGATGAGGAGCAATGGGGAGATGAGCGACAGCCCAAGGCATGAGATTATGGGCAGTGTAGCAGTGATGTACAATAGTTAATTCACTTGTATATACCTAACTACGAAATATTCCTTTGTCTGTGTAACAAGCTTTCGTAATTCACGGCTGTGAACTTCTTGCTGCTTACTTCTCTCTTTCTGCGGGGGCTAACAAAAAAAAGTGGAAGAGAAGAAAGAGGGCGAGGTTTTGGGTTCAATGCTGAGGAGATCAGTTTTCCGGCCGAGGTACCTACCTTAACTGTGCCCAGGAAGGAAGCGACCACCCAAGTTTCATGGGTCCATCAATGGGGTTCAAGAGGGTTCCCGTTCCTGCACATTCTCCTCGCAACCATTGGCCAATTCAATTCTGTGGCCCATTATTTCTCCCCCCTGTCCCTGCCACAAGTGAACTCGCGCGTCACAATCCGCGTTCTCAATGCTCAGCACGCGCCTCGTTGAGAGGGACATTGAGTTCCGAGTCCTTCCCATTGTTTCTTTGTCCATTTGTGCACCTATCCAGCGCCATCCACCGCTGGGAATCCGGGGGACAATTCCTCGGTACTCGGGTTAGGCTGCATTGTTGGCATTGTTGCCGCTTATTACTTCTTTTTTTTTTCCCCTCGTGTCAAGTGTTTTTTGCTGGTTGCTGGGGATGGGAAACAGTGTACATTCTTTTTCTATTTTCTCACGCACGGCTTCTTCCATTTTATATTTTTCTATTCTGCGAGATATTGTGCATATTCTTTGGCCCGCCACCATTCACAGTTTTATAGTACATATCATTGGTACCTTTAGCACCATGCTTATCCTGTTATAAATTATCCTCACTTTGTTTACTTGCGAGAAGGCGCATCGCTCTCATGTTGGCGGTGGGTTTGTTACCGCTTTCCAGTCTCCCACCTTCAGCTTTACCTTCACCGACCCATCTATCCTCTCTACATCTATCCATACACTTAAACGACAGTCCTGCAACAAAACGTCTTACCCATACCGCCCAACCACCAGCTCCTTCCGATCGGAGCCGATGAGTGTACCGACAGTGTGGCCTATCGAGGGCCTACTAGATGCCAACCTCACCCCACAGCTAAACGGTCAAGAGGGAGAGGAAGCTTCCGAGGAGCTGGACTCTTACAACCCCCCGCCAGACTTCGACTCCCAGTCATTGTCTGGGGCTCCAGACCAACTTCGCAGTGGAGTAACCCCGGCTCGGGGGCCGGATGGGGACCACCCCCCGCAACAGGAGGAGAACCTGGGGTTCCCGAAGTCAGCGAATACCTCGTCCTCGGCCTTCACTTCTGACGATGGGTTTCTCTCGGACACGCCGGTGGAGTTTGACATCCACCAAAGCAAGAGTATTCAAGTCGAACTGCCGAGCTCGACACTAGTCCATCCGAAGTCACGCCACCAGGGCTACATCCCGCGGTTTCCACAAACCAAGGAGAGAGATGCTGTCTCCGCCCTTCTCGAGGCTGCGGGGGCCCAAGGCCAGGAAGAATTTGTTGAGTTTGAGCTCGATGATTTCAGTTTTTACGTCAACTCGGCGGTTTACCCTTTTGAGATGCGCCCGCTACAGCATTTATCGACGAGGATGGGTCACGACCGTTTTTATTTTGACGGGGTTCTCAGCATCGGTGGTTGCCGGCACTACGTGGAGAAGGTCGAGGTTTCCGAATTGCCCATCGGCAACTATGGAACAGCCCACACTACGACCCAGGGCCAGATCTGGGTGCGATCGGGCTTGAACTCTAGGAGGGAGGTTTATTACCGCCTCGGTAAGCCCGCAGCCGAATACGCCAGGTTCCACATTCCGTTCTTGTGGGTGGTGGACTTGGCGAAGCACGTCGTGGACTTCTCCGCCGCAATGATCAGCCAAGGCCGTCAAGTTCGCATCCGTTCGTTCGAGACTCACTTCATACAGTGGGTGCATAAAACACATGGCCGGTCAGCGGAAATCGACCTCTGGCGTCGGCGACACCCGAGCGACGACTATCGCACATCGGCCACTGCAAACATCGATTTCATCTGGAAGGAGCTGAACGGTGTGCTAGGGCCTAGGAAGGCCCGGTCGTTACCGTTGGTCCGAGAAGCGATATACTTCAACGAGTATAAGCAGACAATCTCCCCCCCAGTCAAGTCTATCATCCAGGGCAACGAGGAGGCACCCCCGACAATCGTGACCCAGTACGTCAAGGACTGCTTCGGGCATATGGTGATCGGGAAAATACTTAAGGTGATCAAAAATGCGACTCCGGGACTTGGGGGTCAATCGCAACGACCATTGAATGGCGGTGCTGGGAAGCCCAAGGTCTGCCCTGACAGACTCATATCAAGCAAGCGGAGCCGCACCAGCAAAGCGTGCTTCCTCCCGCTCCAAGTTATTGACCGTGTCAAAGTCGGAGACACGATTTCGACCCCCCGGGACGAAGTCACCACAGGTACCAAGTGGCGGAACATGGCATCTAAGGGAGCCGCAGAGAATGACAGGTGGTTCGGCCTCGTCCAAAGGGTTCATACAGGGGGTGACGGGTCACGTAGCTTTGACGTGACCTGGTTTTACCGGCCGGTCGAGACCCCTTGCTGCATGATGCAGTACCCCTGGCCGGACGAGCTGTTCCTGTCCGATCACTGCACATGCGAGGAAGGCCACCAATCCCGGGTCAAGGACCACGAGATTCTCGGTGTTCACGAAATCGATTGGTTCGGGAGCCCAGATGAGAGCAAAGGGGAATTCTTCGTCCGGCAAACATACATCATCGAGAGCCGTCGCTGGGTGACGCTCAAGGACACCCATATGGCATGCTTGCATGGCCGTGAGAAACCTCGATTCAAGCCCGGTGACACTGTGCTCGCGGCACTCTCTAAATCGCAAACTTACGCCGAGCCGTACGAGGTCGTTAAAGTCTTTAGGCAAGGCGATAACATGTTCGTACGGCTGCGGAGGTTGCTACGCCGGGGCCAGGTCGACTCGAAAGCCGGTGCCGCCCCGAATGAGCTGGTCTATACCGATCAGCTTGTGGTAACCAAGCCAGAGAGAGTGATCGGGAAATGCACCGTTCGCTTCTTCAGGCCGGAGGAGTCAATACCGACCCCATACGACAGGAAAGGAACAGGTAACCTCTTCTACATCACGCACCGTTTCGAAACCGCGGATGATGGTAAAGACAGATGTATCCCGCTCGGCGAGTTTCCAACCTCCTTGCGGCAAGGCTTCGATCCCGCACAGCAAGCCTTCCGAAAGCTCAGGGGCATGGATCTGTTTTGCGGGAGCGGCAACTTTGGTCGGGGGCTTGAGGATGGTGGAGCGGTCGAGATGAAGTGGGCGAACGACATCTGGGACCGGGCCATCCATACGTACATGGCGAACAGCCCGGATTCAAATTCGGCGAAGCCGTTCCTGGGCTCGGTCGACGACCTCCTCCAGCTTGCCCTCGAGGGGAAGTATACCGACAACGTCCCCCGTCCAGGCGACGTCGATTTCATCTCGGCCGGCAGTCCTTGTCCGGGCTTCTCGCTCCTCACCCAAGATAAGACGACCCTGGCGCAAATCAAAAACCAGTCCCTAGTGGCGTCGTTTGCGTCGCTTGTCGATTTTTACCGCCCCAAATACGGCATCCTCGAGAACGTGCCAACGATCGTCCAAGCACGGCACAACCGTTCCGAGGACGTGCTCTCGCAGCTCTTTTGCGCCATCGTGGGGATGGGCTACCAAGCCCAGCTCATCCTCGGCGACGCCTGGTCACACGGCGCACCGCAATGCCGGCAACGCGTCTTCCTCTACTTCGCAGCCCCCGGCCTGCGCCTCCCTGACGCCCCGCTGCTCTCTCACTCCCACTATCCGGGGGTTAAACCCCGCAACCTCGGCGAGATGTGCAACGAGGAGCCGTTCGTCAGCCGCTCCTTCCAGCCCGCCGCCTTCAAGTTCACCAGCGCGGCCGAGGCCACCGCCGACCTGCCCCTCATCGGCGACGGCAAGCCCGAACCCGCGACCGCCTTCCCCGACCACCGCGTGTGCGGGAGCATGACGACCAAGCTCCGCTACCAGATCGCCGCCATCCCGATCCGCCCGTATGGTATGTCCTTCTCGACGGCCTGGTACGGCCGGACGGCCGGAAACACCCGCAACGGAGGCCGCCACGGCGGCGTCGGCGACGGCGTCGTGATGACCCCCGCGGAACGCGAGCGCTTCCCCGCCGCCGGCGTCCGCGTCTCGCCCATCTCCAACGGCTGGCGCCGCCTGCGGCCCCACGACGTCCTGCAGACCGTCACCACCCGCTGCCAGCCCACCGACGCCCGCGCCGCCACGTGCCTGCACTGGGCCGACCCCCGCCCGCTCACCGTCCTGGAGATCCGCCGCGCCCAGGGGTTCCCCGACCACGAGGTCTTGTTGGGCACCATGGCGGACCAGTGGAAGCTCGTTGGGAACAGTGTGGCCAGGCAGATGGCGCTGGCGCTGGGTTTACGGCTGCGCGAGGCATGGGTTGGTGGGATGGGGGAGGTGGGCAGTGCTGGTGGTAGGGAGGGGAGGAGTGGCAGTGAGAGCGCCAGTGTGAGTGTGGGCGTGAGCGTGGCTGGTAGTGTGGCTGGCTTTTCCTCCTCTGCGAGCGAGGAGGGGTCGCGTGGTGTGGGGAGGAATGGACGCCGTCCCCGTCACCGTCACAGTACGCCGCGCGAGATTGTTGACCTCACCGCGGCCGTTAAGGAGGAGCATGCAGCGGGACGGTCTATCTACGGGCGCGGTGGCGCCGACGATGTCATCGACCTCACCGCGGACTCGGACGGGAGTGGGCAAACTACTGGCACCCACCGGCATAACACCACATTCCACGATGCTATCGACCTTACCACTGCCTCGCGGTCGGCATCGAGCACCCCGAGTGGTACGGGTAGAGCCGTGAGGAGCGCGCCGGCGTCTGCCATGGCGGAGCTAGGAAAGGCCGGCGGGATGAGGAAGCGGCTTTTATCACTAGCACTGGGTCTGGACCCAGAGATACGGCCACGCAAAGTTATCCGGTTGGAGAGTGGGGCCTCAACTCCGATCCCCCAACCCGAGCCCGAGTCCGATTTGGGGTCGGGGCTGGCATTAGAAAACGATATCGATGAATCCTGGATGCACACGTCAGAAGTTGGACCGGTGGCCCCACCTGATCCTGCCACGGAGGAGGAAGAAGCTGTTGAGCCAGTGAGGACCGGGCCGACCATTGTTCGGTTGTTGACGCCGGAAGAGGGGTCGGAGAGCGACGAGCTGGACTGGGATCGCGAGCTAAATTAGGCTGGTTGAGGGGTTTGTTTCAGGCATACACAGATGGAGGAGGTGCATAGCATACTACATGATACCCGCGTTGCATTGCATCGCTCGCAGAGGGTAGACTGGGGCAAGGAGTTCTCATGAGAAGGATGGAGCTGGGGTTTCGAGGTGCATGTGCATGCGTCGGTGGAATAGAATACTTGCAGCGTTTTGAAACAGAATTGAGTAATCATTTACATGCTCATTAATTTTAATATTGTTTCCATCCATGATTGCAGTATTATTGGCGAGGTGTCTGGTTTGGGAGACGGAAGAGATGGATGCCAGAGGCCGCAAAGGGGTCGACGTTTGTGTAAGTTCAGGACCCAAACTCAAGGAATGGCCGAGTGGTCGAAGGCGCGAGGTCTGGGGTGCTTAGGTAATCGTTTTGATAAGATAAGGTGCCGACAGACATGGGGCTCGGGCTCTTCCTCTGGAGTTATTCGTATTCTCGCCTGCATTGCACAGTACCAGTACCTTACCAGCCGGGAGGACACTCCCAGTCGTTGGCTAAGGACCCCCCCAACAGTTCTCCGGATTTTTGAAGTAAAAAGCTCCAGAAAGGGAAGGAAGCTTTGTGAGTTCCCAAAAACAAACGGAGCGAGTCGGTCCAGACCTTCACATGGCCCATGCTTCTTGCCTGTTTCAGCGTTTGGTGGGGGGTTCCATCGATTGGCTGTGGTTCCCCAGCCCTGCAACTGAGCTCCCATCACTGCCCAATCAAGAACCGCCCGCGCTTGTTTCGTCGACTCCCCAGAAACACCACCAAAATGCTAGGCTAAAATGTTCCCGCAAGAACGGCGCTTACACATGGCATTCTCGCCCAAAAAGCCGGGGCTCGGCCGAGAGCATCCATTTGGCATGGCGGCTTCTCAAACTCACCCAGGTTGCTGCGAGGTAATTGGATGACGATGAACGCGACCATAGCGGCCGCAGAGCCCCCGTCATCTCGCATGCTCAAGAAGCACACCACTGTCACCACACCATCCTCCATTCCACCTCGCCGAGCTCTAGTGCCCAGCCACGGTCACTGCTGGCCGTTAGACTTACCGCGCCGCGTCGGTGGCCTGACGCGCTGGCACCCGAGAGAATGGCTCGAAGCTACCTTGGCTTATTGCCTCGCTGTTCCAGACGGGGACCAGGGCGCAATGTGAAGAAGAGGAGTCATTTGTTGTGAATGGGTCACCGTGACCCGTCTTTTTCTCTCGTTAGGTGTCCCTTTCACCTGTTTTGTTTCTTACTTCATCTCCCTTCCAGATCCGTTGTCGTCATTCTCTCGTTCCCCATTGTTTCTATTCCTATTCCTGGCCCGTTTGTGGTTGCCATCCTCGGCCATCATTGTCCCTTTGTCTCCCAACTGTGGTTGTTCCGAGCTGGACTCTGTGATACCGCCAGTTGCCAAAGGAACAGGTCGCCTTCTAATCATCTTCCATACAACCAGCCCACAAGTTTGCTTTGATACCCTAGACCAATCACCTATTTCACTTGTATTCTCTTCTAAGGCAGGCCCTTCACAGCAGTCTTGACTGCTTTCCCCTGTTCGATTTTCACCAAGACACCATATTCAAATTCAGCAAAAATGCGTACGACAACACTAATATTACACGCCCTGTCGCTCATCGCCGCCGTTGAGGCAGGCCCTCTTCGGAACCGGCCATGGCGCCGGACGCAGGGAGGCAGGATACGAAGGCAAGCAGGGCCAGCTTTTGGGGACAACTCGACGGCAACAACCACTGCCGACACTGCTTCTCCTCTGCCAACGGTGGAGGGTTCTGACATCCCGGGTCTGTCAGGGACGCCGTTGCTGTCATCGTTGACTTCCAGCATATCGAGCATAGAGAGCTCCACATTTGCTACCTCGACATTACTGGCGAGTCCAGTATCCTCCGACCAAGTGAGCTCACTCTCGGCCAGCTCCGAGGACCCAGACTCGACCGGGACAGGAGGCGTCCCACCCTTTAACTCGCCGACCTCAACATTCACCAACACCGAGACCGCCGACGCCCTCAGTTCGACCAGCGTGTCTTCAAGCGCAACCGGATCGCCGCCTCTTCACAGCGCCATCACCTTTCCCCTTGTGGTAGCGCCCACCGCTCGACCCGTGGTGACCCCCATCAGCGATGTTTCGTCATCCCTTTCGTCGTCGACTTCGGTAGAGAGTTCCAGCCTGTCAGCCACCGAGAGCTCCTCCACCTCGACGGCTTCAACGATTGAGAGCTCGGTTATTCCTTCTGTGCCAATATTGGGTACCGGGCCAGGCTTGGCCTCGTCAACTTCCGGCTTCTTTTCGAACTCGACGGCCACATTAACCACTCCCGGCTCTGCCCCGTCCACCGGATTGCCCGTCACGACTGGCCTTTCTTCTAGCTTTTCCTCTGCCAGGCCCACCGTTACAGGCACGCCTAACTCCAACCTCCCGACGGTTATTGAGAACCCCCCAGCGACGACCACCACTGTTTCTCCCGATGTGTACCAGAGCAACATTGAGGAGGCGCGGGGATACAACAGCATTTTTGCCACTCTGACCGAGCAGTCGGCGTGCAAGCTGGGCCAGGCGGCGTGCGTTGCTGGAGGATTCGCGACCTGCGCCGACGGCGCCTGGAAGATTGTCCGTTGCCGGGATGCCAACAGTGCCTGCATTGCTATGCCTATGGACACAACCGACGGCGCAATTCTAGGCTGCACCGATATTGCTGTGGCCAAGCAGGTTCTCGGCACCGTTCCGGACGCTCTGCTGCCGGGATCGTCGACCGAATCATCCTCCACCGGCAGCTCGACCGGCCGCAGGACGAGGACGGCCATCGTCACTGTCACCAGTGGTATCGGGACAGTCACCGTGACAGTCGACCCCACCCCGACCTCAGAATCTTCGATTCTCTCTTCCACCTCCCCTTCGCTGTCGCCGTCCTCCTCAGAAATCACCTCAACAGTCTCAGAGGTCAGCTCGACGGTAGGCCCGACAACCACCAGCTCAGAAACGAGCTTCGAAACTCGATCTCCCTCCGAATCTCCCTCAGAATCCCCCTCTGAGTCGCCCTCCGAAACACTCGTCATTAGGCCCATCACCCGCACCGCCCTCATTACCATGCCCACCGGCACAGCAACTCTCACCCTGACAATCGACCCGGGCGCCACCCCCCCAGCCTCGCCGTCCCAGTCGTCATCCGAGTCTGAGTCTGAGTCCGCCGAGCCCACCGACACGCCGACTTCGAAAGAATTCCCCTTCCTCCCCCCCGGCACCGCCACCATCCCCCCCCTCATCTTCACGCCGGTGCTGCCCCGCCCCACCACGCTCTCGACGTCGACCACGACCCAGGAGACCCTCCGCGTCATCCCCATCATGGACACCACCACCACCGCCATTGCCACCCCCACCACTCTCACCACCTCCACCATCAGCAGCAGCAGTATCAGCACTAGCAGCAGCAGCAGCAGCACAACTGAGGACGAAACCACGGCCACTGAAACGGCCACTGAAAGCGCGACCGCGACGACGTCGCCCGGCCTGGCCAACGGCGCGGCCGACGGCACGGGGTCGGTGACCGTGACGCAGCAAGTGACGGTGACGGAGAAGGAGACGATCAAGGAGACGGTGACTGCCACTGTGACCATGGGGAATGTGGTGATTGTTTGAGGGGGTTCTCTCTCGTGTGCGTGTTTACTCTGATTTGTTCTGTTTTATGGGGAAGGGGATGGAGCTTAAAAAATGGACTGTGGTGTGAGAAGATTATGCCTCGGCCGATGCTGCGCTTTATAGTCGTTAGTCGTTATTTCTTTTGTTGTTGACAGCGTGATGCGTATGGCGGCGGCGTTTTGGAAACCAAGCGTCCGAGACGCCTGGTTGGATTAGTTAGGGGTTCGTTTTATCATAGTTACTATACTCGTCGAGGTCACTCCTTGCGTTAATAAACAGCCATGAACTGATGACCAACCTCCCGGTGTTGACATAATACGTGGTGTGGTTTCCTCGACCCCGGCTTCGACCACGAAACCGGGTTGAGAATAACAAGCCGCACCAAAATGAACAGATGAACGGCGTCCTTCGTGATATATATACCATTATTATATTTACTCCCGCCAGATACTCCAAGACTATATACCTAGATCTGTATATCATCCCATGCCCTTCCCCGAAAGAAACCGTGCCATGCCACGGGCCATGCTGGTGCAATGCTGCTCTATACCGAAGCCCGTATACATGGCATGCAATCGTCAGCGTCGTCAGTGTCATCCCGGACCCAGCGCAACTGTCGCCGGTATATGGAACTAGCCCCAACCACCACCGGTATATAGGACAGTCCCAACTCTCGCCGGTATATAGAAACCTCCCCAGCCACCACCGGGGTATATAGGACCCATCCCAACTGCGTCGAGTATATAAGCCCCCTCCGCCCCCCTAAACATCACCGGTATATAGGACGTCCAACCCCCATCCACCCATTCACCGCCTCCTCCTGAACCGACTGTTGTGTCCCGGCCCGCCTTTGGACCCCGCGTTCCGCAGCTTGAGGCGCTTGAAGTTGGCGTGCGCCGTCGCCTTGACCTTGCGCACCGCCCTCTTGACGACGCCCTCGCCCTTGGGCTCGGCGCCGCTCTTGGCCTTCTTGTCGTTGGCGGCGGGCGCTTTCGGCTTCTTTGCCTTGGCCTTGACGTGTCCGTCCTCCTGCTCATCCGAGTCGGAAGCAACGAAGTCGGCTTCCGACGCGGAGTCAAAGTCTGAGAGGCGCAGGTTGTCGGCGTCCCCGCCTGCCGTGGTGGTGGTGGGTTTGGAAGCGTTGAATTGTGTTTCAGGGACTAGGTCGATGTCTTCCTCCTCTTCTTCGCCGCCGGGTTCACCCCCGGTCTGGGCGGGCCGCCTGGCGCGGGTCGGCCGCATGTTGACGAGGCGGGTGCTGCGCTTCTGGCCGCGTTTCTTGAACTGGCGGAGAGGCTGTTTTTGCTTCTCTTCGTCCAGGCTGTCGTAGAGAGCCTCCTCGTCGAAGCCGGAAAGCAAGCCTCCGGGTGCCTCCCCAGCCGTCTCGTCCCCTTGTTGTGTTGCCTTGCCAGGCGGGTCACGGCCCAATTGAGGTGGCGCTTGACTGTCCCCAACCTCGACCTCTTCCGCCACAGCTTTCTTCCCCATCCCAGCGCCGCCGGCGCCAGCACCACCACCCTCCCTCGGCATTTCCATCTCCATCTCCATCTCCCTCAAGACATCCTCCTCCTCCCCAAACGCCTCATCCTCCATCTTCCTCAGCCCCGCAACAACGCTGCTCAAACTGCGCCCAAGACCTCCCAGCTTGCGTGGCAGCCTCAGCGGGCCAACCCTCCCCCACCCCCCATCCCCATCCTTATCCTCGTCCCCATCCTCCCCGTCTTGCCCCGCCCCACCACCACCACCGCGCTCATCCTGCTCATCCACGCGCGCCAGCCCAGCAGTGCCTGCCGCGGTGCCCATAGAGACGGCGCGGCGCCGCAGGAAGGAGGGCGTGGAGCTGGTGGGGGTTGCGGCAGTGGTGTTGTTGGGTCTTGCTTTGGAGATGCGGTGGGTGGAGGGGGTCTTGAAGGGCGTGATGGTGGTGTTGTTTTCCTTGCCACCGTCCTCATCGGTGACACTACCCCTGCTACCGCGGCGGCGGCGGCGGTGGGGTGTCGTGGTGGAGGTGGAGGGCTGGAAGAGGCGTTGGGCGGTGGTGCGTTTGGACTGTGGTGTGGTGGCGGTGAAGCGGGCGGTTGTTGGGGTGGTTGTGATTGTTCTTGACGTTGTTGTTGTGGTTGTGGGGAGGAGGTTTGTTGTGCGTTGCTTGCTGGGGGTTGCTGCAATAGGGAGGGTGTTGGCTTTTGTGGCAGCTGAGCTGGACCGCGAGGGGGTGCGGCCGAGGAGGTCGAAGATGCCGAGAACGCGGCCGTCTCTTTGTGGTGTTGGGCTGATGGATGTTGGGACAGCGGCTAGGGGGGTGGAAGATGTCCGGTTTGAGGACGGGGTGCCAACGTGGGCTGCGGAAGGGGTGAGAGTAACGGCGGGCATGTCCTCAGGGTGGGAATGGTGGGCATTTTGTAGTGTCTGGTCAGGCTTAGACCTCTTGGAGGGCGTTTGCGGAGGAAAGGCGGCATCGGACTGGGTCCGTTTGCGTTGCTGCTGGTGCTGCTGGTGCCCGCGGGTGGCTTCGACGGGACCCGACGGGGGGGGCGGGATCTTGCCTGCGAGTATGTCCCGAATCTTATTGTACTGTTTGTATTTCTGGACTATTGTCCCCGACTGGTCAGCTGGGGCGCGTAAAGCAACAAACGCAGCAACGGGTACGCACCAATGTCGGGATTGTGTTTGATGTCTTCGCGGCCCGGCTTCTTTCCCGCGTGTGCAACCGCCCAGTCCCCTTCCCATTGCTTGAGATCAGCCCGCAATTGCAGGGATTGGTCTTCGTAGGCCATCCGGGCCTGGTCGTCCATCGTTTTGTGCGGCATCGGTTACTTGTGCTGTTTGTTGAGGATATGGTGACTTCAAAATCGAGTGAATTGGGAGCAACAAGTGCACTGGTCGAGGTACATGTACGGGCAGCTGCAGTTACCATACAGACTCCACGATACAGCGCCCTGAGCGCGTTGGACGCGTTCAGCAGTGGACCCCACATGCGATCATCCTTGGCGCTGGCAGGGTCAATTGAGCGGGCTTTCAAGTGGAAGCCAGGGTGCCCCACCAAAATGTCCCTTTACAAGAACACCGACTTCTTGAGACCATCGCTCATGGACGCAGGAGGAGCAGGACACGATAGTTCTGATGACATCCAAACCCAAGTTTTTAAGACAACCCTTGCCGAAATAGAAACATTTCGAGAAAACCCTGAGGATTCTGCCGAGTCCCGCGACTGCTGCGTCATCTGCCTCGACTCCATCTCCGACCCTTGCGCCGCTCTCCCGTGCGGCCACACCCACTTCGACTTCCTCTGCCTCGTGAGCTGGTTACAGCAACACCCAAACTGCCCGTTATGTAAGGCAAACGTCTACAAAGTCCGCTGTGCGGACGCCCAGAAAACAGAAGCATTCTACCGCGTGCCCAACACCCCGAGGACTCGCGATGAACGAGATGAGGGGGCGGTAGACCAGAATACACTCCTCGACACAGCATCCCGAAGAAGATTCACATCTCACAATGGATTGCTGCGGGAAACACAGAGGAGGGGGCCGAGACCGCCACCCACCGTGGACGAAGCCATCCAGCGCCGCCGCGACGTCTACCAGTACCAGCTATACTCCCTACGTAAGAACACCCCTCCCCCCCCTCCAACCGAGCGAAACACCAACCAACCCCCCCTTCTCAGACATAGGATCCAACCGAATATCCCGCTACCGCCCTCCCCCAACGCCCGTACAGTTCGCCACGACACCACACCTGGTCTCACGCGCCCGCCTCTGGATCCGCCGCGAACTGCAGGCCTTCTCCTTCCTCTCCGAACCCCCCACCACCACTAATAACACCAATAACACCAATAACACCGCCAACACCAACGCCGAATTCCTCCTCGAATACATCATCGCCATCCTCAAGACAGTCGACCTCCAGGACAGCGCGGGCCAGGCCGAGACAATGCTAGCCGATTTCCTCGGCGGGGCGGCCGCGGCGCGCCTGTTCCTGCACGAGCTGCGCAGCTGGCTGCGCAGTCCCGCGGCGGGGCTGGCGGCGTGGGATCGCGAGGTGCAGTACCCCGCCCGCGAAGCGCGTGATCGTGATCGTGATCGTGGTCGTGGTCGTGGTAGTGCGGATGAGGGCGTCGAGGAGGGTGGTGACGATGACGATGATCGGGGTGGGGCTGGTGAGGATGGGCTGGGGGGGAGGTCGTGGCGGGATCGGGGAGGGGATCATTGGCGGGCTGGGGCCTATGTGGGAGAGGGAGGGAAGAGGAAGAGGAGGGAGGATGAGGTGGGTGAGGGGAGGGTTGACCGGCCGAGGAGGTGAATGAAAATGTGGCTGGTCGGGGAGGGCGGACGGTAAACTCCTGGCTCTCTGTATCCTACCTTTTGGTTTGAAGAGGCTGGGGGAAGGGCACGAACAAATGGAGGCGAAGGTGAAGGTGAAGGTTTAGACTACGATACCCCATTACTGATCTTACATATGAACTCTGTTCTATACATTTCTACTTCTCTTCTTAACCGTTCCCCTGTTCCATCAGGTGTAACAGCACGGCGGTCTGGGAATACTAACACCCCGGAAGCCATACTTCCCCTCGTCCCATTTCCCGGCCGGTTGATACCTCCTCGGAAGTAGCACCCTTTCTTCAGCCCACTACCGCCAACCGTTTGAACACGGACAGCCCAACAAATATCAAGCGAGCACATATAAACTTGACAGCACATTTAACAGAGGTCTACCTATTCTCTCTCTAGAACAAACTGATCGGATGTATTGTGCATGCGAAGCGCTCGGAGCCACAACCACGGCCAACGTCAAAGGCGGGCGCATATGGCGGGCCTCTTCATGGTCAACGACGTCGTATTCTTTCCACCTCGTACTCTCCACCTTTCCCCCTTCAGTACCTCTCTCTCTTCCCGTCCCTCTTTCATCTAAATCCATCGACTGATCAGGTGTCAGACCGCACGCCCGCTCGTGCTCCTTCACTCTGACATTACCGATACTTACAGCACCCCTGAGACACAAAGCCCCTACAACCCCAGTAGCAGCTTCCAAGCACATAATCGACAAGGAAACCAGGCAGAAGATTAAAAGTGGCTTGTAGCAAGACATGTGGATGCATCGCCGTTTCGCGCGTCAGAGACTTGTGGAAGGAATCTGCTGACACCGCGACAACCGCCCGTACAGTATAGATCATAAATTGCATGGCCGAGTGGGAGCTGCTCGAGAACTGCGGCCAGAGGAAAACTCGGAGTAGTATGTTGACCAGTACGGTATAGACGAAGCAGCACCAGAACGTAAGTCGACGCTCGAGAGGGGTGCAGCCGACGGCGGGGGGAGCCGATGGCGCGTTGTTGTCTTTGTTTTGGGTATCCATGGATTGATAGATTGGGTTTAGAATCTGCAGGAGTGTACAAGTAAGGTAGATGAGAAGTTGAAGAGGGGGGGCGGGGGGGGGGGTCAGGTTATCCATTAAGTGTGTGTATACTTGAAGGAGGGGGCTGTGTCGCTTGTCTGTACGATTTGTACGACTCTCACCACCGCCCCTTAAGCCACTGAAATTACTGGATGAGTTGAGTTGTCACGATTATCGGTAAAACCATTTGAGAAAGATCGACTTGGGATTCTTACAGTTATACGAACATCCATCCATTGTAGTGTAACCCTAACTAACCGGGTTGTAGCCCAGGCGTCAGACGACGATCCCGGACTCGAATAGGTATTTACAAGTACACTACACAAATCGTAGGAGCCCTCTTCAGACGGAACCTGAAAGCGGAAAGCCGGCAGCATGTTGGGTGGGATAATTACATGCCCTCAAACTCGCCGCCGAGGTCGTCCTCGTCCAGGTCGCCCTCCTGAATCTCCTTGGCCATCTCCCGCTCGCGCTCCCTAGCCTCTTGGGCATTCTTGAGTTCAAGACGGTGCTGGTTCATGGGGAACCTCATGGCCTGGCGAGTAGATTCTGGTTAGCAAGGGTGAAATCACAGCGATTTATAGAAACTAGCAGCCGGCCACATACCTTGACGCTCTCGTCGTGCAGGGCCAGACAAGCACGGATGCGGTCGTGGAACGCCTCGCCCGGCTCCCGTGTGGCGTACACATCACCAACCTCCTTGCTCTTCATGAACCCCCGCTCGCGGTCGAGCGTTGCCTCAATAACACCGTCACGGATCGCCTTGGCCACAATGTACTCGGCGCTCTCCTCGGAGCCCAGGTGCAAACGGATGCAGATGTCGCGCAGGGAGATACGGCTGTAGCTCAGGCTCATCATGCGGATGCCCGTCTTGATGACGTTCTGGCGGAGGCGCAGGATCAGCGTGTAGGTGCCGTCGCGGCGGAAGGTGTCCGCGTGCTCGGCGATGATGGTCTCAAAATCCCCCAAGTTGCCGACGCGGACCGCCTGGACGAGCAAAAAGTAGGGGTGCAGCGCCGTCTCCATGCTCGGCTGGCGGAAGGTCGCCCGGTCGGGGATGTCACCCATCAGGAGCTCCACAACAAGCAGCAGCTTGGTCGCGGTTTGGCTGAATCCTAGTGCGCACGCGCTCGAGGGTGCCTTCCGCGTCGCAGCCGTCAGGTGCTCGTGGGCCTCTGTGTAGCGGAGCTGGATGGCGCGGGTGCGGCCGAGGTAGTAGAGGAAACGAGCGACCTGGTTGTTTGCCGCATTCTCGGGGAACTGGGTGTGCGAGACCAAGAGGTCGGCTTGCGAGATGTGCGACGTGAGTAGGTAGTTCCGGAGGAGGAGAACGATGACGGTAGCTTGCGTGTCGACATCTTTGCGGAGAACGGCTGTCCTGAGTGCCGCAAGAAGCGTTGGCCGGATTCCCACGATCGGTGACTGAGGAGACGGCGGAAGGGGGGCGGTCTGCTCCGCAAACAACGAGTAGTAGAAGTACACCTTCGCAGAGAGGCTGTCGAGCGTGCGGCGGTTGACTGACCGGATCCGGTCGACCAGGTAGTGCGAAAACTCGAATCCTTTCTGGAGCTGTTGGCTGTCATGCAAGACGACTTGTGTGAGGATCCCGAGGAAGACGTCGACTTCGGGGATGACGTCCTTGGCTTCCTTCTTCACGCCGTTCTTGCCGGCAGCCTTCGGCTCGCTGTCAATTTCCATCTCCGGGCCGGGCTGCCGACCCAGGGATACGTCCGACTGGCCGATCGCCTCCAACATCTGCCTCGCAACATTGGCGCTAGCTGAGGATGACAGGTAGGTCTCTGAAATGGCTTGAGCAAGGATATCGGGAGTCAGGCGTTTCCGGATTGACGAGATGGACCGCAGGGCGCGCAGAGAGAATCTGGCGTCGAAGAGCGCAACGGCACGGTCTAGAAGGGCGAAATTGCTCTTGATATCTGTTTACATGGTCCCTGGTCAGTTTCGGCGGCCCCGAGCAGTAGATGGAGCCGGCATACCGTTGATGGTCTGGGCCACAGGGTCGACCTTGGCTTCCCCCTCAGCAGCCTTATCGGCGTCATCCATGGCGACGTCGCCCTCGGAATCATTCGGCGGCGGAACGGACGACTGTTTGGATGCTTTTGACGGCGGAACCACGACCGTCATCTCGTCATCGCCCTCCTTCTTGCTCGCCTTCTTCCCCTTGGGCTTGAGATCCTTGCCCCCGCGGTAGCCGCCGTTCTCGACGGGTTCCTTCTTATCAGGTGTCTTGCCGGGCATGTTGAGGACTGGTCTGTGCGGTAGGGATAATTCGGTGCGTATCCGGCGATGAGGAACGGGGGGGTGGTGATGGATAGCGCCGGGGCGATCGCGGAGCGCGCGGCGGCTTGTTGGCCCAGGTCAGACGGGCGACCCTCGCCTACCTTGGTTTGTTTGTTGGGGGGGATGCGGACGCTCAACGGTCGGCCAAGGCGTGCGGGAGAAGGAAAACTGGCTGGGGCGCAAGTGCAACGTACTACAGGCAGTCGAAATCACTATCGCCGTGGTGAATGGGGGTTTGTTGTGCTCGGGTCTGCGATGCAGGAATGGAAGGTTCGAAAAGCTCGAGGGCAAGTCGGAGATTGGGGAGGCAGTCGCCAAACGTGACACAACCCGGGAAGCCGCTGGTGCTGGGTGGAAGCTTGTCAAAGTACTGAGTTGCGCAAAAGTACCTTATATTTCCACATATTATGCGGGGTATTCCAGGTACAAGCTTGGGCCACGGTACCTGCTTAGCTGCACTGCACCAAAACCGATGCGCCTGCATGGAGAAGGCAGTGGTGCGGCTCGCCCCAAATGACCCACTTGGGCTGGCTGGATGCTTTGTGACGTTGTCGATTTGCTGCCTGTTGGGTCACAGCTTCTTGCGCTTTCTGCGCATTGCCCTCGACTCTCGGTCGCGGGACAGCGACCAGGACCTTGCAGAACCTCTAGGTTGTCCGGCCGTGGTGACAAACATCTCGCGCCGTCACCGCTTTCTTCTTAAATAAAACTTACAATAGCGCTATTCGTATTTGCCTATTGCTGATCGTTCGCACAACAGCCACACCACCCAACTTATTCAACGAGTCCTCATCGGGCGCCCTCAGCAGACTCGGGATGACCAACTGGCACGCGCCGGGAGGTTCTGTCCGCCTTGCAGCTGATTGGGTCGACACAGCCTTGTCTGTGCCCAAAAATACCGAAGCCTCAAACCATCTTGTTCCTGCGCCGCTCCCGCACCACAAACGGCTTCCCAAAGCGGTGCCAAGCCTTGTTCGAAAGGGCGAGGCGCTAAAAAGAGACGTCAAGCGAGGTGCCGGAACAGGACTACTACTTTCAGGACGGGCTCGGGACTCAGGACATGTGGAAAACCTCACAACAAACACCGAGATTTTATGAGCTGTGCTATTCCCTCTAAACGCGTAGAAATAAAAACCTAAGCTGAAAGGAATCAAGCAAACCATACTGCGATGATATCGCTCCAGGGCTTTAATCCTCCTCGTTCAGAACCGCTTGTCCATACGCCATATTCCCCAAGTGCAAATGAGATACCGGCTCAACCTCATATCCCGAGCCGGAGGCTTGTTACCTGTCCCATGCGCCGGCCCCGTAACCTCCACTCCCGTAAAAGCCGGGTTGTAAAGAAAGAAGAAAAAAGGAAACCAGATGATCTTTGTGGGGAAACAAATTACCCGTCACAGATCCCCCTTACCAGGGACAACCTTGGCGGCCTGCACGGCGCTCATTTTCTTTATCCATGAGCTGTTCGGCTGGACCTTGCGGACCGTCCGCAACTCCTCGCTTGAGTAACCAGGGATGCGGATGTTGTAAGTACGCTCCAGTACAAGCTGGATGTCGCGGATCTCCAGGACCTTGGAGCCTCGCTCCTTGGCGTTGCGGCATGCCTGGTGAAGGACATTGTCGACGAAGGAATCAGCCATGGTGAGGACAGACTGGGTCGCGTGTTAGTAAAAAAAGCACCGATTGCTGGGTACAAAGATAAGGCCAACTCACCTCCTCCACTTCGGGAGTCAACAGGTTGCCCTCCTGGCCTTCGGCCGTTCCACCGCAGACCTGACGCACGAGCTCGTCTAGCTTCTTCTTGTTGAGGATGCGTTCACCCTCGCCCTCAAGTTGGTAGGCAGGCGCCTTGTTCAACGGGGGCTGATTCATAACGCCACCTCCGATGCCACCGCCGCCACTATAGGTTGGGCGGCTGGTGTTGTTGCCAATCCCCCCAATGTTGGGGACGGGAACCGGCATTTGGGCAGCCTTCTCGTGGAGAGTTTTAGCGATTGGGAGTTTGGGCTGCAAGTTCAGCGTCGCTGTTTGCGCTTGCGGCGGGTGAGCGTGCGAGTGCCCTTGCTGCTGCTGCTGCTGCGCTGCGCCAATGACGCCGAGACCCGACGCCGGGTTGCTTCCGGGCCCGGTGGTGGGGGGCGCTGGGATCGCGCCGGGCCGTTGCGACGCCAGATTTACGGCAGCCGCGTGCGTAAGAGGGCGAATGCTGGTGTTCGCGGTCGTGGGCGTCGCCGACTGCGGGGTCTGCAGGCGCGCAGAATTCTGAGTCGGTGTCCCGGCCGATGGAATTCCACCCACAGATGTCGCAGCTGCGATAGCCGTATTGAGAGGTGCAGGAAGGGGTTGCGTGCCGGGTTCTATTTTGATCGGTGGGGCTGGATGCTGAAGTTGTTGGGGTTGTTGGGGTTGCGGTTGGGAAGTGGCAGGTTGTGCGGGAGGCGCCTGGGTGACCGGAGAGTGTTGCGCCTGTGCTGGTGTTGCCGGAGTTTGTGACTGGTGTTGTGGTGGTGGCGGTCCTTGCTGTGTGGGCAGCGCATTCGCCGCACCTGGCACGCGACCGGCGGCTAACTGCTGTTTTTTGGCAGCCTCAATGGCAGCATTGACAGTAGCAGTGGAGTTTTGCATCGAGTTTGCGGGAGCTGCGACCGGCGTCCCGTTGTTCAATCCCGAGCCAGGCTGGGTTACGCCTTGCGATCCTGCAGTTTGCGGGCGCGCTTGATTTGCGGCATTGGGGCCGGCGGCACCGTTCTGCGCCGGCCTCTGGTTGCCGCCGCCATACTGTTTCCGCACGAGGTTTGCGAACGAAATCGCCTCAGTGTACTGCTTTTGAAGTTGCGCCTTGCGTTCTTCTAGTTTTTTCCGCTCCTCGGGGGGCATGGACTGATTCTCATGTAGTGTCTGGTCGATGGACTTCGTCGTGCTGCGGGCGCTGTCCATCGAATACAAGGCCCTTGCGTATTTGCCTTTGATATCCTCCAGCCATTTCGCCTTGTCCTGGACGCCGTTCGGGGGTTGAAAGTGCATGTCGTTCAGATGGCTGACGATATGGGCGGGCATGCCCCTCGCTTGCTGCCCGGTTGCTGGTGGCTGAGAAGCGGGATTGCCCATGTTGCCTGAGGGTCCGGCGCCGCCTTGGGTAGTCGGAGGCGGTTGCGCGTGGGGCGTAGCTTGGGCTTGGCCCGGTTGCTGGATGGGCTGCGGCGGGCGTTGCTGCTGCTGCTGCTGCTGCTGTTGCTGTTGTTGTTGCTGCTGTTGTTGTTGCTGGTGCTGTTGTTGCTGTTGCTGTTGCTGCTGCTGTTGTTGCTGATGCTGTTGCTGTTGCTGTTGCTGCTGGTTCTGAACCTGGCTACGGCGCTGGTGAAGCTTGGCCACTAGCATCCGGCCGAACTCGGCAATTTTCTTCTTTGCGTCCTCCTGCTGGGTAGAGCCAGGAACAGCTGTGTCGTGCACTTTCCAGAGGCCGGCGAGACCTTTCTCGTACTTAACTTTCTCGTCCTCGCCGAGGAAATTGATACCCCGCATCATTTCCGGTCGATAGAGAGGGGGCACTTGCTGCCGGTTCGGTGCACCCGCGACCTGGGCATTCGGGGCGTTTGCCCGGCCTGCTAGGCCTTGTCCTGGTGCTGGGTTCATTTTGCCACTTCAGCTTTCGACGCGCCAACGGATGTTGAGGTTTGGGAATTCTCGTGCGATTTGGTGATGGGAACGTTCCCGGCCGTAACAAATCCGGACACAGAGGGTCTAAGTTGATCGATGTTCGATGCTCGACACTTTCGGGGGGTAGGTAGGTAGGCTGGGTCACTGTGGGTTACCACAGGCGCCGCGCGTGCGTGGGGCGTTTGTTTGCAATCAGGTCAATGGCGAATTTCCAGTACAATGGGACAGAAAGCCCGTTAGATTGAAAGCATCAGCTTTGAAAGCGTGGGATAATCCCCTGGGATTCGCGAGAGCTTTGAAATGCTGGGGCGTGGGAACTTGGGAAATGCGTGAGGTCTGTGTCAGGCCAGGCGCGGAATGTTGCTTGGAAGTTGACCGGCCCATTCCTTTCGCAACCAAGGGGAAGGCATCTGGCGAGCCCAGCCGTCGCGGGTTTTCCTGATTGGTCAGCCTTGCAACAGTCAGCATCCACCAACCTCATCGCCTCCCAGCCTTGTGCCCTCGGGCTCATGGTACCGAAGAGAAACGTGGATGGATGCCACATGACGTTGGTAGGTTGCCTAGGAAAATACCCAATTCCGTCTTACGGATAGGCGCCTTGGGATACCAGGTACATATACATCGCGACATTGCAAGACACCGTGAAGGAATCACCCTGTGCCAGATATATTGACCGAACATGGAACCGCCGTCTATAAAAACAGTCTATCCCGTCTTTGAGGTGCCGGGAGCAGGCTGCACAAGAAATTGGTCCACCTGTCCACTCCGAGATATCAACCACACCACCCTTTGCCCAAGCGCCACCGAGTCCCCAGCCCGAGGTATCATCAGCCATGAACGATGCAAAGGCCACGAGTCCAGCTATGGATGAGAGACGAATCACTCCGTCTCGCATCCCCGGCTGCTGTGGCGTTCCGTCCCGCCGGGAAACCGCAGATTTACTTCCCGCCTATCAGGAAAACCTTGACAAGAACAGAACCATTGGCGGGACAAAGCGGAAGCAAACGCTCGGCTGCTAGGAAACCGACCCTAAACCTGGGCTCCCTCCCTTCTTTCTATCGCCAGGGTCGCCATTATAAAGCTACATTGCACGGCATGAAACAGACGCCCGCCAAAGATGCCACCAGCACCCATCATACACGCACCAGATAGTTCGCTATAGTCGTTCTCGCAATTCGTTTTGGTTTATCGTCACGTCATCATCGTCGTCATCGTCGTCGTCAGCGTTGTTGGTATCGGTATCAAAAGGTAGTAGAGGGACGATGAAAAGGGAAATCGTGATCATGCCGGGCCAGGCCGGTCGCCCCAGTCAGGTCTCCACGGTAATGGCGATGTGGAGATGGAGTGGGTGCCCAGCGCTTAGCGCCGTCATGGAGAATCGACTTCCATGCTAACGTATTCATAATAAGGAAGCTCCCGCGCGAGTGACTCGCCGACCAGGATCTCATCCTCGCTCGAGCCCGGCTCGTCGAGCTCGTCGATTCTAGGCGCCAGAGGGTCCGAAAACTGCAGACTCCGCCGGTCACCGACTCTTCGGCGTAGGCGGCGTGCGCTGGAGCCGGCCTCCTCGGCGCCTAGGAATGACCGGATATCCTCACGGTCCGTATCGCTGCCAATGCTTTCACTGATGGTCCGCTTGCCGATGCTGCCCGATGTCATTCGTTTGTGTCGTGCTGCTGTACGCCGCTGGATCAGGAATTCCTGGTATTCGTGCTCGTCCAGGTCTGTCTCGTCAGAGTCGCTGCAGTTGAGGTTTCCGAGGTTGAACATCATTCTTTGGTCAATCTCTGGTCGGGTCCGCGACGTAGAGCGGCTTCGGTCCGACTCGGCGTACTCAATGGCGCAGGGCCGGACCACTCCAGGCCGCTCGTCGTCGCTGTCGCCAAAGTCGCTCAGCTCCTCAACGACAAACTCGGTAAACTCGGCCTGTGTCACAATGCGGCCTATCCTTGCCTCCGGCGCGAGTGGGGCCGGCGCAGGTCGCCGCTCTGTAGCCGCCGAAGGCGAGGGGATGGCCGCATTTCGAGGTTCCGAAGCCTCTGAGTCTGACGAATCTGACGACGGGGCGGACGATGAGCTAGTGGAGCGGGGGGAGAGTTGTTCGGGGCGAATCGCAGCGGAGTGGCCGAAGTTGAGTCCGTTGACCGCCTGTCGGGTCGACAGTGGCGGCGCCATTGGACGCGGATGAATCTGTGGCGGCCGTTCCCCAGGCCGGGGACTGCTCTTGCGGCCGAAAACGGGCGAGGCGGTCCTGGGTGTCTCCGGTGGTGACGACGGCCCCACGTTCTGAGATATTTTCGAATTTGTCGTCGTTGGCCACATGGTCTGCGACTTGTGCTGCAGCCCGGACGAATTCGGTTGGGCTTTGATTCCCAAATATGGCGTCGTTCCGCTGGGGGACCCTGCCGCGGGATCTTATCGATGGGCCCTTGTGAGTGTGGGGTAGACGGGATAAAATGGCGGGGAAGAGGGAGAGAAAATAATAAGAAGAAAAGAAAGAAAAGATTGTCCAGAAAGCGGGATCAAGGCGTCAGCACCCAAAGAATAAACCTCCAACGAGGAGAAGATATGGGGCTTCGGTTGGTTGTCATGATAATGTCGTGCAGAGTCTGGGTGCAGGTTGCGTGCAGCGCAGGTTGATTCCCGATATTGCGTTAGGGGAAAATCTGAGCAAAGGCGAGTCGACTAACTGAGTGCGATTGTGGGGGGGGGCGCGAGTCGTGTTGGGGGGCGAGGATGCTGCGCAGAATCGCTGGCTGATGCCACGGCTCAGATGCAGATGTGCGCCGTTGCGCGCGCGCTGCTGAGTGGAAGTCGCTGCGCAAGGAATGGCTGCCCGGGGCCTGGGTGCCGGCGGCGGCTCGTCGGGAGAGCGGGGTGGCCAACTACCTAGGCCCTCGTGACAGAGGTCGGGATAAAGTTAAGGTAGGACCAAGATGCGGTGGCTCTCCCCAGCGCCGTTTTTGTCATCTGTTAGTATTTTGGCGGAGAACTGGTTCTTTTTTTATTCTAGAAAGATGGGTTTGTGTCGTCCGAGCTCCGAGACTGGGCTACCTAATTTTCCAGAACTCCGGATCGCACTTGGGCACCGGACCGAAGATCCATCTTTTATCGTTTGGCTACTATTTCCCCCATACCTTTTGTGCAGGGTTTTCAAGCCCCGGACAACACAGGGACCGCGAGCGACCTCTCCGAGGTCAAATCGTGTTGGCCGGGCGTCGTTCGGAGGCGTAGCGGCAGCTTGGGCAGCAATGCTCCAGCAGACCCCCGAATTTTCCTGGATGAAGGCCGCAAGCGAGCGCGCTATGGATCGCGGAGCCTGTGAGAGCGACTCAACGCAAAAGCTGTCACGATGCGAAACCGGCGGTCGGCGCAAAGCGCCCGAGGATTTTATGGGTACCAGCTTCATGCTGTGCCAGGGCAGATCGTGGTGATGGTTGAGTTGTCCATCGCATCAGCAGTGCGCATCAGAGCAGAGAAGGGCCTGCGCGGAGTCTCTGGCGTCCCACAAAGGCCCGATGTTCATGATGAGCTACGACGAATCAGGGCCCCGGCTGCCACCGAAAAAGTCGGGGGCCTGGCTTATTTCTGGAGTTTTTCCTGCAGTAATCTGCTTCAGCGGCAACCATGCCCAATGGCTGGAAGAAGAAGCGGGATCCAAGAAGCAAGAGGTTGCATGGCTCCTGACACGCGGTAGGTGTTCGTTGCAAGGGGGGGATTCCGCAGATGCGCAGTCCCAAGGGCTGGGTGTTTCTAATCGTCGTCTCTCCACCAAGCGATTATTCGAAAAAATGGGCTGGACACCACAACCAATGCGTCTCAAAAGCAGCACGAGCTGTTCGTATCCCGATGTTCAATGATGCGATCTTGTGTGCACACATCGAAGGAGTGGTCATTGGGGCCCCCCGTGGGCAGACGGCAGACGAGAGGGCTGTTGTCCCAGCCACACCTAGGGAGGTATCTTGGCGGTGTCTCCCGAGTGCACCGCCACATTCAAGATGACAGCATACGGAATAACACACCACTGCTAGTGCTCGATTAAGTAGAAGTTGATTTCTTTTATCGGAGATTCTTGTGGAAATAAGAAACTTGGATCAGTGGGAGAAGACTGAAGAAACTAGGTGCCTACCGGATAGGGGTGATTCCTAAACGCCCACTGGTTGTATTACTGGTTTTATAGGAAATAAGAAACGAATCTTTTAGACTAGACATTTGGATATAACGAAGGCGGCGCCGAGGAATGGACGGCCGTCGACTAGAGGTGGTGGATAGAGGCAGGGAACTTAACGAAGCGGCTCTTCCATATTCGGAAACATACTCGGTATCTCATCCCTTAGGTCGGGTATTCATCAGGGGGTTCACCGCTAGGGCACTCTAGAATGATTTTGAATGTTTGATTGTACGATTAATCAATAGAAGACACATTCAGTTATTGTTTGCGTTCCTCACTGTCAATCATGTTCGTTTACAAGATTGCCCCTACAAGGAACCTCAAGTCAACGACGTGGTTTCAGGTTTTTGTTAGTCTCGAAGTGCCACATGCTAATTCCGTGGCTCGTTGACGTTCAAGTTGGTGTCATTCAACCCCAACCCGCAGAACATAAAGCCAACCCTAGCCGGCGTTTTGGCTGCTATCCCGCCATTCTGCTTCAACACCATCTGCTAGAACACGACACCCACCCCCTGTTCCCAGCCATGACGAAAGAATTAGCCACGCAGGATGAGGGGGTTACAGCACTCCTGAGTTTCGTGTATTCGGGTGCAATAGGGTCTCCTAAAGGGAAGGGTGTGGGTTATGCGCTGGCCAAAGAAACAGGGACCGCTTTCACTTGGGTAGCTGCTCTGGAGGATATCGAGGGTCCCCCAGCGCCCATCGATCGATACCTTATAACCTTCGACAGACAATCAAGAAAAGTTCTTCCGCCAAAACCTGTCGTGCTCCTCGAGCAAGAGCTCGCGGAAGCAATCCTTGCGGCCACGGGCTACCATATTGCCTCGTCAACGAGGTTCACCGATGGAGCGCTAAGCATCTCATACAAGATCACAGTCCAAGAAAGACCGGACATCGCCTATATCCTCCAGCTACGCCATCATGGCTCGGTAGCGTCCATGGACTCTTTCATGGAATTCGTTTCCACGACGGCCGACCCGCAGATATTGCCTTTGCCGCAGGTGTTTCCGATCCCCGGAGAGGTGGATCGGCAACTGGCGGCAGGAATGGGCCGACAAATCACTCGGTTCGTCCCGGGCATCATCGCATCCTCGATTTACTCACGGTTGTCCCACCAGGAGAAGCTTGTTCTCGTCCGAAAAATGGGACTTGCCTTCCAGGCCTGCTGGGAGATTGAGTTGCCAAAGCCTCGTCTCATTGGTGAGCTCATCGCACGCCCAGCTGAGGCCGGCCGAACTACCTTGGAGGTCGGGCCGGATCGGCACCACGGCCTAGGAGGCCCTTTCCATTCCGTCCGGGACTATCTTCGAGCCTACATCAGGTCGTCACTGGTGAGGCTCCAGAAGCAACAAGGGATCGAAGAGTACAAGGATAGTTTCCAACACCGCGTTGAGGAGTTTGTCGAAAACCGCCTCGACAAGAGCATTCCAGACGTTGTGGAAGACATTCCCATCGTAGCCGTCCATGCAGACATGGGCCTACACAATGTCATCGTGTCCGAGCAGGCACCGACCGAGATCCAAGCCTTCATCGACTGGGAGTTTGTTTCTAGTGCCCCATACGCCTCGCTGCACCGCATCATCGAGATGCTTTTCCGCAAGCCTGCACCCAATGGATTTGGCGCCGAGTACGATGGCGCGGGCGAGCTCCGGGACGCTTTCTGGAACGCCATCCCCGATTGGAAGCGATGCAATCAGAGCCAGGCGACACGCGTCTTTCTTGAGTGGTACAGGTTCGGCCTTTTTATGAAACCGGAATGGAGACCTGACGGGTTAACCCCCGAGGAGAAAGATGGCTATTGGAGAGAAAACATTCGGGTTGTGGAGGGCATTTTGGACAAGTACGCAGGCTAATTAAGGGGAATTCTTTTATTCGCGCCTTGAGAGAGATGGCGCTCTTTTGCCTGCCCGGGGGCGCAACCTCGTAGTGAGGTTGAGTACTGACCGAGGCATGTCGTTGCTTGGAAACTTTCAGATAGTCAAGTCGTTAAAAACAATCACGTGGGGTCGCGGGGCTCGATCTTCAATTTCCATGCCAAGACAATTAATGACGTGCACTCATGCTCCCCTCCACGGAGAGCAACGATCATCTTTCGAACCAAGACCGACATCGACAACTTTTAGTTAGAGTCGCCATCATGCCATTCTTATCTGCACATTTGGAGCAAATCTCCATATCATGTCAGGGTATTGATAGCCTCCCGTAAGGTCTCCCAAGCCATCGTACCCGACCGGGTCCCCCTATACTACCTAAGTAAACAAAACAACACGCATGCTAATCGCAAGACGCAAATAGCTTCCCACCCCCCAAAATCTTCACCAGCGCACTCCTCTCCAACCCCGACATCACCTCCCTCATCCGCGACACCGAAGCCCACGAGCGCGCCCTCTTCTCCGTCCCCGCCCCGCCCCCACCCCCACCAGCACCAACGACAACCCGGCAGAACCCAGACCCGGCCCCGCCCAAGCCCTCCTCGCGCCGCCAGACCGTCTTCAACGTCGCCGCCGGCGAGGTGACCACGGGCCCGCCGCCCAACTCCACCCGCACGGGACCGACCGCGCGCCGTAACACCGCCGTGGCGGCCGTCCTGGGCGGGGACCTCCACGCGCAGATCACCCGCCGCGGGGGGCAAGGGCAGGGGCAAGGGCAGGGACAAGGGCAGGGACAGGGACAGGGACAAGGCGGTGGTGGTGGTGATGTCGACATCGAGGTGCTGCTGCACGGGGCCGAGAAGCTGTGCGCCGTGTACCCGCTGCCCGGCGCGCTCGAGCGCATCCCCGCGCAGCGCCAGAAGTATGCGCAGCAGAGCGGTACGTTGGCGTACTATGAGGGGAAGGTGGCGGAGCAGCAGGGCGCGTTGGAGAGGGTGAATTTGGAGAGGGCTTGGGATGGGGATGGGGAGGAGGATGAGGATGATGGAGGGGGAGACGGGGAGGAGGGGTTGCTGGGCGAGGTGGGGATGACGGAGGAGGATCTGAGGCAGGAGGAGGCGGAGGTGAGGGCGTTGGAGAAGAAGAAGAGGGTGTTGCAGGCGCGGTTGAAGGCTATTGACAGTGATCTTGGCGGTTTGCTCGACATCTAGACAAAAGGCCGTAGCGCTTTATGGTCAAGTATGGAGATTCGACGAGGCTGGGTCTCGCGTGAGCTTGGGAGACGGACGGCAAGGTCAGTTCGTTCAGGGTTAGCAGCTCACACTTCCGGATGAGCTTTACTGACACCCGACGACGACTTCCTAGCCCGCGCAAACACTTCCAGGGACTCCTCCCTATTCTGGGCGCCCTCCACCCGGCATCCGCCATTTTATCGTGAAAGTCGGCGTGGCATGAATGCCATTACTACGCCCCTCTCTAACCTCGCAACCGGCCCCTGGCCACCCTTCCCCTGATTCAACCAGTCTTTGGTCTCGGCCTTAGCCAAGCCGGTCTTGTCGCCGATGGCGGTCGACGCTGCTAGGGACCTAATGCCGGAGGTCCCTTCCAAGTGGCCCTTGAAGAAAGTTGAGATGGAGAGGCTTTTGGCTAGGTAGACAAGCACCAGCCGGACCCTGCTTCAAGTTAGCATCGAGTGGGATGCCCGCTTCACAAGAAAGTTTAGCGGCCGGGACTAGCAAGGTTGAGATTGGACAATATATCCCACATGATTTAAATGTCGAAGTTGGAATGCTTAGGAGCTGCGACAACCGCAGCCAGCTACTCAATGGGGAGGAATGCTTCTGAGAACAGCGAATGGGAACATATTCTATTTGCAGTTGCGTCTCGCGCCTCTTATACCCTAGAGCTGACTTACATGGGAAACCGCGAATGGGGTCGAGAAGTAGCCAACCATGACCGAATCTATTTTTGAGATGATGCCGTTTGTGCAGTGCGCAACGGATTCATTGAATTAGGCTTGTAAGCCGGAACTTTGAGGAAGGCCCTGGGCAACGGAGGACCTAATCTACAAGCACACGGTATGTCCAGATTACAGGCGATGTTGATGGCGTCTTTCGCCAGGTGCTCTCTCGTAGGCGTGTGTCTGAATTGTTGCACCTAAATTTCAAAAATCGAAACCTGAAACAAACCAGTTCGCAATCAGGAACATGTCGGCGGGAATTTCAACATTTCAAGCCACGCAGTGAGGTGGTTGCTATGCAGGTGGGTGGGACGTTGCGCCCAGCTTGAAGGATCCGGGGTCTAGGCGAGGCGTGCGTCATGGATTGAGTTGGTCGCTTGTCGCACAGGGCGGGACCTGGCTGCGCCCCTCATCCGCCTGCCAAGACCCGCTGCCAGCGCTACCCTGAGGGGAATGCCCGGCCAACGAGCTGAAAGTAAATAAAAGTCGGTGGTTGGGACAACCACATCAGGGATACGACCAGTCGCACCTGCGCAGCCCACTCTTGGAAAATCGGATGGCGGGCTAGATCTCTGCGCCAGCTTCATTCCGTTTCTCCAGTTTCTCTTTTTTTGACAAACCACTCCAGCCACCGACATTCGTTGCGCAGATCAAGCTGTCGAGGAATTCCCAAGGTGAGTGCGCATTCCATTCCCCTCCTTCCATCCTTCCCACATGCTCTGCGTCGCACGTTCCTTACTTTCCCGCTCTTGCATTCCGTTGACCCTAACGCTTTGTGTCGCGCAGTTGTTCAGAACAGCCAGCCAAAGCCTGGCGCATAGGAAATTGGTGTGGTATCACCCATCATCCCATCACCCAAGCCACTACCCAACTGTCTACCGTCTGCTTGTCGAGAGCTTGACTACCCGCCAGTCGGCGGCACTCTCCTTAATCGTTTCTGTCTAGATCTTCTCGTTCCTCTCGAGCAGCCGACCGATCACCCGGTTCGCCGTTGTCGCAACTTGCCCTTGCCGAGCCGACGCGAGACCTTCCGACCGAGACGGGGAGGAACCGAGACACGGAAGAGGTTGCTAGCCGCATTCCAACGCAGCAGCAGCAGGAGGATCAGTGTCGCAAAGGGCCAGCCAGCCTTTCGGTACTACGACTTGCCATCGCAACTTACCACGAGCGCTGCCGCCGCCGGCGCAATCTAGCCCAGCCGTCGCTCCGAAGCTCGCGGAGGACCGGTGCGGGTTCTACGAGCGGCATTACACAGTCGGAAAGTAGACGAAGTACAGGCCCAATATGGCGACCAGATTCCAATTAGGGTGGTACCGTGAGTACACATTTCCCCGGGCGACGCATTCCCACCTGGCCAGGCTGCGCGCCGGAATGCGCGCAACCGATGAGACATTTCGGGACTAACACGCTCAATAGGATGGGTACCATTCCTGGGATATCACCATGTGTTGATGATCTTGATTGCGGTAGCGATAATATTGTTGTGTATGTCTCTTGTTCATCCTTCCCTATCGCGCCGTTACTGACCGCCCACCCTCCAGCGCTTCTCCTTGCCGGGTGCTCGTCTTCCTCACCCCTGATCCCCGATATCTTCCTCCTCTCGCTCTACTACCAGCGCTACACGGCCGTGCCCGACACAGCACAGGTTGACTACAACGTCAATAATGCGATTGCCAACATCGTGGGCGACGCGCGACTCCAAGCCCGCGTGGGCTTCTTTGGCATTTGCGTGAGCCCCGATGGCGGCTCGTGGCTATGCAGTAACAACGCGACGACGCTGGCAAACGAGGTGTCGTTCGAACAGGATCCTCTCAACCTCATCTGGCTCGCCAGCCAGTTTAAGGACATGATTGTCTTTCCCTACCTACTGTGAGCCCAAACCCCTCCCCTCTCAACCCCTCAAATCCGGCGGCGCTAACCATAAACCCAGCATCATCGCCATCATCTTCGCCTTCATCTGCCTGCTCCTGCTCGCCACCTTCCCCGGCTGGCACGAAGAGGAGGACAGCGAGGGCTCCGAGCGCGAGGTGAAGCCGTTCCCCTCGCGGCCCGTCAGCCAGGTCGCGCTAGCCATCATCTTCATCGCCTCCATCTTCGTCCTCGTATCCGTCCTCTGGCAACACACCGCCTCAGTCGCAGCCAGCATCATCGCCCAAGACTTAGCCAACGGGAGCGTCCTCTCGGGCGTGGGATCCTCCGCTATGGTTATGGGCTGGTTCAGTTTCACGCTGCTCATTATCGTCACCATCGGATTGTTGGTCATGATATTGAGTATGCAGGTGCTGGAGCATATTATGGATTGATGATGCTTTTTTGCGATCTCTATTAGGGGCTCCATAGGTGGGAGGACGGATGATGGAGATTGAGTTGTTTCGATTACGCCTACGCCATGCGACATGCATGCATGACTGGATGAGGACGATGGGGGGGTACGGTATCTACGACGTGGGGTGGTTGCCATTGAGTTGGGGCGCAACCGATATATCACGACTGGGTGGATGATGATGGATCGTGGGAACGGCGGTATGACACTGGGGTGGATAAGCTGTCATCTTTGCCGGGGTTGCGGTCAAACTCACGGCGACGGTCGCCGTCACGGCCGCGTCACGATTTGGGTGGACAGATTTGCTATTACGGGATATGTCGTTTTTTGTGGTTTATTTTTTCCCCTCACCCCCTTCCGCGATGTGTGCATATAATGGGGGGATGGAAGCAGGCATTGGATGGGGATATCTGGCTGTGTGGCCGTGTGGATGGTTTCTCGACAAAGGTACACACGGGCCTTGTATGGAAGACCTTGTTGTCGCGGTGTCGGTATATAGCGAGAAGCAAGCATAAATGGACTTGGAGTTTTGGCTTGGAATATGTTGTCATTAGTACATGTGTCCCAGAATGTAATTGAACCCCATGTTTCGGATTAGTAGCAGGCAATGATACTCTTCGAACTCACAACTGATGCCAATATAAACCACTCCCGTATATACTTGCGGGTATAACCGTCGGCGGCCCCTAAACAAACCAACCCAACAACGCCGTCGTTCGCCGTGCCAAAGCCATGATACTTGTGAACACTCGCGTCCCTCCTATGCAAATATGTGTCTCCGGCGAAAAGGAACCATGCTCTCTCCATTCCGAAATAAATAAATAAATAGACCCTTTCCCAACCCACCCAATCCAATCCCGTTGACATCCAAAAAGAGAGACCCAAAACCCAATACCAACCACCCAACAGCCAACGAAGCAACCATCACGTCGGCCGGCGGAAAGGATGCGCCTCGGTATTGAGCACCCACTCATCCAGGGACAGGACGTCGGGGGTCTCGAAGAGCAGGTAGAAGTACTTGAGGGTCTCGGCGAGCCAGAAGCTCTCCATGCTGTCCTCCATGTGGGCCGGGTCGCCGGGCTCCTTGGCGGTGACGTCGCGGATGGCGCTGTGGCCGGCCTCGGTGCGGGTGGCGCGCACGACGGCCTCGAACATGCGCCACCCTTTCTCCTGCCACGACGGGTCGCCCGTGATGCGGTACATGTACCAGACGGACTCGATCGCTTCTGGTCTGGTTGTGTAGCGGGGGGGGGTTAGTTATTGCGGATCGTCGGGGGGGGGGGGGGGGGGGGAAGGGATCTGATAGAGGCTGGGCTTACCTGAGAATGTACCGCCCATCCCTGACGTTGACGAAGCCAGACGGGATGTGCTCGTTCTTGATGCGCTCCTCGACGTATTCCTGGTGTGTGGCTGGCTTGCTCGGCGCGGGTGGTAGGACGAGCTCGTTTATGGGCTTTTGGTCCGAAGCATCTTCGCCGCTGGAGCTGGGGCCAAGGCTACTCTGCAGCTTCTTGGCCTTCTCCTCGGTGGAAGTGGCATCGGAGGAGACCTCGCGGTCCTCCAGGGTATCCCGCTTCTGGGGATTTGATGCTGCTACTGTGTCTTTCTCTTCCAATTCGGACACAGAGCCCTCGGATTGCTCCGGGAGCTTCGTCCGGGCCGCTTCGGCAGCAACCTTCATCTGGGCGTCCGCCTGGCGCTTCCGCTCCTCAGCGTGTTCCCGCAGCGCGTGCTCCTTCTTGAGTTCTTCCACTTCCTCCTTCCACTCGGCCAGCTTGACATAATACTCGGCCATCTGCGTCTCGCGCGACCCGGCCATGGTATCTAGAGCGGCATGCCACGCGGCCTGGTCATAGTGACAGTCGTTCCGATCTTTGCACGGGAAGAGATTCGCGTACTCGGGCATGACACCAGCGGGCATGGACTCGTATGCCCAAACACAGCCGTCCGCGAGCTTCTTTCCGATCTCGACATCCTCGGGACGGTCAAAAATCTTGCCACCAAGGCCAAACATACCGCCCAGGAAGCAGGTCAAGTGCGTGACCTCCCACTCGTAGCTCATCTTCTCGATGGTGCCGTCCGGGGTGTACCCCTTGGCGGAGAAGAGGATGTCCGGGTCGCCCTCCGCCATGGGACGGAAAAGAAGGTGTTCGTTCACACCATCGACGGTCTTCTCGTGCATAGTGCGGTACTTGTTCTCGAGTCCGCCCAACATGAGGTACTGCTTGGGGAAGTACTCGTACGTTGAGTCCTGGCTGCCGCCCATGCTGTACGAGCCGCTTCCTCCCCGGCCCGAGCCCACTAGTTCCTGAGGGACACACTCCCAGCCGTCGGGCAGTCCGTTTGGATCGGACGAGGCCAGATAGCTATTGGAAGAAGCATCTCGCTTTTGCGGTCCAGGGTGGAACCCTGTGTCGACCTCGGCGTCTGTGTCTGTAGGGTCCCCTGCATTCCGGACTTCGTATCCTCCCTCAGGGGCGCGCCGCAAATCATCATTGTCGGCCTGTCCCTGCGCGGGCTTACTGCTGCTCTCCACTTTAGGCGGCAAGGGGGCACTCTTGTTGCAGCCAGAAGCATCTAGGTGCTCGGGGAAAACGCCGGGGATGGCGGTGGCGTGCTCGCGGTTTTGGAGGTCCTCGAAGGCGTTCATGACGCGGGCGATCGCGTCATAATACTTGTGTTGACCGGTGAGCTGAGCTAGGCGGGTGAATTCCAAGCTCATAGAACCGAGTTCGGCCACACCGGAGTTAACGGATGCCCGTTTCGGGGCCTCGTTGTAAGAGGGCTTCCAGTGGTAGTAAAGGATGGGCAGGCGATTCGGCGTGTCGAAGACGCCCATAAGAATCTCGGCAAGTTCAACAGCCTTGTCCAACAGGATGCTGTATTTGGCGTCTTTGCCGGTCAAATCGTAGGCACCAACCATACCGCCTAGGTACCGGATGATGGTTTCAAAGACGGGTATATCACTCCGGTAGGGCGTCGTGGTGAAGTCGATGTCCCCGACGGCCTCCACGGCCTCGTCGAACTCATCCTTCATGCCCATGATCCAGAGTGTGTCCAACGAGTCGACCAGGGTTGCAGCCCAGCCACAGAAGGGGTCCTTGGACTTTTTGGTAACGGGGGTGAGCTCGTCGTGGGTCCAGGCGTACTTCTTGTAGCCAGACCAGGCGTGCTCGGCCTCGGCCTTGATCTTGGCCAGACGCTCATGACGCTGCTCCTTGGCGGCGGGCGATTCTTCGGCAAAAGCGAACTGCACCTGGGGAATAGACTTGGGCTTGCCGGTGGGAAGCGGTATGATTGATTCCTCGGGCACGGGGAACCACTCCTTAGGCTTCTTCCAGTGGATGACTGTAGAGGTAGCAGTAGGTTCGGGCTCCTGTATTCCAGCGTCCTCGTTTTGCTTCTGGTACCCGTCGTGGTTAGACGGCGGTTCCCTATCCGGCACAGTCGCCGCCTTGGTGGGCAGGCCGTAGCCCCCTTTCTCCCCGTCGGCCGTCTTGAGTTGATGAATCTTGATGGTGGGTTCCGGGTCCGGCAAAAGGGGTGGGACCGGAGGGGGGTTGTGCTGCGGTTTTTGCGGCCCGTCAGGGTCACGGTCGTGGCTATGGTCGTGATCGCGGTCGTGGTCATAGTCGTGGTCATGATCGTGGTCGTGATCGTGGTCGTGTTCTGGTTCCGGCACGGGCGGGGAGTCTGGTCCTGTCTGTGTATTGGTACCCGTCTTGCCGTGCCATATCTCCCTCGAGTGATCCCATTGTGAATTCTTGGAGACGTGGTAGAGCAGCACGGTAATGACAAAGGCGCAGACCAGCAGCACGCGGTATCGTCTGAGGCGGAGCATGTTGGCGGCGGTTGGCTTGGTCGCGGGGAGCCAATGCCCGGGAGGAGCTCTCGTGTAGGTTGGGGGGTTGGTGTCGAAGTATCGAGGGGTATCAAGGTATCGTTCTCAACCTTGACCACGGCTAGCTCTCGACTGGCATGGCTGGGGTGCTGTTGATCGGCGTTTTCGCAGGAAAACAGGACGCTGGAGATTGCTGCGACAGCGCTCAAAAAGATCAACACAACATGGAGAGCAAAAAAAAAAAAAAACTGAAAAAAAAGACCAAAACCGAAGCAAGCAAAGCACAACCAACCAAGCTACGAAGTACTACTAACGCTCAACAAGGGAGGACGGACGGAAGCAATGGCAACTGCAAAAATAGCCAAGCCGGGGGGGGGAAAAAGGACCGCCGGGGGCAAGAAGACATGGCTTAATGGATCCGCGCCAAGACGATCTGTGCCGTCTGTCCCACATCCCACCTCATGTTGGTTGGAGTGGTGGGAATCAAGTCTTGGCACGGATGCAGGAGAGCGAGCGACAGTTGTCAATGTCGGCTTGTCAACTTGCGGGAAGGCGTCCTCACGTCCTGATCCAACAGGTAACCGTCATTTCTCGAGGCACGGCAGTGGCGGACAAGGAAAGGGAACAGCTCGCCCTACTCGACACTCGGGAGTGACGGGATACGGAATAGTTACCTAACTACTGGCTTGCCAAGGTGTAATCTGTACTGTCTCGCCCTGTCTCTCTCACAAGATTAGCTTGAGTAACCTGATAAAAGACTTTTTCATAATCTGGCTTCGATATTAACCCCATACTACCTTCCATAGTATATCGGGAGATGGGATAGCCCAAGAAGGACAAACATCGCGGACTCAAAGCAGTGTCCCCGGATTGGGACCCCGCAGGTCGGTTGTCGCGGGGTACATTCAGTCCGTGAGTGAAGACCCTGAAGGGTAAGGTGGTATGGGGAAGGGGCCATCCGGTCAAACAACGCATGACTCGAATTGTAAAGTGATGTATGTATCTACGAAGTTTATAAACCGCGCAAATTGAGACCACCATCGCCTCCTTGTCCATGAGGTTAAGAGTAGTGGCTCGTTTTGTACAACCCTTTGTCTCCCAAAGTATGTACTGTGGAGAGAGAGATGTGTCGCGTGCGACTCTGCAAGGTCTCGAACACGAGCAGCAATTCGGTTGATGCCCGGAAGTGGAACCGACGATCTGAAGCCCTGTCTGCCCTGAACCAGGCACGCCAGGGGGACCTGTGGGCCAAGGGGGCGACCCTGGTTCGGGGGATTTTCAGGATTGCATGTGCCGAGACCCGGGCGCTGGGGTCAATCCACAGCGACGGGATGGGATGGACCACTAGATGCATGACCACACTTCCCGTCGGCACCGGACTGAGGACAGATCAACAGATTGATTTCCGTTTTTGCCGATAGAGTGCTGTCGACACGATATTTGTTTCTCATGGTATGTCGTGAGTTGTAACTATCTTTTTATATCTTTCAGCTGAAGACGTATGTAAATCATGAGATCCTGATCTCCCCATTAGAAACCCCACCGCTTGCCATGACCGACAGACATGCATTAACAAAAGCCATTCGCCCCCGGAAACGCAGCCGTAGCCAATGCCGGCACTAGCATCAGCTTTCATTCGTCCTTCACCCTCCACACCCCTTACAACAGCCTACAGCTAATCACCCTCCATCCTCCATCTATCATTTGAATGTTGGCCTAATCTTAGCATACAACTCCGTATCCAAAAAGCTGTAGTTCGGATCGAGCTCGCAGAATGGGTGCTGCGAGAGAAGGACATCGGCCGTTGGGCGGTCCGTCGGGTCCCTGCGTGAGATGTTAGCTCATATTCCACCCCTTTTTGCCAAATATGAAAACAAAAACAAAACAAAACGTACACAGTAAAACAGTCCAGCATGAAAGCGATCGCGATGGGACTGATCTCCTCGCGGATGTCGTCCGGAATCGGCGGCGTCTCGCCGTTGGCAATCTTGTAGATGGCCCCGACCGCCTCGTCCTTGCTCCACGGCCGGCGCCCGGCAAACATCTCGAGCACGACGCAGCCGGTCGACCAGATGTCCACCTTGGCGCTGTACCCCTCGCCCTGCGCCCGCACCACCTCGGGCGCCATCCAGAACACGGACCCCTGCATCGAGTTGGTCTTGTCGTTGCCGTAGATGTTGTCCGTCTTCTTGCTGATGCCGAAATCGCTGATCTTGCACGTGCCGTCCAGATCCAGCAGGATGTTATCCGCCTTGAGGTCGCGGTGCAGGATGCCCTCCCTGTGTAGGTACGCCAGCCCGGACAGCGTCTGCCGCGTGAGCGACGCGACCACGGCCTCCTCGAACTTGCCGTGCTTGCGCAGGCACGACCCGATGGAGCCACCGGAAATGTATTCCAAAAAGATGGAGATGCTCCGCTCCTTGCGCTCGCAGCCGAGGTACTGCACGATGTTGACGTGGTCGAGGTGCTGCATTGTGTCGATCTCGCGGTCCAGCGCCGCCACCAGCTCCTGCATCTTCTTCTGGTCGCCTTGCGCCGCCTTGGGGTTGACCTCGACCTCCTTGACCGCCAAGAACTCACCCGTCGTCGCGTTCATACCGAGGTAGACCCGCCCGAAGGTGCCCTTGCCGATCAGCTGGCCCTTGAACCAGCGGAATGTCGTCTGCCGCTTGGGGACGCTGTCGCGGCTGCTCTGTGCCTGCGTCGGCAGGCTGTCCTGCGGGATCGTGCTGAGACCCGCGGCCAGGTTGAGCGACCCGCGCTCCGGCCGGATCTGTACGATGTTGGCGTTGAACATCTTTGTGCTCTTGCGCCGCATCAGGCTGGTGTTCTTGTCCACCAGCGCGCCCGCCTGCGAGCGTAGAGGACCTGACGTCTGCGTGTACCGCTTGTTTGCTTCGTGAGCGCCCCGAGCGACTTCTCTGATCGATTTCATGCGGCCCAGGCCCCCAGACCGGCGCACGCTACGCCGCGCCAGCGTCTGCATGGACACAGGGCGCGAGTCAAGCGCTTTGAGCGTTGACTCGTCAGATCCCAGGGTATCGCTCTCGTTGTAGATGGATGAAACTCGGTTGTGCCCGGAGGACAGGCCAGCGGGCAATGGGGGTAGTGGTGGTATGGAAGAGGCTTTGGCTGAGCCCTGCTCCGACTGATTCTCGTCTGCCTCGTCAATGGGCGAAGGGCCCTCTCCTTCCTCGAGGACCGGCTGGTCAACATCCACATTGGGGAAGAAATCCTCGAGGTTGTTGATAAGGGCATCGGTAGGTGGGCGGTTGGCCCAGACGTCCTTCTCGATGAACGACTTGCGTCTGCCCAGTTTGGTCTCGCGGTCTTCTGAGTCCCAGCTTTCGGAGCCTGGCGTGCCGGGTGTGCGCCGCTGGGATGACTGGCCGCTTGTACCGTCCTCGTTGTCATCGCCCGGCATCTTGCCGTCACCGCCTGACTGCGGTGATTTGAAAGCGACCGACAGTGTCTTCCTCGAGCGCTTGGTGTTGACCCGCAGACTCGGCCTTTTAGCGTTGTTGTCGGACTCGCCGCCTTCTGCGGATGCTGACGCCTTCTTAGGAGCATTGTTATTGCGGGCCGAGATAGGAACAGCGAACAGGCCGTCGTCCGAGTCATCGCCCGAGTCATCATCATCATCGGCGTTGTTGTTGCCGTTATTACCATTGTTGTTGTTGTTGCTGTTGTTTCTCTCGTGGACGGTTGAGGCCTGCGAGAACCTGACGTCGTTACCTTGGAAGTCGGTATCGGGGCCGTGCGATTTGCGCTTGTGGCTGGTGGCAGTCGAGAAGGTCTGGCTCGGTCGGCGGGAGCTGGGACTAACATCTCCCGGCGACGGAGCGCGTGCTACTCGAGTAATCTTAGCGTCTGTTCCAAGGTGGGATCGGTCAGGGCTCGGGACCGTTCCGGCGGGCGCCCGGTTGTTAGAGTCATGAGTCGGCGAGTAGTCCGGGACCAGGAATGGCACACTCTTGGAGCTCCAGGTAGTAGAACCCGGTGACCCTGGGACGGGTCCGGTCCTCGGACTGCCCCCGCCAGAGCCGGAACGTGAACGTTGACCAAAGTCAACGGTTGACATGGCTCCCTTACCTCGATCGTTGCTTTCGCTGTTCGTCACCGGCATCGACGACACCCGGTGCGGCGACAGCCCTCTGTGCCCACCCGCGACGGGATGCCCAATACCAGCCATGCGGCCGGCCATGCCCACTAACAGGCCGTGAATACCGCCGTCGGGAGTCGGCATACCCGGTCGTCGTTTCTGCTTATCGGACATGGCCTCCTCGCGCAAGTCGGACGACGTGCGTTTCGGACGGCTGCCATCCACACTCCCTTGAGACAAGCGTGTGCTGTGCTTCTTGCTAAGCGAGTTCGCCTTCAGCAGCGTGGCAGACGGGTCCTCGGGAGGGGCTGGGGCTTTGCGTTGTGGAAGCAGGGTGTCAAGCTTCCTGTCCTCGTAAGGCGATAGCCTCGGCTGGTCAAAGTCCACATTTCTGCCCACGATGCCGAACGGAGAGTCGGTAGACGGGCTACCCTCCTTCGCATCTATCAATTGTTTACGCTTGGCGAGATACTCTTCCTGCTTCCGCATTTGTTCCGTCCTATATTGGATGGCCTCTGCTGTTAACATCTTCTCATCTCGGTCTCTGCCTGGTAGGGTGTTCTGTCTCGAGGTAGGCGGCGAGGAACTAGACCGCTGCCGCCCGTTGAGCTTAGCGTATGCCTCTTCGTCCAGGGGCACAGCCAGATGCCCGGAGGATGGTGTTTGGGCGTTTGCACTCCGCAGCATGGGCGGTCGTACGAAGAACTTCAGCGAGCCAACCGCGTCCCCCATATGGCTTTTCGTGGTTAGCAGTTTCATATCATCGAGCGGGTCCTCCTCATGCTCAAACTTGCCCAACTCTGTCAGGTAGATCTGGGCACCCTCGCTATCCGGCAGGCCTAGGTTGATGCAAACTAGCTGCCGCAGGTCCAAGGCGGACCCGACATCAGTGACATCCAGCATGCGATAGTTCCAACAATCAGCGGTGGCAAGGATAAAAACGCGGCCGCCCCCAGACCGTTTTGAGGCCGGTCGTTCCAGCGAGGTCTCGCTCCCGTTCCCATGCCGGAATCCTGACAAGTGCATTTTGACATGGAGCCCCGGGCTGGTGGGCGATTCATGCTCATCGGGCTTCTTCTTGCCCCTGAATAGCGAGAGGAACGAGGTGTTGCCTTTCGCGCTCCCCGGAGGGTCTGACCCGGCGCTCTTGTCTCCCGAATCCTGCGGCGAGGGTCGGCTGCCGTCCTGACCAAACCGTCGACCGTGCGCCTCGGTGCTGCGGGCCGTATTCGCGACCTCGGCAATGTTCATGCCGCTCTTCAACATGGCTGCTGCATCAGGTGGCACTCCCGACCCGTATATTGCGGCGTTGGAGGATACCGAATCCGTGCTGTTACGCGAACGATGACCGAACACGGTGGTGTGGGGCGATGCCGAGACGTTGCCCGCCGTCGAAGATGGTGGTAGAAGGCCGGACTGCGGGACCGGACTACCATTCGGGCTGTCCCTCCCTAATGGTGTGGACCCGCGGACCGACCCTGCCTCGCCCGACTCGCTGAGGTTGGGACTATCCCGACGGGTAATGTCGGTATCGATATTCTTCATTAGGCTCCTATGGTTCGATTCGGAGCTCCTGCTGCTAAAGCCAGGGCCGGGGGCTTTGATCGGGGTATTCGGCGACTCCACAGACTCGGCGGCGGCGCTAGGCGCGGCGATGGTACTCGCAGATTCTTTACGGGAATGGCTGGTGGATGTTTTGGGGGTGTCGGCTGGTCGCCCCGTGACGACGCTCCGGATAAGTCGTCGCATTCTCTTTCCCTCCTCTCTTTCTCGCGGCTGTTCCCATGCACCCCCGTTCTTTCGACACACCCCCGCCAGCAGCGGGTACACTTGTTGGTGCATCATGCCAAAGTTCCCACGGCCGCCATGGCTGCTTCCGAGCTCCAGAAACTGGGCCCCGTGAATGCTGAGCAGCTGAAAGGTTTCTTGCCAGTCTCTGGAGAAGTTGTTGGCCCTCAGCCATGCCAGCACTCTGTCCAGAGGCCACTGGGCTGCAAGCTCGGGCGGGACTGACGATATTAAGGTGCTGGCATTGGAAACATTAGATAGCACCCTCTGGCCTATAGCGGCAGCATAGAGTCTGTCCCGGCCTGACGACTCCTCCAGCGGCGTGGCAGCAGCCGAGTCCAGCCCGGGCGGTGCCCAGTGGATGCCATCATCTGCGAAGCCCAGACCCGGAATGCCAACGCCCTCTCCGTAAGTGTCTCCTTGCGGGATATACGTCGCGCTCATCTGTTCGCTCGGGGGCGGAGGCGGCGGCACTGCGAGGCTCGTCGGGCCGGATGATGCGGCGGCATTGGCGGCGGCGACAGCCTGAGCATGCAGCTTGGGGTTGTAGGCCTGCAAAAAGCCGCCGCCGGCGCCGCCCGGCGGGGGCGGTGGGATATTGAAGGTTGTCCGCCCGTCGTAGGCGCGACCCCAAGCTCCGTGCCATGGTGCATTGCCCAAGGCGCTGGGTGGCGGGATAGCACTCGGCGGGAAGGCAGCGTTCGGCGGTGGCCCGGGAGGCGGAGGGAGCATAACATTGCCGCCGGCTGCGGGGGCGCTTGGGTACCGGGGCGGTGGAGGGGGGATGGCCATCATGTTGCCGAGCCCGACAGACGGCGGCGGTGACATGGGTGGAGGCGGGGGAGGCACCTGAAAAGGCCGGGTCGCATCTCGCTGGCCATTTTGGTACATGGCTAGCAGCTGCGCTCACGACGCAGCTCGTTGGAATAAGAGGAAAGCTGCCCGTGGTGTTGAAGCGTTCGGGGGCGTTCGGTGATCGGGGATCGGCACGGTGTGGTGGGGGGAAGGTGAGACCTTCCGCAAGCGCGGGGAAGCGGGCACGGAGCAATCTTGACGGCGAACAGAGCGGACGGCAAGGCGGCGTAGAATCGGGTTGATAATTGATACGGATTTTGAAGCTGTTGACGCCGTCCACAGCGGGTGCTGCTCGGGGATGGATGGGGTCGGGTTGTGATTTGTTTCAACGGCCGGCGGCTGATATCGGCGGCGCTTGTAACGTTAATAATACCTTGCGAGTTTGGCAGTGGCCGACCTCCGCCACTCTCGGGCGGCACAGTCGACGCCTGTGCTTTCGATAGGCGAAAGGCTGCCCGAGGTATCCAAACAATCTCGTTGGAACCCCTAAATATCAGGTTTCGAGCGAAAAGGGGCGCTGAGCGTGGCGTCGCGGTTTTATCGTCCAAAACTCATTCTGAGGGGAATATGGATGGGATCGCAGCACAAGCGTTGCTGCAAAGAAGGTGAGACGACCGAAGTGTGTCTCGCCCAAGCCACCTGCTCACTCGCTGGTTGCGCTCCTCTTTTGCTGCTGCTCTTTGTCGTCGTTTGCTCGTCCAGGGTCTGGCGGCAGCGCAGCTGCCTGTGTTGCGCCCTGCAGCTTCTGCAATCCTGAAGGAAGTTGGCCAATCAGGCGTCGGCATGGTCCAAGCTTCCACCCATCCAGGCACCTCATGGGCAAGAAAAGCCGAACTCCAACTGCAGATGTCCACCATGGAAACCTCGAATCCTCGGCCGTCGGGACGGAACTAAAGCCGTCCACAAGTCTAAATAAACTGGATTTAATTCATTTACCTATATTACGTACCCTTTCTTTTACTTGACTTCTATTGCTCGATTTCCTTTTATTTGTTCTTTTCACTTGAGTTCTTGCCCTCCCTTCGAGTTCGGCCTTTTTTGGCCAGAGGGTGCCAGGGTCAGAGGTGGGCACTGTGGGGTTGCCGAGAGTCAACCCATGCAGCTTCTGGTGCAGCCGTCCGGTGTTCGTTTGGTCCAAACACGAGCGAACCTCGAGCGATCTCACTCCCGATACAGAGCGAGTCGAACTGGGCCGTTCTTTTCAAGGAATTTTTAGGTCATCTGTCACACCTGGGCTTGACGGGGAGCAACTCACTTTTGCTGATTAACTGATGTGGCAACATGGAAATATGACGAAACGACACCTCACTTACCACCAGACTTTTGTTCCTGCAGCTCCGACCGGCATCATCCGCGAGGTGTGTGGCACATGCGGCGGCCCACCACGGAAGGCTCATCCAAGGTTCCATCGGCCACGGGCAGCTCCGATACCCAGCCGCAAGAAAACTTCCTAAATTACTATTATTCGAGAGCCCTCCTGTTTGAAGTAAATGGAAGGCGCCAATGGGACGGGACGTTAACCACATGCTTCCATTACCGTGGCCGTGTGACAAGCGGTTGCCACGTCAGGAGGAGGAAATTAAAACAACGAAAAGACAAAGAAGAGAAGCCGAGTACAAGGTTTGTATGTACGTCCTGTGTGTAACATTTATTCATCGATAGGTATGCTTCAGCTGTGCTGGATGTGCAAGGCGCGGCGGAATCCTTCCATCCATCGCTCTTCCCAAAATTCCCGAACCCCAGAACACGCCCAACTCCGAGCGACCCTGACCGTATTACTGTGTGAGCCAAGCAAAAGTAAACAAAAACACAAAAACACAAAAACACAAAAACAAAATGTCTGTCTGCAAACGCTGAACGCTGGCGCGGCCTTACATACTATACCCCAAACGCCTTACATGAGGGTGCAATTGCTCCATGCCCCCTGGTTGCACTGCTCATAATACCCGGAATCCTCGGCTCCCTCTCCGATATTGTGCTTCTTGACGACGCCCGAAATCCTCAGCGTTTGCTCGCCCTTGCCATGCCACCAGCGCAGCCGCTGGATGAGCACCGTCTCCTCCTCGTCGCTGCTGATCTCCCATTTCCCGGAGCTCACCTCGACCGAGCAGGCATCCTTGGGGAAGTGGTATTCGGGAAGGAACACCACCGTCGGCGTATCCGGGTCTGCTACCTCGGGAGCCTTGACGGTTAGGGTGAAGAGGCATTGTCGGAGATCGAACACATAGTTCGTGATGACTCCGGCAGTGGCAATTGGCGCCGGCCGCACATAGGCCTCGGCTGCCCGGTATCCCGGAGATGATGTCAGTTCGGGCTGGCGCGAAGTAGCTTCGGATGATATCGAAGGGTTTGTGATGGAGCGTTTAATATTAGCTGGGGTCACACTTTCATCATCATCCAACTCTTTTCTCGACGCAGACGGCCGCAGGTTTGACGTCGAGTCCTCAAGTTCCGGCGTCTTGGGGCGCGCCGAGAGAGGAAGCAACTTGTCGTCGACCGAGACGATGGAGAGATCTTCGCCGTTCCATTGATCCCCATTCTCATGGTCGTTGGATGCCATATACAGCCACAAGGTATAACCCTCGAGGCCGGAAGCTTCTACTCCGAAGTGATTGGCGTCCATAGCGGCCGATTGACTCGAGTAGTCGCCTGTTTTGTACGCGTATTTGTTATCCATGTCGTAGGGGATGCCGAACTCCGTCATCACACACGGGTGGTTCCCTATGCGGTCGAGGCCCTCCTGCCTCATGGCTGCGTGTTGGTCCCTGAAGCAGTTCCGGATGGCTGCCTCGCCCAGCTTGATGGCGAAAGCCGGGTGCCAATACCGCCCACGAAGCACACCTATCACATCGACGTTCCAGCTGCGGTTCCATTTCTTGGTCATTAACGTGATGCCGTCGTACCAGTGCGGAGCATAGGCCAGGAGAGTATCATCGCCGTCTGGGGTGCCCTTGATGAGAGGTGGCAGCTCCATCGTGGGGCCCTGCAAGAGCAGGATGGCGTCCTTGTGATATGAGCGGACCATGTCGCGGTATTTCCGGAAGTGGTCCATGAAGTAGTTGTTGGTGAAATAAGGGTAGTCGACCGTGTCCCCGGTTGTCGGGTGCTTCCCGAAATAGTCCTTTTTCAGGAGCGTGTCTGTGGACGGATCCCACACACCATGCTGAGCCCATATGCACTCGCCAAGTTTCCACCCGGGGTCTCTCTTGTAGCCATACCGCGAATCGTCATACTCCTTTGGCAACCACGCAATCTCGCCATGCGGGTCAATTAGAGTTCTCCCTACCTTATAGGGGCCGAGCCCACCCATGTCCCACATCTCCACGTCGACGGCTCGCCCAGACCCCGAAAGCATGGTCTGCCAGATCGTCGGGCAGCTTCCTTTCTTTAGAGCCTGCTCTTTCGGTATGACGCTAATGTCTTCGTAGCCGACCATGCCCTTGTTTGGCTCATTCATGCTTTCCCAGCCAAATACAACGTCATTCTCAATGTCCCCAGCCTCATGAATACGCCTGGCGAGATGGGCGCAGGCGCGGAGGAAATGCCCTTGCAGATAATCCTGGATGTTCATTCCATCGATGATACATTTTGGCGCAAAGTCCTTGCCGGCGAAGAAAAGAGTGAACATGGTGGCGGCGGCCAGGCGGAAGTAGTTTGTTGACCAAATCATTTTTGGGAATGTGTCGGGGTCTGGATATGTGTTGTGGACAATGGCAGCCTCGGTCACCGCAAAGCTCTCAGGATTGAGCCCGGCGGCGTAGAGCGTCCACATTGGCGCGCCAGATCCTCCAGAGAACCGGGACCACTGTCATGCAACGACGCGTTAGCCTACTTCGACTTCAGCGGTGTAAAAAGCACATGCTGAACCACGCACCACATCCTGATGGGGGTCCATAAAGATATAGAACCCGTAGCCTTTCGCCGCCCTCAGCACCTCGATCGTCTCCTCGATCCACGCCTCGTCGTAAATGCCCGGACCGGCGGCCTCGATGGCCTCCCAGGTGAAGACGTAGCGGATGGTGTTGTAGCCAAACCGTTTCAATCGCGAGAAGTGGAGATGCGCCTCGTCTTTGGGGAATGGCCTGCCGACGAAGCTGACTTTGTCACCGTCGAAGAAATCGTCTGCCACATGCGATGGTTGGTTGGGCTTGCTGGGGTACTTGGCTTCGCCGGCGACATTGATGCCCCGGAGAATCACCTGCCTGCCGTTGGTATCGCAGAACTTGCCATTTTCGATTGTGAGACGGAAATGTGTCATTGTCTGTATTCCAAATGATGTTTCGCGTAATCGAGGAAGAAGCGAGTGTGAGACGCCGATCTGAGGGAGGAAAGTTGGGCAAGGTCGGAGAGATGGGAAGGGGTCCGCGGTCAGTGTTCGCATTCGCACCAGGTACCGACAGATTCCTGGAGCGCCTCTGAGCAGGGGTGCATCCCCAATGACGCGGGGTGGCAGGGGTAGCCAACACCGCCGTTCCAGGGCGTCACCAACCCCTGTACTGTGTAGAAGTGGCAAATAACTTCGGTACCTCCCTCCAACTACACAATCTGGGATATGAAGAACTTGAAGGCTCAAATAGTACTTTGGAGGTGATGAAAGAAACGTAAAAGACTTGGGTATAGAGCCGGTGCTTGCCTAACGAACCAGAAGCGTCCTTAGGTTTGATATGCTTTTGATCTCCCTTCTCGTATCCTTGAAACTTACGGTCAGCGACCTCGAGCGACCTCGAGCGACCATGAGCTTTTCAGGTCAGTCCATCCCAAGATTCATTGCCAGAGTTACCCGGGTTAGGGTTACGGGCCAGGCACGCCAGGCTCCTCCACGCGAAGTACCACTTTACGCGCGACACGCTTCCTTTTGTCTTGGCGCGTTTTGTCAACTTTGAAATTCAACACGAACGTCGAAGTTGGAAGTCAACGCTTGTTGAATCTCAGGGACCTCGCCCATTATCGCATATCTACAGGTCATTATCGTCTAATCGCCAACATACTGTGCCGTCCCAACAACATCTACGTGCATTCCCGAACCTAAACGGTGACAACATGCCGCTTCCCAACCCGCCTGCCGCAGAGCCGAACACCGGCCTCCCCTCAGCAGCACAGATGGAGGAAGATTTCGCCATGGCGGCTGAAAGCAGCTCGGAGGAGGAGGAGGACATTGTCATGGCCGAGGCCGGCGAGGTACAGGGCGTGGTAAAAGACACCAGGCCGGCAGCTGAGCCTCTTGCGGTCCAGACTGTAAAGGACGAAGACATGGGAGTGGAGATCAAGCAGGAGACGAGGGTAGAAATCAAGCAGGAGGCAAAGCCAGAAGTCAAACTGGAGGATCTGTTTGCCGGGATGGACTCGGACGATGAGGATTTTATCACCGTCGTCAAAGAAGAGCCGTAAGTGGCAGCCCAACTTACGATAGCGGCTTCTTCGCGTATGCTGACTCTGAACCCAGGATCGACACGAAAGATACTTCTATCGAGATTCTTCGCATCTATTACCAGCGCTTCTTTCCCTGGCGGTACATGTTTCAATGGCTGAACCACAGCCCGGTCCCCACGAACGACTTCAAGCACCGCGAGTTCAGTTTGTGGTTGCACAACGACGCCGTGATGCGGTACCAGTCATATACCACATCAGACCTGTCAGCAAGCCGATTCAAGGTCACGGTCCACTAGGCTTTTTGCTAACATTCCACCCAGACTTCGCAAAGACGTGTTACGATTGATGCCGAGACGTATCGAAATCGGGCCTGTGTACACGGCAGACCCGAGAGACCGCAAGACGTTCCGAAACTCGACCGCCTTCGTACCTATGGCGAAAGAGCTATGTTTCGATATCGATTTGACAGACTACGACGACATCCGGACATGCTGCGACAAGGCAAACATCTGCAACAAGTGCTGGAAATTTACTACCATGGCCATCAAGGTCCTCGACACGGCGCTACGGGATGACTTTGGCTACAACCACATCCTATGGGTCTACTCCGGTCGTCGCGGTGTACACGCTTGGGTCTGTGACAAGAAGGCCAGGGCCTTAAATGACCACCAGAGGAAAGCGCTTGCCTCTTACTTTGAGGTCGTGACCGGCAAGCAAGGTGGCAAGAGGGTTAATATCCGTCGGCCGCTACACCCCCACCTCTCGTAAGTCGTGACCCCCGACCCTTAGTCCCCATTGAACCTCCCACAGGTTCTAACGACCCGTTCCTCAAACCCACAGACGAAGCATCGACATCCTCAAAGACCACTTTCAAGAGGACGTCCTGGAGACCCAAGACCCCTGGCAGACCACCGAGAAAGCGGACGCGCTCCTCCAGCAGATCCCGAGCCTCCAACTCCGCGAGGCCCTGCGCAAGAAGTGGGAATCCTCGCCCGGCCGCGCCTCCGTCTCCAAGTGGGCCGACATCGACGCGCTGGCGCAGACGGACGCCAGCGCCGGGCTCGACCCCAAGGACCTCCTCGACGCCAAGCAGGACATCGTGCTCGAGCACACGTACCCGCGCCTCGATATCGCCGTTTCCCAGAAGCTGAACCATCTGCTCAAGAGCCCCTTCGTCATCCACCCGGGCACCGGCCGCGTGTGCGTGCCCATCGACAGGAACGACCTCGACGGGTTCGATCCGCTGGACGTGCCGACCCTGCAAGGGCTGGTGGAGGAGATCGACGCCTGGACAGAGACCGACGGGGCGACGGCTGCTTTGGCGGCTGTGGAAATGTCTGAAGGGGGTGGCGCCCGGAGTAGCCAGGATGTGAAGCACATGCAGGATTGGGAGAAGACGAGCCTGAAGCCATACATCGAGCATTTCAGGTCGTTTGTCACGGCATTGATGAAGGATGAGAGGGAGGCTACGGTCAAGAGGGAGCGGGAGGAGGACGATGATGTGGAGATCAAGGTCGAGTCGATCGACTTCTAATGATAAGGGGTGACGGTGTTGGGTTGGTTGCCTATATATATGGCGTACGGTCCGTAGAGCGTGTTCTCAGGCCGCAGGGCAAGAAGCTTTGTCGTTTTTGGTCATCATCTCCGAATCTCATTGATTTTGGGGATGTATCTGGGTATCTTGTAACGTCCGCTCTTGCTCAGGGGCAGACCCATGCTGCTATATTTTTATTGGGATGCTCCTTGTGAGGTTGCACCATCTTCAGCCACTGCTCCGTCCTCCTGGGCGGGTTCCTCTTCCCCATCGTCCTCCTCGCCGTGCCCGTCCCCGGCCACCGACGCCTTTGGATCAGTCCCTTTCAACATACCCCCTTTGCGTTTGGGAATCACATCCATAAAGGCCTGTCCCCAATCGCCGCACTCCAACCACTTGGCCATGATCTCCACCACCTGGTTGGTGGTCAGGACATAGCGACTCTGCATAGCCATGTATTCGCTAATCGGCAATTTCGCCGTTCGGACCTTGAACTCCTTGGCTCGATTGAAGCAGAGCCCCTTTTCCCTATTTTTGTCTACGATTCCGCCAATGACATAACTTGTGTTCGCCTCTAGCCTGTCGAGGGTGTATGGAGACTCCGAGGTCAAGTAGACAACCGACCGTTCGATCTCTTCATCCTCTGGCTCAACCTCGACTATGGGATTTACTCCCGCATCGCCGGCATTTGGCTTGATCAAATCGAGCAATTCGCCCCCATTCGGCCCTGCCATTTGCTCCCCGGCTTGTTTCGCAGCCTCCTTGAAATCACCCTCGTGGAAGCCGACATTCTTCCAATTATGATGCGTGTTCTTGAGCACCGTCTCAAACCGCTCCTTGAGTTTGCCCTTCCACGAGCTAAAGTGCAGGGCCGCCTGATATTTCGCTTTGCGGTTCATTGCGTATGACCGCACGAGCTGGCTCGACAGTGACACCAGCTCCTGCTCGCGCATGTACTGCTCGAAGTCGCAGTCGACGATGAACGAGACGGGCACCGGGCGATATTTCCAGGGCTCCTTTTGTTGTAACACCGTCGCGGGATCGATACCGGCTGCCTCGGCCTCGGCAATTTTGGCTTCTTTTTCGGCGCGCTTCCGGGCCTGGCGCTCGTGCCGCTTGTCCTTGCGCTTCGATCGTCGGTCCTCTTTGTATTCCTCCCATTGCTGCTGCTTCCTCAGGCGCTTGAGCTGGTTTTTGGACAACGGCTGCCCCGTATTGGTATCTGCTTCGCCATTGTGCACCGTTTCGGCCTCGTTGGCTGTCGCTTCTCGAGTGTCGCTCGGAGGGGAGTTCTTTTTCGCAGCACGATCGAGCTCGGAATCTGCCTTGCGTTTGCCATTGGCGCTCGACGAGGCGCTAGGCTCGGTAGATTCCGGCAGCCCCGCCATACATATATCGGTTTCGACGTGGTGTGTCTCTTCGAGGTTCGCCATGTGTTGAGGGCGAGGGCTGTCGGCAAGGAAGTGGTGGATGGAAGCAAGCTTCAATGGTCAAAGTGGGGTGCTCCATTCTGTGCAGAAACGGCAGATTCCCCCCACTTCAGTAGCGTGGGCGGTGAACTCCCAGCACCCTTGGCGCGCTACGACGCGTCCCCCGGCCTGGGTTTAATTGAATCGCGTCTCCCGCAGGCCAGAGCTGCCCCGTGAACCACAAGACACCCCAAATTCCAATCAAGTCCCATCACTTGCCCCCATTTTCATCGCATGCGATGCCAACATAAGCTGTACCTCTGAGGCCTTCTTAAATCAAATAGCTACCAGCATGTCTTCCCGGCCAGAACTCAAGGTTTGCACACCCGCTTCTCTTTCCTTCTCCTCTTAGGGCCTCCCTGTGCCTCGAATGCTGACCAGAGAACCACCGGTTGAACATTAGGTCGATGACGAGCATGGATTCATCCGCTTCTTTAAGTCCCTTCCAACCGTAGACGACGACGTAATCCGCATCTTCGACCGAGGCGACTGGTACACTGCACACGGTGAAAATGCCAACTTCATCGCACGAACCGTTCGTCATGGCCGGCCCCCTTTCCCACCACCCCTCTTACTGACCGATATCGGGTGGTAGGTCTACAAGACCACGTCGGTCGTGAGACAACTAGGGCGCAATGACCACACCGGCTTGCAATCCGTCACCATGACAGTGACCGTCTTCCGACAATTCCTGCGCGAAGCCCTCTACAAGCTGGGCAAACGGGTCGAGATCTGGGCGAGCCCGAATGGGCGGATGAATTGGAAGATTGTCAAGCAGGCCTCTCCAGGTAACCTGCAAGATGTTGAGGAGGACCTCGGCAGCCTGGCCGAAGCAGCACCCGTAATCCTAGCCGTGAAGATCTCGGCCAAGGCATCCGAGGCTCGGGCTGTGGGTGTGTGCTTCGCAGATGCTAGTGTCAGGGAACTCGGCGTTAGCGAGTTCCTCGACAACGACTCGTATTCCAACTTTGAGGCTCTCCTAATTCAGCTTGGCGTCAAGGAGTGCCTAATAAACATGGAGAAGGCGGACAAGGAGAAAGACCCAGAGCTAGCGAAGGTGAAGCAGATCATCGACAACTGCGGCGTTGCCATCTCCGAGAGGCCGGTCGCCGAATTCGGGATCAAGGACATTGAGCAAGACCTGGCGAGGCTGCTGAAGGATGAGAGGTCTGCCACCTTGCTCCCGCAGACCGATCTGAAACTTGCTATGGGCTCAGCAGCCGCCCTCATCAAATACCTCGGCGTCCTCCACGATACTTCCAACTTCGGTCAGTACCAGCTCTATCAACACGACCTCGCCCAGTTCATGAAACTCGACGCGGCTGCGCTGAAGGCCCTCAACCTCATGCCCGGCGCAAGGGACGGCGCCAAGACGATGAGTTTGTTTGGGCTGCTGAACCACTGTAAAACACCTGTCGGTAGCAGACTGCTGGCGCAGTGGCTGAAGCAACCTTTGATGGACAAGAACGAGATCGAGAAACGCCAACAGCTCGTCGAGGCGTTTGCCAACGACACAGAGCTCCGACAAACTATGCAGGAGGAACACTTGAGGTCCATCCCCGACCTCTACCGCTTGGCGAAGCGATTCCAGCGCAAAAAGGCAAACCTGGAAGACGTCGTCCGAGCATACCAGGCAGTCATCCGCCTGCCCGGCTTCTTGGGCACGCTCGAAGGTGTGATGGACGAAACCTACCGCGACCCCCTTGATGAGGCCTACACCAACAAGCTCCGAGAGCTATCCGATAGCTTGGTCAAGCTACAGGAAATGGTTGAAACGACTGTCGACCTAGACGCACTAGACAACCACGAGTTTATCATCAAGCCCGAGTTCGACGACAGCTTACGAATCATCAGGAAGAGGCTCGACAGGTTACGTACCGAGATGGACAGGGAATTCGCCGATGCGGCAAGCGACCTAGGGCAGGAGAGGGACAAGAAGATCTTCCTCGAGAACCACAAAGTCCATGGGTGGTGCATGCGATTAACTCGGACGGAGGCCGGTTGCATTCGGCAGAAATCCCGTTACCTCGAGTGCTCGACGCAGAAGAACGGCGTCTACTTCACGACCAAGACGCTACAAGGGTATCGTCGTGAGTTTGACCAGCTCTCCCAGAACTACAACAGAACCCAGAGCGGCTTGGTAAACGAGGTTGTCGGCGTGGCTTCCTCGTATAGCCCTGTTCTGGAGAAACTCGGCGGCGTCCTCGCCCACCTAGACGTGATCGTGTCGCTTGCGCACTGCTCCGTCCACGCACCCATCTCCTACGTCCGCCCCACGATCCATCCTCGCGGAGAGGGCCAAACGGTTCTAGTGGAAGCTCGCCACCCCTGCCTAGAAATGCAGGACGACGTCCAATTCATCACCAACGACGTCGAATTAACGCGGGACAAGTCCTCCTTCCTCATCATCACAGGTCCCAACATGGGCGGCAAGTCGACCTACATCCGCCAGATCGGTGTAATCGCCCTGATGGCGCAGATCGGCTGCTTCGTGCCGTGCAGCTCGGCCGAGCTGACCATATTCGACAGCATCCTGGCGCGCGTGGGCGCCAGCGACAGCCAGCTCAAGGGCGTCTCCACCTTCATGGCCGAGATGCTCGAGACGGCCAACATCCTCAAGTCGGCGACGGCCGAGAGCCTCATCATCATCGACGAGCTCGGCCGCGGCACGTCGACCTACGACGGCTTCGGGCTCGCCTGGGCCATCTCGGAGCACATCGTCAAGGAGATCGGCTGCTCCGCGCTCTTCGCCACCCACTTCCACGAGCTGACCGCCCTCGCCGACCAGTACCCGCAGGTGCGCAACCTGCACGTCACGGCGCACATCAGCGGGTCCTCCGCAGGGCAGCAGCAACAACAACAACAAAAGAAGGCCGAGGACGAGAAGCGCGAGGTCACCCTCCTATACAAGGTGGAGCCGGGGGTCTGCGACCAGAGCTTCGGCATCCACGTGGCCGAGCTGGTGCGGTTCCCGGACAAGGTGGTGCGCATGGCCAAGCGCAAGGCCGACGAGCTCGAGGACTTCACCTCGGCCAAGCAGGACGGCGACCACCCGGCCGCCTCCGGAACCGGACCCGCCCCGGCTGCCGCCGAGTACAGCAAGCGCGACGTCGAGGAGGGTAGTGCCCTGCTCAAGGACGTGCTCGTGCGCTGGAAGGACGAGGTCCGCGCGGGCACCCTGTCCAAGGAGGAGATGGTGGCCCGGCTGAGGGACATGGTTGGGAACGACGGCAAGCTGTTGGCGAACCCCTTTTTCCAGAGCGTGAAGGCGTTGTAAGATTGGAGGCAGAGGCGGAGAGGAAAGTACCGTGCTCGCTCACAGTGGCGGATACGGCTTCCGATCACGGATTGCTACCGGGAATGGACTAAACTGGCAATGGGAAACACTGGTTGTAAATTTTGGGCTGCTCGGCGTTAGAGGTTCGGGCGCAGCTAGGTAGAATGACTGAGCAATACTACTACACCGTAATGTTGATCTCCCTTTTTTTTTAAGAAAAGAATTCTAGATGCAAGCAGATCTATTATATTCCGCTTTGCACGTACTCTTAAGCGCATTGAAGGGTGGGGACACAGCGGACGGAGACGGACCTCGTTCACGCGCATATATGTACCCCATAGCTTCGTATGCGGCAATGGTGTTTACGCTCGTGGCATGCTAAGCATAGAACCCGTTCACCGGTCCAAAAGATCCATCAATTCAGGCAGCGCGTGGTCACCGTTGAATCTAAAGCTACATGACTCGGTGTCTTCTGGATGCCACGGGGGGTAACGGACAGCCACCGCAAGCGCAGGCACCAGCATCCGGGCCTGGGCAACTTAGCTCAATACACGTGGTATTCGTATATCAAGTGGCGCCCGTAGCATCACGGCGAAAACCCACGTCCAATTTCTTGCCTGCGGCGACTCAAGCGAGGCGCGGTCCGCCCTCCACGCCCTGACGTAGCTTGGAAGGGGTCAGTCCCTTTTATAGACCACCACTCGGTCAGGAAGTGCCGATGTTGAGAAAACCGGGCCCTTTGCAGACTTTTGCGGCGCTTTATTTCCCTCTTCGCGGCATGGCAATATCCAGTCCCACTGCCCTGTTGAGCCTGCTAGGACCCGGCGGACAAAGGTGACAGCGTCTTCGGGGTTTCACTGTCCATCACAGTCAGCTACTTGTTTTAACAAGGCAGCTCGCCGGCGATGAAAACACACCACAAGCCGTAAAGGCGAGGAAATAGTGTGCGAGAACAACTTGCTTACCAGTGCTCAATGCTGGCGAGCACATTGTCGCCATCATCAGTCATCAGAGTGTCCTCGGCCGATGTCGGGCGTGGCGGTACGGGCGGGGGTGCCAGCGGTTTGCGGCGCGGGATGCTGACGAGGCCGGGAACCTGGTCGGCCCTGACATAGGCGAGGTAGTATGGCTCGCCCTTAGTGTTGAGCTCCCCAAAGACGAACTCGGCTGGATGAACCGAGACCACGGTGTCGTTGTACTTGCGCCAGACATTGCGCTCAAAGTCGTGGATCCACACCCAGTAGTGGCCGGCAGAGGCAGTGGTCCCCGCATGGCACACAACGGCATGGAGACGGTAAGCCATTGCGCGAGCATCGCCGAAGATTCCGTCTCGCTCCGCCATCAAACGCTCCCTCTCTGCCTTCTCCTCAGCCACGAACTTCTCCCAAAACCCAGTGACGCCGACAGGCGGGAAATCGATGTCGTAGGTGCTCTTTTGTAGCGGTCTTGGGCTGGTCCGAGAAACATCGGGTTCCTTAACCCCGTATTTCCCCATTAACTGCTTCAACTCTGCGTCAGGGGAGCCGTGAACATCCAGATTGATATCGGTTGTCTTCGCCACGGAGGATGCCTGGGCCTGAACGAGCTCATCTGACCCCCCTACGAGCAGAAACCCGTCAACCTCCTCTTCGGTGGGTCCATCGGCCTGCGGGCTCGGGTCCGAAGGGCGGCCTGCAGCCTGAAACCCTGGCTTAGATGTATCCAGACGCTCTTTCGCCGTGGAATCCGTCATCTCATTCAGTCTGGTGTCGATGTCCCACTTACGCTTCCTCCCCTTGTGAAGGGAGGACTGGGTGTCCGAAGTATCCATAAAGCGATCGAGATATAGCGTCTCGGGGATGCTGATGGGGTTGGCATTTTTTCTAACGCCGTCAGATCGTTGGATGCAGACGTGGAAATGGGGCGCGGGCCGTTCAATGGTGGTGAATGATAGGAGGTCGCCCGGTAGCGGCTCGAGGTCAAACGAATTGGCGAGGGCATCATACAGATCCCGTGTCCCTGACTGGGCCGGGTATGCTGTTACCCAGCGGTCGGATCTGCTCGTTCTGTTCCACTTTGATTCGTCAATCTTCTTCCGGTTGTCGATGAATGTCGAGAAGAAAGCGTCCTTGATAGGATCGGGTGCGGTTTCGGAGCCACTAATGCTGGAAACCTTGAACGCTGCCCGCAGGTGATCAATGGCATTCCCCATGACCTCGTCCACATCCATCTGGTCAGATCCGACGTTCGGCTTGTCGAGCTCTGTGGCGAGCTCTTCGACTGTGAGTTTTGACATCTTTACCTCCCCTTCAGTCGAACGGGTGACAGTAGGGTCGGATGGGACCGGCTTAGCAGGGCTATCCACAGTCGCCGTTTCCTTGTCTGTGATCCGATCGTCAAGTGTGACAATCAACGGGTTTTCTGGGTCGGCGCAATCGACTAGAGTCTGTTGCGAGCTAGCAGAACTCTCTAGATCGGATGGTTCGACCTCCAGCATTGGTACGTCAGAGACTTCCCTAACGGAGCTCTCGACCGCACGTGGTGGTAGCGGTGGTGCATCGCCATCGCTCGCGCCAGGGGCCGCTGTGGGAGCGGGATCCACTGACTGGGGACGCAACTTCTCCGGTCTCAACAGAGCAGCGTTGGCGAGACGCTGGCGAGGTGGAATGGAGCTATCCCCGGCCGCATCTAGGTGACGGAAAAGGGTGCCAAGTTCGCGTGTGACTATATAACGGAGGTGAGTATGAGACGAGAAAAGCCACGGTTGAAGACGGCGACGCACATTCATGACCAACAAAGGCCCTGCCGGTCTCCAGTTCAGATCGACTCTCCTCTTGGTTACTGCTACCGGCGCGCAGGATGTGGCTAAGATTCGCCTCGGTTGGCTCTAGAGCAGGCAAGTCGGACCCTACAGCCAGATTCCTGACAGCATTGACGGAGTAGAAATACTGTAGTATGCTGTTGAGATAGCAGGTATTCCGGAGATTGGCAAGACCGACGGGTAGCTCCAAGTCCACGGCCTCACGAGAGCGCTCGGCGGCCGCCCGCCCCGGGCCATCAAAGCCGGAGTTGTCGGAGAGAAGAACTAAGGATTCCCGACCGGATACGATCTCAGTAAAGGCGCGTTCAAAAGCCGAGCGGTTGGGGTCATTCTCGGGCTTAGCGGTTGAAATGGATTCCAGCGCAAGTATTAGGAGATCTAGATGGTCCAAGTCAAGATCCTGAGCGAGTTAACAATTTTCCAGCCCTGTTACCAAACAGCACAAAAGGCGGAGTGCGAGACATACCGAGGATACGCTCTGCGCCGAGGCAGCGATATTATCCATTGGCCATTCCGGCTCCACGTGTAGGAACTTACACGCTTCCGACAGATCCATATTCTTCCTAAAGACCTCGATCCGGATTTCGTCACTTCGGCAGTCCTTCCAAATCTCGAGCAAGGCGAGCCGATGGTCCGACTTTTGCGCGGGAGACTGCTCCCTGTAGGTCCGGTACACGCGAACAATATACGCTGGGTCATCGGAAGAAGCTCTCGTAAGGCCGAAATGAGCATATGCTTTCCCGGCCTGGCCACCGTCGGGCGCTACGGCGGTAGCCTCCCTCTGACGCTTTGCGAGTAACTCCTGATGGGTGAAAACGAACATTTGGAGTTCTTCTGACCGGCGAGCCGCGAGGGTGCCGAGTGCTTCCAAGTAAGCCGGCGTGTTCTCCGGGTCTGATTCGACTTGCCTGCCGTACGCAAACTTAATCAACGCATCGTCGGCGTCAACGGGCGCGCCTAGGGCGGTGAAGTACTGCGACTCATTTTCGTTCACCGGCAATGTGCTGAAACAACGATGGCTCTTATCACACCCCAGAGCCTTCTCGAGTTGGTCACGGGCCCCTGCTGCTGAGATAGGCTTGATGACGGGCTCGCCGGGCACGGGCGGCCTGTCAGCAAGCACGCTCTGCACCTCGTACCTCACGTCGTCGTAAAAGGCCCTGAGAGAGCCGACGGGTGCTTTGCCTTCCGGAGGCGGCAGCCGCGGCGGCAGCCAGTATGACTCTCCCGACTCGTCGGAATGGTCCTCCTTGAACCCCAGGTATCGAAAGATGTGGTCGCAGTCTCGGCCGAACTGCACCAGAAAGGTCTTGTTTCGGCAGGAGATCCTCTTATGAGCTCCTGTACCGTCGTCATCAAGAATATTCTTCAGGTACTGGTTCAGAGTGGAGAGAGCCGTTGTCAGATAGTGTGTCTCCTTCTCCGGGCTGAGGTTCGCGTAGCGTGCTGGGTCTTGCTCCCTGGCAATCCTCAGAGACTCCTTGATCCTATTCTCGTCCATAACCATCTTAAGCCAAGACGGCTTCAGCCGGGGTACAGATATCTCGAGGTTGACGGCGAGGCCGCAGAGGGTGCAGGCATATCGAAACCGGCCCCGCAGGTGGTCGTTGCTGTAGGGTTGAAACACGGCGGATTCGGAGCCGGCATGGGATTCGGCATGCTCGACACGGAAATGGTGCTGCAAATGCGCCTCGCTCTCTTCGCCGGAGGGAGGGCAGATATGGAAGACGAAGTGGTGGCGGCAGTGGCTGCACATACAAGAAATCAAAGTCCTCCCCCGGCCCTCGGGGTCGCTCGGCGCGTCATAGCTCTGCGAGAATTCGATGATGAAATCGTGATCCGAGCCTCCGTCGGGGTGAGGAGGGAAGACGCGCAACGCAGAACACTTGGTTTGTAGTCCGCCCTCTCCGCCTTCCGGAAGATAGCCAGCAAACCAATCCTGGATAAGTCGGGAGGCCAGTCGCCCGCCTGGTCCCACTGCGTGAGTTCCTGGGTGGTGAGGAACGGCTCGAACGAGATCCTCACCTTTTCCGGCCGCTCTTGGTTGTGCAACTTGCTCCACTGGCGAGGGCGAGTCAGCAAGAGTCGGTGATTGTTCAAGAGCCAGCCCTTCAATTTGGGCTGTAACCTGATCGATGGACATGATGGGTAGCAGAAATGATGCAAGTTGATGGTTGTAGTAGAAGCGCAGCCGAAGATGAGAAGAGAGTGAGTAAGAGTGGTGGCTGGTTACTTTTCTTGACAACCGCTGGGAAACTTGCGGGTTTCGTTTGGGTTTGCCTGCCGTTCTATCCCAAGGTCAAAAAAAAAAAAAAAGGAGGTGTTTCCGAGCAGGGAGTGGGCGTACGAAGTAGCGTCGTTCGCCCTTTGCGCCCCTCACCGTGGTTGGATTTCGTGAAACAAAAGTGGTAATCAGAAGAGAGAGTTCAAGATGCGGGGTGAAGGCGAGGGAACAATGGCTGCTGCGAGGTGTGAGCAAACTTGACTAGGTAGGTACTGTGTATGAGCAACAAAGCAACCAACAAATATCGGCAGGGAGAGGTAAAATAATGGACGGGGGCCGTTATACCAGGCCACCGATCTCGAGTGAGGGTGTTCCTGTTAACGCACGCTACCCGTACGTACCTGAGTGGTGGGGTGAGGAAATGCGGGCGGCAATCAACAAAGATGCACTGTGGAGGGCCCCCGGAATCTAAAACAGACACCCCTGCCGGGGTTATTGGTCGATAGCCTTAGAAGAATATATAGAGACGAACCGTCGGTGATAGAATTGAAAAAGAGAGGTGATGGACCAATACAATAATTTTCTGCTGTCTGTGGCCGAGACGCGGCCCGGGGGTGATGATGTCTGTGGTTTGGGCAGTCGTACCTTAACTCCCGCAGGCCACGAGGTGCTGCGGTTCGCGAGCCTTGGGCTGACGAATCGCCTCGCCTCCCAACGTCCCAGGAAGGAAGCTCCAAGCCCGTTACGCAGCCGTAACGGCTCCTGCCTCAGGCTAGCTAACAAAACATTCCTTTCTAAGACGGAGACCAAACGAAACTAATTTGGCAAGACTCTAGAAAGAGGTTCATATCAATTTAGGTATTTTCCTTCACACCAAAATGCGCCGTTTAGCGTTAAGATACTGCGTTGCTTGACCGGAAACCCGACATAGGTACTTGGTGTATATATCGTGCATGTTAGCTGCCGGGAAGGTACTGGGCTCGTGTGCCCCAAGTTCGAGAGACGCTCCTGCGTAGGTGGGGGTGTTCCTTTTAGAATGACCCCACTTATGTGTTAAGTAGCCAATCATAAGTCCCCAATTGCAACCCTGAAGCTCAGCGGGTGGCCCCAGCTTCAGACTCCATTTCGAACCGTCAATTACCCGACAATCGACTTCAACTTTGGCCCTTCGCTCTTGCAGCCCAGCGTTCCCCCTCCACTGCTAACACCACCAGCCGGCAACATGGCGCCGACCGGGGATGACCACTACCATCCCAAGGATACCATCCACTCCAGCCTCTACCAGGGCATGGTGTTCGGTGGCGTAGGTCTTCTCTTCGCCGCCGTAAGGAACTCGCTCGCAAAGACGAACGTCGGGCCGTGGACCACATTCACCAAGCACGGCGGCCTGATCGCGACATTCAGTACGTATCCGCTTTGATCTGTATTCTCTGGTATATGGTTTTGTTAACGTTTTACCCCCCTAGCTGTCACCGGCACCGCCTTCGAGTTCACGCGCTGTGCCTCAGCCAACCTGCGCGAAAAGGACGACCACTGGAACCATGCGATCGGTGGATTTGTTGCGGGCGCTGCCCTTGGCCTAAGAAGTAAGCAAAGATTCCAACCCTGCTTTGGCACTCGACGAGAGTAACAACCGGTCACCTAGCTGGGCGCATGCCCCGCATCATCGGGTACGGCTTTTTTACCGCCGTCACCGTGGGGGCATTTGAATATACAGGCGGCAAACTGAGGGGGTACTGGAACCGTCCTGCGGAGGACGAGTACGAGCGGAAGGAGATGCTGCGGAAGACTAGGAGAAGGCCAATCGAGGAGACAATTGCCGAGATTGGAGAAGGCAGAGGTCAGTCCCGTGTTCTGCGGCCTACCGCCTTTCACCAGCCACAACTAACTCGTTTCTAGGTATCAAGCCGCCTGGGTATGAGGAGCGAAGGCGAGAGAGAATCAAGGAGAAGTACGGAATCGAGATCCGCACCGTCAGCGCGGACCCCAACGCTGCGTAAGGAGCCGCAAGCGTGGCCTGCTGCGGGCTATGTACATATAGCAGAAGACAGACTGGCTAGTCATCTTACAGAATGGGATGGCTATACTATCAACGCCGGCCGGGGGCGCATTTCTTGTGCTGAAACCCCCGTTCGTCTGCTTGCGCTAGGTATGTGCTATCATTTCTCCTTACCCTTTCCCTCACCCACTTGATGATCCCGCTTAAGAGGCTGTTTATGAACAGCTGTGATGATTATAACAAATCACCTACATTGTTCTATTTCTGATGTCACACCATATTCCTCTTCATTGGCCCTAGCAGGTTTCTTCGGGGTTGCTAACATTCCCCAGTGTGTCCTTGAGCCTAACGACAGTATCTGTATCGTATGAACTCCGCCGTTGCTCAGTATCATCGTCTTGCTGGGGACTAGCTTTAAAAAAGGTACAGTACTATTTTCCTCTTACACCCAATACCCCCTTTTCACTTGATGATCTCTCACAAGAGGCTGTTTATGAACAGCTGTCATGATTATAACCAATCACCTACATTGTTCTATTTCTGAGTTTTGGGTCCCAAGCTTAAACTTGCTCGTCCCTTTTTTGGTGTCTTCGGATTTAGCTGACATCCTTCAAGTATGCCGCTCCAACTCGACTGGTACCGAGAGCCGTCTTGCTTATGGCTCCTCTGAAAGGTATGGCCGCTCTCTCCTCCCTAACACTTCACTTTCCACATGATGATCTCTTCAAGAGGCTGTTTATGAACAGCTTGTAATGATTATATCCAATCACCTACATTGTTCTATTTCTGAGTTGCTCAAACCCCGCTCTATACATTCGCACTGCTCTTCGATCCATTTTCGGAGTTGCTGACATTGTCCAGGTTGTTGTGTACTCAGGCTGAGGATATCTCCATGGTGATCAAATTCCTTTTATATCCATCATTTCCGGCTCCTACTGTCAGAAGCTCTTTTTTTTTTAAAAAAAAAAAAAAAGAAATCATGTATCTCCCATTTCTTTCCATATTGCCCGCTGCTACAAATAAACCGGTAGACGTCATCCCTGCCGTACGTCATAAAGAAAATATATCCAAAATATTTCATTTACATGCTCTGAAGTCCGTCGTTCATATTTTGTCGTGCTCTCACCCAACTCCCAAACTTCGACGATCTCCAAATCCACGAAAAACTACGACGATACTTGCTACCCTCCTACTGTAGCGAGCAAGATCGAGGTCCCGCCTTGCCGTCTCCTCAACCGGTGTTCATCTCCGCTCCGATCGATCCGCGTTTGCGTCATGACCCCGTCCACAAAAGTCCTAGCTTATCTCTACTGCGTCATTGGGAAAACGCTCAGCTACCGCCTGAGTCGGATATGAGATTGTTCTACGCAGCTTGGCCGAATAAGGCGCAACTGCAGCGGAGCTCTGATAAGACGATCTTCCAGGGACTGTGCCAACCCCTTTAACCGAGTTCACGCGAAAGTGGACGTTTCTTCTGTGATTAAGGTCTCTATTTCCCCGTTACGCCGGCCAATTTCTCGGCGATGGTACTAATCCCCGTGTAGCCAAAAGCTCTCTAGGAGAAGGATTGGTTCCGAGATTCTCCCTAAAAGACATCTAAACAACAATTAAACAGAAAGATACCAACCCATATAAGTACTGTGGTTATACAAAAAACAGCCCCGATCCCGAAGCCCCTTCCCCCGCCCCCTACTTTCTTTCCCAAGTTCCGTATTATGAGCGACCGGTCAGTTGGCATTTACAACTTCATACCCAGCATCTGGGCCACCTTCATGCTCTGCCTAATGCTCAGGTCGAGCATAATCTCCTCGCTACCACCAGGGATGGCGTAGGCGCGGACGTCGCGGTAGAGGCGCTCGACCTTGCCGCCCTGGCCACCGCGCGAGTACGACAGGCCGCCAAAGATCTGCGAGGCCTCGCGGGCGCAGAACTCAAAGGTGACGGTGGACTGGGCCTTGAGCGAGGCGATAGGTCCGCCGAGGTGCAGCATAGCCTCGGTCTCGCCCATTTTCTCGCACTGGTAGATGATGTTCTCAAGCCAGTTGTAGCTGGCCTCGATCTGGCGGGCCATGTGGGCCAACTTGAGGCGGATGACGGGGTGGTCGACGAGCTTCTTGCCGAACGTCCTGCGCTTGTTGCCGTACTTGACCGACTCCTCGTAACACACGCGCGAGAAGCGCAGGCACTGGATGATGATGCCGATGCGCTCGTGGTTGAAGTTGGTCATGATGACACGGAAGCCTTGGTTCTCCTTGCCGATCAGGTTCTCGACGGGCACCTTCACGTCCTCGAACGTGATGTAGGTGGTGCCGCTGGACCACACACCCTGGCAGTCCATGCGGCGCGTGGACACACCGCCGAAGTCGCGCTCAATGAGCAGTAGCGACACTCCGTTCATGCCGGGGCCGCCGGTGCGTACGGCGGTGGTGAAGTAGTCGCACCAGATGCCGTTGGTGATCCACTTCTTTGCGCCGTTGACGATGTAGTGCTTACCGTCCTCGCTCAGCTTGGCCTCGCATGTCAGGTTGGCAACGTCGCTGCCGGCGTCGGGCTCGGTGATGGCCAGGCAGATGCGCTTGTCGCCGTTAAGAATGCCCGGTAGGATGCGGTCGAGGAGCGGCTTCTTGCCGAACTTGACTAGCGGCGGGCAGCCGATTCCGAAACCGCCGATGACGTTCCACACGAATCCACCCGAGCCGGTGCGGCTGAGCTCGTCAGTGAGCAGCATCTCGTGGAAGAGATCCCACTTGTCGTGGGGCACCGACTTGATGGAGTTCTGGACGTAGTCCTTTTGGTAGTGTGTGCCGAGCAGCCCAGCTAGGTAGCCGCGGCGGCCCATCTCCTTGTACACCTCGGCCGGTACCTCCTTCTTCTCATCCCACTCGGTGACATTCGGCTCGATTTCCGTGTCAATCCACTCGCGGATCTCGGCCCTGAGCGCGGCGTGTGTCTCGTTGAAGTAGGGCGAGTGGTGCTGTCCGCGCGATATTAGTTAGAATATTCATGGCCCCTCTATATCCGGGAGCAGGGTGGTACTTACGCCTTGGTACCAACCGGGGTCGGAAAAGGGGATTTGCTCGCCAAAGGGCTCGAGAGCCTCGGCCTCCTGTTCAGGAGCAGCAGTGGCAGCAGCGGCAGCCTTGGGCGCCTCCTTCTTGGGGGCGGGTGCGGGTGCGGGAGGAGCAGCGGGCTTCGGCTTGGTGTCTAGAGAACCGATCTGCAACTGCTTCTGGTACTTTTTGAGGATACCCTCGTTGTGGTACTTCCAGAACTGCTTGGACGCATCCTTGCCGGCGACTCTTTGGAGGATCTTCTTGCCGCCTGTGTCCCACTTTTCGTTAGCAAAACCGAATGGTCAGGGCCACGGATGAACGGTCGCATAGGTAGTACATACCCGGATGGTCATCCTGGAACTTGGTGAGATCATAGACGTCGCCGTCGACAACGATCCATAGGGAATCCGACTTGTTGTTCGACGCGACGTCGCTCTGGGTGAAGGTTTTGGACATGGCTGTAGATGTCACACTGTGTTGGTCGTTCGCAGGCTTCGGACGGAAGGGGGAGGTGGGAGTTCGGGAAAATAAGCCCGGAAAGTATCGAATTGGAAAGAGCTTTGGGGTTCAGGTTGTTGAAATCAGGTTGGGGAGGAAAGACGGACCCCTCTTCAATAAAGGGCCGGATCCGTTTCGGGAAGGCTGGAGTGAGCATGCGGCAACCGGATCCTACGCAATCACATGTGAACCGGCGTCACTGACCCGCTTCCTCCAAATCCCCGAATCTGGGGGGGCACTCACACACTGCATACGCCCTCTGTTTTGGGACCCCCACAATCAATCCGTGGTAACATCTGGCCGCACATGGCAGCCAACTCCGTTCTTGGTCCGCTAAAGTATGGGGAAGACCGCGGAGAATCAGGTGAATCGAGCGGCGAAACCGACCTAGTGAGCTAGTCAACGATTGCCTTTCCCGGCCACAACCTGGAACCCTTGCTGCGCCTTTAGACCCCTCCCGCGCAGGCTGACAGGTGCCATCATGCTTGCTCCTCGGTCGGTTTGATGTATTGGTTGGGTTGTCGTGATGATTTACACTTTTGCACATGTGTATTCGCGGTCTATATACGGAATACAGGTGTTTTATTTCACTTATTCATCTGCATTACATCGCAGCAACGATGCTTTGTCTCGGAGTTGAAGATTTGTAGGTTGAGAGAGGGACATCTCGGAGCGCATGTGAAAGACAGTGCGCAAATGCTGGTTGACAGCCAGCCACTGCCGCTTCCAATGGTCCTCGGCTGATGTCATGGCATATTTGGCCAATGGCGGTGGGCCGGATTACCACACTAAAAGAGCCGAGGCAAATTCTGTGAAACCCTGTCTCATGCTTCGGCCAGAGAGCTGTGGACACGCTGTGACACCACGCGACTCGTGTGCAGTATACACAGTACATACTTCGTGAAGACTGGGGTGCCTTCGGCTGAATGATGGGGACATGCTGGCAATGCCGAGTGGTTAACTACCAAGACTCTCGAAGAGCTTCACAAGCTTTGCAGGGGCGGTTGTTGATTGTAAAGCCATCATTTTGCTGCAAAATCTCAGGGGCGGCAATCCGAACCCTTCCTGCAATTTTCCCTCTCATCAGCCAGCTTGTCGCCTTGACCGTAACACCGTTAACGCCGTGCCCACTCTCCACATGTCCGTATGTCTGTACCAAGTAAAAGGGACACTGAAGCAAGATGCATCTGCAAAACAAAAATCTTCTGGGAAGAGCATGGACCTCTCCCGCCAAAAAAGTGTCGTCCAAAGGAACGAACCCGAGTGACCTCACCCTCAAGCAGTCCCGCGCGGCTTCGCCTTAGCTTTAGCCTTCTCCTTCTTCTCCTCCTTGATCTTCTTCTTCTTGGCCTCGTTCTGTTCCTCGAGCTTCCGCTTGTGCGCCACGCGTTCGGCCTCCGTCTTGGGGACGACCTTGAAGAAGCCCTCGATACGCGACTGCTGCGAGCTCTTGAGGTTCTTCTCGAGCCGCGCGCCGCCCGACCGTACGCGGTCCTCCGAGAAACCCTTCTCCTGCACTAGGAACTGCACTAGCCCCTCCATGTCAGGCTTGTCCCACTTGAAGTCGCACAGCGGATCGTCGGCCGGCCGCACGTCGGGCGTGAAGAAGAGGTCGCGCGCGTCCTCGAACGGCCAGTCGTCCGGCACCGTGTAGCGGCCCTTGGGGTCATTCTTCATGTACTCGACTACCTTCTCGAGGCTGCCGTGCTCGCGAATCAATTTGAGCGCCGTGGATGGGCCGACTTTGGGGATCGGGTCCAGGTAGTCGCAGCCGAGGAGGATGCAGAGGTCGACAAACTAGAGAGGAGTAAGGATGATCAGTATACTGGGAGTGACAGATCGGAAGGTAAATAAAAGGGGCCCACCTGTTTCCTCTCCATGTTCAGGCCCTCCAGGACTTTTTCAACATGGATCTCCTGAATGGGCTCCTTGCGCTGCTCGCTGAAAGTGAGATGGCGCAGCAAGATTGGGGTGTTGAAGCAGAGGGTGTCCATGTCCTCGCTAGCGGCGGCGTAGACCTTGCCGGCGCGCGCGAGCACCGCACACTGCGCCTCGGCCTCGGTCGGCGCGACGATATAGGGGATGCCCATCAGTTTGAGCAGCCGTTGGCACTCAGCATTGTGCTCCCTCGTGACGCGCACCGTCCTGCGCGAGAACTTCTCCACATCCTCGGCTGTTCCTGTCTCTTTTGCCTCCTCAAGCCCCTCGTTCGCCTCCTGCTTTCGTTGGAACCGCTTGGCCAGTTCGCCGGATTTGAGCTTCGGTGGGGCACCGTCGAAGACATAGAGCGGTTTAATTCCGTTGTCGACCATGCGAAGGGTGCGATAGAACATGCCCATCAAATGTGATGTTGTCTCGCCGCTCTCGTTCATGAGTTGTTGACCGTCGGACCGCACGGCGATGAGGAAGCTGTAAATGCTCATGGAACTGTGGCCAAGTTAGATGGATGTCATGCTTTGCGGTTTCAAGTGGATTCGTACGCATCCTGAAGATTGTTAGCCTGGTGCATTCGAGATGCGAGCGTTGTTGCTTACAATTGCAACCTTGCGGCCGAATTGGCTCTTGATGTCGCCTTCCTTGATGGCATCTGGAGCTTCCTCCTTGATGATGGAGAAGAGTTGTTTGATACCCATATTTGCTATTTCTCGCGGTTATGGAATTTACCAAGAAAGGGTCGTCGATCGGTAGGCTAGGGGAGAAAAATATGGATGAAAAGTAAGTCTGTCTCTTTTTGCACGTTTTCGTGATGTCACGGCTTGTCGCGGGTCTGGGGACTTTGAAAGCTCGACGCGACCAGCTGGGCTCTCTGGGGTCGTGCGACGCGCCCTCCCGCGAAATAGAGTGGGCCCAATTTATACCCCTGCAAGGCTGTCACCAACGAGAACAACTCCTCGTGCTCCTTTCACTGTTCAAGCTGCCAGTGACTGCATCAATCTCTCGTTTGACATCTTGTCGCATGAACAAGACATGAAATTGGAACCACACATTTCAGTACAGATTATGCCAAAGAAGATAGATACAGTGTAGGTATTTTAAATCAGTTATGTACCAAAAACAATAATGCGTGCTGCTCCCTTGCCAAGGAGGAATGGCCCAGTATCTATTAAGCCGTGGTCCAAACATGGTATACAAGGAACAAGAGACGGCGGCGGGTAAATCAATATATGCTTCAAAATATGGACTGGAAGTTCTTGATGGGGAAGTGGGTGGTTGTTCGCGCCGGTCCAGCCAGGGGACACCCCTTCCCCGTATCGCCCCGACCGTTCGTCATGGTTGATATACCTGGCTGGCGCCAGCCTGGTATGGCATGCCCCAGATGGTGCCAGGTCACCTGGCTGGGGTCGAGTCTAAGCTGGAATCGAGAACTCGCAGTTTCGGACAAGGTACGCATGCGGGTTCGGTTGTTGGCGTCCCGCGCCCCAATTAGAAATGGCGAACGGAGACCTCTTGCAGGCTCTGATGTTGTCCCAAGGAAGACACCGTCTAAAAGTTCTCCTTGCCCCAGACGAAGTTAAACCTAAGTGATCCGTTAGTACAAGTGAGATCGCAATAAAGAGGCTGTCCGAACTTACCCAGGCTCGCTGTACTTGTTGCAGAAAATATGTAATGTACTGCCTAACCCCTTGGGACCGCAGAAGAACACACCAGCCTCGGAAGGGGTGTGTAGTTTCCTGATGCCTCTAAAGATCATATCCCAGTTGGGGCGGCCAAAGTTGGTCGGCGACCGCAAGCCGGTAATCGTATCCTTGTCCGCGTTGGCGTCGTTGATCATGATGTTTGTCGCATCGTCGACCTTGATTTTGGCCGTCAGGTAGGTATGGATCTCGATGCGGTTGTCCACATCCTGCGCCTCGATGGCGAGCAGCAGGGAGCGGAACCACTCGAACGACCCGAAGTCTCTGCAAATCCAGAAGAAGTACACCTTGCTGAGCCTCGTCTTCTTCTGCGGGTAGTTCATCCGGTACCAGATCGATTTGAGAATGGACGCGAACGGCGTCACACCGATACCAGCACCGCACAAAACCGAGACCTCGTACTTGAAGACGTCTTCGGATGCCGAGCCGAACGGTCCGTCGATGTAGACACGCGGCAGCACCCGCCGCAGCGCAGGATCCACTTCGTCGTTGTCCTGGTTAACGCCCACCACTTTGGACGAGTCGCCCTTCTTCTTGTCGAACTCGCAACCGAGCGTCTCGGCGACGGACCTGGTGAAATCACCCACGACACGCATGTGAATCGAGATGTAGTCTTCCTCCGGGGCGCTGGTCAAGGTGAAGGGGTGATATTGCCATAGTGACACGGCGGGGCAGCAGAAGAAGATGTACTGGCCGGCTCTTGTCTTGGTGTGCTCCTTCTTGATCTGGATCTCGCAAACGTTGCTCGGGTGCTGGATGACCTTGGAGATGTACGTCTTGTGCCTGCCGCGAATCTCACGGGCGATACGCTCGGCAAGATAGGCGAAGCCTCCGTACATCCAGTACTGCCAGAAGACGCCGATGGCTGAAGTGCCGATGGAGCTGCAAAAGGGTGCAAAGTCGGACTGGATCATGCAGAAGGCGCCGTGAATCGACCAGAAGAAAAAGAAGACGATGAACATATGGTGTGTGTACCAAAACCGCTCGTAGTTTGCGCGCCGCGTCTTCTCGACCGAGGTGATGACCATGCCCGTCAAGGCAATGAGCATGACATACCCCGTCCAGCCCGGCCCGGACACGAGATTGGCCAGCAGGAACCCGTAGAATCCCAGGTTGTTCTTCGCTGCGATCTGGGCGAAGTTGTTCCAGTGGGCAATCGTGTGTACCCACGAGAAGAAGAAAATGGACCACGCCGTGGTAATGTGGAATGTGATGTTTTTGTCGAACTGAATGATGCCGTTGAGCGGTGTCTGCCTCCCCAGCGAGATGAGTGTGCGGCAGACTGGGAACAAAATCAGCGCGACATCGACGTGGAGAACGAGGGCCGCGGCACGGGCGATCATGAATGTCGGCCCGAAGGTGTCCCGCGCGATCTGTAGACTGTCCTTGAGCGCGTAATGGACAAAACTGAAAGCGAACACAGTCGCGTGGAGGATCATGAAAACGAAAACGAAACTGTGGCAAGGGTTAGCGCGAGTTAGTCAAGATACGACAGATCAAAACTCACATCCGGCGGTAGCCTTCATTCACCATCCATCGGTCGAACTTTTCCCGCGGCGTCAGCTCCTTTTGCCTCTCCTGTGTCATCTCGCCCGATAGCAACATCCGCGTGAGGGGCGTCCATCTTGACCTCTCCGACTGCTTTAGTGACCCCGCGCTGCTCCGGTTTCCGCCGCCGTAGCCGTCGTATCCTCCGTAGCTCGCCATGCCAGGTGTCGTTCGCGTTGCCGCCGCGATTCCCAAGCGCGCTTATCCCCTTGCCTTCGAAGTTCCCTCCCAGAACCTCGTTTGAGATTCGGGTCTCTTATTCTTTGCTGATTGCCTCAAGCCCTCCAGTGGGCAGCCGATGCCCGGAAATCCCTCCAACAATCCGGCGATTAAAAAAAAGTCGATCGAGAAGTAGTGCGTGAAAGAATCGGAATCAGAACCTGCTGAACCGGCGAAATAGACCCATCTAAACGAGAGTCGAGAAGAAGATAGGTCGAGCAGCAATACTAAGGAGTGGATATGGAGCCTGCATTTGCCATGGGAGGCGAGGCCGTGGTGGTCAGCAACCAAGCACCTGGGAAAGATGCGCAGCACCAACGAGGAAAAAAGGGGAGGTAAGGGAGACCGGAAGGTCGGGGGCGGGGGCGGGTTTGGTTAAAGTGAGGAGCAAAGCGATCAAGCACCCGGAAACATGAGCTGATTTGTGTAGATCATACCTGTCCACAATGCCTGGTCTCTTCCCGCGGCTGTCGTTGCGCAAGAGAGGAAGGAAGAGGATAAACTCTGACCACTGCGCCGGAGCGAGAGAGCGTGGAAACGAAGCACAGAAACGTGGTGCAAAAAGCGGACACGATTGGCAAACAGCTCGAAAAAGGGGGCACAGCGAACTGGCGCTGAAAGAGCGTCCTTGGGCAAGAATCGCAAACGTGGAACCCTTCCAGGGGGGGATGTTGCGTCCTGTGTCTGATGATGCGGAGGAGAGGGGATGGGCAAGGAACACGACTCGCAAGCAGTGAAACTCAGGACGCCAAGAAGGGGGAGGGATTCTGTATTACGGGTAAAACTTTCGCAAAATCGAACGAGATCCCACATCGTCGAAACGGGCGCTCTGCCGAGATGCGAGCCAAGAGAAGCCCTGGCAGCGGGAGACTGGGGGGGTGCTCGGGGGCTCTGCGGCAAAGGACCATCTCCGCCGCTGCAAAGTCCAGCCCCCAACTCTATCCGGCCTTCGGGTCGTTAAAAACGGCAACAAGGGTTTGCTCACATGGATGGATGGATCCGAACCGCGTGACGCCCAACTTCGCCGCAGAACCATCCGGGCGCGTATATTCTGCCTTGCGTAACCCGGACGGCACCGGCAATCCGACAACAGATCTGAGAGGCCTTTCTCATCAACCTCTTTCCGTCCGAAAATCCAGCGGCAATCGGGTGATTCTCAGGTCCCTGGAACGACGACGACCTGTTGGTTCGACCTCTGCATGGATCGGGGTCGAGGTGACTGAATGCGGAACCGCTGCGTATGGGAATGAATGATCAGACCGATCTCCCGGGAAGACAGGGTATAGAAGGTGGGTAATGGCGCCATTTTCGAAGGGGAAAAGCCAGCGCTGCTTCATGTTCTTCATTCGTGGGCCTGGTGCTGGCGAAGCGCTGCGTTTTGGGCGGCGGCAGTCACGACGCACGCGGTCTCACAGCGTCGCTGCCAAGACCGGGATTTCATGACCCCACGATCGCCTGATCAAAGGCTGTGATTGGTCGATATGGGTCGCGGAGAGCGGTCGGTGTTGCGGTTGCTGTTTCGGCCGGGATCCTGACACACAATGCCCCAATGCCCAGCCCATCGCTTTGTCAGTTTGGTTCTTCGCCCTCGCGACTCGGCGGTATTGTGCCACGGAGAATCGCGGAGACAGCTCATTGAAGACGCAATTGTACGTCTGTAAACAGCAGGTGTCCCGAGAAAGCTCGATAATCTGAACTTGGAGGCCGCTGACATACGACTTATTGGCTTCCATGGTGGGTGGGTTTCCATGTAGGGCGCTGGGAAACGGGGGACCTCCCTCAGCAAGACCAAGACGACAATCCTGGTATTCCCCATTCTATACTCGAATGTTCTTCTATTCCTTTCTTTAGTGCTTCGTACATCATGCGCAAACATGAACCCGTCCACGCAAGCAGTGAAATCTTCGGGTCGTGGACCACGACCCGCCTCACCCCTGAGTAGATCGCCGACTGCAAGATCGCCAGCGCAGGCTCGAAGCGCAGGCCGGCGTTGAAGACCAGCCTAGGCCTCCCGGACCAACCCACCCATTTCGTTCACTCGCCGACGGGATTCTACACAGCAGCTGGGCCGCGAACCGGCCCATCACATGACCAGGTCGTTGGCCGTTCAATCCTCCATCTGGGATCTTACTCAAGCAAGCTTGCCGCCTCCTACTCGGTTCCTCAATATAGAGGCCGCTCCTCCCGAGGTCACCTCCCTCCCACCGTACTGTAATTAGATACACAAGTCCCAAGACGGAGTAAACCACCAACTAGGTAACCAAGCCACCGACCCGGCCATCAATCCAACCACCTCGGTAGGTGTGTACCCAACTACCCCGCCAGGCGAAGCGGCGTAGAAGGATACCCACCCATGATGATGATAGAGTCCGGGAAGGGATCAACAGCGGGAGCTAGCACAAAGTTGTCGATCGGTGTAGCTTGTTGGGCGGGTGCTGTGCCTCATCTGATAACCCTCCCAGCTTCCATGGAACGTAGTCCCGACAGGCGATAGGGCTGCCGGCAGGTGTGAGGCGAGTGCCTCTGGGGTAGGTACTACTCTGACATCAAATCTGCTTCTGAGACGGCGGTCTGATTATTGTATGTTTTATGTGGACGTGATGATGCAGAATCTCGACCGACTTATTGTTGGGGAAAATGGAGATCAAGTGCTAAAACTCAGTGGGAAGAATTAGAGCAGATTCAATACTTCAACGGAACTTGTGAGTATGAGGTATTATTGATTGGATTTTCTCCCGGTGCGGTTTATGCAATCTAGGTAAGTAGGTAGGATCACACGTCAGGCTCCAAGCGACGACCGATAGTCAAAGAGGGTTGCGTGCAGTGACCGAACCCTTCCGGTTCCCAGGTTAGGTGATGCAGTATGAATGATTCGGGAGATGCTGCCAATCCGTGGTGCCTCTGCCAATCCCATATCACTCCAATGAATCCCGCATGATAAATGGTACCGTGGATATCCCTCGCCCCTTCTCAGAACTCCCAGAAACCGCCCCCGTCCCCGCCGCGAAGTCCAAATGGCAGATTATCCCAGGATGTAGAACCCGAGCCGGCCCTTGGACTACACCGAGCGCCCCAGACCAGTACGATTGACCCGCGGGCAGAACCGACGCAAAGCCCCCGGTTTACAACCGTTAGACAGCATACTTCCGAGTCCACTCGCGGGCTGTCTGCTCATACTTCGCAATCTCGGTCTTGTATACGTGAGCGATCTCGGGAACAAGCGGATCGTCGGGGTTCGGGTCGGTCAACATCGAGCAGATGGAGAGGAGCACTGTTGAAAGGTCAGCTGTCGGAGATTCAAGAATGACGACTGCGCGGGGTTCGCATACCCTTCGAGATGGTCAAAGCGGGGCTCCACTGGTCACGCAGGATGTCAAGGCAGATGCTGCCATTTGCGTTGATGTTGGGGTGGTAGATCCTGGTCGTGAAATGGACCTTTGGGGGCTTGAACGGGTAGTCGGTAGGGAACTGGATCTGAAGGAAGAAAACGCCGCCGGCATATGGGGAGTCACCCTGATCGATGTTGATTAGCGTCGGCTCTTTCTCGCATTCGGCAGACTTAAAACCACTTACCGGACCCATGATTGTCGCCTGCCATTGGAACTGGGAAAAAATAAGTTAGCAACAAACGGGATTTGGTCGCGTCGCGCCGACAGTGGCGCGTTGCCACGTCGGCAGACCGGCGTGTGATGGAGGCACCTACGAGATCCTCACCAGTCGGCCCCGCGGAACACGACGAGGGCGGGTCACTGTAAAAGACGTCAGCGGTCAGAATCCCGTCAAATATATCCATCCAAGAGTTCCTCTGATCCCTCGGGATGATGGCCGGGCCGCCGGGTTACGGTTTGGACCCCGCCCGGCTTAGCCCCACCATGACGGACGGACAACCGAATGACGGCACAAACTCGGCGGAAGAAGCGGGCGGGAGTGTGCAAAATGGGAGTCGAGGGCGACTTACCGGCCGAGGTCGGCGAGTTCCTTGTTAATACGCTTCAGCGCCATGTCTGTTTATGTGTGATGTGTGGTTGACGTCGAGGTGCGTCGTCGTCGAGAAGCAAGGGCGCTGCTGAATTTAAGGCAGGCTGTCAGCAGGTCGCCTGTGGAAGGGCACAGAATCCGAATGAAGCGGCCCGAGATGCACACAAGATGTGGCAACGGCTCACGACAGGATAACAAACGCCAAATAAGGGTCGCAAAAAAAAAACAAGTGATGCTTACCAATGAACAACCAATATGGAAGGATGGGCGCGATGTGCAGGGTGTTTGAAGACCAGAATGACGGAAAGTCGACGAAGGTTGTTAGGTTGCAAGAGGGAAAGAGGGGGGAGGTGGGCGGTCGACAAAGGCGGTTTCGAGCCCCACTTCGCCAAAGGCTGAAGCAGGCAATGCTGGCCCAAGGATTTTCAGGCAAGAACTGCGCAGCGGCTGGGTCAGGTTTGGCGCCCAATCGCCAATCAGTGCTTCGCCAACGGGTGTTCCGTTTGCTCACGCGACGCCACTACGGGTGAACACATCAGCTGCTTTAACAAAGTGACAATCAATTCGGCAGCACACTTGTTATCAGGCGGCCCCCCATCCCCGTTGCGACCCGAGGAACAACCACACCTCGAATCCCAGATCGACGCGGCTCGCCCGAGGGCTGGACTGCGTTTGTTTTTTCTTGGCTTGACTCTCGATATCCAATACAAGGAGCACATTCCCGCTGGAGAGATAACTAACTGGCGGATACGGTGTGTCTGCGTTTGCGAAGCCAGGCGCGTGCATGCATGCTTTGGCCCGGAACAAACACAGTCTTGCTGAGCAAGCGACGTGAATGACCGGCCTATCGGATGACTGGAAGGCATCTTTCGAGAGTTCTCTGTCAATGTCTTTGTTTATTTGTATCTTCTTCGTCTTGTGTACCTAAATAGCCCGATGTGGGTAGCCCAGGGTTACGAGGAGTTGTGAGCCCGACAACGTTCGTTTTATGCTGTGAAGATAAATGCATGGTCCACCGATGCCGCGCATCCGGTACGGGAATTCGATGGATGGATGGCCACCCCAGAACGACTTGGAAGCGCCAAAGATCTAAACAAAAGCCTGGACTCCCGTAATAGCCCGCCCTAGGATAAGGCCTGCCTCAAGTTAGATCATCCTCCTCCACATACCAGGAGCAGTTTCCTTAACTTACTATGAATATCGCTTTGGCCTTCATATGTCTGGGTGACATAAAGGTTTGCGACATGACGACCGATCATGTACTCGTCGCTGACAGCGTTGCCGCCAAATATCTCCTGCAACACCCTCGAGTTGTGGAGGGCCCTGTCGCAGTTCTGGCGCTTGATCATGCTGATCATCTCGGGGGTCGCCTTTCCTTGGTCCTTCAGCCGGCCGACCTGGATGGCCGCCAGGGTGCCGTAAGCAGCATCGGTGGCCGCGTCAGCCAGTTTCTTCTGAATCAGCTGGTATTTGGCGAGCGGGTTGCCCTTGAACTGCTTCCGCTCGAGGGAATACGTCCGCGCCCTGTCGATGCAGTCTTCCAGCGCGCCCATGACGCCGAGGGCGATGCCGTACCTGGCGCTGTTGAGGCAGGCGAACGGTCCCTTGAGACCCTCGACCTCGGGGAACATGTTCTCCTTGGGAACGGGACAGTCCTCGAGGTGAATCATACCCGTAATCGAGGCGCGGAGCCCGGTCTTGTTCTTGATTGCAGGCGTCTCTAGGGTTCCGGCAGGACACTGCTTCCTGTTGACTAGAAAGCCACGGATCTTGCCCGTCGCCTGTAATTTGGCCCACACCACCAGCACGTCCGCAATCGGTGAGTTGGTGATCCATGTCTTGGATCCTGTGAGCAGGTAGTAGCCCTCCTTTTGCGGGTGCTCGCGGGCGACGGCTTCCATGGAGCCCGGGTCACTCCCGTGATTTGGCTCGGTTAGGCCGAAGGCGCCAATAAGTTTGCCCTTGGCCATTTCCGGAAGATATTTCTCCTTCAGCTCTGGGGACCCAAAATCATGGATAGCTCCCATGGCCAACGAAGATTGAACAGACATGCTGCTTCGATAACCACTGTCGACGCGCTCAACCGCGCGGGTGATCAGCGCGCCAGCAACAGTTGAGACGCCGGCGCAACCATATCCATCAATGGTGGCACCGAGAAGCCCTAGCTCACCCATCTCCTCGAGAATCTTAGGATCATAGTGTTCATCCCGGTACGCCTCTGATTTCGTGTCAGTCAACGTAGAGCAGAGCAAATACCGGCTATGAGTTCAGGGGGTCACCATACGAAGCACTCGCGGCTGTAACTGCTCCTGGCAATACCGCTCAGCCGTTTCCGAGATAGCCAGCTCCTCCTCGGTCAACAAGTTTTTGGACGCCAGCGGGTCTTCCCAGGTGAACTGCGAGATAGGAGAAGTTGAAGCATAGGTCCTGACACTTGGAACGGGTCGAGCATGAAACAGCGCCCGCGAAGGGAGTTGTCGCAAAAGGAGCCGCGACATGGTCAATGTCGTGAAGAATGTCAAATCAGTGAGAAGTAGACTGAGGAAGAAGTGAACACCCCCGCTATTGCCTCGGGATATCACAAAGATCGTCGGCGTGTGCGGACCGTCTTCTAGTCCTGGCGTGGAGACATCCCCCGGTGATAGCCTCGGGTGTTGTTGACCGAGGAACAATGGGGTCAGTATGGGGGTTAGGGTTAGTTATGCCGCGAACCCAACTTGAATGTCGTGTCTTGGGTAGGAGAGAGCATCGAAATAGTTTTACCGAGAGGGCGGTGACGGTGACGCTGAAGCATAGCTAAGAGATCAATACTAATTTATTTCTCCGGTAAGTGAGATTAATGTGGGTGATCCGGACCCGGGAAACTCTAAAGATGCAAGCCATAGATGAAGACTGGCCAACCCCCCAACCAACGCCGTGCAATGCTCTCTGCTTGGATACTGGATATATAAAGTCATACCACCCCCACATTCTACCTCCCAGCATCGCTCGATAGTGTCGCCATCTCGTACTCCCCCGCTCCGTCCCTCCCTCTCCCTCGTCCTCTACCGCGGGAGAAGCCCTCCTCCTCATCCCCATTCATGCCGCCCACCCCAGCATCGCCATTTTCTCCCCCGGTCCCACCGGCCGTTGATGCCGCGCCGTTACCTCCAAGCGTAATCGGCTGGAGCTGTCGGTAGCGGCAGCCCCATGTTGCCAGCGCAACCGACACCGCACTAGCCGCCGCCATCGAAAGCCACCATGCCGTGTGGCGCGGCAGCTGCCCCGTATATAGCGTGACAACAACGAGGTGGATGGCGTGTACCGAGAGCGCAAAGTCGAGCACGAGTTTGGAGCGGCCGACGAGTACCACTATTGCGACGGCCCTATTTCGTTGCGCGCAGAGTCAGCCATGATTTCCCACACAAGCCTCCCAACTTCCCCGGTGCCATTGGCGGAGAAACCTACATGACCAAACCCCCGTCCAGTATCCACACGAAACCCATCAGCCACCCCTGTGTGGTGTCGCCGCGCACGGCGTCCCAGCCGAAGACGAGGTCCATACTAAAGGCGGAGCCCGCGACCAGCACGGTAAAGAGCATCAGCACCAGCGCCACCGCATAGTACAGCCCTTGTAGCGCGGCGATCTGGCTTAGGATCTTGAGCGGCGGAAGTTCGGCGAGGGCGCCCGGGCGAGGCGGCCGTCGCCGACGCGCCATGGGATTGTTGCGGTTGGGAAGGGAGCGCGGGACGCTGCGACTGTGTGCTTGTCGTCGTTAAAGCCGATCTTTCGAGATTCGAGGTCGGGAGAATGATAGGTACGTTGGCGGCGCAACCGATGGATGCCACGCGGAGTGGAGGGGAGTGACGAGCGACTGGGGCTATATCAAGTATATGCGTAACCACGTAGTTTTTCGATGACTGCCTTGGTGCTCGTCAAGAACTTCACTGCCTAGGGCGTGATGTGAGATTGACTTTGCTAATAAGAGTGCCTGGAGACATGCGCAAGACCGAGAGAGATTTGACTGCGCAATGTCGCACCGCGCGCTGTAATTACCCTGTACGTAATCTCGACACGAGCCGGGGCTCAACGGGCAACCCCACTGCCCCGCTTAACCTAACGGGGAGCGTCAGTCTTTGGTTTCGCAGCAGCGGGACATTCCGAATTCGAGGTTCGAGACTCCGGCGAAGCTCCCAAGACAGGTTCGCGAGCCGAGCAGAATCAAGACGACAACGATCTCCCGCCGCATTCAAGGGGCCAATCCAACCCACTACCGGCGGACCTAGTTCCCCGTACACCACAGCAACTTCGAAAAGCACAACGACCGAACGAGAAAGACGAAGAACGGAACATAGAAGAAGAACCTGAACCAAAAGTAGAAAAGAAAAAAAAAGAAAGAAACCAAGCACACGATAATGGGCCTCCTCCCCAGCCTCAACCTCTTCGGCCCCGCCAGCGAAGCCGACAAGCGGGCGACCGAGGTGCGCAGCGGGGCCGTGGCGCCGAGCCGCGCCGAGCGCGCCCGCTGCTGGGAGGCGCGCGACGCCTACTTTGCCTGCCTGGACGCCGGTGGCATCGTCGACGCCGTCAAGGACGACAGGAAGGCCGCGGCCGCGTGCGGGGCCGAGAGCGGCCGGTTCGAGAAGGACTGCGCCGCGCAATGGGTACGTCCTTTTTTATGTTTCTGTGTGGGTTGTTGGTTTGCCGCTTGTCTTCGTTTGGGGGGCGGGAGTGGGCTGGGAGGTGTCGCGGTGGGGAGGGGATGGGGAGGGGAAAAAAGGAGTGGGCTCCGTGGTGTGGTTTATCGGTCACTAACGGAATCTTGACAGGTCACATATTTCAAAAAGTGGCGGGTGCAGGACATTCAGAAAAAAGCGAGGTTGAAGGAGCTCGAAGCACAAGGGGCTAGCAAGATGGACGTTCAGACCGACTTCGCCGCCCGGAAGTGAAATCCACGGCTGATCGCGAGCTGAACAAAAGCGCGGGTTTGTGACGATCCTGCCGGGGTGTAACATACGATGTAATATGTCTGTCTATTTATATGGGATACCCGGCGGCCCGGCGTTGGCCCAGGTTGGGTATAGAATCATGAACTCTTTTCTCAAAACTACAACTGTGTTTGGCGAACGACCGGTGATACAGCTTCGAAGTTCTCTCGCCCAATGCAAGCGACCCGTCTCGGTGTGGGCGTTACATATTGCACCATTCATTCAGTATTGCTACCCCCTAATGGCTGGCTCTCGCCGAACTTTGTCACCAAATCCACAAGGCTGAAGAGCACCACATTGTAACCGGAAACTAGCATTCGATATGGGAGGGAGGCCTTCATCGCCGCTAGTATATCCATCGTTCGTAACATTGGTCTAATTCTAACGAGCAATAGTAGAACTGTAGCAACAACCCGGCCGGCTATGAGTGATTATGACGAGAAGCAGAAAGATGGATCCAAACAACATAAGAAGAAACAGGTATGAACATGAAAAGGACGGAGACAACTACAAAGGAGACAAAAGAACTTCCTTGGCGTGTATGCTGCTTGATGCGTTGTGGTATCATGTTGTGCAATGAGACAAGTGTGCTAAGAGATGAAACACCACCGGACTCGTACAGTTTCCCATCGTTTACCCTCCCCTTTTTCCCTCCGTCACCGGGCCGACGTCAGCAGCAGATCACCTTGTCGTCCAGGAAGAGCGGAGCCTGCGCAGGGCTCGACCCGGATTTATCCTCTGTAAAAGCCGATGTCGAACCTGTCCGCACTCCTCCAGGCCGCATTGCTCTTCCGACGCCGAGGCGCTCTGTAACTCCTCGTTCGGCACCGAGGTACCCGTCGGTTCGACGCCATCGCACTACGAGGCGTGTTGAGAACGGGGTAGGCCGCCGTTTGGAAGGGGCGGCAAAGCCTTGTCGAGACTATCGCGGCTGATTTGCTGTCGAAGACCTAGCGATCTCTGGGACCCAGTGAGGCTCTTCAGGCCACCATTGCCGCTGCTTCCGCTAACACCAACGCCATATCCACTGTCGGCGCTTTCCGGCTTTGACCGCCCAGTGTACCCGTGGCCGGTTTTTGGTGGAGTTGGCGGCGGGCGTGCTTGGATGCTGCTGCCCCTGCTGCCGTCACGGCTCCCAAGAAGTGGGTTGCCAAACCCAGCGGCGAGCTCGTCGCCCTCCTTCGCGGGCGTCAACGGCCGGACCTCGCTGTCGGTAGTAAGACTGCTCACGCGGCTGTTTCGACTGCGATCTCCCGTTGATGTGCCCTCAACTGCTTCTTCCACGACTGGAAGAACGGTCGTTTCTCTGCGCTCACCGGCGGGCGCGTTTGGGTTGTGGCCGGGCTTGCCGGTTCCCGAATTGTTAGGAGGCGCGGTGATAATCGTTCTCAAAACACGCTCCGGGGCATCATCCTCTTGTTCACCCACGTCCGAGGTTCTTGCCTGCTGACCCACCCGAACTTGGCCCGATGGCGACGAGGAAGGCGGCAAGGGAGGCTGGTAATTAGGCATGGGAGGGATCTCGGCAGCCGCTTCAGCTGCGAGCGCAGCGTCCCGTTCCTGGGCGGCCCGAATAGCTTCCTCCTGTGACATGGCCATGCTCGAGATGAAGCTGATGAACCTCTCACCGTATTCGTGAGGCGGCAGAGCCGAGATCTGACTGCGATCACTTGAGAGGCCTTTCCAGAAGTGCTCTATCTTCTTGATGATACCGTACTGGAAATCGTGTCAGCGTGCGTCACCGTCTGGTAAAGTGGTGAGGTGTTTCACGTACGTGGGTAAGGCAGTCGATCACTCCCAAGTAGTAGATCTCGTCCCCTGGCGCGTTGTCTTCGTGTGTTGCCCGGAAGCCACCGTCGTCCTGGTTGAAGATAAAGCCCGGCCGGTTTTGGCCTTCCTCAAGCTCGTCCGGCATTCTACTACTTGTCTGCCCCATTGGCACCGGTTTCTCGGACTGGATCATCTGCCGGAGCTCCCTGGCCTTGCGTTGGTTTTCCAGTTTGGAGGGGGTTCGCATGAGGACCGAGTGGGGGTCGAAGTCTTCCGAGGTGTTGCCGCTCCCGCCCGGGTTGAAGACGCGCAAAGTCTTGTCCCTCAGGTTCTCCTCGTTGCCTCGTTGGAGATCGTGGATGCCTACAAGCAAAGAGTAATCCATAATCTGCAATCTTTGCAATAACCGCACATCCTTATAGAGCTGCTCCAGGAAGAGCTGCTTCTTCTGAAGGCCAAGTTCGATGTTCCTCTTTCGACGGAGCCAGTTCAAGTCCTTCAGGGTCGCTCGTGGGTTGTTTTCTAGGTCGTCTTCCCTGTAGTCCCGACCGACGGTCGAGCCCTTCAAGTCGAAGGTCTGGTGGATATCCCGGTGCGGGGGGAACAGGTTGTTCATGACGACGAAATGGATCTTCCTGCCGTAAGGCATCTTGACGCGGTGAAGGCCGTAGAACTGTGACAGGAGCGTGTTCGGGTTGTCCTTGACGTGCTGGTAGTAATCTTTCAAGATCTTGCGGAGGAACTTATGCTCGGCGTGATGGATGGTCTTGATGATGTACTTGTAGTCCCGGGAGAAGTAGAAGAAACTCCCGCTCTTTCCGGGCGACCCGAGCTCTGACAAGATGTACTTCCCGGTCAGGGACATCAGGTAGTCGGCGGGGTCCAGGCGGAAGAGAGTGCGCAGGTGGCGGAACACCCAGGGAGCGTAGTCCTTAAACTTGAAGTCGTACTTGGCTGACGGGACCAACTCGTTTCCGGCGATGTCAAAGGTGGACTTTTGCTTGACGTCGAAGTCGGCGTCGGTCAAGGGCCGGTCGAGCTTCGCGTTGGTCCTGGAAACGGCGACGCGGATGCCGGTCAACATGTTATATGCCGTCACCCAGTTCGCGTGCGTCTCGTCAACCTTGGTGCCGACCAGTACCCTGTCATCATCCTCGATCTCCCTCCTCCTCCGCTTGCTCGCCCGCTTTTGCCTGTACGCCTCTGCCCACCGCATAGCGTCCTCGTCAGGAACCACCTCGTCGCGTGGGCCATCTGAATGAAGGGATCGCGTGTTTCTCCTAGCTAGACTTAGCGATGCCCTACGCCCCCCAGCGCCTGTGATGGTGGGGGAGAAACGGCCGCTGGAATGAGCGGTGTCGATGCCGTCCCTTGAGCCACGAGCCGAGGAAGCCTTGGGGACTTCCAGGGTATGCCGGTGTTTGATACCCGGCACAGGGGGGGTCTGCAAGGGACCGGACGAGTTCGGCTGGTCGTACACGGGGGGTGACGAAAACCTGTGGGGTGCGGGTTGGTTTCTTTGACTCGAGGATGGACTCGAGGCTTGGGAGTTGAGAGCCGGAGCGCTGGAAGTAGGAAATGCGGCTGAGGTAGATCCGTTTTGAACGGTGCGGACGTCGCCTCGACCGACAGGATGCAGGTACACCTCGACCTCTGGTTGTGCGGGGGGGGGTTCGTTCCTAGAGGGGGTACGTGGAATACCGTCGCTCAGTCTCCAGCTTGGTGAATCCTGGCTTATCCCCTTCGACCCCAAGTTCGGCACCGTCCGATCCACGAGTGGCGCCGAATGGCTGGACGAGAGCGATTTCCGCGCCATAAAATCGGCTGCGCCCAGCCCATTTACTCCTCCGCCAGCAGTTCCATTTTGTGGTGAGCTCATGCTCTGCGGGAGCGAAAAGTTTTTCGTCGCGCGCCGCTCCGGTTCGATGGACGTGGACGTCTCAGATGTGGTGGACGACCTGGTCGAATTCGCGGAGCTCCCGTCAAAGCTCTCGTTTGACGTGTGCGAGTGTGGCTGGTGGGCGATGCGTCCATTGACCTTGGCCTGGGATAAGCCGTACTCGGCGGCCCGGTCAAGGTGCACAACACCCGAGGACTGCGAGTCGATTGCCGTGTTTGCGTCCGGCACGAAGGAGGGCATTTCGGGGGGGACGTCCGTCAAATGGGTTGGAACTGTGACTCGACGAGCGACGTCCGAGATTAGGCGCGGTCGGCAGCCATAAAGATGCTCCAACGCGCCGGAAAACAATTGCCCGTCGGTCGTTACGCCTCTAGAGGGCGGAGTTGTGGTTTCAATCGGGGTTATGAGAAAGGGGGTATTCTCAAGGTCGGCTCGCTTCGACGGTGGTGCGTTGTCGTCGGGGCTGCGCTTGGCGATTTAGCTGCTTTCTGGGCGGCGGAATATTTAGGGGCCTCGAGGCTGAGCGGAGCTGGGAATTGGGTATTGGTTTTCGCTTGTCTGTGATATGCACAATCAATCAATCAAAGTTCGAGGCGGTGCGTGTGTGCCACCAACAATTGCGAATCCAGTGGTCGGGAATCGGGAAACTCTCTTGCGTGTCTGGAGGCGGAAGCAAAGGACTGCAGAACAGGAACAAGGACGCTAGTGACGGTGCGTGGCTGTGGTGACCGGGACGAAGAACCGGGCTCGGGGGTTGGAACTTGGCGCAGCTGAGGAGAAATTGTGCGGGCCGCTTTGCCCAATTGAAGGTCCGCTGACAAGAAGGGACTGGAGCGATCCAGGGCAGTTGTTACGAGGCTGGCAGGCAGGGTTTCTTGGATCCCAGCAAACAAGCCAAAAGCAGTAATTCGTTAATAAAACTGCGATGCGTCAACAACACTGTCGCGGGCAGGTTGGAACTCACCATGAGCGATGCTTTTCCCATTGCTTTCTCCTCTCAGCTTCAAAGAGATCGGCTCCGTCTTCCGTGTCCGAGTCCCCTCGTGTCACCGGGACAATCAGTAAACGGGCTGCTCCGTCAGTGCTCTCCACCTTCTCTCTTGGTCAAGCGCCCGACCTTGGCAACGGGAGTGCATTCAGCGAGGATGTATGCAGTAAATTCACCGGGCAGTCGGGTTGCTGGGATCCGGTGCTGACGATCTACATAGAGAGGACACAGGATTGTTTGTTAGGGCTGCCTCTCCTGTGTACACAGCAGTAATCAACTACGGTATCTGAGAGAAAATCCCCTTGTCCCTACCTAAATTATCGCCAGTCAAGTAATCTGTACACCTCACGGTCAGGCCCCAGTGTTGCCCAATGCTCGGGCATTGCCGTCACTCTTGCTTCACCGAAAGCTCATTTCACAATCCTTGTCTGCAACGCGTGAGGGAGGCTTGGTGCCTTGGATGTGCTTGGTGCTCGTGCCCCACATAAAGTCGGAAGACCGGCAGGCCAGGTGCTCCGCGATACAGGTGTCGTCACTTCTGCCGCAGTTGACGAGACACTGCAAGAGCGGCACGCAGGGATATATCGATTACCAGACGGAGCTTGGACTTGGAGCGATAGTTGAACCTCGTCCGAACCTCCTCCATCCATAGTAGAATCTCAATCTTGTATGCGCAGGTCCCGCCTCAACCACAGAATCAGATCTGGATCAGGCCAATATTTGCTGTTAGTCAACTAGGTAATGCATTCCCCGCCGAACAAATGCAGTCACCAACCTGATAAGCTCGAGCAAAGCTAAAAGAGGGCGAAAGGACGACATGGTGTTCCAAGTCACAAAGTGTTGCAAATCAACGCAATACCATAAAAGTCTATCGAAGCACAAACCATCTCTCATAATTCCATCAACTCCAGATCTGGACCGACGACCGCCAGGGTATTCGCAGAACCTCGAAAAGCAACCAAACACCACCGCGCTACACAACGCCCTAGAACAGAACATCTAGGAAACGTGCTCTACTCCGTCCTCCTCTCCACGATCGGCCTCCCGACCGGCAGGCCGCCCACAAACCCAGCATTCTCCCCACCAAGCTGGAACACCCTCCGGCCGCGCACCCATGTCTCCTGGACCCGGCCCCTGAAGGTGTGGCCCTCCCAAGGCGAAACGCGGTTCTTCCAGCGCATGTCGCCGGCGCGCAGCGTCCACACGTCGGCGTCGTCGAAGACGCACACGTCGGCGTCCATGCCGGCCCGCAGCCCGCCCTTGCAGTGCGCCAGCCCGACCTGCCGCGCCGTCGCCTGGCTGCACATGCGCACAATGTCGACGATGGACGGCGCCGCGTCCCCGCGCGCCGCCCGCTCCGCCGCCGTCGTGTGCAGGATCGGCAGGCCGAGGCCGACCGACGAGATGCCGCCCCAGGCGGCGAAGAAGTCGCCTTGGCCTTTGGGTGCGAGGTCGGTCTGAGGGGTCAAGTCGACGGGGTGCCCAACTTCCTTTGTGTGTTGTTCTTCTTGCGGCAGCGTCACGTCCACGCTTGAATCGACCGAGAGGGCCGATTTCTTTGGCTCCTCTTTCGGCAGTGCCGACACGTCGATGGAGGAGTTAGTAGGCATGGTCTGCATCGCTTCCTCCTTCTCTTGCTCCGTTTCTAGCGGCGTCACGTTGATACCGGAACCAATGGCGACCACCCCTTCCTTCTGTTGTTCTTCTTCTGGCAGTGTCATGTCAATACCGGAATCGAAATGGCGTATCGCTGGCCGTGGTCCATCCTGGTAGATGGTCTGGAGGTGCGGCGGCAGCAACTTGAGCTCGGGCGTGCAGGGGGAGTGGTCCGAGACAATGGTCTTGATGCAGCCATTCGGGTCGGCGATCTCGTCCCACAGCGTGTCCTGGTTGGTCTGCGAGCGGATAGGCGGGCAGCACTTGTGCCTTGTGTCGCCATCCGGGATGTCGTCGGACGCGAGGCCGAGGTAGTGGAAACACGTCTCGGCCGTGATGTTGATGCCGTTCTTGCGCGCATTGCGTAGGATCGGGGCGCATTCCGTCGCTGAGAGATGCACAATGTGCAGGTGGAGCTGTGGCGCGAGGTGGGCCATCGACAAGATCTCCTCCACGGCACACGTCTCAAAGACGGGAGGCCGGGAGTCTAAGAAGGTGCTGTAACTGTCTAGCTCACCGGCAGGTTGTGCTGGCGGATCCGACTGCTGAACTGCGTCTCCTACCGAGGCCGCAATGGGAGGGAGCATTTCGGCGTGGAACATCAACGTGGTGGGCGTGTCCTTGAGCGTCGTCATTGCAAGTGCAATGTCCTTTGCCGATACAGCGGGGAATTCCTCAACCTGTTGTCCGGATTAGCGATCCTCTCAGCGTTGTTTGTGCAAACACACTTACACCCGAGTCGATGAGAAAGCCTTTGAAGCCACGGACGCCGGCTTCCACCAGAGGCAGCAACTCATCGGCATTTCCCGGCACGACGCCACCGTAAAAGCCAACGTCGACCCAGCATTGCCCCTGGCTAGCAGCCAACTTCTCCTTGAAGCCCATGAGAGTGGTGGTGGGAGGGATGGCGTTCAAGGGCATATCGACGACGGTGGTGACGCCACCGGAAGCCGCGGCCTTCGTGCCCGTGTTGAAGCCCTCCCATTCTGTGCGGCCCGGCTCGTTAAGATGGACGTGGGCGTCGACCAAGCCCGGGAGCAAGAGTTTGGGGCTATAGTCCTGGTACAGGGTTTCCGGCGGAAATAGGCTCCTTGGGAGGACCTCCTGGGTTACCGACACGATCTTCCCAGTACCGAGAGAGATAAGGATGGTCGCAGGTGTGAGGAGGAGCGTGTCGTCTGAGAGCGTGAGAACGGTTCGCGTTGATGCTAGAACGACGACAGGGCCGCTGTGGGGGACACTCGGAACCGTCATCTTAAAAAGGCGTTGTGGGTGTCACGGTGTTGATTCGGAAAGAAAAGGACGAGCACGACCCTGGCACTGTTGAGAATCGCTGTCGGACGAGTCACCCTTCTATCGGCGAAACGAAGCCTTATCTACAGCTCAAGCGAGGTGGCTAGGCTATGGTATGGATATGACTGTGCTCAAGCAACGAAAAGAGGGAGACAGGGGTACTCGGGAAGAGACGATCCACGCTGACGTCGAAAGGAGAGAGTGTGTGATAACGAAGCTATGGTGGTGGGTAAGGGCCCGAGATAAAAGAACCGGCGGCGGTGGCACATGGGAAAGGCCCCCCCAAAAGGGCGGAAGAGGGCTCGAAACACTCGAAACGGCACCCGACGGTCCACCGCAATCCTGCTCGGCCCCCAGACCGCTCCACCCGAAGCAATTCCCATACTTCCGGTCCAGATTGCCATGTTGCGCTGGTTTTGCGCAGGAGGGGCACGAGGGGGAACCGGCAGGGTTGTGGGGCCAGACGAGTGAAGAAACTCACCTGCCCTCGCCGCCGCTGTCGGCGAGGAAAGGACCCCTGGACAGCTGGGCTTATCTTGGGACGCTTATTGGTCAGAGTCTCTCGGTCCGGAGACAGCCGCCCTCCGAACAAACAGCCCAGGCCCGGACATGGGTCAACCTGGCCAATCACGAAGCCAATGGGCCATATCCCTGTCAGTCCGTGGACTTCCAGACACCGCCCCCCTTGTTTCCGTTTTTGGCGGCCATCCGAAGCTATCACGAGGTTTCCATCGAGTAACAATCGAGTAAGCCTGGAGAAGTCTGCATCCGATTCGCCACACCCCGCCCACCGAAATCTGAGATGCAGCAGCGACAACGCAACGCTGCTAAGTCCAGAATGGGATTTGGAATGGTCCCGCCGCTGCAAATCTCATTGCCTTTGTCAACGACCAGCACTCTTGTTGCAGGCCAGAGCCTCGACAACCTGTGAGCAATCCGCCAAGTTCGGAAAACTTTGACCTGGGCGGTCTATACGAGAAATTTTACTCCCAGTACAGGCGGTGAACAACGGTGAACAAGAGGAAAATTTCTTCAAGTCTGGGCTGACTCGTGAAAGTTTCCACGAGACCCGGAGGTCGCCGGAGGGGTTTTACCCGGCCTCCTGCGGCTTACCCCGGCTAACTGAGATAGAATTCTTTGTCGTTTTCCACGAGTATGCCGGTGAAGAGCTCACGCCAACCCGAAGTCCCGGACTATTCTCCCGCAGCTTTGCCTCATCGGACAAGTCCACAACCCAACCCCCCACCCTCATGACAGCCCCCTGTGCTCCACCAAACTGGGTCGTAAATTGAATCGAGCCTAGTAGGGAGGCGTCACCACCATAAAAATACGGTCCGCGTATGGAATCACGGAGGGCATAGGTGGTGCACCAGGCATGTGTAGTGACCGCCATGACTCTGACTGCCGCGTTGACTGTCTCAAGACCGGGAGGCATGCTGGAGCGAGGATTTGGTCACTGCGTGTATCCCCAGCAACATAGACGAAACATCCTTTATAGGAGAGTGGGATAGTACCGAGTTGTGCGTCGGTATCAACGATACGGGATTGTCCTAGAAACATGACGAGGCAAGTAGGTAGGTAGGTACCTTAGTTATCACCATGTAATCTAACCGCTAGTTTGGCTGTTCGTTAAGTCACATGCCAACCGAACAAAGTGTCGGTTATCGGTCTCGCCTTCCGCATGCCCTCCCCCCCTGGCGTTGACATGATTAGGGTACAAGTACTCAGATGTGTGTCTCTATTCTCCTTTGCTCATCCAAAGCCAAAGTTTCCTAACAGCCACTTCGACTTCGCTCCTCGACTCCGCACCGGCATCCAACGTGAACGCCGCTCATCTACGGGCTCGCTCTGGCCCAGCCTCACCCGCAGCCCCCTGACTTCTAATCAGATCCCGTGGCTGATACTCCACTGCTCGGGCCCGCGTGCGATACCCGTTGCTGTAGGGCGCGCTCCGGCGGCGAGCCGGTAGAAAGCTCGCTACAATGCCATTCCTCGGTTGACGGTGCTGGGGGTACCGGCAATCGAAAGAAAAGCTGGGAAGTAAAAAGGGATGCATGTCGGCGTGCTGGTTTGTCACGTCTCAAGATCATGGCACGGCTCATAGATAGGGTGGATGCACCGGGGACCAAGATAGTGTGGTTGCGAACAGCAAGCTTTTGTATTCGTTGACGAAATTACTCGTCCGCTAGAATACAAACTCATAGCCGTGCCGCATCTTCCGGGTTCTTGACCTCGACCATCAGTTTACCTGCTCGAGAGTTAGCTGTGGTTCATATTTCTTTACCCCTCACCTCGCCGGCCCTGCCACTTACCAGTGTTCCGACCCTTGAATAGGGAATCGAGTGCCTCTTCGGACACAGCGATGCCACCCTTGAGGATCGTCTCCTTCCTCTTGAGCTTGCCCTCGGCCAGCCACTGCCCAATCTGCGTTCGCCCCGCGGCATACTCGCTCGCGTAGTCGAAGACGATGAAGCCTTGCATCCTGGAAGTAGAGTCAATACCACCGAGCGGGAACTTAGGTAACATGTGTAACTGAGAGCTTACTTGATCCGCTGACCAATGACATTGTTGAAGTTTTTCTGCAGTCATGGTATTAGCCGGGCCACCTCGCCTTGATGCAGGATGGTTCTTGTTTGAGTTACTCACCGATGGCCCTGACCTTTTGTCGCCGGCGTTGTACTGAGAGATGGCGCCGCACATGACAAACCGGGAGAAGGTGGCGGCCCGGGCGAGTGCCATCTCAAGCTGCTCGCCGCCGACTGTAACATCGTTTTGTCAGTCTCTTCCCTTGAATTTGCCTCTCTGGAAACGCGACTCCTGCTTACCATTGTCGAAGAACACGTCGATAAACTTGGGAGTAGCCTCCTTGAACTTCTCCTTAAAGTCCGGGTCCTTGTAGTTGAGCGCAACATCCAGACCCAGCTCCTCCTTCAGCCAGCGGCACTTCTCGTCGCTGCCGGCGGTGCCGATGACGCGGGCGCCGGCAATCTTGGCGATCTGGGCGGCCACGCTCCCCGTGGCGCCGGCGGCAGCGGAGACGACGACGGTATCGCCGGCCTTGGGCTCGCCGATCTTGGTCATGCCGAAATAGGCGGTCAGGCCCGTCAGGCCGAACACGCCCATCAAGTCGGTGACCTTGGCGCCCGGGGCCAGCGCGGAGCCGAGCTCGACCTGGCTCTCGGACATGATGCCGACCTCGCGGATGCCGAGCGGGGCGGTGACGATGTCGCCGGCCTTGGCCTTGGCGGAGCGGGAGGCGAGCACGCGCGAGATGGTGGCGGCGCGCATGACCTCGCCGATCTGCACGGGCGGGATGTACGAGCGCCGGTCGTCGAGCCAGCCGCGCATGGCCGGGTCGAATGACACGTACAGGCACTCGAGCAGCAGCTGGCCGTCTTTCAGGTCCGCCTCGGTCGGCGCCGCCACGCTCCGCTGCCGGAACGTCTTGCCGGGCACGATGTTGCTCGTGGGCCGCTCGGCCAGCTCCAGCTGCTGAGATTGTCGTGCCATGTTGCTTTGGATTTGGTTGTGTCGTACGACAGGGGAAGGTCGTGTTTTATTGGGTGCTCGGACAAGGAAGTCACCGTGGGAAGGGATAATGGTGGTAACTAGTTAGTGTGTTTAATTTGGAGAGTGTTTTGGCTACCTACCAAGCACTCGCTAACATTTATGGATGGCCGGCCTTCGCTGCTACTTGTAGTGCCTCTGAGACACCGACGGCTTCGACTTGAAACTTGAAGTGGCATTCAAGCAAGCACATTAGTAATGGATCTCTGGGAACTTTGAAGGTCGGACCTTGCTTTCTGCAAGTGAACTCCGCTCTCGCACTGCAACCACCAGTCGGCAGATCCTCCGAGCCGAGGCTGGCCCCAAATCCGGACCCAGAGCCTCGGAAGATCGCGAATCCCGGGTTGCCACCCACTCTCCGGCGAGTAACAATCCGGGAACCCCTTTTTTCAACGTCTACGGCGGTTACCCTTTTGGTCCTTTCTCCGTGACTAGCGGTCAATGGCAGTTTCTAGTGGCGTGCTGGTAACTAGCTCTACGATATGCGAAGAGACGAAAAAGAGGGGGAATGGACGAGAGTTCCTGAAAGGATCTATTTCGTGAAGGTGGAAGCCCGAACCGGAATTCCGTTCGTCAGATCTGTATTCGGATGAATATCTCGTCCGTTCTCATAGCGCCAGATGATGCATTGTCATCATACACAAAGCGGCACTGTCCAAGATCACTTGGAGATGCCGAGCCCGTCTGTTATACACCAGCCATACGGCTGTTCGTCTATATTCACCCCGCTCGTCTTTTGGAGCCCCGCAAACATTATGATTGTGCGATTGTCGTGTTAGTACATTGGTCAAATTGACCCCTAGTGGAGAGGTTTACTTCTTCCGCTGCAGGGTCTTGACAGCCATCTCGACGAGACCGTCCTTGGCCTCGCTATCTGGGAATAAGTTGAGAGAAGCAATCGCCTTTTCGGCGTAATCTTCAGCAAGCGCACGCGTTTGCTGAATACCATCACTTTGCATCACCAAGTCTCGTGCCTATAAACGTTGGATTAGCATCACTCGTCCCTGTTCTTGAAAATACCAAATCTGACTGAAGAAAGAAAAAAGCTCACCCGAGAAACGTCGCCGTCATTGGCAAACTTCCTCCCTACCAGAGCCCCAAGCTCTGGCATGGTCTTCCATGCAAATAACAGCGGAGCGGTCGCTAGCCCAAGCTCCAGATCGGCACCCGCAGGCTTGCCCAACTCCTTCTCACTGCGAGTGTAGTCGAGCATGTCATCGACGAGCTGGAACGCCAAGCCGAGGTTCCTGCCGTAGCTGTAGGCCGCCTCCACCGTCTGGGCGTCCGCTCCGCCTAAGAGGGCCGCCGCGCGGCAGCTCTTGCTGATGAGGGAGGCCGTCTTGAGGTATGTCTTTTGCAGGTAGTAGGTCAGAGCGTCCTCGGACCACTGCGGGTTGGTCTCGTCCCGCGCCGTGTTCTTCAGCTGCATGAATTCACCCTCGACAAGATTGGCGATGACGGTGGCCAGCAGCTCGATTACTTCGGCGTGGCGCAGGCGCGCAAGCGCGACGGATGCCCTGCCGAGGAGGAAGTCGCCTGCTAGCACGGCCATCTTGTTGCCGAACTCGAGATTGGCGGACGGTGAACCGCGGCGTGATACGGAATGGTCGATTACGTCGTCGTGTAAGAGCGAGGCAGTGTGGATCAGCTCCGTGATCTCGGCCAGCCTCCGCTGCGAGGGGAGGATGTCGGCATCGGCGAGAACCGGCTCGCTCTCGGTGCCGGCAGACGGGTTGAAGTCGGAAAGAATCGACTGTGGGGAAATGGACGTGTCGATGGCGGCGGAGGCCTGGGCGGTCGCTTGCTGGCGCTGTGGTGCCTTTGGGCAGAGTGATGTTGCCCGCGACATCAGCAGGACTATGAGCGGCCGGACGTGTTTCCCCTCGGCTTGGGTGTAGTACTTGGCGGCGCGGTCGAGCGAAGGATGGCCTGAGCCGAGTAGCTTCCTGATGTTCCCCGTCAGAAACTTCATCTCCTTCGCCACGATCCGGAGGGGATCAACGGTGGGCAGGTCGCCCTTGGTCGCGCGTGTGACGGCATTCGAGACGATATTGCCGGCTACCGAAACGGCAGCAGCCCACGCCGACGGGTTGGGCCGGCCGGAGTGAAAGAGTACCCTTGACTGGGGTATCCGGGCACCAAGAGATGCTGCCCTAAGGCATTGTGTGCATGGCGGCGGCCGTAACCGCGCAAGTTGTGTGGCGCTCCTGGCCCCGCGAACCACTCTGGTCCCCGTCCCTAACTGCATTTCCTCGCGCTTTCCTCCTCAATTAGAGCCAGTGGACTGCCGGGCGTCACGGTTCGGTCGTCTGGCGCATTGGGGACGGAATCGAGAGTCGTCGGTGCGGCCGGGAAGCGCGCGATTGGGGCCCTGGAAGATGACCTGGCTGTTCGTCCCGTGGGTCCCGAAAACTTCCATCCCTCCCCGACAATTTTTTGGGACCTGGCCATTGAAGCACGGTGTGGCTCGACTCCGGTGGGGACCGGTCGGTTGTGGCTGGGTGTTTGGGTCTGGAGCTTACCTAACCCCTGTCGTGCTGTCTTGGCGCTGCGGGTTGGCTTCCAATTCGTCTCATCGTTGGCTCCAGGGCGTCTGCCTGTGCGTGAGCATCCGCCAACAAGGAGACACGACTTTACTTAGTTATCCCCGGGCCCATCCGAGTTGTCTACCGCATCACTTTCGATCTCATCGCTAAATTCACGTCGGCTAAGATGGTTTTACTCACAATGACGCCCCGTATCGTGGCGGGGTTGCAGTCTCTGAGCAAACCACGCAATTCGCAAAACGCAGCAGCTCGGCCTCGGGACTCTGACGATTCCGAGCCTTCGCTTGAAGGTCCAGCTGTCGGCAACCCCGTCACTCATTCACAAATCGTGGATATCTGGAAAACGCTCAACGATATCGGTTGTGGAGATTATACTCTGGAGGAACTTTTGAAGGGATCCAAGGTCTACGTACCGCCGCCAGCCCCGAAGTCCGAGCCGGTGAGTTGCGTCGCCTTGCGAGCACAAGACCTCCTCCCATGCTGATCATATCAAAGTCGGACGACTACAAAGCACTTATGGCGCGGCTTCGCCGGGAGCAGGAACAGCGGGAGTATGAACGAATGGCGAATCCGCTGCCGCCGATGGAGACGTTCTCTCAGCGGTATCCCAACGGCGCAAACATGGCTCAAGCGTTTGCAGCAGTGAACCGGCCGACCAATGAAGCGGATATGGGCGATGATGATGTGACATACAACGACGTGCATCGCCAGCTAATGTTGATTCTCAACTTCGTGGCGAGCATACTGGGGGTTGCTGCAACGCTCTGGATCGTGGCTAGGTGGTGGAGCACGCCAGCCAGACTGTTTCTGACTATGGGCGGCAGCCTTCTGGTTGGAATTGCGGAGATCGCCGTGTATTCTGGATACGTATGGCACCTCGGCCAGGCCGACAAGAAGGACAAGACTTTGAAGGAAGTCAAGGAAGTCCTCCAGACCTGGACTGTCGGGGTCGAGAATGAAGCCGTTGTAGTTGGTGGAGAGCCACGGGATCAGGACGCAAACCTTCGGCAGCGGCAGAAGGGCCACAGATAAATAAATGGGTCCCCGGCTCGTTTAACTGCGGGTGTTTTATTTATTTATTTTTGGCAACTCGGAGGTATCTTGTCGTGGCTCCTGACGTCGCTCTGGTCGCTCTGGTCGCTCTGGTCGCACATGGGATGCTTGGGATGCTTGGCTGAATGAACCCCGAGATACCGACAAGGGGCCGCGTGGGGCACTCGGGCCCCACGTCATTGTGCATTGTCGCGCGGGACGCGTCCAGCAATTCTCAAACGCGTAAAACGCGATCGACACCTTTGATTTTCCCAGCCAGCGTGAGGGGTCAACCTCCCGCTGAGGGCACATCCACCCCAACAAGCCATCCTCACTTTGCCCTTTTTGGCCATGATAATAGTAGTTCTTATTTAAAACTTCTTCCCACACTCCCAGAGTGGTGTGCTTCGGTTGCGACCCGGTGTTCATTGACAACTTTCGCGCTTCCACCGGTCGTCTTCAATTTCGTCGGGAAATCCGTGCATCACGAAGATGTCGACCGACCAGCCAGCGCTGCATTCCATCGACTCTGTCGACGTGACAGCAACCACGCCACCCCGAGGACGAAAACGACCGCTGCGAACCTATAGTCGACGATCAATCCAAACGAGGGCCCAAGAAGAGGAATCGCCGCAAGCGGGCGGGCGTCACCCGGCCAGCACTCCGGACGTGGAACGAGCAGAAACGCCGGTCCAGCTCCCCGTTCTGTCCGCGCATCGACATACGGAACAAGCGGAACAAGCGGAACAAGCGGGGCGTTCGAGTCGGGGATCGATCCTGGCGTACTTCAAGCCCCTCCCTCCGAGTTCCGAGACACCTAGCATCGCATCCTCCGACCCTGCGGAGCCTCTGTCGACACCACCAACTTCTCCATCGTCGTCCCGCGCAAAGAAACGAAGAAGACTTACCACACGGCCCCAATTCAGTGCGCTGGAACAACAGTCTGATGCTGGAGACACTGTCGATCTTGGCGATGGCGATGGCAATGGCAATGGCAATGGCAAAAGGGATGACGAATCACCCGGGAAAGTGGCAACCGGGAAACAATCTTGTCCATCCCTTCCCGACTATGACAAACCGCGACCGGCTCTGACCGAGGTGGCTGTCAACGCCTTGTGCCACCAAAACGAAACAACAAACTCTGTGACGGACGAAAGGCCGAGGACTAAGAAACGGCTCGATAAACGACCGGCAAAAGACATGACGCAAACGACCCTGAGTCTCTCCGTCCATAAAGAGCCGGGATTCACCATGTGTAGCGTTTGCGACATCTTGTACAACCCCCTGAATGAAAAAGATAGGAGAGAGCACAACCGTCGGCATGCCGCCTTCTCCCGAAACAAGAAAAGGCGGGCATTATGACGGCTTCAATTCATGTTGGGAACGTTTTCGGGGGTATATTGCAATTCCCTGGAGCGGCAGAGACGCAATGATCGACTGATCGATCTGTTGGGTCTCTGAGAAAAAAGGGGCTGACGATACCATGACATCATGATGCCCCTTTTACAAGCCAGCGCCCTGGAATAGGCTCTCATACACGTCGTTCCTGAAACCGACCTCGGGTACAATACACTCGGTTGTAGCCAGGCCCCTCGAGCCCCTGGGGTTTTAACAGTTGTCACTCTATCGACTCGGCGCCCTACCTGTCAAGCAAAATGGTACACCAACACGGCGATCAGGTCGAAATCCCAGACAAGCATCGTGTCAATAGGTAGGCTACTGAAACGATACTGCATCAAGCTGAAAACACTAACAGCCTTCTTCAGACCCGGGTCATGGCTGCCGGCCGACAACCGCGTTCATCGGGAGTGGTTGGGCCGGACTATCGATCACATCGACGAGCATGGAGAGAAGGAGCTCATCCCCGTGCTGCGCGAGTTCAAAAATTTGATTGAAGAGAACCCTCGCATCTACATGTACTTCACCGAGATGTGGGATGAAATCCCATCCAAACCGCCTTATCAGAACGACCCTACAGGAGCGTCTCAGATTCGCGACTACCACCACATGCTGCAGGTCCTAAATCATGTATTTGGGGACGCCCCAGAGTGGTGCGTCTTCTCACAGCCCCGGTTCTTCAAATATTATGCAGAAGCTGAGTGGTATCATCTAGGACGGATGCGGCTGCTAGCGTAGGCATGGTCGGGGTGCCCATGGCGGCCATCTTCGACTACGCCATGGGTACTCCAAGTGGCCATGCAGCCTTCTTGGACCCTGACGTAAATCGCATGTTAAAAAAGATCCTCAACGAATGGGGCAGGTACCTCAAGGTATAAACCTTCACTGTCTACCGAAGCATTGTCGTGGCGGGGTGTGCGTTTCTGACTTTACTTAGTCTCCGGAGTCCGCAAAGGTGCTTGCAGATCACCGAGCGGGATGGTTCGGCGAGGTGGGCTACAAGGACCTCATGCAGGTAGCCAACGAGCCAAACAACACGTCGTACAGATTCGAGCATATGTACAAGTGCGAGCCCACGAAGACGCACTTTGGGTACAAGTCATGGGACGGTAGGCTGTCATACCCTGTCAACCCTACCGGCACGCCGCCGCTTTGCTGACAACGCCTCAGATTTCTTCACCCGCAAAGTCCAGGAATCGGCAAGGCAGGTGGCCGCCCCCGACAATGACAACCTCATCGTAAACCCGTGCGAGTCCAAGGTCTTCAACGTGACGCGCAACGCCAAGCTGCGCGACAAGTTCTGGGTCAAGGGGCAGCCGTACTCGGTGGTGGACATGCTGGGCAACGACCCACTATCGGCGCAGTTCGAGGGCGCGACGGTGTACCAGGCCTTCCTGTCGGCGCTGTCGTACCACCGGTGGCACGCGCCCGTGTCGGGCACGGTGGCGCACGCCTTCGTGCGCGACGGCACCTACTTCAGCGAGCCGCTGTTCGAGTCGCCGGTCGAGGGCGGCGACATCGACACGGGCGGCATCAGCGTCGCCCAGGGCTACCTCTCGGCCCTGGCCACCCGCGCCGTCATCTTCTTGGAGGCCGACAACCCGGCCATCGGCCTGGTGGCCTTCATCGGCATCGGCATGGACGAGGTCAGCACATGTGAGGTCACGGTGCGGGAGGGCCAGCACGTCAAGAAGGGCGACGAGATTGGCATGTTCCACTTTGGCGGCTCGTCGTTTTGCCTGCTGCTCCGCAAGGGGGTCAGCGTTGGCGGGTTTCCCGAGGTCGGGAGGAAGGAGAACGTGCCGGTGCGAGGAGCCCTGGCGGCTGTCGAGCCGTGAGGTGGCGAGGGGCGGCGGCGGCTGTCTGTTTCTCCTCCCTGCGTCTCTGACTCTCTTGTGTAACAACATGAACAAAGTACTGGATAAATTGGCGGGCACTTTCCGCTTACGGTGACAACAGCCCACAGACTTGTTGCAGTTTTGCATGCATGGAGCCAAGATTCTGTTCTCCGTCTTGCACATTGCCATTCGATATATCGCCTGATTTCTCCTCCACAGCACAACAGCCCCAATGAAATGCGACGCTCGTCTCTTTTCAGCGACCTTGGCAGCGCCATGTGGCCGTCGTGCAACCACGGCTTACCCTTGCAGTTTGTGGTTTGCATCTGTCACACGAGCAGCGACGTTGGTGCCGACCCTTGCTTCACGTTGTCCGAGCTAATGTCAGAGCGGTTGCTTTTCTTGTCCGAAGGATTTGGAAAAGCAAGAGGGCGCCCATCCGACCGGCCATGCCGGAGAACCGATGAGGCTTGAACTACCGGTGTGACAAAACTCGAGGCGAGTGATTTCAGCATTTGAGGCTTGTATCTTCCATGGCTGATTGGTGTTGACCCCGCCGTGGCGTATGGCCGTCACCGAGGAGGCCAGCCGTTTCTTGTCACCCTGCTTCGTTGCGAGGATGATTCTCGGTCCTCCATGGCAAGACATGGGGTTCTGCGGGGCTTCGCCTGAAACGGGATGATCGTGCAGACGGGGTGGTGGAAGGAAACCCAATTCCAAGAAATACCAGTGAGGCGGTAAGCATGTGTGCCACTCACCGTGCACCGGAGAAGGCTGCGGCCAAGAGACGACCGCCGGTCCAGGTGACTTATCGCCCTGTCTGCACCGGGGCTGAGTGAGTCGGTGTGCTTCAGCCGCTCTACCATGGGGGCGAGATGAGGTACATTCCCTTCGAATCGAGAAAACCCCGACTTCCGTCTGTATCTCTCGGCATGTCCCACCTCACCGACAGCTCCTCCTAGGCCCCGATTCGCGGACCGGTTTCCCAGTCACACACACCTACCCTATCTCGGCGGCTCAGTTGGTTTGACGGGCCCGGAAAGTCGGTCGAGGTGTCACGCAACCTTCTCCTGATTTCTCTTTTGCGGCTTGATGAGAAACGTACACGGACATTGTTACCTTCAATCCCGGAATTAGGTATGGAGGTAGTTGAGAAGGTGTCAGTAATTCAGTAACCTTAGCCCCGACGGCCGTCGCATGTGCGGACTGCGGGGTAATGAACCTCCCCACGCTGTTGCCATCTTTTACTTCTCGTTTTCGATCCTCATCGGAGACATCAACAAGCTGATGACTACACTAGGTCGAAGAAGTGCCGTGATCACCGTTTCCCACCACACAAAAGCCTCTCGTCTCCTAGGAAGCCTTGGAGAGGTGGGGAGCTGTGCCGAGACCCTTAGCCCCTTTGACGGACTCCGTTAGGACTGCGGGGAAGGGGGTTGGATGTCGTCATAGGTAGGTTGGCGCCCCGCCTTTCCCAAAGTTCAAGAAGCAATTCTCATTCGTAGGTTGTCTCTTGACGCCCAAGCAAATTGGGAGCCTGGGTTTAGCCTCTGGAGACCTGTCTCAATACATACCTTTCTTAAGCCTCTAAAGGTCGAAGAACCCGCCCCCTTGTGTTGCCTTTATTACCTAGATGCTAGAGTCTTTGTGTTTCCCCCCTCCGGCGCTTGTAACATGAGACCATAACCAGGAAATCCTTGGGCTGGCGGAGTTGAACTGGCGGAGTTGAATTGTCTTAACTTCCGAGTTCGGGGCGGGACTTGTCGACAACTCAATGTAACCTGCCATCGGGAACAGTTAACCAATGTGCGGTATTGCGCGGCCTGCTTCGGCTACCTACTGATTGGGAAATAAAGTGCTCAGTTTTGATGTATCATCTTTCATCTGCAGAATCTCAAGGGCTGCAGCGTGGGGGGGGCCAGTCCTACACAGCAGTTCTCAGAGTCGCAGTGAGCAAGCCAAAACGAAAAACCAGGCAGACGGAAATAATGAAAACTGGTGATCGATAATAGCAATGTTCCGAAACCGCAAGCATGAATGCTTCCCGTGTCAGCTCGAAGAATGGATTGGCGAAAATTGGTATCTACGCGTGAGTGAGACTTCGGTTCACACACAGATAAACTGAGCACTCGGCTTTTACGCATGAGGTTGACTGAGCAGTTGTGTTTGGGCCACTCATTAACGAGTGACCCGGATGATCGGCATGCAGCACACATGCCTCTCAACGGGACCCTACATCATATGTAAAGCATCTCGATCAGAGCCAGCATGAGAGCATTCCTGCGCGGCGGAATACAGATGACTGGACATACATTCCTACGATGAGGCAGACTCGGTCGCTCAGATAGTTGAGATGCGAGCGTTGGGCACACATGCACCCCACACGATGAGTGCCTCATTGATTCGTTACGCGGAGCGACGCGCAGCTCCGACTGTGCAGGTCTGAGATGGGAGATCAGGTTGCAATGGGTAGGGCCCGTCGGTTCCAGCATGTCCAACGGGCTTGCCCCGCATCCCGTGTCAGCGCCTGCCCAACAGCCACCATTCCCGACAAGAAGCCCCGGTGCCGAGCGAGATTGGTGGCACGGCATGCGCCCCGGCCACTACCATAGGCCAGGTCTGCCGAACACTAGCCGTCGAGGCCGGATGAGGCTCATGTCTTGCCTCACCCCAGGGGATGTCTCCTGAGATGTGTACTGAAGCCAGAAGTCGAAGCCGCCTCCGAGCAGGGGAGACACAAAATATGTGCGCGAGCCGCTAGCGATCGTGTCAAAGTGCAGAAGATGTACGCGGAGAGACCCGGGCCGAGTCCTATGTTTACCCTCCTTCGTCGAGAGCTTTCCTGCTTTGTCTGGTCTGCTCCCTTTTCAGCTGGGTACATATGCATGAAGGGATCGGGCTACTTCCCACATGTATGAAGAGGACAAGCCTGCCGTGGTGTTGTCACGGAGCATTGTGCAAAAAAAAGACACCGGACATTGTGCTCTCGGCGCCTTGAAGCCCTCCACGCCCCCCCTCGAAAGGGCCTCGCCTCTTTATTAGTCTACGATGTATGTAGGATTATCAAGGCGATGGTCGAAGGTTAGAAGGTGCCTGGCCGATTCTCTGAAACATGCAATGCTCAAACGAACGAACGGCCTCGACAAGAGGCGGCAGATGGGGTCGGCGGCAGTTCCCCGTCCACACTGGGTACCTTGTTGGTGTGAGACTGTCGTTGGCTGAAACATGGGTCGAGCGAATCACGAATGACGCAGGGATACGCAGCATTCGTATGGAACGACTTTGTATGCACAGATTACAGATTACCAGCAACAAGCAGCAAAAACAAGCGTGCAGGTCACTTGCAGACTTGCAGGGAAATCTTGTCGATCAGAGATGGGACGCAGAATCGTCAAAAAAGTCCCGGGGAGGGGCTGCCAAGCGCTGAAGACCTCCCTCCTTCCTTCCCTCTGCCGGCGGCAGCCATAGGCGGAACCGTGCTTTGTGGAAAGGGCGACTGCTGTGGACAGTGGAGGTCCCCACATACATTCTCCCGCTTTCCATTTCTGGTCCTTTTTTGTCAAATTTCCGCCCCTCTCTGCGCCATCCCGCGTCGCCGACGCGCCTCCCCTCAACCCCATTCCTGCGAGGACTTCCAGTGCCCAATTAGAGACGTAACTCGGAGGAAATGAGATCAACAATTCTTTCTTCCAACAAAGTCTGTTTCGTCCGCCATCAGCCCCACTGCGGAATAACGGCGGATTAACGCTAGAGGGAGCCGCTGATGGATGTCTTCCAAGTTTGTTTTTTTCGTTCGAACGAGTCGACGGGAATGGAGGGCTGTCGGATGCCCCCCATGCCCTGAGACGGGACCAGGGCGGGACGATGGCACTGTGGAGAGGCCGAGCTGGGACCCATGCAGGAGCGCCTCCATGCAAGAGACCCTGGTATGCCGCCGAACATGGGTTAGGGCGTGGGCGGCATCGTTGCTCTCCTCTCTCTCGCTCGCGCTCACGACCCCCAGCCCACCCCAGCGAAGCGCCGACCATTCACATTCTCCTTGCGCAACGTGCTTGGCCCTCGGACAAGGCCCCTCTGCGACGGTCGATACTCTGGAGACCTGGAGATTGTCCGTGTGAAGGTACGGATTATAGAACACCGAGAGGCTGGGGCATGTGCTCTCTGTTGTCTTTCCCTTGTCTCACTTCTCGCCTCTGGCCTCGTCCTATTTTGTCTTGTCTCTGCATGCGCCATCCGTAGCCCTCTCTGGCCAGCTCCCGAGATATCTGATCGGCGAGCCAACCAGGCTCGGCGCCGCCGGTCCCAAAGCGGCTCTCCCACACCTCTCCCCGCCCTGCGCGCTTTCTGCCATTCGCCTTAAGACCCTGGGGGCCCTCTCCAACCAGAGCTGCCCATTTCCATCCCGGCCGCTGTGCTGGCATGGTCTCGTTATTGACGAGCCATGGACTGCCCTCTTCCCGTCGTGCAAGGCGGCGGGGACTTACGATGGTCGGATAGCCACAGCATGGATTCGGAGGACGCCCAGTCTGTCGCCATGCCCTCGCCGTGGTTGGGCTCCTTTTCGACGGGCTCCACCTCGGTCTCAGTATCCTCCTCCGCCGTGGGGTTCGCCCACACGGGCCAGCTCTCCCCCATCAGCAACGGCGTGGACCGACCGCGTGGACCCGTCCGCAGCTCCGCCAGCAGCCTCGCGTCCCCGTCTCAGTCGCCCCCGGTGACGGCCGAACCACTGTCGGCATCGTCGTCACTCCGCCCCGACGCCGCCTGGCCGCTGGGTTATACTACCCAAGAACACATCTCCGACCTTCCTCGCGCCCTCGAGGGCAATGGCGTACCCCACCGCGAGCCCTCCTGGGAGGAGGGCTCGGACGGGATTTTGACGGTCCCTAAGTTGGAACCCCTGGAGGACGATGACTTTTGCATGGACGATTTTCAGGAGGCGCCTTCACCTCCCACTCCCACTCTCCCATGCCACCTGCAAGGAGCCTTAGACCAGCCAAAGCAGAAAAGACCAAGAGGGCGGCCACGGAAACACCCACTCATTCCAAACGTTGCCCCAAACAAGATCACCAAGGGCCGGTCCAAGACAGGATGTCTAACGTGCCGGAAGCGAAAGAAGAAGTGCGATGAAGCGAAACCGCGATGTAAGCTAGTAAGGAATGCGGGCGCTTTCGCAGACGATGCTGATCACTGTCGCAGGTATGAACTGCGAGAAGAACGCAGTCGTGTGCGAAGGGTATCCAGAGAAGCAAATCTGGAAGAGCGGCAAGGAGAGGGCCGAGGAGGGTACGGCAGAACCACAAGTCTTCCGTTATTCAACATCTCTAACCCCGAACACAGAACGCAGCAGATATCGCAGCTTCCCGTCCATAACTATGCGTCCTCTTTTCGGCGGCCTGGAAACCGTCGAAGACAGGATATTCTGGAAGCATTACAACGAACACCTCAGCGCTGTTCTCACAGTGGAAGGGGAGCACAAGAACGCCTTCAAGGACATGATGATCCCCATTGCGGTGAAGCATCAGGGCCTCATGCACTCCATCCTGTCTCTGGCCAGCAAGCACATCGACTACGACACTCCGTATGGCCTCAATGTCTTGAGAAACAATCCCAGTACAACCACGGTGGCATTGAAAGAGCGCTCCCTCTATCATCATGATCAGGCGCGGCTCAAGTTCTACCACGACATCAAGTTCACGAACTCCACACCGGACACGGACGACAAGACTCTTGTCGCGGCTCGGTACGGCCAAATGCTCTGCTTCCTGCTTGAAGCACTCGTAGAGGGCAGCCCACGCGGCGAACACAGGATTCATCTGACAGTGTACCGCAACCTGGTTTCGACCTCGCCACCGGACGATTCTACGTTCATGTCCTTCATCGCCGAAATATTCCAGTATCATATATTCGCCGACGAGCTCATCCATTCCGCCCACCAAGATGCCGTTTCGCCGGAAGAGCCCCTCCCGCCAATTCCAGCTATGCACCAACCTAGATTGCTCGGCGTCGCTGACGGTCTTTTGGGCTACCTGTCACAGATCACAGCCATCCGGAACAGAATCAGGAGCAGGCTAATGGCACAAACGGATCTCGCGGTAGATTACGAAGATCTGTATTCTGCCACCGACATATATGGTGCCTTTCAGGAATGGACCCCACATTGGCCACCCGGAGACAACCGTGACCAGGTTAGTCTTCTGTACAAGCAGATGCTGTGGATTTACCTCAATCGGACCGTCCATCTACCGTCATCACCGACGTCGTCCTCGTTGGCGTCCTCTGCGGCGTCCCTCTCCTTCATCCACAGCTCCCCCTCCCAGGGCCGTCCCCCGCCCTCGGTGGTAAACACACCTCCCCAATCTGCGTCGACAAGCTGTGCCTCCTCCCCGAAATTTATGGGCGTTGCCCATGGTCCCAATCAGAGGACTAGCCGACCGGACTCGCGCTTAGCCACGTCATCTCGCCCACATTACGGTAACCGGGACAGCGGAGAAACGGCGGCAGCAGGCGGCAACCGAGCGGAATCCCCTCCGCCCGCCCGGCGGCCGCCCAACCTCGACCCGGCCCTCTCCCTCGCTGTCGAAGAGTCGTTAGCCCTTTTGGAGTCGTTCAAAGCCAGCGATTCCTGTCAGACCCTGTTGCTCCTGCCATGCTTCCTAGTGGGGACCGCCTGCTTCAGTCCCGTCCAACAGAAGCGCGTGCGCGCCGCAATCAAAACCGTCCGGGGCTACACCGGGCTTCGTAACGCAGATAGAGTTGTCGAGCTCCTCGAGGAGGTTTGGCGGCTCATGGAAGCGGGCGACTGGGTCGCTGCCTGGGACTGGGCCGGCGTTGCTGACAGGCTCGAGTTGGATTTTATCCCCGCCTAACTCAAAACTAGGGGAGACCGATTTCCATTACTTACTTCACCATGGGATAGAGCTGCCCACAGCTTTCGTTTCTTGTGCGGCCCTCCTCACGAAACCCAAAAACTTTTCCCCAGTCCTTGGCCGCCTGTCGCTACAGGATGTCGCTCTCGCTCTACAGGGCCAGTACACGCTTCGGCCCTTGTATTTGTAATCAGGACACTCGTTGTCTATTATGTTCTCACTGTCTTTCCTGGCAACTGTATCATTTTGGGGGTTATGGCATCGGTACGGGGTTTCACAATTGGGATTTTGGAACGCAGGAGTCATCGCCCAGTCACCCGTTTCAGGAAGGGCGTCGGTTCAACAAAGAGCATGCAGTTTTTTTGGAGTCGGGTTACTTTCGAAGGGATCAGGCTTCGGGCATATGGATACGATACGGAACAGGACTGGGACTACAGGACGCAACGAAAGAGGGTTGGGTGAGATCGGCGAAACAGAAAGGGGATTGAACATGATGGTTGGCGTTTGCTCTGTGGAACGGAGAGACTTGTTTCTTGCTTATAACTCGGGAATAAATGATCGACGAATGGGATATTGGTCCCCGGTACCTCCTCATTCAGGGTCTCGCAAGGTCGGCGCATGTTGGATTTGCCCGTGTGATTCTGATGCGTCTTCGAACAGTCAATCGGTGATCTAAAAAGCCATCAATACCTACCATGCAGACCCTCTTTTCCCCATAAAACACGAACCCCCAGATGAAGTAGACATTAGGTATGAAGTCCCCATTCAAGGAACTCGGCCAAGGTTTCGTAACCTGGCGCATATCGGATACATATAGGGGCGTGTTCGCAAACTCGAATCTTCAAGCAACAATGCGGGCAATCCACCCAAACCACACACCCTTTCCTCCTATTATTCTCAGCCGCTGTCTCCCGCACCACATGCGCAGCCACAGTACAGAGGGGATCGTGGCATAAGTGCGAAACCTGCATTGCCCCCTCGACAACGAAGCCCTGAGCCCACACCAACATCTCCCCCAGAGTACAAAACTTGTTTGCGCCTTCAAAGCTTAGTTGAACATATCCACCATTCTTGCTTGGCACCAGCACCGTGTTGTAGTAGAACCCGGACTTTGGTGTTGAAACGAGGCGGAGTTCCAAGGACTCTTGTGCGCGGACTGGGCTTTGTGAAAAGAGTACCCTCTAGAGGAAACATAGACAAGTTAGTATACGTAAAGGGTCCCATGACTAGATCATGGTTGGTATATACCGCTTGTGCGCGAGTGAGTGAAACCATTGCCATGAAGGCAAGGAGGTTGGAACTGCCAAGGGGCGTGGGTGATGGTGTTTGTTGAGGGCAAGGTTATGGGGATTGTTTAGATTGCTGAGACATGAGGTCTATATTCCAAACTGAGGTTTGACGGTTATGCTTGATCTTTAATAGCCATTGAACTGGGGCAAACGCCCATTCGCAGGTGGGATTGGACACGCCTGTCCAGGGGGAGGATGTCTTTAGTTTTTCCGTTTCCGTTTGCGCGCTTTCTTTTTCGATTGTATAATAGGGTCCGCCCGGGACCCCCTTTTTGAGGTACACAAGGAGGACAGACACGAAGATCACTACTTTTTAACAACGCAATCGCCGTACAATTATAAACCCTTCAAGTGTATAACCGCGGGTATTTACCTCTAGACAGATGGCCCGACACATTGACGATTACATTTAATGGTATTGAGACCCTCTCCTTGAGTGCAACAGTTTCAGCGGTTCCTATAGCGACCAGTAGTTGCAATTTTGCCCCGTGATTTCCTTGTACCCAACCAAAGTCATCGACATATCATATATCGTATTGTACACATATTTACGAGAATTACAGTATCCAATGGCCAATAGACAGCACATGGCCTCAACCAAGTGTGCCCAATTAATCCTTGCCATCCCCGTCCCCATCTTCCTTCTCTTGCAGCGTCACGTCAATGCCGCCAGCCACCTTCCGTATCTCGTACTTCCCGCCGAGAACCAGATCCTTCGCAACCAACTCTCTAGTACGTCCGAGACTCTCGATGGCAGCGATACGGTCGATGGTACCCTGGAGGTGCTCCCGGAAGCCCGGCTGGGCCACGATTTCTTGGAAGGCGAGGTGCATGGGCACGGAGCTCGCGCGGACCTGGGCGTCGCTGGTGATGCTGAACAGGTTCAGGCGGTCGAACGCGCGCACAAAGTCGACCCGCGTCATGATCTCCTGGGCCTTGTAAAGGGGGTACGACGGGAGCACGTGCCCCACCACGGGGTCATACGTGGTCTCCATCTCTGCCTCCTTGTCCACGAGGGCGGTGGCGAGGACAACCGCAGCCGCCTAGAAGACATGGTTAGCAAGATGACTGGGATGGGGGCGGAGGGCCACTTACCGCCCATTTCTGCTGGTCCATCACATCGTCGTCCATCTCCTCTCCAAGGATCCAGCATTGGTTCAAGAACCATGTCTTTTCCAACTCTTTAATCTTATCACAGGCCGAGAGCATATCGTCGCTCTTTGCGACCCGGTTCAGGAAGTTCAGCCGGCCACCGACACGGTCGTAGACTTGTTCGAGAATTTCGGAACTTGGATGTTCGCCGAAGTACCGCTCACGATAGTTTTTGAGAGCGGCCGTCGCCTGTGACTTGGGCAGGTCCAGGATTGTGAGGACATCCATCCGTGTCGCCAACTGCTTCAGCCGCTCGTAGACCCAGTAGTCGTCGCTGTTGAAGACCATCGTTACGAGGTTGGCGGCCGCCCATTGCTCGGCTCGTTGCTGCAGCAGCTCGATCAGGTCCTTCCCATCGTCGTCATCGCGGATCAGGTGCATTTGGTTGATGATGACTACGAGCGGCGCCTTGACCCTGGCGCGTCTCTGGAGCGCCACCTTCTCGAGCTTGTTCAGGGCGCGTTCAATGTCGAGAAGGGCGGTGGTATCCCTCGGCCCGCGCTCGCTGAAGTAACCGCCGATGTAATCCTCGTGGAACTCATAGTCCAAAGCCTTTCCCAGCCGAATCCTGAAGATTTCGAGATCGGCATGCGCCTCAAACATGGCCACACCGTCGCCGTCGATTTTGCGCATCGCCTCCAACAGCATGCTGCTCTTTCCGGTACCCTTCTCGCCGATGAAAAGGTGATAGTGGCCTCCGCTGCGGCCGGCAACAATGGCGTCGACAATGGGCTGCTCGGGCCTCTCCACCCAGTGGGTGGCCGCGGATGTATGTGCTAGCGGGAGGTCCTTCCCTATCGCCGCAAGCTCAAGGACGGGGTCGCCAGGTTCGAAGGCGTTGGACATTTTGTGGAGCACCATGTACTTGTACGACTTGTGATAGGCATACGCCGCGAAGCCGAAACCGGCCCCCAAGACTAGTATGGAGGCGAACGAAGTGGCGGCGGCCTCCACCATTTTGGAAAAGAGAGAAGCGTTGGCATCTTGCTCTGGTGGAGGCGGCGGCGGTGGCGGCTGGCGAGTGTGTTGTTCTGGCCTTGATATTAGTAACCTAATACGAAATAATACCAAAACAAGTAATAAGAGGGAGCGAAAAGGAGTCGTTCTTGGTTGGAGCCCAGATAATGGCCGCAGGGTTGAGAAAACATGTGACCGTTCAAGCTGAAGCCAACTGCATGCTCGGTTACACAAAGTGCTGACCGCGTTGCCATTGGCCTAATCTCACCCCAGGAATATCCTAATCCGGAGAGCTGGCACAAGACACATCGTGGCTCACACCTCACCTCACATACAAGTATGCAAACGACGGAGGTTCCCCGGGGCCTCTTTCTCCGATGTTGTGGTGAACGGGGCAGAAGGGGACTGTCCAGTGGAGGATGAAGGCACACGTACCGGTTGGCCGGGGAGGCTCGCGTGAAAAGGGTCTCCGAATTTCCAATCCCGCACATCTCACCCTCGACTCCGTGGGGAAGCCGATGCGATGGGTCCTCGACGCCGTCAGCACAAAACGAGACGCTGCCCTTGCTGGTAACATTCTTCAGGATTCGCGAGAAGATAGAACAAAGTAAAACAAAACGCTTCTGCTTGGTGCATATAAAAATATATAATAAAAAAAAAGAGCAATTGGGAGATTCAAGTGAGCGACTGTAGAATGAATGGCAGGAAGTGAAGGGGGAAAAATAAAATGAGGGAGTGAAAATGGCGGACCTTGCGCCACGAGGATGAGAGCGAGGTGTTTGTGAGAGCGGCGACGTTGGTTCCAGGCCAGATCCCTGAATAGCGCAGGCCAGGGCAGCTGAAGCCCCTAGCATGGCTCGGTCTTGGCAGGGCCTGGCCGCTCAGCTCGAAACCTTTATCAATTATTTCTACAGCTGTCCACAGCTGTCGCATTCCATGACCTCCCAAGCCGGGCAACAACATCTTAACCTCGTGCGTTCGGGTATCTATCTCTCAGCGATGGGAAGAGCTGACTTGGCTTTTGATGTAATGCCAGTGTCATTGTATTCTTCCAGCAACTTTAAGCTGGCTTGCAGAAGTAACAAAACACCAACTCTCAACTCCTGGGGCAAATTACAAAACAGAAAGAGGACCGAACTCCCTTCACTTTTTGGCTCGGGGAGCGAACTTCAAATGCAAACGTGTGGAAACAAGTGATAGTCAACCGGTGAGCGTGGACTAACACCTTTTTGTGAAGTGACTCGGCAATGTGTCTAAGCGGTTGTATGCTTCTGAGAAGTCGTGTAGAAGTTCCTCGAGTAAACTTAAGAGTTCCATAACGGGCAACAGGAAGAACAAGACTTGTGAAACCGAGTCATTTATATCCCATCCCCAGGATATACTAGAGGCCTTGTTAATTATGTTTATCAGTCATCCTCTTGTTATCGCGGTGCCTTCTTGCCCCATCACTACCAGCAATGTGGATGTTTTGTAGGCGTCTCTGTCTTGCTTCAATCAATAGAACTGTGCCTACTGCACCTGTGAAGACACGTTGCCAACCATTCACTTCTCGTCCATGACACCCTTGGCGGCTAGCCCTCCCAAGGCTTCAATTCTGGGCACTGTGAGATATTATCTCCCAAGTAAAAGCAGAGTCATCAAACCTCATTGTTTAGGAAGATTGGGTAAATTGTCTGTTAATATTGAAAACATTGTAGAGTTGTGGACTAAAGCTCGGATTCTACTAAGATTTTGTATAGTTACCCGTAGTCATCGGCTGGACTCCTTGTCATGGAAACGTCTGTCATCCAAACAAGACGCGCTCCTGCTCTTGCTCTTGCCCTAGCTCTTGTGTGATAGAAACTTCTGCCGTCTGAACAAGACGTGCACTTGCTCTTGATCTTGCCCTTGCGTGTGATTTCCGTGGAATATGTCTGCCCGCACTGTTCCCAGCGAATTATCTTTTACACGCAGGCCCAGCAACTCCAGCAAGCCCACGACCAGCGATCCCACGATAGTTTCTTTCTACTTCCAGCTGGATTACCCCCTTTGTGTATATGCACAGGAGGGCACTCTCGTCACTTCTCATTGTACACCTTGTTACCTCAAGGGCTTCAAGTTTTATTTCACCTTTCCAACTCTTCTAACAGTCCCAAGGGCAGAAGTCTGCCAAACTCACAGTATGTGCGCATCGGCTTTGTTGCCGACGGTGCGACCGGCACAGAAGCTAACATTTATGCTTCAGACTTGTTATGGGAAGATGGATAGAAATGAACGGCGTCTTCCCCAGCTTACGCCGGAGGAACTAGCCAACCCCTACACAAGAATCTCACTTGATGGTGTTGAGGTGCAGCTGTGGCAGGTCGCGCACGTTTATGGCGTCAGCCACGATATGCCGAGTCCAGACCTGAGGGCTGGTGCTTCTTCTCAGGATTTCCGGACATTGTACTCGACGCAGGACAGCAGGGGAATTGCTTCAACAAACCCTTCAACGGACACTCGCGCTGGTAGTATTACTGAGCAACGGCCGCTGCCGAGTTTGCCGGTACTGCCATTGAATATCCCTACAAGACCACAAACACAGCACCCAACACCACGAGTCGATGGGCACCGTGACCTCAAAACGAACGATCTTCTCCGCCTGATAGATGACTTTGTCGACAAAGGTTGGCCCGGCGAAGTGGAGGCGGAACAGTCACAGATTACGACCACAACACCAGCAGTGACACCGACCAGAACCACACTAAAGATCGAAGGGGTGATCTGGTCGGATCCTTCATTCCCCCCTCCTTCACATCCTCCACCTGATGGGCCTCTACCTCCACTACCGCCACAGTCGGCGGGAAGCAGGCATCCTGACTCGCGGCACGGGCCGCCTTCGACCACGGTGACGGTCACGGTGACGGCCACGGTGCCGGCTACGGCACCCCAACTTCCACCTCGGGTTGCCGATAAGTCGCTGGAGTATCCAGAGTCGGACCGTGATGACGACGCAGAATCAGAGCGAACCATCACACCAAGGGAATCTCGGCGGCAACTCGCCCCCACGGCGCGACCAGGAGCCCGAGCACGAGACGTGTCGATGCCCACTATACAGATGGCACCCAAAGGGCCAGTGGTGGCACCTGCGACAACGGGAAGGGCTGCATCCGCTTCGATTCTTCGGAGCCGTGGTGAAGAGATCTACCGCCCCCGCCGGCAGGATTCTGGGTTGAGTGAAACTCAGCCAAAGCTGGCGTCCCCGACCTTGCCATATCCGCTTCCCGACTTCTTGCTGAATCCTCCGAGCTTTCTGCAGCATCCTCCCGATCTGTCGCAGCAGCCATACCTGGGCCAGCAGCCGGGTGTTAGCGCAAGAGGAAGCCCACAGCTGAACAAATCCAAGTCTTCCTCGAACATGGCGAGTCCAGTGACCAGCCCAGCGACGCCGACATCAGATGACGACGTGGCTGTAACATCCCGCTGGAGCTCCGATAGCGAGGAGGAGGGGGAGTCGAAGCTGAAGAAGCTGAAGAGAGTTCTCAGCTTCTCAAGGCTGCGGCCTCGAAAGTCCAGTCTGTTCCAAAAGCAGACAGGGGACGATGCGAACAAATCTGTGGCTTCCATTGGAGGAAAGCATACCCCGGGTCCGTCGGGATCTCGCAGGAGCAGCAAGACCGGGAACTGATCCATCGGTCGTGCATTTGTGCACCGTTTCTATCACGGCATGACGGCCGGATTTTGCAAACCATTCCCCGTCAGGAAGACGTTGGCCGCCTCATTTGATGCTAGATTATTGGCGGCAAACAGAGAGGCAGATCGCAAATTAATTTGCAGGACGGGAAGGTACGGTAATCAGGTACCAGCGCTGCCAGGGTCGGAAACAGCATACCGATAAAGACCGGGGTGGAACTTTATATAGGCGCATACCTCAGTTCGTCTGAGGAACTTGGGGAGTAATCGACGTGATCCTCGTTCTCGCCTGTTTAATGTGATGTCTGAGGGTCAGGATGAACCGAAGCTCTCGAGCTCTCTCGGGCATTCTTAGTGGGGGAAAGTGGGGTTGAAGTCGGTACCTCGGTGCCCACAATTTTTAGCTGCATCCTGCAGCAACGCGTTGAACCTTCAACGCCAAAACCGAAAAAAAAACGCCAAAATCCGCGTCTCCCCACCAATCTCCCTGGTTGCATACCGCTTCGTTTGTGACGATCGCCGTCGCTGCCGCCATCCGTTCACCTCAACTTCCGTCCCATGCCAAGCCATCGACGAGTGTTTTAATTGTCGAGCTCGGAACATTAGAAAATGCACCATGGGAAATGAATCTAGCAGACCCGAGCAGCCTGATGGCAGGTCCCGATCGCTATCCCCACTTCCGCGCGACGATCAACTGTCTCTCGATAACGTCGACGACTGGCCGCACCCTCCATCGACAATGCCTGCATCGTTCAAAGCCGGCGATGAAGGTTCGGGCCCTCCGGGCGCACGCGGTTCGCTCGCTTGGCGTCGGCGACGACGACGATCCCGTGGTCTTTCTCCCGAGTCAACTCGCGCTCCATCTCCTTCTTCACCTCCCCAAGACCGAATCGTAAACGCCAGCCAACCAGTCCGATCGGCCCGCGCGGCGTCTCCAGAACACCCTCCCCGACCGGCAACGCAACCCACGCCGTCAACTCGCAAGCGCGTCCGGGAGACGTACTTTGAGAAAAAACGGAAGGCGGAGCTCAAGGAGGCCGCGGCGGCTGCACACATCATAATTGACAAGAGAGAAGCCGAACTTGAAGATTTAAAGAAGCGCACGCGCCGCTCTATCGCGCCCTCCCCCTTCCCTCTAGAAGATGCAGAGCAGTCACTCGATGAGTCTGCGTCGGCAAGTGATGCGGAGGAAGCCGCACCTTCAGAGAGACCCTCGTCATCGAAGCAGGCCGGGTCCACCAAAAAGGACAAGGGAAACGGCAAAGATGCTATCCGAGATGCCATTCGAGAAGAAGATACAGCCATTGCTGACCGTTCAATCCCCGATGACGAACCCCCGCCGAGTACACAACCACGAGGAAAGCGGGGCCGGCGCGACAGCAATTCCAAATCGCGTAAAAAGCAGAAGTCACGGTCGTCGAGCCTGGGCTTGGATGAGATGGAGGCAGGGGAGGCGAGCAATGAGCTTCTCGGCCAATCAGCATCGAACTATCCCGAGGTGGGCGCTCGGCCCGACAATACCCCTGCGAGCGAAGATTACGAAAGTGGATATACAGGAACGACGACGCACTCACAGTCTGCCGTGCTCAACGAACACCTATCCGACGACGGTGCATCTCCCGAACCATCAAGAGCATCAGCAATCGGCTCCCAGCGTTCTCATTCCGACTCTGGATACGGCGAAGCTGATGGGCAAGGGCCGTTGATGTTGAAGCCTGGTATGGGCATGGACAACACGAATGGCTCACCTCGTTCCGGGGACGACCAGCATTCTACGGCCGATGGCGGAGCAAGCGAAGATGGCGATGACGGAATGTCTGTGATGTCCGAGCCCCAGCATTCACCTGTTGCGTCCGACTCAGACAACTACGACGGCGCAAGCGCTTCTTCATCGCACAACTCGGAAGGTCCACCTGTTGCGTCCGACTCAGACGATGACGATGAAGCGAACACTCCTTCGCTGCACGACCCGGAAGATTCACCCGCTGCGTCCGACCCGGATAACCCCGGAAACACAAGCGCTCCTTCACCGCACAACCCCGAGTCGGCCTCTACACGTCTCGACTCGTCGGTCAAGAGTTCACGTCATAGCGCCAAGAGGCAAGCGAAACTGCCCTTTTTCCCTCGCCAAGAAGAAGAAAACGTGCAGGCGTTTGCTGAACTTCCACACGAGGATGCCACATCCCCTCCCCAGCTAAGGCGTTCAAAAAGAACCCGGCAACCTCGCCCAATTGAGGCTGACGCTGCCGCCGAGGATTCAGAAGAGGAGCCCAGCACGGGAAAATCCCAGTACCGATCCGGTCCTTTCTCCCCCGCGGAGCGGGATCGGATTACTAGAGCGGTTGAGCGTTTCCGGGAAGACGAGGATTTGACGCAGGAAGAAATCAACCAAGTGATCCATGACAACCCCCAGGCAAGTGGCCGGCCGATTCACCGTCAGCTATGGGCCACGATTCAGGATGCCTGCCCGTTGCGCCCTCGGAGGAAGCTTATCAGTTGGTGCAGGCAACACTTTCACAACTGGGCCGGGCGGGGCGCCTGGACGCAAGCACAGGACGACGAGTTGGCGGATTTGATAGAGAAGCATGGGAAGAAGTGGAGTCATATCGCAGGACTCATCAACCGCTACTCAGGGGATGTACGAGACCGGTGGAGGAATTACTTGGTTTGTCGCGAGACTGTCAAGACTGATATATGGTCCGAGGGCGAAGAAGAACGGTTCCGCGAACTAGTGGAGAATTCTATCGACAAGATCCGCCAGAGAATCGGAGAGGATAGCAGAAAGCCTCCCGAGGAGCTCCTCAACTGGCTCAGTATCAGCGAAGCAATGGGTCACACCAGGTCTCGGCTACAGTGCATCCAGAAATGGAAAAGGATATGCGAATCTCAGCCACTAGCCGACATTGTCCCCACGGTACTGCCCTCGGGTAATTCGTGGCGGCTGGAAAAAGCTCGCGACGAGTTGCAAAGGATCACAACAAGCGACAAATACCGTTTGATGTGTACGGTTCGCGACTCGGGTGTTGGAACAGACACGAAGATCAACTGGAAACAAATTGTCAACGGCACGTTTCACAAACGGTATGAGCGCCAAACTCTTGTGGTCACATGGGGACGGCTCCGGACGGCTGTGCCTGATTGGGAATGGATGACGACCCGCGATTGTGCTCGGTACCTCTGCGAAATGTACGAGAGGGAGGGTAACTTTGGTTCTGCCGAAGACCCCGGAGTCGAGAACGACGCGCCTGTCTCTACCAAGAAAGGAAGGAAAGGCAAAAAGACTCATCGATTAGTATCGGCAGACGATTTGGCTTCGGGGTCACAGGACCAACTCCGGGCCGGCTCGGAGCCAACCAGCGATACACAGTTATCACCTGTGGCGGACGAGGAGAACAACTTTGCGTCTGCGGAATCCCGTCGAAAAAGCGACAAGAAGCGGCGCAAGGCAAAGAGTGACACCACACAGTCTCAAGCTGCAGCCGAGACTGCAGATGAAGACGTTGAGATGGAGGATTCGATGCATGCAGAGTCGCACGCCAAATCCGCCAAGACTAGGCCGCCCTATGGCGAGAAGGAGCAAAGCCCCGAACTCGACACCGTTGCCCGGGAGTCGTCGTCGCCTAGCGTGGAAGCTCAGGCCTCTCGAACGAGAAGACGGGAGAGGAGAGAAAGCACGGCAGAGGAAACAGGTGCCAAGGAAAAGGGGAAGGAATCTTCATCGCCCAAGGCCGCGAGTTCCAAGGTTGCGAAGAGGGCGCGTCGCGAATCCTTGCAGAATGGTGACGCGGAGGACCTCAGATCTAAGAAGCGGAAGACGACGAGCCTGTGGTCGAAGTCCAAAGCTAATGGCGCGTCGCAGAGCAACGGAAAGTCTTCGAGTGTTGTCAGTAGCGATATGGAGGACATGGAGGATATACCCGCGACATTGCCCTGGTCAGGTAGCGCATGAGCTGGGATTGCGTTTGCCTGTGTATCATGAGTATCAGTAAGAGGGTGAGAGGGGGGGTGGTATTAACGAGTATGAGTATATGGGGCGCGATGAACTGACGTGGCTGCGAGTGGTATCCCCGTTTAGCCACCCACTTGCCTTGCTTTAGCTGTTAAATATCCTGAATTGACCAATAATTTCTCGGACAAATATGGGAGCTGGCGAGAATGATACATGAATAAGGACGACCTGAGTGAAGCAAACACACTACAGTGGCCTCTGTGGACCTGTACTAATGATACACCAGTGAACGCCAGTCATCCTATACGATAAACCCCACAACTATCCACGCAGAACACCGGCAACCATAACCCCGATAACACCCTCCGCCGTTTGGTGCCTTCCCAGCCAAAGCCCAAACGTTGTTAGAAAAGATGCGCGAGATCTCAAACGAGTAATAGACGTGGACAAAAGAAATAAACAGTCAACGAGGAAGAATAGCTGGGTAAAACCCATAGGCGCTCTAGGGCTCCTCGGAATAGAACTTGCCCCGTCCTTTCCCTCGTCGGGAGCTCCCCAAGGTGGCGTTCCCGACCCGGCCCTCGCTTCCTCTCGCGAAGGTTGCGCTCTCACGGCTCGCGGGTTGGAGCCGATGCGGTAGTTTCGGACTTGTGCGATTGCGATGTAGTAGGTTGGCGTGGATGCCGACCCTGGCGTCCTCTTCTCCCCTGCGTTGGATTTGTGGTAGCTGAACTGGTCGTGCTGGTCGGGGTCGTGGACTGTACGGGCACGGGGCCGCGCGTCGTCGTGTCGACAAAGACGTCGCCCGCGCTTCCTATCGACGCGGTGGAAGCTGGCGGTTCGGTGCTGTCGAGGGCTACACCATCCATCATGCGGGCCTCCTGTCTCTCTCTCGCCGCCGACTGGCTGACGGGGGTGTCGCTCCCCGTGTCACGGTCTGTTGGGGGGCGTGCTGCAAAGTCCCTACGCCCGCCGCCGCTGCCACGAGGGGATAATGCGACGGCACTCTCGCTGAGGCCCGAGCTGCTCCTCTCTAGGCCCCAGTTTGAACCCTGCCCGGTTCCAGAAGCGCCGCTGTTTTGCCAGGGGAGGGGTCGGCGTTGATATATAGGGCCCGAGAGGGTGCTGCCGGCGCCTTCGCCGAAGCCGACCAGGCTGGCGCTGCCATCGTCCGACATGCGGTCCTCGGAACCGCCCACGCTGCGCGATGTGAGGTTGTCTAGATCCTCGTCCATGGCGTCGTTATCACCTCCCATGTAGCCGCTTGCGCTGGCTGAGTCCATCTCGGTCAGCATGTCCTCATCGCGGTCTTCCCCGAGTGTAGAGTTGTCGTCGCCCTCCTGGATGGTGGAGCTCGTGCGTCCGCCAACGCTTTCGGTTGCGCTTGCTGAGCCGACTGTGCTCACTTTTGTGGCGGCGACTGGCTGCCCGGCCGCGTTGAAGTAGGCTGGTGTAAGCCCGGCGGCGGCAGCGGCGGAAACGGCATTTGCGGTGAACCCTGTTGATGTCGGTGTCGTCTGCAAGGGATTGTCATTGTAGTGCGAGAGGCCGTGGGGTGGGCTGCGTAGTGTCGAGACGCCGGATAAACCTGTGAGCCTGCTAATTCGATCGGCTCGTTCGGCCTCGAGGCTGTTGGTTGATGGGCTGTGCTGGTGGCCACGATGATGGAGGGCACCACGGTGGCCGTCCTTGATGGCGGTGGTGGATAGGGCGGAGAGAGATGTAGTTGTGCTCGTTGGCGTACCACTGGTTGCAACATGCACGGTTAGCAAAGCCAGTCAGTCGCCTGCCTGATGTTTCCGAATGGTATTGGCAGGTAGGAGACCTACGGTATCTCGGAAGGCGTGTCGGGTCGCGAAGGTGGCTGTGGCAGATTGATGAGGGTCGGATGCGATGGTTGTGACGATTGTTGTGGCATCGACGGTTGTGATGGCGGCATTGCTGCGAGGATTTGCCGTGACCCTAAATGAAAACCAAGGTAACGATTGTCGAGGTGAAGGGGTGCTTTCTCCAGGAATGCACAAGGAACCGTGATGTGTGGAAAGGTTTCAGGTAGGTTGTCTTTGAGGTTGTGGACGGTCGGCACCAACGATGGAAGTGCAGGTAGCCTGAGAGCCAAAGTCCAGGCTCTCCTTTGGTGCGAAGGTGTGTTGGGTATAAGCTTAACAGCGGCCGGTTAACGTTGGGAACGTGCTTGTGCTTGAGAGCCTGCTTTTTCCGACGGAGCACATGAAACGCGATAGCAGAGAACCATGAAAGCGGGGGATGACGTCGCGGGGCTAAGCGCGTTTGCGGCGAGGACCCACCTGGAAAATTAAAGTTTCTGTGGGGTCTTCGAGCAGCTTGTGGGGAGGGTCTCAGAGGGTCCAGAACACCAGTGATCGCCGCATCAACCGAAAACATCATTTTCCTCGAGATGGGGATCCCGAGGCGTTAAGGACACTATAACCATAGTATGTACATAATCAGGCTGAGCTCCCTGACTGACATCCCATTCACGCAATTGTTTTCAAGACCATCGTTTGGCTTAGGGTTACGAAGTGCTCTCCGTTCACAAACTCCCAATTCTCAACGAAAACATCAATCTGCAATCAAGCACTTCCACTTCCATGCGACGCGCAGCAAGAACTTAGCTGTCCTCCCTCGCCCCCCAGCGACACTCCTGCCATCGCTTCCTTCGCACCATCCCCTGTTTCGTTTAAACTCACACTACAGTTCACCGCCTGCTTGCTCGACGGGACGTCGATGGCCGGGTTCCGATCGAAGAAGTTGACCGGCCTGAGCATGACCCGCAGCGTCTCGGCCGGCATGACAGGGAAGTCTTCGACGCGCGGGATGTGGTTGATGCCAAACTGCACCCAGAGGACGGGGTCGCCGCCCGCGAGGCTGTCCTTGCGGTCCGCCCAACTGCGCACCCCTGTCCCGCCCCGGCTCTGGTTGGTGTAGAGGCCACCGGCGTACAGTTCGCCGTCGGCGTAGCGCGTCACGTAGATGCTGTGGTCGGCAAACTCGGCGCGCTTGTTGTGGAAGCTGTCCGCGTCCGCGAGAATCGTCTGCATCGGCGGGACCATGACCTTGTACCCGACCGCCGCGCCATTGACTGCGTTGTTGACGGTCGGGTTGATGACTCTGAATGTGCGGTTCTTGCTCACATCCAGGTCGAAGCCACCTGAGGCCTCGATCTCGGTCCTGCGTACGGTATATCCAACCCCGTGCGGGTTGAGCTTCGGGTCCCGCGGGATGGCCACCGCCTCGTCGTACACGATCGAGTTGCCGTGGCCCGCGACCATGGGATCGATGCGTAGGCTGAATAAGTGTTGGTGGAAACCTCCTAGTACTCCCGGGTGCACGACGGTGCCAAACGGATGAGGCGACTTGGTCAGCTCTGGGTCGAGAGGTTGCGTTGACAATATCCCCGTAGCGCGCGCCTCGTACGTGAGGTCACCCGCCGTGTTGAAGACAAACGACAAGATGTATTCGTAGTTGCTCACTGTCAGGATGGTTTGCAGCACCAACTCGCGGTTTCGAACCACCACGGCCCGGTTCGTCCGGTAGTTTGTGTGTTTCCATAGGATGCCGGCATCCTGCTCATGGACACAGATCACATTCGGCATGTTTACCGGCTTTCCACCGGTGTCCGTCAGCACTCCCCCAATGTAGTAGATGCTGCCAAGACAGTCACAGCCAAGTTGCAGGTTGTTGGCCATGATGCCGGCTCCGGCGTCTCCCAGGTCGAAGGCGGCTTTGCGGTGGAACGGATGGCGCGGATCTGCATAGGGGATGGACATGTCGGACAAGCTTAGCCGGTAGAAAAGAGGTCTGTTGTCGTAGTGCACATCATACAAGACCATGCCTTCCCGCTGGTTGAAGCCGACCTTCAGATCCCATTTCTGCCAGCGGATCAAGCGGCCCAACTCGGAGAAGTTCTCAACCGTGAACGACGCCCCCTCCGGCTGCACGACCTGCAGCGGTTTCAGATCGGTGCGCAGCGTTTGTGCTTCGGGGATGTACTCGGCCGCACTTGTTGGATGCCATGGAGCGACGGGTTTGACTTTCTCATCGTGGCCCGTAGGTAAAATGTCGATGCGGATCAGCTCCATGGTAGTGGGGTCCATGACAGGCGAGATAGGGAGAGGGAACGCGTAATGGCAGCTGTCCGGCTCGGTCGGGTTCTCAGGGTCACGCATGTAGAGGAAGCATTGCAGGATGCGCTTGTCATCGTAGAAGTTACCATCCTTCAGGCCGTCGGAACCTAGCGTATCAGGTGTCAGAGGCAACGCGGCATCTTGAGCAGAAGAATCCTACCGTAAATCCAGGGATCAGAGACAACTACAGACCCTTGAGGGAGCTGTAGTTTGGCTATCTCGGCTTGGACAGCCGGGTGAGCCAGCAAGGCCTTTTCGACCGCGATAAGCTCGTCTCCATCGCCGTTTGCGTGCGTGAACGGCCCGAGTTTCACATTCGCTTCGACTTTGCCTGTAGTGAGATTCACCACCGCCTCGTGAAGGTTGTGCTTGGGGCATCGTTAATACGTCAACGAATCAGCGGCACAGGTGTGTATCGCGAACGCCCGACTTACCGTGCCCCTAAAGTAGTAGACAACGAATGCTCGTCGGTCAATGTTACCCGGAGCTTCTCCAGCCCGCTCTGCAGCCAAATAGGGGATGAGTTCAGCCTTATCAGGCTCGAGAAGCGTCACAACCTTGAAGTGGTAGTCGATATCTTTTGGCCAGCATGCCCGGGTCAGGGCCGCAGCGTCGGTAATCTCCTGTGGCGTCAGAGGCCCAAGAGGGTGGGACTTGGGCTGTGAGCCATTAGAACGGTTCAGTCCGCCGTATGAGGATAAATTATGGCTCTGACTCACCCGGGTGTTGGCCTTTAACTTGTCATTTATAAGAGGAGATCCGGAACCTTGCGCGGTAGCCATGGCTCGCGGGGTTGGTTGGTATAAAAGCAATAGTTAAAGTCGAGGTTCGGTGTGGTGAATCTGATGATCGATTTAGGCAGCTGGCGAGTTCAAAAGTGACTGGCAGCGTTTAAAGGAGGTCAAACATGGGAAGGGTCAAGGTGAACCCATGAGAGGCAGGAGTGGTGGAAAGAGGTAATGGAAAGATGGAGCGGGAGGGGTAACATTCCTGGTTCTCGTGTCACGGCTTCCGCTTGTCTCGGCGGTGATATCGAGACTTACCTATCAGACCACTTGGGCCGCAGATACCCGTTCCACTGTGGCGCCTATCCTGGCTCAGTCCAATCCTTATCAGCATGATTATGCTGTCCTAACGCGGGATGTATGTACGGTTGGTTGTGACATGGCACAATTCCTAGCTCTCGTGTATAAGATAGGTACGAATGTGATAACCATTTGTGGCCCTGTCTTGGGGGGTGTGTCCCCGCATTCCCCCGCATGAATTCCCGAACCTTCATGACACAACGAATGAGAACTTGGGTAGGTTCGGGGTGAACTGAGCTGTGGAACGGCACGTGTCTCTCTCGCACCAATGCATTCGCGTTCGTGTGAGGCCATGAATGGCTGAGGCACACAGGGCCGCCAGGGGGAAAGGAAATCGCTGGCACAGGCTGTGTCGTACGTATACACTAGCGTGTCACTTTCCACGAGCCCGTCTCCATCCAAATCCGCGAATACCATCTGTGCAGCATCTCCATCCAGCCCGGCATGGGCCCCTGAATGCCCTCGACCTTGCTGCTGCTCCTGAAGAAGCAACTCTTGAGCTTGAGCACGACCTCGCCGCGCTCCCGGTCGACGGCCGCGCCGATAACGAACAAGCCATCCGAGTCGCGGGGGCTCGGGTTCCTGGGAGAATCCCCGCAGCGGACAACTACCTCAGAAGGAGTCTTCTCAACGACCTCGAAATGGTCCGTGAGTTGCGTGCCTGGCTCATACGCGGACCGGGCCAGCTGATCAACCGTCCAGAGCTGAGCAGCGGTCGCGGGGCCGTGGTACTTGCGAGCGAAATACGCCCGCTGGAACCGGTAACCTAACAACAAACCGTGTCAACGATTGAGATGGTCATAATTATGTCATTGACCCTCATATTCTGTAGCGTCTCACTCACCCAAGCCACCCCAGACTCCTCGGCAGAATTCAAGCGCAAGATCACCATCATGTTGGAGCAGTTCCGGTTTGATTTTGGTCAAAGGAATTCTCTTAAGGCAGACATCCTGGGTCGACGGGTTTCGGTGCGAGTTGTACTTGGCGTAACTTTTTGAGCGCCACAGGGGGTCGTCCTCGGGGATGGGGCTGACGATGCTCGTTGAGGCGCCGAGATAGCCCAGAGCACCAGTGCCAAGCCCGAACGTGCAGAGCGTCACCTTTTTAATGATGCCCATGTTGGGTCGATAGGTGTCGTGGTTGTTTGGGAAGGGGTAGGGTGGGTTTGGCCGAGACTCGGCGAGGGACAGTTTGAGGTTTTGAACAGGACACCACAGTGCGACACCACCACTTCGTCTCGGCTCTTGCCAGAACAAAGGCGAGATTCCCCGCTGGCGTCAAGTACCCCAAGCTCCGCCGAGTGCTCGATCGACGTCATGATTGGCTGCATGGAAACCCCTGTTCAAACCCCAACATTTTCCGGCCCGGGCGGGAGCGGGCCAGCTGGAAATTAATCTGCCCAGATTGCGCGCTGAGAGGAAAATGATCGAAACCGAAATACAAACGTGAATCATCGCAGTCTCTCTCGGTAGCCCGTTAACAATCCTACCTGTGGCCCGCTGCCTGGCGTCTCCTGGTTTTATCCCCAGCCCCAGCGAGCTATGAAAGCCAATGATTGCCAATCCCATTGATGTTTAAATATTTCGCTCTCGCCTCAAATGCAGAGGTAACTCTAATTTGAAGATAATTTCCACTGCGCCTCCATGGCCAAACGTCTCCCAGATCAAACGCCACACTTGGAAACCATAATAACGTGAACTGCAAGCTAGCGAGGTGATTCAATTGAATGGTAAGGGGGGGGGCGTGAATAGGACCTTTTCAGGCCCCTATCAAGACACAAGCATTCCTGCAGCAGCCCGACTGTGGCGCCTGAGCAGATCGGGCATATCACCTTCGAGCAGAGTGTCAAAGCAGTCATCAATGATGCTCCCATCGCTGATGTTCTGCGCGCGAGTTCTCCGAAGCCAATACTCAAATGGACCGCCTGATATTCAAGTTAGCATGAGTTAATACAAGAGAAGGCTATGGCCGGGGTAAAAAAAGACACGGAAAGGGGGGGAATGGGAGAAGGGGGAGATACGTACGGTTCTGAGCTAGAGCTGAGCCCAGCTCGACGCATCGCTCGGCGGGCGTGTGCTCGTTATGCATTTCGGTAAAGTGGGTAATCATCTTGGAGATATCCTTGAGCGGCCACTTGCATGGCGCCGCCGGAGACCTGCCGGCCCCGGCCAGCAAGTACTTGGGGGCCGAGCAGAGACGACATTTCCAAAAACCGAGACGCTGCAGCGCCGTGTTGACGCCGTCCTCCATCGGGCCTCCTATCAGGTCCAAGCCGGGCGACGCCGTCTTGACCCGCTTCACGCTCCCGTGGTCCTCGTCTGGGGTTGGGCGCTTTCCCCCCGCGAAGGTGGGTACCGCGGTCAGGCGCCGGGCTGGGAGCATAGCGGTATCTTGCCCACCTTGTCCACCGGATACAGCACGAGGTTGCTTGCCACTGCCGTTGATTCCGTTGGCCGAATAGGGCATCGCGGCCGTTGTGCTATACGGGGAGCGGAAAGTAGTGCGCTTCCGCGATTGCGCTTTGATGGTTTCAATCCGGTGCGTGCAATGCCGAATCTGATGCCCGAGGTCGAGGGTGCGCAGTTGCAACGTTCGAGTCTCTTGGGGGGTCAAGTCTGCCTCCTCCAGCTGGGCTCTGCAATAATCGAGGTCGTACCGGTAGGCCAGGATGTCCTCGTTCAGCTGGCGCACGGTAATCTCATCGAGGTCTGAGAATTCATACTCATGATAGTCTCGACCGGCTGGTTGGGTCGCAACTGGCGGCATCATGTGTCTGCCACTACTGCTCTCCGGGTCATCCCTCTCCCTGCTGGCATGGAAGGGGATGCTGGGACGAGCAACAGGTTCAGCAGGGTGTGTCGTCGCCATCGGGCTGCTGTGGGCCGAATTTGTCTCGCTCCCCAAGGTGCTTGCTGGGGGGGCAGGGATGCCGGCGGCGACGGTGATGCTGCTCTGAGGTCCTGATTCAAGTTCTTTCTCTGGTTCCTGCGAGAGCTGTTAGTCGCCGTGTGACTGTCAGTGGTCCAACGGGAAAGGAACACATGTAGATTGAAAAAGGCAGGCTGTTGAGGGATAGCAGCTGGTGTGCAGGACAAAAAAACAAGAAAAAAGAAAGAAAAGAAAACATACCATGCCCTCTGTGTGTGGCGATCGCTTTGAGGCTGGTGCCATGAGAGTAAAGAAAGGCGTCTTGTGGATTGGAATTTTGTATGGCAATTGTCGCCGAGTGAATTGGAGCAAACGCGAGTGAATTCGATTTTAAATTGATTGATTGATTGATTGAAAGGATAAAGGAAAGGGGGGGTGAAGATGGGCGTGAGAGTCGGGAAATGGGGCAGTCAAAAAGGAGCGGGAAAAAGAAAGGAGAGGGAAGAACAAGAAGGTGGGAAACGCGATGGATTATTACGCGAAAGAGCGATTTTGACAAAGAATGGAGGGGAAAGATGGAGACTAGCTTTGTCCTTCCTCTTTCTTTCTTCTCCCTTTTCCTTTCTCTCTTTTTCTCTTTTTCCGGCTTCCTGCCTCACCCATTGGCTGAGACCTTTCCCCACCTTTGAGCGCCCTGCCTTGCGATTGGGTAAGATCAGCAGCAGCACACAGAGCGACTTGTGCTTGTGCCATCCCGTGTGCCAGCTTGAAAGGGAACCATGTGCTTTGCTTGGTCTAAGCCACCTTTTGCCCGTAAAAGTTCTGATCTGCTTAAGGTGTGAGGACGAAACCGCATCATCTGACCAAGAACCCAGACTACTAAAATCTATTGTTATTATTGGGAGGGCGGAAATGTGTCTCTGCCGCTACTACTTGGTAAATGTCGTTCACTTTCATTTCGGGTCAAGTTGCTGAACTCAGGAGAGCATCCATGTATGCCAAAAACGGTAGACGTGAGTACTATATTCTACACAAGGAAGATTACACCTTTACTAGATCGTGAAGATCAATCTATCTAGATTTGGAGACACTCAGTAAGCCTTAGGGCGCTGAAATTAGTAATTCTATAAATGTTTGCATGCGTGGATTTCTCCTCTCGGCTGTCCATAGTTACCTGACCTCGCCCAGGTAACATGGCTACCTAATACCTAGGTAAGCAGCGCCACCTCCGCGTTCACATAACAAATGCGATGTTTGCGCCGAGCCGGTGTTGCTAGAGGAATCGTGTGTTGTTGGTAGGACGGGCTGCAATCACAAGGTAAAGCTTTCAAAACCGAGACGCTAACTGCAGTGCTCGGAAATGCAAAGTGACTGCAAACTTGACCTCTTACTTCGTTGCCATCATCGAGTCAACTCCGAAGATTCGACAGCTCACTCAAGATGCGCAACAATGGCACTTCTGCCGCGCAGCAACTTGCATGGCTTGCGAAAAAGACGTTCCGAGAAGCTCAGTCCCTCCCGGCTAAAAGATTGGACAACCAGATTCAAAAGTGGCCCCTTTAAATTCCCGGAGACAAGAGGAAGCGATTCCTTTGGGAGCGCTCTATGGCGCTCAAATTCCTCTAGGCTCTAGGGCGTCTATGCTAAGCTGGCGCGGTCAAGGTGAAATGGGGAGTAGAGGCGAGTGTTCTAGGAGGCGAGGTGCAGGGCCGGGAGGTATAGAGGGACGGCAAACTGGAGGAAAACTGAAGGGAATGGGGCCGGGAGACTGAAATAAGTTTTCTTTTGTCTTTATTTTGTCTTAGGAGGAGGAGAAAAGGGGGTGGTGTTGGCGGTAGACAGGAGGCACAGGCTGGCGCCAGGCACAGCACTCAAGAATCCTGTGTAAAACGCTTTGCACCCAATCATAGTTAGGTAGGTATCCTTTATGCTGGTCCAGCAAGCAACGAATCCAGTCTATGCCTATCCGTCACCTCGACCAACATCAACCAACTGTTTCTAGCTGCATGCAGCCCACCATGTCAACCAGCCCTGGCACGGAAACCAATGTGACGGTCCCGCCGTCCACGGTCCAACCGCATGACCCCCGACACCAACACTCAACACAGTGAGGAGGTGAATGTGAGGGCCGATTCGAGATTGATTCGAGTGTATTCAGGCTAGCGGTCACTTGTTGTGATAAATGGTGTAAAGGAGTGGGGAGGTAAACTAAGTTGATAAAGGAGATATAGATTGCGATTCTGATGGAACTCGGAGTGGTTTTGAAAGGGCTTAAGTAGGTAGCTAAGTGGACATTGTAGTTCTGTTGCTAGAAGGCTGAAGTTGCTATGCTGATGCTGTTCGGGCCTCGGGGAATAGACTTGGTGTTGTCCTTGTGTCCTTATATCCTTGTGAGCTACATAAGAGTTCAAAAGGCTTTGCCAGCTAGGTACCTAAGTAGCACCGTCCTTAGACAGCTGATTGTGTGTCGCATGAGTGGATGAATGCTGGCTTGAGTTATGATTGCGTACAGAGACCCGGTTGTCTGACCGGATGCCTTCGGGCCCACGTAGCTATTGTTCAGGGGTTCTTTGGCGAGGACTGAAAACTGGCAGCCAGGTCCTCGAGTAGTCGGCCTCCGCTAGCGTTCTCTCGACACGCTGGGGGAACGATAGGATCGATTACATGTGTACGTAATCGTCTGTATGCCGCTCTTTTCCCTGGTTGACCGCCCAGTGGTAAATGCGTAGCGCTTCGTCGCAGCCTACCACGGATTAATCATTAACCAGACAGATATGAGAGCCGTCCACCATGCTCCGGCTAAATCTGCCGCTTGCTCCTCAATATGTCGGTTCCTCACGACCGCATCACTTTTATCCGACCGGCTCTAGTTAGGTAGGCTTGGTATCAATAGCTCAATCTAGTAATAGATCGTTCTTGGTACGGCTAGGTTACTGAAGAACATGTGTCCTGTTTCTTGTTACTCCTGGCCCCCCGTCTGTTCGCTGTGTCAACTTGTCTGATTAACAACTGCAAACCTGGAAGACATCGCCGGGTTTCTTCTCACACTCAGAGCCCACCTGCCGGCACGGTAGTTTGGCCTCAACACCATGACTTCGACGAGGTGCTGGCGCGGGCAGAGAGACTCTCGGTTCAGAGTCATGCTGCTTCTAGCTTTTTTCATACATCTCCAATCACTAACGGCTTTGCAATGGAAGCACACGCGGGACTGGACTGTGTGCTCGTGGAACGGGTACGCTGGGCCGTTGATCCTCCAGTCACAGCAGCAAATATGCCCCCTCGCAAGCGATTGGTCGCTCTGGTCACATCAACCCATTTGTCCCGAGCCAGCTGAAGACGATTATGACTCGGAGCCGCTTTCACCCGATTGTGTTTTCACACTCGCCGCTTTTCGGGGCAACCAGGGCATCAGCCTAATAACCACCCCCCACCTTGCCGCCAGCCTCGCCGACCAGCTGGATGACTCAAGAGTGTCACCAAGACTCAGACATCAACTGGCAAGTGGGGGCCATAGCCAACAGAATGACAATGTAGCCTATGAAATTCGAGAGGTGCCGGGACGTGGCAAGGGGGTGCTTGCCAAGCGCAAGTTTGAAGAACATGAGACCGTCATGGTCGGGTTCCCCGTGCTGGTTGTTAGGTTGGACTTCATCAACGGAGACCGATATAGCACTAAGCAGAAACGACACATGATGGAAGCGAGTGTGAAGCAACTCCCACCAGAGCAGCAAAAGGCAATAGGGTCCCTGGCACGGAACACAGGCGGAGAACCTATTCTGGATGCTTTCCGTACCAACGGTTTCGGTATTGAGATTGACGGAATCCAACACTTGGCGCTTTTCACCGATGGCTCGGTGAGTACGCCTATTATCCTATCCACAGGTGAAGCAACACGAACTAACAGATAGCCCACCATCATTCAGAGAGTCAACCACAATTGTCGGCCGAAGTAGGCAGACCCTAGGTCTTGGGGAGAGGCTGAAGATATTTGCTAACACTCGAGATGCAGTTCTTATTGGCGTTACGTCAATGGCGACATAGCGATGGAAGTTGTGGCACTGCGAGACATTCAACCCGGGCAAGAAGTTGCACATAGTTGTAAGAACCAACCCCAGCCCGTGGTCGAGACGACAGCTCACCTCTACCTTGGTAGATGCTCCGCTGGGGTATACTTACGAACAACGGAAAACCATCCTTCAAGCATGGGGATTTCATTGCAGGTGCGCGTTGTGCTCCGAGCATATCGAAGAGCGAAACGCCTCCGACAAACGGCGAGAACGCCTGCTCGAGATTCATCAGACACTGAGCCAGGCGGAGAGACTCGGCGGCCAACGCGTCGGGCAGCTCGTAATAGAGGCTGTGGGGTTGATCGAGAAGGAAGAATTACGCCCGCAACTTGTGGAGTATTATCAACGGTTTGCGAAAGCGTACCTGATGGTCAATGATCTCAAAAGAGCGCGAGCATTTGTCGCCGAAACTGATAAGATGTGGGTGTTGTATGGAGGAGAGCAGCATGAAAATATTGATGGCATGCGAGAGTTATGGCAGACTTTGGAAGAAGCAGAACGGGATGCCGAAGACGATTGATTGCGTATCGAGAGGTCGGAGAGGGATGTAGTAGCTCGGAAGACTAGAAGTCTCGTTCGGTTGAAAAATAAGGGAACAACTGTCCCACGCTGATGACGTGGTGGCTTGACTGGGAAAGCTCATGTAGTGTTCGGCATTTCAGTATGGCAGATCTTGTTTCCCTTCGCAAGATATGTAACATGTTCGCGTGGGGGCCGGTGTGCATACAGGTATAGGGGATGCCGGGGAGATGGCGTCCCGAGGGGAACCACATCCCGAGGGGGAACAAGTCACGGCTGAAAGGGGAACAAGAAACGGCAACATATTCGGCCCCTCTCTGTGTGTGTGCCGGTGTTTTTCCTTTGCTATCTCCAATTACATCGTCAAATTACAAGACAACTTTCCTCCATTGGTTTGCGGGGAACGGTCTGGATTTTGTTTTAAAAATAGCAAACCCGTAGATGACATGCTCCTCGGCCATAGTATCACGGGAATTCACGCTTGTGATACAGAATATTAACACCATTCGTCACTCACGAAGTACACGTTACTTGGAAAGGGTGTTAGGAATGTGGAAAACTTTAAGTATTATACCTCTCTAGTGTAGATGTGCTCGCATCTAGGGCGTATATTTTGTCTCGATGGACGAACGGGTGACGCTCGGGAAGGTGGAGGAGCCAATATCCGGTGTGCGCATCCTTGTATATATCATATCCGTAGCAAATGAAATGGCTACGCATGCTCTTTACCTGGTGTTTTGCGATTGGCGATCATCCTCGTTAGAATCCCCTTGTTGCGAGTGACTACATGCAGCAGGTGTTAAGCGCGCAAATCTGGTTGCGATTAACTCACCTTTCCCACCAAGGAGAGGTTTCTTCCCGGCAACAGAGATCTTTAGATCGTAGAGGGTGTGGGAGCTTAATATCATCAAACCCATAGTATCCTTGTTGAGTGCGGGTTGCGAGTGAACTTAAAAATGAAGTCTTCTCCTCGGTCCTTTCCCGTGGTCAACTGAATGAACACTTGCCTACAGTTCCTTCCCCGTCTTCTTACCGCTCTCCTGCTCGCAATGAAGGCTGTTCAAGTCACGTCAGCTTTGGCCTTTGCTGCCAGGGCCCTGGGTCATGGATACATTTACCGCGTCACGTCGGACAACACGGTGTAAGATGCAACTGAATTACGCGAGTTCTTCCCAACTCAACTAATGTCCTCTCTTCGATGTATAGCTACCCGGGATATGACATCTTTATCGACCCGCTTCTCGAGCCTGCGCCTTCGCGGATTGCATACGGCGGCGGTACCACTGGTCCTGTTTTCGACGCTACGACGGCCGACATCGCTTGCAACACGGTGCATGATCCCGTGCCTGGCTTCATAGCGCAGGCTCGTGCCGGGAGCAGCGTCACTTTCCACTGGTCTCGATGGCTGTATAGTCACAAGGGCCCCATCACAGCTTGGATGGCTCCGTATAGCGGAGATGTCGCGGATGTCGATGTCAACGAGCTTGAGTTCTTCAAGTTCGCCGAGGAAGCCATCGATGACAACGGTGTCTGGGGCACCGTGAAGTTGCTCGACGAAACCGACGGTACCTGGACGGCCACTATTCCGGCCGACATCAAGCCTGGCACCTACATCATCCGCCAAGAGGTAAGAGACGCTCTCTACGTGTTTTGTATGTATGAACTAAAGAATCTCAACGTCCTTGCAGATTATCGCACTGCACTTCGCGGTCAATACCACCGATGGCTTTCAATTCGGCCCCATCGGCCCTCAGTTTTACATGACTTGCTTCAATTTCAACATCACGGGCGATGGCGACGCCACTCCCCAAGGTTACAAATTCCCAGGGGCTTACGACATGGCTGATCCGGCACTGAACTGGGATCTGAATTCGACTGATCCTTACCCTCTCGCTGGACCAGACCGCTATGTCAGCGCGTATGACGTAGAGTTGGAGCCGAGGGAAACCACCGTCATCAGTCCGACGAATGACGAGGCGGGTGACGAGGCGTACTATCAGGCCCAGTATAAAACTCTCGAGGCACAAGGAAACGTCACCAAATACTTCGATTCTATCGGAGGTTAAGTAGGTGTGCCCGGGGATACGGTTATGTGAAGCAGGGCAGGTTCGAAACGAACTGCAACTTCAGACATAGTCAACGAGGGTATGGGCTCCGGTGTATGTAGCTACAGAACAGGTAGTAAGACAGTTTGAGCTGTTGTTCCATCCCTTCTACATGCGCGTGCAGTTCATGTAGTTTAGTTCCATGTCCCTAGGTCTCCGAGGGCCATAGTACGCACGGCAAGGATAGTTCCCGAGAAAGACTGATATTCCCAAGTTGCTTGCATTATCCCGTGTCCCAAATGAGGGGATACGTTGGCGTGGATGCAGAGATGACAGCCCATGGTGGGTGAAGGAGCCCTGTAGCCCTTTTCTGTTACGGCGTGCACACAGAAGCAAGGTCGAGGCTCGGGAAGAATGCCGCAATATACCAAAGAGTAAGACAACTAAAAGTGCAGACTTAACTTACTAAGTAGGCGCGCCTTGGGCGGAACCCGGGATTTTCATATCCTACTTCCACCCCTCCTTCCGTATCTAGCTACAGCCTCTATGAATACGTATATATACTAACACTGCCGCGTGGAATCACCTTTGCGGAAAGCCTTGTTCCATCGGAAGCCTGGCTACGTCATTGTGGTCAAACACGTAACCAACCTTGTCGTGACTGTGCCGACCGTCATATCGTCCTTCGTCCTTAAACTGGCTGAACGAAGAGCTATTTCAAGAGCGAATTCATGTTTCAAACAACGCACCATTAAAGGTCAAAAAGTGACGACGGCTCGGTGTAAGATTGCCATGGGGTGACTTGCGTAATGAGGGCCGAGGCAGTATAATTCAAGCTCGAAACCCTATTAGATGAGAAAGCAGATAAAAGAAAGAGACTCATGCTTCAGGAGGATAAATCACCATCATAGCGAGATATGCCAACGGTTGGCACGGAGGAACGATGGGATGAACAGCCTATTACCCCTGGCCACCAGAGACCTGGAACCGAACAAGATGGATGCGAAAAAGTAGCAACCCGACATGATTTCCAGAATACGTTGCTTGACCGGGCCCCAGTTTCTCCCACAGCCAAGTTTGCGCACATCCCCTATCATGCATGCCGCGGCCAAGACAACTACAAAACATACACCAGCCCAGAGAGCGCCAGGACCCAGAGACTGACCGTCTTCACCGAGCCCGCTCCAACTCGACCCGCCGCGTTGAACTGCCAACCGGTAATGCGAGGCTCGGTGAAGTTCCGTCCGTTGGTCCGCAAGCAGGTCGCAACCGCCTGCTGCACAGCGTTGTCGGGCGTACCGTTGACGAAGTACGACGCCGGTACTTCGCACCACAGCCAGCATCCATTAACGATCTGGACAGGGTTGGGCTCGCAACAGACGACCATGGCGGGATCCTGCGTACTGGCCCCCGGGATGACCATGAGGTTGATGTCGTGAGGGATCGGTAGGTTGGAGATGTCGGGGATCGCGGCGCCTGGGCATGTTGTTGCGCTCGCCATATCCGTTGGCGTGGTCGTGAGAGAAAGACCTCGGTAAGATTTTCCGTGAGCCGGGAGAGGCGGTGGGTGCCTGCTATTCGGAAGGCGTCAAGGGGCGATGTTGAGGGTCCTAACTAAGAAAGTTTTAAACGGCAGTGATGATTGCGCGTTTTAGCGTAGAAGAAACCTGGAGCACAAAATGGAGGACGGGGAGTCGGCGAGCTGGCGGCCTGACAGCGTGCTGCGTAGGTGAAGCGAAGCAGGGCAATGGAGGGCGTCAACCAAGCACGCCGTTGCCGCCCGGGCGCCCATGTATAAATGTGTTTGTTGTTTGTTGGGTGGCGCGGACAGGAGTTTTCACTCCGTTCCCTGACCAATTAATTCCTGTCCGGCCCCGTTAGCCCGCGTTAATCTCGGCCTGATGTCTTGGGCGAGAAGGTGACCGAGGTGACAGCCGGTGGAGTGGAACCGATCGCTTGAGGTTAGACTAGTAAAGAATGTAGATATCCGTTTACGGCAGTCTTCCCGGTCGCCGACTCATGCCACGCCCCACCCAGGATGTACTGTGTAACTGGATGTTACCAACGCGAGCTTCAGAACACCGAGCTCCTCGTCACCCGCCGAGTTTCCCTCAAGGGCGGGCGAAGTCGGGAGGCATGCTCGTTCAAAAAATGAAACACTGTCATCGGGTACTGAAATAGCCGGAGTGGGTATATATCCTCCTGTTGGAGTTTAGATAAATCTGTGTGTCAATGAACTTGTTTCATCGGATTAGAGCTTCCCTTCGAAAGTGCGTTCAGGCAACAAACCTATCCTCTGGGTTCAACAGCTAGGCGCCTGCGCAGGGAACACCAGGCTGAAAATGCAACTCGCCACCGGACCAACACACAAGGGGTTGGTCGGCCGACGTGCATTGAAACTCGAGGGTTGCATGCATTCGGTGTATCTTGATTTCGCCGAACTGTTGGCCGGAACTGAACACCAGTTTTCGGCGAAGGTGCCCGCAGCACCACACCATCACGGGTACACCATAGCCGTTCCGGGTGATAATTGGACGCAAATACGATCAGCATGCGTCTGTCAACCCCCGGCAAGCCTTCACCGAAACACGGCGAGGTGGATTGTTACGACCAACACCTCTGCCAAGCAACCTTGCCTCCGGGTGACAAGGACTGCACGACGTTGGGGCAAAGTCTGATGCCTTGAATGGAGGCACTTCGTGGGTTGAACGGGACATGGCTGGGCAGGATGACCCAGCTAATGTCCAACGGCAAGATATCTATATAGACGGCCCAAAAGCCCCAAGTTATGTCGACATTTCCCACCAGTCTTTAAATCACGATTTCATTGCAGAAACTCCCTTTCCAACAACTTCCGCCAGGCTATTCCGACGACCCGTTCGAACAATGAACCGCCTTTCCGCTGTATTGGCCTTCTTGCCACCCGTGTTTGCCACCCCGCTGGTAAAGTCTGCGCAGGGGGCCCAGGCAGTGAATGTTCAGCTTCAGGTTAACAAAATAACCTCTGAAGCCGCTGTCGACATTTGGAATAGTGACAAGGCCGAGATCTTAGCTCATTCATGCTCTCATTCTCTCACCTCCGGCCCCTTTGTGGGCATGCCCCTTGCCTTCGCTGTCAACGAGAACGGAGCAGGCGAGCTCAGTATCGGCTCGGAGATTTATACCATTTATGACGACGCTGAGGTCTCTGGTGGTATTGTTTGTGGACGTATTGCCAGCACTGACGAGCTTGGTGTCAGCTGTGACGTCTCTGTCCCGGCGTCTATACAACTGAAGAGTCTGACGAAAAGCGATCTTCAAGATTGCTTTCCTCGTGGCCCCGTCGAGCTATCTAGCTTCATCAAGGGAGTGGAGGGTGCCACAACGAGTGACGCCGCTTGGGCTGTAGATAATTTCACCCTACACCAGGCGGACATCACAACACCCTCTAACGACAAACGGCAGGGGTCGTGCGGTAGTTGGACTCCACGGACGTATTTGGTTGGCAATGGTAATCCTCATCAGAATCCGCTCAACATTCAAATCAGTATAAGCCCTTGGTTTCTCCGAGCGTTTAGACACTGCCCCGGGACCCCGAACTAACATTCCGCAGGACCCCATGTCCTGCAGCTCACGTCCCTGTACTATCGGGTATGGGCAAACTCGCTCTTTCAGCATCGGTTGGATCGCGAGCGGATCAATCACGCAGTGGATCAGCAGTGGCTTCGCCGTGGAAGCGTCAGTCGAGACGGGAAACACATACGAATGCGATGGCGAGGCCAACGACTATATAGCAGTCTGGAAGAAAGTTGGCCAAACCGCGTACACGGTCCAGAACGGAGTGTACAATCGTTGTACTGGCGGGTTGCAGTCTGGCCGGAAATACATCATCTGGTCGCCAAATGCGAACAACCGCGGCACCTCTTACTACTGTGTTTGTCACGGCGTACACAAGTGAGCAAGGGCGAGCCTGGCAATTGTACCTAATAACGAAAATACAATTAAAAGTGAAGAACTAATCTAGGGTACGCTCCCACGGAGGGAGCAGTGGTCTTTATAGGCGTGGGGTACCTCCATCGCTGTTGTCGTTGCATTTACATAGTCCTGGTGGTAAGAGCCGCTCTAGCCAATTAATAGGGGTATATCCTAGAAACTTGGCAGCTCCTATTCTAGAACTTAGTAGATTAGTAAATGGTAGGAGATCCTCTAGAAGTAGATCCTATAATAGTAGATCCTTTAATTCTATAATAGGGTTAGTATATAAACTAGTAAATAGCTTATTATATAATTAACTATTTTAAACAATGTAACTGCGAGTCTACCGTCATTTTTATTGGGTTCTGCCGCTAGTTTGGACGTTGCATTAGCCAGGAGTCTGCGACAAGCGCCCCACTACGCCCTGGAACAAGTCGTCTTGAGGTATCGCTAGGTATCTCAGGTACCTACACCCCATCGCTGCAAAATTCCTGAGCTATAATCGCAGCCTCTGCTTTTTGCTTCCAGGTTCCCGGCTCCAGGGAAGCAGTTGATGGCCCCCGTCTCATCCCTTAAGTGGCCGCGCTCCCACTCTTCTAGCCATACTAAGCGCTTGCTCTGCGTCTCAAACCCCCTTTTGAAGCGATCCTGGCAATCTTGGAGCCGTTTCCCTCCCGCCGATCCAGACCCCCCAACGGCTACTGCACTCTCTTTCGCCTTCTTATTATCGGGCCGCCGGCGGTTTTGTTTAAGATTACCAAAAGATGACGCGCCACCGCGTCCGGCAGGACGACTTGCATGAGTACTCTGACGGTTCGAATTGGTCGGACGGTGAATCTTCGTCGAGCGAGGATAGTGTCGAAGTATTCGATGTCGAGTCTAATAACGGCGGGTACAATACCGGTCTGTCGGACATTGATAGCTTCGACCCAGACGATATCGGACTAGACGATATCGACCCAGAAGATGCGGCAAAGCTCTTTGAGGGAAACCTGTACTCTCCAGAATACTATGTCCGATGTATATACGAGTTTAAAGAGTCGGCCTTCGATGGTGAAGACTATAGTGCGGGGAGTAAAGTACTCCTTGATGGAATAGAGGATCTCTGGAATCAGTACGTTGGATGTCTAAGCTAATACCACTCCGGATTATGCTGATAAGCTGCAGGTATTGTGCGTTCATCAAGCGCGACCCCCAGAGGGCCTTTGAGTCGGTCACTCTCGCGTTCCTCAACTCCTTCTTCGACTGGCTCCTGAGTCAGAGAACTGGCAAGGACGGGAGAAAGAAAAGGGGAACGACGAAGAGCAGTTCCCTCGGGACGTACTGGAAAGTATATCGGCTCGTCTACGAGAGGGCCACAGGCGAGAAGCTTGACGCGAAATTGAACCGGAAAATGCACAGCGTAGGCCCGCTGGCCCAGTTGACAGGTTGCGGCCTGGTTAACATGTATAGGTGCTTAAACTTCTTGCCAAAAAGCACAACCTGAGCGACCATAAACGCGAGAATAGGTGTATGACAATCGACAACCTCAAGGAGCAGGTCGATACGACGCTACGCACCACCAAGAAGTCGTTTAGCCTAGGAGAGCTCCGAATCCTTTGCATTTTGTTCCTCCTCTTGCTCGCCCCAACCGGTGCCCGCCCCACATCGGTCCTTCTCCTCCGCTTCGGAGATATCCGTATTATATTAGCCCGAGATCCTGACGGCGGCCCACACAAGATCCCCACCAAGCCCACCCCAGAGCCCACGAAGACATACCTTGGCACTAAAGATGCGAAGACCGTGACAATTCCCGAAGTCCTATTCGACCCATCTCTGACTCTTAGTGTTCAAACCTTCCTCCTCGGCATTCTCTTCCGGCATCGGGCCTTCGAGGCGCCAAGTTTAACCTGGCCCGAGAGGCTGACCCAACTTGATATCCACCCAGGCGAACAGGAGCTGCCTATACCACTGAAGGCCAGCATGAAAGATGTCCACATTTTCCGCCGCACCATCAAGACACTGGCCGGCTACGAGATATCGTCAAACAAGCTCATCAGCTACGGGATGATGGCAAGCTGGATCAAAAGGTGTGGTGAGATTGCAGGGATGGAAGTGCCGACAATCCCGTATAATTTGCGGTACAATGCCGGTAACGTGTTTGACAGGAGTAGTGGGTTTTATCTCGCACCTCCTTGAGAAAATTCCTAGCTAATGGTCTGACGGATGAGGTGAGCGATGCGACTAGGAACCTTATGCTAGACCACGCAAACTCGACTCCGTTCCAAAGGCACTACCTTGGGCGTCAAATTGTGGGAGACCCATATGGAATCATTCGTGGACTGAAGCCGCAGAATGCTTTAGTACAGGCATCCTGCAGCATCGGCCATTCCATGAGCAAACGGCGCCCCATAGACCTGACAACCGACCAGGCCGCATCCATCAATCTCCACCCCACCGTCAAACAGCTGGCCCGCCGCATCGAAGAACTCCGTCAATTACGAAACCACTCGCGCGGGGCCATGGACGAGTATAAGGACGCGGTTCGCAAGCCCCGGAGCGAGAAGCAGAGGCTCAAGCGAGCCCTCAAACAGCAGATCAGGGACGAGTGGACCGATAAACAAGCCGTAGTCGACATCGAGGCCCAACTCAACGAGCTTGGCTTGGTCGAGGACTCGACGGTCGAGGCCTCCAACTGTCCAATGCGCCCCGCTCAGAGGCGATTGGTGGACGCCCTCATGGCCCAAGTCGAAACTTCAATTGAAGGTCAATACCAGCGAAGAGATACTGCAATCAACGCGATTGTAGCCTACTGCACCGTGGTGGAAGGGCCGGCTAGCCGCACTAACAATTCTACCGCTAATATTATACAGCAGTCCGTTAAGGGGGACCCTCCTACAAGCAGCCGTTTACATTTGGCTGCCATGTCTGTCTTTATAACGAAAGACGAAGACAGGCCAAGAAGATGCTTCCTTTGTGTTGGTGAAGCGCTCCGTCTGGAGTCAGATGATCCCCGCATCGATTAACTCATTCACCTATTCTACACCTCCGGTGACTTGACGAAACACTTCAAGCGACGGCACCTGGCAAACCTCCGGGAGGATGACAGGCTTCAATGCCAAATTTGCGTCCTGCCGCTGGACCACAAAATGCATCTCCAAAACCATGCTCGTCGGGTCCACGGCACTGTGTCCTAGAAACTGTATGTTAATTAAGTGGCGCTTTTTCCTGTCCGACTCAGCGTTCTCCTAACCATCCGAAGCATACGAATGGACATTTTGGCCACTAGTAATCAGACCGTGACTCTCCATAACTTCAGACAATCCATCAGGAATGCGCCATTCTGGATGGATGGGTCCTCGGGCACCGAAGAACCATTCCCTGGGGGGGAAAGCCGTACCACGGGGCATTTTGCTGCCCTCTTGGCAATGGAGGAGGCGTCTTCAGAAATTGGAGATATAACCAAAGCACGAGGGCTCGTGCTCTTTACCGAGGCAATCTTCATTATCTGGTTTGGGGCGCTCACAGGGACTGAGTCGGCTGGCGTGACTAACCACCGTCATCTCCACTCCCTTTCCCCCTGGGATCACCCGCAGCAGTTCAATTACAAGGGACTGTGTTCTCACAACCCTTTGGTCTTGACTTGAAGTCCGGCCAGAAATCTGCTCATCCTCCCTAAGATACTAACCCGGGTCAATCCGGGCCGGTGGTGGACAACAGGGCAACGGAGAATTGATCTTTTTTTGGCCCTTTTCGCTGCTATAGCATTGTGATACTGTATCTTGCGTGCTGAAAGAAATGTAACACCTCTGATGCATGTCACACAGCAGGGAGTGACATTGAACAATAAATCAAAAGCTACGATGCCTGTCAAACCGGCTGCTAACGGCGTCTCACGCCAGAGACGCGACGCAGCCCAGACCATTAAGGCCTTCCTGGGTCCTCTAGACGTTCCAAATCATAACCCTAACCCTTCCTGCCATTAGGTACGTACCTTTTCTGCCAATGGGTACGTACCTTTTCTGCCAATAGGTACGTACCCTTTCTGCCAGTAGGTACGTACCCTTTTTGCCAAGAGGTAAGTACGTACCTCTTCTGCCAATCATCAGAGCAGGTGGCTGGCCCAAACGTCCATCTTGCCGGGTTAGGGTTAACGTCCAAGATTTTTTTTGGGTTCTGCCTACCGGACCCAAACCATTTTACTGAATGTCTGATTGCTTGCTTAACTCGAAACCGAGGCCAACTCAGAGGCCCTTAAATACATGGAAATGCACGCGGAAACGGAAAAACAAACGCACCCTCCCTCTGGACAGACCAGTCTTTCAATCGTCCCAAAACTAATCGCATGACGGCTTTGTAGTGCGGCCGTGGGCTAACTGGCCGGCCTGTTTCTCCAGGATTATTGGGTAGAACGCAACGCTAGCAATCTGGTGATATGACACGGCGTCGCAGGTGTTGTTTATGGAAAGGAGCGGAAGCTGGGCGAACCGAGGCACAGGAAGGTGGATGGCTGCCGCGAAGCGGCACGGTCTGAGGGAGCGCACGGACCGAAGCGGCAAACTACGCCGCCTGGGTCCGTGCGCTCTCTGTCCCACGGCAATATCCGCAGCGTTCGCGACAAGAAGACCTTCCTCCCAAGTCTGCCGTTATCTTCAAGTCGTGGTATATATCCTGAATGGCCACGAGCATCATCCTCCACAGCCCGGTTATCTTCATGACGCGCAATTCCGCATTTGGCTTTCCGGAATGGGTGACGAACCTCACCCAGTTGCCCATTCTTTTCGTGTGAAGTTGCGCTACTGTCCGGTCGAGGGCCTTAGGAAATCAATTGACCAGCAGTCGTGGTTGGAGCCCAGTGGCACGAATTCCCCTGTGAGCTCCCCAAGTACCTGGTCTTTCCGGTACGCCAACACTCCTTCAACGGCGACTGCGCGTAGGATCCGACCGTCTTCTACATCCGTTCGAGGTAGATGGCGAGGCAAGATGTTGGTGATACAGTTGCATGCTTTCTCTCCGCACAGATCGCATTGGGTCTCACCAGGCAGGATATAATTTGGGTGTTGCGGCCATTCCCACGGCCAGACGTCGGGAGCACCCTCCCACTTGTCGAAGTCGCACACGTTTGTTGTAATAACTTGAAACCGCTCCATCAGCGGTAGCAGTTGCGTCCGAGACAGACGCTCCACTGTTTGTGCGTCTTCGCTTTCCCATAGAAATTCGGGGACGTCTCTCTGCTCCAGAATCGCGCACTGAAAGATGTTCGCCATTCGACGGATTGAGAGGTTGAACTCGTCCATCCGAAGAGATTTGCGGAAGAGCGCGATATTGAGCCCGCTGTCGTGGTATTGCGCACCCCTTGGACTATAAGGGTCTGATCGATCTCCTCGGTTTGGCGGGATCAGACATACGGCAAAGTCCTGACAAATGACAGGACTTGAATTTTTGATCGATCTCATGCATCAAGCCAGGAAGCTCTGCAGCAATCTGCCCAAGGAGGACCTTGCTAAGACGGCCGCGCAGCTTGCCGATTCCGAGAGAGGAGCGCGGAAGGGCATTCCAGGCTCCAGAGCCGAAGAACTCGGCCTCCTCAGCATCCCGGGTTGCGAGGTCCCAAGAGCCTTCCTCAGAGTCCATATTCTTCAGAACATGCCAGCCGTGGCGGAACTCGACCTCTTGGTTCCTAGCGAGAGAGACGTACAGGGCTTCACTCCCGCCTCCTGGGACCAAGGTGTCGTGATGACGCCCAAAGTCCGGGTGCCACTGGGGTCTGCTGTCCGGGTCAGTTTCAGGACAATCTGGTTGGCAAAGTCGTTCTTGGCCGACACCACGGCAAGGATTATGCAACGCGGCTCCCTCATGTAGGACTGAACGACATCCTGGATGAGCTCAACGTCCGAAGTGGTTTGATTATTCGTCTCGGAGTGAATGAGCCCGGGAAGGTCGACAATGGTGAGATGGGGTTGGTCCGGGCCGGTCACTTCGATGCGGAGGATGTCCTTGCCAAAGGCTCTGCCGTACACCGTGATGCCCATCTCGGCCTTCGCTCTCTCGATCAAACGGGGAATATTGTCGAAACCATCCAGCTCCTCACGGAAGGCAAGAAGAGCCTTATGCTCAGCTTCCGGGCGGGATTCATGGGGGACAATGGAAACACCCGCGCTAATGTGTGAGGTCCTGCGCAGGACCAGCTCGTTGGTCTTGAGAGCAGAGCTTGCTCAGGGAGCTCGGAAAGGCGACCATCTTGAGATGCTCTCTCCGCCTTCAGCGCTTCGATTGGGTTTGCTTTCGTGGTGTGCTCTTGTCACCGTCTGTTCAGCGTTGGCGGTAGCTGCGTTGTGCCATTGGCGTGATCGCGGGGCATCACCTGGTCGGCAGGAGAGCGACTCGCATGGCGGCTTCGTCGATAGGGCCCCGAACGTTGAGCATCTCGTAACTCGGAGCATGGTGGAAGACGGCAACTCTTCGTCGTTCGCAGTCAGGCAAGTCGGCAATCACAGTCATACAATGAGTCGAGAAGGTCGGTATGGCCAAGACTTGTTTGTGTACCCAGTTCTATGTATCCTCCGCTAAGCGCCTTATGGGATGCAAATGTATCTTCAGTCGCCTTCAATCGCCTTCAATCGTCCTCAATCGTCCGCAAGAACCATCTCAATGACAAACAATGCCAAGTAGATGTCGGCTATTCGATTCATCCCGACCTCTGCCCCCTTCCAAAAGGTCTTACCTGTCTTTGTGGATTTCTTTTCCTTTCTTTTTTTTTTCTTTTTTGGCTTTCCGAGTTCAGTGGCGCTTCTGAATAGTTGTTCGTTGCTGCTTGGCCGTGTGATCGGCAACTCTGGATGTCATGGGTCTACCGATTCAGGCCCGTGGTGGTGAGCGTTGCTGAGCAGAAATCAAAGCCCAGCGGCAATCAGTCTCTCAGCGACTGTCATCGGGTCGCGAGTCAAGTTGCGCTTGGACAAGGGAAGCTGGGGGTTGCGACGGCCCGCCACATAACGGTAGCCCGGATACATCTCCTTGTGAACGCGATCCTCCTCATCGGCTAGGATCTTGAAGCGTGCTTTGACCTCGGGCTTCTCGGCTTGCCAGGTCTGCGCAACAACCTGGGCTGCTGGGTGTCAGCACTGCACAGCGACAAAAAGGGAACAAAAGACTTACAGATGCAGGCAGCCGTCACGCCAGGGTTGCAAGCGTGGATCTTGGCGGACATCCACTGACGGTAGATGATGAATTGATTGCGAGGACGACGGAGGCGCAGCTTAGAGATCTTCTGATGCTTCACGCCCTGGTGGCCGATCGGCAGCTGGACGATGGAGTCTGCTTGAATGATTAGGTCTCCGACAACATGGACTGAGGCACCCGAGATTCACTTACCGGGTTCAGAGATGCTGATCTCGGTGGACTTGATGACTTGATAAGCAGCCTTGTCCAGAGTCTCAGCGTAGGGGGCGCTGGTAATCCAGTACTGAGTGGAATTCTTGGGCCGAACAATGACAGCGTGTTTGCCATCATTGAAATTTCTGAAAAACGTTAGCTGGCTAATTGACCGGCAAGCTGGATGGATTAGACTGACTTGAAGTTCTCGAGCGCGACGCTCAGGATCTTGATGGCACCAGCTTCATCAACGTTATTGGCGGTGCACTGCACGTTCATTTCGTTTCCGTTGAAAGCGAACGCCAGAGGAGAGGCATCCTCCATAGCAGTCAAGTTGGTACCTGTGATGCAAGAGGCCATTGCTGCTGTGAGTAGAGAAAATCGAGTTGATTGTCGCTGGGGCTTTGCGAAAATAATTAGAGGTCGCTAGAAATCTGCTGGTTTTGTCCCAGAATGGTGAGAGAAAAGAAGTTGACGAAGTAAAGATTTGGAATCCGAGGACAGCCTTTTTCAAAAGGCAGTTGTGGGCTAAAATAAAACTTGGGAACCAGAAAAACTATCTAGACTTCGGTCCCTTCCAAAGAGGAGAGGCTGGTATTGTTATCGCAGAACAATACTAAGGAAAAGTACATACAACCCGGAATAAATTTCGCATAATATCAAGGGCGCAAGCATTGTGTGCGGTAAATTGATGAGGCTCCGGCCCCGTGCAAGCTCCCGCCTAGCTTTGAGTTTCCTCAGTGTCCCTCCCACTCCAACTTCCTACCGGATAGCCAGGAGCATCATTACCGTGAGAAGAAACAACCCCGGTTGTTGAGCGGGCTCGCCCAAACGAAATCATTGGGTGCAGGAAGTTCCATCCTACCCGTGCCGGCATGTACACCTGCTGGGAGAAGAGGAAGAATGCACGGCCGGGCAACTTTGGGAGCCCGATAGACTATGTGCTGTACAGCTCCGGGTTCAAGGATTGGTTCATTGACTCCAACATCCAAGAAGGCTTGCTGGGCTCAGATCTGTGTTGAGGATGTCATGAACCCGGCAAACTCACCAAAGGACCTGCTTCCAACATCAGCTAGGCTCATCCCCGAGTTCGACCGCCGACGAAGTATCCGGGATATGTTCGTTAAGAAAGCTACGCCATCATCAAAGGTGGATTCCAAAGTTTACTACGCCTAGCCCTCATGATACACCTCGCGTCATTAATACCGCACTTGGTGAGCCTTCGTCTTCATTCAGCCATGACTGCCACATCGCTATTCCGCGTGCAAAAATGTCATCCCACACCCATCAGAAAGCCTCACCTCTCGGTACCTCTAGCAGATATTGTTCTGTGGGCTCGAAATAAAAGAAAAGCAAAAGTCGTAAGTCGTAAGTCGCATTAGTTCGTCATGTGCACTATGGCCGTTGTAGAACTCCGCCGTTTTTTTGCTGAACGAAGACGGCCCAGCTAGCTCCACTCTCCCGGTTATATACCAAAGACAGGACAACTGAAAAAAAAAACCGAAAGGTGTCGATGAATAGTAGGAGTTGTCTAGCCCTAGATGGGAATGAGATTACGGGGAGCCTGGTACCGGCCAAGCATATCGTCGGTGAGAACACATGAGATGTCCCGGCGAACATCCCCGGCATACAGCCGGGTGAGCGTGAGTCCGGTCGCCATCTTGCCTGCCACGAAAGTCGAAGATTGCTGGTATTTCGGCGTCGCATACTTCTCGTACACGGCGCTGTGGTGCTTGCGTGGGTATTGGCAGCACTCAAAAAGCGTCTTGATGAGCGGTCTCAACTGGCTCAGCGTGTAGCCAGAGTAATGGATATGGGCGAAAGTCTGGTAATCGTTAGGATATCCGGCCAATCTCACGTCGATAGTCCACTTACCCAATTCCCTTTGCCTAAAAACAAACGGGAGATGCTGTACGCTCCGGCCGCTAGGAAGCTGGAAGGGCTGCTCACAAAACGCTCATCCAGGAGGGTAACCTCCAGAAAGTATTTGGCCAGCGTCCGTGTCTCCAGGTCATAATAATCAGCCTTGCCGATACGGTAGAGGAAGCTCATGGGACTGGGCCACCCTAGCTCGAAGTGCAACATGCTAAGCATGAAACGCGCAGCCTGGAGAATCTCATGTACGCTATAGCCCGAATTCACCGTATAGACGATGTCCTGAACGGACGGACAGTCGATATCTTCGTACTTAGCCGCCACAAAAAGAGCGGTGGCGCCGACCAGCTGGAGCTTTCCGAGAGGAACGGCCTTGACTGAGAGGAAGCGATCGATGTAGTTGACGGCGAGAAAAAGCGTCTCGGGAAGGAGGCAGAGCATATGGTGAACCTGAACCAGCCAGTCCATGAGGACAGAGCGCATCGGCCACTGGATCTCGATTTGGTCGTCCATGTAGTGGGCGTTCGGAAGCATCCGTACCTCGAGGTCTCGCATGTATGCGAAAATCTCGTCGCCGTACTCGGCAACCATCCTGACATCCCATTCTTCTTCCTTACTTTCCTCCTTTATCTGATGGGCTGTGACGTACGCCTTCGCCATCTTCAGCTCCTTTTCGACGCCAGCTGTGACATACGGCGCGAGTAGAGTCGTGGGGCCGCTCGTGGTGTTATCACTATGCGATCGGTAGGAATGGACCGGAATGTAGCCCTGCTCGTAGGGCACCTGCTCCTCTTCGTCGTCCACACGCATGATGGCGTGCCTGGGGTCTAGGGATGACGCGTCAGAGGGTAAAATCAGGAGGAAGTGCCGCTCCTTGAAGGGGTACTCCTGTCGGTCGTCCAGATAGGAAACTGCCGAATCTTGAAGCCCTTCCGCGCTCTGATTCTTGTTCAGCTGGCCAGTGTTGATGCTGTCAAAACCGCTCATTTTCTTTGCTGGCATCCCTTTCCCCGCGCCCGACGATTTCTTGGCACGTTTGATCTTGTTACCCGCCGTCGACGACATCATGAGCGAACAACTTCTCTTTTGTCTCCTTGTTGGCCTCTGACCGGATGACTTCGACGAACTCCCACTTGGTTTCATCTGGCAGAGTGACAACCCGCTCCAGAAACACGTCGGCGCTATTTTGGGCTCCCTGGACTGTGCTGTTCGGCGTGAGGAAGACCGTGATACCCGGAATCAGCTCCTGGTGGATCTTGGACATAAGCGAGCCGGATCGGCAGATGCAGTCGTTGTATCCGAAGCCTTCGGCCACCTCGCACGTGTCCGGGTCGCCCCGACAGACCAGTCTCATCAGATCCACCGTTCGCAAGACGGCGACGGTACCTAGAGCCACCATCGTCTTGCCGAGCCCCGTGTCTAGGGCACTGATATAGCCAGTTCGGCCCGTGCCGTACGTGGCATCCAGGAAGTGCCAAACATCCCGCAGCTGGCCGGGGCGTAGCGCCATCTTGGTGCCGAACAGCTTCTTCCCGCTATCCATCTCCCTACACGCTGGGTCGTGACGGAAGAAGCGGCAGGCCTCCGTCCATTCTTCTTCGGTCCCGCCAAGCGTTATAGAGCCCAGCGCGTCGGGGCCGTCGTTGGCCTCATGTTCATCATATGCAGTGGTCGGTCCACCAGGGTCAGATAGCGCCCCATCGTCCGGCTCCGTGTGAGCGTTGGACGAGATCGAAATGACGTCGTTGTCCCTTTCGCGTTCTTCGGTTCTCTTGTCGTGGGCGGCCGACCTGGCAGGGCTAAATGGCGCCCCCTCCCCCGGTTCGGTGTCGGACCGTATGCTGGGGGTAGTGTCAGTTGGTTGCGTGACGTAGCGGCACAGCAAGATATGATCCCCATAGTGAGGGTCTTTCTCCAGCCCCTCTTCGCAGGCGCTGTTGAGAGCCCGGCGAAGGAGGGGCGCAGTGCTCGCGTCTAGCCATCTCTGGTTGCCGCTATAGCGGCCGATTTCCACTTCGAGCCTTAAGGAGTCAAGGCATACGGTGGCTGAGCGGGCGTGACTCGGCGCTCTTATTCTCGTATCGTCCAAAAACGCTTCCTGGAGCGCCTCGAGAAGGGCGCCCGTATCGATGCGTTCCGATACGACGTCTTCCCTCTCGTCGTACCTCTCGCGGGTCAGCCACTGCGTCAGGATGCCGATGAACGTTGTACCGGATTGCAACTCCAGCGCAACACCAACGTTTCGAAGGCAAACCCTATCCTCGGGCACGCTAGAATTGTCAACCTGCTTTTGCCGCTTGGCAGGAGTCAAGGCCCAGAGCGCTGCAGAGCCCGGCTCAGACACACCGCGCTTTTTAGAGCTGCCATTTCCCGCGTCCTACTCGGGTATGTGGGAGTCTGATGGGGTCGGCATGGCTGACGGGCAAAGGAGTTAGCTTCAACCGTAGGTGGGGCGAAATCGGCTGGGCGTACCTGGGAGGCGGCTGCTACTGGAAAAAGCTTGGCGTCCCTCCAGAGATCGCTCAGGCTCGCTCGCCTCCATAGCGTGATAGACTTTAGGGAACTGGATCCGCAGGTGATTGGGTCAGTTCGCGGCCGCCGACCGGATATTAATCGTTACTTACTACGTTCATCGACAATCAACGACCGTAAGATGTATGGGCGGTGGTTGGTTAAATTGTCGGCGCGTAGCGCGCTCGGAATGTTGCACAAAGAGTTGGCGGCGCACCGAAGGAAACAAAAAAAGGAACAGAAAGAAAGGTTTGACAGGAGTTAGGGCGTTGGGTGTCCAACCTAGCCGGAGTCGAACTGGAACTATTTGGCGGTTAGTTCCCGGCATCAACGCATCAACGGAATGCTAAAGCGACTGGTTCTTACTATGTTCCGTCCCGAATAACTGTTTGAAGGGGCCGAGGGGGCTGATTGCACAATCTGGCTGGGGTCGGAAAACGGCCACGCGGTTGTAACGAAGAACGCGAGAAGAAAATAGAACTCCCCGCAGGAATCAGCACCTTCCCGGCTTGACCGGTTCGCAACACAACGCGGTCGACGCAGAAAATCGTTGGACAAGGTCGGCCGAAGGATCGGGAGCGGTCGGAGAAATGCGGTCGAAGAAACGCGCTTGGAAGACGAAGACAGAGCGAAGAAACAGGAGGTAGCGGGCCGCCAGGTTGTTGCGGCGCAAGGATCCTGTGTTCATGCTGCAGCACTGGGGTGAGAGGCAGGGGAGGCAGGTGGAGAGCGGTTGCCGGGGACGAGGAGAGGCTTTGAACTCAAATGCCAAAAGTGGGGCGCCTCCCGCGAACGCCACAGAGTTGTCCATCCTGGCACGTGCAGGAAACATCGAACTTCTACCCTCTGTTTTCCTACCAAAACTTTCATCTCTCCTATACCGAGCTGCGCCATTACTACCATTCTACCTTCGTACGTTGTTTCGTCAAGAAGTTCTTTTTCTCGATTTTTTCTGACCGATTTTGCAGAACCTAGCATTTGCGACGACCGATCGATCATCGAAATCCGCCACACCAGCCGCCTCGGCAGGAAAGGAGTTTTCGAAATGGCGACGGAGCGCACAAAGACCCCGCCCACAGGCGCACAGGCTAGCGCGCAGGCTGCACAGTCGAAGGGTACGCCAAATTAGTCAAACTGCAATTCTTCCTGAAATTGATGTTGCGCATACCCCTTTTATGGGAGCATTACTTTCTGACATCATAACTAACATCCTTGGTGAAGAACAGAGCCAGGCGCTACAGGATATGCATACAGAGGTTCTGTCGAAGACCCATGACCCGGGGAAGGAGGTCGAATTCCTCGGAGAGCACCTTCCCCAGCCCCCTGAGGTGACAGTCACGAGCAAACCTGGGATGACTATCACTAAGACTGTTTACCCGCCATTGCCCGATGGCCGGTTCGGGAAGACGGTGATCCACTTGCAATCACACCCAGAGCAGGAAGGACACCACGGAGGGTAAACATTGGGATTATCAGTAGACAGCGAAGAACCATGGCGTGGATTTCTTGATATTCCGGTTGCTCTAGCAAAAGGGGGCGATGGAGAGGAGAGCTATACCAATACAACATTCCTCGTGATCTTGTCTATCTCTTACAGGTTTAGTGATCGCAAGCGACAACGCGTTTGATGATCTCGATGGCCGATCCGACGAATCTTTACACTTATGGCGGAAATTTCGGTTTTCCCACTGTCTAATGAGTTTCTTGTGGATTCAATTTGCCACCCCCGAGGCATGACCCTAACTATGTACTAGCTTTCGACCCTAAGAACGACTGGGGGGACCCGGGCCAGGCGGCCACCGTACTATCGGGAAGGGGCATATGACCGAAACCCCAACGCTCCTCGAGCGTTTCCGAAATTCCGGGCCACGTAGGGATGCTAGCTCCGCTTGACTAGGGCCATCAAAACGAAGACGACGACGACCGAGGTGCTGAGGAGGCTCCAAGATACGCAACCAAGGGTCCTCTTGGCGCTACACTAGAACTAGACGGGGAGCTGTCCTTGGCTGCGCCGCATCACCTGCTTGCTCGCCCGCCGTCACCCTGTCCGCGTGAGGAAGAGGGGCAAGAACCGCGCGTGCCGGTAAGTCTGTCTCACTCGACTGAGAGTGAGTGGGCAATGAGCCGCTCGTGGTGTCCGATAAGCCCGCGACCATATAGCACTGACATATGCAATGACCACGTTGAGTGAGATTAGTTCCCTATGTGACCTGACAAGCAAGACTATCATAAGGCAGCCGGCCTCTGACCTTGACACGGCAAACCCGAGCTGGTCAACCCAACAATGAACCCCTCCTCCGAATAGCCACGTCCGAGTCAGCCATGTCCGCCGGTAATCAAACATCCACCAGGCACCCTCGGAACCTGGATACACACTATGGCGCGGCTCTGGAATAAGAGAGACCGAATAGAAAAAGCAGATGAGGACGGCGCCTCCCACATCCCTCCTTAAAGGCGATGCGCCCCGACCGCACCACGGCGAGTTCCAATCCCGAGCAAGTGAACCCGAGCAACCGGACTCAAACAATACAGATATATCCTCCCTGTGCCAATGCCCACGCGCCGAAAAAAAAAAGAAAAGTAGGCGAGTCGGTCGCCGTTACTTCGTATGGCCCCACACCTCCGTCTCGATGGCGGCGCGGTTCAGCTGCCGCCGGCGAACGACCATCTCGGCCTTATTGTCCGGGTCGAGAAGCAGGGTCAGGTGCGGGGTGAAAAACCCACCCTCACGGTTGATACGACAGCCAACCTGTAGTTGCTTAGCGACGGTGCCAAGGGGGCCAAGCAGGACCAGGTAATTCGCCCGGGCCAGGTTGAGACCCTCGGCGATGATGCCGACGGTGGTGACTAGGACTTGGGGAGAGGGGGGCTCCGTGGGGGTGGTAGCATTCGCGCCGTAGCCGGTCGAGAGAGACGGTGACGAAGGGCTCTATAGCAGCCACGCGGTTGGCCGCGCTCATGCCGCGATCGACCATCTGGACGGGGATGTCGAAGGTGTTGGTGATCCATAAAAACGCCAGGTGGGCGACGAAGGGCGAGTCAGAGTAGACTAGCATCTTCTTGTCGGACACGACGTCGTTCGCACCGGGCGCCGGCTCTCGGTCGGCCAGCATTTTGCGGATCTGTATACCGAGCTGCTCCATCTTAGTGCTGCCGTTGCAGATGTCGCGCCAGAAGGGCCATGCCTTAGATTTGGCCCGGGCCTCCTTGATGGTGCCCTTGGTGAAGACGCCCCGGAAGTCCTCGCCGGTGAGGCTCCAATCGCAGTAGGGCGCTTGGCGGTGGAGGCGAGCCAGGGCTGGGAACGTGGCGCACAGCCTGAGCAGGCGGAAGCTGCTGCTAGTGTTGGGGGCGCCGGCACTGATCTGGCGGACGAGGAGCTCTAAGGTGGGCTCGGTACGCCGACGATGTTCTGGCAGCTCCTCCCACCTGGCGTGGCGCTCGTCCAACAACGCTTGCACCTCATCCTTTGTGGACGAGAAGATGTTCTCGATGCAAGCGGCAAACTGGGGCGGCGGCGGACAATCCACGACGTTGAAAGGGACCATGGGCACGGTTGACAGCGGAGCGCCAGCAAAGATGTCGTCTCGGCGGCGGCGGAGGGTGAAGGTGAGCACGAGAGCGCTGAGGTTGGAGAGGAAGACCTGCTGCTGCTGCTGATCTGATTCCGATTCCGAGCCGGCGGCGGCGGCGCCGAGGCCGCGGGCGAGCGTCTTGTTGTAATGCGAGGTCAGCCGCTTGAGCGCCTGAAGCGTGGACATGGTGGGCGGTCGGAGAGGGCTGCTCCAGCCGGCGCCTGGGTGGTTCAGGTGCTCCAGCAGCCTCTCGAAGTCCGCCGGGTCCCGGGTCATAGGTGTGCCCGTCAGGGCAAGGAGGTAAGTGGGACTCCGAGCGCGCCACTGCCAACGCCGGATGCGATCCCAGAGCATGGTGGTCTCGCCCTTGATGCAGTGGGCCTCGTCCACGATGATCCTGCCTGGCTGGACGGCGAACTGGACTACAGTGGGCGGCCGGCGGCGGTCGGCGGGGACGGCGAAGGTCGAATCGATACTCTTTACGGCCGACGTGTTGGGAACCAGCAGGATGTACCGAGACTGGCCGGGCTTGGGTTTGAGCCTGGCGCCTTCGTCTTGCAGGCCCGGCTTCTTGCTGCTCGTGGGAGGCCCGCGGGGTAGCTTGGCGATGTCGATGTCGGCGATGAGGCTGCGCACAGGCGCGGGATCGTCGGGCAGCGTGAGGAGGATCATGCCGTCGTCGGGGCTGGCGTCCACGAACTTGGAGAACTCATAGGCCCACGATCTCAGGATCAGCTTAGAACCAAACACTACTGTAGGTCCGTGCGAGAGGTCGGCAGCGATCCTGGCGGACCAGCTGCCGGCCTCGCAGGGGCATTGGAACCCGTGAGTGTAGGTTCCTGACGGGCACTTGGTGCGCTCGTCATCGGCTGCGAGGTGCTGGTCAGGGTGCTGGGAGACGTGATCGGCCTGCGCGCGCAGGCGGTGGCTAAGGACGGCGACGGCCAGGGACATGACCGTCTTGCCGAGTCCCATTTCGTCAGCGAGGAGGGCAGTGGCGATACCACGGGCCGCCTTGCTAGCGAACACCCAGAAAAAGGCCCAGAGCTGGTGGAACCGGAGGCCTTTCTTCATGCCCGGAGGGGTATGTGTGAAGCCAGGCTTTAGGACGTCGCTGGGATCGATGCCGAAGAATTTGCACATGTCGCGGCGGACCGCCTCAACGATGCTGGGGTCGATGGGTCCTGGCTCAAACGCCTCTCCGTCCTCGGGCTCAACGACGTCGGACTCAACGACGTCGGACTCAACGACGTCGGACTCAACGACGTCGGACTCAACGAGGTCGGGCTCGCTACACGAAAGGACGTTCGTAGCATCTCTATCACGTGGATAGGGGTCAAGTTCGTCGTCCGTAAGGAGATCTACGACCTCTACACTAGGTGACACCGGCGCGATAACATCCTGGGGAGTCTGAGCCGAAGGCAGCGCCCAGATACGGATGCTCACGGGCAAGGTA